AACAATTTCTTTTTTTTCTTTTCTCTTTTTTTTTTTCCAAAATATCCAATTCATCAAGATATTTGAGATCTCATTTAGTTATCTTTTTACAACGATTCTATAAATAATCTTATTATTTTCGAAAACAGAGAATTTTAGTTATAACCTTTTTTTCTTCTTTACAAAGTTTTTCTTTTTGTTTATCTAAAGATTTCCAATTATTCATTCGAGGAACTTTTTTATCTTAATCATTTTTCAAACATTATTTTGTATTGTAAGGGATACAAGATTGTATATATTCGGAATAATAAGTTTTTTACAAATTATTCAGAATTTTTATATAATAAAGATTCTTTATACAATAATAAATATATAGAATTATCTCAATATTAGAATTCTCAATTTCAATTATAAAATAGAACTTCTTTTTGTTCTTTCAATGAATTTTATTGAATTATAAATCATTTATAATAAAAAAAAAGATCAAAATATAAAACGATGAAAAATTAATAGATTATATATTAATTATAAATAATTAAGGATAATATTTGATTAAGAAAAAGATAATATTATAAAATCATTTTATAGAATATTATAAGATAACAATCAATCTATTTTTATAAGTTTTGATTTTATTGAAAAGCAAAGCAACTTATATACAAATTTGTATAATAACCATTTTATATAATCTCCTTATCTTTAACAAATTCGAATATATAATCTAATCCTAATCATATAATAGAGCTTTTAAAAGTATAGGTTTTTATAAACTCCTTGAAGTTTTTAGAAGTATAAACTTTTGAAGACTTTTAAAATGGATTAGTATATAATTAGAATAGTTTTATAATTTAGAAGTTTCATATTCAACTTAATTATTAATTAGTTTATTTATATTCCAATTGATTTAATAATATATTCATCTTCGAATGGATAATTAATGATTATTAGTCTTAACCTACAATTATCAACCATACGAAAACCTGAGGCAGCCGCTGCCTCGACCAGATCGTTATAATAGTATAGTATATAGTATATAATATATTGTTATTTTATATAATAATAAAAAGACAGGGAATAGAGAAAGGAGGGTAGATAAATATTTAAATAAATATTTAAATAAATAAAATGATAAAAATAAGAATAATATTTTAAAATTAAAAATTAAAAATTTATATAATTAAATTAATAAATAATTAATATACTCTTTTATATATATATACTTAATTTAAAAGTATATATAAAAATGGTTTTGGATTTGAGTAGAATAAAATAAATAAATAAATTTATAAAGAATAAATACTTTTATTAACAATTTTGATCTATTTTTTTTTCACACAAGAATAAAGTATGTGATTATATAAATTCAAGACAAGACAAGACAAGACAGGATAAAACAAGACGAAGGATCTTTTGATCTTCTAAAAGAGAGCATCAGGAGCGGAATATTAAATGTTGGATTCTGGGTATTGTGACGTAGAAGGATTTATTACCGGACGGGATGGAAGAGAATTCGAAGGAAGGATCGGAGGAAGATCAAACGTGAGTTTAGGATTTTGAAGTATGAATACGGGGTACAGTAAGAGCATAGAGTATGAAGGAAGCTTGTTTTATCCTCATCTTCATCTTTATATTTGTGATTATGATTGTGATTGTGAGTATAGATGAATATCAATGTAAGATTACTGTTCTAGGGAATTAATGAGTAAGTGAAATGTGAAAAATATCCTAGAAAAAAGAACTTGGAATGTGTTTAGGTTAATAAGGTTACTAATAGAGAAGTTTAAGTTGATAGTGGGTTTTATAATATATATATCGATTGTATTTATGAATTCTATAAAGGATGAAGGAGGGAATACGTTTTATTTGAAGGGATGAGATGGATGAGAGTGAGTGTTAAGTGAGGGAAAGAGAGTTAGTACAACGCCAGGCTCATTCTTTACCCCATAATCTTACCCCATACCCATAGTTTTACTTCGTATAAATCATTTAATTAATTGATTGATTAATTAACTAATTGATTGATTAATCAATTAATCAATCGATAGCTTAAAAAAGAAATCGAAGATGTAGATAGAAAGTATAAAGTATAAAGTATAAGGTATAAAGTATAAATTTACAGAGGTTCATCTATTTTATTAAAGTATAATATAAGGTTATAAAGTGTGAATGAATCAAACCCAGGAAAGGAGTGAGGACCGTAGGTAATCATGCAAGGTTGACAGGTAGGTAATAAGGTAGATAAGGTAGCAGGGTAACGAAGGTCAAGACGGGAGGTCAGGAGGTCGACGATCGGGTTTGTGTTTTAAGATCTTATAGGAGGTAGTATTGATATGATGATATCTTGGGGGAATTCCTTGGCGAGGGGAGGGGGATCTTCGTTTATGATTAGGAGTATAGTACGGAGTATATATACACAAGGTATGATGATGATGATTTGGGGCTCGCTCGGGGAGTTAAGGGTTGATTGATGTCTTTTATTTACTTCGTGGTTTATCGTATGTACATTGTATTGATCTCATGTAGGTCAGGGAGGTAGGGAGGTACTGATTGATGATTAAGGTGATATATATGGGTAACCTTATTAGTGGTGTTGGAACTTAGTGGTGTGGTGTGGTGTTCGTGAATGAATGACTAAAGAGAAACAGAGTGCGTATGAGCAAGTTTGAAGTCCTGTACGGAGCATTGAAACAGTTATTGATGTGAGGATTATGGGATTATTCAAAAGGATGCAAATGCAAGTTTGACGATAAAGAAGGAAGGGGTAACGGGAATATGTCTAGCTTTTGCAGAATGCAGAAAGTAGAAAGTACACCGAGTTGATACACTTATCATCCATTATATGATTTACATGCATGCATGCATGCATCCATCCATCCATCGGTTATAATGCTTTAAAGAATTCGTTCAGTCATTCAGACATTCGATCATTCATTCATTCAGACACAATCATCAAATCTTGTACTCGGTCTCACACTCTCAAACGCTGAAACCTCGTGATCCTTATAAAGTGGAAAGTGGGATGCTGAGTATGTACTCCGTACGGAGGTAGTGTAGTGAAGTGTTTATGCATTGCAGTTGGTTAGGTGGGTATTTGGGTGTTGTAGGTCGGTGGGTATTTGTAGGTAGGTGGTGGGTAGATGGAGTAGGTAGGTACTAGGTAGGTCGTTAGGTAGGTACGGAGTAAAGTACTTTATAGTAAAAGATATGTATGTATGTATGATGATGGAGAATGAATAACGGGCGGGAATCGTTGGGCTCTGGGGTGGTTGGTGTCACTGGTGTGTTGGCTATAATAGATGGATGAGTGAGCGGGATGGAAAAGGTCTGGAATATTTGAAGCGTCGACATCTTGTACTCCGCAAGGTTGGTCACATAGCAATGATACCATACACCACACTCGTGAATCTGATGGGTTGATTCCACCATTCTCATTCTCATGATTGTACATAACGGTAAACTCGCAGTAAACGGGTAAATGGTAAATTGAAAAAGAATGACTGGTGGGTCGTGATGGAAAACTCAGACCTTCTAGATCTTTTATCTATGCAGAATGGTGCAGAATGCAGTTTGACGTGTTATCTCTCAGATACTTCGGAGTGACCGTTTTTCTTCCACGAATCTTGATGTTGGTACTTTGTATAACGTATGGATACCTTATACAATGATGACCGATCTTATAGATAGAGCGATGTTCGATGCGATGTTTTATGGAATTCAATCATATTCAATAATGGTATCGGTACAATTACAGTAACAATAATCATCATGCTACATCTGGCGGTACAGTATTCCTACATACAATAATATATTTCACAACTCTTCCATTTCTTCCATTTCTTCCATTTCTCACAATCCAAGGTTTGAGCTTATCCATCCATATCAAGCTTATTCTCCGGTGGCAAAGGGTTTCATAATAATTGGTTTCATCAGAGCGTACGATCTTTTCATCATTTCATCACCCTTTGCATCATCTTCCATACTAGTCCATACAGGGGATTCATCTCTTGCTGCTCATTGATCATGACTTCTCTCAATTACGGGTACCTTGCAGAGAATGAAAGAAATAAAATAAAAGAAATAAAAGAAATAAAAGAAATAAAAATAATATGATTCTCCCTCCATGTACAATATCCAATCATCTTCACCAATTGCTCTCTGCAGATACCTTCGGAAGGACAGATTAAGCTTACCGATAGATACCCTTCCATGCTATCCGAAGGAGGAAGAAACAATCTTGGTCTCTTGATGTTTGACCTCTCCAGGCAATCTTTGTAACATGATCATGATTCTTGCATTTACGGAGGACTGGGGAAGAAACAGTACAGATGTTTTAGCTACGGATATACGTGAATTAATTAAATATATCGCATCTGCACCTGACTTCTTTATCGTGTATTTGGAATCTAATCTATGTGAATATGTAACATACATTATTACTTCTACGACAAATTCATTAATTATTATTACATTCCTTTATTCATATATTTGCATTACACAAAACCCTTACTAATAAATCCCCTTGTTCCTCTCCCTCCCCCTTGTTCCTCTCCCTCCCCCCTGCTTCACGATGTCTCCTCCTCTTCAAAATATCCAATACAATCTCTCAATTCTATTTCCAGATATTTCCAGGCACTCCGTATTCCTGTACTATGTACTGTACTCTTCACAGATCAGGAAAAGCTCAAGTTCCACAAGGTTGTTCTGATGTTCTGATGTTCCAGGATTTCAACTTTCTTACACATCAACCCAGTGAAGTGTGTGCAGAACCAAAAAAAAAAGAAAATCAAACCTGGCTTGGATCCCCTCTTTCAAGCATTATCAGCATCAATGTATCATCATCCTAGCATCTCTCAATCAATCTCAGCATTTCTTTTCCAAAGTGGGTTATGCACGCATAAGAGCCTAGGAGGATAGTGGATAGTTCCATCCATATGCGTGTATCAGAAACAGCTTTCGCCATTTAAGAAGGGTGCGCACCTCATCTGCCATTCCAGCGTTCCACGTCGTCGTGTCCTCTTTGGGTCTCTGCATCAATAATTCTTCCAATTTCTTAGTGAGAGGTCTGGATCGTTGTATGTTCCCACTTAACTTGTTCACTCCCTGCTTAGATCCAACAGACTCGTCACTCGTTGTACCTTGCCCAATTCGATCATTTATCATATCTTAAGGCTGTGCCGAAGATATATCACTCGTTGGATTGCCTTCATTTATTGCTTCATCGCTTTATATCATTTGGAATTTACCAACTATCAACTTTCGTTATTAGGATCTTTCGTCCTTGAATACATATTTTAACTATTATCATTCATCAATTGAATTGAGATCTTTGATTAGTATCTCTTCATCTTCATATCCACACACACAGACACACACACACACACACACACACAGACAAACTATCTTCAACCTTACACTTTCACACAACCTATCTTCAACCTTACACTTTCAACCAACCAACCTCAACACTACCTTCTACAATCAACAACATGCGTTCATTCTCCTTCAGCAGCATTCGCGGTTCTCTCCGTCGATCCTCTTCTCCCTCCGGTAGTTCGATAAACTCCAACTCCACCGGTCGAGAATCCTACACCTCCCAATCATCATCTAGTCCCATAAACACCATCAACGATATCATGCATCGACAACCATCCATGGTCGATTTAGAAGAAGAAAAGAGGAGTTTCGGAAGTGGACTCGAGATTCTAGAACCGAGACCTATTGTTTATTGGGGTGGTATGGAGGAGAGATTGGGGAGATTTTAAAAAGTGCGAGGATGGTGCATCGATAGTGGATGCGATATGACGGGATGAAATGGTATGGGATTGAAATGGATTGGAATGGGAATTGTTACTTGTGGGAGAGGTCTTCAATTTCATTCCTCTATGGCGTTTTGTATTAATGAATACGGATGGATTGGTTGGTGGGTGGGTGGTTTGATGGATGGAAGGTTTGAATAATTATTATTATCATTCTTCTCAAAATTAAGAATTGGGTTGGGATGGAGGGCGTTTGTTCCATAATGGATGGATGGGACTTTTTGTTTTCTTTTCTTTCTTTTCTTTTTCTTCTTCTTGCCGTACAATAACAAGAACAACAGCAATTCAATAAGAAATGTTGGAGAAGAAAAGGAAGTCGATTCATTTTTTGTTAAGAGAGGAGGGAGAGAAAGTTGAGGAGAAATATTTAGTTGTAATGAGATGAGATGAATAAACAAATACTCTTGAACTTTTCATCTTTTATTTTTTGTTTGAGATGAATAATAAAATAGAATAAAATATATTAGAAAATAAAACAATATAATAAAAACAATTGAAATAATTAAGTCTTTCAAAAAAAAATTTTGAAAATAAATTAGAATTTATTTACTTTTTATAAATATAAATGTTTATTATTATAATTTTAACAATTATATAAATTAATTTTAATGAATTGATTATTTTATTTGTATTGAAATAATTTGAGATTTGAGATTTAAGATTTGAGATTGAGTTATATATTTATAATTTATAAATCATTTAAAATTCTAATAAATTAAATGATTAAAAAATTTAAATAAATAATATATAAAAATTATTATTTAAAATCTTAATAAATAGATTATTTATAAAAAATAAAAAATAAATTATAATCAATCAATCAATTAATCAACGAGTTACTAATTTAATTGATTAAGTTTAAGATTGTATAGTTTCAACTTCACTTCCTCTCAACTCTTTATTTGTCTAGAACCAGAATTAGAATTAGAATTAGAATTAGAATTTATGATTTGCATTTTTGCATTTTTAATTTTTGGATTCTCGATCTGGAATTGCGATCCGATTGCTATTCAAATAATTTTGAATCGGAATTAGATTTGGAAGTAGAAGGGGAGAGAGAAGGGCGCACAGGGCTTTATCTTTATCGTACTCATTACCTAGGTACTTATCACTCACTACATTCACTTCTCTCGTCGTGTCCTGTTTCGCCTATCGCTTATTTAAATTTAAATTTTATATTAAGTTTTATATTTATTTATATCCCACTTCCCGATTTCCGATTTCCAGTTTCTCAAGCTCTCGTTAGGCTAAGCTCTAAGAAATTTAAAAGAAAGGGTTTGAGTCTTGAAATAATAATCTACAGATTATAGTAGTAGGGAGACGGGAATGAGGGGTTAGAATAGGGAAGAGCTCGGATACGGATACGGATATTGTGATTGTGCGAGAGAGAGAATGGATGGGATGCGCGGGAAAAATGGAGATGGGATGGTGGGGGAAGGTGAGGTGAGGTGTGAGGGTGAGGGTGAGGTGAGGGTGGTGAAGGTGAAAATGAAATGGATGATGATGGATGGGGATGGAATGGATGGAATCAACTGGAGGTGTCAAAATGAATCACATTCGGATGATGGACTTGGTGATGAGGAAGAGGACGCTCTTATACTGAATGCGCAGGAAGAACCACACACGGAGTTGGCGATAAATACTAACACAAATATGGAAATGGAAATAGACATGGATAAAGCACAAGCTTGGAATCTTTATCTGAGTCATCTTTTATCGACATGGAATGGGAGGAGTTATGAATTTGCTGCTGTAAGTTATGCGACATGGGGTCTCGATGAATAAACATGCTAATGGTTTTCGATAGATTATCTTCACAGCAAATGCGTGGCCTGATACTCTGTTTGCTGCTTCTATACGGTATGTTTTCTCATTTTTGCGCAATCGGGGACATGGAAAACAGAGATGAGAGAATTTATATCACGTGATTAAGACTGACTTACTTTGATAGAGGTATCGTGAGAACTTTAGCATCGATTTGCTTCTCTTCGAGTGTTGGAAGATGGGTTGATAAAAGTCCGGATCGATTAAAAACACTCTTAACTACGATTACTATTAATAGAATTGCAGTGATTTGCGCTTCTATATTATGGTTTTTTGTGGTAGAATCAGAGAGCAGTAGCGACGAGGGTATGTCGCCTGGGCTTACAATAGAGAACATGACTGTTAGAAATGCAGTTAAGATTTCTATGTTCGCGCTAATTCTTGGTTTTGGAATCCTTGAAGGATTAAGCGCTAATGGGAATATGTTATCGATGGAGAGAGATTGGGTGGTGGTTGCTGCTGCTCCAGAAGGAAAGGGATATGATCTTACTCATTTAAATTCTACCATGAGGAGGATTGATTTATGTTGTAGACTTCTCGCACCGATATTAATCTCGTTCTTGGTCTCGACATTAGGAATCAAAATTGGAGTGGTGCTTGTGGGTGGTATGAATGCTGCAACTTGGGGAGTGGAAATGTGGTGTGCTAGGAGAGTTTGGAAATCTAATACCCGATTACAAATGCGGAAAGATATTGGACATGATGAAGTATCTTCCAATGTCCAGGTACGGAGTTTGATAGAAAAGATCGCTCGAGGTGTTCGATTGTATAGGGAAGACTTCCAAAATTACTTTTCGTCAAAAGTATGGATTCCTTCGTTATCTCTTTCTTTACTTCATCTTTCGGCACTTTCATACGGAGCGACATTTATTACTTTTCTTTTGAATGTCGGGTTTTCTTTGGATGTTATCACGTTGGCAAGAGCAGTAGGAAGTGTATTTGAAATTAGTAGTACGGTTGTAACTCCTTTTGGAGTTCGACATTTGTCAAAGGCTCGTGGACATGGTCAATATGATCGTTTAGATCGATCGGATGATTCTGATGAATCTTTATTGGAAGAGGAACATGAGATTGATGAATCGGGAAGAGTTGCGACAGGATTGGAACGATTAGGTCTTTGGGGTCTTTCATGGCAACTTATCAACCTTGTATGCATCCTTCATTTCATTCACTTTAACATACTGACTTAACCCAGATACCCGTTACATTAATCCTCTGGACACTATCTTCTATTGTTCCTACCAATTCCATCCCTACCCTACTACCTCGCATCATTCCGTCAACCAATTCAATACTTCTTCCCCTTCTTCTTTTTACCACCCTCTCCTTTTCACGTCTCGGTCTTTGGATCTTCGACCTCACTACTCAACAACTAACTCAAACTCTTGTCACTCCTACTCAGCGATCATCATTTACCGGATGCGAATATTCTCTCGTTGCTTTCTTCGAATTGGGTAATAATGTCATGGCGATGGTTTGGTCAAGGCCGGAACAATTCAAATGGGTGGCTCTTGTGAGTTTAGCCGCTGTAGGTTTAAGTGCGGTTATATATGCTGGTTGGGTGAGAAGTGTGAGGGGACATTTAGTACATTGGGAGAGGGTTTGTAGATGTACTAAGAAATGCGGGAGGGGATGAAATTATAAGAAATGATGATATGATATCATGAAAAGGTCAGTGTTATTCCTCGCCTACTAGTGTATTTTACTGAATATCGAAACTGTTGGATATCCTATACAGCCATTGTGCAACCTTCCCACACAGGCTCGAATTCGAAACTCGGAAGTTACTGAAAAGCAACCAAGTATCACGAATCCCAATGACAGTGTCTCTAATCTCAATAGTCAGATCTCTGAATTAGTTCTACAAGACATTCAGCCCCACATTCGTACTACTTATTTGAGACTTTTCACATAGCAAACAAATCCCACTTCACTTAATACACACGAGCCAAGTGGCAGTGATTCATTCATTCATTGAATGATACTCTCTGATGTATCATTGTACTTTAGTAACTATGCCATGTATACGCTCCCGGGATTATATATATTCACTCGCATTCATTCTCTCCTATTTCTTCCACCTTAGTATATCATAGCGAGCTAAGCCACAAGTTTACAATTATCCACCCCGCTTTGCAATAAGTATTGATATTCCTTATTCAGAACATGTACATCCATCAATGAGTTTACTTTATAATATGGCGTTTTGTGATTCATAGTTAGCTCTCTACCATCTGATGCAATACAATACGCTATATAGCTGTGCATAAAAACTCTATCTATCATATAGTCAGCCAGCCTTTCATCCATAAAGGTAGACAAAGTGTTCCAGATCTTTGAAATCCGATATAATTTCACGAGTACATGGTGGGCCTGCGGGTTTTATATCGAACAATACAACAAAAGATACGAGATACGGAAGACATCCAGGAGACGTGTCTTCACAACACATTATATTGATACCATAGATGTTCATGTCTATAGTCAATATCATCTGGAACATCCACAGCAGCTGAACTACTTCGCTCATCAGAATCTTCTTGATACTTAACTATGCACGTTAGGAACTAAAACCTTCTTCTGCCTACTTAACAAAGAGAGTACAAAGCAAAACAACACATCACCATTCCAAGATATCCCGAAACAACATCCTTCCAGTAACTTCCACAATTATCTCAAAAATGGTAAAATCCCAAATCCCGCGCGAAAACTCGCGACCTTTCTTTTCCGAAAAAGACGATTCGTGTACATCCCCGATGAAAACATCAATAATTTATATCACTACCATTCCAAAACCATCTGCTTCCTCTTCTTCTTCTTCCACACGGTCATGCCCTCACTTACGCTCGTGCTCACACTCACGCTCAACAACATCCACAACACTCACCACAAAAATGCGCAGCTTATGGAGTATACCGCATACCAAACTTCTTCCAAATCTCCATGTAAATCTGAATCCTTTAAATTTCTCCAGTGCTACAAACCTCATCAACCTTCCCAAGATTCCCAGCCTGTCCAGCCTTTCCAACCTAAAACCCCAAAATCTCACACCCACAAATCCACCTCCTTCATTCACCTACACTCCCTCTCCTAATTACACCCCAACACCGAATCTATCCAGTCCCAACGGATTACCCGCTACACCGTACGAAAACCAAGACCAAGTACATCAATCACGAAAAACAAATCCACTTTCTGGTCCCTCAACACGACGAGCGGAGTATTTATTTTCGCGCGTTGATAGGGGATTTTTGGAGCCCGATATATCGTCTCTAGTGGGGTCTTGTGGGTTTCATTATGCAGATGAGAGCGAATGTATGAGCGAGGTAGAAAGTTCGCAACTTGAGTATAAAACCCGAGGGAGAAATTATGAGGATTTTTACACGGATTTTGAGGGAAATGAGAGATATGGGAATGATGACGAGGATATTGGGAAGAGTGATATAAATGCGAAAGAAGGGAAAATAAAACAGAAAAGAGAAAAAAGTGTGCTTGGGCCGTGGAAAATTATTAGAAAATCTTGTTGGGAGGTTTTGGAGGGGATTAATACGCAGATTAGTGGTGGTTTTAATACTGAGGTGGTGAAATGCGTTAGTGGGGGTAGAGTTAATGGACAGGAAAATGGGAATCGGGGGTTTGTTTATGTTGGGCTTGGTATTGAGGATGAGGATGAGGCAGAGGGAGAGGAGGAGGATGGTGGGAATGGGAATGGCTATGGTGTGTATACAGAGGGATGCTATGGATGTGATGATTATGGGGAGAGGGAAGATATAATTGCGAATGAATGGGATGAATGGAATGAGGTGATTCTTACGAGGTCTCAGGAGAGTATCGTGGAAGTTCTTTTAGATGTTGAGGATTCTTGTTTGCTTCCCTCTTCTCCTCCTGTTTCTTTGGATACATCCTCGAGAATAGGGAGGCAGGAGCAGAATTCAAATCAACTGAGCGGAGCATTTGAACGTCAAGTACGGTTACCGATCCAAACATCTCATCCTATACAGGTCGATAGTCTAAGTTCGGATGGTGCTTCATTGTATGAAGGCGAGGGGACGAAACGAAAAACACAAGAAAAGGTGGAAAATAAAGTTGAAGGAACAATGAATCAGTGTATTATTCCGCCGCTGCAACACGCAAAATATAATAAGCAACAGGAAAAGAACAAGAAAAACAAAAAGGAAAATGGGAGGCAGCTGCTAGTGGCAGATTTCGCGTATATGGAAATGCGACCTGTTTCTAATTATTCGAAAGATGTGCGTAGTAAAGAGATTGAGAGGATGAGTGAGGGAGGTAGTTATAAGGGAGAAAGTAATGGATATTTTTATAGAAAGGGCTTTTCTGGTGGAGATAAATGGGGTAATGATTTAGGATATGCGAAATCTGAGCTTGAGCTTGAGGATTCGATGTATGAGGAGGATGAAGAGATGGGGTTTAAGTGTGAGAGTGAGAGTGAGGGTTCTAGGAGTAATGGGATCGGAAGTTTGGAGACTAGTGCTGATACTGCTCTGTTAATGGATATGCGTCGAAATAAATACATATTTAATTCTTGCTCGAACTCCAACTCTAACTGCAAGTTCAATTTTTATCTACCACCAAAACTTGATTTTTCTTCCCAACCTCATCCTCATCAACCTCACCAATCGCTGCCACAAAATCCACAGACCCCCTTCCTCATCCTTAACGCTAACCTCAAAATCCCTCGCTCTAATCCATCTCCCTCGTACCCATCCCTTCAACCCGAACCCCACCCCAACCCCGAACTTCACAACATCAACATCAACACCGACCTCCATATCTCAACCTCCCCACTCTCACTGTCTCTCTTACTTTGCTCCCCGGCAGCACCAAAATCCCTACATCTTCCCTTCCTAGTAATATGATATCGACAACCTTATCTTCATCCTTACTTCCTTTACTTCGTTTAAATAACATCAATATCATTATCAATAATGATATAAAAAATACAAAAATAAAAATAAATACAGATACAGATACAAATTACAAGAAAAGAAAAAGGAAATGAAGAAAAGGAATCAAAAATACAACTCCAATTCCAACTCCAGCTTCAAATTCAGCTTCAGTGAGAACTCTCGCTTTTTATATTCCTGGGTATGGGTTTGGATTTGTATCTTTATGAACGGGAGATGAGGGTGGGGATGCGGAGGGCAGGTGTGAGGAGTGGAGAGGTTATGGGGAAAGGGAGGCTGGGTTGTTTGGGGAGATCGGGCTGGGAGAGGGTTTGGGAACGGAAGAGGTAGATGGAGGGAATGCAGGATATAGGAAGGGAATGGGTGAATGATACATTTCTCAAAAGAACCAACAGGCTGGAAGGTTTAAGCTTGAAGTTAGGAGCTAGAATAAAATAAAAAAAAAGGCGCTTGGTAAGTATGAATATAAATAAAGAAGTTCAAGATATCTAAAAGCTCTACGAAGTATAATTACAACTTAGAAGTAAAAAACTTATACGTATTCAACTAGTATTCTCAAATTCCGATATTATATCCAATAACAAATAAATAGACCTCTTTTCCGCGGATTAAAATAAATAAAATATATATCATTGATTTACACTCACCTCTTCAATCACTCGTAAATCAGTGGAATAGAAGAATGAAGTGAGGAAGGAAGTAGTGGGCGAAATGTAGATGTAGATGTGGATATGGGGAAAGTTTAAGAATGATATGATAGATTATAATTAGAGGTCAAGAGGGGAAGGAGAGTAGAGGATTTTCTAAAAGAGGGGTAGAGGGGAGGAGTATAATTAGTTTGAATGTAGGGAAAAGGAAAAGGGAAAGGAGCGAGTGGTTAGATGATGTAGGATTAAGATCCTATATTGTAGTATTAATGTGAGGAGGGAGTATAATGATAGGGAATACTTATAAATTTTGTATATGTCTGATATGTTCAAACTGGTGAATTTAATAAATAGAAATTAAGACTTATAGAAGAGAGTAGAGTAGGTAGATGGAATCGAATATGAAATATGAAATATAAAATATGAAATAAATATATAATTAAAGAGTAATAATTTTAAAATCACTATATCTATATCTATATAATAATCTTAATACTAAACCCTCAAAAATATATCTACTTTAATTACCTATACACATATACATATACATGTATCCAGAAGTCACAACCAACAAATCCATCAACCCACCAATCTCCAACAACCACAGTAAAACACGAATCGCTATCATCACATCACATCACATCACATCACATCACACCACACCACACCAAAAACAAGAAACAAGAAAAGCTCATCAACGCCACCTACCCCTAATCCAAATTCTAATCCAAACCCCACCAGCTCATAGATGGATCCACTTCCTCTCCCTATCCCCAAGGGCCAAGAATCTGCAGTCAGCATGTCGTGCAGCGGCTCAATCGTCTAGCTCGCCTTTGTACACACATGTAGGGATATCGATACAGGATTCCCAAATATAATCTTACATAGCCAGCCTTACATATTCTTATACTCTCACAGTACACAATCCCCAACTTCCCAACCACATAACTCTCAACTTTCAACTCCTAACTCGCAAGACAAAAAACCAAGAATCCAAGAATCATGGCACTGTAACAATGGCTTCTTATAAAACATAAGACGGATGAGCAATTTGATGTTGTGCTCGATCCTACGACATAAAGACGAATGAACTTTTGTGATTTTTCTGCTCGATGTTTAATTTGGTGTGCGCTATAATATATATATAGCTGTATATATGTATGTAGCTGATTTATCGTTGGGGAATTCTCACTTGAGATGCTCTTTCTCATGCTACCCACTCTTCCAAAACTCTCCCATACAAAAAAGGAAAAAAGTCGAAAAATCGTAAATCTAATTCCTAGATCCAATTCCCAGAAATATTAAGTTGGCCACGCTGTACACCTTATTATATATCCATTCTTTCTCCTTCATCACAATGGATACCAATCAGAACACCTACATAAACAGTTCCGTAATCGTTTGTATGGTGATATCCGGACTCGCACTCATTGGACGTATCGCTTCTCGCAGAATAAATCATGTCGCGCTTTCTGCTTCAGATTTTTTGATAATCGGTGGGATTATCGGCGCTTGTGTTATTTCTTTGGTTATTATTGAAGGTTTGTTAGTTTTTACTTACTACTACTCTACTTCTATGTCAAACCTTCCACGTACCAGAAATCACTTGATCCTCTCCTTGGTAATTACGTTTCGAAAATGATGTTGATGATAGTGGGTAGATACTAAAATTGGATTGGGACATCATATCCAATACGTAGGTTTAAGAAATTTCCGACAGATTCTCCTTGTAGGTTTTCTTCTCGCATACACCCAGTCCTCCGCATCAGTCCCTAACCAAGATAATAGTCGTCCTACATCACCGGGATACTCTATAGCGTAACATTCACTATGATAAAAATCTCCATCCTACTCCTCTACCGTTCTATATTTCCCAGCAAAACAATGACACTAGCCACCAATCTCGTCTCCATTTTTGTCTTGCTTTGGGGAATATCGACACTAGTCGCCAGCATATTTTCCTGCAAACCCATCAATGGATATTGGGAATCGGATATTATGCCGAAATGTATAAATTTCAAGTGGTTTTTTGTAGGGAATTCTCTTACTAATATTATGGCGGATATTGTTATTTTGGGTTTACCGATGCCTCCTTTATGGCATTTGAAAATGTCGAGACGTTTAAAGACTGCTGTTTCGGGAATGTTTCTTTTGGGTGGTTTGTAAGTCTGGACTACGCAGAAATCATTTGAGATCATGGCATACTAATCGGGACTTTTAGTGTTGTTATTGCAAGTGGCTTGCGAGTATATTTTGTGTTGAAAATGGACGATGCGGATATGACATGTGAGGAAACTTGGTATAGTGATGAATTTTACTGATAAATTGTAGGGTCTTATGTCGGTATGGGTCTTTGGACTGCTGTTGAAATAGATGTAGCAGTCATTAGTGCCTGCTTGCCAACGCTTCGTCCCGTGGTAACCTATCTTGTACCATCGATCTTAAGGAGTAAAAATTCGGATACGGGACCAATGAAAGAATCAAAGGAACCCGTATAAATCCATATGGAAGGCGTGGAGACGGATATATCATTGCCAGAATACTCGATCGAGTCTATGGAAAATGGATAACAGACTACTTGGACTGCGGGTTTACAACGAAAGAAAGATAAGGATATTGGATGAAGGAGATTCAGACATTCAAGTAAGGCAGTGTAAAGCAATGTGAAATTTTCGAAGGATAAAGAATGCAAGCCGATTTTTCGGAGCGAAGGATTGATTATTTTATCTCAAGTTGTCCTCCAAGAGAAAAGTGTGGATGGCGGACGGAATTCATGTGGTTATTCTTGAAAGGAAGAAAATGACCTTGTACCAAATAAGTCTTGATGATCATTTCAATATAACGAATTATGATTCTAAAGATGCAGTTCCTTGTAAACAACAATAGAGACTATGTATGAATGATATATTGACAGAAACCTAGTCCATATGTGCGCAGTTGTAACTGGAGAAACCAATGCACATACGGTTTGAAGGAATGAATGAGTACAATAAATACGATAAGATGAGTCCGGGGAAATGAACACATTTGAAGACTTTTTGTTTAAGAATGATGACTCATGGGGATGCTAGAATTGAAGATTCCCTATGTGAAGTGGCCTTGGTTCGAATAGAGAAGGAAGGAACGAGAGGGGTAATTCCTAAGTAGCTTCTAATTAACACTAACTTAGCGTAAAAAGAATATTCGTTATCTGGAACCTCATTGTCGACACATCGCAGAGTTGTTAATTCCTTAATTCCTCAGAGAGAGAGAAGGTTTCGTATCTCGCTCAAAATGAAGCCATGATTGAGGAGAGTAATCGCGGGGATATATTTTGGCATAAATGCTTTATATATATACGACGGCCACTCTTGAAGCTCGAACCGGTGATGAATCCAAAGTTGTTTTCGTTTCCTTCTCCAGCCTGGGTATATTTACAAGACCTTCAGGATTGATGCAATACAATAGTTGTAAATCATCTCCAAAGGATTTGCGACATTTATTTGCATCAATTGGATAGACTTGATTATTCGACGAACATTATGGACTTAATGTTCTACACAATTTTATTGCTTGGGAGGAAGAGTGAAAGTAGAATGGAAGACGCACAACTTCTTTGTATTTGACTACCCAGAAAAGCAGAGATTTATTTCTCAGATGGGACACAAGATCAAGGAAGATATTTTAGAAGCTCTCTTCATTTGAAAAATTTACTCCCGTACTTCGGTTCGGCAGTCCGAATACTACGGCCAAGTTGACCAAAGGGAACACAAAACAGATGCAAATACACTTGTACCGCCATCAAACCAAACATTCATCTCAATTTCAGCAATTTTTCTTCATCTGAAGCTTCCATACTCTTCATCCAACCATTCATTTGCATTCATGATATTTCCCCGCCAAGATCTCCGAGCATTGGCAGACGTGGCAATGTATCCACATGTTGAGAAACACAACGTTAGAAGCAGTGTCTTGCATATAAGACCTATAGACCGAGTACTAGAGTGGTTATCCGATCTGGATACTTGCTGTCAAAGTTATAGGGACTCGAGACTTTTGTTTCACATTCAATGATGATGGCTGCCGGGTCGTATGGAGTGGATTTCTTTGAGCGACTGGGATTTCTATCCGTTTTTGTCTTTTCATTGTGTGTATTACGGAGTGTGTTCGTGCTTGCTGAATACTCTTTCGGCTTTTGCGGTAAATCTCATAGGCCTGGGGTAAAAGAAAGTTTACTCCATGAACTTCAAGTTCCAAGGAATGAAAAGCTTCCGCAAACCAAGTCTTAAAATAGAGTAAGTAGGCTTAGAAGTTAAAGGCAGGTCCTAAGTAGTCGTAATTTGCTCGTACCTGCCTGACTGAAGTGGTTGACTGATTGTGATAACGCCATCGGTTTGGTGTCGGTGTGAGCTTGTGGGGGGATTAACAATGTTTCAAAAGTGGATTAGGAAGGCGAATGGATACTTGAGTACGGAATATCCTACGTATAGTGAGTATTTCTATTCGGTGAGCTCCATTTTACCATGTTTCCAAACAAGCTCGCCTACAATATGCACACTATGTACAGGTCTTCTCCATCGGAAAACCTGAATGGGTTCTTTGCATGTATAGTAAAATTCGATATGGTTCTTCTTTGCTTCCTCACATTTCGAGATCCCATTGCATGCATGAATCTAGACAATATTTAAGAAAGCTTTGATACCATACTGATCGTGGCGAGTCTCGTCAAGCATTCTGTGATCTTTATCAATGCCCAAAGCCTACCGACTGGTGCTTATCGCCTGATTGTTGCCCCGCTAGCGATAAACGTAAACAATTATCTTACCGAATAGCTGCAGGTACTGATGTATAGAATAGACGATAGACTGACTATACTCGAATATATCTATAGATTATCACCAATCAATCTTCAAACAATAAATCATTTCCCTACCAAAAGATTTACAGTAAACTTCATAATTACCTTCACAACTTCATTCCATCTGAATCAGATCCATTCACAATACGTATGTCCAAGTGTACGTAGTTTTAAAATCAAGAAATTCGCCTTGGTAAAGAACTGAACTATCAAAATTTGGGTGGTTGGGAAAAACGGTCAACTCCATTCCCAGCCCAGCAATTTATTTAGAGCCAAAAAAAGAAAAAGTTCAGCCATCGACATTTTGAATAAGTGGTATTCCCACCCACACATTTCTGTCCTGTTGCAGTTTCTCTTCTTTTCCATTCCTCAAAAGAATTACTTCCATTCCAGAGATACCTTTTCGAAATTTGGTTTCATCTATATCGATACCGATAATTCATATCGATAAGAATTTCGGGAGTAAACCTCTACATTCGTTTGAACCGAGACGACCTTTGCGATTAGAGAGGATATACATACATATTGTACCTTCGAAGTGGTAGTCTTGTCGAAAGTGGGGTTTGGACTTTTGGATTGGTCATTGATCTTTGAGCTATTTTACTTCACACCGCTGCTGCATGTGAAGGACTCATTCAGTACCTGAAGATCTTTCTTTTTTTGCTGGAGGATAGAGAAAGAAGAAGAGTCAATAATCAAGAGATTGATTGATTTGACAGTACATACGATTCTTTTTGTTGTACAATCTTTTTACGCGTTAATTGCTCATATCTACGACTTATCATACACAATCACCTCACATCACATCACATCACCTCACAACCGACACAATGCGACTTTCCCAAGCACAACCACAAATCCTTTCACTTCTCCTCCTCACCATCTTTCATTCCTCACCACTATCCGCTAGTCCTTTACCTAAAGATGAGCTCTACGACCTTGGTTTGTCCTACCTCATGGAGCGAACCTGCGCTAGCCCCTGCGGAGCAGATAGCCAATACTGTTGCGCGGCCGGCGATGCCTGCTACACCTCCTCAGGCGACATAGCATACTGTTCGGCATCAAGCACTGCAGGCTGGGCCGTCTTTACAACCACCTACACCAAAACCGGTTTACAGGTGGGAACCAGTACATACAGTTCGTACACGGCAGCCACCACCTCCAGCGGAAGCGCCGCCATCTGCGATACTACTGTAGGTCAAACATCTTGTGGACCTATTTGTTGCGCTAGCGATCAAATGTGCGAGTATAGCGGGCAATGCACCGGGAGAACTTCACTTTGGACTTACACGACTACTACTTCTGGCACGTATTCAGCACCATTGCGTCCGACGAGCGGTGCATCCACCAAGACGAATACAGTGAGCGCTACGACTACAGAGCCATTTATTCCTCCTGCTACTGCGAGCGGAAGTACCCTCCCACTTACGGGTGCCAGCTCGAATAATCTGAGTGCAGGTGCTATTGCGGGGATTGTCATTGGCACCATTCTAGGAGTTATTCTACTCCTGCTTTTGTGTTTCTGCTGTGTAGTCAAGGGACTCTGGGACTCTGTTCTTGGAATTTTTGCCGGCGGCAGAAGATCCCGTAGACAGGAAGGTGGAGCTGTGAGAACGCGTATTGAAACTGTAGAGCGAATTTCGCGACATTCGCGTCATGGGTCTGCGGCGGGTGGAGCGGCTGCTGCTACTTATAGGGAACAGCAGACTGGATTTTTTGGGGGTGCAAGGACGGATAAACCGATGAGGGTTGTGGAGACGAGGAAGAAGAAGAGTAGTGGGATGGGGGGATTGGGTGCTATGGGTGCGGGATTGGTGGGGATGGCTGCGCTGTTGGGTTTGAAGAAGAAGGAGGATGGGAGGAGGGATGAGAAAATGAGACCGGGGCCTACGGCTACGGAGACGGATATTGGTAGTACTTATTATACGGATAGTTATACGGCGACGAGCGTTAGTGAGTATTTCCCTTTCCTTTTTTTTTGTAAGATGGAATGAAGTTTTTGGATAGTGACTAACGAGTTGCGTTTTTCTAGGTTCAGAAAGCTCGGATAGGAGATCGAGGAGTCCGAGGAGAGATAGGAGTGCAAGGAGATGAGGATGCATAATTTTGCTTCTTCTCTCCTTGTTCTTATTCTTCAGAAATGAGAGATTTCTCATCTCGTTACTCATTCCATCGTTGATTGATGAGGATATACTATCCTCTCATGTCTCATTTCTACGAGAGATTATCCCTCTACGCATTTGTGGGAGTAAAATCTACGATATATGATACTACTTTACAAATACGAAGTTAAAGATTTTTTTGGAAGTTTTCAAGGTTTTCTTTTGAACTTGTTTTTTTTTTTATCGATATGCATTAGCGGTTTCTGATACATTTTTCTGGCGTTGGGTTGGTTTTGGTTTTCTTTCTTTCTTTCTTTCCGTATTAGAAGGATGCGGAAGAGAAGGGGGGAAGAGGATGTGATGTAGTGAGCATTAGAAGAGCATTGGAGAATGCAGAGAGGAGAGAGTATGAAGATGAGGATGAAGATGTTAGGGATGTATTTTTATGATTTGATATGAGGGATGATTTGATATGATTCGATTTGACAGGGATGATATGGATGGATGGATGGGAGGCTAGTTATCAATCATATGATATGATATGTGATGGGGTATCAATGGGGTTGGTTGGTGGGATAATAGGTTGGGGTTGGGGGATATGAAAAGGAATGGATGCATGAATATGAATATGGATGTGGATGTGGACTGTGGTGTATATACTTGGTACAAGTACTTGGTGTTGGCACTTACCTACTATATGAATACGAATAATCTTACGATTATGATCAACCATGCCGGTAGCAAGTTGGGGAATGAAATATACTAAATGGAAAATTTTAAGATATTGAATTGAATGGTTATACGCGAGTGATTTTTTGGTGGGTTTGCTTGATGTCTTTTTTTTTTGGTTGGGGCGGGCGGCGGAATTTTGAGCGTGTATTGATTGTGATGTTGAATGAATGAATAAATAAATAGAAGAAGTATTAAAAGGCAGAATAAGAAAAGAATAAGCGCTAAAATGTATATGATCTAAAGGGCTAAATTAGATTGGATAGTACACAACCGAGTAAATGAAATGATAGGTGTGGCTAGGTGAGTATATATATATAAATTTGAAGAAAGTTATAGAGAATATAATATTTTCTATTTTCTATTTTCTATTTTGATTAAATGAGCTATTAAAGAAGTAGAGTTTATAATTAGGAGCGGGAATTAATATTATAATAAAGAGAAATATATTAGATGCTTCTCGACATATTTGTAAATCAAATTCGCGGTTATGAATGCTAAGATTGCTATGCGGAGCTTCAATGAAGATGTAATGCCACTGCTGTTGGCAGGGACTTCGTCGATTTCCATGATGTTAGATTTCAGAAAGTTGATGTGGTGAGACAGGACAGTATCAGGGCTCGATGGCCATCCCTTTGAGGATTCTGAAATCACATTCCTGAGCTGTATCTTTGTTGCATGGCAAAATTTTATCTTCTTCAGCATTATCATTATGGGAGCCTTTAAGAAAAGCATACATTTAATTCGTTAAAGTGATCAATAGAAGATCTTGATATATGGTGGTGGTATTCTAAGTACATGGCGTTTTAACTTTCGATTTCACATGTATCAACTATTTTTCATATTTTTTTGATTCTTTAATAATGCCACCAGTTCACACTCTTTTACTTTCTATCCCAGGAAATAAACCAAAGTTTGTCCATTAAACACCATATCAACGGGTTTGGATAGCAGGTAAAGCAAAAAAGAGTTTGGTACACGCACCCAAATCGCGAAGGATCTCGGATTAGCGAGGCAAACAGTATGATTATACGATTCAGCAGGACGCACTACACAATGGCAGTACATCTTAGCTCGAATACCTTGAAAGAAGTCTTATACAGATCGAGACAACAAGTAGTAATTATGCACGATACTGTACGCATCTGCGACCTCAATCGCGGGGTTACTACTGTCAAGTTACCCCACATCGCTGTTTGCAGCTGGTAACACGTTCAATTCCTTCCGTGCCAATATGCAATACTCAAAGACGAATTGATAATTAGTTCTTGACAGCGCTGGCTCCGGTCACGTATCTGGTGTTCTTCCCAGATTTGTTTTGGTATGCAAGCAATGTTCTGCCTCGAAAATTGAGGGATTCCGCACCGATTTCTCCCAATGGTTTTGAATTCAATTTTTGCCCATTCTCCGAATGCTGAGCGATGTCGAGATCATTTTCTTCTTTCCCTTTCGACTCGGTCTCTTCGCTCTCGTCATCCATCGCATTTTCGTTTTCTGCTTTCTCTTCATTATCACTCCTCGTATCATCCGCCTTTCCTCCCTTTAGCACCTTAAGTGCAACCTTCAAAATCATAGAAAACCATATCAAAGTAAGAACTTGCAAAAAAAGAAGTGAATTCACAAAGCCCCACTTCACAGGACCAGTCCAACATACCAGTCCCTCAGGTTGGATAAAGGGTTCGAGAAGATGTGCGTAGCGGTCGGGTGGTGGAAATGGTCCTGTGATTGATCCCATCTGGCCTTTGTAGCAGCCAGGTGGGCTAGAGGTATCGCTATGTGCGTAGACAGAATATGTAGCCATCATGAAAATGACATGGCGCGCGGCGATCCAAACAATCATAAAGAGGCCGAACATGATGTTGCAGAGAATATCGTAGCCGGCGTATTTGAGACATTTAGCGGTCTGAACGGCTTGTTAGCTGAAGATTTACATAAAGGATTGGGAGACGGCTACTGGAAAGAAGAGATCAACTACATCCATGATGCAGAGAATTAGGTTGGCAACTCTTGTTTGATGATAGCAGTAGCTGCAGAATATTAGGAGCGTAGTGACGACGTGATGGGCAAACATTTGCCAGTGATCTTTTCTACGTTTTTCGACATGTAGGACAAGGAATTGCTGCACCCAAAATGCGTATTGCGCCAATGTGTACCATTTGGATAACCCCGAGATCTCACGAATAGGAAAATTGGTCCACATATTTTTGAGGTTGAGCCAGTAGTCTGATGTTATCATGATGTACTACGATTATTAGAAATGCAAAACTCATATACGTAGGGGCAAACGACTTGCCATTCCCATTGTCCAGAAGACAGAATAGTAAACGAGCAGCCATGCCTGCTCGCAGAACCTTGCCTGATCTCTCACCTGCTTAACACCGACTTTTTTCGAAAATGGCATCAGAACATAATCCATCACGATTGCCCGCAATGCTGTGAATGCAACGATCAAATATATAACGATGCAGGTGTCATTTGGGCCTAGGGCATAATTCCCACTATTTGGGTTGTGATAGGAAAGCTGAAAAAATTTCCAAGTTTGTACGCGAATATTGGGAAAGCAGATGTGGGTTGTGGAAAGAAGGATAAGGAAGTTGATTGAAATCCCTAAGTACGAAGTTAGATATTTATTAAAAAAAAGGTCTAGTCGTATCAAATACCAATCTGATGATCGATAATCCATTGAGAGGTGGTTTTGGTCTTCTTAAGCTTCATAAGTCTTCTCGATTGTAAATTTTCTTTATCGGAGGTTCTATCGAGCTTGTTGACCGTAGATAGCGTGGAAGAGTTGTGGCAGAAGCCGATATCAAGAATGCCATTACCATTGGGCTTTGCGAGCCTTACCGACTGCGAATTTTGCTGGATAAAGATTGTGTTGATGCTGGTTGACTCTGTCTCATCGTAGCCCGCATTTATGTTACTCATTATGGGCGGTGCGAGAATGGAACTGTGATCGAGACACGAAGGGTAGCTGTCAGTTGAGAATTTCAACGATTGTAGGTGTTCGTGGGGAAGGTAAAAATCTAAGAAAGCGTATGGGATAAGTGAATCTGGAGAAACGGTGAGTCTCAAAAGATGCTAGAAACTTATTAGATAAGCATGGTATGCTCTGTCTTATAGGCTCACGGACAAGGTCCCTGTCACCAGAGGGGTAGTGCATGAAGTAAGGAGTTTTGCGCCTAATTTGTGTAGCTGCAGCAATACTGTATGTGCAGCAATATTGCAACATTTCGGTGCATAAGCCTCCCGAGAACATGCTGAAAGCCGTATTCGATTTCAACACTTAACAAATCATTGCTTAAAGAGAACCATTTGAATAGAAGCTGTATTCACCAAACCTCCCTTGAAGTTGTAGCTTTCATAAATACGCTAAGCTTGATACATATGAGTTCAATGAAATAGGAAACCTCAAGATCTCCAGACAGAATCACCTTGGACCCAGTGACCCAGTTTGGAGGCTGTTCGATAAACAATCTCTGATTCCTAACTAAAGACATCTCTCCTGCGACAATGTCACTGTCAACTACAGCATATGTCAACATCGGAGTTGCAGTCCTCTCTATGACCATAGCCCTTTTGGGCAGCATTTATTACGATAAACCACAATGTGAGTTCACATTTCAGTAGCTGCGCTTGCGTTCCCCAAGGAGGAATCCATGCAGCTTGGGCTAAGTTTAATACTTCTGCAGTGCCGTCGCAAAATCCGAGATCCAGAGACTCAAATGCATCGCCCGAATCTGCAGATGGCTCTTCGAGAACAAAGTCTTTGAACGATCCAATATTGGATTTGCATGTGCGATAGCAAATTGATAGATGAGCATGGAGTGCATGAGGGGAAAATGGTATTTCTTGGAAAGAATTGGATAAGGATGTGCAGGAGCTTTTGGTTAGCACATTTCGATTTGTTGGAAATTGAAATGCTTCTCGACTTGAGAGTTGAGCACGCACATGGATGAGTCTAAGAGGTCAATCTGCAACGAAAGGGGGGAGAGGATGAGGCAAGAGAGCCACTGCTGGACGAACGTGTGGGACGTCGTGTATAAGTCTGCAGCGGTTAGCGGTTAGAAGTTGGTCATGAGCAATTGCAAAAGGTTAATTCCAAGTTTAGTGGCGTGGAGCTGGTGGAGCCAGTGGGAGCGGAGCAATAACGTTAGCCGCTGGTGTATAACATGTATAACATGTATAACATCGATATAGAGGAGGGAAATGATCCATAGGATCCTTTGCCTTTTCTAGTAGTAAACCAGAGGGTCTGTGCGAATGACACCCGCCCTTGGCTCCTGACATAAGGTACTTAAACCTCAGTCATACTATTGGACAAATTTTAAAGTGTCATGCTTTACAGGGCCTCACAGGCTATCAACGCTGTAGCAACCCCTGTAAACTTTCCAGTTTTAACTTAAACTAGACCAAATTAGGGCCAAATAGCCTATAATGATTGGTATATATCGAATTTAGATTGCTTTCGGTTTCGATCGGTAGTATGGCCCCTATTCAAGAACTGAATTACAGGCAGTTAAATGCTGACTTATAGGGCTTAGGCTGAACTGGCTCGATTAATAATTACATCTGTAACTGATGGTTCAAATATCATCAGATGAGGATATTAAATTATCCACCATTGTATAATGGTTTCGAACAATATCCCGAGAATGTTAAAAAGGAGCTTTCTGAGCCGATGCCTGCATCTGGTATTGTAGTTCCCATTCTCACGTTTTCTATCGTTCCAACATACACAGCTATTAACCTTAACCTTACTCATCATAGTTGAACATTCACACAGCATGTCGAATGCTGATTGAACTCTTCCAGGCTCATCACCGCCACACCACACCATCTCAATTGAAGAAGATGACTTTGGCGGAGGCGGGCAGGATTTGCTTAGACTACACCTCCACAGGAGTCGAAATCATCCAGAAGCATTTCCGCAAGTCTTGTCGTTCCTTCAACCCCTTTATTCATAGTAATGCTAAATACGTTCTCGAAGGTGAGGCTGAATCTCGTGTCATTGACTATGCAAATAATTCCGAGGATACCGTAAAGGCGTGTATTGCCAAGCAGGACTTATCGATGCATCTGGTCTGGAAACGTGGACATGCAGATTGTGTCAACGTTGGACGCACTTTCATCGATCTTCCCCAAGGGTTGAAGTAGGTGAAATTGCAGCGACAATTCTGAAGCAAGCTGTCGATGGTATTGAGAAGGAAATGCTTCTCAACGAGGATATAGTGAGAATTGGCCGAAAGGTCTTGGTAGGCCATGAATCCCTAAAGACTTCACCTAGGACTATCAGATGGAAAGGAAAGAGTCGTCTTGTGCATTAATTGTTGTTTGTAGTTCAAGCTTTTCTCAATTTGATTTAAATCGATACATTTCCCTTTTTCTACTGGGGCATGGGCATTGAATAGTGACCTTGAGGGCGCAAATTACATCGCTATGATACGGGAACCGTCGAAATTTGTGCCTTTGTTTCTATTGTTAGATCCGCCTCTATTTAACTTAAAATCTAGTGTTTTGTTGGTTGAACCTATCGATACAAAGTTGTTTCTTAAAAATTGCTTACCATGCAAAAGAAAGACGAAAAAATTGAATCTTCAAAAGAGCAAGTTTACATTGTGATATGATACTAATACTATATGATTAATATAGTAACATATTGACAACGGAGCAAGAACAGGCAGTCGGAATTAAATCCAAGTCTCTACCACAAAGACCACGCACGTATATTTTTGGGTGCAAACGCATGATTTTCCACATACTCCTGTGACAAGCCATAGCAAAAGTCTTTACCTGGGTAATGGCTTATACTATATTCTCCTAGTGTCGAGCTGTGTTGATATCGACTCATATTCATGCTATCATTGGAATATTTGTCTCGTGTAGCTCGATGCCGTGGTCACAATCGTTTGTGATAGCAGTTGTGCTACCAAACCTTCCGATATGACGAACGGAGGTTGGAGTGTTCCTAGAGGATCCAAATTTCATTGCAGTCTCCGGCAGGCTTTTCGGACACGCTTGCTAAATGGATCATCAGATGAAGACTCTCCGGAAGTATCAATTATACGCGATGTGAATGGAGAACTAAACTTTCTTGTTCTCTTGCTCGCGCTCTGAGCTGGTTGATTGAAAGACCACATAATGCAAGTGTGGTGAACGGACCTTCGAGCATCGAGTGGCAGAGAAGAGGAACAAGTCCCTTAGAAATCTTCTTGGTACATTTAGAGAGGCTAATAGCACAAGTAAATGAGCTTACATGAAGGGTCAGCTGTTGACCAGGAGCTCAATATTGTGTTCTCGCGTCTCACTTGATTGACCTGATCATGAAGTGAAGTCTCAAGGGCTTGATGTTGAGATACGGAGATTTTTTGTTTTAGGCACTTTATGTTTTGCATGATGTGTTGAAATAAATACAGAGATCTGAAAGGAAAGAAATGAAGTTTGAAGTTTGAGTGAGGGAAGGGGGATTTCATTTTCTGATACTTGATGCGATAGCACAGCCGCTAGATCGAAATGTAAGCCTCGCTTGACTTCGGAATTTCCTTGTAGGCCTACTACTTAAAGAGGGATATGAGGCTATTGGTGTTGCTGGAGCTGGAGCTGGAGCTCCTTTAGTTTGTCGCAGTGTTCCCAATCAGGATGCAATAACTGAGCAAAGCGATGAAGATATGGGACAACTTTTGCTCATAAATACCGGAAAATAGCCTCCTCCTTATTCAAATACATCTATCGTCCCTCAGCCTTGTCTAATATGGGAGAGGAAGCTGATTCCTCGTACATTCTTTACGTGATTTTGTCAAGTCGAGGGAGGTGAACGTGGTGAGTGAATTAGGTAAGGTTACTCCAGGAATGGATTACTAACACATCGGATAATCTATTTTCCAAAACTTTATTGCCTCAGGCTTGAAACTTCAGTACAGCATTCCATCAGGTGTCAAATACCCCAAGAATAAATTAATATGGAGATGAGTTAAGCAAGTTCGCGTCAAGTCAAATCCAACCGCGTCCATCAAATACTGTGCATCCTATACATACTTGATCCCTTGCGCAAATAATTCTACAATTCGAGAAACAATACAGCACACACTTGCTTTGCGAATATTTTCACAAATTATTCTATTATACTATTATCAATCTATCTTCTTTGATCGGCTTTATTAGTTGCATTTGCGACACCAACTATCACTGCCTTGCACAACTTAGTTCGAGATCTTGAACTTGCTTTCAGGATGGTCTCTGCCAGGAAGCGTGGAAGGCAGGAGATGGAAACCAGCGAGATTCCACAGGAGCCGAGTATGATTGATCGACTTAGGAATATGTGGGAATTTGCAAATCTTGCGCAATGGATTTTCATCTTTGGCAGAACTGTCAAAATCGATGAGAATATTGGAATCGAGGTAAGATTTCAGCCTTCCCTCGAGCCTTATCCAAATACTACATCAATATTAAATACTCATTGTAACATGATAGGAACTTGAGTTGGAATGTTCGAAAACACACTCGACTGTCCTGCCAGAGATTGGCCTTGCGTTATTAAAATTCGTCTCTTCTCATCGAGGACTAACGTAAGTTAACTCCTTCGATATATTAATTCTTTATCAAACGCTTGGCCTAATTGACTCCAATAGGCCTGAGATTTTCGATGAATATACAAGAAGACAATATGTTGCCAAAGCACCTGAGCGCAATCCTTATGGTACTGAAGAGGAACCTGCAAAGTTCGCAGACTTCGATGCTTTTACTAAGGCAAGCACTTACCGACTTATATCGTCTGCTTTTGTTAACAATTATACAGATTCGCATTTTGCAACAACTTACTCAATGGACTATGATCAGCCCAGAACGTATCCGTGAGAGAATGGAAGAAACCAAGGATATTGAGCAGACCTCTTGGGTAAGCAACAATTTTGTTCAACGCTGAACTTTATTAATTTCTTGGAATAGCGCATTGAACCTTGTGGATGGGACTCAGATGATCGCGAATACTATGTACTAGATGACAATCGACTTTATCGTCGTACCGAACCTCCTCCGCCACCTCCACCAGCTGCAACATACAAAAAGAACTCAAAGAAGGGCAAGGCAGCTGCAAGAGCAAGTAAACGAAGAAAGACAACAGACACAGTCGAGAGTGAAGCCGAAGGATCAGCAGAAGTTCCAATAGAAGAGAATATTGATGATGGGTTTGGAGGAGCAAAGTGGGAATGCATTGCTGTTTCGTTCGAAGATTTCACCGCATTTGCGGCATCAATGGAGAAAACCCGGGACCCAAACGAGAAGATTCTACGAAAGCGTATTGTTGATGATGTTTTACCACTACTGGAAAAACAAGAAGAAGCCCGAAAGCGCAAGGAAGCACAAAAGCAGCGCGAGTTGATCAATATTGAAAAGTTGGCCACGGCAAAGAGATCTAGTAGAATTGCTGGCAAGATGGAGCAACAAAAGCAAGAAGAAGAACTCAGAGAGGCTGAACGTAAGAAGCAACAGGATTTAGCAATGGCAAAGAAAGAACAACAGAAATGGCTTAAGCTGGAGAAAGAAAGAGAAACACGAATGATGACTAGGGAACAGCGAGTAAAGGAAAGAGAAGCACGTCGCATTCTTCATGAAGAAGAATTGGCCAATCTTTCCGAGGATAGTAAGAAGGTGGGATCAGGCGAAGGTCGTCTCTCTGAACGTCATCTGAAGGCCGAAATCGAAAGAAAGAAGCAGGCGCTTGAGCAACTCAACGAGGAAGATGATTGGATTTTTGACTGCATTTGTGGTGCTTATGGGCAAATAGACGATGGTACCCACAGCATTGCATGTGAGAAATGTAATATTTGGCAGCACAGCAAGTGCGTTGGAGTTAGTGAAGCTGAGGCTGATCGCGAGGACTTTGAATTTATCTGCACTACCTGCAAACGTCGTGCCGAAGACGCGGAGAAAGCCAAAAATCAGCCACCAATCAAGATCAAACTCGGTCGACCTGCATCTTCATCTTCGCCAGTACCATCCAAGCAAAATGGCGTCTCAAATATAGACAATGAAGCTATGTCAAATGGTAAATCATCAGCACCTCCTGCTTCACCACAGAAAGCATTACCCAAGATGCATCTATTCTCTACAACAAACGGAGCACGTAAGTCAGCACAATCATCAAAGGTTTCTTCACCTCAGCGTCAAAGCAATACCGGTAATCGACCGCCTCCTATCTTACCACCGAAGTTCACCAATAGAAATGAGCGTGCAGGTTCTCCAGTCGGTAAAACCGACGTTAGGCAATCCATCGAAATCTCTACGGGAGGAAGTCCATCTCTGCCAAGACACAATGGCTTAGCTAACAGTAATCCCTTTTCTTCACCTGTTCCTCACAGCCCAACATCTCTCCCACCTCCAAAGAACTTGACAACAAACGGTGCTCGGTACAACCGATCTCCCTCTAAGCATCAAAGCTCACCAATATCATCGCCGATTCAACAAAGTTTGGAATTGCCTGATCTCAAAAATAATGGAGATGTACCAACACAACCACTTAATGGTCTCCATCGAGAGCAAAATGATCGTCGTAGCTCATTCAACTTTTCGTCACCACTTACAGGAGTTCCAGTATTGACACCATCTCAAAAGAATGGGCCCATACCAAGCTCATCTTTTGAGCAAAATGGTCATGCCGCTACACCAAGTGGGACTTCAAGATTCACTATGATAACTGCATCATCTCCAGGATTGGATCAAGATCCACTTGACCCAGGTCATGCATCAGCTTTGCCCTCTTCAATTAGTGGAATATCTCCTACTAAACATTCTCCCCCTCGTCCAGCATCAAATGGCACATCAACTCCCGCCATTCTCCCTCCAATCGCTCCATTAACACCAAGTCCACGATCTCAAAACCTTACTCCGCCGATAAAGCCGTTGGGGCCACAATTGAGTAAAAGAACTGCTCCTTGAACGTCATAATTCTGGATAAAACTTTCCAATATTGGGCCACAACAAAAATTCGGAACTCAGTTTGTAGTTAAATAACCAAAAATGGTCTTGTCTTTCCGGGCCACTCTTGTGCCACTTATTTCCTGCAATTGCCGATCATGTTCGGTCTTGCATTGTACTAACTCATATGACATTCATCTATGCTAGATTCATGCGAGAATTTTCTCAATTTCTTCGTGCATTACATTTTTTTGGGCGTGGCGTTAGGATAGGAGTATTAGAGGGAGATAAAATAGCGAATTTGCATATTTTGAGGATGAGGATGAAGGATGAGATCCTTCGTTCTGGAGTGGATGGATGTATGGTTTGTGTAAGAGGGATGTATTGGTGATATCGAATGAAAGGAATAGATGCACAACCGCATCTTTACCCATGGCTTTGTCCTGGTTGATAGATAGGGCTGGGTCTTGGGGAAGACGCAGGGTATGGAGAATGAGAAGTGGATCGTAGAGGAAATTCTAGAATTAACTAAGAGTTGGTAGTAGAGGGAAAAACTATTAGGTGTACAAAATGCTAGATGATGAGGTTATAAATATCAATTACATTCAATAGTATCATATTATTGATACTAAGCACATGTATACGTTTTTGATTCCACGGCTTACGCAATGTGTGTATATATGAGCATGAATAGTGTAGTGTGAAACTGAAATGGCATATGTATCATAACCTTGGAACTTAGAGATTCCTTTAGACTTGAATGCATCTTCCTTCCCCCTTCCAGGGTAATAGTACTACTGTATATATGTATAAAACAAATTGAGAGTATATACCTAGTAAGCTTAGATTTAAGACAGATGGAAATATAAATTAGAATAATTATATACACGAATGGATGGATGGATGGATAGATAGATAGATAGAATAAATGAATAGATAAATATTTCAGAGACTAAAACTGAGAAGAGAGAAATAAATAAACAAAGTAAATAATTATAACAAGAAATATGAAAGAAGATATCCTCCGGGTATCAGTCGTATCGTGTCGTATCGTGAAGTTGAAAATGAAAATGAAATTGAAATTGAAAGCGTAAGATGAGTTTGTGGGATATAGTGAAATAGAGTGGGGGAATTCGAAAAGAACGTATATTTTGGTTTCTTCATTGTATTCTTGAAGTATAAATGTGGAGAGAGAAGTTTTAAGTTTTCCCTCCTAGGAAGATGGGGGATGAAAGAGGTAGTTTGAGTTGGAGAGTTGGAGAGTTGGAGAGTTGGAGAGTTGGAGAGTTGAAGATCGATGCGTTAGATTCGAGTATGGATTTAGAATGATTTCTTTGTATATAGATATAGACGGATCGATGGGTCGAGAAATTTGAACTTCGAAGTTCGAGCTTCGTGGAGTTGATGAGCTAATTGATGCTCAGATTGGCGATAATAGCAATTAAAAAAAATCCTCGATTTGAGTAGCTTTTTCTTTATCCTTCACCACGGCACTCTTCCTCCTTTTCTTCTTCCTTCCATCCTCAGATAAAATGCTAAAAATGCGTAGAATATCTACGTAGTATTAAACTGCGATAGCCGAAAATCAAGGGGCTCGAAATTCGCTTCGAATTTTCGCTTCGATTACGAATCTTCTGGTGATCCGATTCCTTCTTCGGATCCGGATTCGGAATCAAAGGGGTAGAAAATCTCTATAAATTCTTCTGCTGCTGTTTAGGTGGTTGTGTTAGTGGTACTCTTGTATTGGTATATATAAATATATATTGAAAAATTCTTTTCTGATGATGAATTTTCTCCTTTTGCTGTCTACCCATCTCTTCTAGGATTTGATGTCCGCTACAGGAAAAAATGGATAAATTCCACATAAGAGAATAAACAAAAACTCATCATTAAAATCATCAAATCCCTTCCAAGAAAGATAGAAAATAGAAAGAAAGAAATCAAACATACCAGCGCCATGCACAAAATATAATTCAAATTCCCCATGTTTCCTAACTTGCGTTCGGCGAGAATATTCATCGCAGAATACGTAGAGATGTAGATCTTTAATCCAAACGCGATGGCGAGTATGTCGCGCGATCCAGGTGTCGGAGGACATCTGGAGATCGGTTACTAGGGTTGGTATTAGTGAGATGTGTGGGAGAGTGAGGGATGGAGGGTGAGCGAGAAAAAGTGGAAGATAGGGGATTGGGAAAGGGAACCAGGTGAAAGTAAAGGCGAGAGGCGATTATAGGGGGGAAGAGTAGGAGCAGAAGACAAAGAAAGAGGGATATACTAAAAGCAGTCCAGACAGGACATTTCCTTAACTCTCCATTCGCAACCGCAGCATGCAGTCTTAACGTATGGGTGTATCGATCTTCGTAGACGGAAAGTGAGTGGTAGAACCCATCGTCTACTATTTGACTATTATTCAAGGAGTATCAGTAATTACTCAATACAACAATATCAAATCTCATTATGGACAATTGTCCGTTGCGCATTGTCTGTGATGAGAGAAAACAGGAAATGAAAAGCAGTTAATGAATAAATGAGATAAAAGGAAGGAAGATAAAGCATACCCCTGAAAAAGTTGTATTTCCCCAGAAATTACGTAGTCGTCTCTTGGTATTAGATTTGTGAGTTGAGAACGTGCTTTCAGTGCTACGAATGAGCAGTGGAAGAGTACCATTCCTGCGATATTGAGTTAATCTTACTCTACCTATTTCAGAGGAACATGGTTCAGTTCGATAGAAGGAGGTCTTATGAAAGTACACTAACGTTGCCAAGTCCTACCAAATACACCTCAATCAGCACATAATTCCCAGTCGTTATATCTATCCATTTACTCTCTTCGTTTTGGCTCCCACTTCCCCTTCCCCCTTCTTCTTCATCTGGCCTATTTTCCCTCTCCCAAGTCAGACACACAAAAGAAAACTCACTTGAAAAATAAAACTATCCAAGCTGTAGGATGTTCCTTACACTCACTCCACCTCTTAAAACATAATGCACTTCCTCTTCTTTTAACACATAATTCATGTACACCATAGGAAGAGTAATGAGGATTATTATGTTTGTCCATCCAGCGACAGAGGAAACGGGGTGATTGGTCAAGAGTTGTGTCGTTGAGGTAGAGGGCTATGGAAAGGCGATTTTTATCGAAGGGTCTAGAGGGTGTTGGGTGTTAGTGGGGTTGAAGATGGTAGAAGGAGGAGTAATGGAGGGGTGAGAGGATAAAAGAAGAGGACGAGGGAGTGGGATAAAAGAAGGGGTGGAAGGGAAGGGGGACATACAATTTAAACAAAACTTTTGAATGAGGTGATATACCTAATCTCATTTCACTCATAGATGGACCAAAACATCTTGAGCTATATCCATTCCATCAGTCATTGCGCTCTCAATCACTTCCTCGGTACACTGCACATCACATCTTCTCTCTTCTCTGTTCTCTCCAAGTTCCCGCTGTCTAAAAAATTCCTCTACTCCTTACCGGAGCCTCCCAAAATTCATCCACATGAACGAAAAGAAACAAACATACTCTCGACTATGTTTCAAACACGTTTGCGAAAGAGGTTGCGCATGATCATCGAAGATTTTTTCCGCCCAATTACGTCTCTGCTTATTTTATATTAGTATCTCAATATCTGTTTTCTCTCTTCTCATCTTCTCTTAATATTCTCCCATACTCTATACTCATAGTCCCTTCTCTTTTCCACGAGGTTTTCGCTTCCGCACAAAAGCCGTCTCCCTCTCCTCCTCTCATCACTCAAGCATTAATCCATTCTCACGAAAACTCAAGATTCTAAAAGATTCGCTACATACCTCTATATCAACAAGATTTGGTCGTGCGGGAGCGAGATGTGGTTGTACTGGGATTGGGGGAGCTAGAATATTGGTGAGCAACTTATCTGTGTCTGCATTTTTCTAACTTTCGCACATATTTGAGATGCAATGTTATAGAATATAAAAAAAAGAATAATTTATGCCTAGTGTGAAAACGAGAGAAGAAATAAAACATACCAGGAATCCCCCTCAAAGTCCTCAGCCTCAGTACTCTTAAGCGCAATAATTCTAGTGTCGTAGGATCATATGTTGGAGATCTGTACTAACAGTCATTACCTCCATCCCATTACTTTATCCAATTCCCACACATTTCATCCATTTCACCAATCTGAACCTTACCCACCAACTTTTCATCCCAGCCTAGGACACCTCTAGAAACCACAACAAAAATTCCGAAACTCACCCAGTCAATAACCTAACACACTGCACCAAAAAATCCACATACATAACAAACCTCAGGGTCAAGGTCATACCCCCTTGCTCATTTAGTCTCTCATACATACGTAACCACCTCAAACTCAACGAAAAATCTTCACACAGGAGAAAAGCCAGCATATCTCTTAGAGTTTTTTGCAAACAGGGTAAGATAACCGTGAGATAATAAACGATAACAGGAACACGAATTCGATAGATGGGGAAGAGATCGTATAGGTCCCGAAGTAGTCGGGAGGTTTGTTCGACGTGTCGCAGGATGGCGGTGATGATTTCAGGATCGTTGATAGAGGGGGATGAAGAGCGGGTGAAAGTGCCTTGATATGGAGAGGAGAGAAGAGGGGGAGAAGTGCTGGTTAGGTGGGTGCGGATTCTTAGGAGTTCTATTGCGGCGGTATCGGCGCGGATGGCTTCAAGCCAGCATCCGGATAGTTCCTCCATGCTGCTGTTGCTGTTGCGGATTGGTACTGGAGAGTCGACATTAAGGTATGATGCGGTGTTATATAGATATGTTTCTGACGAGGAGAAAAGTAAAGGGAAATAATGCTCAAAATTGAGTGATGAGTTTCCGTGTAATGTCTTCAGGAACTCATTATTATATTAATTGCCCCCTCAACTCGAAGTGGAATCTCAAGAAGAAATCAATATATCAAATCAATTGAAGAACCAAAAACCAAAGCCAAAAAAGTGGAGTATGCATCTCAAATAAGTTATAACTTATAACCAACCCATATATCCATCCATTTATTGAATCCCATTTTTCTGATACCCCGAGAAACTAACTGTGATAAAAGCGCGGGGCTCTGCGGATGATTATAAAATGAACAGGTGGGTGAATATACCACCATAAAACAACCACGACTGACGTGTCAAAAATCATTGGAATATCACATTATAATATGTATGGACGTCCATTGTTTCCCCTCTTCTAATCCATATAAATCCGACTCTTTGCATTCTTATTGCATTCTCCATTCATAAATGGTGTTGCGTAAGGTTACCAAGGAATTATCTTCTGTTGCATGATCAATTTTAGCCAGTAGATATTTGTGGTTTTTTTCTAGATGCTATACATACCACTGTTGTATGTATGGATGTATGTAGGGTTATGTACATCCGAATATGCATGAACTCCAGCATCGTCCTCTCAAATCCATTAAGACGATTTGGTTGTAGCGCTGCAGAGCTGCAGCAATGGTTATTCAACTATATCCTTGTGGGTGGTGGATAGATGATCGTACTTGTGCTGCCACGATAGAAGAAAAGAATTAATCGCGCAACGGAAGGAAAATAATAACGACGAGCAAGGCTGTGGCCACGGCTGATGGCATAGAAATGTGTTGTGAATTCTGCTTTCGATGAATTGAACAAGAATAAAAACATGGTGAGTATCTAGGTATAATATGATATGTGGGTAATATATGCGATACTACCCCATGTACGTTGCGAGGCCGAGACCCTTACGTCGTCTAATATTCATCAGCTTCATACTTCGATCTGACTTTGATATTAAAACCACTTGATAACCTATTCAATCAAAGCAGTTTTAGCATCTAGGTAAACTTAATATGTGTTGGCATTTTAATCCGAGTTCATCCACTGGTCAAGGAAAGAAAAGAAAGAGTATAATATTTAGGTACTTGAACTGATTCCGCATCTGTATGGTTGGTTATGTAGAGTATGCAGTGTTCCGTGCAGCATTCAATCATCAACACTCATTGGAAAGATATCTATCATAATATCCTGAACTCTTCTTATCCAATTAATGAATCGCCAAAAGAAATAGATTTAGAAGTAGAACAAGAAACTTTTCTAGACCATTTAAATGCTACCTAGTAGCGCTCATTGATTTTACTGATATAACCTTATATAGGTATTTATTCCCCTCTACTCACCAATCACCTATCATCGATCCCATCCCCAGTGGGAAATCCTGAACTCAAACTCCTCCCAAAAAACTTAGATACAGATGCAGATGCAGATGCATATGTACTCCAAATGTGTCTACTTCGTATCACTTGATACAGAGGAATTCTTGGTGTAAGATCTTACCTTGCATCAGATTTCTTTCGAATTACTTCCATCTATCGAATCATCGGCCGAAAAATCCAACAATCACCAAACAAAACGACCAAAAATACCTATTTCAATCAATGTCTGTCCTCAATTAGAATATGTATATACGTATCACTTACTACTATAGTAACAATTTCCCATCCGAATCCATCTATTCTCATTCATTACCATGAATCATGAAACCGAACTTCCATTAACACCCAAACCAATAAAGAAGAACCACTCCCAAAGTGAGGAAACTCTATTCCTCGCTTGGACTGCAAGCTGCAGGTCAGAATAAACCTAGTAAGCACTCGGCCAATTCTGAACTTCTAGTAGCTGGGTATAGAGTAAAGGAATTAGATTCCCAATCTCATCCTTATATTGCTCAAAGATCTCAAACTCTTCGTCCTCAATCCTATGCATATCTCATCTTCATTACATAGGAAATGTCGGTGCATTAGAAACAACTCGCTCCTCTTCCAAAAAGTAATACAAAAAATACAATCTAGATTGAGCTACAAACAACTGAACTACTAGATGTATATTGTACTTTGTACGCCGCATTTGCATCTATCTATCAAAAAGTCGCTAATTATAGCTAGAAATACTTATATCTAATTATTTCCATCATCACTTCCACTATCTTTTTTATTACTATACTTACTTAGCATTAAGCAATCTCCAATCTCGAGCTCAGATCATCAACCATCCCCAAGAACCTCCAATCCAAACCATATCTCCCCAGAAAATGCGTATGCCTATGCAGCTTTTACACATGCATGCATGCATGCATGCAAATGCACTCCGAATATAGCTATATATAGAGAGGTACTATAAAAGTACTACTTCATGTATCTCTCCGACTTATCCCCTCCTTAACCTTCATGAAGCTCTTGAAACTTCTTCACTTCCTTAAAACCTATTTATCCATTATCTGACCAACCTCCCCTTCCCCCAAAGGACCTAGAAATCAGAAACTTGACAGGAAGAAGAAAGAAGAATCACCTCAATCATCGATCTATCTATCCATATGAAAGCATCCGGAATCAAGAATCTGATCTCTCACATCTAATATATAAAACATAATCCAAACAATTGACACAATAAACCTGTCTCTATCTCCTATCACCTATCTTAAAAATCAAACAAAATGAGGAATTCATCTCATACTTATATATATATATATATTAATATAGTTTATTCAGAAATATACATAGTTATATATATATAAATATAAATATACAGACTATCTCTCATTATAATTATCCACTTTTTTACATATATAAACAAATACAATACAGACTTCAAATCCTATATTCATCCCCATCCTCATCCTCATTCACAGTTTCCTAATTACCTTCTAAATTCTCCAAAAAAAAACTTGATTTTTTATTATATATTCAGTTCAAAATAATACAATTTATTAATGTTGATTATACTTTTATAATAATTAAACTTATCATAATTTTGTAAAATGAGTTTTGATTTATTTGATTAATATAAATTATAAATTCGATTCAATAACTTCTCCCCGAATAGTTAAGATGTCCATAAATCTCATTTCTCCTCCTTCACCCTCCTCGCATCTATTTCTCGCCCTCTCCGTCCATCGCCCACCTTCGCCCACCCTCCCTCCAATTCTCTATACAGCAATCTATCCTCCAAAACCCGTTATCTCACATCCTCCCTTCCCCTCCTTCCCCGTCCCACCATCAATCCCATTCCATTCTCTCCCTTCCACTCCCCCTCCACCCCTCAACTCCCCTAATTCCGCATCCACCCCAAAACCAAAAACCCCCAAGTCTCAACCACCTCAACAACCTCAAATCACACACAGCCAACCCAACCACCTCACCTAATTCCTCCTAGAAAAGAACCCCCATATTCCCATATTCCGGTTCCTCTATAGTCAACAAAAAAATACCTCAAGCACTATCATCCCAACCCTTTGCTGATTCAGCGTTTAATAGTAATCTCAGCGTTAGTCACTTCTCTCCCTCTCTCTCCCTTCCTCCCTTCCCTATCTCAAAGCAAATTTATCACCAAATCAAAGCAAAGCCCCAAAACTAACCAAAAGGCCAAATATAAACACAAACACAAACACAAACACAAATAGAAATAGAAATAGAAATAGAAATAGAAATAGAAATAGAAATAGAAATAGAAATAGAAATAGAAATAGAAATGATATTTTAAACTTTCATACCATCCCCATCCCCATCCCCATCCCATCCCTACCCACCCCTCTCTGTCACTCTCTCTCTCACACACACACATCATCAAACCCATCACCTCAAATCAAACCCCTCAAAACCCCTCAAAACCCCTCAAAACCCCATCTCCATTCCAACTATAGATATTAACTCAATAAGAATATATCTCATGTATCTCATATATCTCATATCATCCATCTACAATATCTACATCTACAGCATATATATACATAAATCACAAATACCACACCACATCACAACCCATCACAATTACATTACCACTTACCACCTATCAATCAAAATCAAAATAACAAACATACAAACACACACACACACACACACATACAAAAAGAGACAAAGCAAGCTAGAATACACGAACATCATTGTTACACGCATTGAGTCTGGTACTACGGGTACTATGGTACTATGGTACTAGGTACATTGGATAGCTTGAATAGGGTATAGAATAAGAAATATGAAAAATACCATCTAGATCATTTCCTCGAGAGAGAAAGATAATCTTTCCAGTAAAATTCCACATCATACCATTCATCATAAGCATACTATGGAAGCCAGATGAAGAAAGAAAAAATGTGAAATTAGAACTTTCACCATGATTCTTTTCTCTCGTGCGTTAGATCTAGACCGATCTAGATCTAGACTAGACCAGACCCAAACCAGACCCAGATTCAGACCAAACCATTAATAAATCCATCGATAGCAAAAAACGATACCACGAGATCATTCATCAGTTATGAAAAGGAAAGGTAACAAGTGCTCAAGTTGAATCATCCCATATCCCCTGTGCAAACACAACACCCCAGCCCAAATGAAAAGTAGTTAAAAGATGACCTGGAAACCCCGGAGAACCTCCCAACTTGTATGTTTAAATCATCTTTTATACTGATGGTCTTCAAGATTGGTACAAAGTAACCATCAAGACTATTGATTTTGAGATGATATGATTGAAGTTTTGAATGGTTAAGAAAATCTCTAAGAAGATTCTTCCTCCTCGGCATCGGCCTGTGAAAAGTATTTGTTAGTATTATGCTAATTTTTCATAGCGTCGACAAGGTCGATGATGACTTACGTTGTAATTGGCTTTCTCCTCTTCATAACGCTTCTTATCCTTAGCGGCAGACTCCTCATAAGGACCTCTTTGCTTCTCATTCAAAGCCTTCCAGCGCTCACCAAGAACCTTTCCGACTTGACCTATAATTTTATCATGTTAGTGATGCAAGGATAAGTATCAGGAATTCAGATCATACCGAAAGAGATTCCGGGGTTCTCCTCACGAACGTTATCACGTTGTTCATTGGCGAAGAACATATAGGCAGAGAGACCACGCTTTGGTGCATTAGGATCTATTGAAGAATGAGTTAGTAACCAAGTTCTCGAGACAGACAGTAAATGAGAAGTCAACATATACATACCCTTCTTTCTCTTCTCAGTTCTGCCTTTGGCAGCGCGCTTGGGAGCCTTTTCCTTTGGCATATTGAATTATGTGTAGATGAGTCTAAATAAGAAGAATTCAAGTCAGTATTGTTGATTGAAAAGTTAACGCGATCGTAATAAAATTGCGACGATGAGCATGAAAAGTGGTTGTGGTTGAGTAAAAGAAGTCGAAAAGTGGACGATGGAAAGATGATAATTTTTTGGGGGTTGTGAGTGATGGCGCGTCGTGAAGGTGTTGGTGTATTTTTGTATGGAGGTGTGAATGGTTTGTGAGGTGAATTCAGTCGCAAAGGTAATAACTTCCTCACGACGTCGAGATTGAAAGATATGAAAGAAGAAAACGAAGGAGAAACTTACATGTAAATTGATGTCAAGAGTTATTCAAGTTGTAACTTGCGGTGGTTGATCTACAACGCGATGAAATTGAATCAGTTATATATTCTTGGTAGAGAGTGGAAGTAGGTGTGAGTGCAAGTGCTGGCTGTAGTATCGCGAGCAGAAAGATGACGCGCCGATGAAGTTGAAAAGAGAAGCAATTGTAGAAAGGTATTGTACAATGGCAAATGAAGTACAAATAGATGAATACTTAATGAAACATCGACTTTTTGGTATAGATAAAAGCGCGTTTTCAATAGTATTATGATATTGAGGTTCAATATAAAAGTATTTGATAGGGAGGATACAGTATGAGAGGAAGAGAGTATTTTGGGTGATGCTTACCAGTACCAGAGAAGTTGTTGTATGGGTGAAATTTGCGTGTACAGAGTTCGTAGGTAGAGATTTGGTGAGGAAAAGAAGTAGGACTGTAGGAGAGAGAATTTGGGTGGGTGATCTCAATTTGGGTGGTGCGGGTGAGTGGGCATTTCAAAGTGTAGGGGAAAAAAAAGCAAGAGCTTACCATTTGATTATTTGATTGCTTTCGCTTGATCTTGGGGGTTTGATTGGCTAATTCTCCCTTTACATGCATTCCTGGTATTTCTTCGACTATCCAAGGTAAAATTCAATCAATTATTGCAAGGCGAATGAATAAATGAATGACTGAATGAGAGCCGTGAATGAGTGAGCTATGAATATTAATGGGTAAAGGGAAAAGAGAAAGGGTACAAGCTTCTTCTCTCAACGCCATCAAAGCAATCCCTCTTCCTCCAAGGGAAACTTTGTTAAAAATCAAGTATTTGTACAATAAAAGGTCACGTACTGGGTAATGATCTTGTTGATGAGATTGATGATGGCTGTCTATTCTTTCTTTACTTTGAAGGAATTGATGCCTACCTCCTGAGCATACGAATGAATGACCTCAACTTTTATCGATGCTATGTCCACCTAATACTTAATAAGGTACCGAATTGTACTTGACTTCGTACTACTTTTATTTCCTGCTACGCTTACTATTTTACTCTCTGCTTTATTTCCTACCATATTTATTACTGCCTACTTTGTACTTCCTCTTTATTTGTAAACTCCATACCTAGCATGTACCTAGGTATGTGGGGAGCGAAGTGGTAGTGCGGTAGTGCGGTAGTACGAAGCACTCTGTACGTGGTATTGTAGGCAATGATTGTTAATCATTGTTTCTTTTATCAAAAATCATCAATCATTTGGGTTTGTATCTATCTATATAGAATGCGAGAATGCGAAAGTACTACGACTACGACTACAATTACGACTACAACTACAACTACAACTACAACTACAACTACAACTACACTTATAATCCCTTTTCCTCTACCAGATTCTTCCTTCTTCAATCAATCCACCACCGTCATCAATTTCTTCACGTTTCTCTTCCACGTTCCTTACTATCCTAACTAGCATTTTACACGGTCCGCCAGTATGCCGAGTAAGTTCACGGGTACTAGCTACCTAGTAATTCAGCTCTTCTATTATCCTAGGTAAGAAGCACTACCGCTATCCTAGCCAACAAAGTACTACAATTATCCTAGCCATAGCCAAAAAGTAAGTGGAGTTTTATCTTTTCCCTCATTCTCGCTCTTGCCTTCTCAAAAAATGGCGTGTGGCTCGCTCCTTCTTTCTTTTCTCTCATACCGAATTCCGATACTATCCTCTTTATGGTTTCATGAAATCACGAGGATGGACAAGGAGAGAAGTGGTGGAAGGGAGCACCAAACAACCCTTTGACCTTTTGGTCGGTCACAACAAAGATCTCGACTTCCAATTCCGGGGTATCTTAACCTCTTTTTCACTCCATTCATTATCAAAGTCCTTCAAAATGGATGTTTTCATATTATATTTTGATATCACGTGGCGATAAGAATAAGCTTTTCCCAAAAGAGATTAATGCGAGGGAGGTTTCAAGGGGATCAATTGTTGATTCTTCTAGGATTTCCAACTTAAAAATAGAAGATCGGCACAGTATTTCCAAGGTCTTTTTTGGTTATTCGTTCATTAGTCGACTCCGTACTCCGTACAGACTTGTTGATAGAACGACCCGTTCCAAGCCTCGCTTCGTCCGAGAGCTCTCTTTGTACCGAGTCCTGATTCATGGATGGATAGAGTGAGTGAAGCAAAGGAAAACACAATCAGATGAAAAATCCCCTCTCTGACCCTATTTCAAATCCCAATATTCTGTGGTATTCTAATCTATTCTGCTGTACTGAATGTTGTACTGTTCCAGTAAATGATTGAATTATATTTGACAATTGGCTGAATTGAATTGTTTGGTCTCCGTCTCCGCATATCTCGGCACAAAAGCTTCCTTTGAAATTGTGTGGTGGTCACATCACATAACTCCGTACACTGTAGAACTAACATGATAACAAAGCGAGGACAAAATGAGACAAGCAAAACAAGCCATCAAGCATTTTCCACCATTTATCATTCCTTTGCGTAAGACTTAAATATTCCCAATGTACTCTGTAGATGGAGGGAGGCAGCTTACTTTTACTAGTTTAGTACGCCTTTGGGAAATGTCTGAGCATGAATAATACCTGCTCGCACAGTGGCACTACTGTGTAGGTGCGATAGGTGCGATAGGTGCGACGGAGATAGTACGAAGCGGTAGAATTTACCCCCAACAAGAAACACGTAACAAGCAACACATGCAATCAATCTATCTATTCTATCGACAATGAGAAGTTTGGACTCTCTTCTTTAACAAGTTACAACTCTTTGATTTTCATTCTCAACCTCGATATCAATGATGTTGTAAAATTAAGGTTTATAGGTCTCGCCGACGATTTTACCTAGTTAATGGGAGCATCCGGGTGAAGACGGACCGTTAGCCTTCCTTGCCGTTATTATTCTGCCTTTCTAGTTTTGATAGTTGGTACTTTGATCTGGCTCCCTCTCTAAATGGTACCTTTTTTATCCAGAGCCAATCGCCATGGAATAATAGCATTACCAAGAGACCAGAACTCAATAGTAGAAATCAGCATATCATCACATCATAACTGCATCGCCACAGCAAATAATCTTCGTAATTACGGAGTACACACTGTACATCTGTTACGCCAAATTGTTACCGACAAGGTAGCGCTTCGTCACCCGGCCTGCGAATTCGGACGCAGATGCCAAGACCAAACCATAACTCCGGGTCTTTATCGATAAGACCATATTTTACACGTGATACCGGCGAAAGATTTCTCCGATTTCTCCGATTTCTGAAAAGATTCAATCTCAAGTAAGAAATATTATATCGCCAGTAATATTCTCAATAGCAATTGCTCAAAGTACGAAGGCGCACGTACTTTTTCAGTCTCACGGTTTGGAGAGATATATTCTCATCCACCATAATGTCAGACTCAAAAGTGCCCGAAGCAGAGGTAATTCCCTTCCAGGAAGACTCATTTAAAGAGCTTAAACTAATAAGGTCGTAGAAGCCAGCTTCTGCTACAAATGCAGAAGTTAAAATCGATGCGAAAGCTACTGCGAAACAGAAACCTCCAAATCCAATGTGGAAATACTTAGGATTTGGCGAAAACTTTCGACCTAGAGTTCCTTCTCGAAATTGGATGATATTCCTCTCAATTACTGGATCCTTCACAGCAGCCATCATCTATGATAAAAGGGAAAAGAAGAGAGCGCAGAGAAAATGGTGTAAATTGGTTGAACATATTGCGAAAGAACCTTTGGGAGATTCTCGTACTATGCCAAGGAAACTTACTGTTTTCCTAGAAGGACCTCCTACTGATGGACTAAGGGTTGCGCAAGATCACTTTAAAGAGTATGTTAAACCGATATTGGTAGCTTCTGGGTTGGATTGGGAATTTATACAAGGGAGAAGGGAGGGAGAAATCCGAGCTGAATTGGCGGAGAAAATCCGTAATGCGAGATTACCTTTTGAGGAGAGTTTTGAAGGACGGGATCCTATTTTATCGACACGGAAAAATGCTGGGATTAAGGAATTTGATGGACCAAGAGGTGATATAGTACTTGGAAGACATACTTGGAAAGAATACATTAGGGGTTTACATGAAGGCTGGTTAGGACCATTAACCGAACCCCTTAAGCCACAAGAAGAGAACCTAGAAGCAGCTCCTACCTTGGAAGCCGAAACTCCAGTCGATTCCCTCATAGGAAACACAATCCATACAAGCACTACTACCGACCCCTCCAAACAAGATGATGCATCACCTAGCAATACCGACTCACCTCCCGAAAAACCAGCTGAGGAAAAGAAGGAAAAACCATCACACCTACCTCCGTTCATCTCAACCACAGACTACGCATCAGCAAACCTTCCCTCATCTTTTCCGACAGACCTGGACCCGTCAGCCGCAATTTCCTTCCCCCATATCCTCGGATTTCTTAACACACCCACTCGACTCCGTCGATTTCTCAATCGTCGTCATCTAGCCGATCAAATCGGTCGCGACACAGCCGCTATAATCCTCTCTACCTATCGACCCTACCACAATTCTTCCTCTACATCGTTCACCCCAGAAACCCCCGAACCAGAACAAGCCACCCTCCTCCAATCAGAAGAAAAAGAATGGCACAAATCAATCCATGTCCGTTCCCCCACCGACTCAGAAAGAACGTGGTTAGAACCCATCACTCTAGATCCTCGCATCGCTTCCCGAATGCGTAAAGCGGAATTAACGCCTGAAGAAGAAGAAAGGGCGAGGAATATTATAGTGAAAGAGGAAGAAATAGAAGGTTGGATTAAAGGAAGTTTGAGAAGTTTAGGTCGTAAGGGTTTGAAGTGGTGGGGTGGGGATAAGGGAAAGAAACCTTGGGAACAGGGAGAAGTGGGGGAGGAGGATCAATGATGAATGATGAATGAGGAATGGGAATGGGAATGAGGAGTGATATGTGGTTTCTTGCACCTATATTGGTGCTTTACTGTAGGATATAGAGCTGTGGATGTATATTCAGGATGGATGGATGGTGGTTAAGTGAGTGAGTGAGTGAGCAAGTGAGTAAGCGGTTGACATATAATGCATACAGAAAGTCCACAACGAGCACATCACCTCTCACCTCTCACCTCTCACCTCTCACCTCTCACCTCTCACCTCTCACCTCTCACCTCTCACCTCTCACCTCTCACCTCTCACCTCTCACCTCCCACCTCTTCTTTCTCCCCCCTTCCTTCCTTCCCTCCTTCCTATCTACTATCTACTATCTACTATCCGTATCCGGAACTATTACACACCTACTAGATAAATAGATAGTATTTACTAAATATTCTCAGAAAGGAAAGAGAAATATATAAATAGATAGATAGATAACAGAAAGGAAGAAGCGAGGATATAAAATGAAATAAAAAAGATAAATAAATAAATAAATTAAAATATCAAATAAAATTCAAATATTATTTACTCCTTGTGGTATATATATATATATATATATATATCATATATTATATAAACTCAATATTTATATTATTATTAATTATTATATCATATTCTCTCTTCTCTCTTCTCTCTTTTTCTTCTTTTAAAAATGTTATTCATTTATTTATATTTTGTTTATTTATTTATTTTATATAGCTATCTATCTACTAGGTAAGTGAGTACCTAACTAATCAACTAAATCAAATTCTTCCTATCTCTCTCTCGTCTTGCTTTTGTTATTATCCACGGAGGGAGGAAAAGAAGGAATACGAAAGGTGATTTAGAGTATGTCGTATCATCTCATCTCATATCGTACAAATCATACCAAGTCAAGCCAAGCCGTAATATACCATATATGGCATACCATGCTATACAATACTATGCTATACCTTAATCCATGAATGCTATGCTATGTCTTTACAAACATTTTAGAGCACTGATATATATAGAGAAACCTTTATATTCTACACTTATCTTAATGCAGCCCTCCACATATCATCTCTTTTCCCCTTTGCTCCCCTCCCATCAACCGCAGACAAATCCCCCACTACAACTTAGCAAATTCCTCCTTAATAATCTCCACAACCTTAGCATCCGTCCCCTCAAGTTCTGTGTCTATAACCTTTTGAAAACGGGTCTTTTGATCCTTTACACTTTCATTCTCTTTATCGAGAGATGAGGATGCCATGAGACATTTGAGCGCGAGGAGATACTTTTCTATTTATATATTAGTATCATACCAACATTCATCATCAAATTCATAATTCAAGAGAGAAAAAACTTACTTCTACGAATAAGTACCTCAAACCCAAGAATTTGCGCTTCAATATTCTTCGGGCTGTATTGTAACAACGGAGACAAAAACTTCATAGCATCATTCAATGGTTCCGTAGTAGCAGCCAATTTCTCTCCATTAGGATCATCATCCTGCTTCTTAAATTCGCCATCTTGATCCTTGATTGGTTTATTTGGTTCATTTTTCTTAGCCAATGCTTCTTTTTCAAGTCGTTCTGCTTCCTTTCTAGCCTTCTTTGCTGCCTTTTTACGTTCCACAGCATCTTCTTGGGTATCATCCGTGGATCCATTAACTCCATTTGATGCGGGTTTGTCGTACATAGATAAATAGACTTTGATTGCCGAAAGAGCTGTTCGGCTATAAAAGGGGTGTTCTCTGATTTTATCTTCCCACTTCATCATATCTATGTAGGCTCTGATTTGACCCTTACGTAAAAAGAATGAATGGAAATCAAATTGATCTTCATACCAAACATCAAAAATGTTATACACTGCTGTGAATCGTTTCAGAGCCAAACCAATTTTGTTTTGACGAGCATAAGACTCTCCATCTTCTGTCAAAAACCAAACGCATTGCATATCATGAAGATCTGCTAAAGGTCCACCAACGGTATCGGCTTTTGTAAACATGCCCATAGTCTTCTCAGCCTTTTCGTTTTCATCATTTCTGAGTTGATATTTGGCAGCCTTTGTATTGATGTGACGATCCCTAGTGTCAAGACTACGAGCTTCTTCCATAATTTCAGAAGCCCTTTGAGTATTCCCTTGATGCTTAAATATGCGTGCCTTTGTCATATGGAAGTCTACACTCTTGGGTTCTAATTCAATGGCCTTTTCAATGTACTCCATGGCTTTGTCGAGGTCGCGGCTCAAATAGTAGTTGTAGTGTTGTGCGAGGAAGTAGTAAGCCGATGAATTTCCCTTAGATGTATCACCTTCCCTTTTTGGTTCTGAACTTTCTTCACTCTTTCCACTCTCGATATATTGCTGGACGATAGATGGTAAGATTTCCTTTTTCGAGTCATTCGCATACAAATGCTTCAGGTTTGCAAATGTAGATGGTACTCCCTTATCCAACATACGATGAATGTACTTGTCTGCGACATCCCTAAACTCCTCACCTTCTAAGAAGTCCAATGGTAATCGGCGCGCAGCGTCGCAACGTGGGTATTTCGCCGCATATTCATCATAAACAGCTTTTCGAGCATTCAAATTGGTTGGATCGATTTCCATAGCCTGGATCAACGAATCATAGTAGGTCTTGTACTCCTGGTTGCGGTCGATCAGCGCGCGATATGCCTTCACGGCTTCTTCTTTTTGCCCAAGCTCGAACAAGTATTTTGCTCTCAACTCCATCACAGCCAGTCTGTCAAGATTGTATTTTCCATCCGATTCAAGATGTTCCAAAGCTCTCTTAATATCACCCTGTTCCGCGATCAACGAATTCTTGTACATGATAGCCTCCGAGTGCTCGAAATCGATTTTGGAAGGTGGGTTCTTCAAAGTTTCCTCATAAGTAGTCAAGGTCTGCTCCGCCTGTGCCAATTCCCCATTGAGATGAAGTGCCACAGCTAACGCGGTCCAATTTTGTCGCATACCAGATCTAGCAGTTAGCATAGCCCTGCGACTTGCAAGGTAACCTGAATAATCGCGCATTTGTACTTGTAGAAGTGCTAAATCTCTTTGAATCTGCTGCGATTCTGGTTCTAATTTCAGAGCAAATTTATATGCTTTAATAGCTTCCTCGAAGTTTTTAGCGGCGCGATAGAGCAACCCGTAAACATGCCAGCAGACGTGCGATTTGAAGTCGCATTGAAGGGCCACTTTGGCAAGCGCAAAAGCTTCATCGGATTTTCCTTGAGAGTTTAAAATTAAAGCTTTCATAGCTAAAGTATCTCCATGTTTGGGGTTCTTTTTCAGAATCTGGTCGGCAGCTTTTAGACCTGTAGATTGTAAGTCGAGGGCTGCGAGGAAGTTAAATATATAGCACTAACCTTTCTTATACTGTTTGTCTTCATAATTTCGAACTACAGTCCTAAAGAGTGAGGACTCTTTCGAGGATAAAGGTTGTGGCATAGTTGCTCAATTGGGTTTACCAGAAAAGCTATTCAACAGCGTGGGGGGAATTAAAAGATAGTTTCTGTGATTCTGATGTCAGGATTGGCAGAACCTTAGTTTCCCTGTAGAGAATGTAAATATTATATCAAACAGCTTGATAATAATTAACAAGGTCAATATAATACTGTTCTGCTTTGCAGATGAAAGGTTCCCTGCTTTGGTGGAAAGTTGTGTAAATTGGAGGGGTTGTTTGTTCATAATAAAGTCTACGCAGTACTGAACTTTCGAGGTTGCAATGGTCCGGCTATTCTCCGGGAAATATAATCCATTTTCAGATATGTTGTGCCCTTAAGTTTGTCACTAGTATGGTAATGAGACAGATTGTTGGTGTAATGTAATGCACGTCTAATAATTCTTTTCCTTATTTGATCTCTGAGTTACAGCCAAAAACTATCTACGGTTGATTTCACAAACTTTCTGATGTCTTACCAATAACTGGATATGCCTAGTATACATCATGTTTTACTCCTGTGCAATGGTGGAGGATAGAGGTATTTTTCCATGTGTCATACTGAATCCAATAGAGTTGATAGTTTCTCTATCACTGTTCATACAAGACCCTCCCATTTTTCCATTCATAACAGTCATTTAAGGCTTGTATAGTCTGCCAAGCCCGTCCAAAACTCCCGCTTCTGTACAATCATACATCCATACATCCATACACTCCATACACACTGACCAGTCTTACTAACTCTTTTCCCTCCTCTTCCTCCATTGATCTAGAGCTTCTTCACAATCCTCCGTATCCTCTCCACATCTTTCCCTCACTAAACCCCAACTCCTCGCCCTTACAATACTCTCCACCCCTCTTTCCTGTCTCACAATAGCAGCCAACCTTTCCGTCCGCGCCTCTTTAGGAAAGAACCTCGCCGAATAAGGATCTAACCTCTCATCCACCAGTCTTTCTCTATCCCTCGCACTCTCCACTTGTCTCTCCAACAAATCCGGATCACCAGGATCGGGACTCGTAGCAACCGAAGCGCAATAATTCAACACATCTGATCTCGACTGCCACGAGGAAAATAGAACCGAGTCTTTAAAACGCTGGCATGCAGCTGCAGGTATTTGTTTTGAGTGAGGTAATCGAGGAATGCGGGTTGAGGTAGATGAGGGATCGAAACCTTCTGTTGAAGGTGTTACGAGCGCATTGAGATTTTGTGTTATAATATCGTCGACTGAGGCGCGAGATATACGAAGAAAATCTAGAAAATATTAGATTTAGTAATGTCTAACATTAGGATAGACAATGAAATACCTCTTAGCGCAACGGTCGAGAAACAAAACTGTGGAGTTAATGTTTGTGGGAATGAGGCAGGTTCTGCCATTGTCTCTCGAGGAGCTCTCTTTCCAACCTCAGCTCTAGAGGTTGTTGACCAAAACCAATTCGCCAGTGTGAAAATGATTCGAGATTTATCTCTACTATGTGAGGTTTATGAGTAAAATAAAGATTGTCTTCTGAAGTGCTGAGTGGCCAAATGAAGTTGAGGCGAGAGCTTGACTTTCTTTTGATTACAATACATGGTAAGATTATCTTAGCGTGCGATAAAGCTCTTTCTATGACGACAATTGAACGGGTCTATCTACTACTTCCAACATTCTTACTGAAGTCTTTTATTTTCTTCATTATGATTTCAGATGTCGAATACACATACAGACGTTCTTCTTGTAAGTTTTGATATTTCATAAAGTTTTGCAATAGTGATAGTGAAAGCAGACAAGTGTTTGCGCCCTGAAAATTACCCCTCAATGAGCTTCAGTTCCGCTCCCGGTGAGCCAGAAACAGATGGTTAGATACAGACTTTCACTATCAAGGACGAAGCAGGTAGAAAAGCATTTTCAAGTGTCAATTTCCAGCTACTAGGCTGTACTGCGTAGGACTTTCTATTCTATAGAAGTTCTATGGTTTGAGATGTACAATTTATTTACTTAAAACCATCACGTTTCTAACAGGCCATCAAGGCGGGAGCGAGTGCAGCAGTAGCTGTCGACCTTCTAGTATACCCATTGGACACCCTTAAAACTCGATTTCAAAGTCCAGATTACAAAAAGATCTACTATGATGCATCCAAAAAAGCAATCAATCGAGGTGTACTATTTCGAGGATTATATCAAGGAGTGGGACCTGTGATTTTAGTAACAATACCATCATGTATGACCCCTTGACCTGAAAACCTACCTCAAATTGACATCCCGTAGCAGGAGCATTTTTCACCACATATGAAGGAATAAAAACTGTTCTTACCAAAGCAAATACAAGCTTGAGTGGGAATAATACTCCATTGATACCACAGCCTTTTGTTCACAGTGCAGCTTCAGCAGTAGCAGAACTCGTATCATGTTTTATTCTCACACCTGCTGAGGTATTGAAGCAGAATGCACAGATGATACGTCAACCAGCACACTCATCAGCGTCTGGAGCTTCTGTCACAATGCAAGCTTTGAAGCAATTCAAAAGACCTTCCCAGTTATTCACAGGATATACTGCGTTAGCTGCTCGAAACCTACCGTTTACTGCAATGCAATTTCCTATGTTTGAGCATATGAAAGAGTCGCTTAAGAGCTATAGAAGGGAAAATGGAACTATGACTGGTTCACTACTCGAAACAGCAACCATCACAGCGGCGAGTGCTGGAACCGCCGGGTCTATTGCAGCTGTAATTACAACTCCAGTGGATGTTGTGAAGACTAGGATTATGCTCGCAGCATCAGGAGAAAACTCCGAAAGTGAAGCCAAAAGAAAGATAGAGGAAGCCAAAAAGAAGGGCCAACCCCTGGACACGCTTGGTGGAAAGAAAAAAGGCAGTCTTACGATTGCTCGAGAAGTGGTAGCGGAGGCTGGGATAAAAGGTTTGTTTCGTGGTGCATTGTTAAGAGCTGGCTGGACGGCACTGGGCAGTGGCCTTTACCTAGGGGTTTACGAAAGTGGGAGGGTCTGGCTTGGAGATCGACGAGGGGCTAAAGATAAAGACGAGTAAATCCGGGGAAATGGATGGTCCCACTGCGTCTAAAATGCCACGAGCGTTCCCGCTAAAGCCACTGCGTGTATGTACGTTAGAAAGCAATGAGACGAAAGTCTTACTACCAAGATCATATCTTATTCCACGGATAGTTCGGGTTCTTTGTCTGTCACTCTGGCGATTCTCTTTATGTACATGTTCGACTTATTTAGGCACAACTAATTCCATCCGACTTCTCAAATGAACGCCACTCTGTGACATAAATGCACACTCTCGTCTGAGATTATAGAATGCCAGTGGGTTCGATGAAATATTCAAGTGGGGAGGACAATGGTCAGCCAGTACATTCGTGGGCGAGCTATTGGTGGCGGCGATGTCTTAGGGGGTGATGGATATAAAGCAGAAATAGACATAGACTTTTGAGATGGTCAAGCAGATATATTAATACAAAGTGCTCAAGCCAAGGTACTGAGGGGCGGGACATGGGAATCGCTGTGATGAGTTGTGGTTATAATTCACCGCCTGCGGTCATTGCGTCAGACCGTTTATATTGACACAAGAAACATGAGGCTCAAAAATCTAAACTTCATATTTCACATACAATATCATAGAATTTTTAGTGCCCATATGTAACCCTAATATATCTTTGTTCATGCGAACCTAATTCGAGGTTGGGATTTAATAATCGGAATAAAGAAAGGCATCATCTCCAATACCCGAGAATGGCGCAATAGGGACCAGATTTCGTGCCATCCGGAATCATTTATAAATGCCTGAAACCCCGGGATTATTTGTGAAAGTGAGATACTACAGATTAATGGGACCATGTCGTGGTACCTTTTTGGGCAATTGCGTCCTGGACGCTCTTTCCTGGACCCACTACCTTCTTCTAATTCTTATATCTTTGACTTTCCCGTGGGCTCATTCATGTTAAGTCTAGAAGACATCAAACTCATCTCATTTCTCCAGTCCTCAATACATCTTTTTAAATATCAATTCTCTTTCCTCTATAATTTCCTAGAATCAATCAGACCTGAAATTCCGATACCTTCTTACACCATGGCCGCCGTTGCATCCCCCATTCTACCATTCGACGACGTGGAACGTTTCGCAGTTTCCGACGAACTCGATTCTTCAGCTAGTTTGCAAGCGCTTATTCTCGACAGCAAGGCCCACAGCTCGAGCGAGGATAGATACCTGATAGTTAGCCCGTATGATGAAAAACCTCATTTACTCGATCTCGAGACTTTAGATACTCCAAACCAGTTGCTTGCTAGAGCTCTAGTTGGATTGAAATGTCTGAGAGAAGATTATGCGACTGCGCCATACGTCGAGACTTTCAATGTATGTGTTTTGACCTATCAATCAGAAAGTGTGATTGGAAGTTCGCTGACTTTTCTTTAGTGGCAAGAGATTATAGATACCCTTCGAGAGCTGGCAAAAAATTTCGACCATAAGTGGAGAGAGGAATCTTTCTATATTGTCGTCTTCAGATCTCAGGTACCACCCGAAACTGTCGCCCACTACTCTGACCTTGGTGTCCTCGACAAAGCTGCACACGCGGAGGCAACTGAAAGTGGAGGATTTCTTAAGTAAGTATAAATGCCCGATACCCATAGCAAATGACTGATGTTCTCTAGATACTGGTTTGGTGTACCTGACAAGAACGGACGAAACCTGGCAACTTGTGTTTGGCGTAGTTCTCAAGATGCCAAAATTGGTAGCGTGGGTCCACACCATCGCGCCGCGGCGAATGCTGCTAGACACATGTATACGGAGTGGAAAAGTAAGCAAATTCTATGGCGAAATTCGTGGGAAATGCTTATAAAATCTTGTAGTCGAGCGATTGAGACTCCTAGTGAAGGATAATGTCGAAGAATGGGAGATTGAACAATGGGTCGATTGAAAGATAACATCTCGTGCCTGAGTCTTTTTAGACATGCCGATCCCCGAGATCCATCGAATGAATATCGCCATTATAAACTGGCCAGGCGTAGAAGGAGTTACCTATGATTTTCTAGACTTACTAGAAGTTTGCTTGTTTTCGAGATACCACAATAGATAGACAAAATAGAGACGAGGATCGTTTTGAGATTACCTAGAGCTCCCATGTTCCTAGAGAGTTATTGGTACTGTTAGCCCTATATATATTGATCGTGAGAATATGAAAAGGTCCAAAAGTATATTGCATAGATGCATAATGAGGTTGAATTCTCTGAACATTAATGCCATCTGTGGTGTTGGAAGAGTTAAAAGCAGATACGCGCGGGGTTCAGATTTCCGCACATCGCTAGTGTGAAAAAACGCCAAGACTTCGCACACAAATGAATACAATCGTCTTCAAAAAATAACCCACCTTTTTGCGACAACGACCATTTGACGCGGAACTCTTCGACTTTGCGCCAGAACGTATTGAAATATTGGCAGTAGTTGTTCGAAATCGAGAGATCACGAATTTGGACCATATTTCATCATGGCGGACACTACCAGCAAAGAGGTGCCTTTGCACTCAGTACAGGTTGAGGCATTGGTATGAACAATCACAGGCAAGCTATTGAAGTTCTGGCTAATGCGATATACAGGTCGTTATGAAGATTGTAAAGGCTTGTGCCGCAACTTACCCAACTACAGCTACTGGATCTATCGTTGGTATGGACTCAAATGGAACTCTTCAAATCACAAACTCCTTCCCATTCCCAACGGCAGACGTCGCCGCCTCGGATTCTCACCCAAATGACCATATGGCCGCCTCGAACATTGCTGCGGCAGCTCCAAGATCAAAGGCAAATATTGTTTACCAAAGTGAGATGATTAAGATGTTGAAGGAAGTCAATGTTGATGCGAATAACGTTGGATGGTACACAAGTGCCAACATGGGAAACTTTATCAACACCAGCTTGATCGAAAATCAATTCTTCTACCAAAAGGAGCCAAATGAGAGAACCGTTGCGCTCATTCACGATGTTAGTAGAAGTGCTCAAGGTGCTTTGAGTCTACGTGCTTTCAGACTTTCACCAAACTTCATGACGGCCTACAAGGAGGGCAAATTTACCACTGAGAAGTATGTATATGAAATATGCTATTGTAATGCCATCACTGACAATAGGACAGCATGCAAAAGTCAAAGCTCACATACAAAGACATTTTGGTCGAATTACCTATCATCGTCCATAACTCTCACCTTTTGACCTCCTTTTTGCACCAAATGCCAGTCGAATTACCGAAGAAAGAACTTGATTTCCCTGCAAGTCTCGCAGACCTCACCCGAAACACACCACCAACTCCGCTCTACCCTAACTTGGAATCCTTAGATCTATCCATCGATCCTTACTTGGAGAGAACCTGTGATATGCTTTTGGACAGCATCGAAACCCACTACACCGAACTCAACAACTTCCAATACTTCCAAAGACAATTGACTCGTGAGCAAGCCAAGGTCACAGCATGGAAGACCAAGCGTGCGGCGGAAAATGCTAGTCGGGCTACACAGAAACTAGCACCTCTACCAGAGGATGAGTGGGAGAGACTCTTCAAACTTCCAACAGAACCAAGCAGATTGGAAGGGATGTTGAATGCACGACAAGTTGATCAGTACTCGAGACAAGTGGATGGATTTACCGCCAGCATCACCGGAAAGATGTTTGCAGTAAAGAGCAACCTCTTACCAGAACAGTCTTAAAAAAGAAACGTATGTAATGCAGCTGGTAGTAGGGCAAAAATTTACGGTTGCTAGCTAGGGCACTTATGAGGGATTTGTTGCATGGGCATGGCGTTCAGAGGGTTATGCCAATATGTGGGATCATATTCATGATCAAAAAGGAACGATAGGCGGCATCTTGAGGACTCTTCTCATGGACGTATAGATATCTCGTATATTCCTTCAAAAATGCACGGACATTGATATTGTCCACCCACCAATATGCACATCAACCCCACTTATAGGATTTTATTGCTATCAGTGATACCCACCCATATGCCCTAAATTCATTTTCATGTTGACCCTGAATTTTCAAACTTTCATTTCACTTCACTTCATATTAGTATGAGCAATCATATGACGTTCATATACTACGTGAGCCGTAGGTAGGCAGCTAGCAGAGGGAGGTCCTGCCACCTATTCCATACAGTAGATAGGTGCTCATGTAAATATAATCTATCCTCATGTTGAGGGTGAATATTTAAATCTCCACTATGTTCAGCAGCCATATGATATAAGTAGATAGAAGCAACTAAGGGATCTGCCACCTAGACCGTACCTAGTAGTTCCTTTGAGCAGATTCTTCTTATATTCAATGCTTTTAGTAGTATATGTTACATTTAGACAACTCACTGTTACCCGTCACTACCTACCCAGCTAATCATTAATGTTTCCAATGACAATAATGTAAATCTCACCTATCCAACTGAATATCTACTTGTGTCTCTTTGTGAAACGTTTCCTATTGTTGGCTTTGGATGTCTAAGGATTCTCCACACTAACCATATTTGGATTAGTGTTGAATTTTCCTTTCTCACCCCTCCATCACTAGTTGAAGTGTCGGCCCCCGAAATTTTTCTGTTTATCCTCCCATTTCATCTCTCTTTTTAAAAACATTCAAATCTCTTCTTCTTTCTCTATCCATTCATTCCTCAAATAAATGTAAGTATCAATTCCTCATCCATTCCAATTATCACTACAATTTTAGACCTTGGAATTGACTCTTATCTTTCAGTATCTTTCTCCCTCAACATCTTCTTCCCCTCACCGATAATGTCTGCCCCAGCATCCAAGTTCAAGGTAAATAAACACTTCATGGAGAACGGTAAATTCCAGTATACTAATCGATTCTCCATAGGTCGCTGACCTCAGTCTTGCTGCCTTCGGTCGCAAGGAAATCGAGCTTGCTGAGAATGAGATGCCAGGTTTGATGGCTACTCGTGAGAAGTATGCTGCTGATCAACCTTTGAAGGGCGCCCGTATTGCTGGATGTGTATGTATTCCCTTGATTTTCTTTTAATTGGAGTGGAGACTAAGACTGACTTGTGTAGTTACACATGACCATTCAAACCGCTGTCTTGATCGAGACCCTCACATTCCTCGGTGCCGAGGTTACCTGGTCATCATGTAACATCTTCTCTACCCAAGACCACGCTGCTGCTGCCATTGCTGCTGCCGGCGTCCCAGTTTTCGCCTGGAAGGGTGAGACCGAAGAGGAATACAACTGGTGTTTGGAACAACAACTCGTTGCCTTCAAGGATGGCAAGAGCTTGAACTTGATCCTCGACGATGGTGGAGATCTTACTCAACTCGTACACAACAAATACCCAGAGATGTTGAAGGACTGCTATGGTGTTTCTGAGGAGACCACCACTGGTGTTCACCACTTGTACAAGATGCTGAAGAACAAGGGTCTCCTCGTCCCAGCTATTAACGTCAACGACTCCGTCACCAAGTCAAAATTCGACAACTTGTACGGATGCCGTGAATCTTTGGTCGATGGTATCAAGCGTGCCACCGATGTTATGATTGCTGGTAAGGTCGCAGTTGTCGCCGGTTTCGGTGATGTCGGAAAGGGTTGTGCTATGGCTCTCCACGGAATGGGTGCTCGTGTCATTGTTACCGAGATTGATCCTATCAACGCTCTCCAAGCTGCTGTCTCCGGTTACCAAGTTATTTCAATGGAGAAGGCCGCTTCTCTTGGTCAAATCTTCGTTACCACCACTGGATGCAGAGACATCTTGGTCGGTGAGCACTTCGAGGCCATGCCAAACGATGCTATTGTCTGCAGTAAGTACATTTTTTCTATATATATTATTCAATCGCTAATCATATAATAGACATTGGTCACTTCGATATCGAAATTGATGTTGCTTGGTTGAAGGCAAACGCCGCTAGCGTTCAAAACATCAAGCCCCAAGTCGACCGATACCTCATGAAGAACGGTCGCCACATCATCCTCCTTGCTGAGGGTCGTCTCGTTAACTTGGGATGTGCTACCGGTCACTCTTCCTTCGTCATGTCATGCTCCTTCACCAACCAAGTCCTTGCTCAAATCATGTTGTTCAAGTCCGAGGATGAAGCTTTCGGCAAGAAGTACGTTGAGTTCGGTAAGACCCAAAAGCTCGACGTTGGTGTTTACGTTCTACCAAAGATTTTGGATGAAACCGTTGCCAAGCTCCACTTGGCACACGTTAACGCCGAATTGTCCAAATTGACCCCAGTCCAAGCCGAGTACCTTGGTCTTGAGGTTGAGGGACCATTCAAGTCCGAAATCTACCGTTACTAGATTTTGTTTATATGGGTTTTAATATTTTTTTTTAAGGCGAGCTGTGGATAAATCTTTCAACATGAGTAATGATTTCAATGATACCGGGGAAAAGCATTTTGACCTTCAACGGCATATAAAGGGGATTACAAGGGAAAAGTTTCAACATAAAGGGTTTATGGATGAATTTTATAAAGCGGGCGTTACTTGGCTCTTCAACCATGGTCAAGTAGTGTAGGTCGGCCTTTTGCCTTGACCTTAGAGCATATAAATTTGTGCTTTAGAATATGTATTGCATGTTCATATATATTTGGTTTTTATGTATTTGTGATGTTTGAGCGATTATGATGTAGTTGTACTGTGGTTGTGATGCTATTATAAATTATGAAGTACATGCTGTGCTCCATGCTCCAACACTGGAGAAGTAGAAGTAGAAGTAATCTACTTGTTCTATATATTTCAATGAAAGTATTAAGCCATCAACTCTTTACCTCGCTTTCCTTACTTCTGGTGTTACATAATACAGCATCACTTGATATATAGTATAATTATATATAACACTATATCAGACATGAACTTCTTATTCTTATTTTATTAACTTTTAAATAGAATAAATTAAATATACAAAATATATTATTCTTTAATATTAAATTCTATATTTATTTGAAATATATAACTAAAGAGAGAATCCGTACTTGAGTTTAAACTTGTGTTTATAATTACTTGAATTTATATCTGAATCTGGTTTATATCTGAATTTGAATTTGAATTTAATTAATACATTTACACCTCTAACAAAAAGCAAAGCAAAGCGAACCAAACAGAGCCAGTTAATTATCCCATCATATTTATTACACTTTATGTTTTGATCCATCCTTCCATCCTTCCATCCGTTTATCCATCCATCCATCCATTCATGTATCCCTATCCCTATCCCTCCCTATCCCCATCACCATCCCTATCATACATACATACATACCATTAATTACCCACGTACCCACGTACCTACCTATCTAATTAAAAATTTACTTTACTTTACTGTACTTAAATTCACCCTCGAAATGCTAAAATCCTACACTTGAAAGAAAGAAACCCCCCTAAAAACCCCAGAAACCCTAAAACCCAACTTAAAAACTCAAAGAAACCTAAAACCCCCTCGGTCTCCCCCCCTTGCCACTCTCTAAACTAAGATCAATCGACCACAAAGAATCCCAAACCACCGATCTCCTCGCATAGCTCTGCGATAGAGGAGATGATGTTCCATCTTCGGCAGTCCCAGTACATATCATGCGCTTGACTATTGTCGGAGTATGTTCTTCGGAAGCTGTGCCCGTGCCTGTGCTCAAAGCTGCAGGATAGGAATGATTATTGTGACTATTGTGCACATGATGACTATTATGACCATTATGAGCATGATGAACATTCTAAGAGTACTCGCACTATCAGCGTATGTTTTGCTTTTGCTTAGAGAGGATGATGCGACATAATGCGACATAACATAACATGGCATACCATGACATAACATAAGATATTATTGATAGAAGACAGGACGAGAATATGCACAGGCATACAAGCAAGAAGTCTTCAAAAACGCAAGATAGACAGACGCAAACAAGTCAAGATCAAGGACCCAAAAGATTATCCAAAGGGTTTCGAACCTCGCTATTGGCCTTTCCATCAGCAATGCCATCTACATTCCTCACGAGTATTGAATCCGCACCGGTACCCATCACATCATTATCATTCGCCGCATTCCTCAATCCACTAACCGAAGCCGTAGAGTCTGTTTTTCTCAGGGGTGATGAGGCTGCCGGAATGGCTTTTTTAGAATTACTACTACTTCGACGACTATCGAGACTTTTGGCAAGAGTTTTATTGAGTCCTTCAGCACCGGTAGTAGATGATTTTTTGGAGCGGCGAATTGTTGCGGTGGCGTCAATGTTTGCGCTGGCAACTGTGCTTTTGGCGAGACCGGGGGTAGATGGTGCACCAGGTTTTTCTTCCGCGGCATCGATGAGATACCAGCGGAGACCATCGGAAAGATCAAATGGATTATCATCTTCGAAAGAATCGCCGCCGGTACTTGCAAAAGAGCGACCATCGGTCATGGACTTGGAGAGGTCGACAACTCTGTCTTCGATCTTGTGGATTCGAGCTAGTAACCAATCTCGGGATCGCAATTTATGGGAATCTTGTTCTCGAAGAAAGTAATGAGGAGCACCGACGTTGAACGCAGCCCATGCTCCGGTAGATTGATTTCTAGTTGGTAAGAACAGAGCTAGATCGCCTTCTTTAAAATTCTTGAAAGCAATTTTCTCATGAGCTTCCTTTTGAGCTCTATGAGACTTTTCCCTATAAGAACGAGCATCTTTGGAATATTTCTTGGCTGTATATTCTATATCCCTGACTCTCTTTGCGATGACCTCACAGAAATTATCCACATCGAAACTGCCGATAGAATTGATATAAGCATCATACTTTTCGGCTTCTGCTTCAGGGTCATCGTTGTGCATCCAATATAACAAGTCGAGATCTCCACTATCAATCATGGCCCTCATGGTTGTAGAGCCTGTCATGCTTCGCCTGATTTTATTTCCCGCATCTGAGGAATCATTCCCATTGAGGATGCTACGATCAGGCTTTGGCAACTTTTGGATGATCATGGAGCCATTCTCCTTGGTGACTGAGTAACTCAATCGCTCAAGTAGCCGAACGAGTTTATCGTTCTGAGAATATAATCGTTGTGTGAGGTCTTTCGCACGTGAAGTACGTGAATCGAATCGGTTGTTCAATCTCTCCAACCTTTCTTGTGCAAATTGGTTCCTCTCTTTATGCGATCTCATTTCTTCCTCAAGACTACCAATTCGGGAAAGCTGTCCAGCGAGATCTTCCGACAAAGATGTGACCTTTCGTTCTTCTTCCTCCAGACGACTGCGTAGAGCTTCGGAACCCGTCTCGCCATCCGCCATCCTGGTTCTTAGAGAGCTTAGTTGAAGGCGTTCATCAGCAAGCTCGGCCTCGAGAGCGGAAAATTTAGCTTTTTCAGAAGCTAATTCTTCGCGAAGGGATTGAGACGCCTTCTCTTCGCGATCAAATTTCTCTCTATATTTCGTAAGTTCGTCTTTAAGTTCCGATATTGTCGTCTCCGCATCATCTCGTTGTGACTTCGCAAGGTTGTAATCCCGCTTTGTATTCTCAAGGTCGGATAATAGGTTCAGTGATTTGTTGGTCAATGATCCTGAGAGTGCGGTGAACTCTTGTGGCATCCTTAACTTGGGCGATAGTTGCAAATGGATATCTTGCAGAGCTTTGAGTTGATCCTGAGCGAGTGATTCTGCTTGAATAGTCCGGGACATCAATTCCTTCTTTTCTTCTCTGAGACTCTGCATTTGCCTTTCCAAACTCTCATTGGTCTCCCTCTGTAGCTTCGCATCATTTCTCAAAAAGTCAACCTGACCTTGAGCTTTCTGAGCCTCCGCAGCAGCATCCTTGCGTAACTTTTCTAACTCTTCTTGTAAGAGACGAACACGATCATCAACATCGCACTTTTCATTCTCTCTGGAGCCTATATATCTATCAATCTCGTCCTCCAGCTCTTCTAGTCTCGCCTTGAGGCGCTTGATTTCGACTTCTAAAGATTTGCGCTCTTCCATGAAATCACGTTGCTGTGCCTTGAAATTTTCCGAAAGGTCTTGTTTCATAGAATTTACTTCTTCAAGTTGAGAGTTCAACTCGCTCATTGAGGTGTTCTTCGCAGAGACTTCTTTCTCGAGACCCGAAGCACGTTCACGTTCGGCTATCAATTCTGCCTCCAAGGAAAGCAATTTCTGCTGGAATACCTTTTCTTCCTCTCCTCGGTTTGCAGAAAAGCGCCGAGATGAGATTGAAGAACGACGGGAGTCGTCATTGAGACGTGGTGATGCCATGGGGTTTGCCACATTGTGAACATCCGGGCTAGGGTTATTGGGCACTGGAAATACATTACCACTTGAAGTCCTGCTAACTTGAGTTTGCCGATGATATAGATCTTCGAGCCTTCGAACCCGACTTTCAGCAGTTTTAAGTTTGTTCTCGAGCTTCAATTTATCATCTTGCAGGCTTTTTAACACGTCATTATCTCCACGCATCAGAAGAGCACTTTTGCCAAGAGCAGATTCATGAATACTTCCTGCTTTAAAGGCGTTTGCCCTCCTGCTTTGCTGCCGCGTTGGATTGTTAAGATCCGAAATGATTCTTGAGATTTCGCCTACAATCGGAGATTGAGGATCATCAGCTTTAAGTATTTCGAGAATTTCTTCTAAATCTCGTCTAGATGCTTGAGGCCAATCATCTTTCTCTCCATGCAAGATAACTTCCAAAGCCATGACTTGCCTTTCGGGCTTCTCTTCCCACAGGGTAGCCCCTATGTTCTTCTGCCACTTTCGTCGCCGCCTGGTTTCCTCCTCCTGGAAATTCGCCATTTCGTTAGCCAAGGTAGAAGAATCTGATTTGACTTTCTCATCCCACTCGCTTCGCCTGACTGCCTCAGCCAAGAATGAAGCATACGTGACTGGTAATGTGTCTAGCATGGAGATCATATGCAATGCATCAATCACATCACCATCTAACTCCAAGGCGGCGAATCGACTATTTACTTCGGCAAGCATTGTTGTCAGGCTAGCGATGTCATACATGAACTCTAGGGACGAGATTGCGGTAGAATTTCGCAATTTAGTAACAGCCTGTACCATCCCTTCCATTTCCAGTGCTCTTTTAGATAAAGACGGTAAAAACTTCTCAGTGTGAAGAAGGGCTGACTTTGAAGCTTGTGAAATATTTTTCGGGGTATTTGCAAAGCCCAGCACAGTTTCACAGTCGGTATTGACCTTTTTAGAGATAGCTTCAATATCCTCCATCAAAGAAATAGGCTCCTGGGCATGCGGAATAGCCGCTCGTGCAGGACTCTTCTCGACCTTTTCGATTAGAAGATCAATCCTTCGCATGACCTCGTCTACATCTTGTCCGACCTCTACACTCTTTTGCTCGAGGTTTGTCGAGATGTTCCGTAACAGCTTTCCAGATCTCTTAACCTCCTCAGCATCAATCAGATCCCCCAAGGTGATCGGGCGTTGCATTTTCGACAAATCCCGGCCTGTGATGAATTTGATCACATCTGCGCTCGCAGGTAGTGACTTTAGTCGAGATATGGACGCTTCCCAATCCCCGTTGGTGGTATTGAGCTTTTGCATTTCTTCGACGTCGTTTTGAACCTCCGCATTCTTTTGATCCAGCGCCTTGATATGCTTCTCCAAGTTCAAAACGGCGGTATCCACGCACCGAGTAATCACCTCTGTTTCGATATATCTTTGCTGCGCTTGATCTGACATGGCAGCACAATCATCCACCACCTTCACAGCCCATGCCCGTCTCTCGGCGAATAAGTCTTTCCATGTTTGTAGGTTCTTCTCGTTTGTAATCGAGTCTGGGGTTTGAGAGACGGTGTATTTGCGTGGTAGAGGAATCTCGGATATCAATGACTTCGCGGATGCAATAGAGGATTGCTGGATGATGCGCCTATCGTATACGAATATCTCTTGCTAGATTAAATTAGTAGATGTATAGTTTAGCAATGCCATCATCGGTACCTCTGAGGAAAGCGCTTGAAATCGCACCGCCTTGGCTGCCGCGGTAAGAGATATGTGATCACTGGCGGCAATAGGTGTATATTTGGCTACCCATTTTTTGAAATCGTCCAAACTTGAAGGTGATCAGCATCCTATGATCGAACTAACATGATGCCGAAAACTTACGAGGTGAAGGATCCAGGGTCGACTTGAAGATGTTGGCCCGTATGGGCAATGTATACGTGTAATTCCATATCCGTTCATGCATATCACAGTCTCAGCAACTTGCCAGATTACTCTTCGTCTTATGAAAAGCAGAAGATGTTTTGTGGCATAACGATCAAGGTATTAATAAGGTCACTTAGTTCACAAGGCTGGTTGGAGACGGTAGTGTATAAGGTTTGGCCGCCTCGTCTGGGCAAGCCACACACAGATCCAGTGAATAATTGAAAACACCTTTATTAATTGATGGTAACCTTAAGTATACAGCAAAATCGGTAGTGAATTCGAGATAATTCAATTTAAAGAATCAGAAAACTCTGAAGACGCACATTAAAGTTTCAGCTGAGAATATTGATGGATCGATTTGATATAGAATTTTGAAAGAGGTGCGTTAACCTTATTTCATTCATTCACCGCGTGCCACACTAAATGTGGCTGGCCGTCGTTGGAACTAATCTGTTTCTGGATATGTGCTTTCGAAGAAGACGCGTTTCCTAGGAACAACAAATCGTAGATATCTGGATTCCTCTGTATTGAGCTCCAGAAGGCAGATGCGACAGTGAAGATGTCGCGTCAAGAAATTGTTGAAAGTATGGAAGGGGTTGAAATGACGGGATCAGCCAACGATTTCCCCCCCTTCAATGAGCAAGAGAAACGCATTTTAGAAGTGTACGACAAATTAGAAGAACTCCAAGTTGAGATCGCTTTGTTGAAAGCTCAAGGTGTTATTTCTTCAGGAGGTATGTTCCTATATACAAATATCTAGAGCACGTGTTCTGACCATTTTTAGATCAACCAGAAGAAGTCACCGATGAAGATATCCGAAAGGCAGAGAACGACCTTCTTGAGTCAAAAGCTAATTATTCCTTACGGTCGAAGATTATTGAGACTGTTGTTATTGCCAATCCCATATTGAAGGCAGTTCATGCGGGTAGTAATGCTTCCGTTATAGAACAGTAAGTTACTCTCTTCCAACACACTTCTTGCATTATTGACAAACCCATAGGGACCTCTTACCACTCATTGAGAAACGTGATGCTCTTTCTGAAAATTTGGCTCAGATATCTAATAACCTTCAATCATCAAGGGAAGAGCTGATCAAAGAATCCAGTGAAAACATTATTACGGGCAGAAAGAACGTTGAACTAGCTACAAAAATGATAGCTCTGGCAGAAGAGGCGAATAGTCAAGGGAAAGAAAACATTCAAGATCCTGAAGTTCGTGCAGAGTTGGATGAGTTGGAGGGAGCGATGAAGAATAGTAGACAGAGATGGAGGATCATGAAGAATACTGCTAGTGCTGTGGTAGTTGGTAGTGGTGTTGATTGGGCGAGGGATCCCAAGTTATTAGAAATTGTTCTCGACGACGATGGGGATTGATGATGAGAAAGTTCAGGGATAATAACAATGGATAAAGCAATCAAACATACGGACTCCACTCGTAACATCTTTTCATTCACGTAGCCTTAGAAATGCCATCTATCATCCAAACTTCCCACATGGAAATAATTCAAGGAGACATTAGTGTGTGGCTATCTGTCAAGAGTAAGTTCTGTCTATCCGTGCAATCTCGTGGTATTGATATCGTAACCTTTGACGTTTTGTTAGGTTGTAGTAGTGAATTGTCGTGAATTGAGGCTCTGGCGGAAAGACCCCAGTTCCTTCAAGATAAGCATGCACCAGGGATTATAGAAGGCTAGAAGACTCACATTCTCTCCCTTGCGGGTGGCTTACGTACGGAGTTCTTTGATCAGTGCGATCCTATAATTCAGGAGTCTTTTGCTCGTGTGACTGTATACTTGTTTGTGGTATGTACGCAGAATATGGACATGTGTGTAAAAATGCAGCGCCTTGTAACCCTTGTACTACTCAAAGCATCATTGACACCATTTCCACGTGCCACTCGGAAATAATACAGTTACAGTTACGGTACATGTATGTACTTATGTACTACGCCGTATGTAACGCAGTATGTGCCCGATTAGCATTTCCTAGCTGTGCTAACCGATGATATTGATAACCTCTCGAAGAAATTGGCTTCTAGCCTTCCAGGGTTATGCTAGGGAAGATGCAGTGCATAGAACGCATGGAACCTCCAAAGTTCTCCTGCAGAAGAAGACCCTCTGGAATATTTATCTTTTCATAGTGGCTCCCAAATCCAACATGTATTATTAGAGATGTACACCTCCGCAGGCGTGCAAGTTGAAGAGAACTCCGTTAGAGCTTGCGAATCGTTCGTGTCCTTTTGTACAGAGTAATTAAGATTACCACGGATTTGCTTCGATTTCAAATTTATCCAAAACCCGACAGGTTCAGGCTGCAATTCAAGATCGTAATACGAGTACCGGTATGTACTCCGTAAACGTAGCAATATAATTAATCAAGGGAAGACAAATCGTAATATACGGACTATATTTTTCTCTTTCCTTGCCCCTGATGATCAACAAAAACCGAGTAGTTTTCCCTTTAGAGCAAGCATCGATCCGTTTGAACCAATAGGAAAACGTTGATGCAGTGATTTTGGACCCAAAGGCTGGCATCAGAGCTCCGCTACGAAAAAGTTACATGTTGCAGAGAGAGCAAGCAAGCTGGTCGCTGGTGAGCCCAGAGCCAAACGAGCTTCATCCCTTAATTAGGTCAGGGAGGAAGCAAGAAATCAGCCAGTGCGAGAGAGCCTTGAACATCCATCCCCCTTTATAAATCTAGAAGAACTTATTTGTAAAAGTTTTTCAATGCAATTCAGTTCAGTTCGATTCTGTCCAACTCAATTCAATTTATTATTATTGTTATTATTTTCTTTTTTGGAGAACCTGTAAAGATAGCATCTTTCCTTTCCATCTAGTCTTCATACCTATCAAAAAATAGAATAATAGGAGGGGAAAAGCAAAAAAGTGAATCCATCCATCCATCCATCCATCCATGAACAACGCACAAGCGGTGGACACGGAACCTTAGCAAACGCGACTTCCTTACGCTTTATTTTCTGACCTCTAGGATCAAGAGATACACTTCTCCGTTGCACCAATATCCGTCTTTTAGGTCGAATATCCATACAATTAAGATGGATCCCAATAGCAATAGTGTCGGTAACAATAACGCCAATGGTAATCCGATGAACAACCGACTACACTTGAATTTCGGAAACGACAGATTCGCCCCAAACGATCGTGCATACCCAACAACCCCATCAACATTTCCAAATCCAATATTTCCAGGTGGAGGACAAGGACAAGCTCAGCAACCACAACCACAATCACAACAACAGCAGCAGCAGCAAGCTCAACAAGGCGCGCAGCAAGCCTATAACCAAGGATTCGCCCCCGCCGCAGGATACTTCATGAATAACCAATACCCCCCTTCGTCAGGCTACCCGCAACAACAGGTTCCTGCTGGGTATCAACAACAGCAGCAACCTTACCAACAAAGATCCGTCAATTTACAAAATGACGCCACGAATGGTTTGGCTCATCAGTTCTCCCACCAAAACCTAGGTGGTGGCAGGGGCTCACCATATGGTAATCGTCAAGCATCCACGGGTCAAAGACCAAGAACTGCTGGAGCACCAACCCAACAGCAAGGTTACTCAAGCTACTTAAATCCTATGCCGACTCAGGCTTCGCAGCAAATTCGTCCAGAATTTCAGCCAGCTCCAGAGAGGAACCCGGATCGATATGGCAATTTGACACAAAACAACCAAAAGAAGTGCTCGCAATTGGCTGCAGACTTCTTCAAAGACAGTGTCAAGAGGGCCAGAGATCGAAATGTTAGGTGAGAAATTTTGAAAGGATTGAATGTTAATACTTGTACTGAATAATTATTTCTGCAACAGACAAAGCGAGATGGAACAACGACTGGCCGACCCCAATCAATCCCAATCACGACGAGAACAAACTTGGTCAAATACAGGCAAGCAAGAGGGCAAATATTTACGATTTTTACGCACCAGGGATCGACCAGACAATTACAACACGTTGAAGATCATTGGAAAAGGAGCCTTTGGAGAAGTTAAATTGGTGCAAAAGAAGCAAGATGGCAAAGTTTATGCTATGAAATCTTTAATTAAGACTGAGATGTTCAAGAAGGATCAGCTAGCACATGTTCGTGCTGAAAGAGATATCTTGGCCGAGTCCGACAGTCCTTGGGTTGTTAAGCTCTTTACGACCTTTCAAGATCAGGATTTCCTTTACATGTTGATGGAATTCTTGCCAGGAGGAGATTTGATGACTATGCTTATCAAATATGAGATCTTTTCGGAAGATATCACAAGATTTTACATCGCGGAAATTGTACTCGCCATTGAAGCTGTACATAAGCTTGGCTTTATTCATCGGTAAGTTGATTGAAATAGGGGAAGGTCGCTTCGGAGCTCCCCTTTTATTTCTTTCATTTCGGGTACTAATTTGTATAGTGATATCAAACCCGACAACATCTTGCTTGACCGAGGTGGACATGTTAAATTAACTGATTTTGGTTTATCCACTGGTTTCCATAAACTCCACGATAATTCATACTACCAGCAATTGTTGCAAGGAAAGTCGAGTAAGCCAAGAAACAATAGACAATCAGTCAATCTTGACGAGATCAATCTCACAGTCAGTAACCGAAGCGTCATCAATGACTGGAGGAAATCCCGAAGAGTTATGGCTTACTCAACTGTTGGTACGCCTGATTATATCGCTCCAGAAATTTTCAGTGGACATGGTTATTCTTATGATTGCGATTGGTGGAGTCTTGGTACGATCATGTTCGAATGTCAAGTCGGATGGCCTCCTTTCTGTGCCGAAGATGCGCATGATACCTATCGAAAGATTGTCGCCTGGCGTACAAATCTATACTTCCCCGAGGATGTTCAGCTTGGACCGGAAGCCGAGAACCTCATCCGAAGGTATGATCCTACAAACTATTTTCTTTTCGAGTCAATCATCTAACTTTCTGTGCCCTAGTCTTGTTTGTAACTCAGAAAACCGACTTGGCCGAGTATCCGCGGATGAAATCAAGAACCACAAATTTTTCCGTGGTGTCGAATTTGATACTTTACGCCGCATCCGTGCTCCATTCGAGCCCAAGTTGACTTCCAATGTTGATACCACTTACTTCCCGACTGATGAAATCGACCAAACTGACAATGCAACCCATCTCAAACAAGCTCAAGCCGCGGCTGCCAACAGTGGTGCCCCTCGAGAGGAAGTACCAGAAATGAGTTTGCCATTCATTGGTTATACATTCAAGAGATTCGAGTCCAACTACAGATGATTGCTATAACTGCTCGGTTATTTGGTATAACCAGCCAGTTATGAAGCTTTATAGCTACCACATGGGCCGATTTATGGATATTTGATAGTCTGAGCAAGTTCACCTGGAGTGGAGTATTTCTATTGCCTATTTGTTATTACATGGCCTATTAAAGGTCAATCTAGCCGGATACCACTGATTACATGTTCTGAAGATTAACATTAGACGTCTTACGTCTTACATCTAGCGGTGCTTTTTTTTCTGATTTCATTCCGACTGGATGTATACATGAGCGAATCAGCCTAGTTCTAGACTTCTGGCATAGGGGTTGGTTTTAAGGATGGGAAGAACTTTTTAAATGTGATCATGGTGGGGAACATTAGGTAGAATGATGTCCCTGGGTATACCTTGGGAAACATGTTTACATTCAATCAAAAATTGAAATGATATCAACTGCTCGGTATTGTGCCTGGTGATATTCCCGTGACCTCATATTATAGTACAATTAGCCATTACAAACTCCTCTGAACTCCATCCGACATTGCCTCTCCAATTCACCTGACTGGAGCCAAACCAGGCACACCACTATATCTCTCCTCTCTCTCCGTCTTGAACATAATCTGAACCCAGAACTCCTTCAAATCAGAGTCCCACCAAGTCCAATATCTATCATTCGAGCGATCAATCTCCCTTGCCTGCAACTTAAATCCACACGTCTCATAAGGCTCAGCTGCTACCAACATATACTGAAAATCCTTATCCGGATCCTCCACCTTCTGCTCATACGCACTCATAAAGCGAACGCGCGGCTGCACATCCGCCGCTATCTCGGGATACTGCAACTGAAATAACAATCCCTGCTGTCTCGTAACCGGATCCCGCGTCTTCGTAATCTTATACCCGGGCCGTCCAATCTTCACCATGTTCTTGCGCACACTGACTTGCGCTCCTACCATTCCGACAGGTAGCCCCGTAATGGGATCGATACCTGCTCGTCCCTCTTTCTCCTCGCGGGCGGCCCGCCGCGCGAGATTCGTCTGATGTTTGCGTCCCTGCGTGTGTGCGAGATAGGATCCATCGTTTTGATGTACGGTCAGACAAAGTCGACATTCGAAGGAGCCAACGTGGTTTTTGAAGAAGTACGGGTCTTTGTCTAGATCAATAGTTTCGAGCGCGAGTTTGCGGAGTCGTTCCCGTCGGTCGGCGTTGGTTGCGCTGGTGGAGGCGACGCCACCGCCGCCGAATTTGCTACCGGCGCGGTTTTGGTAGTCCATTGTGGAGAGGTGAGGAGGTGTTGAAATTGGTGTCGATGGTAGATTTCAAGGCTGGTGAGTTTGAGGAACAATGAGTGCTAGTAATTGTATGGAGACGTCGTGACTCGATGACTCTGAGGGCCAATTTGTATTTGCGATCTCGAAGCTGCTTTTTGGCCAAAATTATTTTGATGGAGAAATAGAAAGTTCGCTGAATAGGTAGGTGTTGTGATGGGAAGTTGATATTGACGTCGCGAAAAAAAGTTCGGCTGTGGTTCAGCCTCTCTTTGCAAGGCTGCAACTTATTTCCTAATTAGCACAATCAACGAATTAACCTCTTTGCGATGTCACAAAGTCACAACTATTTTGTAGGTCGGCGAGTGTCGTTTCAAGGGCAATTATGCACGACCCGATATATTGGAGAGGTGAAGGGAACAGAGAAGGAATGGCTAGGCGTTGAATGGGACGACCCTTCGCGGGGTAAGAATGATGGGAAAGGGTACTTTGAATGTAAGTTTCTTGATATGGGAGATATTTTTGGGACCAACTTCTAATATCTATAGGTTTGAGCAAAGCACCAACTCCAGCAAGTTTCATACGTCCTACCAGAAAACCAGATCCCGAGCAGAGCTTTGTGGAGGCGGTATTTCATAAATATGCCTCTGGAGATGGCCTGGACCCAAGCAAGCAAATTGTGATATCTGGAAAGGTTGCAGAGGAGGTTGGGTTTGATAAGGTTGCACGGCAGCAGGCCCAGGTGCATGAACTGAAAATTGTCCTGGTTGATGGACAACGCATCAATAGGGCTCATACCAAATCTCAGACGAAAGAGGCCTCTGCTACATCAGGGACAGATAGATCAATGGTAGATCTTACTGTTGGTGAAGCATTTCCAAGCATCGTCGAGTTGGACTTGAGTAGGAATTTGTTCAGATCTCTGCATGAGATAGAAATCATTTGTGAGCAGTTGAAGAATCTGAGAATCTTAAGATTAAAGTAAGCGATTTTCAAATGTTGACGAAGCTTAACTAATATGATTATTGTAGCGGGAGTAGATTAAAGCTTGATACAAGCAAAATCTTAGATGCAATTATGCTGGGATCTGCTGAAGAAGTCTTCAATATGATTAAGTCTCTAGAATTGGATGAAAACCTCATTGATTGGAATGAACTTTGCATACTCATGCAAAGGTTCACCTCTACAGTATCTCTGACAGCATCATCAAATGGCTTCCAGAAATTGAGTTCACCTCTCACGAATTGTTCTCTTACCTCTTTAACTCTTGAGTATAATGACTTCACATCATTGACAGATCTGGAGGTATTGACTCAACTCACATCCCTCGAATCGTTACTTCTTAAAGGAAACAAAATATCTACAACAGGAACGATGTCAGGGTCTGGTTCTGTTAAAACATTCACGCCATTGATTTTCAATAAAAAGTTATCATACATCGACTTATCTTACAACCAAATCGACAAATGGGATTTTGTGGATGAACTCGTCCATATATTTCCTGGCATGACATCTTTGCGAATATCTAAGAACCAAATCTATCAAGAAAAAGGCGACACTTCCACAATGGGAAGTCTTAATGAGGAATTCATGTTAACATTAGCACGTCTTGGGAGTCTCCAAAAATTGAACTTTAGCAGCATTACCCCTCAAGATCGAAATAACGCAGAATTATTTTATCTTTCCGAAATTGGCAAGGAACTTGGAGCTGTTGGATCAGATCAGGAATCTTCAGTCGTTTCCAGACACAAACGATATAAAGAGTTGTGTGATCTTCATGGTCCTCCGGTAGTGGTGAGGAAAGAAAAAGCGGAGATCAATCCTGCTTTTCTGGAAGCACGTTTGATTAAATTCACATTCTACGTTCCAGCAAATCCAGAGATTGATCAAAAGGAAAACACAATAGTGAAGGAGATTCCTAAGGCGTTTAGCATATACCGGGTCAAGGGAATTGTGGGAAGAATACTAGATCGTAGACCCTTGAGCTTGAAACTTATTTGGGAAACGGGAGAGTGGGATCCAGTGGCGGGTTATGAAGATGTTGATGAGTACGATGACGATAACGATAACGGGGTAGACAAGGGCGCAGAAGGTCTTGCATCTGTGAGCTTGTCTGGTGAGATTGAAAAACAATCAAGAGGAAACTATTCTGGCATGGAAATTGACAAAGTTGCTACACAAACTCACGAACAATCCGGGAAATCCATAGCAGGCAAATTCATGAAAAGAGAAGTAGAGTTAGAAGATACAACGAAAGACGTTGGGCTTTGTGTGGATGGTATGGAGGCTAGAGTAAGAGTGGAATTCAAAGATTCGAGGAAATTTCCTGGATGCGAAAGGTCAGATTAGATTAAGTTGAGTATATTTTAGCATATTACAGTACATGTGTTTGATACCCAATTGCATAGCACAACACTAAAAGAGAACAGAACAGAACAGAACAATTTACTAAAGCGCAGTAAGGTTAAGATTTATAAGTATAGTGGTTGGTAGGTATTCTTTACTTGCATACATGCAAATCTTGATGCTTGTTTGTAAATTCCTGTTCCATGATCTATCTCGCTGGGTTTTTATTTGCGTTTGTCTGTAATTGTATGTATACATTGTACAAGCAAACTCACTTTGGATTTTGCTATGCCCACAAACTTTGCTGACAGATATACATATACAAAAAGAAAAGTATCTGCATCTGTGGTTTTACAGTGGATTGATTATAAGTTACAATATCTAGGTACGATCACGATAGATATAATCTTACATACAAGAAGCAAATGAGAATAAGAATAAGATGAGTAACCTACATAGGAAACTGCAGGGAAGATAACTGGTCTAATGCTAGATGCTTGATGCTAGATGCTTGATATGTAGAAGTGTTGTATTATATCTATTTCTATGAGTCGATTTTTCAATCTTCCTTTCTTTCTTTGGATGTGTTGGGTATTGTACGATTACATCTATTATTTATTATCTATGGGCAGGACATTTGATAGATACATAATACATAGCACGAAAATACAGCAATAAATCACCAAGATTTCCACTCCAGTCGAAAGTATATCCATGTCCACATCTACTATACCCAAGGAAATGGAAACGCGAACCAGAAACACCCCGGGACAAGGTCATAGATTGAAATATTTCATGGTGCGTAATTCGGGAGATGTACATGTGGCCATGGTGCTATTGGTGCTACTGGTGGTGGTGGTGCTGGGGGATGAAATTGAAGTACTGAGGGGAGGGGAGGTGCTGAGGGTTGTAGGGAGGGGGAGGGGGTTGGATGGATTTGGGGTGAAGGGAGGATGTTGGGTTTGAGTGATTCTGGATTGGTTAAGAGGGAGGAGAATTTGGACGGTTGGAGAGGGTGAAGGAGAAGAAAGGATGAGGAGAAGGAAGGAAAGAGAGATGGAAAGATGGAATGGAATGGAATGAATGAAAGGAAAGGAAAGATTCAGGAGATGGAATGAAAAGGAGAATGAAGGATGAGAAAAAAGAAGGAAATGGAAGGAAAAAGGAGAAGGAAAAGGAAGGAAGGAGGGAGGAAGGAAGGAGGGAAGGAGAAGGAGGGGAAGGAGAAGAGTACTAAGAGGGAGAAGGAAAAGCTGGTTGATATTTGAATTCGAAAATCTCGTTCTGAGAAATGGAAATTGGAAATGGAAATGAGAAATTGGGAGAAACTTTCTTAGATGGAATTTTTAATATATGCTTTACTTTGAATCATGGCTGGGGATCACAGTATGTTTTGCGGTAATCTCTAGTAGAGACAAAATCCGAAATATGACGATGGGGAGTTTTGAGCAATCTTATATGTCAAGTGATGGATGGTATGTTATTGATACAAGTCTGTTGGTCTTTATTTATCCTCCCCCTTCTCGCGCAATTTACGTAATTTACACTCTGCTGTAGACTTAGTCTTACAATTTATATTTTATATTTTATATTTTACATTTTACATTTTATCTCAGCTCGGAGGTCTTAAAACAGCTCCAGCTGGCGTAATGGGTTGTATTAGTTTAACCGAGTATAAATGGCAGTAATTAATGAGGGTCTACGTAGTAATGTTTGTTACTGTAGTTTCTGAATCTATATACTAGGTATGTAGATCGAAGTGTGCGGTTTCTGATGGGTTAGGACTTGGAGTTGGGATGTTAGGGGAGAGGGAATGGGAGACGGGGAGTGACGATTCCTTGTTGATAGATTGTAGAGAGATATGGTGGTACTTGTCTTATAAGTTGATAATTTCATCATCAACTTATATTTATTGCCATTGATGAATCAACTACACTTCAGATAATCCAAAAGTCTGTTATCTCTCTCAACTTACCAACAATTAACTCTCATGTAAAATTCCTCATTATCAACAAGCACAAGTATTTGTCCAATTTCCAGATCCTAGCATATTGGATTTCTCAATTTCTTATGGCGTTTATATCAGATCTTATATTTGAATTTAATGAGTCTATGTAAAAGTCAATACCCACTGAGATGATGGGCTGGTGTTTCTTTATTTGAGGGTAGATCTTTTCTGGGTACATGTGTTAGAAGGTGAGTAGGATATTGGTCTGTTATATACTCATGGAGACGGGGTAGTGCAGATAGTGGAGATATACATATAGCGGAAAGGAGTAGCGAGGGTATATATATTCTTAGAATCAAATATCCACTTCCTCTTCAGTTATAGCTGTATAGATCAATGGTAGATGGTGCGACATGGTGACTTTGTACAATAAAAAAGTCCCAATTCCCTTTATGTGGTATAAAGTTATCTATGGTATGTGGTAAGATCAGGTTATGGGATATCCTTCAAGGTCCTAGTGATTCTTGTTATAGATTTCCACATTGTCAATAATTAGTTGGTGAATTTTGCAACGTCACAAGTCTTAGAAAGTATAAATATATATTCAAATTGATATAAAGGATAGTAATACAAGCAAATAATTCATCAACCTGCCACTGTCGATTTATATTTTAATTTATATTTTTTTAATTTAAAATAAATACTTTTTTGTCGGGTGTTATTGTCGCTTTGTTTGTCTTTTTTATTTATTTTGATGTGACGTGTATATTTAATCTGTATATTTATCATAATGATGATTATATTGATTCGAGTTATTTTTTTCGAACTTCGGGATTTTTTGTTAAAATCACGATGTTCAACTTATCAAAGTCGGTCTAATGCCGAATCTTCTTGAATATTTTCTATGTGTAGAGAATAATAAGTAAAATTCTTATAACTATCAAGGACTTTTATATAACATTCAGAAAAGATTCCCCGCAGCAAAGCAAATGCACCAAGCAATGCATACGAACTACACTAGCTTCACACAAAGTCCATCCCTCAAATCCTAGCCTTTCAACTACGAATATCATACTTCTATCTAACATGTAGTTCCCTCAAAGAACTTCGATATGTGATCGTTTTGATATTCTATTTTTATGATAATTTACAAGATCAAACAAAATAAATGAGAAAAATCAACAACAGAACGCATCTGCAATAAGCGACAATAAAATCATAAAGATAAATTCATCTATAGAAGTTGATATTTGAAGATTGTCATGTATTTCAAGTTTCAAATGTATTGAAATCCTTAGAGTATATTTTGTTATCACTGCAGCTCTAGCCGCACTTGGATGCTCTTGTCTCTTTGTTATTGTAAAGTATAGGTAGCTATAATATTACCAATATTTATAGATATCGATGAAGAAAAGAAGTTAGAATTATCATTTCACTAACGCGGAGTCTATTAGCTATAAAGCATACTTATACCCTGTGAAAGACTCGACGTAACTTAATATCATCAAGAAAATTGTAAGATCTTATATGGAATTTTGTGAAGCTAATCCACCTATATTACTATTATCCTGCACCCTCCATCCTCCTCCAGCCGACTAAAAAAACTGTATAACCTCAAGCATCCACCCACTACCTAGGTCCTTCCACACAACAAAACAACTTTCTAAATTGTCTCACGCAAGACTTAAGAAGCCTGTAGTTAATTCAAAAAAAAAAGACCGCAGATACGACTTCATACACAAGCAATATAGCCCCCGTACAGACATTTTCGAAACCCAAGATGTCTTTTTTTTGCTATCATCGTGCTGGAAATATCTTTTCGAGATGACATTTGAATCAAATAGTGATTATTTCCAACCAATGACAATAAAAACTCAAACTCAACACTACATCAAGGTTTCAAACCCCATACAAGACTGCAGGACTGTAGAAATAGAATATATATAATTATATACATTTACATATATAAGAGTATTCTTCGAAAGCATACCAAAGATCCCAAAGAGTAACCAAACCTTAACCTTAAGTCCACCAGTCTTTATAAAACTAGAACTGGAACAAATTCAGTTGTAAGATTACATAGTACCTCAAGATAGCCCTACTTCATAAATATTGACAAGAATAATAGTATCTAATATCTAATATCTATACTTATAGACATAGACATACTCCGTAAAGCCACTAACAAATAGCTTCCTTCTAGAATAAATAAATCCATTTATAGAGTAATTAAATAACCTTATGCCATTCATATGCTATGGAAAATCTCTCGCTAGGTAGGCATATAAGAGCCATAAAGGAAGATTGAGATTCAGGGTTTGTGTGTAAGTTATTGTTATTGTTATTGTTGAAGGTTGCTTTGCTTTGAGGGTATGTTTGTATGAGGTATGAGAGGTATGAGAGGTATGAGAGGTATGAGAGGTATGAGAGGTATGAGAGGTATGAGAGGTATGAGAGGTATAAGAGGAGAGTGATTGAGTAGACAATGAATAAACTAAGCATTTTCCTTCAGAGACTTCTTATGATGTAGATATAAATGATTATAGATCATCAATCAATAAGTCAGGCAAAATATAAAAAGTTAAGACTTACTTTTCTTGTAGTTAAAGCTCACCATCTATCTCCCCACGAATTCCAGTGTCTACTATCAAAACCCAATGCATCAAAGTCTCACAAAATACCGCTCAGGCAGCCATCGTGATATTAATCATCGTCCTAGGATTTTAGTATTCTAGTAAACTATCATTCCACACAGGAGCAGATCCCCTGCTTTCCCATTACATCTCTCCAAAAAACGCCATGCTTGCCATAATTTCCATTCCAATTCCCCGAATTAATATCCGTTAATTCGTGATATTTTGTAGCCTTTTTACTCCTAGTACTCATTACCTAATATCCTGTCAAAAATTGGATATGCAGATCAGTTTGGTATTCGCTTTTCCTCCCACTGCTTTCCCCCCCATGCTGTATTTAAGCATGAGCCATAGACGCCAAAACCTCAGCCGCATCTGCCTCGACAGGTCCTTGGCTTTGCTCTAAAGGTGTCAAATCTCTAGGTGAGAAAGGAGTGCCGCCATTTGGAGACATAGCCCTATTTGGTGTAAAATTAAGTCCGCGGATACTTGGTGAAATTGAGCCCTCGTCCATGGCGGAGTGCTCTTCCCCCATTGGCATTGGAATCTTCGCAAGGCCAGCCAACATCTCCTTTCTTTTCTCATGCCATTCCAAATCTTTTGCGATGGCACTATCAAGTAAAACTTCCTTCTCCATCCATTCTCTTTTCCTCAACTCTTCCATAAATTCGCACTGTTTCCTTAATGCCTCGCCTTCTTCCTCTGCCCATTTTATTTGCTTACGTAGTACTTTCCAAAGCTCAACTGGTCCCTTTGCTTCTTCGTCCAAGGTAATTCCTAGTTCAGGAGGATATGATGTCGCCAATGACGAAGGATCAACTAAAGGTGATATCTGTGCTCCTGCGACAGGATTTGCATCAGGAAATGGCTTCATGACGACTTTGAGTTGACCGTGGCCTGGTTTTGAAATGTCATGTATATGTTTTGGAATAGGATCGGAAGGACGAAGAGCTTCAGTTTCATGAACTGTTCGCATGTGTTTGGCGAGAGCATCAGAACGTGTAAAAGCGCGATCGCATTCTAGTAAACTTGTTAGCTTTGATTTAAACATTCACTTATAGAGAACAAACCAGGCAACGCGCAATAGAATGGCTTTTCTCCGGTATGACTTCTCATATGTGCCTTCAAAGCATAAGCACTTGCTTGAGGTTGGCTTTTCCTTGGACAAGCCAACCACTCGCATGTATATTTCTTGGGTCTCGAATCGATGTGATCATGATGTAAATGATCGACTAGCTGATCCATATCTCCCAAATCTCCTCTAGTACATCCAAGCCATGCGCAAATTGTAATCTGTTCATGTAAATCATCTAGAGCATCCTCCGGTCGTTGAATAATGCCTGGGGAATCCGGGATGTCTCCTTCTGTATCACTAGAACAATAACCATCTGTTCCCTCCATTTTAATATTGCGAGATGTGTGAGCGATGCGTAAAGATTCATCACTACCCGTCTTTTGTCTTTTCGCGGGCGGCATATGAGTTTCTGCAGCCATCCGTTCGTTCTCTTCGTCAATCTCGAATGCGTCTGAGGAAAGATCTGAGAGGGGAGATCCTGGAGGCGAGTCGTCTGCCATGTTGAAGTAGTGAAAAGTAACAATCGTATAGTGGAATTGGTAATCAAAGGTACGCTAAAGGTGAAAATCTTAAGGTTGAGGTTGAAGGGTGAATTGATCGAGTTCAGTTGTTCAGTTGGTGTTTAAAGGTTTAAAGAAGCTTTGCGAATATGCAGTTTAGTTGCAGTTGCGACTCGATGATGTCCATCGCGAAATATGCCAAGAGCTTTCGGAACTTTCCGTCCAGCTTTATTAGTTCTGCTAGCTTGTTGTCCACTTTTCTTAATAAAGTAACCTTAACATTTTCTTCCACCACATCTTACATCAAAATATTTTACTTCATGTTACACACAATCCGATCAACTTTCGCAATTGCGCTCTCTTGATTGTAAAGACATCATGCAGCTCCGGTATTCAAAGACTCTGCAATAGATAATACTATTTAGGTAAGCTCATTTTATGCATCCATCTCTTTTCTCACACTCCCGCCATGATGAATAACCTTCGAGTTCTGCAATTCGGATGGATGTAGGCAACTGCATCTTAAGGTCGACATAAACACATTACACAATTTATTCTGAGCTCTAGTTCTAAATACACATTCTTGCGCTACTTCATACTCCAGTTTCATCATTGCTAACTCCTTTCCTTTCACCAAGGCTTTTAACCTTCCAACATTGCTGATTGCTCCTTGCCATAACGAGGTCCCGAACTTGGGAATTGCTTCAAAATCGATTCAAGCTCCACCAAATCATCAGCACTTAAGGATACTTGCTTGGAGTTCTCCTTGATGCGGCTGATTGTAGTAGCGCCGGGGATTGGGATAATCTCTGGATTACCGTCCTTCTTCGAAATTGCCGTGAGCCAATTAATAGAAATTTGAGCCAATGTGCATTTCTTTTCCTCCGCAATCTTTGCCACTGCATCAGAAAGCTTCTTGTTGGCTTCGAAGTGTTCTTTCTGGAATCGAGGATAGTCTTTACGGGGATCCCCCTCAGGGATATCTTCTGGCTTTTGAATCGCACCGGTCAATAATCCTCGGCCTAAGGGTGAGTATCTGTGTTTCATTAGCCATACCATTATCATTATCCATATCGAAAGAAAATACATACGCAACAACCAAGATATCATGTTCAGCACAAGCCTTTGCAACCCCATTTTGAAAAATATTCAACGTAGACAAAGCAACTTCCACCTCACAAGCCACAATCTTCGTAACCTTTGCAGCCCTACGCACTGTCTCCGCCGAACATTCACTCAGCGAAATACCCCCAATCTTCTCCGTCTTCACATATTCCTCCTCCAAAACCTTCATCGTAGTTTCAATGGGTGTATTCTTGTCCACCCTCGCGCACTCGAAAATATCGATTTTTTTCTTTCCTCCCAAGAGTGCTAAACATGTATCCACACTCTTTCTCACTCCCTCTGGACTTCCATCTGGAACGAACTTTGTTAGATCTATACCACCCTTGATACTCAAGACTACTTTATCAGCATCTTCAGGATACCTTGTAAAATAGGCCTTGCAGATGGTAAGAGAGTTGTATTCAGGTGTTCCGTAGAATTGTCCACCGTTCCAGAAATTGCAGCCGTTTTCGAGGGCGGATTTTAGGGTTTCGATGCTCTCTTCGAGAGGTTGAGGCTCTGGACGCCATGAGAGACCTAGGAGGGAGGATTAGTTGGTGTTTGAGAGGAGATTGGGGAGGACATACCCATCATGCCGTACCCGATGGTACCAATATCTTTTCCGAGTAATTGAACCATTTTGTCTGTTTTTATTCTCTTGTTGGTGCTTTATTTATGTGATGTTGTGTTTGTCTAATCGATTGAAGTTTGATATTTTTTTAAGAGGGGTAATTAGGTGCACTGCAGTTATGTATAATGGAAGAACTAATACAGTAGAACTGGCTATTACCAACGATAAATAAAAACGCGGGAACAATCAACTCTTTATATACTCTACTATCCCTCATCTACCTGATATTTTCGCGCTTACGTTACACATTATATCATCAGTGAATTTCCATATAAAATAACCATATGTACTTCCACATCCGGTAATTGAAGGGAAGTGGGGGAGCCTTTCTCCCTCATAGCTAAGCTAAGCTAGCTAGCTGGCTAATCGCGAGATGAGGTAAGCTAGACCTCGCTCGGGGTTAGTGATTAAGTCCATGCATCCATACGCGGTTGATTTATCGGTAAGCAAGCATATTTCAACCTCAACCAAAGTATCATGTACATATCGCATTGTAGGAAGTAAGATCTTACCTACTCGTGCTGACGGAAAAGAGAGAAAAGTCCGCCGCTAGAGATATCTAATTAGTTTATTTCTCTGCTGCCCGTACGGGGTGGTGTTAGGACTGTAGTTGTCCGCTGGAATGCTAATTCAGGGTGGGAGCCGTCTTGCTTTGGCGAAGTTTATTTACCTAGGCATCAAATGTTTGATTTATGTCTATGTTATAATATAATAATTAATAATTAAAAATTAAAACAAATAATAGTTATTTTTAGTTTAGACTCTAAAATTTATATAGGTATGTATATATTTATTATAAATTATTATACTCCTTTTTTATCTCTTCTTCTCTTCTTAGAAATATTCAATCTCAAAACTCGATTTAAAAATTATTTTAAATACGAGACTTTATGACGTAGGATTGAAAAAGATTATTTTTCTTTAGTATGCATGATCATATAACCTTAACCTATGACAGCATTGGAGATAAAGCTCAAAATACAAAGTCCATTTCCGCTCCTGTCTTCCTTGTTGAACTCGTGGGAATCATGGGGCATCGAAGGAAGGAGATACCGGTCGTTTGGTAAGATGCTTAACGCCGTGCTTAGTATGTATGCGTGTTTTTAAATTTGTACGGTTTCCGAGATCGAGACATCGCGGGTTGAGTCTTGGGGATATGTGGATAGGAGGCACTTACTAGATATGGAAAGAGAGGTGTGAGGAAGTGTGCTGGTAGGGAATTTGTTCATATGAGAAGGGTTTGTGCAGTTGGGTAACGGAAACAAATCGAGTAATGAATCTCAAAATGATATCAACATCACACTAAACCCTCGTTTGACTTTTTTTTTTTCATGAAGTCATTAGGCCCACAAATATACAGTCCCTTTGAAACTTTTCCCGAAGCCAAATACCATCTCATCCCCAATAACCAATGCGTCTTCGCATTCCCCATTTTGTCTCCCTATCCCCCTCACCAGAACCTCACAACCCCCTCCTGAGAGCCTTCTTCCTCGCACTTGCACTCTCCTGGTTGCCAAACGGCCACCCACTCGTCCTCTTATCCGCTCCCGTCTTCTTACTAATCCTCCCACTCTCCGTCCCAAAAAGTATACACCATCCCCCTATCGCAAATAATGTCGTCGAACCAAGCGATCCCAGAGCAAATGTAAAAGTTCCACTTGTTGTATAGCGCGCATAGCAGTAAAACGCGATCACGCCATGATAAATGGTAGAAATTGTAAGGACAGGAACTGCATAGGGAGCTTTGGGGTCACTGGCTGAAGATGTGACTGCAGAGGAAGCAGTATCGGACAGAGAAGAGGTGAGAGGTACGGATCCGGTTAGGACGACGATTAGGACGCTGAGGGTCAGTAGTGTTATTCCTAGGGATCTGGAAAAGTATTCTTCAAGTACTGGGAGTGAGCTGTTAGTAAAACTATGGAAATTTGAAAGGTATGCATTGGACTAACAAGTAGCATCTCGAACTTCAGGTGAGAGCAGAGCAATGATGATGGTAGGAGATAGCATTAATGGAACGGCTTGTAATGCAAGCCATCCTGCTGTTCCATATGTGTAGGAGTAAAATACCTAGTTAGGAAATCAGTCAAGCATGTTCTGATATATATCTCGGGTTGTGTCATACGTCCATAACTCTCACAAGTGTTAGGTGAAAAGTTTGGTGTAACCTCCAACTCGATTAATATATCCCTAGTATTGTCTTCAATATACAAGGCAAAATAGAATCGACAACCCCTCTTATAACTACAAATCCACAAAAAACAACAACAAAGTCATCCCATGTCAGGAACAACACAACCGACCACACAACCTTACGTCATTGATTTCAACCTCAGGCAAAAAAATGAATCGTCGAGGCATCACTGCATATTTTAGTGCGGGGCTGTCAGCCCTCACCCTAGTCAACGCCACCATCTCCATTCTCCGTGCTCCGATCCTCGCAATGCATTTTCGACGAATTATCTCAATTGTGATTGTCAATGATTTACAATCTTTTAAATTTTTTGTCCCGATAATCTTCGAATCTATTTACGCATCTCCGATATTTAGATAATATCATTCTACTCTTTTTACTTACAATCGAAAGGTCGAATATCGTATATCTATCATACATAAGAACTCCATTCCGAAATAAAAGAGCGGCGCATCCAGCGTTCGCAAAGTCACCAAGAATCATGAGCGCAATTCTCTCCGCAGACGATTTAAACGATTTTATATCCCCCGGAGTCGCATGTATAAAACCCGTCGAAACCTTACCAGCTTCAAAACCTTCTGCGGATAATGTATGTATATTCATATTCATTCTTTCCCTATCATCCTGTCCTAACACCTTCGTCAGGAACTCGAAATATCCTTCAATACCGATGCCCCTCTTCCTTCCGATTTACCCCCCGCCCAGATATCACTCACAGATTGTCTCGCATGTTCAGGATGCGTCACTTCTGCGGAAGCTGTCCTTGTATCTTTACAATCGCATGCCGAAGTATTATCACAGTTAGATTCAGCACCAGGTCTACGCCTATATAAAAATGCGACGGGGACAGGTATAAATGTGGAAGGACTAGAACAAGGAGGGAACATTTATGTCGCGAGTGTCAGTCCGCAATCACGAGCGAGTATTGCTGCTACCTTTGGAGTTACCGAACGAGAAGCAGGCTATATGATTGAACATCTACTTAGGGGACCAAAAGGAATAAAGAACAAGGCGGTTTATAGGAATGCATTTCAATGGGTTGTGGATACGAATATCACAAGAGAGGCATGTTTAGTACTCGGAGCTGAGGAAGTAATAGCGTCTATGAAAGACGCCGGATCTAAGAAACCAATCCTGACATCTTCTTGTCCTGGATGGGTATGCTACGCCGAAAAGACACATCCACACGTTTTACCTCATTTATCACGGATTAAATCACCACAAGCATTGATGGGAACTCTTATAAAGACGACTTTGAGTCGAAAACTTGGTATTTCACCTGATAGGATATGGCATGTAGCGGTTATGCCATGTTTTGATAAAAAGCTGGAGGCTAGTCGAGAGGAATTGACCGACGCGGTTTGGGAAGGAACAGGAACTAGGGGCGTTAGAGATGTCGATTCTGTCATTACCAGCAAGGAGTTACTCATGCTCGCAGATTCCAGGCGCATCGACTTTTCCAAATTACCTCGGACTCCAATGCCTACATCCTCACGCATACCATTCCCAGATCTAAAAATAGACTCTTTTCTCTTCCCATCTAATCGCAGAAGTAGCAGCAACGGTAACCGCGACGCTGGTACTTCCGGTGGGAATCTTCATTATGCCCTCCATTATTTTGCATCCCAGCATAAAGGATCATCCATCCAAACGATTAAAGGTCGAAACGTAGATGTTGTGGATTATACTGTTGTCGCAGATAACGGTGAGATATTGTTAAAGGCGGCTAGATATTATGGATTCCGAAATATTCAAAATCTTGTCCGACGACTTAAGCCAGCAAAGCCGTCTCGAATGCCTGGTGGTAAACCTATCGGAAGCGCTAGGCGGCCAAATGGTAAAGCTTCCGGTCCCGATTATAGCTATGTCGAAGTTATGGCATGTCCAGGTGGCTGTACCAACGGAGGTGGTCAGATCAAGCTTGATGATCCAATAAATACTAGCCGGTTGGAAGGTGATACGAAAGCCGGTCCACAAGAACAGAAAATGTGGCTGGCCCAAGTTGACGAGGCATACTTCTCTGGAGAAGATAATGTGGAGTCATCGAGTGTTGATGACCGTAATGATTTAGTTGAAGGGATCTCACCATCATACATCAAAGATACCCTATCGCATTGGGCGACAACCACCGGCCTAGATCTCGAAAGATTGGTGTATACGACATATAGGGAAGTTGTCAGTGATGTCGGCAAAAATGCTGGGGATGCCGAAAGAGTAATAGAAATCGCCGGCAAAATTGGCGGAGGTTGGTAGTTGATGACTCTAGAGCAGAAAATCAACTCATTTTACCACCTCGATTTGCGAACCCAAATCCTTTACCTGTTGCATCAGGTCCCCTTGGTGCTCGAATAATTTGTTCATTCTCTCGTGACATTGGTGTAGATGTGCCCGAACCTGATCGTGATCCTTCCCCATTTCTAGATGTCTTCTGTATTGTGATCGACCCCGGCTTAGGCGTATAGTTCGGATCGAATAACTCTTTCTGTCCAGTTCTACTATCCGGTCTACTATCCGGTCTCCGAATATCATTTCCTCTGCCTCTTCCCCTTCCCTGTAGAGGCGGTGTCCCATTCCTCGGACTACTACTACCACTACCTCCCCTTCCATTTCCAGAATTACTTCTTGGTGCGGCATTAGTCCCTAGAATCCTGGCTCTGGCTTCATCATACTTTTTCTGCTTTTCCTCACGTTCGCGTTGTGTCCTTTCGCGCAATTCTTCGGCACTTGGTCCTGGGACAATAACTTCCTCTTCCTCTTCTGCTTGAATGGTGATCGTTTTACCAGTTCGAGGATCTATTTTGGTGATGGTTCTAGGTGCAGGTTTACGGGAGAGAAGTGTAAGAGGCGCCTTGTAAGGCGTAGCTAATGGAACGGGTTTGGCGAGATTAGGTGGAAGGAAGGGAAATTCTTCTGAGAGGCCGCCTGGGGTTTCACTATGGATGAATCGTATTAGTTGTTTAAAGCGGAAAGTTGATATGGAAGGACATTGTAGACGTAGAATGTAACATACGCAGATTCCCATATCTTCTTGTTAATCTCGGCGTGTTTTGCTAATCGTTCCGCCTTGGATATTTTGGGCTCTTCCTCGATTACTTTATTTGTTGCTGGTGGTGCCGATTCCCATGCGTCGGCTTGAGTTTCCCAATCGTCGTCCCAGGCACTGGGAATTGCTGATTTTTTGCTCATATTCTATTAGAGAGTCCTTGTTCTATGTACTGAGAAAATATTCCGGAAAATGTAAAGAGTGTAGAGAGGTAATGGAAAAGGAGGGGTGTGGGTTTGCAAGGGATGTGGCTTGCTGTGGATTACGCTAAGTGTATAACAGCCCTGCTATCACAACTTGGCTGCATGACAAGGCTGTGGGGTGTTTACTCAAAGCTTCATTATCACCATCTTCAAATAAATTCACTTCACCTGTCCTAGAAATACAATAATAAGACGGATATCTTCACTGTGTAGACCATTAGTACGGTCGCATCAAACTCACTAAAATGTCAGCCCAAGAATCAGCAGGTAAATAAATAACCATTCCCATTCCCATTCCCATTCCCATCCCCATTCCTATCCCCCATCCTCACGCTCAATCCCAAGAACCAAATATCTTACCATTTCCTAGCAGATCAACAACCCCCAGCCTCAAGCACCGATGCCGAACTGTCGTCGCACCAAGAATCCCACCAAGAAGACCTCATGATGGAAGCTCCGGATTCCCCACCGGATCTCTACGCCCATAACTATAGTTTCTCTGATACTCCTGTTACGACGCCCTCAAAGAGTGTTGCCCCTCAGGATAAGATTAATCATGGGTCGCCGGGTAGTTCGTGGACTTCGAAGAAATTTAGAGAGGAGTATGATAGGGCTTGGGATGCGCTGGTTGATAGGAATTGGGATGGCAGTGAGTTATTTTCCCCCGTCATCTTGCTGGTCAGGGAGAGGAAGAGAAAAGAAGGCTAATGTGAATGGTAGAGAAATATGGTGATCCGTTGGTCAAGGCTTAGGGAGCTACGAAGAATTCACGACGATGTATTGGGAGATTTTCGCAACTGGATGGGGGGCTACGTTGGAGGATGAGCTTGCCACATGCTAGCATTAGTGCGAAGCAGTTACGACAGAAGATATGATGAAATGCATAATGGCTCGGGAGTTGGGAGGATTTGCTGGCGTTTAGGAAGAATGGATGAGAGGGTGGCAAGGAATAGTCTCTGTCTACCTCGAGGTGAAAATACAATACATGCCTGCTTTCATAGTTTATCTCTTATCATGGTATTCCTGTTCTGTCTGTTCACTATACTGGCTTTGGTAGTGTAATATCTGCTTTGGATTCTATTATTGCTATCATGTCGCAGAAGCGTGAAGTTAACCTGGAATGAAGAGTCATTATGCAAGTGCAAAGCACATCTCCACCCCGCCCAAACGTATCACTGCTCATCCGTTATAAATCACGCTGCCCTGTTGCTATATAATAGCCCAGATTGATTCTTGCCGTGTCCATTGCCTGTTCGTGTCAAGTTGTCTAATGGTGTTGCAAATTAGCTGGGGTTTTATCATGAGGTGTATTGTTATATCGTACCTTTTGAAAGAGAAGTGCTCAACTTATGAAGTCTTGAGTTATTGGGGATCTTTCCGAAGATCTTGAGAACTAAAAGTTCGTGTGTTGGTACGATCGATCATGTAGCAAGGACGGTAAAGCTGTGAATGGTACCCAATGCTAAAGGAAAAGAATGAAGATTGGCCATACCCATTATCTATTGGAGCTTCATCTCAGAGTCTGAAAGCTTCCGTTTCTTGTTTTCACCCTCGTTATCCTTGGCTTCAAGCACTCAGTCGACTAAGACGAGTTGAAGCTCAAGGTTAGGAATAGGAACAGGAACAGAACCCAGCTTGTCATGTTGGTAACTTTCTGGCTCTTATGTGCAGAGGTCGACAACGAATTTGCAATTTTCCTTCAAACGAGCCTTGAAAGCAAGATCAAACGGAGTTCCCTTGTGGAAATTTAGCATTCTGTTGACGTTTAATATGTTATCATCTTTGCTGCTATCATAAGTCCTAAGCCTTGCCATAATTCATATGGTGATAGTGTCTTGGAATGATTTTCAATTCATGAGAAGCTAAAAGTTGTCTAGTAAAATCTACATACAAGCGACATAGATCACTATGCAAATATCTTGACAAAGCTTGATCACGTCATTGAGAAAAACGCTGTGGAAATCGGGTTATCGTATGCTGTTAACTGCACGTATAGGCAATGCACTTTACCAGCTACTTAGGAATTTAATGATTCTTAACTATGGCTTGGTCTAATTTGCGAACACCGAATCCAGCAGTTCACGTGTCGTTTCGCGCGCAGTTTGGATGTAGGAGCTGAAGGATTTTAATAAAAATTACCATCATCCTCACAGAAAATACGAAAATCAAGGGAAAAAATGATCGTATAAACCCATTTCTCGCATAATAAATACCAAGAAGAAAAGACTCGATTCCTATGCTATATTCAGATAATACGCCACAGGAGTCTGACCTCACAGTCACAGATTGCTCCAGACTTAAAAGTACGAGCCTTTCACTTTAAAAAGCTCTTTGTTATGAAACTCATTTAGTGAATCGACTTCCTCAGAGCTTACTCTTCTATACTTCCATCTTCGAGCGCTTGCTTTGATAAGAAAGTTTTACAGTCCGAACTTTTCCGAGTCCCTGTCCATATGTTTTCTATCATTACGGAGAGTGGTAATCATCAATAGCAAGTCTTTTCTACGCCAAAATTGAGATGATATCGCCAACCAATCTCGGCCCGAGGTTCTAGTCCTGCCAAAGCTCATTTTTTCAAAGCCTGGGGCACTAGTGTGCCATCTTCTCGGCGTAAGAGGATAGGCAAGAAAGGTTAATAAACGATAAACATCGAAGCTCACTTAGATTTTCTGTCTTATGACAAGGAGGTCTTTAGTAAGAGCGAAATCGATACAATAAACTAGTCCAATTCTTTGAACCTCCTGATCTTTCAAAAACATCTAGAGAGCTTTCTACACCTTCAAAAGTATGAGGTGGTACGATGTGGTACATGACAAGAGATGAGCAATAGATTTTAGTTTAGACTCCCTTATGATAATATGTTGGTACAAAACTTCGCGCTCGCTTATTTGTCCCATCGAGACCCCTTTTCATTATAGTCCCATAGCAGTTCTTTGTACAATCAACACGGCAACTACCCTTCCATCGTCCAGCCAAAGTTATCGGTATCCTCATATACAATGATACCAGCCACAGATATAGGTTCTCCATCCTCGGAAGCATTATACCATCGTAGATCTCCCGAAACATGGCCTACGGGATATAATGAACCGAGAGGCGCGGACAGCGAGTTTAGTAAAGGTCATCTCTCGAAAACTCGTTCTTTCGCTCCTTCAAAGACGAAATTTTTCTTCAAGAATTTTATGGGCATATCGATTCTCTTCTTGATTTTGCTAAATGTCCTACAATCCGTTTTGATTGTATCGTTAGGCTCTAAATCATTGAAAAAATGTCTCGCCTCACCTGTTAGTTACCCCTTTCCCCTTTACTTTGAATGCGCAGTAACTCTAAGAACCATTGCGATACTAATAATCTATGAATCACGTAGAAATTCCCGAACTTAGTCTCGACCGCTCTCACACCCGTCATATATCTTGCACCAGTCGCTTTACTTCACGCAATATCACTGATGGGAATGAAGCTTGGCATAAAACTCTACCAGGTCATGGTGTGAGAGCTTTACCTCAATCATATGTGGAAGCCAATAATCTTCCAGAGTCTACCGCAACTCACCTGTGCGATGGTGACACGGAGCCTAAACACATTTATTTCATTGAATCTTATTATGTTTTGCACTGCCTCGTACGTCCTCATTATTTCTCATCTACTCTTTAGAAACCTTCATTCTCTTTCCCAGCCCTCTCTAACTCAAAATAGCGTATGCTCCGCAGCCTCTACCATTCCTACGACTATAACCTACGACTCGCACCATTTCTTCCCCCAGCAGATCACCCCTACCATTGTTTCGATCGTATTCGTCAATATATCATGTGTAACCCAGATTATACACTCGTACCCAATATTGAGGACATGGTAAATCAGATTGGACGTAACCGAATAAAAAAATGTATGGATTGGGATGTATTGAGAGATTGGGCGGAAAAATGGCACGGGGATTATATGGACACGTTTGAATTTTCGGATAGAGAGAAGGAATTGGGAGGGTATGATGAGGTGAATATTTATGGGAACTATAGAGAGGGTGATGGATTGCCGGTCGGTGAGCTTTAGCTTGATGCTAGGTGAGCTGTGAGGTATGGGAGTTGGAGGTATGTGAGAATGGTGATGGGACTGAGTATTTACGTGGGAGTTGTTACATTTGCTTGTACTGAGTATACAGTGCTAGAATTATGGACATGTACATGTACACTTGCGGATGGTATTGTGAGTAGCATGCGAGGTCTATACCGTATGACATATAGCAGGCTTGGATAAGTAAAGCCATCTAGATATGACGGACTGGGCGTGAAGTAAGGATACTCGTGCGGAACTATTGTGTACCAACAACTTTACTTGCCAATACTTTCTCCACTCAGAGAAATATCTTCCGTCCCATCAAAAGTAATCCCCGTCGGAAGTAACAAGACAGAGCGGAAATCTTCCCATTGGGACCCACCTACATCCGCTCTCCTCGCTTCCGCCATGATCTGGCTCCACAAAACCCCCACCTCTTGACCAGAAAAGGAAATCTTAATATAGTGTCAAATACTCCTCTCCATGGCAAGCAAATAACAAGCCTACTCAGCTTCAATAGTCCAATGGTTAGGATTCCACCCTTCCAAGGTGGAGGTCGGCGTTCGATTCGCCGTTGTTGCAATATCTTTTTGGATCTTTTGTGATCTTTTTGATAAAGAAATCGTTATATTTTTTTCCCGCAGGTAGATCATCTGGGTCGTTCCGTCATGTAGTCCTAGATGTAGATCTTTATATTTTGGCGATCAAAGTTTTGAAGATGTAATATACACCTTCAATATACACCTTCAAGAAATGTGTGTTCCAAGCTAGCCCTGCACCTCGTTTCCCACCACGTGCACCAACCCACGATCCATTTTTCCTCTTATAATATTTTACAATCGTTCCATGTCTAACAAAATGAGTCCTATATAGATTGAAATTGATCCCACTCTCTCATCCAATCAGAACAATCAATCCAATTCAAAGCAAGTTGGCGCAGTGGAAGCGCGCCGGGCTCATAACCCGGAGGTCCCCAGATCGAAACTGGGACTTGCTATAAAAGGATCTCTCATTTTGCACTTTTCGGCAACGAGGACATTATTTTAGGTTTAAGCGGCAATTTAAGAGGTGATAGGAGGCAAATGGAATTGGGATTTATAACTGTGATAGGCTTTATTGGTTCCCATTGTGCATGAAAAGATCTGGACATTATCTTTCGACTCTGTATACAAAGTTGTGTTGAGTTGCGAGGTGTAAAAATTTTAGTTCGGTAGGTGGGGCAAATATAAAGAAGCGAGAAAATTTCCAGCTTTGTGGAACGAGAAATGTGGGAGCCTTTCAAGAATTTCATGTTACATCATCCACTTCTCATGTTGTGTTGTGGGTCAGTGGGTTTATACTCCGTAAGAGGGTTCGGCTAGCTCAGGGGACGTTCTTCATCTCTCTCTTGACTGCAGCGGACCTACACTTCGGATAATGTTACATCGTTACATCAAATCTGAGCACGAGAATGAACAAGTGCGTGCCATAAGATGGGCGTTACACCTTGTTTTCGCGCTTCATATACAGCAATGTTCACGACGCATCTACATGTATCAACCACATTACCGCGCCCATCGCTGTGTAAATTTCCATAAAACAAAGTCAAAACCTCGGAATCTACATCATCATCCATCATCCATATAGTAAAAAAAAGATGCGGAAACTAGCCTCTAAAATCACCAGCCATATGATTCATCCATATCGATTACGAATTTACTACTACTACTATGATTCATCCATCCCCTAAACTCAAAGATTCATCTCATCTATTGTTGACTCATACGCGGCTCAAAAAACAAGAATAAAAATCCGAAAGCTTCATCTTTGATGCTACATTTTAACGAGCTGTCATACACTAATCACTAAATTAAAACTCTCAGTCATCACTGAATTTTTTTACTGATGTGATTTGGGCTTTGAAATTCACCGATGGCTGAGCTTCTATGTTAGGAACACCCTTCTCGAGAGTATATTTTATGCCAACGAGTACAGATTCCGAGCGATATTTGACCACTCTAAAATGTTTCATCTAATAAACTGCATCTAGGAACACACAAGAAGAGACAGTTTTAGGATGATACAACACAGTTATAGAAATATGAATCCTCCATCGTAGTCAGTCAGCTCTGAAGTCTTGAACATCATGAATTTAGGATGAGCTCAACTAGCCAGAACTTACTCATGTAACTCTATTTTCGAGCTTCATCAGGAGGGCAATATTTGGACTTGCTTAAATCTATATGAGCCAGGACTCACCGCACAATTAAGTCTGAATCCAAGCCATTACTCCCTAACATTTCTTTATGCTGTCATGAACTTTTGGGGCATGCTGGTGTTGGGTTCTTTCCCCGCTTGATATACCTGCCAATCGTAATGAGCGAGTTTTTTTATACGTAGTGCTGGTGGATTGATGGTGCATACCTTTGTTGTGCCAGTAACAATTCCATCGCTGCCACGGTGAGTAGAATTTATGGATACTACTAATCCTCCGCAATCCACACTCAAATCTTTCAAGGAATCTAAGAGCTGTGAAAGTCAACAAAATCCTTTATTTTCCAGATCTTCTTCAAAAGTACATGATGCTCTTTTTGATAAAGCCAGGCCAAGCACAATCCCCCAAGACCGCTTGATGATAACGCACTCTGCGAAAGCCATTTATTCAGACTATGCAGAGCTGTCAGATTCACAGAGGAACTCGAATTCATCAGCGACGTCTAGAAGGTAATCTCCCATGTGATTACTGAAGAATACTTGGCCAATTTCTATTCAAATTAAACGTCTCACCGGACACCGGCATCCTCAATATGATATCAGGATTGTTTACGTCCTGGACTTAAGCTTATGAGATAACAGCCGAACTTGTATTTGTACAATAGTTCCATAATTATGTAAAGTATCCGTCCACACAATCTTGGGTTTGACCGAGTAGGAAAATAAATTCACGATTTGAGAATATCTCTATACTTCTTCTTAAATCTCCAGGTTCCCACTATTCCCCTCGCCTTTTGTTATAAAGAGTAAGATTCATGATTCATCGGAGCTGTATCCGTATTTGCCTCCATATCTGTTAGACTTTCTGCGTCAAATGGTAACCTTGATTACTACATAACAATCCTCCACCGGGTAAAAATTAAATTTCCACCCCTTTCTTCTTCCTCGTGAATAATCCTCCATCTATATACACTTTTCCCCCTGTTTTTTCGAACAAAATTGCAGGAAAATAGATAGAAAAATTCATTAAAATCTTCCCAAAACTTTGTGCTTCTCTGCACAACCCATATTGAGGTCACTATTGAGTATAAAATTCTCATGTAATACCCACCTCAAGTTCGAAACTCAGAAAACATAAGGTTATCCTAAACTCCTGATTTCGCTCCAGACAGTTATTTATTTTCGTGATTTTTGATAGTATTCAATATCAACCCTAACCCTCAAAGAAAGAAAGAAAGAATACCTAAAAAGAAACACAGCATTTCGCTACTACTTCCTCCTTCTTATTTCCTACCTATCGTCTACCTATTCAATAAATATATCCCAATATAATACCACTTACCATTATAACATAACAATATAACAACCAATCACCCAAGAAACCCCCTCAAAACCACATATACATGAATATAATCCTACATCCATACATCTATTTATCTATTCATACAAATATCTATACATTACATCCAAACCCACCAACAATAAACAATCACCCACAAACCACACTTTCTGCTCTTTCATCCCAAACCCAAACTAGACAAAAAAAGAGAAATCCCTTCAATATTGACATGATTATATTTTTCATACACATCCATTGTATAGCTAGATAATTTATCGATATCTTAGGTTACCTAGGTTATGCGAGGTTTGTAGATAGATACATACTAGTTAATTAACTATCTCTTAAATAATAAATAATACTAAATGAACTTTTCGCACCGGGTGAATAGAAGACGACGAGGATTCGAATAATTAAAATTCGAATAATTAACTTTAATTATTCACATTCATATTCACATTTACATTCATACACTCAAAAAAGCTCACAATGCATACCTAGATAGACACAAACATCTCAAAAGCTCCAGCTCAGAAACCAGCAAAATGTAAGTCTTAGAAAAGGATAATCATCACTTCCACAAAATCAAACACCTCATTTTAACATAGCTCCTTCAAATAAAAGTACATTACTGGCCAGCAGTACAGTCAGCCCTCGAAATAATATGCACCGAAATGACCGAAATGACCATAATTATACCATAGTTCCCTCTATTACTCTCAACGAATATATCCTCATCCTCATCCTCATCCTCATCCTTATCTTTATCCTTATCCTTATCCTCACCCTCGCCCTCACTCTCACCCAAAAAGCAAAACGCCATATAAATTAACATCCCTTATTACACCACTCTCCCCTATGCAGCCCTAGGTAAAAGTTCGATATCATCCTGCAAAAAGCGATTGTTAACACCCATCCATATACGTAAATCTTAGATGCAATAACCACGAACAAAAAAAAAAATTAAACCGTCGTCGTATCCGGATTTAGATTTGGATTTGGATTTAGACGAGGACGATTCCCTACTTCAAGATTGCTCACATTTCTATTATGGCCATCGACGCTATTAAATCGTGCCTCTTCTAAATCGCTTGGTCGAGTCATTTGGCTCTCATAGCCCGTATCGTTATTATTATTATGATGATGATGATGTATTCCTCCCACTGGACTATTAGGACTGGTTACATAACTACCAACTCCAATGCCGGCCCAAAATGCACGGTCTGCGCTTCGGGGTCCCCAAGACCAACCTGCACCTTGGGAAATTGGGAGGTGGTAGAAGCGGAAGGAGAAGATGGCAACGGTGGTACCGATGAAGAAACCAAACAGAATATCGAAGCCATGATGGCGGAAATCGGAGAAGCGGGTTGAGGCGATGTAGACGGCTAAGAAGGTGGGGATGACGGCAATGAGAAGGAGGTAGAGAGGTGGAGCTGCAGCTTGATTACGTGAGGCGATTAATTCATCGTTATAGCCTGATGCGAGAGCTGCTGTCTCGGCGTTCTTGCCGGAAATTTCAGAATCATTACGTTGATGACGTGGAGGGTTGTGGGAAGGAAATGCGGAATGATAGGGCGAGGTGTCAGTGGTATAGGCTCGAGGTGCAAGGAAAGGAACTGTCAAGGCCAATTTGGAAGCCAGGAAGAGACTAAGGTAAACGAGTCCCGCGGAAGAAAATGATGAATGACCAGAGGGATAAGATCTGAATCCATCATTGAGGATATCCTTATCTTTTTGTTGACAAATCCCTGCTTGCACTAGAACAACTCCCTCTGGTCTATTACCACCTCCAACAGCATATTTGCCAATATTGGCCATGTCAGGGATACATCTCGAGATCAAATCTGGTCGCGGTCGTCCAAAAAGATTCTTCATCCCATTAGTAATGACGAATGCCAGGGCGAGAGATAATCCAAGTCCGAGCCAAGATGCGTGAAGCTCCCATAATTTCCGTTTCCATATTAAAGCTTTTGGGACAGATTTTGGTACAGTCGGTCCAGGAACGAGAGTAAAGGTAACGATGAGAATGACGAGTGCCGGGAGGCCGAGCGATAATACCCCGGCCAGGGCCGTCGATATTTTCTCGTGATTTTGATGTGGAAAACTGATACTAGGATCGACAACTGAAAAGGGGCGTTTGTTAGGCGTTTGATAGGAAAATATAGCGCCCAAAGCTGCAGCTACTATCAAGATAACCCAATCAAATACATATGAAAGGATGACTGCAGTGGAGATTTTCCCACTATTTCGATATCTCATGATTGAATCCATCGTGAAAGAATCACACCAAGTCGTAAGGAAGGACGTGGTAGATTCCCATTCAAAGGAGAAAGGAGAACTCGAGTATTTGTATGAAGACAGGAAAGAATAAAGGTATTCACTGTAATGAAAGATTTCCGAGGCTGTGTTGTTGCCAAGGAGGTCAAGAAGCTCAAGAACACCTAAGAATCCAACCTTGACGTTGCCGATTGGATCAATCAAGGATCAATAGTGACGAATGTGTCCTTCTCCAAGCAGGTCAGATGTAAGACTCAAATGAAGGAGCTGATGAGGAAATCATGCACACGACCTACTCTTGAGAGCTGAGTTGTTACCTCTATAAAGCTTTGGAAAGGTAGGTAGACGATAGGGGATAGGGTGCAGATGGTATATGGTAGAGGATAGACGGGTACGTGGTAGTTGATGATTGATGATGGCGCTTATGCGTTTGAGATGAAAATAAATGAATAATGAGACGCCAAATTAGTTTACAGAAATTCCAATCAGCGCAGTGTTTTGGGGCTTTGCTTCCGAGTCCCGGCGTCAAAATGGAACTATTGGTCTATTAACCTTACTTTGGCTGATACATGGGGCTAAAAGCATTATTCAGTTAGCTTTACCGCCATCTAGAACTTTTCTCGTATGAATATAAAAATAGACACGATATTGATGTTTTGTAAATGCAGTTTTTAACTCATGTCGTTGGTGATGATGCTCTCAATTCCTTTTCTTTGTTCTTAATTAACTCTTGGTAAAGCCACATAGCCCACCCACGTAGCCACATACTGCATACCTTGGCATGATCATCCACTTAGTTAGTCCGTACGTACCTATGCAAGCATGAAATGGTACCAAATCTCGGAAAACCCGGATAAGAAAGAAGCCAAGCATAATTCCGTCGAATTGTTCATCCGCTCGGGGTGTGCAATCTCACGTGACTGGTTCAAAGGTTTGATTACCATAAGTTGATTCTTGAATTCATTGAACGATAATACCCTCCAAAAAGACATCCTAAAAGGATCATTCAAGGACCGGAACTTAGACGATATCAATATATATTCATCATCAAAGCTATAGAGCAGGGTGAAAAACAATTCTCAGTTCCCAAATCTTCCTAGCTGAATGGTTAAGTAGAGTTACCTTAAAACCTCCCCATCTATCTTGCTTCCCGAGTATCAAAGCTCTCACTATCACCAATTGTGGGAGCATACTCCTTATTCTATTATCCTTTCCTTCTTACATTCACCAATCTCGCACGGGGATTTAGTACATCAAATAGTATTGCTCATCAGGTGTGACCTGGAAGCATGACTGTCCCTTTCTGCATTACCCATCGCACGCTTGGGTCGAAAGAAGCTTTGATCTATTGCGGCTTTCAATATACTCTGCATGATGCCAATAGAAGAAATGGCGATTGCCTTAGTCCGATGGTTCATAGCGAAGACTTTCTTGAGATAGAATGACTGGGTTTGTGGGCTCAACAGCAAAGCAGTTAAGGATATACTGACCACCGGGCACATTTTGGCAGGAATGATGCTGCCGGAAAGCTGGGAGACCAAAGTAATTAAAGTTAAACCTACTATTGGTCGGCATGTACGCTCCTTTGAAGATCACACAACAACAACCTGATAGGTGGTAAGAGAAGTGACACAGGGCTTGTAGTACAGAACGCCGTAAGTCATCTGTATCGGCCATCCTATGTTGCTATTAAACTTTTGGAAACTTACCATCAATGGTTCGAAATGTTTTCTAGATCCACCATCGCTATCAATCCAAATCGTGGGCGTGATGAGAATGATGCACCGTGTACATCATCTTTTTTTAGGAAGAAACTAAGTGGTAATGGCAAGGTCTAGGGGTTTCAGTGACTCCCAGAGATGTTTATTAGGTAGCTCTTATTGTCTCAAAGCCGCATATATGACAGGCTTATATGGAATCTCTTCAACCATCGAATCGAAACCCAAGAAATCTAATACGGCACAAGATGGAAGCAGTCACCGGAGGGATTTTGTCATCACAAGTACTGGCCGAGGCCAACTTTATCTATGCATTTAAATCTACACATATCTCTATCGGCAATTTTCACACCAAGCTCATCATTCCTACCACAATCCCCGCCACCATCTCAAACCTACAGCTCCTTCATTGAAAATCCCTATCCTTCTTCAGTCTACGTCAACCTGGGGCTTTCATGGCTCTGGTAATGATTCTACATGCCAGCAAGTAGCTGATAAATTCTACACACATATTACAATTTACCGCTCACAGGCGTCCAAACTCAGATTTTCTATCATATGTGCGATATCCGACCCCTGATCGATGGGATAAAAAGGCCAATCATGCCCCCCCGTCATTTAATTTCATTTACTTTGGTTTTTTGCGCGGCGGCTATGGAGTTAGGGACCTAGAAAGCGAGGGCGGGAGAGTTGGGCATATGTATCCACTATCCACTATCCGCAATCTTCCACTCTTATTTTATATGACTGTTAAACAGAAATAGTTATATGTGAAGAGGAAAGAATCATGGCCATAATCATACTTTATTAAGTAGTTTGTTGAATACTGTTGTGTGTGTTATTTTCATTGTCATTTGTACTCGAGTGAGTATTTTACCCTCAGCATTCTTTACTATAAACACCGCCATTAGAGACCCTACTCTCTCGCATATAACTTTAAATCTTACTATTCAAAAATCAGTACAAATACCTTCATCTTCATTAAAACTACAGCAACAAAAAAAGCCAAATATCGCCTCAGCCCTTCCCCTTGCAAACTACCTCGTTCAAAATTGCTCAACCCCTCTCAGCAGACTCAACCACACAAAAGCTTAATACCTATCATGACTCGATTACACAAGTAGATTGACTGTCCCCGCGGAGTTAATGAGGATAATTCTTTACCAATGCTGTGAATATGCCCAAACAATCTATCCCTTAAAAGTTACCAGAGATTACTCCCGTACAGTCTAGCTTAGCTTTGAAGCCCCGAAGAGCGAAAGAACCAAAGTATAAGAAGTAAGAACGTTAAATATGAGGAGTCTATCCAAATATGTTCATTTTCCATCCTATAAAGTTCTAGGTTTCTAGAAGAAAGTATAAAAGGACTACCTCAGCATTCATTAATTAAATCCACGGGCACAAGGTTTTCGTATCAACAGAAGAAGGGTTTTTAATATATATATATATATGTTATGATATTATGTAGATTCGCTAAGGATATCTATGAGGAAAGGAAGTTGATGGATATTAGTGAGTATATATATGCAAGATTATTTTTATTATCGCAATTTTATACTCAAGACATTTCCAATAAAGATTCTGAACTACCTACCTAGCCGCTGTCATTTCTAGTTTTCGCCACGCCACGCCACCATCGACCACGACTTCGAATTCACAAAAGGCCAATACACACACACTACCATCACCATCACCATACAAACCCCAGAAAACTACCTAAACAATCTCATATTTCCAAAAGCCATCTCACCTAGTTGGAAGTTTTCCAACCTATCAAACCTAAACCCTATCCCCATCTCTCCCATTCACTTCTATCTACCCTTCCTCCAAAATGCAATCAAGTGCCCATGGACCCAAAACCCTCAAGAGATATTCAGATTCCTACATTCCATAGTCACTGAAGATTACATACGCGAAGCATGAAATCTATTACTAGATTCTCTGTTTAGATTTTATTGCTAAATATTCGTATCTACATCATAATCTCTATCCCGTTATAAGCTCTGTTCAGGATTCACCAATTTCCAATTCTCTGTTCATTTACCTGGCCTATCTTATTATCTTAAGATCTCACAAAAAATAAACCTGAAATATATATAAATAGATAAATAGATAAATAGATTGAGAGGCTGAGAGGTTGATGTGGAGAACTCGTGCTGGTTTGTGAAGGGTTTATATATACATTATAGATTTATTCGATTATTCGATTATTCCTTATCGAATCTGCGTCGATTGAGGTTTGGGTGGTTATTGGAAGAGGAAGATTCTGGATCGAAATAGTGTTTTTATACTACTTACTCCTTTCACTGTTAACTTCATATTCACTCCTCAATTCTCCGGAATAAAGCTACGACTATCATATCATCACCACAAAAATACATCTTGACTTCACAGCTCAACACGCACTTTTCCCCCAGCAAATCTAAAACCATTTTTTAACCAACTCTACCAACTCCTCCGAACATTCCTCCGGAACATAATGTCCCCCATCAACAGCACACCCCTCAACCTTTCCCTCACAAACCTCCCTCCACAACCCCAGCACATCCCCAAACTCACTCTCTATCGCTCCCTTTCCCCCCCAAACCACAAAAACATCACATTGAATCTTCCTCCCCGCCTCCCTATCCCTCCTTTGCTCCTCAAGATCAATCGTCACCCCAGCCCGATAATCCTCACACATAGCATGCACACAATTCTCATCTTCCAACGTTCTCTCATAAACAGCTCTCACCTCCTCATTAAAAATAAACCCTTTTCCCACTCCGGCCTTCCCCAAAAATTTCTCCGCAAAAAGTGCCGGATTCGAAAGAATAGCTTTTTCAGGAAAGGGAAACGGTTGAGAGAGGAAGGGCCAATGCCAGTATTTCTGATACCAGGTATATTTTCCATGTTCGTACATGGTTAGTGTGGGGAGTATGTCGAGTAACATTAGTTTTTTGATGGCTTCAGGGTGGTTGATGGCTAGTTGATGGGCGACGCGGGCGCCGCGGTCGTGGGCTAGGATGGAGAAATGTGGGTGACCTAGTGAGGTCATGACGGTTAGGAGGTCGGAGCCCTGGGGAGGACGTTAGTGGATTTTATGGATTGTGTGAGGTAACTGGGAGTTCTGGATGTGATAATTGAATCTGCTTTCTTGTCCTTGTTGCTTTCCGACACTTATCCGAAAGTATTTTGTTCTCTTTGAAGAAAAAACAGCAAACTAACTGTCATATCAGGCCTTCCATCTGTCACCTGTACCACCTACCACAAAAGAAAAAACGATAGACAAACAAAACCCCCCAAAAGAAACCTACCATAACACTCTTACTAAACTCTCCACATCCCCCATCCCCATCATCCTCACCAACTCCCCTACCCCCGCTACAACACTCCCCATACCCCTCAAATCGACCAAAACCAGGGAAAACTCACCCACCAACCGCGGAGCAACTAAATGCCAAATATGAAGCGATTGCGGAAACCCATGAATAAGAAGAAGAGGAGGACCATTATTAGGACCGATAAGTGTGTTGATTGAGACAGTGGGATTGATAGGGATTGAGAGGGTTTCAAAGGTTGGGAAGAGCTTGGAGTTTAGGGTTGAGGTCATGATGATGGATGGATGGATGGTGGTGGGATTGGGTATTGATGGATGTTGATGGATAGTGATGGGTGTGATTTTGTACGAAGGAACTTGGATTGAGGTTAGTTACTATTCAAAGATAATTGACTGGATTCTATGAAGAGAAAATGATGTGGTGATGTTGACGTTGTGATATGAGGTTGAAGACCAACCATAACGAAATGCGGGGTTCTGGTGGGGTGGAATGGCGTGCCTGATCTGGATTGCACATATAAGGAGGCTCCTAGATGAGAATGATGAGCTATCTGAAAATAAGCTATTCGAAAAAGTATACAGCTCGTTTTTACATCCGAGGCATGGTTTTGTGATTGATTATTCATAAGGCTATCTACTAACCTTTGACAGCTAATAATAACTGTGTAGATATATCACCAATGGATTCGAATTACCCGTCAAGTGGTCAAGTTTAGTTGGAATTATTGCTAGTCTATGATATTATGTCTAAGCTCTAAATCAACATCAAAGAAAACTACTAGGTATTCAATTCTTATATGTTCATAAACTGTGCACATTGATATTTATCTAGGTATAATACTTGTAAATCGACTTCCTCATATAATTCCAAATCAGAAACCTCATCCAAATTCATTAATCATCAAACTCCAAAACCATGCTCTATCGCTCAGCACATATATTCCCCCATCAAGCTTTTTTACAAACGCTCTTTCACTCGCTAACCCTTTCATCTCATCTTAAGTCATTCCGCCATCAAGTAGCCTGTCGTACATCGTAACATTGTCGCATATATTTACCCTGAAACAATCTTGTTTCCATACCCCTCCCCTTGTACCGTACGTAAATCATATCACATTGTAACCTTACAATGGCAATCCATAACATATCCAATCTTTACACTTCCCTCAAATAACCAACCCCATAACTCCAGCTGCAGCAGCTGCGTATGGCAAACAATTCATCATGGTCGGTCTCGGAATCATAGCACCCACACCATTCGTTCCAATAACAAAACCAGCAGTTGTTGTCGCGGTTCCCGTTCCATATCTCGCACATCCCCCAGTCTCCACAGCCGCACAAGCAACACTACTCAAACTCTGACAAACACTCGCCGCACTAGCTTCTCCCAAGTATCCTCCACTGGGAACACTAGCTGCTACAGTTACCCCTCCATTTGGAGCCGATATCGTAATTGCACCGCCCATTCCCCCTTGAAGATCAACAGTACAAAGCGCATAATTCTTAGCACAAGCATCTGTCGCGCTACTACATGCTGCCGAATTCACATAATTCGTAGGTAGGATTGGAAACGGAAAATAAGCATTCGACACGAATGTTCCCGTCACCGTCGCAGAAACTGATGCTGGAGTCGCACCAGGAGTTGTGACGGTACCAGTACATGATGCGCCAATTGCACAACATGCTATATTTTGAGAAGCGTCTGTTGAACAGGTTGCTGAAGCCGGACAACATGCACCTCCATCTGCGGCATTCAAAGTGGAGCATGAATTGTAGTTTGAAGGACAATTTCCATTGCGTTTGAGGAGTTCGGGTTTAGGTTTTGAGGAGGCGGGCGAGGTATCGGGAAGGATGGTTTCGTTTGATATTAAAGATGATTCTGAAGAGATATCGAGGTTGAGAGAAAGTGGTGCGTAGAAGGGTTCCGGTGGTGAGAGCAGCGATGGGATTTGAAGAGCTGCGCTTGTGGTGATGAGGGAGAATGCGAGGAATGAAGATTGGTAACGCATTTTGACGTTTTCAAGATCGGAATGTAGGTCTAGATGAACGTCAATGATTAGTAGGAATAGTAGGAATGTGTGAAAAGAAGAAAGTAAAAAAAGTCCGAAGAATGGAACAGAAAATTACCCGTTGTTTTATTCCAAGGTTTGCTGCCCAACCACCTATTTTATTTGTTGACTTCCCGGTAAAATACACCCAAAAATTGAGCTTATCTTGCGCGACAGAAATTAAGATAGTCAGTAATTGAGATTGAGAGTCAATGAAGTATTTGTTCAACACAGTTGTGAATACGTTTTTAAAATTTCAAGAGTTAAATATTTGGCTGGGTGAAGATCCCCTCACCGAGTGTATTGCCAGCTGTTGCATCGTCATGATTGTCTGCAAATATCAATGGATCAATGGTTACTGTGGAGATGGAGGGGGATAAATCATTGGGTGAGGCGGGGATTTGAGGCGTTGGAGCTTAAATCGAGTGGCTGGGGAAGTTGTAAGATTTATATCTATTTTCTTTCCGCCTTGGGCAGAATCCACGTTGAATATTTTAGTTTTCCATTGAAATGTCAGTCAGTACACCAGCAGATGAATGATGCATCAAAATAAAGTATTATTTTGTGATATCAAGGTGAAAGGTACAAAATATATGTAAATTCTTTCACGTCTAGAATCTCTCGTTTATCTAGCTTCCTTTTTAGCTTTAGATGCTCTTAGTGGAGAATTGGCCCCTGTTCTTTAACGACATCTCTCAACGATATAGATGTGCTCGAATATAGATCAGATAATCAAAAGATACAAGAAGCTAACTCGAATTCTGTCTTGAAGGTATGTGGAGGTCTTACCAAACAGACTGGAGAAGTTGTAAATTCATAGAGGTATGGTCGAATACCTACTCACCGCTCAAATTCATCTGTATTCGTCTTTTTACCCATCCGCTAATCATCATTTTGACGAAAGTGCTAAGACCTTGTATTTCGAATTTCGTTGTCACAGTAGGTCCAGCAAAATCAAATATACCCTCATGACCTCGCCCAAAAACAAAATCTAGGGTTCAAAAGATGTTACTACCATATAAGTCCAAATTCAAGGTCACTTAGTGATGCGTCTTCGATCCAAGCCTCGATCGTCGGAATCTCCTCAATATTCGAGGTAGCATCACGTGGCTTCAGCATCACTACCACCATCCGTACCTTGAGCTATCAAAATTGTTCACAATACTTGCAAGTGCAATCGTGGAATTGGTCTTACGATTTTTCATTGCCAGAGCCACTTGCTCCTGAAAATATTGCCTTTAACGAGCGACTTCTCAATCTACAATCCTCTATGTTCCTCTATCGTTTCTCTGAATTATTCATGACGTCGGAATTTGTTGTGCTTCGCCTCGAATGCGAGTACACGTGGCGCCGATGTGGTCCAAAATGGGCTTTGCGTTCAGTACCCGATCCTCTTGATCTACATCCTATCAGATATGCTATACTGGCTTCTATCACCGAAAAGCTAGCTGGTGCCTTTAAATATCGCCCAAAACATGGCATCGAAGAGGTAGGAAGAATATTCGCAGAAGCATCGAGAATCCTTTGCCTGGGTTTGAACTCGAAGTCGCACCTTTCCGGGCAGCTTTTGTACCTCCTATAAAAACAGAAGATCCATCTAGGTCACCTTCGAATATGGTACAAAATGCCCGATTAATCCTTGATGACGCAGGAGTTGAGAACTTCCTTGGTTGAAATGTCGATGTTTGTAATTGTTACCTACACACAGCATAATGTTTGGTTTTCAGTGAAAACGAGCGCAAGCGCTGAATTTATGTTTTGCAGTAATTTATGTGAAATGAGCTAAAAGGTGTTCACATGAAATGTTAAAAGATAAAAGTGTATGAGAAAAATGACTTTAATGATTGCTTATTATTTGACAGGAGATTTTTTCTTTCTGTTAGACAATAACGCCGCCAAGAGCTAGTGGATAAATCACATGTGAATAGACAATACGTTGACTTTGGCCTTACCCCGGAGCTCGGCACAATGAGAGCTTCATAATCTAAGAGCCATCTGAGGTCGAGGAAATATTGAACGACCTTCCAAAAATGCTCATCCAGGTAAACTTCAAGTTATTCAAGGAGAATGCTTGCGTGGTGAAATTCTAGCTTTCGTCCCCTATTTGGAGGGTTTCTAAGTTTCTAGGGACTGTTGACAATTCTAGCTTGCACATTCTTTGAAGATCCCAAATTCTGAGCCCTAACTGGCGATAAGGCTTCTATGACCTCCCCTCCAGTATTTTCATAGGACTCTGAATCAGCCCAGGACACATTATCAAAAAAAGATTCGCACCTGGCGATTGACCGTTCAAGACTTTGGAGTCCTGCTCCCAAATTCTGGCTACTTTATCGTTGTTCGGTTCAAATGGAGGCCATGGCAGACAGATGAAGCGTTGATATGGAATATTCAAAAGTGGCAATGGATTGCCAAAGATATGACTATTCACGGCTAGGAATTTCATGCTAGTGGCCTTAAGTAGATACTCTATCACACATTCCGTTTCGTCTTTCTGTCGATCAATTATTTCCCGGAATTTGAGGTATTTTGTTGAATGCTCCTTGGCATTTTTTGACGAATGAGAACTCAAGTTTATAGCCCTTTATACTTCGGAATCTATTTGAATATTCCAGAAAGCCTGGAGAACACGCTGCGACTCTACCCAGGAAGGAAGACCCGTATCCTTCACTTCGTAAGAAGGACTGGCCAATTGCGGATTGTACTCATTACAGATGTAATAATGGGATTTGATATGCGGCTGAAGTAAATGACATGGTTTGGGAGTATGGATAGGATCCACGTGCGATTGTAGAAGCAGTTACTCAATGCGTAATGTTGCTTGAGACGCAGACGAGACGACGAAGAACGGTGGAGATACAAATTTCTTCGTAAATCATCATGTGCATCTTCCGCTTCAAGGGCTGACTGAATTTCAAGAGACATATTCTCCTCAAAGGACAGTCTTCATTTGTTCCAGCAATTTACTAATAGTCGGAGATAGACTTCGAACCACGATTTTGTGAACGATCTCCTCGCCGCATTCTTCGAAAATCCTTGCGACAGCTGGAGATGCATATAATAGAGCTTGCAAAGCTGGAAATCTGGCAATACTGTAATAATATCCAACAAGATAGTGGCCGGGACAGTTGAAAATGGATCCATCGTGAATCAAGCCGAGCAAGTATATTTTAATTGCAATTTAAGCCAGATGCAGTAGCAAATAAAACAGTCTACTGATATCTGGTAAAAATAACGTAATTAAGTAGAGAGCTAAGAGAAGCTTCCCCGCACACGTGCTTTCTAGCATAGGTTATTTTCTAGCATTGGTTACCATCCTACATAAGCTACAATATCAGCAAAGAAACGAAAAACTAGCATGGCTTTTCCACTTTGTCAAACGCATAATGTCGATGACGAAAGTCGGGTGAAAGATCAACAAATCAGGTTCAAGTATCAAGAATTTCTTAAGCAAGCGCAAAAGAGAATGCTAGTCTTTCGGGCAAAGTTACCTTTTTGAATTTTATAAAGGTCCGCAGGGAACTGAAACTTTTGTCAGTTGCCGAGCAATTGACGTCGTGTTCATAATTTGACATGCTATTCTATACTTTGCTATACATAGGCAAGGTGAAACATGCAGATATTTCCTTGCTTGGCAACTTGTGTGATTCCTAGTTTTGATATTAGGATTAGCAAATTTGTACAACAAAGAGAGCCTTGCTGTTATTGATATTGCAGCGGGTTTAGAGCTTTTGTTTTAAGTGTCTAAATGTCTATTATGGTCTGATAATCTATATCTGTGTGAAGGCAGTTTGGTGACTGTCGCTGTCCTCAAAGCACCAGCTTTTCCGGAACACAATACGAACATCCACGAGATAGCAGCCAAAAGCCTGGGCCTCATGGATACACATCGCATGATATCTACCGAATTCTCGATCCAGGCAAGATAGATACCAATTAAATGTATAGGCGTCCAAGAAAACCTCTGAGGATTAGCAGCTGATGAATATATCAAACCTACTTCGACGGCTGTGTGTAACCTTGAAAATCAAAACAGCAAGTCGGCGTTACAGATCATTAGTTCTTAAGCGTTCCCATTTTTCCTTCTAATACTTGATTCAAATCCGTAATTTGGCTAGTGCCTGTTATATCATATGCAACTTGTGGCAGTCTTGGGTATTGGCCTCTCTTACTTTCCATCCAAGTCTATATCACTCTTCACATAAGAAAGGGGCTTTGTGATTGCCCTATGAATCGCCAGAATATATTGCTTGTGCCAATGCTTTTATGAAAATATCTTCCATTAAGAAGCTGAAGTGTGCTAGGTAACATCATTCTTGAGTTAATTATCAAAAGGGCATCTTCAACTGACGTCATATACTTTACATGAGCTATGGTTGAGTCAAGGTGGTGTGAAAGAAACCATGAAAGGCTGGCCCAGGGACAGGTATAAGATGAGGAAGTTTTCTACACCCTCACTCAGTCCTATTCCATCATCAATATTCCTTCTTCATCAACCCTGTTTTTGATTCTAGCTTTGAGAAAACAATTATCACACTAATCCGTCACGCACAAACCTCCATCAAAATGATTTTCTCAAGAATTAGCATCATCATCACCTTCACAAGCCTCCTCGAATCCACTCTCGCCATGCCCGCAACTCTTTCCCCTCCACAAGACTCAATCTGTGCCACTGGAAGTCCTCAATGCTGCGACGTTAATGTCCTAGGTGTCGCTGATTTAAATTGCGAAGCTCGTACATGCACCCATTTCCCCTCCGTAGCACAAAACTAATACGGTGAAAAATAGCACCAAAAGCATTCAAAGATGTAGCATCTTTCAACAAAGCCTGCGCTACTGTTGGGAAAATCAACATGTGTTGCATACTTCCTATCGTGAGTTTTCTATGCTCTTCACTCAAGTAAATGAAACTAATTACCGAGAAAACAGTTGAATCAGGCTCTCCTCTGCAATTCTCCAGATACTTCATAAAGCTTTCGTGCAAATCCGCGCCACAATTTTGTGCGAGATCCCAACATTTAGCGGTTATGATCGAGCTCATGTGTTTATAAATTATTATTCTCCGGGCATTTTGTTTCCTTTGGAAGTTCTGTGCGCACATGATGCAGAAGGATATCTTATTCCTGCAGGAGATCAAGAGAAAATAGGAGGGGGAATTACTATCTAGGCAACAGTAATACGACTTTGAATTCTGCATATTTGATTAGGCATTCTCACATGGTGCCACTTATTCATTGCAATTCTAATAGCCACAAGTATTTATTTGATAAATCTAGATGACATGAGCACGAGGGCAATAGTGAAAATGAATTCAAAGAGCTGGTGAGCTCATGGATTACCTAATCGCCTTCAATGAGTTGGAGGAGAGGAGTGCTGTGATTTCCTGATAAAGCTGTTGTCTTTCACATGTTACGACGGACATGAGGTCGGACCAATTTCCGCGTCACATGACTAATCACATGCTGAAGTTGGTCACCTGATTAAGGAATCCCACCGAGGAGAGTTTTCCCACCTCAGTGGGAAATATTCCTATAGCGATAGGAAAGCAAGAAGCAGTGGGACGTATGGTACGAAGGTCTATATAATCGGGATGGATTTCCTTATTGTAAAGCTTCGTGCTCAAGATCAATCATTTAATATACTCTACTATTAATTACGAATTGCAATCATTCATTGTTGTTATTTAAGTCCCTGTTTGACGCCTAGTTATAAACCACCTCGAGAAGCCTAGAGCACTTCCACATGATCTAGACGGCAAACCTCGTAACATCGCAGCCCCCTGATAGCAACAAAATCCAGCGATTCGCCATGGAAATAGTCGTTGTGATTTGATCACGACTGTGCACTCTTCAAATATGTAGTGGCTTTCGATCCCTCCATACACGACCTGAATTTTATATCAAATTAGTAACATCAGAATCAACCTAGTTCATCACATGTCTCTTCAGTTTTCAAAATGGGTTTAGTAATCAAGTAATTTCTTATAGTCAAGTGGATCATACCATTTTTCAATGTGCCGATCAAAATTCAAGGATCGAATGGTCTCTTACTTAGATATCTGTTATATATATATATATATATAATTTAGAAAGAGTACAGTTCGGCGAAGCTGATGGCAATTTTACCATCTGGGTTCCGGCCTGGCAACATCTGCCTTTACTTTCCTTTGAATATCTCAATTTCAGTTCCTTTCTGGGCGACTCAGCAGATATATTCCTGGTTTACTTATCAGTCTCTATTGAACTGGTAACTGTTTCTAATCGATCTTTTGATGCAGCATCTGCTCTACTGCGTGAAGAGTTATATGAACGCTGACCATTACCTCCTATGCTAGACGCAGGACTCGGTCGGTATACTGCAGTTCTATTATGTGTCTGGGCTTTTCGAGATCTAGAGCCATAATGCTATGACGCTGGTCTAAGGCTGGATCGTTTACTTTGGTTCATCCACCTCATTTATACACTTGAAGCGTTTTGTACTGATGCCTGCGATCGAGATGATTCCGCAATGCTTGTTTTTCATGAGACGGGTCGCTCGGTAGTCATCATCATTTCGTATGTCAGTAGACGTCCTTTTGGTGCCCTACTGCTCTCGAGGACTTGGCCATTTTCGTGTTCGTGCTCGTGCTTGATGCACTTATCATCTGCATCTTCAGTGAAGTACCTTCTCCATTTCCCATCAAACTTACATCCCCCTCCATATGTTGTAAAGCTCAGCAGAAAATGTTTGATATCCTGGCATCCACTCCCTCATCAAATCTTGATATACCCAGGATGATCATCCGAACTGTCACAAAGAAATATCTGAGTTCTTCATCGTTCAATTCCACCTAGTATTTATTTTCCTGACAGCTCAGCTTTTAAGTCCACATTTTCCCTTCAGTCCATTTTTCTCTTCATAAGCACACGTCGATGATTATACACCACCTCAAATTATACCACAAATCATGACGCCTTAAGGAAGCTACATCTACACCTGTAAAAGCCGAGGGCGCTTCTCTTTTCGCTATGATGGATATATTACAGCAAAATCATAGTCCTCATCTCCCCAAACAATTTTCTCCAAACATCTGGCTCGTCTGATGCATTTAGACGCCGGAGACTCCGCCTCATTATTCTTTTTGCAAGTTTAATCCACAGATCGAGTTTCCACTTTAGCCATACCATCCATCGCGGCTCTGTACGTCTGTGACGAATTGTTTGATCTAAAAGTTAGCTTGTGAAGCGATACTCCTGAACTGAGCGTCAGCCTCCTCTTTTAAACAGCCCATTCCCTAGATTAAATAATCCATTTATCTTTATTAAACACCGTCATGTCTGCTAGTTGCTTCCATTTCGCCTTTATTTGATAATATATAGTGCCTGTTTAGAGACCTGGCGGATGAATATTTCTCCTCGGAAGTATTTTGTTTCGAGTTGCTTACAACCTGCATAAATTGGGATTTCTCACCATAGTATCTTCGATGAGATGTTCGTCAGAAATTGACCATGTTGGAACTGAGGCCTTTATTACTTGTAAGGCAGAGGATGTGCTGAGTTGAGGCATTGCGTGTGTCAATCAATATTTGGGCTCAGCTAGTCAGATGGATTTTTTGGCTGTGAGGCTAAGCTGTTGCTGATGTAGGATTTTTTCCAGATCAATTTCATGGTACACTTCTACGACTAGTAATTTTGAGATGTGTTGTCTGCTGTTTTTACTCTGAAGATTGTAGAAGCGAGCCCTTTTATGAATGAAATAGGCTTTTGGGACCAGGCTTTTGGGACCAGATACGCTTAATCCATTCATTGCATTGATCTGGAGAGGCAACCATTAATTATTCCGAGCTAGTAGACACAATTGATATCCAACAATAGTTTGGATACTTCCACTTTATTGCAAGTTACTTCGTGTTTCCTGTCCGTTAGCCTGGATCAAAGGTTGATGGAGAAAAGGTGTGTAAAGACATGAATTTACCACGCAATGTCTCCAAGTCCGACCTAGCTTCCACATCAAGTGGCTTAAAATCCTCAAGCCATCCCGAACCATGAGCATCGATTAGTTTAAGATATTCAGCTGGCAAAATAACAAACCCGATTCAAAATACTTAAAGGCCCGATATCTTACAACCTAACTAGAGGCACCATGGACAGATACTAATTCTCAAGCAATGCACTCCCTTTGCCCTAGATGTATTTTCAACAGCGCCAGCTTGACAAATGATTCGGAAATTACAAGTCCACCATGTCGCTCTTCAATATAACACCACAATATAGAAATTAGGTATCCAAGCATTCCACTTGGAAAGATACAGAGCGAAGTAAAACACAACCTCATTTTCAATAAGTATCAACCACCTAAAAAGACACTGTAACAATCTAGAGGTCTTATTTCAAAGATTTAGTAGTGTTATAGATCTGTTTAATGTATGGAATAGACCTAATACTTTGAGATCTTCATATTGTAATTAAATATATCTCGCAAGGTAAAGCCTTGCTGTAAAGAAAAAACGACACCAATGCACATCAAAGTTCACATACCGAAAAAAAGAGAATCCGGTGAGGAGGTCAGAAACAAATCATGGTAGTGGAGCGACGACATAGAAAGCAATAGAAGTAAAAGTACAAAGGAGATACCTTAATAATTAACAGGAATATCCCTCCTATCTATCTGGGTATTTGCCCACGAGATCTCTACTTGGTAAGAATTACTAGATCTTGCAGAAAAGTATCCCAGCAACTCAATACTGAAAACATCCCCTCGATCGGTGTTAAAGAAAACATGAAGAAGTTAATATAATTTCAATGTGAAAAATGGGTGGGAAAAGCCCTCTAATTTGTCTACTCAAGTAAGGTTAATCCATACAATTCCACCGCAGCAGCAGGCCAAAACCTGATTTTGATTTTGGAGAATCTAGACTTTATACCATCCCCATATTGGCAATACTTTCAAGTTTTCCTCAAACCAGCCACAGTCAGTCGGTCAGCTCACCAATCACTCGCACCCAAATCTCCAATCTCCGAAAATACCGGATAAAATATTTCAATGCCATGTGACACACTTTAGTACGTTAGTACTTAGTATGCCCCGCACTCCGTACTACTCCGCCCACATTCCCGGCCCAAATCCTTAACCTAGTCTCCCTCCGTGCATGCATCCTCGCTTCCCCGGAAACCAATTTCGCGCCGTGATGTGATTGGTTCGGAGATGATGAATAAGGGGTACGTACATACTCGATAAAGTTAGATTACCCCACAACATATCCAGAGATTTGGAGAAAAACTAAGAATTCTGGAGAATGGGGGGTTTTCTTATTTGCGATGTTGGAGATAGTGTAGATTGGTGGAATGTTTTGGACCGAGGTCGCTTGTTTGTTTGTTTGTTCGGAAAGAGAGGTTTTTCCTTGCCGTGTCGTGGGGTTCTTAATAATATTTGTGAGGTGATGATGTGATGATGCGATGCTATGATAGTGGAGGAGCTTGGAATTGGAAGACTATATAAGGTGAGCTGGTGGTTAAGTTTGGGTTTTTGACTCAAAGGTTCTTGTTATTGAGATCGAAGTTTTTATAAGATTACATAAAATTCATAAACAGGAAATATGAAGTTTTGGAGTCTTTTAACTACGGTCTTGCCATTGGCATTAGCAAGACCAGAAAATCAGTCAAAGTAAGATAAGAAACCAATCAATCTTTGCTTCAACAAATATGTACTCACAATTCCCACAGAGATTTCTCATATTTCTACAAAGGCCATGATCTTTCATCCCTCCTCATGCTCGAAGGAGGTGGCTCCATTTTCAAAGACACCACCAAACATAACGCTACACGCCCCGCGGAGGCAATACTCGGAGACGGAGGAATGAACAGCGTGCGACTTCGTCAATGGGTCAATCCCGTCGACGGTACATACGGACTCGCCTACAACATCCAACTTGCAAAACGAATGCAAAGACAAGGATATAAAATCTATCTTGACTTCCACTTTAGCGATTCATGGGCGGATCCAAATAAACAACCTCCTCCAGCAGCCTGGCCTACGGAATTAAAACCGCTTGCTAAGACTTTGAGAGGATATGTTAAGGATACGTTAGTCGCGTTCGAAAAAGCTGGAATTAAGCTCGATATCGTAGCATTGGGTAATGAGATTCGACATGGAATGTTATGGCCAGTAGGCTATGTAGATGTTGATATTCAACCCACTAGCGCTCTGAACCGAAACTTCTCATCGCTAGCCACGCTCTGGAAATCGGCTCGTGCAGGTGTCGATGACGCGCTTGCACTCGGGGTCCACAAACCTCAAATCATGATTCATATCGACGATGGCTGGAACGTAACGCTTCAACAACGTTGGTTCTCCGCCTTAACCGCCAACGGTGTCCCGTTATCCGCCTGGGACATATTTGGATTTTCGTTCTACCCCTTCTACGGTACAGCAGCTACATTAGCCAATTTAGGCACAACATTAAATTGGATTGCCAAAACATACCGAAAACCCGTTCATGTCGCCGAGACGGATTATCCGGCAATTTGCAATGGACAGTATAATCCCATCCCAGAAAGCAGTGAGCCTGAAATTCCATATTCGGTTGCTGGACAGTTGGAGTGGACGGAGAATGTGATTAGCGTGGTGAAGGATGTACCCTATGGATTGGGAAGAGGAGTTCATTATTGGGAACCGGCGTGGTTGAATAATACGAGTTTGGGGAGTAGTTGCAATGATGCGATTTTGTTCACACCGGATTATAGTGCATTTCCAACTATGGTGGGGTATAGCAGGAAGTCGGTGAATTTTTTCAAGTAGGAGGGATATGATTGAGAAGGAAGGTTTTGTTTCTAATGTAAAGTAATGATGTTTCATACCTAGGCAATGATAAAATGTATAAGAACTAAATTACGTCGATTTTTGATGTGATACAATCGTAAAAGGACCGTATTTTAAGGTACGCATGACTTTAATCATTGCAACGACGGGAAACTTACAAATTTGCAAAGAAATAATAGATTTATTAGCATTGAATCGCATCAAAAAAACTGCATCTAGCTCTCCCATAACTTCCCCATCCAAATGTGCGTCATTTCTGACCAAGCCCAAGCCCAATCCTAATCCCTAAATCCATCCTTTGACCCATTTTTCCATCCAAGCCCACTCAATACCCGAAAGATTCGCCAAATGTGAGCTAGCTTTGAGTGCCTGACTTACTTCTTTATCAGACCACTTAGTCTCCGGTAGAGTCTCGAAAAACTCTAGCAACTTAACAGCAGGATATTTTTCGAGTATTTCTGCAAGATCCATACTTTTGGAGAGGGCACACTCTCTTGCTGTATCTCTGAGCTTCTGAAGCCAAGCTGCGTATGGAATTGCTGTGATAGCGGCATGAGTATCCGGATTCGAGGCATTCAATGTTTTCAGAATAATAGGGAGTAAAATATTCCAAGTCGTTGGAGTCTGGTTCAATGGATGAAATACTCTGGCGCCAGAATCTGAGGTTTTGGAATCGTTATGGAATGTGATATCTACCAATGAAGAGGAAAGTATATCAATTGGCACCCAATCTAGTTTCATCTTATCGCTACCGAGGTTTTCTGGTATGAAACCCATATGGAATGAAGTGATTACTAGACTGGGCATCCATTCGGATTTATTCCATATACCGGATGTATGAGCTGGTCCGGCTATCTGACCTACACGAGCAACCTTGAAATCGACATTTGACATCTTCCTGGAAGCATAATCAAGAATAAGTTCGGAGATAAACTTGCTCTCTGCGTAGCCCATTGGAAGAGGTGCCGATATATCGTCGATAATCTTCTCTGGCACTATTGGTGAATCAAGACCCAAGATCGAACTGATAGACGATATGAATAGGAGGGAGATATGGTGTGGAACTGCAGAGACAAATGACAGAAGATTGACTATTCCCTCAAGTTGTGGTGTAAATGTATCGAGAGAGAGGTTAAAATTTACTGGCCAAGCACTGTGAATGACATCCGTGACTGAACCTTGAATGCGTTTGTATGTTTCGTCGTCAAGGCCCAGGCCGGATTTAGCGAGATCTGTGTTGAGGAATGTAACTTTAGAAGCTGGAAAGTCCATTACTTTGTTGTCTTTTTCGTTCTTCTTCAGATGGCGAGAATGTGAATCGGATGTGCGATCTAAGCAGTATACATGTGACACAGATTCATTTTGCAACAATGTCCGAAGGATATAGGAACCAAGAGAACCAGTTGATCCTGTCAAGACGACCACGTGTTCAGTAGCCGGGGAAAGCTCTTCTGTAAGCTTATGCTCAGTAGATATGCCGTCAACAGCTTCGTGGTATTTTTGGAGAATTTCTTGGATCTTGTGGCTGCGGTTTGATGCATTTTCTATTTTTGTAGTCGAGTCTTTCTCAGACATAGCGAAAATGGACTCAGAAAGTTGTGCAATGGAAGGATTGGTGTACAAAATAGTGATTGGAAGATCGTGCTTATTTAAAGCCTTTCTCAAATGTCGAATGAGTTGCAGGGCTTGCAGAGAGTCCATTCCTTGAACAAACAGATTATCTTCATCTTGCACCCTTACATCATCCCATTTTGTCACCTTGAGAACAGCTTGGCGTAAAAGATCACGAACTGCGTTGGTGCTGTGCACGTCGAAGTGTTCTTGATTCTCATCATTATTTCCTGCAGTGTATGCTGACATCCTGTCAGCATCCAGATATAATTTTTCTATCTCAGAAGAATACTCTCTCAACGTGGGGGCACGCTGAATGGTGCCTTTCGCAGACATTAATATTGGACGTCCTGGCTCTGTGAAAAGTATATGGGATTTTGCAATTCGGGCATGTGCGGGACATGTCGCATTGGCTTTTTCTATGGCAGGCCAGATACGTTCAATAGTTTCCGCCTTTTCTGTCGCAGACATGATCTTTTGATCAACAAGTTCGATCAAGAGAGCGGCTTGAAACCTCAATGTTCCGACTACCATTGCTTGGCGGATCTCAGGTTCCTGGTTGAGACTATGTTCCATGGAAATAGGATTTGTCTTTTCGCCAGTGAGAAAGACTATAATGTCATCTCCGCGGCCACGGTAGAGCCAAAGACCTGGGATTGTGGGATGAGGTGAGTAAAGGTCCTTTGATCCCCATCTCTGGAGGGTTAGAAAGATTTTGAAGACGGGTTGTACTTTTTCTGGGTCAGCATTTCGATTCCAGACTGCTTCATAAAGGTCATCAGCCTGGTGTTCGAAGGATATGTTTGCAGAGGGGTCAAATTGATGGTGACCCCAGTAGATAGAACGTGTCCCAGCTGGCTTCAAGGAAGGGTAAAATCCCGTTTCGGTAGCTCCAACGTGCCCATCAAACTCAATTCTTGAAGAGATAATGTCTCCAGCAGCTGGTGGGATAGCGCCTCCCATGTAAAAGATACGTTTCAGGTTTGCAGCAATGAAATCGAGACTTTCTGCACTTTGGGCAATATCGATAACGTATGGGGGAACAAGAACGGCTATGTCGGCCTTGTTATGCTTCAGACCATCAATTAAAAGACTAGCCGAAGGGAAGCCAGCTATAGGATATATGGGAACACTCCGGTTGCACACGGCGTTGACTAAACCGAAGTAAACACCCGCTGCCTGTTCTGGTCAGTAAGATCTACTGCTGCTAATGTCAGGGTGACTTACATGAAAATTTGGAAATGTGTTGAAGATGCGGACACTGAATAGGAGTTAGCTCGGCGACATGGACCAAAATCTGTAATTAAATCATACCCAGCGTATAGGTCCGCTTGATTAATATAGCCAGCAGGAGCTTCGAGCCGCTGGATGGATGTAGCAATGTAATCGTGACTCCACACGATAGGCTTGGGTAGCTCTGTGGTTCCAGAAGTGTGTAGGATAGCGAATGGTTCATTTTTGGTAGCCTCAAACGTCTTTTCAAACGGAAAATGGGGGTGATGTTTTTCGGTCAATTCCAAGATGTTAGGTAACTCCAGGACCTGAATGCCCATCGAAGAGAGAGCATTTATCACAGGCTGAAGCTGGGCAGGTTGCGGGCTTACTGTAACCAGAGTTTTGCATTCAGCAAAGGAAAATAGATTCTCTTGTGCACGAATGCTATTTCTTGGTGATGTGAGAAGTGTCTTAAAAACGTCAACAGATGTTAGTGTTTGATAAGAAATATGATTCTGGGGCAACGGGGTACACACCTTGTACCCAGCCTTGACAGCTCCCAGCAAGAAAGCATTGACGAGTATATCGTTAGGACCGATATAGGCCAAGGCAGGGAAGTCTTTAGCAGGGCCCAGTTTTTCTTGGAGCCACCAAGCTATACCGTTGATGGCATTTGCGAACGTGCCATAGGAGAATTTTTGGTAACCGGAATCGTAACTGGTCGGGTGGATAGGATACTCAGCGAAGATAGCTTCTGGCTCCTTCGCAGCAATTTCATCTACAACATTGGGCAAGAGCTCTTTCTTACCAAAGGTAGAAGCACCCGTTAAGTCGGAGGACGACTTTGCCATGGTGGTTGGTTATAGTAGATTTGTAGATATGAAATGTGTTGGGTGACTGAGAGTGAAGGTACGAATAGCTTTCTGCAACAAAGCCGACGTTTGGTTGTGGTTTCGAGAAAATTAAATACAGAATGGAAGCTTGAAAAGGAGATGGGACAGAGGGACTCGCGGGCAGCGGAGCAAGGCTATTGCTGACGTTTGTGTGGGGGAAAATCCTCACAGGGCCGCGCCGCACTTCGCCTCAGATGTGCATTGCCAATAGGTGTGTGCAAGAATGTCACCAACGTTCGTTCGTGCATTTTTAATGGTGGAACTAGCTAATTTCAAAGGCAGTCATCGTCGCATAGCCATGAGGCACAGGTTCGAATATCTGTGCCAAATGATCCTATGGTTAATGAGACTCAATACCAGCCCCGCGATACAGGCCAAAAAGAGGCGATTGGGTAGACGACTAAAATTCAAACAGAGATTGCACTTGCGGAGGTAATCTATTATTGGCAGCTTTCTGACAGGAAATTCTGAAATGGCTATAGAACGCCAAAACTCTTACTCAAACAAAACAAATCCTGATATTCCGATATCCTTATATATTTCACCTCTATAAAAATTAAAGATTTAGAAATTTTTCTTTTTCTTATATTATATCACTTTATAAATCTGAATTATTAAAATTATAATATTTTTAATTTTAATTATTTAAATTTTGATTTGAAAAACTATATTAAATTATAAAATTTTAAATATAAAAGTTTATTTTTATTAAAAGATTAAAATATTAATAATAATATTACTAATATTTTTTTTTAATAATTAAATAATTATTATAAATCTTAATTATTGTAAATTTATAAGCTTTTATTAGTTTATATTAATAAAGAAAAATCATGATTTTTAATATAAAAGAATAATACAAAAGAGAGATAGTTCGAAAGAGGGTGGTCCAAAGAGGGTGGTCCAAAGAGGGTGGTCCAAAAGAGGGTGGTCCAAAGAGGGTGGTCCAAAAGAGGGGTGGTCCAAAAGAGGGGTGGTCCAAAAGAGGGGTAGGTTGCTTATATAAGCCACCGTGACACCTACTCATCGTACTCGGTAACGTTGCTTATAACCTTATGGTCGAATTGTCATTATAAATAGTTTAAATTGAATATGGATTTCAACTGGGGGCTTGGCATTCCACAGCCATTTCAGACGCCCCCCTTCCAACCACTTTGCGGCAGTGTCTCCAATTAGAGTTGGTTTTGCAAGGGTACAATAAGCAGCATTGAAGCCGGTAGGATTGTGCGGCCCTTAAATAATATTACGCTGTAGTATGACGTAAATTGCTAGCACAAGACTTGATATGTCCGGAGAACTAATGGAAGGAACAGATCCTGCAACATGTCGACGTCCTTCCCCTTGTACATGTCTCTTGGATGAAGTTTGGGCACGACTAAAGATAGATGCATGTTCTTTCAAATTCTCATACTCGTCTACTTGGAAGATATTTAGTGAAGGGATTACCAACAACTGTGAAGATAGTGATCACCACCAAAATACTATATAACGACCGCAAGCACCATTGTTCTGAATCAAGAAAACTGCAGAATTCCCCTTCTTAAGGTATCAATCACATTCCTGTACACCAAATATTTCCATCATGAGATTCTTGTGTCTCCATGGCACAGGCACAAACAGCCAGGTATTACCAAGTTCTGTTTCTATCACTCAACGTTCCAATGGCCCCACTGTTCGAACCGTTATAATCCATTGGATCTCCTTCGCTGACCCCTCATTTTGCAGATATTCGAGATGCAATCAGGTAAGACAAGCCTAATTATGTGCGCGGTTCCTCGACATTGTTCTGAAATTAGATAGCTGCTCTTAGGTCTGAACTTGGCGATCGCCACTCGTTTCAATTTCTGGAAGGTGTTATTTCCGTGCCTCCTGCGCCTGGTATGTCTAAATCGTAATGTTTACTCCAAGGCCTGTTGAAGCGCTAATGCAAGTTAGAAATTGCAACCTATTTAACAGGCAACGATGTGTGTTTCACTTATTTTGACTATGGCTCCGAAGATAGCATTAGCAAAGCATTGGAAGACCTTGCACGCTACGTCGTAGAGGAGGGCCCATTTGATGGTATCATGGCCTTTTCACACGGTGCATCTCTCGCATCCATGTTCATTATCCAATCTCTGCAGAAAAACCGCGAAGCCTTACGCCGCAGCCCCCAATCCCCGGAGAAAACCCCATTCACTGCATTCCAGTGCGCCATCTTCTTATGTGGTGTCAGACCTACAAACGTATGCCTGGCCGCTAATGCAGACGGTCATATCAGATTTCTTGATGGACACTTGGACGGAGTTGTCATTGATATGCCAACGGCGCACATTTTTGCCTCGAACGATGGCGCTATGCCCGGGGAAAGTGAGAAGCTGAGTGAACTATGTGCGCCTGATAACAGGGTTATTTTCATTCATGACCAGGGTCATGAAGTCCCAAAAAGTAAGGAGGCGGTGCTGGGCGCGGTTCATGCTATACGGAGAGTGATTGATAGTGCATCGGCTACGTAGGATCTTAGATTCAATAGAGTCTTGATCTACCTTTTCATGTATCTAGTAACGCGTTGGGTGGGATAGTCATATGGCCACCTCGGTCCCCAGGGAACTTACATCGAATCATGTGTATCAATTGCAATGCAATATGTTCCTCCCATTGAAGAATTGAGAATTAGAATACCAGATAATTCTGAGATGAAGTCTGCATTGATTCACGTGACTGGTAAAATAGGGTTGATAGTTCAATTACAGCTGGTGCTGATGCAGCTTCAAAAGTGTCATTTCTAAACACAGCTGAATCAATTTTACTACATAAAATCGAATTTAATAATTAAGAAAAAGGGCCGGGGGTCCCTGTTGTACATGAACTTGGCGCTCACAGCACATATAAACCAACAGTTTCAATTCAGAAGTGTTGCTACCGATACCACCAGCAAGATCGCTCTTCTATGGAAGATCTGAACATACTTCAAAGTCTCTGGTAATTTGGATCTTGTTGTGGGGACTAGAATTTACCGCTAAAAGATTGGTTAGTACCACGAATGATGGTCAGGACTGGGAAAAATACTGTGATTTTTGATGCTTGCCTGGGTGGTTTCTGGGTTTTCCTCTGTCGTAATCGAAAATACCCTGGTGTGGCTTGCACCCTTATTGAAAGAAGACTGGCTGACTTTTGTAGAAGACTTGAGATGTCTCAGTTCAGTCCTCGAAGTGTTGTCGGCAGGATTGGAATGGAGCGAATCTCTCGTGCTGCTTGATCGACCTTTCCAGTTTCTCACCAGTGACCAAGAGGTCACAGATAAATTTCTTGTCGCTAAAGAAGATTGCAGGTGTGTAAATATTGGTCTACATGATGGTAGACAAGACGCCAACAAATACATAGAAGGCTCCATGATCGTATATTGCTCGAGGGACACCGAGGCCCAGGTTCCATCATGAAATGGGTCGGTCTGAGCGAACTGCGAAAAGCGTAATATTGAGGCAACTAGCCCTCTGCATCAGATCTATATGTTAGCTAACAGGTATTGAGCTTTGAAGATATCATTTTACTTACACACTGCCTGTGAGAAAAGTAAAACTCAGTCCGAGTTTCACTGAGCGTGTTGCGTGTAATTTCCAAATCATCGGTTGGGGAAGAATGAGCATGATGACATCAGTGATGATATTTGGTAAAGTCGCCCACAAGTAGAAATCTTTCTGATTAAAGTTGTTGTGTCCATTAGGTATCGTTTTATCCCAGAAGTATGAAACAGGTGTACACCCGAAAATGCTGACAAGTGAGACAGCAAAAGCAAAGGCTATGGAAACGGTGGCAATAACCATGACCGTGTTGCGATAAAACCCATTGGTGAATATACGAAGAAACATTGCAAGGATAGCAAGTTTAGGGAATGCAACCGCCCAGCAATAGACCAAAGGTGTGCTGAATAGCAATTTGCTCCAAACCACGATCTTGCCTGGGTTTGTAACTGCAAGGCCTGCAATGTGATACCCCACTCCTCCGAACTTTATGATACCTAGAAATTGGCGGTGATGTTAGCCCATTGATTGGCACCATTATCTGACGGATAAGGGTAAGTTCACTTACAAATTGCGAGGATGGACAACGTTAGACATAGTATCAAAGAGGGTATAACGAGGATATCATCGAGGCCTAAAGATGTCCTTTTCAAACTTCGAGCCAAAAACCGCAGAGATACGAAGATAATATTGATAGGTATGAAGGTAATGGCAACAACCATTAGCTGGTGGCCAGAGTATTCATGGAGAAATTGCTGAGACAGGCTCGCACTAGCGGCCATCTTCGCTAATGAGTGGTATAACAAAGATCGTGATGGTATTTGGACAGTTTATAATCAAGTTTAGAGCAATGAAACGACATGTAGTAGTACAGATCATAAGCACAAAGTATCTTCGTATAGAGAAAGCGGAGTGTTGATAGGCCCGGCCGAGCTCACCTGAGCAATTTTACTTCGACTTCAAGTGGTTTGTGAAGGGTGACTTGAAGCTACGCCTCCTTAATCTTATATTCTAACAAAAGTCCAGTAAAGCTCGGATCCTGATGGGAAGGACCCATGCCCAAAAATATTCCTGAAATCGGACCGCTGCGAGCCTGCGAAGATAGGGAGTGTGGAGATCCTTGCACACACACACTTTCCACACGCATCCATCTGATTTGTGCACGATCCAAATATAACGTAGCAAAGTGGTGTAACATATGCTGAAAATTGCTGTTTTGGTGCAACCATGTAGTATCCTAACGAGATCCAATTCCTGGCGATTAATCATGCAGCAGAGGTAAGATCTTACATGCTCGCTTACGAGTAACATTAGTAGATGATAGCAATGGCCCTACAGGATAGTTCTAGTACCTAAGTATAGAAGTCGGTATGCTCAATCATGCGATAGTCCTCCATAAAATGATTTAATAGCGATTTCCACAGGAATCTGCGAATAGAAGGGTATAGATAAACGGAATATTATGTATAATTAGCATTTTCTCATGTACCCTGGGTGTATCTACTCATTTACATACTCGAGTACTTTCTGGTTGAATGGAGGAGTAGCAGAAGAAATCAGAGCATGATAGTGCGTCTTATGCTAACTACTATGTGTGGGGTGCATGCGTTAAGGTTACATAACTAATTAGGCTATATAAGTCTAACCTATGAGGTATACACTTTATATATAGTTTACAGGATCACACCACCACACCCGCCTTTTCAATACAGTAGCACCTTTATAAGAACCACAATGTTACGATGGATGCGATCTAGATCACGTGGAAGTGGCCTGGATCCTCGAATGGTTTATAACTAGGCGTCAAGCAGGAGCTTTAAAATAATATCAATGGTTGCAATTCGTAACTAATATTAGATTATACTAAATGATTGATCTTGAACACGAAGCTCTACAAAAAGGAATCCTTTCCTAGCTATATAGACCTTCGTATCGATTGGATCATAGGATCTAGTGGATCTAGAATGCGATTCTCTAGATCCCCTAGATCCTATGATCCATCACGTGACTACGATCAGACCATATGTCCGAGCTTGCTGAGGGTGGGGAGACCATATGAAGCGATTACCATACAAATTTGTATACAAATTGCTTTGCTTTTCGATGAGGCCTAAGCTCATATGGACAGGTTGACTGTTACCCTGTAACACACAAGATCTTACAAAAATTATAGAATTTAGTCACCGCATATCATTCGAACTCGTGATAGAATCTCTATAGAAATTTATAATTTATTATATAAAATCAAATATTAAACAGATTTTTTTATATTTAATTAAGTCTATTGGAATTTTAAAATACAATAAATAATTATTAAAATTATTAAAGAAGTTATTTTTTCAAATTTCCATTATTCTTTCAATTTCAAATATATAATTTCAAAGCAAAAATATTTCAAAATATGTTATTTCAATTTTTGTTAAATTATAATTGATTATTTTTATAAAATATAAAAATTCATTAAACTATTTCATTTTCTGATATATATAATCAGGATCAAAATATGAAAAATAATCAATTCTGGTATGATTTTGTTTAATGTGTGATGAATAGTTTTCAGAACTCTTACCTAGCTAGCATCTCGTTCGCCGGCCTCTATCAAAACCACAAATGACCATAACATTTACTTGCGATCAACAATTATACCAAAATCATATTAAGCTATATCAGGCTCTTGTGGGTAGCTTTTTGATCTAATACAGGAATGAATCACAGACAGAAGTTTTGCAAAGGAAAAAATGAAAAATAAATGAAAATTGCATTTACTATGCCTGTCACAAATCACCTACATCTAAGATTATAGTGGTATTGTAAGTGTTGGTGATTTAACCGCCGATTATACGGGGGGTTCCTTATCGCTACGATTAGGAACCTAGGAACCCAAGAATCCTAGAATTAGTATTCTAGACAACTATAACGTAATAGGACAAATGTCCTAACTTTACGGAATAGATTAGGATAAAGATTATCCTAGGATATTTATCTTAAGACGATTTCCCTAGGATATCAACTATCCTAAAGGGGGGATTATCCTAAGGAGATTACGGTAGGAAAGGATTGCTAGGATCAACCTACCAGAATAAGAATTATGTAATGGAGCCTTTAGGAGCGTAGGCTCCTCAAGGCTCCCGAAAGGGATTAGTATATAGTCAGAATAGTTTCATAGTTTAGGAGCTTCGTGCTCAACTTAGTTATCAATTAGTTTACCTACATTCCAATTGATCTAATAATGTATTCACCTTCGGATAGATAACCAGTAATTATTAGCCTTAACCTACAACTACCAACCATACAAAACCTGAGGCAGCCGCTGCCTCGACCAGATCGTTACAATGCCCTAACTATGAGTTAAAGTCTTACATCTTCCTCCCTTGCGAATTGCTACTAAAAAATTGCTTTTAAAAAATTGCTTTTGGAAAATGTCTTTTAATATACCCATCAAAAGTAGCAAGCTGACATCCACTGCAATAAAGTGAGCTAATTTTATATCTAAGTCATGATTTGCCTCAGTATCATAGTTCCATTATCATAGTGCGAAAGCTGGGATCGTTCTTGTCGAATCATCTCCCCTCCCGCAGTATGATTCGGGTCCAATTTGGTCGGAAAAATATCAAATACGAATCTATTTACCGACCAAAGATTTACCCGGTTCGTGCATACCAGAGATCGCTTTATGGTGTTGGTTTTCCACGCTGTGGTTTTTTCATTGATGCTCAGATATACATTGTGGCACATAACTAAATTTAAGCACTCGTATCCTTCAACCAAGGGTGTCAAATCTTCAGAGTAACCACAGGATTGATTCAAGCAGGAGGATTTGTCTAAGGAAGGGGGGGTTGCAAATATTACTTCAAAAAACCACACTCCAACCTAAGTGGCATGGTATTCCCCGAGAAATGTTATGCGTTTTCTTGACCGAGTAGGCGCTTTCTTGACCGAGTAAACACCATTTCTGAATATCACTCCTTGTTCTCCTGTAATTTCAATAGGAAAAACCTTTTCCTTGCCCAGACCAGTTCAAAATTGGTTGCTGACTTCAAGCGCCCCACGCACGACTCAAGGTTGCCAAAAGTTTAAAAAAGTGTAAGAAAATAAGGGCACAGGCTGGTGCGGTACGGCGGATACTCTTCTACTATACTGAAATTGGGAGCCTGTATCTTCATATCATGCACTATAGTGGCGAGGGAATCCTTCAGGAGGCTCGGCATGTGCGAGCGGTTTTTTGTGTTTCATGCCAGTGCCGAAGTCGCGAACATCATGACTTCCTCGATTTTCACCGGTATGGCTGGCACTAGATTTGTACCCAGTCAGCGCTCTATTTTTCCTTGGACTGCTGCTTATCCCTCACCGTCACATGATTGTTTACCACAAAGTTCGCAGCGGGTCAACTGAAGTCTCAGATGGGCATCTTGTGTGAGGCTTTTCAGAAATACTCTTTTATATCCCAGTGGTATCATGCAAATATGAGTGGCACTTCTAAGGCTCTAATTTATCACTGAAATTTATTCTTTCGGCCATATTCACACATTCAAACATGGCTTCCCATGCCTGCACAGATGGTCAAGCAAACAGCAGTAACTTACACTCTGAAGAATCAGTCCAAAACGGAAATGCCACACGGCCAGTAATGAATCTACCTTCAAGCGGCCACTATTTGCTTAATTCCACAGCAATAGTCGGCATATCTTTTGAATTTCCACAAGATGCACATTCAGCTGATGGGTTTTGGTCTATGCTAATGCAGGCTCGCTGTGCTTCGGAGGACTTCCCGCAATCTCGATTAAATATGTCATCGTTTTACCATACAGATTCAGCGAGACAAGACTCGGTATTCTCTTAACCCGGCGTTATTAAAAACCATACTAACACAGAACTAGCTTCCTTTCCGTGGAGGTCACTTTCTCGATGGTTCTATTGCTGGTTTCGATGCGCCTTTTTTTTCAATTTCAGCTCAAGAGGCGATGGGTATGGATCCTTTACAGCGAGGTCTTCTCGAGACCACATATAGAGCTCTGGAGAATGGTGAGGTCTTCATAGAACATGTCTAAATGCCAAATGCACGCTAATCAATCGCTAGCGGGCCTATCTTTGGAGATGGTCGTAGGTTCAAAAACTTCTGTGTATACTGGATGCTTTACAACAGACTGGAGAGATATGTATGCAAAAGATCCTGATCAGTGGCCCAGCTATGCAGCTACTGGTGTAACGGCATTGTCAATGTGTGCAAATAGGATCAGTTGGTTTTTCAATTTTCGAGGTGCAAGTGCCAATATTGACACGGCTTGCTCGAGCAGTTTGGTTGCTCTTGATATGGCTTGCAGAGATCTATGTCTGGGAGAAGCGGAAATGGTATGTTAATTCCTACCCTGCTTTGGTTCTTTGCCTTTGCGCTGCAGTTTGAGGCTTACTGACTAGAATATCAGGCTATTGTGGGTGCCGGAAATTTGATGTATTCTCCGGATGTACTGCACCTCTTGCAAAGCATGAACATGCTCTCTACCGATAGTAAGTGTCATAGTTTTGATGATCGTGCCAATGGATACGCAAGGGGAGAAGGATTTGCAGTCATCGTGCTCAAAAGTCTTGCCGCGGCGATAGATGCAAGGGATACAATACGTGCAGTGATTCGAGCTACAGGGACCAACCAAGATGGTCGAACCCAACTTGTTACACAACCAAGTGGAGACGCGCATGAGATCCTCATTAGGGAAACCTACAGGAAAGCGGGCTTGCATCCATCTTCGGCATCATACATTGAAGCGCACGGAACTGGAACCCCTGCCGGAGGTAAGTAAAGAAAGTCCTAGAGTCGAATAGTCTTGGAATTATATTTACACTGAAAACAGACCCTATAGAAGCCAATGCGATCGGCAAGGTGTTCCGAGAATTCCGTAGTGCCGATAACCCTCTTATTGTGTAAGCAACAACGTTCAATACATTATCATTGTAATCAGTGGGAGCATGGGTCTGTCATTCTGAGGTTCGATTCTAACAGATTTGATCAGGGGCGCTGTCAAATCAAACATCGGTCACTTGGAAGGCGCTAGTGGTCTTGCAGGCCTGATAAAAACGGTATTGATACTGGAGCGTGGTATCATACCACCAAACGCAAATTTCCAGAAGCAGAACATGGCCATTGATGCAGAGTTCCTGAAGATTAAGGTAGGCTCTACACACAATTATGAATGTTAACAGTCACTCGAACTGAATTTGCCGATAGTTTCCTACTTGTCCAACAGCCTGGCCAAACAGCGGTCCGCGTATAGCGTCTGTGAACTCCTTCGGTTTTGGGGGTAGCAATGCTCATGTCATTCTTGAGGATGCATTTCACTATCTTCGAGACCATAACTTGAAAGGAAACCATGTCACCGTCCCAAATATACCGCCACAATCTTATCCGCAACCACAGCAACATGCATCCGCACCAGCACTTTCAGACATACATCGCAATACCGCGCTTCCAATGAAAATTGTTCATGAACAGTCCTCGGCTAAGAAGCTCCTTGTCTTCTCTTCTGCGGATGAGGAGGGACTCAAGCGCATTGCTGAAGCTTACAGTCTTTATTTTAGGAAATCAAACCTTGATTTGTTGTCACACGAGTACTGGGACAGCTTGATGTACACACTCAGCTCGAGAAGAACCTCACTACCTTGGAAGTGTTATGGTTTGTTTGACTCTCTCGATAAACTTCAAAACATTAAGCAGGTTATTTCCAATCCAATCTGCACAAATGCAAGCTTCGAACCGACTTTTACTTTTATTTTCACTGGTCAAGGTGCTCAATGGGCAAGAATGGGCGTTGAAATCATGGAAAGATATAGTGTCTTCAAACATTATCTCGAGATGTGCTCCCTCGCTCTAAAAGATGTTGGTTGTACTTGGGATTTAATAGGTATATTCTCTCTTTTCATCTCAATTTCAACACTCAAGTCTCTGATATTGCAAACAGCGGAACTTCGAAAGCCGAGATCATCGTCTAAAATAAACAGTCCAGAATATAGCCAGCCTCTTTGCACAGCTCTACAGCTGGCATATATTGAACTTCTCAGAGACTTGAATATTGTTCCTGATACAGTAGTGGGCCATTCTTCTGGAGAAATCGCCGCTGCGTAAGCAATTCATATACAATATTCTTGCAATGGGACTAACCAATACTTTAGATACTCGATCGGCGCTTTGTCTCTTCAATATTCCATGCGAGTCGCCTACTACAGAGGGTTCTTGGCTGCTGATTTGGTGGACAGTTCGAAGTACCCCAGTGGTGCAATGATGGCCGTTGGGCTGTCCGAAACTGGTATCCAACCATACTTCGATGCCATCTCAAAACAATATGGAATCTGTGCAGTCGTTGTTGCTTGCATCAATAGTCAGAAAGGCATAACAGTGTCGGGAGATGAAAGACAATTAGCATCGTTGGAATCGATGTTACTCGCGGCAAATGTCTTCGCCAAAAAACTGTTGGTCAACGTCGCTTATCATTCCCCTTTGATGGCTCCCATAGCCACGAAATACCGTGATGCTATTGGAGATATGAAATCTTTGTCGGTTCCTTCCTCTAACATGATTCCACCAACCATGGTATCATCCGTGACAGGAGATACAGTTGATGCTAAAGTCCTCCGATTGGGTAGCTATTGGGTCAAGAATATGTTGGCGCCTGTCAATTTTTTGCGAGCTATGAATCGTGTTTGTCAAGTACAAAATAAGCCACCCCACAAACTCGACTTAAGCCATCGCAAAATTTTGACGACTAACACTTTGATTGAAATCGGTCCTCACTCAGCACTAAAGGGCCCGATTAAAGAAATTATAGCCAGCGCCGGAGCGGATTGGATCGAATATCATGCTATCCTTAAACGAAACCAGTGCGCTATTGATGCGATGCTGCACACTGCCGGCCGTCTTCACTGCCGTGGTTTTACTCATCTTAACTTCGCTTCACTCAATGGCCATAGCGATACCCACCCACCCCCTTGTCTGACTAACCTTCCTGAATATCAATTTAATCATTCTCGCGAATACTGGTGGGAAAGTCGAATAAGTAGACAATACAGATTATCTGGAGCCGGTCGGTTGGATTTACTGGGAAAGCAGACCCCAGACTGGATATCACATGCGCCTAGATGGCGAAACTTCATCAAGATATCTGAAATGCAATGGGTTGAAAATCACAAGGTAAGCCAGCTCTGTTCGAATGCATAGAAGAAAAATAAAGCTTATGCGCTGAGTAGGTCAACGGTTCTATCTTGTATCCGGCGGCAGGCATGCTTGTCATGGCTATTGAAGCTGCTCATCAGATCGCCAAAAGTCGACCAAACAACCATAAAATTAGTGGCTTCAGTATCAAAAAAACTCATTTCAGCCTTCCATTGATAGTTCCGACGTCTGCAGAAGGTATTGAAGTTCAGTTTCATATTCATCTTAAAGAATCCTTGGGGAAGCCTTCCATGTCAAAGTGGTCAGAGTTTGTGCTTTATGGCTGGGAGAATGATCAATGCATGGAAATATGCCGCGGCTTTGTTCGTGTGGAATATGAGAGTCCAATCATTGCAATCCACGGCCGGGATTCTTTAACGGCACAGAAATTGGCGTTGGACGATCACCGTCACACCTACAAAAAGCTTTCATCCGGGTCTAGCCAAAGAGTTGGCCATCAAGACCTATACCGAGCTCTGGATGACAGAGGTTACGAGTTTGGCTCAGCGTTCCGAAGCTTAAACAACATTCTTTCCAGTGAGAATGGGTCCCGAGCTGATGTGAAAGTGTTTGATGGCCTAAATAATGAGCAATTACAACCTCACATAGTTCATCCTACGACTTTAGATGGAATCTTTCACTTAGGACTGGCTTCTTCGTTTCGCAATGGGTCACTATCGGGTACTTTAGCTGTACCTACTTTCATTGAAAAAATATGGATCTCCAAGAAAGGCCTCAGCTCTACAGACAGCAGTATTATAAAAGCTGCTTCTATTAGAGAAAATAACTTGAAGACACTTTCGGACCCAGCTGCTACCACGGAGTATTCCGCATCGGCAGTTGACGAGAGCGAGACCAAACTTTTGGTGAAAATAGATGGACTGCGCATGTCGGCTATCGAAAAATCTTCAGAAATAGATGTGGGTCAAGCTGATAACTCTGTGTGCAACTCATTATCATGGTTTCCGGATGTTTCTCTGCTGAGCAATGATAGCATCATTACATTGTGTAGCAGCCTTACGAACACATTAGACAATGATATATCTTCGAGAATATCTACAATTAAGGATTTGGAGATTGCCGCATCAATTTTCATGAAGAGAAACCTTGAGATTCCCGTTCATTCATACCCACAGCCGCATCTGGAAAAGTACGCCTTATGGGCCAAGCGTCATTTGAAGAGTTTGGCCGAAGATGTTGCATTTAAAAAGTTATTAGAAGATGATATTGCCTCAGAACAGTTCATTCGTCGTGTTGAAGCTGCAAGTGGCCGCGGAAAATTAATCGTCAAAGTTGGCCGGTGCCTCCGCAAAATTCTTTCTGGTGAGATCGATCCTCTAGGATTACTATTTGGCGATTCCGACGATTTAGTCCGCCAAACCTACACCTTTTTCAACGATGTCACAAGCCATCATTGGAGAAAGCTATCGATGTACATAGAGCTTATGACTCGACAAAACCCTAACATGAAAATCCTCGAAATTGGAGCCGGTACAGGAGCTACGACTGAAATTTTGATGAAAACCTTCTTTCCAGACCCGAAAAATCCACGTCTGTCTCGATATGACTATACTGATATATCAGCTGCGTTCTTTGATGAGGCCAGGCGAAGGTTTGGTTCTCACCAGCAAGTAGAATTCAAGGTTTTGAATGTCGAGTTGGATCCAAGTAGTCAAGGATTTCAGGATGGAAATTATGATTTGATATTTGCATCAAATGTGATCCACGCTACTAGGGATATAAGAGCAACATTGCGAAATGTCCACCGTCTTCTCAAACCTGGTGGCAAATTGGTACTTTATGAAGCAACTAATATCGATGTTCTTCGGACCAGTTTCGTCTTTGGGCTCTTGCCAGGTTGGTGGCTCGGTGAGGAGAGCTTTAGGCCATGGGGCGCCACGATGGCACGTGAAATATGGAAAGAAGTTCTTGTGGAAACTGAATTTTCGGGTATAGATATGACTTTCTCTGACTATGAAGGTGGGATTGAGCAAGAGTTCGACATTATCGTCTCTACAGCCTCAAAATTGGTTGAACAGCATGAGGTTGAAGTATATAGTATTCCACGACAATTTGGATCATCAAGGATTGGTTTGACTCACGAAAACTCTTCAGTTATCAGGAATGGCCTTGTTACACCACCAATTAGAAACAGAAATATTTTCTACCTGATCATCAACCCAGCATCTCAAACGCAAGCAATTATTGCTCATCAAATTCAATACAACTTTAATTCTCGTCAGAATACGATCAATGACGATACAGAGCTGATATTCCAAATTTCAAGCCTCTCTCGCACCGCGAAGCTTGGCAATCTTGACACCGTCATCTGCATATTTCTACTCGAAATTGACCAACCATTCCTCCACGGTATTAACGAGGAACAATTCACTGATCTGCAGCATATAATATGCTCATCACATGGAAATCTTTGGTTAAATTGTGCAGGATTATCCACGCAGACAACTCCTTCATATGCGTTGGTAGATGGACTTTCTCGGGTGGTTCGTTCAGAGCTCAGCGCCATATTTGTCGTCGTCGGATTTCACATCACGTCTTCGATGCTTACTGATTTCCAAATCAGTAGCTTGTTTATTATTCTCTCTAAGATCGACTTCGATTCTTCAGATATCACTTACGAGCCGATGTACTTAGAGGCTAATGGTACGATGAACATTGGCCGCGTTACCAAAGCAGAATGCCTGAGTAAGGAGATAGCCAGGGCATCGTTGTTGGATGAAGCTAAGGTCCAAAGCCTCCATGAAATTTCCGGCCTTCAGTTCTCCAAACTCAGAAACAGATCCGTTGAAGCAGGAGTGTCCGACTTGCCAACCTTTGTTATAGATCAAACTTATGATGCACCTATAGAAGCCGATGAACTCGAGATCAAAGTCCATGCTCTTGGGCTACCACGAGAATTCCTCGCTTTGAGCAGCTCCCAACTCGATAATGAAAATTTGTCAGCCTTGTGTTGGAGCGGTAATATCACACGTCTAGGCTCAGATGCTGCTTCGCAATATTCTTTGGGAGAAAAGGTGTTGATGTTAAGGAAAGAAAAATGTAAAACACACCTACGAGGGAAGCTCGCTTACACGAGAAAAATGCATCCACAAATGTCTTTTAACGAGGCCGCCATTCTACCTATTAGCTTCGTTACCGCCTGGCAGTGTATCAATAGCATTGCGAGATTAGAAAAGGGAGAATCGATTCTAATACACGAAGCCACGGGAAATTTGTTGGATGCCGCAGTACGGGTATCACAAGATCTTGGCGCCGAGATCTTCATTACAACTTGTTACGATATTCCGACAAGCACATTAGCCGAAAGATATAATATACCGATAACTCATATATTGCACTCTGGCAGCAATGAAAGTTTTGTTACGGCGATAAAGCTGCTCGGCAATGAAGGGGTTGATGTAGTTTTCAATTCATCTACTGGAGAAAGCTCCCTTCCTTCTTGGGATCTGGTTAAACCATATGGTAGGTTTGTTGATGTCAGTAAAACCGCATCGTGGATGGAATCCGAATTGCCCATGCATCCATTCAAACGAGGAGCAAGTTTTTCTTCTTTTAACATTTCAGATTGGATCGCATCCAAACCTTCGCAGATCCAGAGCTGTCTAGAAAAGTTTGTCCAGGTTTTTCCCAACTACCACATATCCGGGAATGGCACGGAACCAATACAAAGTTTTCCAATTTCCAAAATGAAAGAAGCACTAGCTTTTATGAATCTAAATCAAATTGTCAACGATATAGTGTTGGAGATGAACCCTTCCGATAAAATCGTAACACTATCCAGAAAAGGACCTAAATACTCGTTCCACCCCGACGCAAGTTATATAATAGCCGGCGGGCTAGGAAGCATTGGTCGAGCAATAGCAAGATGGATGGTTGCGCGCGGCGCCAAACATCTTATCCTCCTCTCCCGCAGCGGGCCCCAAACTCCCACTGCACAAGAATTCCTCTCCGAGCTCGCTACCCTCGATATCAAGGTCGCCGCTCCTGTCTGCGACATAGCTTCCATGTGTACCCTTCGCAGCACCCTCCAGCAGCTCAACTCCCACATGCCCCCCATAAAGGGGTGTATCCAAGCCTCCATGGTGCTCTCAGATTCGTCTTTCCAATCCATGGGGTATTCCCAATGGCTCAGCAGCACATCTCCAAAAGTCCTCGGATCTTGGAATCTACACAGTCTCTTGTCCCAAGGCCTGGATTTCTTCATCTGTCTCTCGAGTATCTCGGGTATTATCGGTTTCCCAGGTCAATCAAATTACGCAGCGGGAAACACTTACCTCGATTCCCTGGCACGTTACCGCATATCACAGGGCCAAAAGGGCATTTCTATCGCTTTAGGCGTCGTGGACGAAGACGGATATCTTTTCGAAAACCCGCTTCTTAAAGAGAAGGTCATAGCTTCTACGCCAGTGATGCCAATATCTCGGACCACATTTTTAAATCTCCTAGACTATTTCTGCGATCCGAATCTGGACGTCGACGTACAATCATGCAATCCGATCATTGGTCTGCAGGCGCAGCAGGAAAAAACCACACGTGATTTAGAGAGCGCGGGCAGTGTATGGAAATCATGGTTTCAAAGCCCCTTATTTTCACAATTCCAGAGCCAAGCCCCGCACACCTCCTCTCCAAACGTCTCATCCCCGTCATCATCCGCTTCTCTCCAAAAGCTTCTCACCGAAGCCCAAACTCCACAAGAAGCAGTAACCATCGTTCTCGAAGCATTGATAAGCAAGGTCGCCAAAATGTCGGGAAGTATCAAGGAAGAATCGATTGATCCTAAAAGCGCAATGCATCATTATGGTGTGGATTCATTGGTGGCGATCGAGATTCAGAAATGGGCTAAGCGGGAGTTGGGGGCTGATGTGAAGGTTTTTGATATTCTTGGGGGAGGCACGTTTTTGCGGGTTGCGGGGGAGATTGTGGAGAGGAGTGGGGTTGGAAGGATGGGTGTGGGTATGAGTGGATGAGTGGATGGATATTATGAGGATAGATTGTTTATTCGTCTTAGAATCAAGATGGAATTAGAAGGAGCAGGAGAAGGAATAAAGAAATACAGAGGGGGGAGTCGAGGGGTGATAAAAAAGCGGGAAATAAGGCATGAAGAAAGATAAAATGTGGGATGCGGGATGTAGGATGTTTCTGTCTGCTCTTTTCTTCTTTCCATTTATGCGATGCACTGGAAAATACATAGTATCGAAATATCAAATTCTCAATACTCTTCGTTGAATAAAGAAATTTGGTAAGATCTTATATTCACCCATATATATATCCAACCAACCACGCCATTCATATCCCTATATCACCATCCTTCCTAAGTAATTATACCAACGATATCATTCATATCCTCTATTCAGACCCGAAACCAAAAACATCTATTTATCACAAGATCTTACTTTTACTTCCTAGCTAATTATTGTTAATTCCGCAGTGTCCGAGATATGTAGTTCGGCGTGGATGGAGTTTATATCAAATTCTCCCGATTTCTCATATGATATATCCACCCGAATCTTCCAAATTTTGGGGATGTTTACTTGGAAGTTGGTTGTGAGTTTGGTACCGAGGCATCATTCGATGATGGAATGTGATCGTTTCCACCATGTAAAGATCTAATATGCATTTCTTTCTCCGCGTCCCCAATATCCACACCATCGAGTTTTTCCCCTCCATCCCCCATTTCCCCATCACGCAACTCATCCTTCACCCTCACAACATCCAGCACCTCCCCATCCAACTCCGCCCTCCTAACCCGCCACCCCCACCCCAACCCACCCACCCTTTTTCCCGCGGCCCCCCCCACCGCACACCCCAACCCCAACAACCCAAACACACCTCCCACCCCGAACTCCCCTCCACCCAAACCTCTCAAACAACCTATTCCCAAGCAGAGTCCCCAACAACTGGCCCGCGAGGACCCAACCCATATAAGCCGTATTAATCCTATTACGCATTTTATTATTGATACTATAAACGGCGCATCTATTCGCAATCATACAGGTATTAATACCTAGATCTAGGAAGATAGCCTGCAGGATGGGACCTGCGATTGTGTAATTTGCGGTGAAAGTTCCGATGATGATACCAAGGAGACAGGAGAGGAGACCTAGGATGGAGCTGTAGAGGGGAGGGAACTTGTCGATGATGAGACGGGAATAGAGGGGGGAGAGGAGTAGGGTTAGGATGCCGAGGAGGGAGAAGAGAATTGGGATGGAGGGAGTATGGAGAGGAGGAAGGTTAGGGTTGTCAGTAGGTTGTGAAGAGGGCGGAGGTGCTGAGCCAATGAGGGAGGCTTGGATTAGGAGGTTGGGTGAGGAAGAGGTGGATTATACTGTGGAGGTGGAGAGATAATGGAAGGTGCCTGGATTGGTGCTGGGATAATCGGGCATGAAGAGGTAGAGGAGGGTGAAAGTAGATATGGAAGTTTTAGTGGAGGTTTTGGAAGGAGAGGAAGATCTTACGTAAATTGTTCGCCACGTGGTGTATTGAGTTAGAATACCAGATAGCAACCGAGCAACAAGTAAACCGAGAAGTAAACCCGAAGAAACAATAGCGAGACAAGTAGCTCGACGATCCGGCGGTGCCAAATCTCCCACCAAGGGCAGCATAAGTTGTGGAGTAACAGTAGTAAGAGCAGCAACAAAAGATATCCCCACAAAAACCGGAAAGGAATTGGTGAGACACAGTCCCAACCACTATTGTATTCCAAGTATTAGTACATGCTTCTTTCCTGGGGAAAAATCCTCCAGTTGATATGTAATGACTTACCATTGTAGCAGTACAAAATATTAATATTAATACAAAACTCCGTCTTTTGTAGATATCACCCAGAGGACAAATAAATAGAAGTCCGGCCGCATAGCCTGCTTGCATGACCGTTGGAATGATCGATGCACGTTCATTTGAAACATTAAACTCTTCAGCAAGAATATTGAGAATAGGATGGCTGTAGTAGAGATTTGCTACTGTGAAGGTACAAGCCTGAGAAATATTTAGCAAGAGTTATTTGATGAGTGAGGAATATATTTTTGTTTCTCGTGAGATCTGAGAGGATATTTGAGGTGGAAATTATTGCTATTGCATGTCCACTATGATGAAATTCCAAGTAAAAAAGAGTAAAAAACCCGAACTCTTCAAAAGTTCTCAACCGCACACCATGAGAAAGATGCAACTCACAAATGCAAACAATAAATTCAAAGCCATATTGAATTTTGGTGGAGATTCTGGATCATATCGACATCTCTTTGGGGTATAAGCAATCAACCAACAAAAATTTGCAAAACCCTTTTCTATCATGATAGAAAATTGCCGTTTCGTTTCCTCATGACCATCCATACTAGATGTTGATTCATGAGTACAATTGGTGTCTTTCCCATGCTTTTTATTGTCGTCGTCGATTTCTGTTGGTGAGGGTGGAGTAACTTGTATGATAGGATCGGAGGTCCGAATCATCGTGCTCGTGTTTTGGGGAAGTCAAGATTATGAATGATGTATGTATATACCTTGTTCAGAGCACTTAAAATATTGAAAGTTACCAACTAAAGTAATGATAACAAAGACCACTCGACGGGATGTAAAGACAAAAAATCTGTAACTGTATCATAAAGATAACTAAAACTAATATATTCTTGTGTAGAAGAAGAAGTAGAGAGGTCTGTGTTATCAGTAAAATCTTCCGGACATCAAGACCGGGACGATCAAGGATCGGTAAAACAAACAAGCTTTTGAATCTCACATCTTTATTGGTGTGGAACATCGAAGACGGAAGCCATCCTCCGTGCTGCATTAAAGATCACATGATATGGTTCTTCTGAAGGGTAGCAATAGTATCCTATATTTTATTCCTATTTAATGAAGAATCCAAAATTTAGCACACAGTCCGACGAACTAGTCAGACGCGTTACTCTTGAGAATGCGGGGTAATAAGTTGGGCTTGAAAACCCTAGTGGGAATTTAGACAGGAACTACCAGGAGCACTAAGGGTAGTCAGATGGAAACAAACTGGTGAGTCTCTCTTTGCACATTAAAAGAAAATATCTTACCAAAATATTATTCTGTTCGAAGCATCCTCTTTCTATTCCGATCAGATTTATCAGATAATATTCTTTCAAGAACATACAATTGCGAGAGTAAATCGAGATATGTCGAATCACTGGATTTATCAGATACATACTGAGAACTCTAATCATCTTTCAATTTATCCTCGTCATAACAATCGGACGTAATAAAACATTCTTTTTTCTTCAAGCAAATTGTATAATTCTTCCATCTTTTCGAGGATCATGATGGATCACGAAATGGCTGGAACAATGATCCAACTTCAACCTGATGTCGATATGACCGACTTTATCGACGAGAAAGACTACGACGACATTGATATGAAAGATATTTGTGAATATAACATGGAGCCTGACTATGAAGATAGCATAATGTCGAATTACAGCTATTCTCTTGACTTTCTGGAAAATAGGTATACGGTTATGAATGGGGCTGTATATGGTTCAAGGTATGATAGATACTGAAATGGAAGATTATGAGGATACAATGACGATGAACTCAATGATGCATTCAATGGACATCACAACCAACAATCTCGATAATCCTCAACAAGTCATCAAAGACCTAATGGATGGCATCAACAAGTACGAAACTTTGATCCCGGGACCACTGGACATCAACTTGAGAGACGGAACACTCTTTCACAATCAAATCACGTCGATGGAATCTACATGCTCGGCCCCAACTCAAGTTTTTACCAACTTCATGCTTGACGACATCAAGCAAATGACCGCACAACCACCGACCGCAGTCGCAGATCAAAAAACAAACTCGACAGTCAAGAAGACCAAATATAAGTGATGGGATAAGATTAACGTAAGAATTGAAGGCCGATGGGGAAAGATCTGTTTACAATGTTCCTCCAGATTCAGCCTTTCCAACAGGATACAGAAGATGAAGATGAAAAAGGCAAAGTCAATCGAGGTACCTCAGGCGAAGCATCTTGAATGTTATCTTGCTGAAGATATTGATGGGAAGACCAAAACAATGTTGTGTATTGCAACTTTTGATAGTATGGATGGATGGCATCGATTCATATATGACTTTAAAGGAGGAAACTGTGGATATAGATGTACATAGGATGCGCCGGCATTGCGGCATTCTCGTAGAGAGCGACCATATGGTAGAAGCGCCCCTAGTTTGATGCGCTGATTCATATGAAAAGTAATAAGTTCAACTGAGAAATATCGAAATAGATCATCAAGAGACTACTCTTCGGAATTGAACCTGACTGATAAGGAGGCTCACCTCCTATAGCTATGAATCGATTTCTCCCAATTCAATATTCCTTACTCAAATCCACACAAGCCCTCGTAAACTTGAATGAAAATTACCATGATTAAGAACTTCTGAAGTCTCAAAATCCAAACCAATTTCAGAGTATCAAACGGGAAATGAGAAGAAGTAAAAAAAGCTTCAACCATGACCAAATGCAAAATCGAAATCAAAGTCAAAAACCACATCGTGATCATGTGCTTGTCGATCACATGTGGGCCTGGCACAGCTCGTCCTCTACTACGAGTAAAAAAGTTCCAAACATTTTTGACTCACCCACCAACGAGACAAGTGAAACACAGTTAAGCCGATAGCCGGAGATGCCCGGTCCCGAAAGAACAGAACGTGTCGCTAATCGTTAATCACTACAGTATCTACCGTTGTTATTCTTCATAAAGGACCCGGTAAGCTTTGTATTCCCTCGAATAGTCCACCAGTCCGCTGAAACTTAAATACTAAGTAACCAAATGAATGGAAACCATCCGTCAACCTAATTTGTTAGAGAAGCGAGTATGGCTCTTTTCCTTGACTTGTACAGTAAGTGCGTATTCGATCCAAAAGTAGATGCGTCGTCTGAGACCTTGAATGAGGTTTTGATTCAACTGTTCGAGATGAATGGTGTTGTTATGCAGCTGGTCTGAGTCTGATTGATGGTGGGTAAGTGTAGTTTTAGGTGTTGGCAATGGAGAGAGAAAAGAGAAATGGGATTGGTCAGAAAGGAATAAAGGCATCATCTTTTGCGGAAGAGACTTGGAGTGAAGCACTGAAGCTGGAGTGGAGCTCAAAGGGGAGAGAGCGATGCTTCATAATGTATAGATAGATAGTACTAGGGTAGTTGGATGTATTGGATGGGTAGACGGAACAGATGACAACTATACCATTCATCGCATACCTACTTGATGTTGTAGATATATTTACCCGTCCCGAATTTTGTTGTACGAGGCAAGAAGGTTAATTGTGGTCGCTTTATTCCCTCTGTGTGTCTGTTTGTACCTTTGTACCTCTATTATATCTTAGATTTGATGAGATCTCGGATGTAGAAACGGAGTGGACGGGAAAGTGTAACATGACTGTCGCAAAGAGTGTGGATGTTTCTGCGTCTTACCAAATTAGTCTTAGCGTGACATGAGTGAAAAATTGCCGAGGAAAGTGATATTCTTCCCGATTGGCTACAGCCTACAGGGGGAAAGTATCATTTTTCAATTGTACTCCGTAGACGGTAAGAACTGTAAGACTGTGATGTGAAAAGGTCAGAACCCTCTCTTCTTCTACCAGAGCGAGGCGAAAAAGCCTCCACGGCAGTGGCCAAGCGGAGCGTCATCAATTGAATTGATTCATTCCATGCACGTTAAACAATAATATCATCAAAAAGTTTCCATGGAGCGAAATGAGAGAAACTCCTCTAGGGGCGATTTCTCTGTTTATTTTTGATAAGCAATAAAATGCACAAATTACATGCATATGAATGAATGAATGGTATTGTAGGAATATTGCCATCTACCGATCCACTGGCTAACCATATATGGAAAGTACTAAATTCTACTAGGTACCTAATCGTCGCTCACATCCTTGTATACAGAAGATAAACAAGCTTTCTTACTTCCAAGCCAGGTACAATCTGGAACAATAAGCATGGAACAGTTAGGTATTTGGTGACATAATCCCGACCCGATAAGAATGCGCGGAATGGGAGAAAGGGAGGAAATAGAAATGGAAATGGAAATGGAAACGGAAATGGAAAAGGAAAAAAGAAAAGGTTGAGGAGATAATTTCATTTTTGCCAGGTCACGGATATTACTTAGCTACCCAAAACTCCATTTTACTTTTCTTGCGACCAATCCAAACATACTTACGGACTTCTTAGCAAGCTTGATGAGAAAAGGTTTAATGAGGGTTAGATATGTATCATCTCATCCAAAGCTTTTTCTTTTATTCCGGTATTACGGAGTACAGAGATGGTACCGAAAGAGGATATACTTATTCATGTTGGCGACAGTGAGCTTGAGATGAGATTAGGAGGGAGGTTTTGCAATGAGAAACAAAAACCGACAACAGCAACCACAACACGATTTCATTATACGGGTCCGAGATTCTGTAAATTATCAATTCCAAGATACTTAGATACTTTACTTACCAATCATTGGTTGATTGATCAAAAATGAAGAAGCTTGGCAGGCTTGGCAGGCTTGGCAATCTATTTGGTACCTCGAGTACACCAGGTACCCAAACATTCAAGCTAGGCTAGTACGGAGAACTGTCTGCATGTGACAGGGATGAACGTGGAGGCTAGTAGAGGAAATCCAGATAGATTGAGGAGCTAACCTTATCATAGTTAGCATTATAAATCTTTCCATTTTCCGTCAAATTGATTCGTCCTCACTCTTCCAATCAATCCTTGCTCTAACCAAATTGGTCACTGCTTCCCGCTTTCTGTCTAGTTCCCTGGTATTCATTTTTTATCTTTTGCTCCCATTGGCCCCTGCCCATACTTTTAACCACTGACTGCCAAATTGCCAATGCATTTCACGATAAAATCAAATACATACTGTACCCCAACCACCTTCATCTTTCCTACTAAAAATCCCAATTCCCTTTCCTTCCTCATCCTTTCCAATCTCAAACAATCAATATCTCCAATTGTCAGAAAACTTCCCTGAATCTCTGAATCCCTTCATCCGACTTTCAAAGAGTTCTCATCTCATCTCCAACCTGTCGAATAATCATTAATTGAGTTGTTTACTCCCTTCAACAAAAATTCGCCTTCAAGATGTTTATCAAATCGATCGTCGGTCTCAGCATCGTTGCTCTCGTTGCAGCTCAAAGCAGCAGCTCCAACGCCACCATTGATCCAAACTCAATTGATCCTTCGATGAGAGGTAATTACCATCAAAATCTATCTTCTGATAGAATAATAGATATTAATCGATTACAGCTCAATGGTGTAATGCCCAACTCAATACTTGCGGTACTTTGTGCAATGGTGCTGTCAACGACAACACCTGTGACACTGTAAGTAACTCATCTGCACCGCACTGCCTTGATTTTGGTGCTTGCTATCAAGCTTTTATCATATACTGATTTGAGATTCGCGATAGACTGACTTGAACTACACCTGTACCTGCACTTCAAATTCGTCCACACCAGGTCTTCAATACTACACTCAAACCTTACCAACTTATATTTGCGAACAAGTTTTCTCCAACTGCATTGCCGCAGGTGAAAATGATGCCGCGGCTCAAAAGCTTTGCAGTCAAAACGAAGCCACCAACTGCGGTCATTTGGATCCAGACAAGTACGTCCCTGCTGCCGCCTCTTCCTCCAGTTCAAGTGCCTCCGCAACCGCTACCCGTACATCAACTACCGCCGCTTCCGCCACTTCCGCATCCGCCTCCGCCACTGCTTCCACTGGTGCCGCTTCAGCTTTGAACATTGGTCGTGAATATGGTACTGGTATTCTTGCTGCAGGTATTGCAGGTGTCTTTGGTTTGGTTCTTTAAAAAAGGTGTCCGGAAGATGGATTTGGGAATAATACAACAATCTTTGTATTTTTGCAAAGAGCATGGGAAACTCTCTGTATCATCCAATGATGATCATGTGCATAATCATTGTCTTTTTGTTTTTTTAGCGCGTGTTTATTCTTTTCTGATTGGCATTGGTGTTTTTGGTTCGTGGTTTGTCACGTTTCTACATCAAACTATATTCATTTGATGTCCTCGAGGGCATTGAAGAAGTGGCTGAGCTGCTAGGGTTATAAGAAACAGATATTTTAATACTGATCAAAGGGGATGATTAATGATGGTGATGAGAGTGGACAATGTTGGCTTTTTAAGCTTATCATTGATACCATGTTTATATACTGGCGTAGCATAGCATAGTATATACAAATAATTCGATTGTGCACGCCAGAAGTTTTTGATTGATGATGGGTGGTGATTGACTTGTGTGTGTGTATGTAGATGTTTAGATATCATGTTTGATGCATATACTGTATTTAGTTATATCTTTTGTGAGAGAACATACACAAGATCTTACATAGGTATAATAAGTATCTTTATATAAAAAGCAAGTGCTAATCAGGAGGGAGGAACTTACACTCGATATTCTTTCTTGTATTCTTTTTTTTTTTGGTATACGTGATTGTCATGTCATGTAAGATCTTAAATTATCAAAAGTTATAGATTTATGGTATTTAATGTTTTGTTTTGTTTTGTTTTGTTTTATATATCAGGTAGTATATATCTTAGTAGGTAGGTGTTGGTATTGTATATGGTGGCTGTTGTTGATAAGATTTGAGGGTTGAGGTTTAGGTCCTCTTTTGTATGTTTTGACGTTGCTGCTGTGAGGTCAAGGGAATGAGCCTTTGTCCGTAATAGGTAAAGGCAAAGTGGAAGATTGGGTATAGAGTTGCTAAAGTCACATTAAGAGCTCTTTCATCTTGCTAGGGATTATGTAACCATAAAATGATGCTCTGTTGTGCCTTGGAACAAGGAAACTGTTCTTTTGATAGGTCCTTTGATGCCTTTGTCTATCAACAATGCATCTCAACAATAAACTTCATTTCTTTCTCATCCACATCCCATTTCTTTGACACCATCTCCCTTCTTTATTCCCCGACTTCAAAAACTCATTGTCTCTCACTATCAAGAGTCTCATATCCCATCGGGTACTTAAACACCTATTGTTCCCCCGCGTTCGGATCAAAAATCTGGAATATTTCGACCCCACTCCTACAAAAAATCTACATTTATATATATCGATCGATTTGAAGAATTGAGGAACATGAGCTGAGCTGAGCTGAGCATCTGACGTTCAAATTAAAAGTCTCAAGCAGCTGGTCTACTTTATACTGGGATATTAAGTACTGGTGAGTTTACTCTGCTTTTTATATGCTTATATTTTCTTAGATTTACCGTTATTTGATCGATCGAGTAAGAGAATATAATACAATCCAATCCAATACAACACACACACACACACACATATATAAACAAAAAAATGGAAACTAAACCCATAATAGAAAGGCCCCTAATCCCCTCTGACACGCCCTCCTTCGGTATCGAATTTGAGTTCCTCATCGCCTTCCTCAAAAACCCCGAAATCCCAAACCCCAACCCCTCAGATCCACGAACCGTCTATTTCCCCTCCACCGCCGAAGACGACGTATCATTATCTTTAGTCCCCGCCGGAAAAGAAAACTGGGCAAGCGAATGGTCCATATACGCACATATAAAACGAACCCTCTCATCCATCGGACTCCCTACCGAACCAGGAAAAGCACATTCAAATTTCGCCATGTGGGAAGTCACCACAGATGGCTCGATCCAACGACCCAAACCCCCGAGTAAGAGAAATAAAAAAGCTTACGATGATTGGAGAACTTATTCGTATTATCCCATCGAGGTTCGTACACCCGCTTACTATTACAGCGAAGATGCATTAACAGATATTGCAGATTTCTGTAAAATCATGCGCAAGAATTACCTGATTACCGTTAATGCCTCCTGTGGCCTCCACGTCCACATCGGCTACGGATTGTCAGGGTTCGAACTCCCCCACCTCAGACGTCTAGGCGCTCTAATCGAAGCTTTTGAACCGCAACTCGATTCCATTCATCCAGCCCATCGAATCGATGGTCAAAATACCCACTGTACCTCTTTTCGTCGGGGAACCTATTACCAGAGGAAATTCCGACAGGAGCAGGGTCGTGATCCGCGCGTGCTAGAAGTGCTAGCTACGGTTCTTACATGTCGCACGCGCGACCAATTTCGCGCGTTCGTAGCTTCGGAGGGTCCGACGGGAACGGTGGGGTTTGAGAGTGGTACTTCGTCGTGGAATTTCGATCGTATGGGTACCGAGACAAGGCGGAAGGTTGATTGGGTGCAGGATACGATTGAGTTTCGCGGGCATGAGGGGACGCTTGATCCGGAGGGGGTGGAGAATTGGACGAGGTTGTTGGTGGGCTTGGTAAAGTATACTAGGGACCCTGATATGCTTGAGTTTGGGAGTTTGCTGCAGAGAGTCACGGGTGAAAAATGGGTCAAGGAGTTTTTGGATACGAAGGCTACGGGTGAGAGATATGGACTTGGAGGAAAAATGTTCAGACCTGTTTTTGGGCAGACATGGTGCGGATTAGTGGATTTTCTTAGGTTATTAGGACTTGATAGTCCCGCAAACTATTATGAGAAGAGGAAGGGTAAGTACTTGGAGAATGGACTGTATACTCATTGGTATAGCAGTGCACCGGTGGAATATACCGTGCTGGGAGATGGAGGTTCTGATGTGAAGGATAGTGAAGATTCGAAAACTTCGGATGATTCTCCGTCGTCCGATTCGTCTTCAGGCCATTTTAGACCTTTTGATCCGAATCCGAATCCGGGGACGCAGCCTGGGGCACCGCCCGGTGTACCCCCTAGATCACCACCACCTGGTGCTGAACCAGAACCGGGAAATAATGATGGGGAAAATCAAGGTCAAGATCAAGATGAACCAGCACCCTCGGAAACTAAATCCGCTCCCGCCTCCTCCTCCTCAGAAGAATTCCCCGCCCGTCCCGGCACCAAAAAATTACAAGAAGCAGGTGCGGCCAATAATCCCCCTTCTGGATCCGCCTCTTCTAGAGATTCTGCGAGTAGCGCATCGAGTGAATTCACTAATCCGACTCCGCCGGTTGTTCCTGGGGATGCTGAACCCGTCCCTGTGGAGTCTCCTGTGCCTATGGATTCAGGACTGGCTACTGAGGATTCTGGTGCCGTGTCTGTGGTGCCTGCTGTACCTGCTGTACCTAGTTTACCTCCTCTCCCTCAGGATTCTTTACCGGGATTTAATTTACCTCCTGCACCCACAGATTCTTTACCAGCACCAAAACCCAGTGAAAAAGGAGTCCCATCCCCATCATCACCTGCCTCTCACAAATCCAGCAATCCAAACTCAAAATCACGCTCAAAATCCACAGATTCCTCAAAAGAACCCGATAAAACAAGCTCAGAATACGAAGCCGATGCATTAGCCGCAAAAGAAGTACTACGAAAATTCTGGGAAGAGGAAACGAAGAGACAAGAAGAGGAAGATGAAGAGAGGAAGGAAAAGAAGAGGCAGAGGAGTAGTATGGGTGGTGGGAGCAGTGAGAGGAGTGAGAGGAGTGTTGGGAGTGGATCGTTGGCATTTGATGATCCGGGTCCTAAGGATGAAGGGCAGGAGGAGTTGGTGCCTTGGGAGGGTGCTGGGGTAGAGGATGAGAAGGGAGTGGAGTTTGATGATGGGGAGGAAGAGAAAATAAAGAAGGAGAAGAAGGAGGAGGAGGAGGAGAAGAAGAGAAAGAAGCAGGAGAGCGAGAAGGAGGAGAAAAAGAAGGAGGAAGATGAGAAGGAGGAGAAGGACACTGACGAAGACGCCGACGAAGACGACGACACGGACGAATCAATGCTAGAACGCCCCAGGCAGCAGGAAGGGGTAGAGAATCCTGCATCGGAAGAGGGAGAAGGTCTCGAGTACCTCGTAGTCTACGGAGAAACGAAACTTCCTCCGCTCCCCGGCCACATAAACTACAGTTTCCGAACCGCAACACAACATTCCCATCTCCTCAACGGCACCACTCCCAAGCAAATCCGCGCTCTGGCACCCAATATCGGAAATGCGATCGGCAGTCGTTTCCACCGACGTGATCGTGAACCCTCAAGTCCCTGGCTCCAAGAAGCTCCCGACATCGCAAGTATGAATCCCCGTCGGATACCCTATCCTGGTCCGGACCCCTGGCTCGGCAGACCGAATTTCCCCTTATTTCAAGCACGTGCACAACTCGCCGACGCCTTATACGAAGAAGAAATTGATGCTGAGAATGAAGATGGAATTTGGCGGGGAAAGGGAACCATGGGTGAGACGTGGGATATTCAACACGGAGAACCGGGTACACGATCCGAAAAACTTCGTCGCATGTTGGAAGGATTGCGAATTCATGATGTGTCGCCATCTATTAAAGGGTATCTTCGTTATAAGGCTCGGCTACACGGTCGGAAGGATTTCTATACAAATCCAGATCATTTGTTTCCTCCTGCCGCGAAGACGCTTGAGGAATTCGAAAAAAATGATGATGACTGGTGGCGTTTTGAAGTGGCTTGTATGACTATGAATGACCTTTTTGAAAAATCAAATGATGCTGATGATGAGATTGCTGAAGACGCATGCGAAGCGATTCTGCGAATCGGTGGCCCAGACGGAATGGGCGCTGAGTATTGGCCCGAGGGAGCACAAAATCCCTTTAGCAATCTACCGCGCACACAGGAACCCGTCCAGGAAGATGTAAGTCCGCATACGGATGTTCCCGGAATACATTTTCCCTTTCCCGGACAATCACAAGCGGATTTTTGGGAGGGTTTAGAAGTGTTGAAACAGGAGGAAGAGGATAGGCGAAAACAAAAGGAAGAGAAAGATAGAATTGCGAACGCATTGCGTGAGCAGAATCAGAAGATTATGGATGAGATGAGACAGGCGGAGGAAGAGATGGAGAAGAGGAGGAAGAAGAATATGCCGCCTCCTTTGCCGCCGAGATCAAATTTACGTCCTCCGCCTTTGCCGCCGAGACCGGTTGATCCGGAGAAAAAATAAGACTTATAGTCCGTAGGGGTAAAGCCGGAGAGAAAAGGTAAGTGGTGGGTATTTTCTTTATCTTTATTTTGTATTTCCTTTTGGGTTTTAGCTTGAGGAAATTGGAATACAGACGGGTATTGACTGGTACAGCTCGAAAGGTAAGTGTTTCAATTGATCGAGTGATATAGTAAGTTTATTTTACTTTCTTTTCTTCGTTTTTTGATATCTGTTAGTTAATAGTTAGATTTCTTTATAAATGTATTTTTTTTATTTTAAATATTTAGTTTTTGAGTTATTGTATGAGTGTGAATGTAACTAATTAATATAAATGATAAAATTTTTATAAAGTTCTTGAAGTATTGTAGGTTTGAAATTAAATACTTAATTAATTAATCAATTTATTTATTTTTATTAAAAATATTATGTAAAAAGTTTTTAATTTTCTTTGGTATTTTTAATAATCTTATTTTTAATATAATATTCTGTGTAATATTAATTGTTGAGGCGAGGAGAGAGATTTATAAAATAAATAAAAACTAATTGATAGTAGGTTTTATGAGATTAACATATTAATTTGATCACACTATAATATTATTTGGATATTCCAAGTTATATTTCTCTGTCTAGTCTATTTCAATCACCAAGCTTTGTCTAGAGGAATAGCTTGGTTTGAAGATACTCGCTTCTTATCGATCAAACCATTTTGAATATGTGCTAAAATAAGAAGCTGTGCGGTTAGACAGTCTTGATGTTCTGATATACGTGGATTTCTGATGAAAATGATCAATCTATTATTCTTATATCAAATTAAACAATCCGAAACTCAATCTTGTACAGACGACCCGGTCTATACATCTAATCATCATCAAAAGAAACTCTAACGAAATATAAAATGAAAATAAATGATAATTATTTGAATATCAAATGACTAGTTAATATTTTTCATTAATCTATTTAACACTTTCACATTAAGAAACCAAATTATTCCAGACCGAAATCTAAAATAAAAAGTGTAGTTCAGAAAATCTTTACAATGACCAGACGGCTACAAATAACCAATACGATTATAACCAACTCGTCGATCCAAGAATCTTTCACATTGCAAAGCTGGATAAAGTTGAAGTTAATTCTACACATAAGAGGATATATTATATTTTCACCAAGTAACACATCAAAAAACTAATGATCTCGAAATTTAGCATTGACTTGCGACAAGCAAGAAACTGCTCATCGAATCAGAAAGCAATAAATTTTGGTCTTTAATCCCTTCATCATAAGCGAGAAATATAATTTCGTGCGCCTTACGAGCTAGAATGAATGAATGAATGAAAATTTAGTACTTTAAAGTAGTTATAACAGGATTTCAATTTGCCTTGTTGTTTATTTGCTGATACAGACGTAAGTAAAGTAGTAGCTAACAATAAGTAATCGATTGATTGGCCACTTTGATTCCAGGATCAATGCAAGGTGATGTAGTGAAGATGCTGCCTCTATTTGATTCATACTTACCCTTTGAGCCACTCTTACCGTTTGACTCATATTCGACTAGTGTGTAACTTTTGCTTGCCGTCAAATATTCGTCATTTAATCACTACAGTACTATGCATTGAACACTTCAACATTGAATGCGGAAAAGATTTTATAATCTTCACCGATGTTTGTTGTTTTCATACAAGAACTTCATACTTCCAATCGCTGCAGTACGAAAATTGGACATAATGGAAGTAACAGCTCGACTAAATGAAGATACATCATTACCACTATCATCACCACCATCATCCTCATCACCTACCGCCCAAGCGCCAGCCTTGAAGCTCAATTTTTTCGACCTCATTATCGAGATTCGCCTTAAGCTCCACAAGGAACTCCTAGTTGTCGCCAAATCTTATACATTCAGTATCGGCACTGGTAGAGCTCATTATTCGGAACATTTCAATATAGATCCAGATGCAAAAGAGGGTATGGGTTCCTCTCTCTCACTGTTTCGAGTTAATAAACAAATCTATTTCGAAGCTATCCCGATTCTTTACCGCAACGACGAATTTGAATTGACACTTGCGCTTGAATTTTCAACGCCGAATCGCAAAAACTCCACCGTTAAATTTTTCACATAAGATTGGAAATCGTAATGCGAGATTTATTCGCCATATAGGCATCTACTTCGCATGGTTTACGACCCCCAGATGGCGATAAAATAAATTTGACAGAAAACGTTCTGGAACTAATCGCTGTAAAATGTACGGGTCTACCAAAGATCGAATGATAAATATGGGATAATTACAGTCATAGCGTGTTGGAGCATCAACCATCACTTGTATCATATGAATATGCTGCATTTCGGCAGAGTTGCTCAAGTTAATTGATACCGAGTTGAAGAAGTTCATCGCTGCCAGAGATTATCGTTGATTACCGCATCTGGAACCAAACGGAAACGGCCTCAGATCAATGAAAAGCTTATACAAATAAATGATGCTTGATTGTAGATGGAAGGTTCAGGTTACGCGAGAAGAGTAATCAGAGAAAGACTCGGATTCAGATGTGTTTTGTTTCAGATGTGTTTTGTTGCAGATTTGAGCTTGATTAATAAGATTTTTAGACTGCATAAAAATATCTGCGGGTTGCAGATATTCATAGATTATCTACCTCGCGGGTTACTCATTAGATCTACAACCTGCCCTGATTTATAAGATTAATTTATTATAAATGCAATTAGAAGTAAAAATGATTAAAAATATAATATTTATTTATTCTTATAAAATAGTTTTTGATAATAATTAAATATTTTGAATATAAAGTTATAGGCCCTTTCTAATATTAAGAGTCTATAAAAGTCTATAGTCTCATTCTTTTCAAAGCGTCCTCTATACAAACTCACTCTTCTATTCAGTAATCACCCCATTTACAAAAACAGCCGCTCAAAGCCCACCATCATTCATTGTACCCATCCACTAACAAACCAACAATACTCCAAAACCATCACATCACCCACCACAAACCCCCACAAACCCTCCACAAGCTTACCCAACCACTCAAACCCCCATTACCCCAGTCCCCACCCCATTCCCCACCACACCCCACTACACCCCACCGCACCCCACCACACCAATACCACATCACATCACCAGACGACAAGGATCATCTGACCTTCCTACCATTCCTAATTCCTACCCTACCCTACCCAACCCTACCCTACCCTACTTTACCCTTCACCATCCCTGATCTACACTGATCCCACACCCTCAATAACCCACCCCGCCTCCAATGATCTACACACTGCATGATCTACAAAGATCTACCGTACATAAAATCCCAAATACAACCTAAATACAATCTAAATACACCCAAAAATAAATAGATAGGGAATTAGCAGTTGTAATCTAATACTCACCTATTTATCTACTTACCTAGATATACATACATGCATAACATGTCATATTAGCCTTAGCAGGTTATAGCAGGTTAGATAAGGAAATAAGCTTATTTCTTTTCAACCGGGTAAGAAAATAGCATCAGAATATTCATGTCTATATGTTACATACTAAGATTAACATGCTAAGCTCACATTTAAAGCGGCCAGTTTTCGTCTCAGCACGGTATTCTTTTTTCTTTTTTTTGGAAAAATTTTGAAAAAGCGGGAGAGTAAGGTTAAGGGGTTTAGTGGTAAAGTGGTGACGGGCGGGTAAATGACGGAATTTATGCTTATGCTTATGCTTATGCTTATGCTTATACTGCTGACTCGAGACTTGCAAAGATGGGATAGCGGTAATATTTTCTCACGAGCTCAAGAGCCAAGGTTAGCTAGGTAGGAAATTAGTCGCATCCATCCATCATCTTGCATTTATTTACGCAATAAGATATATCGTAAAAGACAGGATATATAATTTTGCTAAAGACAAAAAGATCAATGAGCCAACTAAAACGAAGACAAAAAACCACCCCATCCCACCCATCCACAAGCCCTTCCACACCCAAAGTTCCTAGACTCCAACACCATTCAAACGTTACCAATCTCAAGCTTTACCACCAGATACCCGCATATCTCCCAAAAACCACTTCTACCAACTCCATACTCTAACCAGACTTATACAATGTAATCAAAGTAGGATATACATTGAGATTCGCGCTATACAACGCCTGAGACTTTCCATCTCTCGTGATCATGTTCGTGACGCCGACTGTAGCCAAGGTGTAGATATTGACATTTGAGATTGAGCCCTCAAGACTGAGGATGTTCGTCTGGCAATTTTCGGGACCGCCACCGTTGGAGCAGGCTTTGATGTGTTAGTATATCTCGACAAAATTCTTCAGGTTTAGAGACGGTAAATAACCAGGGAAACATACTGGTAGAATAATTGTCGAAGAATGAGTAGAGTCCCGCTCCATAAACAAGAATGTTATTGGAGTTAATAATCCTCAAACCCCAGGCCGAAGCACAGTTACCGGAATACCCTGCGCATGAAGCACTAAAGTTAGGATCGTTAAGAGACGTGACAACGCTGAAGGGGGTTGGTGCAATTGGTTGTGGTTGATAATATCTAAGGATAATCAGCAATGCTTTCAATATGAGATTAATCGAGAAACTTACGGTGTTTCTGTCTGCACGAAACCCATGAAAATGTTCTTGGTATTGGCCAATTGGTATTGATAAAGTGTGAAATGTTCAACACCAGTGCCGACACTGAAAAATGTTAGCTTATTTTCACGTTATCAGGAACAAGATAGACTTACAGCCAGAAAGTTCCCGCGGTACTCTCAATATATAGACCTCTGCCTGCATAGATATCGAGTTGTCTCAAACCTTGATCATCGATATCATGATCAGCAGTCCAAATCCACACATTCTCCATGTACAAGCCGCTGGCACCTGCTGTGATATGCATGCCCATGTATGCAGCAATACAGTTTGAGTTGACCGTTGTACTGGCTGGGTTCTTCTCGCACTGGGCAACTTGTAGATTCGATCCTGTGAAACCACCAATTCGTGTGTGCACGTCCCACATTCCAGATGGCGTTGAGCCAGAATTAGCGAGGTTCCATTCGATCAACGTAGCACCAGCTTGTTGACCTTGTGTTGAAACTAAACAATCACTCCATTCGACATGTCCCGTTTGACCAGGGTTTCCAACTCGTACAACCGGTTGAGGACTATTGATATTGTTGAAGAAACTGCCACTCGACATGATGGTAGAATAAGACTCGCCTACTATTCTTGAACCAGGAGGAATAGTAATTGTGCTTGTTACTTTGTAAGTACCTGCATCTAGGAAAAATACCTGTCCGGAACTTGCTGCATTATTAATTCCATGTTGCAGAGCAGCAGTATCATCGGTTACACCATCTCCAACCGCACCATTGGTTCTCGCACTCGTAAATGAAGAGACTGACAAGGTATTGTATTGAGGTTTCGACTGGGTATAATATTTGTTTCCGCTGAGTAAAGATGCAGGTCGATTATTTGGAGTGATAGCGCCTTGGAAATCAGATGGACCATTGGGATCATATTTGCGCCCTTGGCCCCAACCAGCAATGGTCGTGCTTCCACTTGTACCAGCCAATTGTGTCGCTCCACCACTCAAAGTGACAGCTGTGGGGACATTACTGAGCGCCACATTTTCAAGTATGAGACTACCAGCTGTGTCTGGTGTTGCATTGGATGTGTAAGCTGTAATAATTCCGACGGGAGTGTTAGTGATTGAACTGTCAATCACAATAACCGAACCCACGTTCTGAGCGGTGGATCCTCCTGCCGAAATATCAATTCCTTTCTGGCAGTTGTTTATACTGATACCTTGGAACAACCATCCCCAATCCCAGAACATGCTAATCGCCGTAACACAGTTGTTGAAAACCAAGTTTCTCATGGTAAATTGCTGGTTGCCAATGGCAGCACCAACAAGGCCACCATTGAAGGTAACATCAACCAAAAGTCCAGCAGAACCTTTTTTCAAAATGTCAGTGTGGAATTCTCTCCAGACTCGATTTTACTCACCACTTTCACAGAATAGACCAGTGTGTTGAGTTCCTGGTGCGGAACTCATCTGGAATACAACATTCTGTAAGCTTGTCGCTTGAGAAGTTGGCCAATGCAGACCTGTTGCTGTGGTTCCAGCAGGAATGCTAGTCATATCAAAGACCAAGTTGCGGATTTGTCTCAAGAACACATTGGTGGAGCCCCAGTTAAGAACGGGAGAATAATATGGGTCTGCATCGATCAGACCGAAGCCTGAAAAATTGGGTGTAGCTTTGAGAACCGGTAAACTGTTTGGATTACCGATAATTTGAGTGTAGTAGTAGTCTACTATCGATGACGATATCAAATAGGTTCCAGATGGGAAGTATACAACTGCAGGAGTGGTTGTGGTCGAAGAACACCCTTGACCACATCTTCCACCGGAACTGATAGCAGCGTTGATAGCGGCAGTATCATCGGTAACACCATCACCTAGATAATTTTGTTAGCAATGACCACCGGTATATTTATGAACTTACCTTTTGCGCCAAAATCCTTGACATTTCGATACACCTTATATCCTGAAGGGCCAAATGCGGATTTGCCCTGATGCGAAATCTGCTCATACCAATAAGGGGTCGCACGAGGAATAATCTTGGCCATATCATCCTTTGCTGGAATGACAGCGACGTCGCTATGGTTGCCCTTGTTGTGTACATAAGGTGCAAATTTGTTCAGGACCTTCGTCACTACCTTGTCGACCTGAGGTATATGGAGCTGCATACATGATGACTGAAGCACCAGGGAGAGTAAAATCACGCTTTTGGTCACGTTAACCATGATGAAGGTTTGGCTTGTAAAGTAGAGAAACCAATACTGAGTAGACAAGGTGTGGAAGATGATCAACGGGGGAATGGTCGATCACTTATGTACTGAAACTCCATCGTACCTACATGCACCTACATGCACCATTTCAGTGTGCCTGTCCAAAAGGAGAACATGAGAGTGCTGCAAAGGCAAAAATCCGGTTTGATCAGGATAATTCAGACAGTTCTGTTTAGTCTCCGGCCTTTCTTGATAGAATTTTATCACGAGCTTCCATGCAAGACTGTCTGTACGACTGGGGCGTTCTGTACCTTTTCGGTCCCTATTAGTGACATGTGAGGGTATCCCGCCTCATGATCACCCAACATGAGATGAAGTTGATATTAGCTTGTGCTTGATGCTGACCATACAATTCTGGAAACCGGAATAATTGAACAAGCGGGCCCAGTGATGTGGGATTCTGGATAAAAGGCTCCGAATCACTGCCGAAAAATGGCCTTGTGAGCAGAACTCGGCCAAGAAGAAAATCAATCTCAAACAATAAAAATTTTAAATTTTACCATTACAACATGACAAGATGAATTAAGATAATGCTGACGGCTAGATCCACGAGTCAAGCCCCATAGAAAGACGGAAGGAGATTTTTTGTTTTACCACGTGTAAGATAATTTAGAGGAAAATCTTACATGGAAGGTTAATTTTTTTTTTTTTGAATTTGGTAACGGCCGTTCTCCGGTCCGACCGATTGTCACACACACTACCACGGGCCTGGTTAAACTTGTAATGTGTATGTACTCTGTGGACTTTGCATATTCTGCACACTCTGCATGTACTGCATGTTCTTTATTGCGGGGTAAGAATCTGGGGAATTTTGGGATTGGTGGCTTGTGGGGAAGCTCGTGATCACCGAAAATGACAACTATGCCGTAATCGGGTTACAACCTGAGTCGTATTATGGATGCTGCTGTAAGGTTGGACAAGATTCGTGAGATGTCGCCAATCTTCTCGGAATGGCCCTGAAAGCCATAGAACCCCTAAGAAGCCATAGAAGCATCAGGATGCCAGGATATAATATCCGCCAAATTTAGACTTCATTGGTTCCCAGCCCTTGAGCATCAGTAAATTTAGTAGGACCCGAGAATTTCATCAGATCACATTCCACCTCCCGCAGATTTATAGCGAGAAAACTTTTCATGACTTGACCTCGGTTCCAATTTACATGAAAAGCTGGCTATCGCTTGATGCGTATATCGGAGCCTCACTGGCCGAAGTATCCTGGAGTATCCCGCTGAGGATTATCTGCATATGCAGATTCGTAGTCAGCTTTGAGACATATCTCAATTTAGGCCGAGGCCGCACTAGAAAAAATAAGCAAAGCGGAAATGAAAAATGTTTCCACTTCAACTACCGTCCCGAGATTCATTTCCACAATGAACATTGCTATCGGTTGGTTGGTGCTTGCGGAATCTTCTGAACCACGATGCCAGGAGATACATCGTAATTAGTCCAAAGAAATGATGTAATTGGTTACACGTTCCAATGTGATGGGATGCGTTTGGCGGATATTGCAATGTCAAAATCCTCTCTTGTCGCCCGGTCAAAATACGGTAGATAATGCCCAGCCGGGGACATTGACATTCTTCCCAGAAAAGCACAGCCAAAAATAGTAATGCAACCTTGGTTCAGTCGTGACTGAGGTGAGATGAAATCCAGTTAAGCGCTTTAAGTCCTGTTTGCCATTCTTTCGCTCATTGACGGAATGTTACAAGAATCTAGGCGTAATGCTGGACCAATACCCTGATTTGATCCAAAAAAGAATGAGTGAAGGAGTGACCTGCGCTCTTTTCTTTCAAAGTTCCTAGAGCTCTTTCCTTAGTCTATGCAGACTGTTCACATGAGGGCATTATTGAGGCACTACCCCTTGCCAGGAAACAACAACTGCATAGAATAGTCGACATGGTCTTGCAATCCAGCTAAACTAGCCCCCCTAGTAAACCACCGAGTGTAACAATGATAGTGGTGTTAATTCGGCCATTCGAATCCATGCCCATATAAAAAAGGTGCCGAAGCAGCAAAGCTGTCAACAGTGGGGCCAGGGACGGTATTCCAATCTAGGTACGGTTCTTTCAGTGCTTCGGATGATGTCCAAGATGTTACACCTGCGCTCAATGCTGCTGTCAAGCGTCGGAGATGATCTCCCATTAACGACGCTTCATCCATGGCCCATGATGGAAGTAGGTTCCTAAGGCAATAGTAAATCGACTAAGTTGCTATGATTGCATTCACCTCTTCCAAGCATCGCACATTTTGACATGCGCTGGAGCTAGCCGTTGCTGCAATCCTTGCGCCTCCACCAATTCTCGGCCGTTTGTACCTCCGCGACAATGGGTCTTATGTAATGCCATACTCGATCATTTGCGACGGAATCGTCATAAGGTAGAGTTGGGCCGAGCATGCAAACGCGTTGCAAACGCATTTTCCATGATGCTGTGGTAGGGTAGTCGGCGCAATCCTCCCACACAATCGGTTGAATCAATTGCTCCAAGGAACCAATTGAAGGTATTTTTCTTTTGCATGAAATTCTGGGAAATATATGCCAAACAATTGGGATGGATGTCTTTAGCATGAAGTTGTGGTTGTGTTTGTTGGGAAGCTCAAGTGCGGGGAAATTTATCACCATAGTTTTGGAAGCATGACGCACGGACCATGACATCACTCTCTAGAAGCTCATGCTGATAAAATCAAACGGATTACAGTCCGATGGGAATGTCTAATTCAGTCTAACATCTCAAAGAATACCAGTTTTTAATGACCATAAGCACAGATTTAGGAGTAATTGGTTTGAAGACTCTGACCATGATCTGAACGACCTCCCTGTGAGCTCTAGTTTACTTCTATCCTGACAATATTAACCATTCTTCACTGGAGATGTTCACGGTGCAATTCGGGAAGAAAATAAAATCAACTCTACAATGATGTCCAGCATATAAACTCGTGATTCTTATCCAGCCCATAACATACAGGTAAAACACGCCGCTAAAACGTCCCAGCCTTAGTTTAAAACTTCTCCTTATAAGCCTTCCCATGCTTCGTCATAACATTCGTAACAATGACGTTCATCGTACCCTTTCGGAAAGCCTCCTCATCGCTATCCTGTTCCATGTCATTCTTCGCATTCCCAAACTCAAATTCCAACCCATTCATCGATGCTCTTACTGATCGGGGTACTGCGATAGCATCGTATAAATCCTCGAATATAATATCGATCCCGGCTACTAGGCCAATTTGTGATTCTTGATACGTTCCCAGCGGCCAACCTGCTCTCTTAAATTTCTTCTGTACAGCGGCATTCATGCCTACGAAGCGTAATTCTACGGCATCACCGCTGTATGTCATAATTTCGTCCTTGACATCTTGGAGATAGATAAGGCCAGTAGTGTCAATAAAGGTAACACGAGTGAAATTGAATACGACAACTTCAAGTTTTGGAAGGAATCGGGTTGGAGTATTGATATTGCTTCTACGACGAAGAGCAGCAGTTCTTCGAACGCGAAAGTCGCTCCATCCTTTTAGGTCTGTCGGTCCGTACGGAGTGGGCTCATGATTAGTCCAGATAGCTTCTAAAATATCTTTCTTAATTCGCTCGGCGTTTAGGTAGAAAAGGGGTGTTTCTAATGTAATAATTTGAGTTCCTTGGGGTATTAGACGGTCTCCGCGGGGTGGTGGTCGCATTCTTTCAATGTTATTGAAACTGTATCTATTCTCAATATCCAAGGATTTCAGTGGAGTAACCGAAGAAAATAATGTGCGTAAAAGAGTGTATAGAATCATGTAGGCTACCCCAAGACCAAGAGCGATCTCTAAGCCTGCAACTAGTGCAACATTCATGACAACAAAAAAGCCTATGAAATCCGCAAAGGATCTTTTCCAATATGTGAGAGGAATACTATTCGGAGGGAGAATTTCAGCTACGGAGACCAGGATAACGGCGCTGGTTGCGGCAGTCGGAATCCACTTGAAGGCCTGGGTTAATTGGCTGATGGCGAGGAAAACGATCCCGGCTGAGAATAGCCCACCCAACGGGGACCTTACTCCAGTTGCAGAATTCACTGCTGATAAGGAAAGTGATCCGGACACTGGCATCCCACCGAAAAGGCTGTTCACAATGTTTGCGGTGCCAAGGAATACAAGCTCTTGGGATTCATCTATCTCATAGTTATGTTGGCGTGCAAAGGACTTGGCGAAAATCAAATGTTCTACTACAGCAGCTATAAACACCTAGCAAATAGTAGAAAGTAAGTCTCCATCCCAACATTTACCAATTCCGACTTTACTTACAGGGAATGATTTAGTAGCAACAAGCAGGACAATCTTGGTCGGAGGTTGTGGGGATTGGATCCCTTGAGGAGGAACAGTTCCAGCAATAGAGAATTGTGGAACTGCAAGCTCCCTATTGATAACAAAGGATACTCCAGTGGAAATAGCAATTACTAAGGCGTTCCGTAAATTCGAAAATACCCTGATAATGCTGCTCTTTTGGCCCCATTTCTTGTCCATCAGCTTCAATAAACTGATGATCACTATTGACGCCACACCAATGGCCAAAGACAACGGTTGGGTAGTTGCAATGTTTTTAGGAATTTCCATTCCTTGTCGTGAGAAGTCCTGACCTACGCCCGATTCTCCGAGGATCAAGGGTACCTGGCCTTGAATGATGATCAACGCTGCCGACATCTGAAATCCAACCAGCATAGGAATCGTTACGAAATTTAGCATCCATCCAAGGTTTAGAAGCCCTAGCAGTAGAGATAGAGCACCTATTGAGAACGAAAGAGCGGATGCGATGAGAGCTGGTGGTATTGGAAGACCTTGAGCGGTAATAGACAGCACAACAGCATTGGTAAGGAGACTCAGAGATGTCGTAGGGCCCGTGGCGATATCTATGATTTTTAGTATGAATCAGTTTTAACTGTGTGAGATGTTACCTTTGGATGTCCCCATGAAGAAGTATATAGCTGATGGCATCCAACTAGCGAGTAAGCCTTGTTGTAATGGCACTCCAGCAAGGGTTGCGGATGCCAGGGCTTGTGGAACCAAGACCAATGCAACTGTGACACCTGCTATTACATCGTCCAAAAGCCACCTTGGAGCATAGTTCGGAAGCCATTGTACGAACGGAATCTTGTGAATCAGATATTTTCCCGTCAATAATGGTAATGCTTTGAATCCGCAAACAATGCCCCTCCTCCCTCTAGTCAAGTTTTCATCATTCCTAAGCCCTTCTTTGATCTCCCTTAACTTTTTGGCTATCTTGCCCATAGTAAAAACACTGTCGGTATTATTGCGAAAGAAGATTTCAGTCCAGCTGCAATACGTAAATCATGGAAAGGCTGGCCTCACAACTCTTATAGAATATAAAACAACCATAAATGGCAACTCAATGATTGGAGTGGACATGATTTTGTTAGAGCTTCTTTAGGCTCGGGATTTTGCATTGAGTAGCAGAGTAGACAAATCGTTTCATCATCATCCCATCGTGTTGACTGACTTTGACTTTCAGGACGTAGGTCATATCCGTGTCTGCCTGTTTTGCGTGGACAGAGTATACAGTAGATGAATATACAAAAGAGAAACGCGGAAGGATAAGGATGATTGGTCGTCCTTGACAACTGTAGAACAAAAGATTTACACCAAACGATACTAGTTTCAAAAATCGTAAAAAAAAGAAAATCCCAGGCATTGGAAAAAGTCTGGGCGTGGTGATGCTTAGCCTAGGCACTAATCATCTCCACGAAATTCTTTAAGCACATTGCATCCAAAGTGCCATCGGAATGGCAAGAATTAATTTAGCGATTCATGCTAATCCGGTAACAAATGATATCCATTGACAATGCAGCAATGTGCAGTCTCTCAATATTTGTGGTAACTTAGTTGCACAGCAGAATTTCGATTAGACTTTGTATACGGACGTGATCAGTCGTGGGATGACTAGCACATGGACTCATCACTTAATCTGGGGTAGCGGATATCTAAAGATGCGTGCATAAATTATTGAAACACGAGTGGCCATGACTTCTATGGCAGACTTTCACACAGATTTCCCATTGATCTGACGATGTTTCAAGATATTGGGCATTTCAAACGAAGTAAAAGCAACGGAGAACAAAAAGGACTTGAGAAGATTCCTACAGAAACCGTAGAACCACGAATATGGAGACCTTCGTTTCCGCGCATCTTCGGATTGCTAAACTGCGCTACATGACCCTGAACACCTTCTACCAAGTTTCATGTATTCTATAATGCTTCTATTCCGCCGCCTCGGACGATAAATGCTACTGCCATCTACTGGTCTTAGCCACAAGATGCACGTAATCTCATACTCGCATTCTATAACAGATGGCTCCATAAGCTGTTGTGTCCATCATTGCAATATGTATGCCGGATACAAAACACGCTCAACTTTGAGTTTTTGATTATATGGACGAAGGAGGCCCGTAGTTTCTTTTGATAATAGAATTTATATGCCATGCAGGAGCTAGGCAACTTACCCCAAACCGCATTGGTAACTGTCCCGACGCTATTTAAGGGCATGTAGCTAAAATTCAGGAAAACTATCCCTCTTCATAGACAATTGGACTGAAGCAAGAGCTGGTCTCTTTTGTCGCAGGCTAGCCCATTTGCAGAAGCTTGTTCATAGCAACTCAATGTATCGCATCTAGACTTGATAAATCCAATACACACATCGCTGTCATGAGGGGGATACTAAAAAGTAATAGTTCAACCTGGGATATACTATCGCCCTAGATCTTTTTCTCTGTGGCTGCCATCAGGCGAGGTCGGCATGAAATGTAATGGAGCTGAGATTGGGCACTCCCATATGCCTCAATCATCAACCGCTGCTGTGCTGTACCTCCAGATTATTGCGCCTTCTTGTCTTGAGATTTTTGGTGGTATTTTGAGAGTTTGAATATTATGTGGCGATGTTTGTAGCCTGTTAAAAAAGGAATTTAATGATGTTAAATTTAGTTCTTTCGATAAAGTTCACACCCCACAAACATAAACATCGGCTACTGTCGGGCATTTCAGAGCTTTTTTCAAGCGATGTGGTAATCCCAAAATCCCCTCCATCACCAAAAAATGCCCGACCCAACAACGTCGCTGACAACTCTCGATGCACTGTTTAACAATCCTGTTTTCGCCGGTGGCATCGGTCTTGCAGGTCTTGGGGCTTCTGCTGCCATAGGACGACGTTTCATGATACTAGGAGCTTCCACCATCAAACGACGTCTTTTGGTAAATCTCGAAATCAGTAAAGAGGACCCGTCATATCAATGGATCTTAGCATGGCTATGTCTCCCTCGACCACCTGGAGGTTTCATCGCATCAAGAATTACCCGTGTTCATGATTATTCTATGCGAACGACCGGCGAACAATTAGAAGGTGGTCCATCATCTGCGACATTTCTTGCGCAACCAGGATATGGCAGGCACATTGTGCAGCATAAGGATGCGTTTATACTAGTTCAGCGGGAGAAGCAAAGCAGTCATAATATGAATACCGGTGTACCGCATGAGACGATTACTCTACGAACATTATACGCCCATCGACATATATTCGCGGATATATTTGCAGAAGCACATCAATTGGCTGCGACACAGCGCGAGGGGAAAACGGTAGTTTACAAGAGTTCGGGGATGGAATGGAGACAATTTGGGGATGCGCGACGGAAACGGCCACTGAGCTCTGTGATCTTAGACGAAGGAGTCAAGGAACGGATTCTGGATGATGTGACGGATTTCCTCGGGCGACAGCAGTGGTATGTGGATCGAGGAATACCTTACCGGAGAGGTTACCTTCTGTATGGTCCTCCCGGGAGTGGCAAAACCTCATTCATACAGGCCTTAGCTGGAGAACTGAATTTTGGGGTCGCAATGATAAATTTGAGTGAGCGGGGAATGACAGACGACAAACTGGCTCATTTCCTCACCAAGTTACCTCCGAGAACCTTTGTATTGCTAGAGGATGCAGATGCTGCATTTGTGAATAGAAGACAGGTGGATTCCGATGGATACTCAGGCGCGACTGTTACATTTTCGGGATTGTTAAATGCACTGGATGGGGTGGCAGCTGGCGAAGAAAGAATTGCCTTTCTTACCACAAATCATATTGATCGACTAGACGCGGCTCTGATTCGACCTGGTCGGGTTGATATGATAGAAAGAATTGGCGAAGCTACGAGATACCAAGCCGGAGAGATGTGGGATAGATTCTATGGTGAGATTGACACAGATGGAGATGGAAAAAGGCGATTTTTGGCAAAGCTAGAAAGCTTGGGCCTTGTTGCGAACGAAGAAGGTAAAACGATTGAGCCGAAGCTTCACACAAGTATGGCTGCTATACAGGGACTTTTTGTGTTTAACAAAGACAGCATAGAAGGAGCCATTGATATGGTTGAGGGGTTAATACCGAGGATCTACGAGCCTCATACCCTTGAGAATGGGGTTAAGGTAACAGCCTGAGCTTCGGTAGTACTTGCGAGGTAGTAAAACATCACTGTTCATATATATTTGTATAGCAGTACCGACACAAGAGACATGTACGCTGGAGAAAGCTTTCATCGGAGCTTTTGTTTCATTGCCATGATATCCTACAATTACAACAAATTTTTCGCTCCCTCCATTACATCGATCCTTCCCTCCTCCAAGGGACATCATGATTGCACTCGTTCCAGTTTACTGAGCGACTGCGCTTCTTCCGCTATTCTCAGGCAGACCCTCCTCATCGCCAGGCTCTCGGTAAGTGTCGACCGGCTTAGCATGTCTGGTTTTTTCATCTACGATATTGCTCTCATCAATACCGACCCTGTCTTCCGCGGTTTCTATACATCGTTATCAGCTCAGGTCAAACATCACGGAGCATGAATGAAAGCCACTCACCTTCGACAGGAGCGTCGTCACTCTGTACTTGCACTGGCTCATCCTTATCGCCGGAGCCGGAGACGTAACTGTCGTCTCTGTAGTCTCCCTCTGGAACAACTTCTACTTTAGCTGACATGATGAAATTGGTGGTTTTTGTAATGTGGATTTGGTAAGATGGTTTTGAGTTAGCTGCTTCTTTTCTGAAGAAACTTGTGTATGTTTTGTTGAGAGAATTTGGGGAGAAAACTGGGGGCGAGAGTGCTACTTGTACTGATCTCAGCTGTACCTTAGATGAGGAAGCTCTTTGTCGTGGAACTCGAGAACGTGGTAGAACGGTGGTGACGTCATACATTTTTCGAATGAAATCAAGACGTTCCCTGCGTCCATTGCGTCGATGATTAGGTTTCCTATCTCAATGCGTCATAAATTATGTTAGCAATAAGAAAGACTACGTCAGGTTCTAGCCTCCCGGAGGTCCCTCCTAGGGGTGGCTTGCAGTAGCTCTCCCAGTAGCTTGCGGTAACTTGCAGTAGCTGCTCCGATCTCTGATGCGTCAGGTACGTGATTTTAATGGCGTATTCGTTGCATGGAGAATGTTGAATGCCATGTTTGTAAGATGAATATAGTGATGATACAATCAACCCATGCCATCGGACGTCGCCTCATCTTTTTGGTTTTCACATCAAGCATGGGCTAGCATATTAGCCTTGCATCTGTCCTTCCCCGTGTCCTGTCTTGGTGCACTGCTAGTTATGTGATTTGCTCGGGATTCCTGGATAGTAAACAGTAGACCTCTTCTTGCATACCGGGCTGAAAGGCACGGGTCAAATAGAGAAGAAATATACTCGACTACGGTGAGTGATAAGTTCATTCTCCTACTACTAGATGGGTGCTACCACCGAGCTGTGAGGTTTACATCACCGAGAACTTATGTAATACAAACAAAGGATTTATAGGAGATGATTCGGAGTATTATCCCTGATATGCCTAGAAAGGGAAAGAGAGAAGCAAGCAAAAAAAGAAAATCAATAAAAAGTATGAAAATACAAGTAATAGCTGAAATTACCGAAATTACCAAGTAGAAAGTTGATAATTGATAGAATACTAAAGTTCCTAATTCCTATTCTTCAAATGAAAATCTTTAGGTGAAGTCCTCAACATTGTCAGCCATATCTACGTATATCAATGGATTACGTAAGTACAAAATAATCTGAGTGAGATGCAAAATCAGGGATTATTGGTCATCGCGGGGTAATTCATTGCATCAGCCTAGCTCAACCTTCAATCACATCCACCACTTCACAGTCCTAGCCATGTTTACCGGTCTTGTTGAGATCAAGGGAGGTATGTAAAGAATTACTGAATGTCAATTGAATCTCTCTAACAAATCCCCAGTTGTCTCCGACATCAAACTCGACAGTCAATATGGAGCCACCCTCACCATCAGCAACGCCACCTCCATCCTCACCGACTGCAAACTCGGCGACAGCATAGCCGTAAACGGTATTTGTCTCACCGTCACAACCTTCACCAGCGATAGTTTCACCGTCGGTTGCGCCCCAGAAACTCTCCGTCGCACAAATGTCGGTTCTCTACAAGTAAACTCCGAAGTTAATCTCGAACGCGCCGTTTCCGCAGATACACGTATGGGAGGACATTTCGTACAAGGACATGTGGATACGGTGGCGGAGTTGATCAAGAGGGAAGAGGATGGTGAGGCTTTAACGCTGAGGTTGAAACCCAGGGATAAACATGTTTTGAGATATATTGTCGAGAAGGGTTATGTCACGCTTGATGGGGCTAGCTTGACGATTACAAAGGTTGATGAGGAGTGGTTTGAAATTATGTTGATTGCGTATACGCAGACGAAAATCGTGACAGCGTTGAAGAAGGAGGGGGAGTATATTAATGTCGAGGTGGATCAGATTGGGAAGTATGTCGAGAAGGCTGTAGAGGGATATTTTGCACAGTCCTCTAATGGAGATATGGCTATTTTGGAGAAGATGGTGGAGCGTATTGTTGAGGCGAAATTGGCGAAGTCTGGTGGGAATTGAAAAATTCACTTTGCGCCGTTCGATGCCAAATAAACCCAGTGGTAATCATTTTTGCTATCTAGATAAAATAGTCAAAGTCTATGACATCTCGCTATGTATTACTATGAAAATATGGACTGCAGTTAAGATCCTACATGTTCAATGTTCGCAGGTATGAGACTATATGAGTGGTTTGACACGGCATATGAACTCAAGCTTTTATATGGATCTAGTTTATCCAATGAATTTCATGTTCGAAAAGTTGTCGGGCTGTGTAGTCATTTTATCGATTCACATGCATTCGGACTATCAAATAAAATCAACACTTCGAATAAATTCAATGTTCCAAGTAGGTTCAATCGCCGGAGAACTAGCAATTCATGACGTTAGTTTAGTAAACCAAAGTCTATGCGATTGGTTTAATGTTCAAGATAAATACCGAGTCAATATTTCGAATCATTATATATCTCTCATACTTTCATCATCTCAACTGGATTTCATTACAGTCAATATTGGCTTCACGAAGCGTGGTATTCCGAAGTAGATAAAGTAAGGAACCGTGGGCTAATATCACTAAAAGAAAATACGCCAAAGGCTAGCGGACGAGGAAAGACTCGTAGTTGCGAATGGCGGCTGGAAGCGCTTTTTGGTAGTCTAGACATCAAGTTCGTTGTAGTAACAATCAGTCGTAATGTTACTGCGGTTTGCAATCAAATTGGGTGATTATTGGTTCCTTCAATTCAACTGGAGCATCTCGAAATATACATCAACGCGCAGACATAAACATACTATTTTTTCTTGGAGGCACTTCTTACGGCGTAAGATTTCAAGTATGGGTAGATGTTCGACCCCATGATCAGCATCATAATCAATAGTTTGACGCATAAAAATTACTGTAAGAAAAGAAGCTCCTGCTGACAGCGAAAAAATTCAGCATTCACCTAACAAAGTCTGTTCCTAAGTAATTCAGGGAAAATCTACCTCCCGCCATCACAACTCCACAGGAACGCCTAAACTTTAACCACTCCGGAAACAACAAAAATTTTGACTGATCAAATCTTTATACAGCCTTCCATTTCAAACTAAAAGATTTCGCAAAACCCTCTAACGAAACTCCCGGCATAGGATTATCAACTAAAGTATTCCAAACATCTACATCGACCCCATAACTCGGCCATTGCTCCACGGGCCAATTAGCCCATCCCATCATATACAACGGTACACCCGAGACTGTCGAATTCGGCTAATTCCATCACATTAGTATTTACTCCCACTGCTTACACATACCATCCTAATCATCAAAGGAAAGAATAAATACCGCGCTCCACTTCCCCAGGCTCTTAATCTTCGTATCCGAACACGTTACGCGACCACCCTCCACTAATCCACATATTCCCTCCTCACTCCCAAATACATACATCCACATCCCGATACTTTTATTATATATAATGCGTGTACCGTCAAAGAGACCGCAGGAGGTAGTATCCAGTGTCCATGTAAAGCGCGAGGTTATACAACCGCTGATGGGGCCGGCGCCTGTGAAATAAGGAGCTGATGCGTTGAGTGCGAGGAGGTAGCCTTGGGATGTGTAATCGGTGGAGAGGGTGGTTGTTGTTAGGGGTACAGGAGCTGGGGATGCAAGGAGAGGGATGAAGAAGGTGGGGAGGAGTGGGACATATTTGAACATTTTCGTGATTTGTCTGTATGTTTTTGTATTACTTCTTTCTAAACAAGATATGTGCCTTTACGCATAAATCCGAATCCTCATTCAAGACTAGAATTCGCCTCACCGCGGACAGAGCAACATTTTAAATTCTCATTCCCCCACTGCCTAGCCCAGTCCTAATGACCTCAACTCTTCAAACTTCATAATTTCCCGCTCCCATTCCCATTCCATCGGTATCACTCATATATCCCTCTCTCATTATATCGTACGATTACCTTCCTATCGCTATACCTCCTACTCATCACAATGAAAAAGTTCATCTAGAGAATCTAATACATCATTCCGCATAAATGACAAAATCTGGGGAATTCCCAAAACTATGATCTAAAAATTCACTGATAGGACAAATGGTTACATCAGTCGGTCAATTCGAAGTGCACCGTTTCTGGCGCCGAGATGCCTGACGGATGAAGGGGGGACGAGTCGGTTAAATAACTTAAATTACAATGGCGTGTCTTATGATCGCTGACCTTGTGCAGGGGTATCCGGGGTGCATTTCTGGGGTAATAGAGCCGTGAACACTACGGAGTATCTATCATGCATGCAAGAATGACATTTGATAAGTTTTTGACATCTTGGCTCAAATTCAAAGAGTTGTTGGCTATGGTCACATTTTCATTCACGTATACGGCCCGATTTACACTGTTTTTTTGTTCATGGTATAGAAATTTTTTATTGCGACCCGTTATGATCTCTGTCTAGATGACGTGAGAGATGTTTATGCAATTGCTAAAAATGCAAGACCAATGTTGTATGTTGCGGTTAACAAACTTTGCTCTTGCGTGGTGTAAGTTCCGTTGAAAGCGGCCGGTGTAACTAAACCACTAGCTGCAGCTTTTGGGAAAACATTCTGATCCACCACAAAACGAGCTCCGTCTGAGGGCGTGGTTCCGCTTACGAAGAAGTTTGAGACCACTTTGGCCAATCCAAGTGATGCGTGTGAGACGGTGGTGTGTCCACTTCCTCCACGGTATGCAAGGACAGATGAGGAGGGGAGTAAAGCTCGAAGTGCTTTCGCAGACTTGAGTGGTGTTGTTGGATCATTCTCGGCTGAAATAATAAGAATTGATGTCTTGGCAGTTGCGAGTGTAGTATCTGTCTTTGCCATTGCACTTACGCCCAAATTTGCGACGAGTGGGCGTGTGGCGGGGAAGTTGCGGCAGAATGTGATAGGAATCAGTCCAGCACTAAGGATTGGAGTATTTTCAGTGATTGAGATATTCTTTGTGAGGGAAATAACAGTATCCAAGGTAATTCCATTTGAAGCAGCATTGTCAACGCATCCAAGAGGATAAGTGGCGAGAGTTCCAACACCCGGTGCTGAGTTATTAGTTGGTGCACTATCTGCTAATGATCCAAGCAACGAGACAAGAGCAGTGGCATTACGATTTTCGAGTCCGGATAAGACAGTTGCAAGTGTCTTCCATGTTGTTGGAACTCTGAGAAGCGATGCAAGAGTAGGGCTGAGGATATCTAAGCTGATGCTCAAACCAGAAGCAACAATAGGATTGTTGAATAAGTTCTGCATGATATTGTCGATTCTGGTGGCCACGGTTCCGGTGACGCCCGAAGGAGCGGCGGCGAAAGAACATCCTGTGCTTCCAGCAGTAGCGCAGAAGGCAGAAAAGTCGTTCAAAGAAGCACGAACACTAAGTTGATCGTTTGGAAGTTGGCTGACATATGTCAGGGCATTTGCTTTTGCGTCAAAGACACCATCGGCAATGATTCTTCCTACACGACCTGGGAAAGTTTGAATAAACTCAGCAAGGAAAATGGTTCCGTAGGAGAAACCCCAATAGTTGAGTTTTGCAGAGGTTCCATCCACTGCATCAACTATTGCTGCCATATCGCGAGCGACATATGCTGCAGTCGAAGTGAAGAGAGCGGATGACTTTTGAGCTACACAAGCATTTGCAAGAGAAGCCACAGAAGTGTCGAAGGATGTAATGGCATTGGTAACAGCAGCATTAGCGCTAGAATTTGAGAATTGACCAAGCCATAGATTTGGAGCCGATGGAAATGCGCTGTTGAAGTCAAACTCCGCTTTAGCATTTGCGAAGCATTCCAAAATAGGGCTTGAAGCTCCGGTTCCTCGTGGATCCCATCCAATAACATCATATAAACCACCACTTAGTGCGGAGACAGCAGCTCCAGCACCAGATTGCACAAATCCAACACCTGAAGCACCTGGTCCACCAGGATTGATCAAGAGAGATCCGAGCCTCTTGCTAGCTGCAACAGTGGCAGGGTAACGAGCAAGTGCAATGCTAGCATTTGTTTTCGAGGTTGTAGAACCGTACTCAAGGGGGACTTGAAGAGTCGCGCATTCTATACCGGTTCCACATGATGTCCATGTCAACCCGTTCACAAGGACCGACAAGTTGACTGTCGCCAAAAGAACGCTGCTAATAGAAGGCATTTTTGAAGAAGTGACTGACTTTCGAAGAGAGTATGATCTTGATGAACTTGAATGTCTTTACAAAAGGATTCTGGTAGGTCCCATCGTCCAGTATTTATCACAAACATTTTCTCCACTGCCAGGATAACCCAGACACAGACGTCATGTCCAAAATTCTGCGAGAGTTTTATCATATCCTTGTTGCATGATGAATTCCAAACTGTATCCGAAGTTGGTAGGTGTATATCGAGTGTGGCTGGATTTATAGCGTAATAGGGGTAATTTATGGCTCTAAGTGGTTGGCAAGGACGAGTTAAGGTTTTTTAAAAAACCTTATTTTAACTTTGAATAAGAAACTGCATTAAAGCATCCGCCGTTTTCTTATTTATGCTTTGGTTCGGTCTGGCCTTTGCAATGTGCTCTCTTGTGGCTTTTGAGTTGTTTTTCCTTCTTTATTAATAGACTGATTGAAGTATTTTATGACAAACGTTTCCTTTGATTTGCCCTGGCGCCAACGTGGTGGATCCCAGATACACACCATGCTACGGTAGTTTTGCAATTTGGAGAACAAATCCTCTAGCAAAAAAATTCAATTCATTCAATCGTATTGTGATTAATCTGTCAAAAAGATAAGGAAAATCCTGGGGATCAAATACTAGGATGCAATCTCTAATTATCTTTCTTGTGTGAATTTTTCTATCTGTTTGTGACCAAGGATCAATCATCAACCACAAGCGAACGAAAACAAGAATGTGAGTTCGGAAAACGGACTTGACTATTTTATTCATGGAGAACTATATGGAGATTCTGCAGCTTGCCATAGCCATAGGGTATCCTTCGAGTATCGAAAATAACGTAAACTAAAGCAGTGACCGACAATAGACCCACCCACATCCATATACATACACGATCCACGGTTAACAACCAAACATCTCCGGGCGTGGATCCGGATTCCTATAAATCTAGCCTGATATTAATCTATTTATTCGTTGACATCTGAATCTTGTTAGTCTTCATCATGGTAGGGTTATGCTATATAAAAACTCACAGTCGCGGCGAAAAAGTAGTCAGACCGGGGCGTCTTCCTGAGCAGTGCCTTTTGGAGAAATATCACTTGGAGTGTTTTTGTGAAGATTTTCTTTCTGGGCATTCTCCTCTTGTAGTGGAGGATTGTTCGTCTGAGTAGCAGCCTGGGGAATATTGCTCTGAACAGTGTCCTTTTGAAAAGTGTCTTTCTGAGTAGTATCTTCTTGTAAGGTATCTTTTCGTAAAGTATCTTTTTGTAGAGTATCTTCTTGAGGACTATCTTCTCGAAGAGTGCCTTCTTGAATAATCCCTGTTCGAGTAAGAACATCATAAGTAAAAAACCCACAAAAATCACACTTAAAACGTGGAGCATCTCGAGGGGCAATATTATCCGCCCAACCACAATGAGAACATGTCCAATCAACCCAAATAGTCTCCATCCTTATAGAAGATAAATATGATGTAAAGACTTATCGCCGGAGACTGAATGGTGGTGAGTTTCGAGAGCGTACTGTTTTTCTTGATGTTGTAGCAGCTTGTCTGAAATTGGTATTCTATTTATAGTACTGACGTATTATCCTTGTCCGCTACAGAAGAAGATGAACTGATCCAAAGGCTTCGAGTTCTCGCTTGAATGTTGTATGATGTATTGATATACGAGTTATGGGACTCGACACATTCAACGTTCTGTTGACAATGAACTCGAATACAAGGAAAAAGAAGAATTTCCAAATTCAAATAAACAACTATCCAAATGGAAGTTACCAAATAACACCTGCCTATATCATGAGATCCCAACCATAAACCCTAGAAAGAGCTCATCTCCGTAGCTTCCCTATTCCCAATTCCCTATCCCAAATAGCCAATAACAACTTCTTCATCGCTCACCTCCCAACTAATCTTACATAAACGGAAGTTGAAAACTAGACATCACCCCAACCACCAACCACTAAACTCTCCACTCATCATTAACCACCAAAATCCCTAAAGAACTCCAAAACCCCCCCTCCCTTTCCTACCCCCCCGCAAGCTTCCGCCATCCGAAAAACAATTCAGCTCAATACTTCTCACAAACCCCCAACCCCAATCCTCACCATCACCATCACCATCACTCTTGCTGCATAAAAACCATTCCATCCATCCATCCCATTCCATCCATAACCTCCCTCACAAATCTCTCTCTATCACCATATTCCACAAAGAAATCACATAAAAATAAAATAAAATACTTTTAGTTACTTCTAATTAATCAACTAATCAATCAACCATCTATTAAATTCCATATCCCATATCCCATATCCCATATTCTAATATCTAAAAGCTTACTTTACATGCAATCTTATATAATCTTACACTAACTCACGCTTAGAATCTAGAGCTTCCCTTCCCTTCTCTCCTCTTCTCTTCTCTTCTATTGATTAGCTATATCAAGAAGGCGAGTTGTAATCTTGTGAATATTTGGCAGTATGGTACGTAATGTAATGTAATGTAAGATTTGTATGTGTCATTTTCTTTTCCTTGTGCATCTCTTCTAATTAAATGCGGGTTCAATCTTTGATGCATGCATGCTAGATAGCTACTTAATTATCGTTAATGTCTAGACAAACAAATCGAGAGGAGATGGAAATACAGCGAATAAATAACTCACTTGATAGATAGGACCAGCTCAGAATATAATACTAATAATATCATTTTTCTAATCATAACCAGATTCCCTAACGACACTTCTAAAAGTACTTTCTTTTTGTAACCATAGTTAACCCAATTCTAACTATGAATCTCTAGCATAATTGACGCAACATCACGTCTAATCATGAGCTGCATCATCTATTCCATTCATCCATCTATGATTAGAGACACCCTAATTTATATTCACATAGAAAAGAAAGTAACAACCGCCATCATAAATAATCCTAAAACAACACTTTGCACTCCAACTTCAATCCTCGAACTACCAGAATTTGGTTTTTTCGGACCATTCTTACCACTCCAATAGACATGTGAAGGAGGAACCGCATGCATAGAAGCCTGACGTTTTTTCATCCTTACAATGCTGTTCAAAGTTGCAGCTCCCAACGTGGGAAGAGGTTCATCACCATTGACTTTCCATGCTCCTTCCACACTCGGCGGGCAAGCTAGTGTTGGCTTGTTGGGATTGTAATCTGACTTTTTGACTTCATTTGGAGTAGCCGATTTCCAAATGTTTCTCAAAGTGGTAAACTCAGGATCCATAGGAATAGGAGGTCCCCCATATTCAGTGTTCTTGTAATCGACAACTCCATAGTCGTTTCCTTCGTTGACCCACTCATAAATAATCGCTCCAGACCAAGTTCCTGACATTTCAGGCCCGAAAATGACTAGTTGATCACCGAAAGTTCTGCGTCCGGTTAGAATTGGTATTCTGAATGTCCGGTCAAGTGCAACATTAAAATGCACCAAAAGAGATCTGAGATGAAATGGTTGATAGGGCTTACCTTGGTCTAGGGACAATACAACCAGTCTCAGAAAAAAAGATTGGAATGGTGTAATTCTCAGCCAAGTTTTGTAGGTTATGATAACCCGAACTATCATAAGTAGAATTGCCACACCATTCATAAGAATTAAGGCCAAAGAACTCGATGGTAGTTTTTGTATCACCACAAGCAAGATAATTTTGCAACTGTGGTCGTAGCTCAGCGATATCAGCGGCAGAGTAACCAATTGGGATCTTTCGATAACCCATTTTATCACGGTAGGCTCTCATATCGGCAGAAGCAGCTTTGATATATGGAGCAGCGTTAGAATTATTGTTCGAATTGATAACCTCGTTGCCGACGAAAAAACCTGCAGTGTTTGGGAAAGTTTGAAATGCATCCATGACCTTGGCATACTTTTGGAATTGATCAAGTGTCCAAGCTGGGTCTATGGAATGGAGCGCTGTATCGAATGTGTCGAGATCGACCCAAAGATAGATGCCAGCATTCGCAAGAATTGTCATACACGCGGTATGGTCTTTTGTCGGATCAACATGGTAGACACGGACAGAATTTGTACCGAACAATTTCATGAGGCCCATGTCGAATGTGCATTGAGTTATATTTACAAGAGGATCATTGCCAGTGCCTTGGAATGCAAAACCTGATAGTGATGTTAGGCCATCTTCTTGCTCATTTGAATTTTTGAGATGAATTGGATCCTGTAACACTGCATAGATGTACGAGCAAGGAGAAGAGCCAGGTCATTAGTGATAGAGTGAATGAAGGAATACCTTTAATATAAAATTGTTCATCGCCAGCAAAGAACTTCGAGCCCTTCACAACAATATCAGGAATAGCAGTAACCGTAGCAAGGCCGGCTGCCACAATCAATGCAGCTTTGCAAAGCATTGAACGCATTATGACAAGTGACGTTCAATGAAGAAGATGAAAATGATAGTAAAAAGCGTGATAAGGAAGCTATAAATGATGATGTTTGGTTTTCAACGATAAGATAGACAAATAATAAAGCCGAGCAACAGACCAAATCGATGTTCGTGGATAATACGAAATTTGATGTTGTAGAAAAGAAAAAAAAGACAAAAAATCAAAAGAGAGAGAAACTATGTTCATAGGCATCGTGCCATGTCAATGGAAATGAGGAAGGGATGATCACTTCTACCGATAAACACTTGACCATTCTCGTCGTGTACCTTCACTACCAGGTAATTGCACTTTCCGCATCCGAAAGCAAGGCCTGGAAGATCATTTCACTGCTGGAAAGAAATTCGGACATTGAGGAGTGTCATATGGTTGGCCAATTTCTTCAAAATTTTCATCTACGATGCATTCGATGAACGAAGTCAAATCTTTCCTTTTCCTTCGTGAAAACCCGCTGTCAAAAGAGTCTGAAATTCCAAATAGGTATATTGATTGCCCAAGGTCATTTCAAAACAAGGAAAACTTCTTCCTTAGATGGATAGAGTCTACATAGCATCCATTATGCCTTGATAAATTGGTATATTTGCAGTTGCTGAGGCACAAATAATCGAGACGTCTGTATAATACCTTCATTCGATTCCTATTTCGTACCCTCTATCGTACTACTCTTATGGTTGTATTTAAGAATCGTAACCCCAGCCTCTTGCATCGTTATATTCGCCAACCAAATTCGTTGCAGCTGCAATAACTCCAACAGCCCCATCTGCAAAAGTGTTGCCAGTACCCTGTAGAACACGAGCAGCCGCTTGACCTCTAGCAACCTCCTCTTGCAATATCTGTACCCTAAAATCTTCATCCAGGCAAGAATCTCTTTTGACCATTCGTCCAATTATGGCAGACCTCAATGCGGCCTCCCAATGATTGACAAACTCATCTTCGCTTTGCACAGTAGCTTTTCGTGTAGAGATACCTACATCCGCAGGTCTATCGGCATATTGATATATGCCCTTGACAACCTCATAGCGACGCGTAATTAAAATGAGGACCGGCCACGAAACTACCCATAAGAATGTAATATAGAAAAACCAACGAATCCAGGTGGTCATTCGCCATTCGTTAATCATATGTGGCGAATACACAATGACACGTTTGTGTGAAGTTGGAAAAGTTACATAGACTTGACCACGGTAATTCGTAGATGTAACAATACGTCGTAAAAGATACTCCAGATGAGTTTTGTCATGATTTATAATCTTGCGCTCGAATATAAAACATTTCATGCTGGATGGATCGGAAACGAATTTATGACACCAAGCTTGTAACTCACCTCCAGTCGAGCCTGACTCTATATCAGAGCAAGAAAGGGATGGCTCGAGGGATTTGAATATTCCTCCACGATATCCTTTCTGGCTATCGGGCAAAATCTCTAGCTTTCCACCAGTTCTTATTCCGGTTGTGAGCAGATGTGTTAGATTCAGACGTATGTGAAAATCCGTAATAGTTTCTGTTGAATCTTTCTTGTGCCGACGCTCAGTTTCTTTATGAGTCCCTGATAATTCTACATAATACGATGGAGCATATTGAGCTTGTTCCAGTATCATTTGATGAAGAGCATTGGGGTCTGTAGAGTAGTTTGGGAATCTCGTCCAGAAATCAGATGAGCTATAATCGTGTGAAGAAAAAGGAAGGTCGGGTGGAGGGCTGTAGCCAAGTTAGCCTACTGAAAATAGCGTGTTTTACATGAGGTACCTACATATACCAACTCGCACCATGGGCAGCCTGGGGATTGTTCGAAGGTGAATGATCAGTTTGGCAAAGAAGAGGTGCCGATGCAGATGTTTCCTCGTAGCTTGGCAGATCTTCCTCCGGGTATTCTTGGTCCATATGATTGATGAAGGCCATGGATGATGAAGAAGCAGTATTGTTAGCTTCTAATGCAACTCTGTGGTCATCAGCCTTGTAGGGCTGAGGCGTTTCTTTCCCCATGATGTAGATCTATCGTCCTCAAAAGCGAGCCACGAAATTCGGTCGGTTGATGGTACCTCGTAGAGATTTCTGGTTATTACCACCAGGAAGGTTGTCCAATCCAGAAAAATATAAGTTTGAGGTGATGTTGTATGAAAGGTGGTTATGAGATGTGGATGAGGTTGCCTGGGAAAGCAGTAAGTCGCTTGCACAGCCACAAAACTCCATGTAAAGGCTCCACGTAAAGGAATTGGCAGTCAGCTCAGTATATTGTTGATCCTTTCCTTGCTGATATTTTACCTAGGGACCTTTGGAAGTTCGGATGGCACATGATGGACGAAGAGATCACATATTGAAGTCCTTATAGGCCAGGTGTTTTCAATAGCCGGATCAGATCGAGCAATGAAATGATGTGATGCTTCGAACTTTAAGCTTACTCTGCTCCATTTCCATTGAGTGCATGCAACATCGCAGCGCAGCAGCTAGAAATTGCACGAGGATATGGGACGATGAAATCAGAGTCTCCAGATGCTACTTACCATACAGATATTTTGTTCTTGGCAATCCCATAGATACTGGACTGGTGTGTAAGAGTCGACAAGATAAGATATCTAACCACTTACAGTTGTGGTTCCACACATTAACCTTATCCAACACAGCCACAATATCACAAACTAAAAGGTTATCGTTTCCAAGATTCCATGCACGATGTTCCCCAGCTTTTTAAAATAGAAGTCTTCCATGTTCCAAATATAGATAAAACGACCCTCTGTTTCATTTTCTGGGGCAGAACATTGAAGAACCTTGATATCATTGCTATCATTTGATAATTTTGATCGATTACTCAAGTAGGTACCTAGGTATGTATATGTATTATCTAGGGATTTTTGATGAAGGGCAGCGGAAGATCCCCTCCCGTCCCTTTTTACCGAAGCTTTTCTACCAATGAGAAAACAGAAACATCCAAGTGGTGGGGCATTTTTGAGCTTGTCGTTCAATTCTTGGATTCCTGCTTGCTTTGCTTGTCCACTCAAAATAAAGAAACTCGCCCTAGAAAACGGGTTCTAGCAAAACATCTCGAGCCACTTACACCAACCCCCGCTCATCCCTCATCCAGTTCGGTCCCGTCGACCCCTTAAGGAGCTCATCCGAATTCAAGATATTTCTCCTGCACCACCAAATTCATCATCAACTGTACCCATACCACACTCCACGCACAATGGCAGAGTTAAAGAACGCCCAAGTGAGTTCTAAGTCTGCAGAGCTTCACAGAGTCCTCCTCAGTCGTCCTGACCTGTACTGACCCTTCCCTTTCTCTGTTTTAGGGCCTCAGCAATGAGGAAATTCAAGCATACAGAGATGCTTTCTCTATCTTCGTGAGTGGGATTCTCCAATACATGTTTGCGCAAAACGCTTACTTTCCCTTTAATACAGGACAAAGATGGTGATGGTACGCGCGATTCAACCCCGCACCTCTTCTTCGCCGTTATTCTCTAACATTCTCAACCCTTTAAACAGGAACCATATCAACTGCCGAACTCGCGGAGGCAATGAAATCTTTGGGACAAAATCCATCCGACGCGGAAATTCAAGATATGATTAATGAGGTTGACGTTGATCAATCTGGAACAGTCGACTTCGATGGTTAGTTACACGGCGATATATCACGATAACCCCACATCTTGGTACTATGGTGTATCAACACTTTGATGCGACTCTTCTAACCATTTTATAATCGAATTACAGAATTCCTCAAGATGATGACTACCGAAACAAAGGGTGTTGACTTTGAACAAGAGATGCGCAGTGCTTTTAAAGTATTCGATGTTGATGGAAGTGGCACAATTTCCCCAGAGGAAATCTACAAGTTGATGGCATCTTTGGGAGAGAATTTGTCTGAGGAAGAGATTAAGAGCATGGTGAAGGAGGTTGATAAAAATGGTGATGGAAGCATAGATTGTAAGGCAATTCCTCCTAAATGCTCTTCAGATCCTTTCAGACTTGACACAATTACTAACACAAACTTCAATGTTTTAGACGATGAATTTGTTTCATTCATTCGCGACAACAAATAAGGATTTAGGACTAATCACGGGGAAATTTATGAAAATGAAGAGAGTTTGAATATTATATTGGATGCACACAATACCATAGGAATAAATATACATGTTATTTTATTCCAGCAGTACTTCTCAATGGGAATGGAAGTTTTGTTTATGCTAAATACGGGATATTGATGAATCGATCAAGTAATCGTCGTCGGCATATCCTCGATAGTGGCATTTGCCATACCTCATTTTAGCTTTTTGCCTTTTATGATTGGTTCTTAAATCCATTTTATCATTTTCGTGGAAGTTCTTGCACATTATTCCTGGCGCTTGTCTTACACAAAGAATGGTTTTGGTTCAAAGAAATTCTTCACTTCTGAAAGAGGTAATTTCTTTGATATACACAAACGTTAAGAAACAATAAGATTGTTTGAATATATTTACTTTCCAATATCGTCGTCCTCAGAGCCCTGGATACATTTCGACGTTTTCTTTTTAGATTACCCCATATCCAGCTCAATCACTTTTAACCAGTAGCACACTTGCTTTACATTACGATCAGCCAATATGGACGTAGAGTCAACACCAAAAGACTCAAAACCAAAAGCTGTCAAGTCAGAGACCAGGCTCACATTTGGTGTCGAGATCGAATACCTCTTGGCTACTGTTCACCCCGTTCATCCTTCTCCTGACCCGCGGGATCCTCGCGAGTATGATGGAAAAAAACTAGCGACAGTAGATGACGTTAATTTAGACATATTGGAAAAGCTAAAGGCTAATGATGTGCCAGCATCAATGCTTTGGACTTCTGCTACGCGTGCTCTGCCAAGTGATGAAGAACTTGAAGCTAATTGGCTCCTTAAAAATGATGCGACCGTCCTTGGTCTTGTGAGAATCCATCCATATTACAGGGAGTTTGGCATGGAAATGTCATCTCCGCCATATTACTATGATGAGGCCTCCCGGGAAGTCATCCGATTGGTTCTCAAAACGTTGAGGAAAAACTATCTAGTCCGTGTCAATAGCACTACAGGCCTCCATGTTCACGTTGGAAATGAGTATGATGGATTTACATTTCATGTCCTTCGCAACCTCGTCGCCATTTTATATACCTACGAACGACAAATACGGCTAATTCTCCCTGCAGAGCGTGTGCAGGGACTCCAGCAAAAATTTTGTCGACCTTTCCCCTGGGGCTCCTTCGGCCAGGCGAATCCAGATATTACACGTCTTGATTTCCTCAACCACATTCTCTCTTCTGAGAACTATGAGCAACTCATCATAGACTTCACAACAGGGTTAACCGACCGTCTCGGATTCAACATAGGCAATCTAACCCTCCCTACAAAGTTCCAAACGCACCATCGAATTCCGTCTTCATCAAGGCACGCTAGATCCAGACGCCATCCTCCATTTCATACACCTCTGCATCAAACTAACCGAAAAAGCCTGTCTGACCAAAAACCAAGACGCGCTCATCGAGCGTCTCAGAAACGATGTCGAAAAACCTATCGGTCTAGGTGATCAGGAATGCAGCACTGTCGATATGCTCATGTGGCTGGGATGTCCGGCTCAAGCTTATTATTATGGTATCGCTATGGTGGCGACTGATAAGCAGAAGTTTAAAGAACGCATTGAAGAGGATGCCCGGATTGCGAGGGATCATGCGAAGATGGCTTATGAGGTGTGGATGGAGGCTAGGAGGAAGGAGAAGGCGCTTGGGTTTGATGTTGGTGATGGTGGTGGTGGTGGTGGTGGTGGTGGTGGTGGTAATGGGAAGGAGGGACGTTCTCGTTCGCGTTCGCGTTCGCGTTCGAGGGAGTCAAGCTCGGGGTCGCCGGTTGCGCCTGGGGTTGATCTTTCGTCGTTTGCATTTTCATAGTTTGCATATTAGGGGGGGTGTTTTGGAGGCGCGTTCATATAGTTAAGTTTGTTCCCCTTTTTTCTTTTTGTTTTGTTCATTTTATTTTATCACCACTTCCTTGTTTGTTCTTTTGCTTCCGCTGGATAGTTGATGCAGGTAAGTTTATGGTGTAGTTTCATACAAAGAGAGATAAGTGATAGATTTCCTCTTCTATTAAATAAGTTTCGCGGGCGAAGCACAGATAAGTAAGTAAACCTCTCACAATCGCGGGGGTATCTTCATTACTGTATTTAGAATATTTAGAATACTTAGAAAAATAATATAACATATTTTGAAATCATATATGACTCTTTTAATTTCGTTGTCATCTTGTTAAAATTAAAATGTATGTAATGTGTGAGGACGGAGGTTTTTGATGTGTATTGAGTATGACTGCTATGTAAGAGTAGAGTAGATCTGGGATATATTCTTATGACGTATGATATATAGTTCATAGACAAGTAGAATAATTATAAGCTAAAATGAAAGAGCTGAACGAGCTATAGGATAATAATAAATGTCATGTAATTCTTCTCCGAATATCACCGTGCAAAAGGCAAGAATTGTTGGTATTATTTAAACTTTGTGATTACTTACGCACGCAAATATTGTTCTACATCTTGGGAGCTCAGAATTTTTCAATTGATACCCAGAAAAAACCAGAGATAGTTTCCTTGGCATGGACTTTGCTCGTTGCAAGCAAATGAAGATCGATCTGACATGCGTTACATATAACATTACCTATACCCAATTTTATGACTTGTAACGAACTAGTCGCCTCTATTTCACTGTATCTAGCTTTTTCATGACTAGCTTGTCTATCTGCCATGGTCTTCAGTTAGGAAAGTAGTGTCCCAATACTTAGGGCTCGTACCCTATTTCAATGGTGATCATGGTCTTTGATTTGATAGATTTCGTTTTACATCGTAATTCTCGAACAGATATTCTGAATATTTAGATAATTTGAAATTAAATACGCTGGAGTACAGCGTATGGTGTCTTTTTAGGACAAGTTTCGACATATGTATGATTTTTAAGGTTTGAACAGTGTATTTAAATACTAACGCGTGAAATCAGCGCTAACGCATGACATTAGGGATACTCCGGATGCAGCTATAATTGCAAGCGAAATATACTTCGATACTTGGTTCCTTAGCCAATTTATAGAAGTCGTCCTTATCCAGGACCATCCCAATCCCTGTACTACAAACGCCCTTAATGACAAAATATACCGTTATTCTAGCCCCCCTAGCTGAGCCAGATTCGGAGCTGTAAGAGACCTGACTTTCTCTCAACAAAAATGGCTCCTGAGGACCGAGATGAGGATTCATTATACCCTCTCCCTGAAGGTAATACTAGCTTGATCATCGCTTTTATCTGCGTAAGTGTATTCTTCTCTGGTATGGAGTGCGATACCAATGTATTCCATACCCTTCCTCTTACACATTCTTCAGTAGATTTGCTTCAAACTCATACTTGATAGTACTCGAGTCCTTCTCCCACTCTGATATGTGGCAACGAACCCCAAGTGAGGATTCGCGGGGCATGAAGGAAATGATATCAATGAGAACATACGCAGGCGGGGCAAAAAAGAAGCACACGCAAAATAAGCCGATTTATGTTATGATTTTTTCAACTTTTCAAGTTTATTAAACGATATTTAAATGAATTTATGATGTTTTTTAAGATTTTCAGTTGCTTAAAATATAGTAGATTGACAAAACCCCGTGAGTATTTATCATTCGACGCTCTACTAGTTTACATAATTAATAAATGATATTTGTTGATTACACTATATATTATATACTTGCGACTAGACTAATCAGAAGCTCCATCTATGTTCAAATTTTCAGACTTCCAACGATGAAACACCTAGATTTATGTATTAAATTGCAAATACAAACGGGAACATATCAATCCATGTATAAAACCTTCTGTATATCAAATAATTAGCGTAAGGTCTGGAACTAAACTCTTGAACTGAAAAGTATAGGGTCACATAACATATTCTCCCTGCCGCCATTCAAGTCGTTTTCCTAATAATCGATTAATAACTGAAATAAACAAAATTATAATGTAATACCTTCGATATAGCGGTATTCAAAAGAATGATAGAATCATAAAAGACAATCGCCACGTCCTATTTGCATTTTACTGGAATAGGCTTTAGTTCGCTTTGTGTCAAGCTGATATAAACAAGGCTTTGCTTTATTGGTTTTTTGCTTTGTTTAGTTGGTTAACTTGCTGAGAGCTAAAAGTTAATAAAAATACATTTATCCTTTATTTCTACAGGTCATTGTTCACTTTACAGTCACGGTTATCACCAAGGAGGATGAGAAATCTTTTGTTTTGGGGTTCAATGTTTTAGTTCAAATAGATTGTGTAAATGCGATGAGGACCAGCCTCATTCAAAACTTTAGGTACTTTACGATGGTAACTACTCACTAATTCAAGTCAAGTTTCGTGTTCCAAGTGTTCTCTTTCCACTGCCGCTGTGAGATGGTCGCTGCGATGATTATTCGCTGCCGAAGCGTTTCTCAAAGGCGGCCCAGAAATCTTCTTGTACGGTTAGGTCTGCATCCATTCTTGCCAATAGTTCTCTAGAAGCCTCCATCAGTGAATGACGATCGGCTGGCTCTTCAAGAATGGCGATGAGCTGTGAAGCTCCTTCTTCCTCCGACAATGGGAGAATCGTTTCTTCGGGGGCTATATAAAGTAGATTTCTGAAGGCGTTCTGGGTCGCAGCTTCCTGGGCCGCAGCTTCCTGGGCCCATTCGCGTTTTAACAGTGCTAGGCGCTCCTCAAACTCCCTCTCCCATTCTTCGGGCAATGCCGCTTCAAAATCTTCAACTAGCGGTGAATCCAGAATACTGTCATTGGGCTCATTCTCAACGGCATTGAGAAAATACTCTCCTTCCGGTTCGTTCTCCTGCGTGATTTGATCAGGGATTTCGCGAGCAGCTGCTTTGCGATCCTTCTTGGCCTTTCGCCACACTGCTAAGAGCGACCAAATGGTGTATGTTCTAATAGGCCATGGGTCTTGCTTGTGTAGAGCACCACCTAAATGATGTCGTACCTGCTCCATATTCATGGTACGAAGGGCCCGAAGCCAATCATCCGCCCGGATCGGATTACGAAACCCTCCTTCGGCGACGAATTCATCCATGAAATTGAGGAAATAAGTCCTCTCGCTAGTCTTCCAGGGTGGTGAAGGTGGCATGTTTGCGTTGTTAATTAGGCTTTGAAGTGTGTTTTGAAAGATTTATCCAAAGAGATGTGATAGTCGAATAGATTATTGCTTCAGAAAGCTGGTTGTGGATGAGAATTTCCTCATTATTCAGTATTTAATTCTGATTTTATACTTAATATCAATGTTATTCAAACACTGTTTCCAAGTACACTTGGAAATCATTTGAGACTGAATTTTACCAGAAGGTCTTGCTCCATACAATGTTTTACAGATTTCTTTGACAAATCCGAACAGTTCACGATCTGTTCATCATGAGTTTCACGAAAAGTAAGTGCTAAGTATTTCAGGTGTTTTAGGTGTTTTTAGGCCGCAGCAACTTTTCCACTAATAATGCGATTTCATACTGAACAAAGGATAATGAATGCATGCTAATGTTGACAGCCTCCGGTATGATTATTTCTCTCAATTTCATGTCAATATTTTGCTTCACAAATTTACGGGCGTACGAAAGGAAACCCTCTTTAGCTTTCACAGGACTAGTGACTGCAAGACTCAAAGCTTACCTTTTCCTTGCAGATTGATTCTGGAATATTTTATTTATTTAAATTAGGGCTGAAGGATAGTAAAAGGAACCACAGAAGAGAGCAGCCCTCACATAACGACAACGTAGCTCGTTACTTATATTCTGGAGTAATGGTAGAGATGATCAGTATTTATGTGGGCTAGGGCTGGGCCAAAATGCACTAATGAAACTAGCTTGTAACCTAAAAAGTTCGATGGATGCTACGATGCCGGACAAAATAGCTCTGTCTGTGAAATACACTTTGATCTTACTGAAGTCTGTCCCAACCCAGGACCTCACAAGATACTGAATTATGAAGGCTTCACATGACCCTGACTATAAACCAAGTGTCTCCAAGCAATTATTCAACCCAAAAGCTGGAATTAATCCCTTCAAACTTTAATAGGGAGGAAACGGCTCCAACAGCATTTGAATGGTCTTAAAGTATCACTTTTATAATCTAAGTTTGATAAAAATCATCTTTGAGTTTGGAAAGTAGGGGTGCAGGCTAATTCTACCAATTCTTGTTGCACATGTGATAGTATTCCGGCGATTCTGGACGTTCCAAGCTTCGATATTGCTAACTTAAGTAAATTGCTTATTGCATTTCTGACAAATCTCGGCACTTCTAGCAGCATGATTAGCGCCGGTACATCTCACTTTGTTGCATGTCTAAAAATCTTGGCACTTCTTAGCTGCGGTAGCAGTCCCGGCGCACCCTGGACTTAGTATTTTTTTATATAGAACTCTTAGGCATTTATAGCTCCAGTAGTAAGTTCTGCAAATCTGCCTTTGCCTCAAGCCCAAAGTAATGCCCCAATGATTAAGTTGTTGAAACCTTCTTATATCGACCTCAGCGACTAAGTTAGGATAAATTTCATTTCAATTAGGTATTAACTGCATTAACGCTAGATACTTCTGATGGTCTCCCGTCTATGCTTGCGGTCATGTAGCCGTTGAACTATGAGCTTGTGAGGCTTTCCGTTTTAGCCATCGTCTCACTCCTCTAATTCTTTTGATCATTTCAAGAGTAGATCACATCCTCCCGCAGGAAGTCCCTTTATAGCTGCCCATTTTATTGTGCATGGATTCTGAATACTCTACTGCCATTTGGCGTCGCACATTTGAAGATTTTTTTTCTCTAAAGCGAGTTCAGTAACTTGGCGATTCTAGGCTAGTCGTATAGATATATCATCGCTATGTGATTATTTTTTCACTGCCATCATCACTAATTCAGCAGCGAACAATGGTAGAAGCACGACAAAATAGAAGGAACCATGGAAGATATCCCGCCGCCACTCCAGCACCTATTGTATCATATTCCCTCATCTAAACATCAACCTATGTGCTCACAGTTTTCCTGGCTTAGTATACTTTTTTGCCATCATCAACCGCGAAGGATTAGGTCCTTCTTTCAGTTTGTCTTAGCTCTTCACCACGGATATCTTCAACTTTTTGCAGTGATGACTCATGAGATGTGTTTGTGTATTTAAAGTTTGGAATAAGTTGAAAGATCCTTGACCGATTTTAATTTCCCTTCCTCAAGTATAAAAATACTTTAATTTGTGAGCAGAAAGCGGCAGGCAACTTTCAATTAATCTCAAAGCGCTAAAAAAAAGTTACGTGATTTGCTAACCTCATTTCGCTGGTCGATCTATAAGTAACTAAGCCAGCCAATGTCACCATTGTTACGATTGCTCGTCGTCAATTTTACATTCTAACTGGTCTCCAAACTCCGCAAGGGACAGACAAGGCAATCAAATGATGATAAAAAGTTAACTCTGCCCTCTCAAATCATATTTCTGAGCCAGGAGTCAAGGAAACAGAAGGTATATCCCGGTTTCTGTAGCAGCTGCTGAATGAAAGAACGTGGGGTGCTATTTTAAAGACAGTTTCTCACTTAATTAGAAGTAGTCCATTTCGGTACTTGGTGATCCTATCATATCATATGTTTATACAGACTAGCTCGAGAGGATAGGGAGTATGAGGAGCGGGGATTCACAATAAAGGAAATCATCGCGTTAGAGTGGCTGGATTAACTCCAGGGCAACGACTAATTCATGCTACCCGCTCCGTCTCACCTTTGTCCAATTTCTAGTAAATCCACAAGCCATCACTCCTATAAAATTTTAAGCACCAACATATATAAAACCTACTAGACCTCATGGGTTTAAGTTCGTCATATCAAAATCCTTCGCAAAGGTAACATGACCACAAGGCTTCATTTTTAAATTTCAAAGTACTCGAGTCTCTTTGGCAAGTCTTAACTAAAATTAGTTGATTTTTGATATTAAAGTCTGATGGGTAAAAAAAAGTAAATGATCATCAATATTACATTAAACTTGATAGTAGATATTACTCATTGTTAGTTGCACACTTGTTTTCATTAACATCCATAGTAAGACTATTAAAATACTAATGATCTAGTTGTATTATCAATATAAACTATCTGAAGTTCGTGAGGCATTTAGACTGTCTATGTGGATAAGGCTTTGCAAACAGTGCAAAGTGCGGGGAATGCAGAATGGCGGTTTCAACGTCATATATCTTTAACTAAGTTGTTGATTGCGACCGCGTAGCTATGTTTCCAGGAATACAGGGCTAGTTTTATAGGAATTGTGATTGCAAAATTAAGTATAGAATATAGTTGTAGATTGACATCGGAGAGAGGGGTGAATTCATCGATGAAAAAGGGGTTTCATCGTATCTCGTAAAATATGGTCTACTCTATTTGACGGGCCGTCCAGCTTGGAACGGATAGATGTATTTGTACAAACGAAAGTCGCTATACAGATATATCTACCTAGGTGTATTGTACGGCCAATCCTGCTGCGTTTTCACACAGTACAAAGGTGCAATGCAACTAGATGAGAGGAAATATGAGATGGGATATCTGTTGGGAACAATATTCACACCAGTTCGTCGCGAACAAGGACGTTTTAAGAAAGTGCATGAGCTTGTAATCATTTGGCCAACTAGGGGAGGATTGTTGACTCTTCCATCTTTCGTTTCTTACATCCACCTTTTACACATAGATTGCTAGATCTGATCGGCTATTTTCTCCTATTGCACTTGCTCACATATCCATGGAAACTTGATGGAAATGTATTGTGGTAGATGTGAATAGAATTTATGAAAAACTGTTACGAGGGTAGCCGTCTAGATCATGTGGAAGTGCGTTAGGCTCTCGAGGTGGTTTATAACTAGGCGTTAAAGCAGGGATTTAGGCAACAATAGTGAATGATTGTAGTTCGTAATTAATAGTAGATTACACTAAATGATTGATCTTGAGCGCGAAGCTTTACAGTAAGGAACTCTATCTTGGTTATATAGACTTTCGTACTATCCTCCCATTGTTCCCATTTGATTCAAATCGATGGGATCGGTGGGAGTCCTTTCCCACCGATTCCACCGATTTAATTTAGTAGGATTGGTGGGACCATGTGACCTTCTTTGTAGTCATGTGACACAGGGATTAGTCATGACTGAGTTCCGTTGTACCAAAAACGCGTGAAATACACTGGATACACTGCCTTAGGAAGCGTAATGACTGTTGCGCAAACTTTCTTGAAGACGAAAGTGGAGGGAAGGCCCTGGTAGTGATCGAGGGATAAATGGCGAGGTGAGTAGACATGATTGTTGCTTTTGTTAGGTAGCTACTGCTCAGTCCTTCCGATCATATGACATTTCTAAAAGCTCTCATCTCGTGACATCATCTGAAGCTCGATAGTCACGTGTGATAAATTCGAGGCCGAACTCCCGACTCGTCACGACATCTCCCCACATGCTTACTTATCTAAAAGGAGCGCAACTCTCTTGGCAGCAGGTACCCGGTATTTCTCTGTTTTCTCAACAGCCGCAATTATCCAATAGTCGCGTGTATTTACTCTGTACTCCTTTCCTTACCTACACAATCGGATATCCTCTCCCACCAATCACTTCCCCTTTCCCTACTTTCCAACTATGTATGCATTCCTTGCATAATCTTAGTCCAACTATGGTTACTTGCATCCCTCTAATCTACATTTACACTAGCTTTGATGCTCTCCAAGTTAAATCTCCAATCAGTGACGTTGGTCCAACTGTTCCGAGGAGCTTCACGTCCGAGCTTTCTTTCCTGCTTACAGGAACAAGGGAACAAGTGTGATATGATATCTCCCTGTGCGTGTAAATGTGGTATTAGCCAGTAAAGCGCCTCCTCTTTCCCCAGCTGAAGCTCCTGTTGCCCCCCGACTTCTGCAGGTTTCAATCGCTTTTCATCTCTATAAATTTTTATCTTATTCATAATCATATATATCTCTATACTCAATACATATTTTCAAAAGTATCTCTTCCAAAGGTATCAATATACATTAACATCAATATGACTACAAGAAAGAGAAAGGCTGATGATGAGGAGCTCGTTGCTCTTCCTTCGGACGAGAGTGAAGAGGAAGAAGAGTAAGTGTTGCATCTCCTATTCATCGATGGATCTGTGATGTCGCGTATAGATTTCAATGGTGCAATTCATCACATTGAGTCAGCTATTGCATGTTGTTAGATCGGGTCGCAAGTTTTCTGATGGAATTGCATCTATGGTTTGATATTGATTGATAGGTCGATCATCGCATCACTCGCTGTACTTGTTTGGTTTGTTTCATTTATTTCATCGATACAATCGTAACTAATCACCCCATCTCATTAGGTATGAAGACTCCGATGCTGAAGCACCAGCTGCGGCATCTGCTGCTTCAGATGAAGATGATAGCGACGAGGATGAGGAAGAGTTAGAAGAAGACGAAGTTCAAGGTATGCGACGACATGCTAAAACTTGTCAACTTGCAGCCCTTCACAGCCGATACCCCTTACGAACCTACTAACTTTCCTCCGTACAGAAACGGCACCTCCAACTAAAAAGCGCAAATTCGTCGCAAACGACTTGACCGATGACAAGGATGAAGTCGCTCCCGTCAATGATGATGAAGGTGATGATAATGAACTCGATGAAGACGAACCGGCGGATGACGGATTAGAAGATGAAGAAGATACCGATCCAGAAGAGACAGTTTGTCACCCAGGACCTACAAGTAAAGCTGCTGAAGTGAAAGGAGGAATCATTCCAAAGGAGGATAATTTGGATGAGGTTGAAGCAGCCGTTGCTGATGATGAAGATGATGAGTAGATAAGCTTCCTTATCGTCATATCATTGTTGCAATGCGCAGCGTATCCACTTCAACTAAGAGACCGTGCGGGATGCGAAATGAGAAACGAATGGTTGGGATGAGATGGGATGAGGGATTTTTTGGGACGGAAATTTATGGCCGGGCATCGGATATGAAGTTGGTAATTTGGTTGGAAAGGTGTAATAGGGAAACAAAAAGGGGCCAAAATGGAGATTATTGTGTAAAAGAAGTTTCCTGTGCTTAATTTGGTTGCTTACCTACCTTTTAGAATTTCTTCATATTGTCTTTCTTGAATCTCATTTCATCATCTATTTACCTATTAAAGTTCTCAAAAGCCAATTTTGAGTCACAAAAGCATGATACTTTTTACTGACATTAGTTTATGCATTGATGACGTTTACGCAAAATAAATACGAGCATTCTGAGCTTCGCTGCGATCAGGGCGCCAATAATACGAATGAACATACTTTTTACTCGTATGGTTTTGAAGCCAAGTCGGACTTACAGCCAGGTGAGCGTGAAAATTGAAATTAATGAAGCTTCATGTATGAAGCTTTTTTGCTTTAAAATCTTAGTTGCAATCTCAAGTTGTAATTTTAACCGCAGTTATACTTGCAGATTACATTGATCGTTCATGTCTGTTCACCATAATTTACAAAGTATGAAATCATTTGAGTTTGCTGGAAAGACCCCTTCATCTTAACCGAATTCCAAATCCCATCTGATTTCATACCCCTGCTTCATGTACGTACTTATTGTAATATTTTCGTTCCTTCAGTAATCAATCATTAATCTCACAACCAATGGACGTGGGCTATTGGCCAATTCACTTCACAGCATGCATGGCCGAACCGACCATCAATCCCATTTATCGCTATTATTGTCCAAAACACATGGGAAATTTGGACCATTTATACCACTATCAACCAAAGTGGGGACTTTAATCTCTACTACCGCGTTTTGTGTCCGTTTGAGAGGGTTGTAGCCTGCGTACAAAGCATGCCTAAACTTTTAAGACACGGCATGGCTCGGTGCATTGTTTTATTTATTTATATTACGAGGCGACTCCTAAATTCTAACTTCTTATTAGTTCAATTATTTGTTCAAACGAAAAGCTTACAGCTGTATTTTTCTAGAAACCCCTTGGAATACTAGTCAGGTACGGATTGGACGTTGCAAATTGCATCTTGGACCAAGAAGAGCATGCGAAAAAACAGAACTTTCATCCGAGACTGCAACCTATAGTCGATGACTATTTGTTTCATTCCTCCATGTTAATAATCAAAAAGTCCATACTGGTACTGATGGCGCCCTTTTTATGCAAGACGGCTGAATACATATTCCAGACGGAGTAACGTTTTATTTTTTTACTCCGTGCCTTCGCTTCTCCCTCACTTGGCTCTGTGCATGGGTATTTCCTGCTTTCATCGATCGTTTCCCTTGACTACTTATTCGAGTAATAAAAATAATATCGTATCACGCATCATATGATTATCGCTGCAAATTCCAAACATCTATTTCCTTCCTCTTTAGTTACACAAAAGCCTATCAATCTGTTTATCACAATCAATACAGGGTTTATACCCTACGATTAAGATACGGATCGACACAAGTGAGGAAGAATCCCGGTCGATATAACCCCTCCACGACACTCTATCCGGGGCGTGTACCTGTGCTGTCTCTACCCAACCAGACGATTTTTTCACTTAAAAAAATCTTCAGCAAATCGACAATCATTTCTTCCCTTTCAGCCAAATTACACCCTGGAGGTTCCATCTGTTGTTGTTCTACTCGTCCTACATTCACTCCTTGTCTTCTCCACACTCTTTTCTCAAACAATCGCTCACGTCACTTCCTTCGTGCGCCCTTCTCAGTCTCCAGTTTTAGGGCAAATCTATCGATCCACAAATCCCACTTGCCGTGTCCCACGGTTTGGTTGTCGTTTTTTCTGTTGTCGTTTCGAGAGAACAGGACTTAGGAGGGGTCCTCATATTATCTCCTTGACCCGCACTCCCATTTTTTCACCGAGTATTTGACTTGGCCACATATTTTTCTGGAGAGGGTTGATCTTAATTGTTGCTCTTTCCTTTTATAGTTCAATCACTGTTAGAAATCATTTGTCTCAATCGTTGACCGTTTTTTCTATCTTTTACTTACTGAGCTCGTTCACTGACTCGTCGTTTCCTCTCGCTTTAAGATTTCCTTGTATTACTGCTTCTTTTGTGTTTTTATGTTATATGATTGATACCTGCCGATTGATACTTTATTCGTACCTTCTATTTTTGTCATTTGTCTATCACGAGCCTCTTTGGGCACCCATTTTTATTTTTTTCCTAGAACCTGTTGTCAACGTTTGTGGAGGAATACCCACTCACCTTTTTTTTCTTGAAAGAGTCAAAAGAAAGGCCGAATCCTTCCCGAAGATGCCTCTCACACGCCGTCTTTCTCAATTATTTTCCTCATCACATTCGTTACCTCTGGCCGGGAAAGATATGAATACTATTGATATCACTACTTCTAAGTCTGCTTCATCACCACCTTCTATATCGGAGGAAGTTATTGTTTCGAGTACAGTTGTCGGAGACCACGAGGACAGGGATTTGAGTTACCCTTCTGTCGAACACTCACCTAATGCAACCAGAAGACCTCGACGAAAAACGATAAAGAAAATTCTGCGTCGATTCTCTCTTCACTCCTCTCCCAAGGACTTTACGCCTAATTCTCGCAGCTTATCACCGGTGAACGATGAAGTTATCATGGAAACACCACAGAACCTACCAGCTCTCACTACCACCACTGATGTTCCATGTCTCGACACGCATGAGCCAATAGACTATACCCGAATCCAAATTTCCTCCTTACCATTCCCCTTTCCGGAACTTGCATCTCCTCTTCGAAGATCCGTCAATGGCGACCAAAAGCTCGATTGTTCCGATTCCGGCTACTTTTCCTTGACCAGCGCCTCCTCATCATCGCTATCAACCTCGCTACCACCTCCCACTTTACACCTCATCCGCCGCATCAATAAAGCCATACTGCTATTGGAATACCAAGAATTATTAACCACGCGGTTCTCCACGAACTTGGCCTTTTTATTCGGCAAGAAGGAAATGGCAATATGGAGGACGAGAAAACTGAGTGATGATACCAAGGAGTTGATCATTATTACACTAACAAAGTTGAGGGAGTTGGTCGGTAAGACGATGATTCATAAGATGGGATTAGTGAGGAGGAGTAGGAGTGTGCTGGGCGAAGCTATGGAAGCGATTTTTTCGAGTCAAAGACGGGATTCCGGTGTGGAGACTGAGACACCATCTACGGGATCACTTTCAGAAACAAGGGACCGTACACCTAGCCCGGAAGCTACCGAAATTTCGAGATCTCAGTTGAAGTTAGAAGTGCAGGCCAAAATGAAGGAAGCTCTGCAAATCCTCAGAGACGATATTTCGATGCAAAAGAGATTAGATGAAGTTTTGAGAGCGGGAATAGTAGGGAGTTGTGGAGATGAAAAATTAATGATGGGGTTGCCAAGTAGGAGTGAGAGACTTTGTCTAAGGAGATTTGTAGGGTTTGTGGAAGGGAGAGTAACGGAGCTTGGAGGTGCTTATGGAAGAGTTGAGAAAGCTGTCGGTGGTTTAGAGAGGTCGGGATATGAGAATTTGGTGGTTCAATGAGTGCTATTAGTTGAAAGAAACTAGCAAAGCATATCAGCGTATCATTTAGACGTCGAAGCGGCTGTTGGAGATGGGCATGAAGATCGTGCACCACACGGCAACGCAACCACACACAAATCTGCAGGCCAACAGATCACGAAACGACACCAGGTCGTGCACAGAGAACCTCGTTTGGAACGAGGAACAGATGAGAATGGTGAGGCAGGTACTCCTGGATAAACGGAACAGGCGCATGCTTTGGAGGCTTGATAATTATGGATGGTTCGGGTAATGATTAGGAGTTTAATGGGTGGCTGGAATTGGTATGGAATGTTGATACGACGAGCCGGGCATTAGAGCGTTAGCTCGTTAATGTTTTCTTTGTATATATGGGTGGAGTAGTTGTAGGTTTGAGGTAGAATGGATTGGGAATATCAAAAATTATATGAATCAAAGTCTGCACTATAACACGAAGATTTTGCTTGAGAGCATTGTGAATAAGAGCGGGGTTTGAGGGGGGGTTCCGATATCCACCCACTCGTAACAGCAGTTGAATATCCCTGATAACGGAGTACTCTAAGTGGAGTGACTCTGGGGCCATTCCTCGTATTTATGAATCATTCTTCTCCACCCCCTCCATTTTCATCCCCACTATGCGGAAAGCCTTGGCTGCATTACACGGTTGTATAAACAGTAGCATTTGACCTAAAAAACTACATGATGGAATTTGACATGTGGAGAAGGATCGGAAGGAGTGTTGTTTTGCATGCGGAGAACTGCTGGCATTGATGATCTGACATACTAAAGAATTCATGAGACCTTTGAATTAAGATGAAGTGGGCGAAGTGTTTGATGACGGAGAAAGTAGAGAGGAGATTTAGATGAGACGAGACGAAAGTAAAACGAACCTAACTTTTTGGGCTAATTGTGTGAGATTTCGTAATTCGATATATGCTTTGGTCGTTGAAATCAAGTGAGAGGCTTTAGAACCATCAATTCGTTGGTACACGCAGCTAAACTACGAGTGGTTTACGAAACAGTCCCCTCTCTAGTGTATGATCTTTTTACTGCTGTCTAGATAGAACTACTCTCTTTAGTGTTTGATCTTATTAATTTTGTCTAGATAGAAGTATGGTTATGCTTTTATAGATACATATTGCAGTAAGACCCGATGAGATGAGAGACAACTGGGCTGGTGAATTGAGCCAAGAATTGTAGTTGGACTGAGTCATGGGCTATCCGGCTCATGATTTGAATAAGTAGCATGAATTAGTGAATATGGTTCGCAGAGATAGAAGTCTCCATGCAAAAGTTATTTAAGATCCCCTCACATCCACTAATCTAGTCATGAAGCCCATAGAAAAATTTGTCTTAAGCATAAGGGGATGCTCTTTGTGATCCTGTGCGCATTTCTTAAACTAGGTTTGAATCTTTGATATCGGGCTTTGGTCTTTGGGTTGTTTGGAGGAAATTCTGTGAAAGAATGAAGAGGTGTTGTTGTGGTCTTTATTCCTCATTGTTACTGCTATGTTTCTTGTTATAAATAGCATTCATCAAAAATGTGATAATAAGAATGGCGAATGACAACAGTAGCGATGTAAGTGTATTGATACGGTAATCGTTAGGCTACTCTGCGACAACCACTAGATAAGAACTTAGGCACTCGATCCTTTTCAGAAAGTTTGTAGGGACATTCTGATTGTAAACTGCATAAGACGCCATGAGGTATGTTTAGAATCCTTCTGTAGTCACGTGTGGTCTTGTTATTACAAGTAGATCGGTCATTTGTAGCAGGAGATGGGAATGAAAAGATGAGAAAGCTTGTAAGCTTGAGGCTAGTTCTGATGAAGGACTACATGCACAATCCCTCGAACATGATTTGTAACCGCATATCTATTACACAAGCAAGGGATAATGGAAAACGTGTGGCAATATCAGCCATTAATAGTTTAATGATGCTAGAACTATCTCATGGATCACTTGATAAATGCTCTCCTGGCTAATGTTTCAACCCAAGTTCAAAAAGACCGCTTCAATTCTTTCGCGGTGTTTGCAATTCTGGCATCTATCCATATTTATTTGGCACTGTCGGTTGGCTCTGAATTTAGATTGACATCTGCTTCGATAGCTCTAAAAGCTTTAGCTTAATATACAGTATTACATGCATATCTCTACTTAGGTAGCTTTATCCTCTATAATTTACAATCTTCATGCAAGATTCCATACGCTTCCTCTACCTCTTTCCAATTTGATGCAAAATAGACTGGTAGGCCGAAGGGAAATAAGTTGGGAAAATAATTTTTTCAAGTGATAGCGTAGCCCACACAATGCAACAAGCTGGAATACTTCCATAACCGGACGATGCTCCCTCCGTAGACCTGATTCTATTTATTGAAATTATGCATAATAGCACAGGAATGGTTGCCGCCATTTATACGTAATGTGATACTGTGACGTCATACTGAGACGTGATGGAGGCTTCGCTACGAAAAATAGTGCCCGATGTAGTTTCTCAGCATTAAGGGCTGGAATGTTAAGATTGAATCAATAACTTAATGACTTTGATTCAAGTATGTCTTCGCAGCTAATTGAGAGGGATAACACACACAGAAGCAAAAAGGGGAGTATCCTCACTGCGGCCGGTGGGAAGTGGCAGTGTACCGTATACGCTCGACAGCCTTGTCTAATTTAGCATCAAACCAGAGTGTCTAAAGCATTGCCTCACCCGTGAAGCTCATCTGGTATTCCAATGAAGTCTTAGTGCACCGAGCTGGAAAGCCAGAATTACGAACAGACAATGAAATGAGAGGTATTCTAGGAAGTAATTTGTCACATAGAAGAAGGATGAAAAGGAATAACCTATAATCCACTGCCAAGTCTCCAGTAATTCATGAATGAAATTCATTCACAGCTGAAGTAGGCCAAGAACCTCAAGCTTGGATCGAGCTCAGATATATTGGTTTAGTACATGCCATTGTTGATTTCAAAAGCGGTGAACGGGTTTTGTAATAATATTCGAAGTTATATTGACTTGTGTCTGATGTGAGGAAGTGTAGTTGTGAGTGCAATGGGCTTGTCAAATTTCAGTGCCGGAAATTTGGTCTAGCCCGTCCAAGCTGACATAATGTTTCGATCAACAGTATCCTGCCAACCAAACACTCTTGTACTATGGTACAGGTATCCTTCGCAGACTTTCACATACTGTTGAAGTACGGGTATTTCGATAAGACCTCTGGCACACTCATGGATATTTACTTCATACAGCATTTTCGTGGGCGCAGTTTGGGGATGAGGCTGATTTCATATGGTAACTTCCAGGGTCCAGGAGCCTTTCAGCACATATTGCAAAATTGATTGGACAAGTTTCTTCGATCCTTGTAACCATCCCGAGTTAAAGGTCTTGGTAAAGTTTTTGGAGCTCAGCTTGTGTTTTGTTAATTCTTGCAGTGTTCCTGAGCGAAATTTGGCATGCAGTGCAACCACGGTGCCTTTCCACGAACTTCCTGCATGTTCTCGACAGATTCGGCCATTTTTTTATAACGAATTCTCTCATTTGAACCTAGAGTTTATCATTGCGATCAGTTGGCCCACAATGGATCCCATAACTGTTCTTGGTGTCGCAGCATCAGCCCTGAAGATTTCTTAAGGGAACAGAAGATTAATACGAATGATTTAGATGATACAAAATCACTACGTGAGAGTTCCACACAGCATCACAAATTTCGGAAAGTAAACGCCAATTTATGTTGGCAAGTAGTATTGGAGGAACAGTTTTTGACTTTAATAGCACATTACAAGAGTCTCGCCCACATAATAAGACGAATTCGGCGAGGGCAGCTCAAGGTCTCGCACATACAAACCGGATGCCCACTTTGATTCACCGGAAACCAGAAACGGAGAATACCATTAATCCTGACGAAGGTCATGGAACAGGCATCACCCAGCCTACGGCATAATGGCCAGCAGCTTTAGACCATCACCCTAGTTCGCACAGACATCAACTTATCTCGCTCAAGCAAATCTGCTACTAGAATTCAATAGTTTTAATGTATATCGTAATCGAAGCGTTACCCCAGATTCTACCAAGTCAGAACCTTCCGTTAAAAGGTGGCTTTCCTCCTCTTCCTCTTCTGGAGAATCGTTACAGCAGGAGGATATACTCCATCGTTCTTGGAGGAAGAAATTTTGGCCCCTTCGACAAAAGAAAGTCAGCACTCTCATTGCTGCCAGCCTATCACCTAGTCCTGACGGGGCAAAGACGACTCGCCCACATCTCCCAACCACCATTAATCGATTTAAGCGAGGACAAGAAATAACCTTTAAACAAAGTAATGGTCGAAGCTCAGTAAATTAGCTTCATACGAACACTCTTGTAGAGAGGCTGAAGCAGGATCTCCTTCAGAAATTCAGGTTCTTTTCTCTAACGGGAACGATATAGAGGCTTTTCATAATGACAATGGAAGGACTTCTCTCGCTGTAGCCTTCCACTGTGGTGATACAGAATTGGTTGATCTCCTCAGATTCAGCGCGATTTGACTACTCAAGACATCAACCTAGATACGAGATAACCAATTCATGACTGCATTACACCATACTTGCTAGACTGGGCACCGAAATTTGGTGAAAGATTTGTTCTAAAAAGGCGCCAATCTCGAAATCTTCTGCAAAAGTTCCAGGTCGCCACTTCCCTACGCATCTGCATCCGGTCAATTGCAAATTTTCTCAAAAACAGAAAGAAAAAGGGAAAAAAGCCAACTAAAAAGGCACCAATGAAATTAAAGCTAAAAATCCACTATGCGTAGTTCAGCATGGCAAGTTGAAGTTGTGACCTGATGAAAATTGGCAATAATTGAAACTGATATTGATGGCTTGACCTCTTCATCTTGCTATACCAGCCAACTTCTTTCTGTGGCCGAGCTGCTACTAAGAGAAAAAGCAGCTTTGGGCCGGCGACGAAGAGATTGTCGGACGCCATTGCGTTCTGCCTGTGCTTCTGACAACCCGGATACAATCAGTCTACCGCCAAGTGCTAGGGAATATGAAGAAACTAAGGGTGAAAACTGGTGACCAATTCATTTTGCGCCGCGAAAGAATTTGTGTGTAATGTAGAAGTTATTCATGGAAAAGGAGTTGTAATTGATGAAAGGGAGCTGGCAGAGGTTATCGACCATTTTGTCTTGCGTGTCAACACGGCAATGTTCAAGTTTTGGAGAAAATATTACCTTACAATGCATCATGAAGGGTGGATTTCCTCCATTGACGAAACAAGGAAGTCGCTCTATGCATTTTTGCCAAAGCCGGATATCTGGAGGTTGTTAAACTGCTCATCAAGAAGAATGCATTTGTCAAGGAACGTGATGAGTTCGAATACATTCCTTTACGATATGCCACCTACTATGGGAACACTAAAGTTCTAGAGGTACTCAACAAAGCAAGGTGTAGAGATTTATGATGAAGTAGAAGACTCCCATGAGTGGGAAATTCTTTTTGATGCGCAAACGATTGGATTCTCCGATACTGCTATTATATCAGGCAACCTTAAAGACCCCATTCGGCATCTGCTTGATGATATGGAGAGCCGTTACCATTATGACAGCGAAGATGAAAACATCGGCAAAACACTGCAGTAGAGCTCGGTTGTAGACAGAGTAATGTCATGTATCGAAATAATCCATTGACTCGGCCACAGAAGCTTGTGGGTCTTTATCGAGGACTGAACTCCTGCCAGGGGAAGTGATGCCCATATCCGACCTTAGAGATTACCCGGCTTGTCGCCAAGCCCTCCTCTTTCTCTACGCCATGACAACAAGGGTGCGAAAACAGATGTAGCCAAAAATAAAGTTTCTCCACCTGTGACCGCATCTGGGAATAAGACTGCACGTAGGGTCGAAGCTCTCCTTCATGGTCCACAAAACACACCGGGGAACTTTGATCCTCCCCCCGTAGTTCTCAAAGACAGGGCTGTACTTATTTCACAAAGGCAAGCGGAGATAAAGAAATTACAGAAGTATTTTCATCTAATCGAAGCACGACGGAGCCAATAATTCGCTTTGGAAGTCCACGGCGTTTTATAAGATGTCCGCGGATTTAAGATGTCTTGGTCATTGCAATGCGATATATGTATGTCGATGCAAATGAAGGAGATTAATATTAATGTATTTTCCCAAGATCCCGGCTTCCGGACCATTAGACATCGCATTCTTTGCTTTGTCGCATTCTTGGTTTAGCTGTGCGTTTATAGAAGCTCAACACAGATCTGAAGTAGCCCCCTGCCCTGCATGGGAAATCCGGAGCGGAATCCATCGGGATCCACCACGTCTTACCAGAAGGTCAAACCACTCCGACATGCATGGGTGTTGTGATTTCTGGAAAGAATTTGACTCGCACGATGGATAAAATACCGTAGAATCGTTGTCAATCCGAATATCCCATAATTCACACCCGCGTTTCGCTGTGAACACTTGGGTCGGGTATAATATTGTCTTGTCATCATTCTTGGCAGAGTACGTACGATTTCAGCAATAAATTGGCCACTTCCGAGAAAAGCACGTATTGATATCATATCTAGTTTAGTGCCTATTTAGTGTGTAATGCTGAAGATTTGGCGTTTATATAAGCATTTATGCTTACCGAAATGCAGAAGTTCTTTTTTTCCAGCTGTCTTACAATTGACTTTCGGAAATTTTCGTTCGCGGGTTGGCAGGCTGACACATGTTTTTAGTAGTTTAGTCTAGTTCGCTTAGACCCCGGAAGTCCACTGAATAGGTTGGATGGGTCCACATGCTTTCAAGTGGCATGATTTATCATGTCATGTTGTTCCGGACAATGTTCGATTTGGCGAGTTCCATACGATTTCGAGTGCCTGACTCTTGTTTTGATAATTCTTCACCATATGTGGGGTTTCTGTGATGCAATATCATATTATCTGTACAATAGTATGATGTTGAACAGGGGCGTTCGGTAGTGAAGCCGATCCCTACTCAAGTAGATCATACAAAGACGTGGTTGATCACAACATCTTTTCATTAAAGATCTTTTATAAGCCCTTTTCCCTCTCTTTCAACTATTTTTCATATTTCAATTACATTACAGCTGTTGAAAATGCCCACGCCTGAGAACACCCCACGCCTCAGAGTCATCATCATTGGCGGCGGACTGAGTGGTCTAACATTAGGACAACTTCTTACAGATGTTCCGAGCATCAAAGTTACGCTCTATGAGCGTAGTAGAGGCCCGGTAGACCGGCTTTCGGGATATCGGGTTATGTTATCTTCTTTTGTTCTTCGAAATTTAAAAGGAAAACTTCAACACGATGTGTGGCAGGAGATTGCGCCCAGTATTGGTGTCCAACCAGGTGGAGGTCAAGAGATGAGTTTCTTGAAGAGCACTGGCGATCCAATATTCACGTGGCTACCAGCAGAGATACAAGACGAATTTTCTGTATCACGCTGGCGTCTTCGAGAAGGCCTGTTGCATTGGAGCGAATCTTTTGCGCGATTTGGCAAAAAATTTGACAGATATGAGACACTGCGGAACGGAGTAGTGAGGTGTCACTTTACGGACGGTTCGATAGACGAGTGCGACTTACTGGTTGGCGCCGATGGTATAAACTCTAGAGTCAGAGCACAAATGTTTCCACATTCCAGGATACGACCTATCGATGTGGCAGTGATATACTTCAAGATCCCGTTAACTCCGGAAACGTTTAAGTTGGCGGGCTCACATAGTGGAGTTATGGTACAGTGTCCCCAAGCCTCCTAAAATGGTAATCTACTATACTGACTGCATGGTAGGCCTTTTGTCCTGGGAACCAGAATATTTTGGTACATTCATGGCAAAATCCAGTGAAGCCTTGGGCGACAGATTACACAGCAGACGATATCGAACCTTGTGAATCATTTATCATGTATGGCTACGGCAGTCCAGCGAATTCCTTCATCAATAAAACCAAACCACCAGAAGAATTAAGTCCGGCCGAATTGAAGGCCGAGATTATCAATCGTTCGAAAGCCGACAATAACATACACTCCAACTTTCTAAAATTAGCTGAGATGTGCTTGGCAAACACTGTGTATCTTCACATGGTGAAGAAGTGCGATTCGGTAAAACCGTGGGACTCGACCAACGTTACATTAATTGGTGATGCAGTTTTTAAGTATGTATTTATAATTTATTGTGATATCTGTAACATGTGACTGACCTCTTACTCAAGCATCATGACAACCTTAGGAAAGGGAGCTAATTGCGCTCTTCTTGATGCTGTTTCTCTCGCCGAAACACTGTCGCCCCCCTCTTCGCCGCAGTCAAAGTTTCAAGGCGAAAATGTCCAGCTCACCTCAGAATATACGCCGCGGCCACCGCAAAAGCTTATGGGCACAGCAGAGCTTCGACCCGCGCTTCGAACTTTTGCCGCGGAGAACGTCAAACGCCGCCACCGGGAGCGACAAAGAAGTGCATTCCTCCAGAATTTGGTTTACTTTGGTGATAATAAATTCAAGGAATACTGCAGGGAAAGAGTGCTGAAAAGTGCTCTCGGATGGGTTGAAGGAACAAAAGGGATGAAAAAGGAATTATATGGTGCAAGGGGTGAAACGAGAAATGTTGGTGGACTATTATCTCCCGACATAGTACCGAACGACAGCCTTGGAAACCTTGACCGTGCCGATGTGGAATCAATTATTGAAAGACAGAGTTTCCTAGAAAGAGGCTGGGGGCTTGTAAGACCGGATGAGTTGGACTCCGAATGTGTAAGCGTTGCGTCGACTTCAACAGGGGAATCGAAGAGTACAAAGGCTTCTTCATCAGAGGTAAATTTGACTGAATGTCTGGCTAGAGACAACGCCTGATTTTGGCAGGTTGGGGGCGGGGGATATGGTTGGACTGTTTGGTACTGGTATACCCGGTTATGGCGAGTTCATAACACATGACGGATAGACTGGACAGCGAAATTTAAGTACATATGGGTTTAGATGATTTTGAAGGCGTCTTTTTTTGCTATAATTACTCAGCTAAAATATGTTTAATTTTATTTCGAGACAAGTTGTTGATGCAAGTTAGTGCTTTTTTTTTGGCTATGTGTGTAGCATCTTTACGTTTTTTTTTGCGTTTCGCTTCTAGTCTCGTTACTTTACGATATTTCAAAACAACCTAGTGTCTTCACTTTATTTGCAGCCGGCAAATGTAGAAATAATCGCAAATATGCCAATCACAAACAAACAGACTTCCAAAATAGAATTTGTTGGTGTTTCGGCGCTCGAGAGCAATCTTCACGTGCCTATTTAGGACGTCGTTCACATGAGCACCATGATTTCACTAGACAAAAATATTTCTAAGCAGATGGATCAATTGCTTTCTGATTCGTTTAATATCGGTATATAAGAACCGTAGCCAGTACTATGAATGAGATCGCGAATATCTAGTCTATCATTTATGGCACGACTTCTTGCTAGTTACTGGGGAATGCTGTGTTATATTTCTAGATAATTATTACTCCATAGACCTGAGGTCCTAATCAGCCTTCACTTCTTCTCCTATTGATCCCAAACTCAACAAAATTTATTCGTTCACATGACGATCTAGCCGAGTGAAAAACTCAAGTACAAGTCCTTACAAACACTTAACGCTAGTGCTGAGTTCCTGAAGCTATTCCTATATATTTACCATCCTGCGGCTGTATACGATCACGATGATGCCCGTAGTCTCTAGATTTAGAGGATGGGCTCTCGTGGAAAGTAAATAGGTAACATAAATAGACATTTTATTGGTTTCAGAACTACCATTTCTCAACAAGAACATCCTCACTTGTGAAAAGCAATATCCGTCACACCACAATTACAGAAATAACTCCATTAAATTAATTTTCTACCAAAGCACGATGCAAAAAAAACCGCCTGGGGCACCCTGTCCTCAACGCTTCCGCGATGCCATTGCCGATGAGCACATCTACTTGGTGAATAAAAGATATCACAAGGGAATTACCAAAATCCAGAATACGCAATTGGACTTGGAAAGACAGGAAACCACACAAAGGCTTTCTAATAATTCGGCAGACGCGCAATGGACTCCTTCATCAGAAATGTCTGACCCTGCTTCCGAAGCTTCCGAGGGCTCAGCTTCCGGAGGGGACAAAGATGACCATGGTCACTTAACTCTCTCTGATCCTATAGAATCTGCAGGCAAGTGCATTGAAAGAATAGCGCATTGCGAGGAAAATTCGAGCACCGCGCCGGCTCCATCCAGCATAAACAATGGTGACTTTCTGAAAACGGATAAGCGAATTCAGGATGAGGAGATGTCTTTTTGGGCGAATTAGATCTACCCACGGTATGATTGACGGTTAGATGTAGCGCAAATTGAAATTTTCAAATTGGTACTGTACGCAGTTTGGGAAGAGCTTGTTTGAGGTTCTAGAGGAGATTAACGAAAAAAAAAACACACGAATGAACCTTCCATTGCCTAGGGTTTTTGTTGATAATTTGTAGAATATTGTGAGATTGCTTTAGAGGCTACTTTATATCATGATTGTATATTGTAGCATTGTAATTGGCTCGTTATTGAGGATAATTTCACGATGAATTCGGTAATCTACGGTCTTGGTCTTCGATATCGACTTTTTTGGTGATACAAATGGGCTACTCACTTGAAGAATCTTGAAGTTCTAAACACTGGCATATCCAGAGTAGGACTGTTTGTTAAGAAGAAAATTTTATAAAAGACTAAAGAGGCATTTCTATAGGCTGTGACAATGCTCGTGATTAATTCCGACCACATAGAAAATATGACAGAAATTGTTGAATACAATTATACTCGGCTCCTTTTTGCCCTATATGAATAATATAAATATTAAAAGTAGAGATATCCTATGCACGCTATGCACGGTTAATGCCGTCCCACTTTTTAATTATACCTTCAAATATTCACAAGCACATAAGCTTACGGCTAGCCGTTGCAGATACTAAGAGTTGAACTTCGACGCGCCAGCTATTCGACCGTATCATCACCAGTACGGTCATTACGGTAAGAACGTGACTTCTTAATTCGAGGCCGTACATACATGGATGAGAAATAAAAGCGTTCTTTGCCCCTGCTTGTATATTTACAAAAGGATTATCGGTCAGCAAGAAGATCAAGACTTAAAACCTCCAACGAACTCCAAACAAACAGAACTTGCCGTTGGATCATTTTAACAGATTATTTCAGAGTGATTTTCAAAATCGTTCTTCCAAAACGTCAGCTCACTTCCCAAATTCACAAACATGTCTTCTAACAAATCCTCCCCATCAAATACTTCCTACGCACAGCGACCAAGCAAGTTTGCAGAACACATTTTTGACAAGACCCAAGAAAAAATCAACAATCGTCTCTACCTCGTAGAGAAAAGAGAGCGGGAAAGAAAGGTCGTCCTAGCTTTCAATCAATGGAAACAAAAGTACCCCAAGCAATGCAATAAGCTTGATTGGGAAGCTAGCTATCATGATGTTGATGAAGAATATGATGAGAATGATGAAAACGATGCTGAGCCCATCCAGGTACATTTGAAGGAAGACGAACCGAGGGCAGCACGCGAGTCGGAAGGAAAAGGCGGAAAACCGCTTGCAACTCCTGCCATGAAGAGTCGCCGAGAAAAGGTGGCAAAACGTATTGCGGATGCGAAAATGGCTATGTGTTTTGGCTCGGTCACTCCAGAGGAGTAGAGTTTTCCAAGTTAGACAAGGAAACTCAAACTTTTGATTCTATATGGAAAGATAGGTATCCCAGCGAATGACGTTGTGGTGGGGGAGGAGAATCTGGGAGATGTATTCACTTTTGGCGGCTAAATTCTCTCCTCACTAAATTACCAATCTGAGAGCAGTGGCAAATGAATTAAACGGTTTTTTTTTGGTCGAAGCGGTCCGTATTTGATTTGATTAATTGGCGGAACTGGCGGACGAGCTTTCATTTTTCCGGCAAGTAATGGGACTTCATAAGTAGTATATCCATTCCAGGATATTAGAATAGATTAGTTTAGACTGGGGTATAGAAATACACGTGAATGAGAAAATAAATTGACATTTTCAATTGTGATGTCCACGTAAATGACCTATTACGTATAAATTTAGAGGCTAACATCGGCACAGGGCTTAGCATCCGTATCCTACCTAGGGTATTTGACCTCTATGGGATGGGTATCTTTACCTTAGAGTTTTTCTATGGTATTATTCTTGGAAGCTATTGGTATTTGGTTAACTAGGGGTATATATCATGAGATTGCTTAATCATAATCAGTTGATCTTGAAGTTTTTTCTAGTTTATTTTATGATATTTCGGAGAATGAATTTCAAATATCTTCTCAATTAATCTTACTATATTCTAGCTACCTGTGATATATCCGCTGGACAATCTGGTATTCAGAGATAACCTATAGGGCATTATTTATTTTGTAGAGATATAGTAGAGTAGTACTCTCTGAAAAATACACCGCGATTACCCCTGGTCTATTCCTCCCTGTATCGGCAAGGTGGAGCAGCCTACTAATCGAATACTAGAAATATAAATGTGCTCCCTCGATTTGGGTTAAATTTTCGTCATCTTGTGGGTAGTAAATATGGAGGTGGTTCGACTCTCAAAACCTGATAACTTAAAATTCAGCTTCTCTGATGTGTGCATTCATCTCCCATCTCAGACGCTAGAATCAGGGGGTGGGTTGGTTAGGCGAATTATTCTTTTTAGTTCCCGACCTCAAACAATTATAAGCAGCTTTTCTTTCTCACGTAGCATATTCAACCTTGTATCACGCTTTTAATCTTACAATATTCTTACGGTTAAAATATTTTCTCCATACATTAGAGGATTTAGCCACAGCTTCCTTGATGTTGCTTGATGACACACCCGTATGATTCAAGAAGACTAGTCAACTAAGTCGTCATAGAATTCAAGTTAACTTTGCACTGTATCAGTCTGTATACGTTTTGATGAAATTAAACTCGTGCATCTACGAGTAAATAAATAAATAAACCAACCTCCCTCATCAAAACTTTATACTCCAACCACTCAAACACCCATAAAAATTCATTACATACAAATTCTGTCTGCCAGTTCTCGATCTCAACAATATTTAAGACAGGATTAGTGACAATATGTCTATCTCATCACGATCTTGTACCATACGTCATATTCGATTCGGAACTAACGTCACAGATCCATCCAAAAAGAATCATCAAGTTATGCGCAGTCCCGTGAACAAACAATATTACCATCAAATGGTAGAGTCAGAGAATGAGTTGTGGGTCCAGGCATATATCGAAGCACAAATTGAAGTAGATGTATCGAACGAAAAGCAGTCCTATTGGAAAACAATGTTGCGATATCTCTGTGAAAAGGCGATGCACCTGAAACCAAGCTTTGTCACGAAAGGAACATTGAAGAAAAGATGGGCGCGGAAGGTTTACAACAAAAGCAGCCCGATAAGCAACTCAGACTCGGAATTTCGAGATATATTTCTAGATACACCCTTGAATACCATCGGCATTCCTGGTGGGTTAGTTTCCGTCTTTACCGTATTAGCAAGGGGAAAAATGGTTTGATTGTTAAAGGAAGAGAAGTTAGCTTGTTGGTTGAAGAAATCAAGGATTGCCACAACAACTACTGGGTTTCAAATATAGGTAGATGCCAGAATCCCAGTTGCTGATTATGATATTTGTGAACTGTAGTTGTAATTATTCTGTGACAATCTTATATAATACAAACTAGAAATTGGTTGCCAGTTCAAACTAATTCAAAAGTCAAGTTTGCATAGATTTTCATTAAAAGATATTGAGAAATTTTGAAGCAGAGTATATCTCGGAAAATTAGATGGCTTCGCGATTGAGGGAAAATTAGGCGTAACTTGTTATTTTTAGTCCCTTAAATGATCATTGCAGCTGATGATATGTAATATTTCTTCTCAAGTCTGTTAGATAATAAGTACGCCAAATAACAATTGCTAACTAAATTATCTAAACATCGAAATGTCAGAAGTATAATCCTCTAAAGCACGAGCACCACCCATGGCAGCAATCACTGATAAAGAAGGACTTTCAATGGAACAAAAAACTAAAAGACATTTTCAATGGAATAAAAATTCATCATATTCATCTTTCACGCGAGCATAATGACTAATTCTAATTTTTCATCACCACGCGTACCACGTCCACCACGCTTTCGAGAAGATGTCATCTCGAGAAGGTTTGCCTCTGCAGACGAAGATTCCATCAAAGCATCAGCAGATAGATGCTTTGACTTTCTATCGAAATTAGCAACAAAGGACAAAGGACCCCTAAGCGCAGCTAAGAGGCTTGGCACGGAAAAGGCGAGTAACGTTTCTGGGGAAGAATTACGAATGGCATTGGGAAAAAATTCAATTTCTAACACGAAGAACCCCAAGACGGGAAAGCCAGCTCAAATCTCAGGAAATTTTAGGCACAGCTCGGTCAACTTGTCACATGGCAGTTTCGCATTTGGTAAGGACAGCAAACATCGAGCCTTGTTAGTTCGCGCAGGTAATATACCCTCCTTTCGATCTAGCAAGAAACTATAAGACGAAGAGGATTATTTTTTGAAAGGCTCCATGAGACAAGGGCTCAGGTTTGATGCGAACTATCTTGGTTGAATGTGCCAATTAGACAGTATAGATAAGACCTCTGGTAGAACATAGTCTATGCTTAATAAATACAACTGGTTGCATGCCATCAAATATGGCCAAAAGCGCAGAAGACAAGACGACTCCCTGCTGCCATGTATCCAAGACGCCTTTACCTAAGTACATGAAATCTGCGCCAGGAGCACCATGCCCGAAGCGGGTTATACTCCCGGAATAGAGGCAGAAAACTGAACTTCCTTCACCAACGCCTGATGGTAGACGCAGAAACAATCATAACAGACACAGTGTAGCTAGGACTAAAATGAATCCCCACGACGTCAATGAGCATTATTGGAATTCTAATGGCGAGGCTCACAAACAAAATGACGAGACCAGTGCAAATAGATTGATGACGGACATCCAATTTCATGACACTTCGAGAAAACCTTTGACGATCATTGGTCAGCAGACAGATTACATCACTTTAAAAAGTACCAATGTTTTGGATGCTAAGGAGCCTTTCTGTCAGGTGAACAAGACAGAGCGGGATGAAGAGGCATCCTTTTGGTAAGCGAGAACCAAGGGGTATGGATGACACTAGACATATGTAAGATTAGTTTTTTTAAATTAGGAAGAATGGGGGTATGCCTTTTTGATTCTTTCACGTTAAACATAAAGAAGATATTGGGCGAAGAGATTTAATTTGAGCAGAAATTTGGTCTCATGCTGGAAAAGCAATGGATGAAAACGGCAATTCTCAGTACGCACAATAATACATTGGCCATGGATTTTAAGAGCCTCGGCGTATTTTTCAGCCGGCAATTAATAATTCTAGAGTTTCTTCATCTTTCACAATGTATTATATAGGGACTAAACGTGCAAAATAGTCTAGGGAAAGGATTTAGTTTTACAATAATTCTGAGAACACCAGCAGATTCTGAATATGACACTGGAGGGATCTCTTAAAAAGCACCCAACTTGATTTCTAGGGACCGAGTAGCGCTGCAACTGGCCGCATGCTATTCCTCAGAAGCTTCATGGCACGGAATATGAGGTAGTCTTACATCAGTCCATGCAAAAAATGATCATTTGTAATTTTCAACTGATTAGATCCTGTTCCTTTACCTTGAATTGAAATTTTATGGATCTACTTTGAGAATACAGATCGTCACTGGCACGTAAAATTATGAAATTTGCTTTTCGCTTCATGACTTGAGCCGCATTGAACCATCTTTCAATTCATCTCGCGTACAGAATGTTCAAACAGCTTGCATTGTAGCGTACATAAATAGAAATAAATTGCTAAACGTAAAGAAAACGTCACTAGGCCGTCTTCAGAGTTCGTGAAACGGATTCTTGAACATGCGCAGATAGCCGTGACCGTATTTTATGATAGCATCTATCCATATAAGACGAGATGGTCCCTCTGTTTCAACCAATCCCACTACAAAATTTTACCATATCTTCCTGAAATCTCCTCCGCCAACCACAAAGAGTCCATATTAATTCAGATCTGTCTTATTTTATCAAGAAACTTAGTCATAATCGAGATGGAATCTGTCAATAGCAACCAAGGCTCAACACCTACCACCCCTGAACCGACATTAAAAAGCACACCCAAAAATTTCGTAGCGCAAGGCGGGACCTCTATCGCACCGCCAAAGACTCCTCCAAATACACGCACTATATCTCCACCAAGAGCTCCTCGTCCACGACAAACTTTTCGGACTGAGGGAATGTGGGCGAAAAATGGGGGGGTATCAATGCCAACATCATCACGAACCCCCAGAAATATTGGTAGTAGATTTGTGAACCCTGCAGGACAATACCAGAGCAATCGTGGGAGAGATTCGCGATCTGTGTCACCTTTACAGAGCCGACCAGGTTTATATCGGGCTCGATCGGCGCTCCTACATCACCCTCGAAGCAGACCGTTGGCTGGTGCAGCACCACAGCTTCTACCTTCCTTATTTATCAACGAAGGTGCTGTCTCCACTAACAACCACTCATCTGGTCGAGTTGAAGTTGACATGCAATATATGAACATGCTTCCTATTGCAAGCCGACACCCGAAGGAGGAGACGGCAGCAGACGTATCGTCAGGACTTCAGGACGACGAGAATGCGGATAGTAATCTGACAGAGGGTATTTTTAACGAGTATGATGACGAAGATGAAGAAAAGGATGAAAGTGGTAAAAAGGACGAAAAGGAACATGACATCTGGTCATGGAAATGTTGAAAAAGGAATGACTACAATTTATGAGAGAAGTGGTGCATAGTCACGTTACAAAACATCATTACACACTTACAAAAGAAGTTCAAAAACTTCGGGAAGTATGTGAAATATCATGCATAGTGAGTTCGTTTTCTTTTGGGCATGTTCGACCAGCAAAGAATTTTAAGCTGTGTCTGTTTTTCTTTTGGGAGGAAACTATTTTGCAGTGGGGAAAGGAGGTACAATACTGTGCGGTGGAGCGCGATTTTCAGATTCCGCTTGTATCTTCCACAAAATTAGCGGAATCCTGTTATGATTGGTATGGGCGGCGTAGCGGAATTTCCAATCCTCGAACTTTCAGAGGAAAATTATTTAGTCTCATTGAAATGGCGGGCGGGGCAGATATCACACAGTAGTATTCAATACGAATTTCCAATAAACTAATCTTACCTTGCTTCAAAGTTTTCCCGGTGTGACGGTAGGACCTTACTCTGCTTTCACACATTTATGCCAAAAGTTCATGGCCCTCCTGGGCGGTCTCAATAAAATGTGAGATTACTGATACAAAACAGTCTTTATACTCTCCTCCAAGTGGCCGTCACTATAAACTGCAACAAGTTTACCTAAATTCCACTGGAATTTTCGAGCGTCGTGTAGTGACGAATCGTCAGCATTTCTAAACTTTTACTTCTCAAGATTCTCTCCTACATATTCACCCAAGACACCATCTAAACATTCAATGCAGAATTTAATCAGGCGTTAAGTCCGTAATGGGAATTAAAAATGCTAGCCATGCGGCTTTCAGCAAAGAACACGATGTCATGTCTTTCTCTTGCAGCTACACGGCTCTTGGAATTTCTTCTAGTCTACATAAAAAAATTAAGTCTCTTCTCCACAAATTCCTCACAACCAAATTCCGTTTATTATTAAGGTCAACTCTTTCAATTTCAACCCTTTCAGATTTTGGCAAATCAGCTTCCGTGAGTTGTTATTCAACACATAGTACCCTCGTATCAATGGAGCTGCCAAAGCGCCATTCAAAAAATATGCCGGGCGATGAAAGGGATTTCTCTTCAAAAAAGGTCCACACAAGCAAATCCGATTCTCGAATCGTCCTTGATGAAAGCAAGCCACCTTCCTCCTCCGAAGATTTAATCATGTCAGATGAGAATTGGAGTTATGAAAATCAGACCGAAGATTCATTAATGTGCGATGAATCTTACTCCACCAACACAAATTCCAGTACTAAAACATCTTATCATCCCTCTTCTGAGCCTGAACCTTCAGCTTCGTCTTCTGGTAAAAGATTCGTGCCAGCTCCACGTCGTTATCACGGAATTTTAGATCCTCGTGAAGCTGCAGATGATGCTGTATTTTTCGCTCGGGCAAACAGACGATATCTGCAGGGAATCGAGAATGTCTTTCGTGAGAATGAAAGAAAAGCTAGGGAATATTTGTCTGCGACTGCACAAAGGACGAAAGCAGTTTCGAAGACGAAGGCTCGTGCGGCTTCTTCTCCTGCACTTAATGGTAAGAAAATCAATTTTGTTGCTATTTTCTAAGGGGATGATTGAGAAAAACAGAGACTCAAGGAAAATACGCTGTTGAAAATTCTACATTCTTAGGTTAACGGAGACAGAGAAAAAGACTTCTCGTAGCTATATCTGTTTGCTGCCTGTTTTTGAACCCCTACTAACCATGGAAGCAGGAGTTTGATTCGCACCTTGTATGTCATTGATATACGATCTTTAACAATTTCCTACCAAATCAAGGCGCAGAAATCTGAGAAATCGAAAGTTTCGGGATTTGAATTCGGGTTTTGGTTCAATAGATCTATGGTCATGGAGGCGGTCAGGAAGGGTATCACAAACAATCCTTTTTCGTAAACAAATTTCTAAAGACACTTTTTGCAGCTCCCAAATTAAGACTCCCAATCATTTAAATTCTGCGTAGAAACATTTGCATCCCACAAATTTCCGTCATAATATGGTGTTGATAAGTAAGCGTGAATTCGCCATTCTATTTCTTGCCGCCAAAATGTCACACTTTTCTAATATTCTTTAAGCTACTCCCATTCCTCCTCTTGATTATTCTTGATTCACAAAAACCATGATATGTGTTTATTCGTTATCACAGTAACCAATAAGATACATATCTCCAGTCAATTCATTTCAGTCGTTCCTTCGGTTCCCCTGAATTTCGCCTAGCTCTTTTTCACCTAGCTCCTCTCTTCTCTCTCTTTACCTACAAAAACCATTTAGACAACAGATAGCAGACGCAACAAACAAAAACAAAAATCTAAACATCCAACAAAATCAATCCACAACATCATGACCCAAGTAAAAAAGAAACAAGAAGACACAGATAATCACAACTTATTTCTCGGTCATGAAAAGACAAAGATTTCCAAAAGTCTTGCTGCCGTGAAAATCACAATGAACAAGACCAAAACACGTGGTAAAATCTTCAAAAGCGCAAACTCACTGCGCATTTTGAAGCTATCAAAGCATACTGGCCTTGGAAGTAAGAAGGTGACAGCAAAGAATGGAAGGAGTCGCAATATACCCTATTCTTGTGCAAACACCCTGACAGTTTCTTTCATGTAAATGAGAAAATGCGAGAGCTTTACAAGCTATATTACATCTGTAAGTAAAGCATCCGATTATTCAATTATTTCTACCTTTCTTTAAAATTTAACGTATGATGTATGATGAGGTGGAGATAAAATTAATCAGGAATCATTATTATTTATAAATAGGGTATAGCCAAGTGCAAGAACTCAAGAAAGATCGCTTTTGGAAAGATTTTCTAGTCTATTATCCGAAATACTTTCCAAATGAGCCGGGAATTAAGAAGTAAACTGCTATTTCTAGACAATACAGTAATTATCATGAATGGATGAATGAGATTGTTGGGTTAGAAGAGGAATTTGCTGCTCTTGCTGAAGAAAATGTAAAGCCTGGGTTTCAGTTTCTAGGTGATGAGTCTGAAGATGATGAGGATGAGGATGAGGATGAGGATGAGGATGAGGATGAGGATGAGGATGAGGATGAGGATGAGGATGAGGATGAGGATGAGGATGAGGAGGTCGATGGAGATATTGAGGATGATGCTCAATCTGTCGCTCTCCAAATAAAGACTATCTTTGCTCAACTCGAGGGTTTTCGTTCTGTCGTCACTGGTCCTCAAGGTAAATCAGTCCAAGCTGCTGCTACACAGTACAATGTAAAAGAAGTGGACGCTAAAGTTGAAGTTGGCGATAGCAATGGGGAAGATGAATATTAACTCTCATGGTAAGATAAACGCTTCATCATGATGCTAATTGTTAACCGACTTAAAAGCTAAGCAACGAAAGTCCACTCAAAATCCATCTGAACTGCGGAAGATTCTAGGCAGTTGAGGCTGGACATGGCAAATGATGTATGTTCTTTCACAGCATGGAGCACGCGGAGTCTAGCTACCTTTAAATGCCAGTGAAGCATGGTAAAACAATTTTTTTTCCTTGATGGCTTTCGAGGACAAGTAGTCTGTATTGAATAGCACATCCCCACCTTATGACTTGTGTATTTAAAGCCAGTGACTTCTTTCTAATTCGAGCTCTTCCTCCACAAAGTTGATAGATCAATACCGCCAATTAACAAAGAGATGTCCATCTTATTCTAATCCTAAATCCATTTTACAAAGGTAATTCCAATGAGCTTTTCCAAATGCCCCTCAACGCAAAAACCCTAAATTATTAAAGCTATGGGCCGATACACAGATCCTATTCCTGCAATCAAGAAGTCAACAAGAATGAAAAGATCACAGATCTACGAGACTTCTCTATTATTCCCCCTTCTGATAAACTAATACTCTCCCCAATAGCCTGCCCAACTCACACCAGTATCCTCGCTGCAAACAGGCCATATGTATCTGATAAATTCATACCCAACCACCCCAAAAAAGACTTCTCTACCATAGAATTCTAACCTCCAATACACCATACACCTCAAAGTATCATTCAATATTGTAAGAAAGTTGGAATTATAGACCAAATATATAAAGGTTTTTAAGCAATCAATCATATAATCTTTTGTGATTAAATATAAAAAGAAAGTTTTTCTTTTTCTTTTCTATAATAATCAATCTTCTATATATATATATATATTTGAATATATATATAATATCGATTCCAAAACCATTGTGAACTCTGTTTTCTTTATAAATAACATATTAAGATATAATCTAATTCAGTTTTCTCTTTCAATTCCCCCTCACAGTATGTTATCGGGACGCATGTATCTCGACCTACCACTTTTACAATAGCTAGTATACAGAAATATCAAAATTACCCCACACAGAGCTGCACATCGCAATCACAATCAGACTATAAAAACTAATCACAACCACGCCATAAAAGTCTAATTACATGAAGAAAATAAATAAATTTTTATTTAACCTCAAGAATCTCTGTTTAAAAACCCTATACTATTCAGATAACTAGCATTAATACTAATTAATAAGTGATCTATGGGATTAATATCCTGATACTATTTTTGGGTAATTTTATATTAGATAGAGAGTTTACTGAGATGGTTACTTTTGGGATTTGTTGTTATTTTTATATTGTTACTTTAGTGTGTATGTGTGTGACATAAAGATCAATGAAAGTTTTAAAAATAGAAAGTCATTTTATATATATATAAAGAAGAGATGTGAAAATATAAGATCTATATGTTAAAATGATGAAAGCCTTCTTTTAAAAAGATTATGAAAAGTTAATCTCTTTTTTTCTTGTAAAAAATAAGTTGTATTCTCATCACAAAATCTATAATATCTCATATATCTAAACTACCAATCTCGACCCTCTCTCTCCACAACTTCATCATTCCTCTCCATCATTTCTCCCCTCTCTTCCTCCCGCCCTCTCACCCCAATCATTCCTTCAACTTCACCTTCCCTCCCTTCCTCTCCGCATCCACACCCTTAGACCACTGCAACCAAGCCTCCACACCTACCAAATGCAAAACCAACGCACACCACCCCGCAGTCCCAAAAACCATATTCAACGAAGCCACCAAACGTTCCGGCGGGAAAACTCCCAATTGAATTGGAATATGAATATCCTGATAATCTCCTACTCCAGAGACGATATTTTCACACACGGGGTAGGTTTGCGTGATATTTGCGAGGGGGTATGAATGAGCTGTGTATAATTTGAGGAGAGAGGAACATGTGGTTAGGGAGTAGAAGGTACGGGTAGAGGGGGAGAGGACGATGCTTATGAAGGGGACCATGAGGAGGCGCATGGTGAGGATCTGGGGGGGTGGGGGATTTAGTTGGATGAGATTAATTGGTTGTATTCAACGGGTAAATTCGGTTGAAGGAAGATGATATATGAGATCAGATGATAGGAGATGGGGTAAAACGGAATGACTCACGCTACCTGCCCATCCCCAAGTCCTAATAGCCCAAATCCGATGTTCTTCGATTTTCTTTCGTCGAATTGCAATCCAAGATTTGAACAAGGCGAAAAATTCCAGGACACCGAGTGTATAGATCCAGATTCTAGTTTCAAGTGTCCCTCCGAAGGAAACATGACCAATTCCAAAAGCACCTTTTCATATAGTCAGTCGAGTTGAAGGAGGAAGATGAAGGGAGCACAAACATGTGTTTCCGATGATTAGCATTACAAAAAGGGCTCTTCCTGCGTATCTGTGTAGGTTCATATATTTTCTCCTTACTATGGGAAGGAATTGAAGGGGGAGGAGAGTTCCGGCGGCTGAGACGGTTATTGTTAGTTGTGATTGCCGTTTGATTTTCATGTTACCTTAGTGTGGTCTATCATGATAGATACATAGCATAGCATAGTATATAATACTGTGGATATCATAGATATTATAATCCTCACGACGACAAAGAGAAATGGGTAAAAAAACATACGTAAAACACTCCATAGATGAATATCCATGCCCAACTTCAACAATCCATCACCGAAAACAATTATTTCTTCTGGAGACTTCATACGTATTCTACCCCCAAACACAAAAGGTTGTTGTATAAAAGAAAATATCGAGAATGTGAGAGTGAAGATGAAAAAATAGGTAAGAGATCTAGAGTATGTGAAACCTGAGAGTTTTAAAAGAGACATCTTGATAGGGATTTTGGAGTGATTGAGTATTGAAGTACACGTCCATTCATGGAGGAATTCCTTGGAAAGAAAGGACGTCGAGTTGTCCGGGAAATGATGATAGTTTATCCGAATAATTTATGTATATGAAGCTCAAAGTTGATATACTTTACATCATCAATCCGAGTCTAAATCTGGGGTCCCGATATTCTTCCTGATGTATTGAGTAAAAAACAATTAAGGTTTGTATCTTCTCAGGATCACAGAATATGAATAAGATTAGAAGCTGGACCGTGCGTTTATGGCCACATTTCGATCAAAGGCCCGCAAGTCTTCTCAGCTTCATCCCACCTTCATCTGTTGGATACCACCTTGATGATGTAAGCTTACCACTCAAACATAATGACACTTTGAACCAAAATGTTAATTCTAGACTCCTTCCTGATATCAATCTTAGCACTGACAACCTAGAATACGCAGACTACTCCTTACTCTCCAAATCTACCACTGAGTAAATATTTGAAAGTAACATCAATCGTGATAAGCTCACGTGAAAGCACGTGATATAATCGAGAAGGTGTCTTTTTGGAACGAACTACTGCAGAGTCTCTGATCCGAGACATTTTATCCATGATTGTTTCCATAAGACCTCGTAGCTTTCCCCAAAAATTTAGAATGAGACTCCCAACTCACATAGCCTTATAACAAATTTCCGACATTAGAGATGCAATAGCAGTAGCTATACAAATGAGGTCCTAAAACCTTTTCTACTCGGACAAGAAGTCGGACGGGAGGTTTTGGACTTGTGTGAAGTCATAAGATTACATCTCGGGATGCCGTAAGAAATTCTGTGCCGTGTCGTGTCGTGCTGGAAGGAATATAGTATGATACTAATCTAGCCAGTTACAAAGTAGAAAGAAAACTAACACGGCAGGAAATAGTCAGTCAGTGTAGTGTTGGATTACTCGTAAATGCATTCTTTCACATATGTATGATTTCGAAAAAGGTTGGTTAACGGCTTAGATGCAGGAGAGACATACATATGTCGTAGATGCAGGAGAGAAGGTAGATACATACATGCATATGTCGTAGATACATAGATAGATATCAAAATGTAGACTGACTACCTTATCCATAGAGCTTGTTAAGATTGGTGAAAAATAGACAGATAGATAGACAAGTAACGTACAGAGTATCACCGTCACCATCACCCCCACATTTAAGATCTTACAATCACATGAATATGAAGATGAATATGAATATAAACAACAAAATAAAGTAAACAAAGTAATACCATAACCAACATCTGACCATCAAACTTTTGCGAAAAGTAACCTTAGAGGAAGTGGATAACGTTGCTAGTTGTTAGATAGGTAGAACTTACTTGAACATGCAATATAAGTCTTACTTATGCAATGTATTTATGCAATGTAATTGCCTATGCGATGCGAATTATTCTCAAAAGAACCCTTTCTACATATATAGTGTACTCTGTATGTTTGAGAATATTTACGAGAATGAGAGAGAGGGAGGCAAGGGAAAGGGAAGCAGTGAAGGAATGGAAGGGACGGGACGGGAAGGAAAGGGAATGTGTGGATTATCTACCTGCCTATGTAGAGTGAGTGTATCGGTGTATCGGTACTATCTCAAGAGAGTATCTAGACAAGATTTGCAAAAGATTCATAAATGATTCCTTAAGATTTTCTTAACGGGGACTTAGTCAACTTATTTCTCTAGAAGATAATTAGATAGATAAAGAGATATAAATTACCGACATCAGTATTGCTAAAAAGATCACCTACTAATAAAAATCCAGAAATCTTTTCAAAGTTTCATATTCACCAGATCAAGCAATTCTGACTCTAATTCTTCGTAGGTTTATCCCGTATCCCGTATTCCTATTTTATTATCCAAGCCCTTGGGAGGCGCTATCGGGGTTAAGCTTCACAGTATACGCATACGCATACGCACACGCATACGGGATTTGTAAGCTATTACGTCTCCCGGCCGTTTACTTGCGCGATTTGTTTCTTTTCTTGGGGAATTGTTCGGATAGTTTAAGACTTGGGGTTTGTTTGGATGGATGTTGTGAAATTCATAATATCTATACTCGTTTTTTATTCTATGATAGGTTTTCTTATAACATCGAGTAGGTACTACAAGTAAAGAACATATCCCGATATGAGTATTATCTTTGAATTTTCCTTCCATCCTATGAATAAATAACTCTACAGATATTCTACTCCATACTCTATATACTTCCCCCATTTCCATCATCCAGCATCCATCATCCAGCATCCAGCATCCATCATCCATCCTCCTTCCCCTCAATTTCCACAAACAACACAAATAAACAAACATATAAAACAAGCCAAGACGCAACCGTCGATCCACCGAATATGATCGGATCGTCTACGTCGTAGTAGTAGATGAAAGATCACGAACAAGCTTTGAGAATAAATTAAATAGATTACAATAGACTACAATAGATTATAATAGATTAAAATAAATATTAATAAATACGGAGGATAAGGAGGATAAGGAGGATACGGAGTAAACAGGGTAAACAGAGTAAACCGAGTAAATACCCCTAGATCAGCATTTAGCGTGAGCACACGCATAAGCACGGGTAAATGTAAGCACGGGCAAAAGAAGTAGAAGCATTTACGCAAGCGCTGGGATGGATGGGGGTTGGAATGGAGTATGGATTGGTGGATTGGTGGATTGATGGATTGATGGATTGATGTTTGGATGGAAGGGTAAGGATGGTGAGGATTTTTGATGTGGAGAATTATGACTTACTGGGTGCTCGGAGAAGCGATTGAAAAGGTGTGATGGCTGAAACAGACGAACGAACAGTTGGGGAAGATTTCATGGGCCGTAGTAATAGCTTCGCCAGCAAGAGGTTGATTCGGAAAAGGATGGAAAGTCTATTAGTCTTACCCAGGGAGCTCGCTATCTGAGGTTCTGAGCAAGGTTATGAACAGACAGGACGCATTCGAATCATTTCAGTAAATTCGTGACCTACTTTCGCATTACAGATAAATGATCAGAAGGATGGAAAAACTATACATCAACATGTAGTGTTGACAAATCATACATAGCATCGAGAGACGAGTAGATACATCCTGATTAATATATCTCATACACACAGCACAGATATGTTGTGCACAAACACACAAACAACTACCTAGGTAGGTAGGTAGGTAGGTAGGTGATATCGCCCTGCGATGAACCAGCCAGTCAGTCAAACATCAAACACTGGGACCTGACTATCGCTGCAGTCTTACGCGTATCAGCCAGTGAGAGTTGTGTATCCGCTCAGGCTAATGCCTCAGCCTAATCGCCAATGAATAATAAGTCGGAGATGCTTGGATGCTTGGATGCTTGGATGCTTGGATGCTTGGATGCTTGGATTCTTGGATTCTTGCTATGTGTGCCTTGCGTGCTGCGTACCTGAATTGAGATGGTCCCTAGTAAAATCTGCATGTACCTGACTAGAGCTTCTAGACTCCTTTATTCATCTCCAATCAATCTTTTGAGGTTTTCTAAATTGTGCGATTGTGGATAATGCTAGGTGGTAAGGTCGGTCGGATTTAAATGCTTTCGATGCTTTCGATGCTTTCGGTGCTCTAAATGCCTTTTAGATGCTTCAACTATGTAAAATTCTCCAAATGAATGGATGAGAATTCATGTTGTGATCTCCCTCATTCTGCTTCGGCTTCCCAACTGCTTCTGTTCATCATCACAAAACATTACAGACATCGTGACCCTTGCACAATTCCCTCATTTTTAATCCCGTCCCGACTTTGTGATATTACTAGCGACTCCGTACATACACGCTACTCACATTATATATTCTCGTATTCCTTATTCTTATTCGTTGATCAATAAATGACGAGGGTTCTCAATTACCCTCCCGCCTCCATCTCACATCTCACTGGGTAAAAAGAAAGAAGGAAGGAAAGGAAAGAAAAGAAAGAAAGAAAAGAAAAGAAAAGAAAAGAAAAGGAAAGAAAAAAAAAAAGTCGTGTCAAAATATTCACTTGGATCAGGGAGTGATAGTGAGTGAGGGGTAACATTACAATTTATCATACCACACATCACATACCCTTGGCAAGTTGGCATCTTACATATGTCGAGAATATAAAGAAAGGATTCCCTTCCTCCTCCTTTCTCGCTCCCTTCTTCTCTTCCCTTTTCACAGCCGCACGTTACCCGCTCATTTGCAACGTCCAAGTCTGGGTCTCTCATCCTATTTTTCTTTTCGTATCTTTGAAAGATTGCGCAGGATTTTCATCATCGAATCATCACTTCATCAATTCGTCAAAATCCAAATCTTAAAAATCATCTTTCATTCACTCGCTCATTTTAATGATTACGCCTTGATGTGATTGACGAAATCCTAAAAATACCCTCCTCGATCTACCGACAAAATTATTACGAGTTTCCCCACCAGATTTAACCAACCATTACCCTTAAAGTCATCAATCACTTTGAGATTCCTCGTACTGTCTTGCCTTTCAACCCAACCCTCTCTCGATCCAAAGTAAAGTCGACTTGCTTGTTCTTCCTTACATTCATTGATTGAATCATCACACTCCTTCACTTCCCTATCAATACATTCATCGAGATTGTTTGCTTGGGAAATTTACATTCCTTTTCGATTCAATCATTTGGATATCATATCAATCAATCAACCAACCAACCAACCAACCAGACCAACCAGTCATTCATTCTTCACTGTCAAAAAGTCTACCTTTGCAGGAATACACATACATACAATAAATCGAAACCAAAAGATTTACATAAGATTACCAAAATATCAACATGCGTTCATTCGACATCAAATCACTCGCCATCTTGGCAACCTCTTTGCTGGTCAAAGAAGCATTTGCAGCTCCAATTTACGAAACCGAAATCCATGTTATCACGGAAGAAATCACCGTAACTAAACAACCCGATGGTACTTTTGAAACGGGCGCTCCTCATACTGTGGGAACTTTCACTCGTCATGGTCATGGTCATGGTTCGGCTTCTTCGTCCTCTGCCGTCTTTGTGCCATCTACTGCTTCAGCTGTGTCAAGTGTTGTGGTGGTTCCTACTACTTCTTCTACAAGTCAAGTGATTCCCTCTACTTCAGCTGTTGAGGTTCCAACTACATCCCAGACTTTAGCTTCATCTATTGAAGTTCCAACTACATCCAAGATTGTAGCTGCTAGCTCTGCTAAAGCTTCTTCATCTTCAACATCTATTATCAAGGTCTCAACTGAAGCAGCAGCAGCTGTCCTCGTACAAAACACTCCTAAAGCTGCCTCTACAACTGCTAAACCTACCACCCTAGCTACCTCGGCCGTAGTCAAAGCATCCTCTGCTGCCGTAGCTTCCTCTTCCAGCTCTTCCTCAGGAGGAAAACGTGGAGTAGCCTACAATACTGCCGATTACGTCAAACAATTCACCGGATCTTCCAAAGTAGCCTGGGCCTACAATTGGGGTAGTACCTCAGACGGTCTTTCCACCTCCGGTATTGAATATGTTCCCCTCCTCTGGGGCATGAAAAGTACATTCACAAGCGCCTGGTCAGCAGCCGCCTCAAGTGCCATCGCCTCCGGCTCCAAACATCTCATGTCCTTCAACGAACCTGACTTAAGTACCCAAGCCAATCTCGGATATGCCGATGCCGCCGCCGGATATAAAACATACATGCAACCCTTTGCCGGCAAAGCCAAGCTCGGAGCCCCTGCCGTCACAAACGGTGCTTCACCCATGGGACTCACATGGTTGAAATCTTTCCTCTCCGCTTGCACCGATTGCACCATCGATTTCGTCTGTATCCATTGGTATGATTCCGCTTCCAATATCGAGTACTTTAAGAGCTATGTTCAAGACGCCTATACGGCTGGTGGTAATCGTCCATTGTGGATCACAGAGTTTCAAGCTTCTGGCTCGACGGATCAACAGAATGCCTTTATGGAGGAGGTCTTGCCCTGGTTGGATGCTTCCCATATGGTGGATAGATATGCTTGGTTTATGGCTGATACAGCGGCGGGTGGATTGATGAGTTCGGGTTCTTCGCTTAGTTTGTTGGGGAATACTTTTAAGACTTCTTAGGTTTGTTGTTTGTTTAAAGAATGAGGTTTTGAGTATTGCCTTGATTCGGGGAAAGTTAGGTCATGTACGTATGTACGTATGTATGTATGTATACCTACCTACTATACATGGATACGTAAAAGAAAAGCACATCATTCTTCATTCCTACCTCATCCTTACTTAGGTACTCAAGTATCTCAAGCTTTGCTTCTGCTTCTGCTTCTGCTTCTGCTTTTGCGGTTGGATATACATACATACATACATACACGACAAACATACACGACAAAGAACCGGGGGTCGGGGACAATGGATGGGTTTAGGAAGGAGGGAGGAGGGTAGTGGAGTGGACCGAAGGGGGAAAGAAAACGAAAACGAAAAAGAAAAAAAACATTACAGAAATCTTTCTTCTTCATTGTACATAGTTATATTTTTGAGTAGGTAGTGAGTAGTGAGTGGTGGGTTACCAGACTGGAGCTGTGTTTGTGTTTGTGTTTAGGTTAGATAGTTAGATAGATAGGATAGTATGGAATGTAATGCAATGCAATGCAATGCAATGCAATGGAGTGCAACAGCAGTAAGAATATGAACAAGAATGAATGAATGAATGAATGAATGATTCTGGTGATTTTCAATTTTGTTTTGGGGAGAGGGGAGGAGTGTGCGGTGTATGGTGTCTGTATGTAAATTTTGGATTTGAGAAGTGTTCGTGCAATTTGTGTATATACACACCAACCACCATCCAACTACAAACCAGAAAAACTGCAACCATTTCTAAATCTACAAGGTAATCTTATATCTACAACCACAAACCCCCCAAATCACAAATCAACATCTACCTAGTAACCACACCACCACACAACCACACCACCACACCACCACACCACCACACCACCACACCACCACACCACTACACCACCAAACCCCCTCCTGCCCTCCCCTCATCTTTCCCTTCCCTTCCCCTTCCCTTCCCTTCCCATCCTGCACCCACTCTTCCTCCCTAACAGAAATAGGCCCTCTAATCTCAAACTCTACACAGCCATCCAAAGCCTCACCACTTTCTATAGCCCAGGCTGCAAAAACAATTTTCATCCATCTTTTCCACTTCCTCAAAATTGGTTCACCACTTTCGGCTTCTTCTATTATTTGATTCCTTGCTTGTCTATAGATGGGTTTTTTAATAAGGGCTATTCGACATGCTATTTGAGTTGTCCAGATTAGACCTAGAGAGGGGGTTTTGATATTTTTGGACGAGGTGTAGGAGGGGTGTGGATCATCGCCCCAGCCTGTGAACCATCTTTGTTGATGGTCTAGTGACATTGGGTCCGGGGTTATGGTTGGGTGGTTTTGAGATACTGTTCGACTGCCCATGGAACTACCGGGTATACTTGACATTGGTTCATTTATTGAACTTGATGGCATTGAAAAACCTCCATTTATGCCCAAGCTTCTTCTTGCAAGTGGACTACTTTGCATATCCCTTTCTCTTCGCTGACTATGAATCAATGGACTTGCCCTTCCACTTCCACCTGTAAATCGATCGGCTACTTGATTAGCGACTACAATAGCCACTCCATATTCCCTTGCTAAATCTCTCAATAATTGTCCCAATTTTACCAATTCAGCACTCCTCTGTGCCATATTTCCACCTCCTTTAGTTATACCAGGTCTTTCAAATTCAGCTCTGTAATTTGCAGCTACACTATCGAGTATAAGTAATCGAATGCCATGACGTTTGATAGCGACAGGAACTTGAAACCGGAGAATATGATCTTGAGATTCGAGATCAGGTGTAACAATTGAGATTATTTTGTCAAGAGAAGGTGGAGAAGGGTGAGAAAAGAGGAGAGGATGAGTTCGTAGAAGCTGGGAGAGACGGGTGGTTGGGAGGGAAGACTCGGTAGATATGTAAAGTGTTGGAGCTGTTAAACCATAGGGCGCAGGGAGTTGCGCAGAGAGAAGTAGGGTTAGAAGAAACTGTGTCTTGCCTGCGCCGCTAGAATAGATGTTAGTCTGAAGACTGTGCCGGTGGAATATAGTTGAGAACAGTAATATACAAAGAAGGTAATGAAAATGGCACATACCTCTCACCTGTGACCTCCGTAATATAACCCGTTGGAATCCCACCTCCTAACGCGCGATCCATATCATCATCCAATGTACTTATAACTTCCCACTTATCCACAACATCTTTTCCCGATTTCCTCAACGTTTTCTCTGTTCCCTTTCCATTGATGTTATTTTCAGCATCTCCAACGCCCTCAACCCCAGGATCCGCCTCACTGATTCCAAGATCTTCTCTTAAATGTACTAAAACATCCGCGCATAACCTCTTGACATCCAAGAGTGGTAAAGTCGCACGTTTGGCTATCTCGATACAATCCAGAGTGAGCAAATCTGCGACGGTGACGAGATTCTTCTCGAGTGAGGGAAGTAGTCGTACATATTTTTGAGTGGGAAAATGGGGGAGGATATCTAAGAGGTCGGTCATGGAGGCATTTGGAGAAAATTGGAAGGCATGAGGGAAGTGAAAAGGTAGAAATCGCGTCAGTTTAAGTCTCGTGTTCACGTGATTTCATTTGGTAATCTTGATCAATTAAGCTTAGCTTACAATCTTGTTTGTTCATAATCTCAATTTTAAGTTTTAACGGTCGTTACTCTACTCTCTTGATTATTCAAACTTTTCTATCGATATGAGAAACACGGATGGTTTGTGCACAATTCTCGAACAATTCTATCTTGTCTCAAATTCTTTTCTTATCGAATGCACTAGTACTCCATTATGACCTAGCTCTCATAGACTCTTCGCGATTCAACATCTATTCTGCAGCCACCTCTACGTCGTCTGTCTTTGGAGATTTTCCAGGCTCAGTAAATAATACCTAAATGTTATGAGCTTTGTTTATACTTCTTCATTTCAAAGGCTTCACTTACAGCTGGTATTGCAACAGTTGCAGTCAAAATTCCAAGGCTTGAGACGAAAAATATCCATCCTCTTTCTCCAAAGGCAAAACTCGTCCAAGCAGGGCCTGCGAGTACTCCTGCTGCACTAGCACTAGTATATAAGGAAAATACTTGTCCGCTAGCTCCTGTTTTGCCGAAGATGCCTGGTGTTTTTTCTTCCATATCCGTTACTGCTCGACTCAAGTCAGCGCCTAGTGGCGATGAACCGAAGACTCTAGCGATGCCTATGACTTGCTTCAGTAATTGTAGAATACGACAATCATGATCATAAAATAGGATAAACTTACCATAAAGTGTAAGAAGTATACAAAGGCCGACAATCTGATCAGTGCTATTTCTCCGTATCAACACCAGCAAGATTGTAAAAACGGCCGATGCAATAAAATACGATGCCGTGAGCCACCGAGAAGGCCAGACATCGGAAAGTCTGCCAGCTATCGGGGCTAAGAATATAGGAAATGTTATGGTCAGAAATATCAAGCCGGCACCGGTAGAATCCCAATTGAATTTTCGTTGCACAAATATTGGAAGTGCTGCATCGAAACTTGCGAGCAAAAACACAGTCACCCAAACCCCATATAAATCAGCCCATATACGTGGAGACTTTAACAGAGTCACCAAGGCTATCGGGTATGTCTTGTCTTCTGCAGGTGAAGGCTGGCTTTGGTTATTCCCAAGCAATGGTTCAGATGCTCCGTTGCTGTTGGAAGAGACAGAAGGACTTTGTTGTTCGAATATGGCCTCGTCAACACTCCGCTGGAAAGTCCCATACGCTTGTGTCTCATCTACATCTTTGTCCTTCTTCAATCTTGCCGCAACTTTTTTTTCGATCATAAACAAACGCATAATGATATCGATGGCGATAAGGATAAACATCACAATAAACAATGATGCATATCCAAGCCCTGCGTACATTATGCCGCCTATGGTTGGAGATATCAGCATTCCAATATTGAGACTCGAAATCACGTATCCCATCCATTGTCCGATATCCTTTGAGCCAACTGTATCTGCAAGTAAAGCAAAGCCGACCGTATATACAACAGCTGCGGAAAGTCCTTGGAGGAAACGGCTCAGAGCCAGTATCCATACATTCTGTGCAACATATAAGACAGCCGTGGCAGCAGCATTAGAGAAGAATCCCAGGAGCAATGGTGTTCGTCGTGATGAACTTCGATCAGCATAGTATCCAAAAAGTGGACTCGCTATCAATTGGGCGAGGCCAAATGCTGTCAAAAGCATAGAATTCCAGAACTCCACTGTGAGGGATTAGCTTCATGATTTGACAGAATACTATATCTAATGAGGAGGTGCTTTTCATACGGTCCTCGTCTGCAACTCCAATTCGACGTTCCAATTCATTGGGAAGAACAGGAATAACCACTCCATATATAAAAGAATCCTAAAATGTGGGGCGTCAGCATTTTATTTCCTCCCGCGTCAGCGATTTCCGATTCAACCTACACTGAAGGATGCAACGCATATTGTGCTAACAATGAACCATTTCGACGAGCGAATCTCCAGATATCTTGGTTCTTTCTGCTCTTTCTGAGTTTCAGCAGATTTGGGCTTCAATGGCCACATAATTGGAAAAGAAATCGAAAGGCTTTGCCTCCTGGCCTCAATTATGCGGGATTATACAATAATGTATGACGGAGTAACTTGGAATAACAAGACAAGAGATGTGATTTTTATCGGATTGTGTGAGGCTCATTTGCTGAAAGGTAACTTTGTGTAAGACACGATTTCTGGTCTCTCCCGCCACTTATAGAGTGACATACACATGAAGTCTCAAAGTGGTGAAAGTGATGATTTACTACACAATAGTTTTCAGCCGTCATGCACTAGGTGGCTTGGTGTGAATTTCATGAAGTTGCGCTACTGAAAGACAAACTGCGCAAATGGCAAGGTTGTTTGATGCGATGTAACGCCTTCGTTAGCTACACTATACTTTATACGGGATCTGCGTACGACTTAGACGTTTTTTTGGGATTTTTTGTTGCATTGCATTGAATTATTTTTCATGGGATGTCATCAATCCGGTGCAAAGATTTTGTGAGGTTGTGATATTCCGCAACAAGTACTCTATGTCGCTAATCAGATTAATCAGACCGCATGATCACCATAATAACAGCAACGCATTACTAGTATCTTGAGTTGCAGTTTCCAAAAGTTGATCTGTTTCACATTTAATTTCCTTTTGTCTATGGGTATCTTTTTTTGATCGTACGAATTGAAGAGATTTCCGATACCCATACGAAATCCGATTCTTTAATGCTTCAAAGTCACGATGTACAGAGTGGATCCAGCTCCTCATCAATTTGATGTGTGGGATTTTTTGGCGTGTTATGTTTGTTTTAGAATGACATATGCGGGTGTCCATCCTTGGATCTTGCCAGGTGGATAAAAAGATTCAAGATTAATGATTGATACATGTTCTCCCCGTGGACAAAGTTGCATCAAAGCAACCGAACCAGTAAATCCCTATTCGAGTTAACATTCCCGTATCATGGACTAACATTGAAATGGCATCAGAATTAACATTCAAAATGCATTCGTCATTGTTTTTTATCTTACCTTCCCATCCCGTGGCAGTCAGCATTCGATAGTGCAGAGACTATCAACTTTGGTCTCCTGCATAATTCCGGGAATGTGGGTAGACCCGCCTTCTGTCTCAGATCTTTCCAGCTTACCCCGCAGATCTTCGAAGCTCGCTCGGTTCGCCAAGCGCTCTCCCCTTACGAAATAATCGTTGCGCAAGCCACAAAAAAGCGTAGCGCCAGCAATGATGTATTTATCTCCAATATTTGTTTAGATATCCTACACGTGAGCAGCTTCATCGTGGGGGATTAAGCCCTAATTTCAACGTGGTGGCATCATATTTTGTGAGATTAGAAATGAGTGTATCCGCCTGAAGTAAGACTTTACCTTGAACTAGATTTGCATATCCGAGACATTCGAGACATGATTTGGCTAGCGAATCATAACTAAAAACGAAAACTGGAAAGTCATTTATGTAAGAGTATTATATTTTTAAACTCTACCCGCCGCTTCCTTAGTTTATATTGTGAGAAAGTTGGAATTATAGGCCAAATACATAAAGGTTTTAGCTAGTCAATCACATGACCTTCTGTAGTTAGATATAAAAGAAGAGCCTTTTGCTTCTTCTTTTTACAATAATCAAAACCTTCTACATATATACATTTGAACCTATATAGTATCAACCTCAAAACCATTGTGAACCCCGTTTTACCTATAAGTGATGTATTACAATGTAATCTAATTCAGCTTTCTCTTCCAATTCCCTCCTCACAGCGTGCTATCGGGACGCACGTATCTCGACATACCACTTTTACAATATAGTGCAAATCCTGCGCAACACCTCATCATAACTAATTGCTACAACGACTGGATAGGAGCAATACGGTGTTTAGGGGCACATTTTTAGGCTTAGGGCTCACCAAAAATGGTTCGGAATATAATTGTGAAGCTGAAAAAGCCGCAAAAAGTATATTGATGGCCTCTTCCGTTCATTGGGCTTTACATTGTATGACCAGTTCGTTGATGACGTTACATGCTCTGGGACAGCTGTTTCCATTATAACATTAACTGTCCAATAATGAGGGGTATATCGTGTACTGATCGAGGTAATCCTGGTAATCTGGTCGAAGAGCAGGATGTGTACTAGATCAGAACTGATGGACTGCGAAGCCGCAGGATACGCTGGCGATTAATTATTCGTTAATCTATGTTGAATCAACCTTGGGAGTGATGCCGGCTGAGACAAGGCAAGGGGGACAAACTGGAATGACGAGCGCTCTGTGAATGGACTGTTAAATTTCCATGTGACGGAAATATAGTTTAATACTTAAAGACTGAGTGATACCAAAGATGAGCTGGCAAGAGACTCGCCTGTATAATTCTTCCACTTAACATTCATACTCAATCCAAACTTTACGATTTCCGGGAGTTACAGACGCGTCTTTTCCACGGTCATATTCCCTGCTACGTCTAAGGTTAGTCTCAAGCATTGAGTGATATTGGATATCAACTAAAGATTGAGTTTCTTAGAATACATCATGGCATTGACAGCTCAAGACTACCTCCCTGACCTGGTTCATAAGGGTCAGTGTCCGCCCGAAGAAGATCGATTTGAGGGAGCAGACCCTGTGATGGATTTGGATTCAGCATCTAAACACTATCTTTCCGACCTACTTCGTAGCGAGCGTCCACTGGTGTCAAACATGGACACACTTGATTATCTCAGTCAAAGGGAAGACCCTAATATTAAGCCTTTCTCGCTTCTCAGCCCCGAACAAGACCATGACGAAATTCGACGACAAATGCCATCAAATGCGAACTTTGTTGATGCCTACCCGTGCACAGCTCTTCAGGAAGGACTGCTGGCGTTGTCAATGAAACGATGTGGCAGCTTTACTCCTCAGATTATATGCAAGCTTCCAGCAAACATTGATCTGACTAAGTTTAAGGCCGCTTGGCAGGCTACAGTGGATTCAAATTCGACACTTCGAACCAGTTTTGTACAAACAAGAAATTCAGGCCTGCTCCAAGTGGTTTTGGCGCTAGAACCAATAATTTGGTCAGAAGATGTCAACCTAGAAGGTTACTTGAGTAGAGACCAAAAGATCTTCCCTTCATTTGGAAAGAATTTATTGAGATACGGCCTCATCCACAACCGTCAATCCAATTGTACGTATTTTGTTTGGACGTTTCATCATGCTATTCTTGATGGATGGAGCATGCGTTTGATCCTTCGACAAGTCGAGCAATCATATAGAGGAGGGAATTTTGAACCGCTGGAAGACTTCAAGCGCTTTATTGCCTATCAATTGCGACTCGAGAGACAGTCACGGAAAGAGAGTGAGGTATTCTGGAGAAACCACCTGGCAACCACTTCTGGAATACAGTTTCCTGCTGTTTCATCGCAGCAGCAATCACGTGCGAATGGCTATTCCGAACGGTTTATTCACGTGAAAGAAAACCTTTTGGCTGGTGCAACAACCTCCACAATCATACAAGCCGCATGGGCTATGCTATTAGCACGACGTACTGCTGCAACGGAAGCTATTTTTGGTCTCGTCCTTGCGGGACGGAGTTCGAAAATTTCAGGTCTCGATCTAAGAAAAGTCAACGGTCCAACATTCAATTCGTTGCCCATGCGAGTAGTCATCCAAGATAATAAATCTGCAAAAGAACTTTTCGCCTCAGTCCACAATTCTCGAGTCGCAATGAAACCACATCAGTATGTTGGCCTGCAAAACATCCGCAAACTAGACGCGGATTGCGCTAGAGCGTGCAGTTTCCAGAATCTACTCGTCATTCAGCCCAGATTAGAGAGAGATCTTGGCAGTATATTCGGCGCCAGAGAGAATACTAATGATCACTGGGCGAAGCTAAATGCTTATCCTTTAATGATGCAATGTGATCTGATGGCGGATGGCTTTACTGCAATGACCAGTTATGATTCCCACATAATATCTGATCGCGAAGTAGACACTTTGCTTCAACAATTTGATAACATCATTTCTCGCTTGTCCGATGCAAGCACGTTGGTTGGGAATATAGGGCTATCAATATCGAAAATACCAAGCCAACTAGCAATTCAGGAAACTGGAGCCGAAGAGGTGCAGTCTTGCGTTCATGAGGTTATTCAACAGAAGTCGCAGAACCGTGAAGCTGAATTAGCGGTTACATCTTGGGATGGAGAGTTGACTCATGCTCAATTACACTCCATATCTGATCGTCTAGCATATCTTCTCCAATCTGCAGGAGTCGGACCTGAAGTCAAGGTTGCACTGATTTTTGAAAAATCTATGTGGGCTATAGTCGCCATGATGGCAGTGATGAAGGCGGGCGGGGCTTTTGTACCTATGAGCCCCGATCATCCTGAAAGGAGAATCAGAAAATTGGTAAAGCAAATAGGTGGAACAGTGATGCTATGCTCAGAAAGTCTCTTTCACTCCTTTAAGAGCTTCGCTGACCAAACATTTGCCGTGGGAAAATCGATGCTCGAAACCCTTCCCCAAGGTTCGTTGCGTACGGTTGTCCAGCCCAAAAATTCTGTCTATATTATCTTCACTTCCGGAAGCACAGGAGAACCGAAGGGATGCGTGATAGAGCACGCCACATGCTGCACTACCATGCGTCACCTATCTCGTTTCGCCAAAATGGATACCCGCAGTCGCTGTCTTCAGTTATCAGCATACACTTTTGATGGCATGGTTTTCGAAATTCTTACTACTTTGAGTGTTGGAGGCGTCGTTTGCATACCATCGGATGAAGAGAAAATGAACAACATTACATCGGCAATAAACCGAATGCAAGTCAATACAGCATTTATGACAACTGCTTTTGGAAGATTGATTCTTCCAGAATCTGTGCCGACGTTGAAGACTCTCCTTATCGGAGGTGAAAAGTTGATCCAAGAAGACCTAGATCGATGGCTTGGAAAATTACGGCTGTTGCAAGTTTATGGACCTACGGAATGCTGTTGTAAGCTCTTTAATATTACACTCCATCCTGTCTTCAAATCTACATCAATTCCTCATCTTCTAGATCCTGCACACTTCCTCGTATGGCTTTGGTCCCTTGATTTTTCGCTGAAATCATTCTGGATACTAACTCTTTGATGTTGCAGGTATGTGTATTGGTACTGAAATCACTGACAAAGGTGTCAATCCCGCCAGAATTGGGTCCGGTTTTATTGGAGGTTTTCTTGTCCTTGGCGAGAACGATCAATTGGCGCAGCGAGGGGCTGCTGGTGAGTTATTGATTGGTGGGCCCCTCGCAAGAGAATATCTAAAAAACCAGGAAAAGACGGAAGCATCGTTTGTGCCTACGCCGTCCAGTGTCCCTACGGGATCTACCCGGTGGAAAAGATGGTATAGAACAGGTGACTTGGTCAAGATGGATTCGGATGGGTCAATCATGTATATTGCGCGAAAAGATGCGGTGCGTACTATCTCTTTTTCTGTCATACCTATTCTGCTCCAGTCATCTCAACAGCTTGGTCATTCCTGTGAAGGAGATATCGCCCTCATGCTCATACGTCACTAGACGTTTGATGCTTTACAGTCCTTCTTATTCGGCCTGAATTTCCTTCTATCTGCATTCATGTTTTATAAATATGTTATTGATTGATCTCGAGAGTTCCAAAAATAGCGTATACTAACTATGACCCAGGGTGCACAGGTCAAGCTAAATGGTCAAAGAATTGAGATGGGTGAAATTGAAACTCATCTGCATCAAAATCTTGACAACATCATAGATCTTGCAACGGTGATAGCAACGCCTGTCGATGGCAGATCGCCATTTCTAGCAGCATTTTTGTGTCTTAAAGATGGATTTAACAGCAAGGGAAAAGAAGAAGGCTGTCTTTTCAAAGAATGTCTCGATAAATCTAAGATCCGATCACTCATTGACCGCTTGAGTCTCACGCTACCTCAGTACATGATACCAAAAGTATACATTCCTTTATCATCAATACCCCTTACTATCTCTCAGAAGTGTGACCGCCAAAAACTGCAGACTCTGGCAGCCGGCTTAACGACTTCAGAATTTGCATATTATTCAGGCCAAGAGGCTACGCACTGTGCTCCTTTGACAGAGAATGAACTCCAAATGCAGCGTCTGTGGTCCGTTATTTTAAAACTTCCTTCAGGTAGTATAGGAAGAAACGATAGTTTTACAAGACTCGGTGGAGACTCGATTCTTGCTATGAAGCTCGTCGCGGCGGCGCGAGAAGAGGGCATTGATCTGACTGTTGCAACCATATTCCAGACACCAATCCTATCAGATCTTGCAGAAAGCTTCACAGGTAGTAATAGTTCCACAATTATTGCGCAGGATGACATAGAGGCATTTTCTATGATTGGCGAGGGTAATCAGCTGCTAAAGGCAACCATTGATGGTGGTCTCAAGACAGGTCATGTCGAAGACTTGTACCCATGCACTCCTTTTCAAGAAGCCATCATGGCTCTCTCAATGAGTCATCCTGGTACGTACATTGCACAACATGTCTTTGAATTATCCAAGGATCTATACTCTAATATCGACAAGTTTCGCGGTGCGTGGAACGAAGTCGTGCGTTCAAGCCCAATTCTTCGTACGCGTATCATACAGCATGAATCTTCCGGTCTATTGCAGATGGTTATGAGCGAAGATGTCTTGTGGAACACGGGAGACAATCTCCAACGATATTTGGAATCCGATAAATCTCTTGCCATGGGCTTAGGAACTCCACTCAGTCGTTTCTGCATCGTTGAAGAGACGAACGCACATTCTCACAAATATTTCTTCGTCCTTACCTTACACCACGCCGTATACGATGCTTGGAGTATAAACTTGATGCTTCAGCAGGTGGAAAAAGAATATGGGATGCTCACTCAAATATCTACGAACGTTGTCGACTTCAATCAACCTCGAAATGTACCATTCAACCGATTTATCAAAACTGTTCTCGATTTGGATCAATCAGCAGCAGAAGTATTTTGGAGATCCGAGTTCACGAGTGAAGGTGTGGCACCTTCACATTTTCCAACCATCAAAGCTGGGTACCATCCACAGCCCGGTTCAGTAGCCATTAGAGATGTCAAGCTGTCTCGAAAAGCCAATTCTGACTTCCGAATCTCGAATCTTATCCGGACAGCTTGGGCAATTGCGATCAGTAACTACTCTAACTCGAATGATATCGTGTTTGGAGAAGTTCTGGCAGGACGTACAGGATCGTCGGCCGACCTAACTAGAGTAGTCGGGCCCACCCTAGCTACCGTGCCGGTAAGTAATTTTTCATGTTCTACGTTTTTAAGAAAAGCTTTCAAGATTGAATAGAGCATTTGGTTCTCATGTGTTGAGATAGAATCCCATAGTCTCGGTCACATGAGTTACATGCGCTTTTTTTTTTTATCTCTTGCGGCATTTGCACTGACTTTATTATTCTATAGGTCAAAATCACATTGAATCCCCACGAATCGGCCCTAGACCTACTTCAAAAGGTTCAAACTAAAATGATGAAAATGATGCCATTCGAACAGATTGGTCTCGCAAACATCCAACGAATGGGAGGAGGGCTGAAGAAGGCGTGCGGATTTCAGAATATTTTGGTCATACAACCCAGGGAAAATTCAGCCATTGATGACTCGTTCATGGGACGACGCCAACTGGATCTCGTAAACGCAACTGTTTGGGACACAAATGCTTTGACTCTCGAGTGTTATCTTACTTCAGATGGGCTGAAGGCAAAAGCAATCTTTGACTCGGAAATTATTGAAACTCCGCAGATGGATAGGATACTATCCCAATTCCAGCATGTCCTTCAACAATTGTGCCATGAAGATGAGGGCAAGAGTGTCCAGGATATCAATTCCATCAGCGAAGTTGACCTACAAAATATCTGGGAATGGAACTCTAAGTTACCAGATGTATTGAAGTGTTGCGTCCACGAAGTCATTGACGTCATGACGAAGCAAGATCCTCATTCCCCAGCAATTTCCTCTTGGGATGGTGATTTGACTCGCGATGAGTTGGATAAACTTTCATCTCGACTAGCTTCTCAAATGATAAAACACGGGGTAGGGCCCGGAAGCAAGGTACCATTATTCTTCACGAAATCAAAGTGGGCTATCGTGGCTACATTGGCCACTATCAAGTCTGGTGCTGCGTTTGTACCCTGCGACCCTTACCATCCTAGATCACGCCTCATTTCACTTATCGAACAAGTCAAAGCTGAATTGATTCTCTGCTCAAGCGACGTCCAACAATTGTGCTTAGAATTGTTCCCTGGTGGTAAAACAGTTGTAGTTTCGAAGAACGAGATAAATCTGTTGCCAGTGCTGACGGATATTGTGAGCAATGTCGCCCCTGAAGACCCTCTCTATATTTGCTTCACTTCAGGTACTACCGGGATTCCCAAAGGTACAGTGGTGAACCATGAAGCATATTGCTCAGGCGCAAGAGATCATGGTAAAGCGCTTCAATTCAGCCCCACATCTCGATTTCTTCAATTCGCTTCATATAGCTTCGATACTTCTATTGAGGATATTCTAACGACACTTATGACTGGAGGCTGTCTTTGCATACCATCTGGTAAGTACTCTTGATCATTCCTTGATTTACAGGCAACTAAGCTAACTAATAAATTTGTAGAGGAGGAAAGAAATTCAGATATCGTCGGAGCGATAGCTAGGATGAATGTTAACACAGCGGATCTTACACCATCCTATATAAGCTCGATTTCGCCCGACTCAGTTCCGTCGCTGAAAAGAGTGACACTTGGTGGAGAGCCCATCACTGCTAATGTTATTAAGAATTGGGCTGATCGTGTTCATTTGATTAATGCTTTTGGAACTACCGAATGTTGCGTGTAAGTTTAATTTTCATTTTCGCAGGAAATCAGTAAGAAACTATAATCCTGATCCTTCGTTCTCTTCACTGCTGCGCCCATTGCAATGAAACGACTTCCCCTATAATATTATACGAATACTGACTGAATCCCCCTCTAGAACAAGTGTAGTAAACTCAGAGATCTCTACAAGTACCTCGCCTACAAATATCGGACGTGGAGCTGGTGCAATCACTTGGATCGTAGATGTCGACGATTCCAACCGTCTTCTACCTATCGGTGCCATTGGTGAATTACTGATTGAATCACCAGCAATGGCTTCAGGATATCTCGACGACGAAGCAAAAACTAAAGCTGTTTTCGTCGGTAGTCCTAGCTGGGCTCGGAATTCTAGCTCGAGCCAACGTCCTGCGCGTTTATACAAAACAGGTGATCTTGCTCAATACAATTCTGATGGCACGATCAGTTACCTCGGTCGAAAGGACACTCGAATCAAACTTCGTGGACTTCGTATAGAAATTGCGGACGTGGAGCATCATCTCCTCAGTCATCCCCAGGTCAGAAAAGCTATGGTCGTATTGCCTACTTCGGGGCCATATGCAGATCAGCTGACGGCAATTATCGAACTTGAAATTCCAACCCGTTTTGAGAAGAACAGCGGTATAGCGGTCGTCCCTCACTTGGAACTCGAAGCTTCCGGGTTGAAATGGTCCAGCATTGCCAATCATCTACTAGAAAATTTACCGAGTTATATGGTTCCTTCTTCCTGGATTGCTATGAAAACCATACCACTTCATACCTCGGGAAAACTGGACCGTCCTAGACTAACTAAGTGGCTCACTAGTCTTCCGTTGATCCAAAGAGCAGAGACTTATCCTAAAAGTAGCGAAGCACCTTTGATATCATCAGACGACCATATTTCATTGGAACTTAGCGACAAGATTGCAGAACTAATCACCAAAAAGCTGTCTTCCCATATCAATTCTGATATCTTAGGGCGTGATATCAACTTGGCATCTGTTGGGATAGACTCAATCAAAATTATGTCACTGGCAGCTTTTATCAAACGATCGTATGGGGTTAGCATAGCTATTCCAATGCTCATCAACCATCAAACAACAATCTCGGACGTTTCGAAGCATATTCGCGCTGCGGCCAAACTTAAATATAGTGATCCGATAGCTGCAGCTCCTACTGTAGATTTGATGAAAGAGATTTCACATTTGGATACACAATTATCCTCGATTCAGCATCACTTTGGAGTTGTTTTCTTGACAGGCGCAAGTGGCTTTCTTGGTACACAAATCCTTCGACAACTTCTTGGAAGACCTGGAGTCGAGAAGGCCATTGTACATGTGCGCGCTTCAAATGACAAAATTGGCAAAGAGCGGATTATAGCAGCAGCCAAATCTGCGAGATGGTGGAATGACTCTCTCGCCACTAAACTCGAGATCTGGACCGGCGATCTAGCCAAACCAATGCTAGGCTTGAGCCCTGAACAATGGCAAGAATTGAGCACAGTCGATGCGATTATCCATAATGGAGCTTCAGTGCACTGGAATTCGGATTATCACACTCTCAAAGCTGCCAACGTCACATCCACTTTTGACCTTCTAAAGAATATTTCCGGAACTATTTCGCCTCCGAAATTTGTTTACGTATCTGGAGGTCGTGATTTTGGAGGAGAAACGGATGATAGTACTACCGCTAAGAAATTGAACGGGCTTGACGGTTACAGTCAGACGAAATTCGTTTCAGAGCTACTGGTAAGAAACTTTGCGCAACGAGCCACTTCTGCTACCCAAGCCAACCATGTTTCCATCGTCAAGCCGGGATTGATAATTGGCACGACACGGGAAGGAGTTGCCAATACCACTGACTTCCTATGGAGATATGTTGCCGGCGCGGTAAACATTGGTGCATACCCTATCCCTGGCAAAAACGACTGGTTAACGGTAGCACATGCCGATCTCGTCGCTGACTCTACCATTAATGCCCTATTGCATACTCCCAAGAATTCAAGTTACACCTTGGACATAACCAGCGGAATCGATATGCAGAACTTCTGGAATATTGTTAATAAACATATGGGACTGCGACTTCGACCAATTACATCATATGAGTAGGCTCAATTGGTACAAAAGGATCTCGAGAAGCGGACCGAGGCGCATCCGCTCTGGCCAGTTGCTCATCTTATTACCAAGGAAGGAAATTTGGGGAAGGATAGGAGGCCCAGGGAATTGGATGTGTTGGTGGAGAAAGAGGTAGAGGAGGCGATTGCGAAGAATGTAGAATTTTTGATGGAGATTGGATATTTTGGTGATGAGGGAATGGGGATTTGACGAAGTGGTAATGAAGGTTTCATGGGAAATAATGGGTGAAGTTTTGTTTGGGCTTCAAGCGTTTGGTTATTTAGTACCATCTTTATATAAGGATCTTTTTCATTCCCTCATAGTTGCATGCATTCATAGTTCTAATGAAATCGTTACGCGAACTTGAACTTGCTTTTCGGGGTCATTTCTGATGGTGATGAGATGACAAGCTGTTAATTTTCTGGGCCTGTTGTTTGGTCACTTGCTGCAGTGATTTCATACAGTATAATTATATCGTCTCATACCGAACTATATGGTAAGACTACTATCTAGATTTCCACAACTATCAATCCGTTTATATTTCCTGCCGTCATGATATATTGTGAGAAAGTTGGAATTATAGGCCAGATACATAGGGGTTTTTAACTAATCAATTATATAATCTTTTGTAATTAGATATAAAAGAAGATTTTTTCTTTTTTCTTTTTAAAATAATCAATCTTTTATATATGTATATATACATTTGAATCTATATAACTTTAATTTCAAAACTATTATGAAATCTGTTTTCTTTATAAGTGATATATTATAATGTAATCTAATTAGCTTTCTTTTCCGATTCCTTTTCACAATGTATTATCGGGATGCACGTATCTCGACCTACCACTTTTACAATATGATGTTGAATCAAGCCACCAAGTATCTACAGCTCGTATGGCATATGACTATCATATTACTTACATTTCTATACCACTAACTTTAGCGACTTCACTCTGATCTTAGATCTCGAACCTCGAACTATGATCAACGTAGATCCCACAAGTAAAACACCGCACTATAAGTTATACACACAACCATAAATGATACATACATATCTAGACAGAATCAACTTATCCGAAAGCTGCAAATAGAGCGTCATACTTCAAACACACAAAAATGCAACCCTTTACCTGTCCCCCTTTCACTAACTTGACCCGCATGAAATCATCCGCCTCCATTTATTTCTTAATCATAAAAGCATTAATACGATTATATCCCCGCTAAGCCAAATTTGTCTTTCAGGGTTTCTCCACTAGGGTATGATATGATAGTATCTCGTCCTGGTTTAAATATACAAATCCATACCACAATAAAGAATAGCTAGTCAACTGATTATATTTAGCTTCGATGTCTCCTCGCGGGAATCCGAAGTCTGCTGATTTGATCTACCTGTAGAATACGAAGGATTGTGGAAAGCAAAGCGAAAGATATAGCTATGATACATAACATAGGAGGAGAAAAAAGAAGCAGTAAATAGGTGATAATGCATGATAGATACTATTAATATTGGAAAAATGTAAGATTATCAGCTGTGAGAATGAAATTTGCGATGAAATTTGGCAATGCTGTAGCAAGCAGAGTCCTCTTCCAGCTACAGAAATAAGTGAGCATTTTTTAGCATTCGAGACTTTGAAAACATATATCTTAGGTTCGCATGTAACCTTATATATATATATAAATTAGTTTCCCAACTCTAGCCATCAATTCCCTCGTCAGAAGAACCAGATCTCCGTCCCAGATAAAAAAGAAAACTAACTGCAGGAACACAAAACTTTCTACTCGCGTAGGTTACCTACCTAAAATACCCAAAACATCATCAAAAGGCAATAAAAATAAAGTCTTTACGAAAATCAGCCCTAGCCTAAGAAGCAGGACAGTATACTGATACTTCTCAGAAAAACGAGTAAAGAGCTTACTATACCCGGAATATTAAATCTCTGATCTAAAATATAGAGAAAAATCAAGATATTGCTCCCCATGAGAAGAAAAATAAGATTCAATAACATCAGCTTCCGCTCCAAACATCGCGAGATCTTTAATATAGCTAACCTTACAGTTCGGACAGTCATGAATCTCAAACCTCAAACCTTTGCTCGTATCAAAAGAGCTTCAACTAGAATCCCAATGAGTAAAAACTCTTCCCCTTCAATTCATGTTTAAATGTTTAAGTGTTTGAATCATCTAAATCCACACTTAGCGGATCAGCGACCACAAAACACACCCACACAATCCTCTCCCGTCAGGTCCAAGAAAAATCATAATCATACAAATAAATCTTTAAATTGGGTATCTACCTATTAATTCTCCTCCTTACTACAAAAAAAGAAAAAAAAAAAAAGAGCAAGAGCATATGCCAAACTCCTATCGCGTCCCGTCCCGATCAATACTACATACATACAGATAATTTACAATTTGTGTACATAAGTTACACTACACGACCGGAAACTTTTTTCCCAATCCTTCTGCCCAGCGCGCGTATAATACATCGGCAAGTTGTTTGGTGTGTTCCATTCCTGGCACTATTTGACCTGGTAGGTTTGACTTTTCCTTTGTCTCTACTTCGGGCATGGCGCTAGATTGTCTCCTGCGGTGACTTTTGAGATGTGGATTACTATTTGCTAGTACTAGTTTTCCATTGGCGGGTTTCTGTGGTGATCCCTGAGGGGTTTCGTCTCTCAAGACCAAAGATTTGCTTGGAGAGATGTGGGAAGCAAGCTTGGGTTCTTGCTCTATTTTGTTTATCAGAAGCTTCAGTAAGTGATATTCGCCTTCAGGATCCACGGCGTCGAGAGCAGCCCAGGCATCGGCTAGACGGGATAATGCTTGTCTTTTAGCTTGATCGCCAGTTTGTGCGTGCATTTCTTGGAATGCTGGATCGATAATTTTCGTATAAGCACGTCGTCCTAGGTAAGCTTCTTTGGTGTTTGCTTCAGCTACCTGCACGAGTGCCTTATTTTCATCATGAGATGGAACATCAGCGGAATCTTCGGGGCTGCTTGGTCTAGATGACATTGAGTTATTCGAGACCCTGCGGAATAATCGAACTGTTGATCCAGTATTTCCAAAGCTCATGTCCGGTGCTAGCGGTGGTCTCCTTGTTGTGTTGTTTTGACTCTGCGTACTATCCACTCGAGGCCTGGTTGGAGAAGTGTGTTGCACCGCTGGCGGCTGTCTTCTAACGGTACCTCTATCAGCTGGTAGTGAAGGAGGCGAAGAATATTCCAAAGGAGAATCTTTGAGATCCAATTTCTTAAAAGCCTCCTCTGGAGGAGCTTGACTACCTTGACCGTTTGCATGAATGACAGAAAGCTTTCTTCTTTTGCTCCCATTTTTCCTTGATGGTGCTACAGTGGAGGCCTTAACTGTATCAAAGACCCATCCATCAGGTTCATATTTCGGGTTCATTGTGTTACTGGAATTTGTTAGTGGCTGATTAAAGAACCAGATTTCCTACATGCTTACAGTGTTTCTTCATAGAACTTAGGATGCGATGGCCGAGTCCTTGTTCCATCCCACTCCTGTCTTCTCTCTACCAACTCCTGTAAAGCCTCAACCTTTCCTGCAGAGCGAATGAACTTATGCTTCAATAGTTCCTTGGCGGTAGGTCTACGATCGCAGTCTTTGACCAAACATTGTGCCACAAAATCCTTAAACTCCTTACTGTAATCCGGACCTTCCAACCTTGGCGCCGGTGCTTTAGGTATTTGAAATAGAACCTTCATTGGATGTATCGAGGCATGCGGCGGTTCTCCATTCACCATCTCTATTGCCGTAATTCCAAGGGACCAAATATCTGCCTTAAAATCGTATCCTGCTTGTTGAATAACCTCTGGCGCCATCCAAAAAGGGGTTCCGACAAAAGTATTCCTTTGCGATTTGATGTTTGTGAGCTGCGCGGCAACTCCAAAATCTGCCAATTTAACCTTTCCTGTGGTCGATAGTAAGATGTTTGCTGCCTTTATATCCCGATGTATCTTTCCTTCTTGATGAAGATATTCCAAACCCAACAAGATCTCGCGACAAACAATGGCAATGTGAGTTTCGTGAAATGGCGCGGGTTTTAACTTAGGCGCAGTCAGCGATGCATCGATCTATTCCTCTGGGTGAATATCATCATACCAGATCCAAACATGATCCTCCTCCCAAATATTCCATGACAATCCATAATTTGTGACCCCGCAGAAAACTTCCTTTATATTGAGTAACGTATGGACTGGCGCAGGTACTGAGGACTGATATCTCTTGTTGAATTTCCTGTATGTCATCTTCGCTCGATTCGAGATCGATATGCTTGATGGCACATATTTCCCCCGTAGCCCTCTCGATTGCTTTATAAACTACGCCAAAGCTACCAGAACCTAATTCTTCCAGAACCTGATATTGTGAGGCTCCCGATTCGGTCATTATGAGGGTTGATTGAATGTGGTGGTAATCATGAAGTTTAAAAAGTCGAGGGTATTGACCTATGATCAGAACAAATACGAATGGAATTATCGAAAATGATGTATGAATTGGAAATGACTTAATAAAGATTTAAATATCGAGTGAAATAGTGATTATCGAAATCTTTTTATTTTTATTTTATTTTCTTTTCTTTTTCTTTACCAATATCATAAACATGTACGACGAGCAAGTCGAGTTTAGTTTACTAACAGGCAGTAAACAAAAGTTATGACGAGGCGGTCGGGTTCGGGATAGGCCGTTGCTCTGTGAACCTTCTCCTGCCAGCAAAACCATAATAAGAATAATAAGAAGAATAAGAAGAATAATAAGAATAAGAAGAATAATAATAATAACAATAATAACCATAATAATAATCATCATAATATACCCAATCTAAACAACAAATTGTTATTTCATACGCTATACGAGTAGCTGAAATTGAGATTCTACCATCTGTCTATACACCACCTATACAGACACAGGAGTAACTTGTCACTTTGTCACTTTGTCATTTTGTCATTTTGTCATTTTTCACTTGTTATTTGTTATTTGTTACTTTGTTAAATTTCAAAGGTTTACTAGATATCTCTTAAAAATTCTACTCCCAGTCCCTACTCTACTGTATTTTCATTCCAATAACAAATTCACTCATTCAAATGTTTAATCTGAAATTGGAATTCTGAAAGATTTTCTATTCCCAGCTGAAGAGTTTGAAGTTCATTCGTTCTTCGACATTTCATTCATTGATTTGCATCCATGTCGGGTAGCGTTAATCGGATAATCACATCATCATCCCGATAGCAGGATAGTTGGATACCAAGTCGCAACCGTCCTCAATCATGACACCAGCTCCGGGAACTTTGCCTACCAAGTTCCCTGTTTGGTGCAGAGCTGTATATTCATTCAGCGGGGAGGTAAGTTAATTGTATACTACAGTTACTTTTAAATATCTTCAACCTCTAACCATCCGTTGGCGCAGTCAAAACGCGACTTGGGCTTCATCGAGGGAGATTTGATAGAATGTTTGAACGCAGGAGATGGATCATGGTGGATGGGTCGTTTGCGGAGGGACAAAAGGATGATGGGCCTCTTTCCTTCGAATTTCGTTCAAGTTCTAGATGAGAATTTCCGACCAACAAGCAGAACGTCGAGTCCCCTGCCGGATCGAAGTCCTAGTCCTAACCCTTTCAAAAACCCGATAGCTCCGACAAAACCGAAGACTAAATCGATGCGAAAACCCTTTCAAGCGTATGCTGCGCCGGATATGGGGGCGTTAAGGAGAGCAGAGGCACGGGAAAAGGAACGTCTCGCGGCCTCGACTTCTCGAATACCATCGCCGGCCGCCAGGGGTGGATACAATAATGTAGCAAGGGGGCCTTCTCCTCAATCCCAAGCTCAGGTTTATCAATCGCAAACGCGCTCGCCAGCACCACTTTCTCGGTTTCCAAGCCATGTATCTCGCGCGCCATCTCCAGGCCCAAGCCATTATGCTTCTCGCGCACCCTCCCCGGCTCCCAACCGCTACATGCCTCGTGGTCCCTCTCCTGCGCCCAACCACTATACGTCTGGCGCGCATTCTCCAGCTCCCAGCCACTACATATCTCGTGCACCGTCTCCTGCCGTTAACCATTATAGTTCTCGGGGCCCATCTCCTGCTCCTAACCATTATAGTTCTCGGGGCCCATCTCCTGCTCCTAACCATTATAGTTCTCGTGGCCCGTCTCCTGCGCCCAACCATAGTTCTCGGGGCCCATCTCCTGCTCCTAACCATTACAGTTCTCGCGGTCCGTCTCCTGCTCCCAACCATTACACATCTCGCTCGCCATCGCCTAATCCCCATCATTATGGATCTCGTGCCCCTTCTCCAGCTCCTTCATTTGGCTACCAAAGTTATTCTCGAGGTCCATCGCCTGCGCCACAATTTGATAGATCAGGAACCTCGTCTCCACCGCCACCTCCACCACCTCATCGGAGCATTTATGCGCCGCAGGCAATCAGAGATACTCATAACACCAGCCCGAATCCGTACCAAATACCATCGCCAACATCTCCATGTCCACCGTCACCGGCGGGTACGGGCCGCACTCCCTCTCCTTTGCGAAGCGCAATGGATGATGTAATGCTCTCTTTGGCAGACATGGGAGTGGCTCGAGAGTCAGAAATTCCAGAAGAACCGATCGACCCATGGTCTCCTGAAGCATTTGATCAAACGTATATATCAACGAAAAGGGCACCTAGATCCAGTACAGCTATCGGAGTCGCTGAAGATTATAATTCTGTAGGTGATGATAGATACGCCGATAATATGCAACCTTATCAACCTACAAATACTCCTCCGCCTCAACTTAGCAATTATGTTCAAAGGATGGAAAATAGATTAAGTAAAATGTATTCTTCAACGCCGCGCCCCCCTGAAGATGATGTCCGGCCCGCGGTTCCCCCTAAATCGAGTTCATACGCTCATGAGAGCCGACCAAAATCGTCTCTGAGCGGAAGTGTACAGCCAGCCAAGCTTCGCCACCGAAAATCTGCATACGAAGTTGGAAAAGCCATGCTGGGGAGATCTTTCACAACAAGGACTGATAAGACGGATTCAACGACCTCTTCCAGCGGGACTCGCAGCACTACCACCAATGGAAGCTCAAGTACCCAAATGACTGATAAAAGTCTCATGAGTGGTCCTTCTGCTAGTGGCTTTTCTTCGACTAGCGCCGGGAGTTTAGCGAGGAAGCGAGAAATGCTCTATGGACGAGCTCATAGTGCACTTGGTTCGCGGAAGGACAACTATCTAGGGATGAATAATAGTCAACCTGATTTCACTACTGGCCGTTCCCAGACGCCAATGACCGGTATTTCATATCACAGTAGTCACGCCTCGGATCCTTCGCGTATGCAGTCACCGCCTGGCTGGTCAGGTTCTCCTGCAGATTCTAATGCTGCGCTTGGTGGTCTAATGACACCTAAAACCAAGAAAACGGGGTTCTTCAAAAGAATCGTTGAATCCGCAAAAACAGGTGCTGCGAGCGCCAGGAGCAGTATTTCTATTGGTGAATCTTCAAGACCACGAGCTCAGGCCCACAGTTCGTTTCCAGCGGGAGTCTCTACAATGGGAGCCGGTGGCTTTGGAAATACTCCGAACACTAATCCAACCAATGAAACTGGATCCGGTGGTGTTACCATGGGTGTCGATTGGGTTCAGGTACGGCGAGACATTAACAGGTCGAATTCGTTAAGTAGGATTGAGCGGGTTGAAAGAAAGGAGCGATGTCAGATGATGGATTACCCAGCCATAAGTCCCGTGGAAGAGCTTCTTGAGGGGTGTGATGGTGATGAAGGGGTTGATGGTAATCCTGTCGCTGAGCCAACTAATTTCCAAGCAGTAAATCTCACCCTGGTGGATAAGAACACAAGGTTTATCAATAGTCTCCCACCGATGTCTAATGCCATGAGCTTAGCCACAGGTTATGTGTGTCGACCATATCGAAGCGACATCCAACGATTACGAGCAATATTCATATGGGTTAGCGAGAAAATTACCTGGGAAGAAGGCTTCGACAATGATACATCAGATTCAAGAAGGGTGATCCAAACCAAGCATGGCTCTTCTGAAGAAGTCGCATTCCTAGTTATGGATATGTGTAAGGCTGTTGGGATTCATGCTGAGGTTATTAGAGGATATTTGAAATCACCAGGTGAGGTACCGGATATGGGTCCTATGCCTCGACCGAATCATTTCTGGAACGCAGTTGTAATTGATGGAGAATGGCGAATGATGGATTGCTCTTTGGCAAGTCCGTCTCATCCTCGACGAAGCCAGTATACTAGTGCCAGCAGTCTGTACGCGGAACCATGGTGGTTCTTGGCTCGGCCGATTGAGATGTGCTGGACTCACATACCGGAGCAACATGTTGACCAGCATCTCTGTCCTCCCGTAGCACATGAGGTACTTCTAGCTCTACCATGTGCTTGTCCGGCATTTTTTATCAATGAGATAGAGATGGTAGAATACGATACAAGTCTCATACGTATTGAAGATCTCGAACTCGTTCACATCAAACTTTCTGTCCCGCCTGATGTTGAGTGTGTAGCTGAAGTTGAAGCGCGTGCTTTTGAACGTGATGCAGATGGCGATCTCTTCGAGACCGGTGAGATTGTCACGAAGCGTGCTTTGGCACAGGCCGAATGGGTGGGTAGTCAGAAGAGGTATACGATCAAGGCTCTACTTCCTGGCGACGAAGGCGCAGGCATACTCAAAATTTATGCTGGGAAACGTGGTCTTATGCATAGTATCAAGGACATTCCACATGCATTGGCGGTGGCATTGCCTATCATCCACACTGGTGACAATCCTCCATACGAGTTCTTAACCCGTCATCCAACGCCTCATGCCCAGCGTCATGACCTATATGTCGCACAGCCACAATGCCAGCGATTAGCCATCAATAACACTTTTGTGTTCGCCGTACGTCAGCATCCTTCGTCGCTATCATTAGGATCGCCAGATCCGGGACGTACCTCACCTATCCCATTTATACGACCGGGATCCGCTATGTCTCTAACAAATTCGACGGCATCTGGTTCAGGAACTGGTAAAAAACCGGCCAAACTCGCAATTCAAGCACCTGGTGGAAAGATCTTAAGATTAATGCGAAAGGAAGAGAGAAACGGGGGTGTCAGTACAAATTTGGAAGGCGGAGATGGGGGTACTTGGGAGACGATAATTAAATGTGGAGAAAGAGGTGTATGGAGAGGACTTGTCCTAGCCGATCGAAGTGCTAGATGGTGCGTATTTGCCGAATGGACATGTGTCTAATTACGACCTATACATTCTGGAGCGATGAAATTAGATCAGATGACCAAAAGAAAGATTAGAAAGGATTCAAACCAGGATTCAGGAAATTTTTATGCATTTTACGGCGCCGTGCGGTTGTAATGGACGACCTGTAACGAATAACTTTGGGTGGGATTTGGTGGTAATACAATAAATACATTGGCAGGCTTGGGCTGGATGGAACTGGATGGACGGACGGACGGTTTGGGCTGGTATGGTTGGTTTTGGGCTGGCTAGCTGGTTAGGATTATTTTTGTACAAGTCAATCATCACATTTCTAGGCGTTTTGTTTTTTCTCGTTTTCTCTTTCTGCAAGCTGGGAACGGGAAACTGGAAACATGTAAAAGTAACTTTTCACGATACTATTACTTTGTCGTCGCTATTTAGGCATCGTATCGTATCGTATTGTATGCATCTTCTCTAGAGATGCTTGTAGTTCTAGCAATCAATGTATGCATGCGAAGCTTTAGATTAAAATATCTTTGGTTTTTTCGGGGTTTTTAGTTTTTGCTTCGCTTTACTTGCTTTGGATGAATGAATGAATGTTCAGTGGAAATATGTAAGACTTGAGATATTGTCTTGAAAAATCTCAGTAGAGGGAGGTGAGGAGAAAAATTCTATCTATTCATGAATAATTTGCCAGTACCGTCAGGTTAGTTACCTAGGTCTATACAGGATAACTACTAACTGTAGAGTGTCCCGGACATGAAATCTAGAAGCTAGCTTAAAGGGAATTGAACCAGTAATTATCACATACCTAGGTAAGTCAAGATGTAAGATCTCAAATCAGGATCATCCGCGGCTTAAATAATTCCCTGAAGTGAAGAGTAAGAGATATACTTACCTAGGTATCTAGACCTGAAAGATCTATACAGAGATTTCCTGTACATAGTAGAAGATAACTTGGAAAGTGATTTCTAGCAGATTTGTGCTCCAAGTAAAGATACAGAGTAAACCCGTTTCTATATGTTTCATTATTTAAAAGATTTAGCTTTCCACAAAGTAAACAATTTCCAGCTGTATGAAGATAGATATGAAGATAGATATGCCATCCATCTTCTATATTTATTAGACATATTATTAAGATATCAACACAATCAACAAAAATCTAAATAAACAATTTTATCCTTATAAAAATCCTCAAGAATCATAAAATATACCTAAAATCCGGGCCATCATTTTCCCTTCCCACATGTTTTAAATTTTCAGTAAGATTACCATCTCCCCCATTACCGCCAGGGACTCCATACTTTTCATCCAATTTTCGATTTTCAAATGCAAGTCGAAAACGTAGCGCCATCGCTAGTGCTCCATTGAAGAGCATAAATGCAGCGCATACCCACTAATACAAAAGCCATGATCAGTATACTTTCCATCAGGGAGATAAAAACGATCGTGCAAACATACCATTCCTTTCTTGTAGTAAGGGCCTTCGCTACTAGGATACAGTCTCGTGCCTAGGAGAGGTCCGCATTGTCCAACGACATTTAAAATGGCAATACCAGTGCCTCTTTTACTTTCACTGCCCTGATTATTCATCACCCATGGAAGGATATTTCCAATAGCCGGGAAAATACCGGAAGCGGCCAAGAATACTCCAGCATACCGCACTCCTGTGCTGGAAGATACGGCAAGCATGATGTAGCCTGCGGCTCCAATGAGAGATAGTACAAGGATAGTGTATCCACGCTGAGAATACTTATCCGCAAGCCATGTTGTAAGAATTACGACTAGAAAAGCGAGAAAATAAGGCGGAGCGGACAATCCTTGAGCATTGACCTTTGAGTAGCCCATCGCAGTAAGAATAGTCGGTAAGAAGACCGGCAGAGAAGCAAATGATACATTGCAGGAGAAATACATCAATGCCGTTGTCCAATTCTTGATATCAAGGAATGCGGTCCTTACTTCGAGCCATTGTATCCCATGTGGCCTTCCAGACTCGGTTGTACCTACTTGTCGAACTTTACGAGCTTGTGCAACAAGTAGTTCTTCTTTGGTCAAAAACTTGGCTTTCTCAGGGCTATCTGGCATAAGAAACCAAGTAAGAACACCAGCAAGAATGGCCGGCAAGCCTTCAACAAGGAACAGCACACGCCAAGCCGCAATGCTATGAAAATGACCAGAAGTGATACCGTAGGCTAGAGCGCCAGCAAAGCACGTTGCTAGAGGAGCTGCCCCGAGATAAAACCCGCATCGGAGTCCAAGCTCATTTCTTAGATAGAAGAAAGACAATAGGAAAGTGATGCCAGGCGCAAAGGAAGCCTCGAAAGCTCCCAGGAAAAATCTAGCAGCCATCATTCCTGACCAATTAAATGCGACGGTTTGCAATGTCGCAGATAATGCCCATCCCATCACTGTTATAGCACCCCACATATGTGGTGGTAAGACTTTCCACATCAAGACCAATGGCTCGAATACAATGTATGAAATGTAAAATATGGTGAGGAGCCATTCGTAGCTGTCGGAATCAAGATGTAAATCATCCTGCATTCCAGCGATTTTAGCATTGCCAATGTTCGAACGGTCAAGATATGCTAAGAGATCTTTTGGCACTTGTTAGTACAATGCCGTTGACCCAATGGACTTCCAAGAGATACGTACATAGCCCAATGATCAAAGGCAATAAATGCCTATCTATTTTCCGCACAACCCGTCTTTCCATTCCAGGATCAATCGCAGGAAGCGATTCCTCGGGCGTTCTTAAATCCAATTGACTTTCAACATCCATCTTCCTGTCCTGTACGGTATCCATTGTCGTCGACATGTTCTTGTCGTTTGTGTGGGAGCAGAGCGAAGTCGACCACAATGGTATCGAACTTATACACAACTCGGGTAGGACAATTTATTTGTAATACATTGTAACACAAGAGAGATTTGACCTACCATATATTTGTAAGATAAAAGTAAAAGTCATACTTACCGTGCATTCCCATTGCCATTGAAACTAGTCATAATTGTGTGTATACGCGAGAGCTTCGTGCGGGACCCAAAGACTACGTCTGTGATCTGTGATCTCCATCTGGAGATCCTTGCCCGTTCTCAGAGCTAAGGGCGGGTCGCCGGAATTACCCTTCCGCTTTCTGAATGGGCTTGTGCAGAATCATCTTGAGAGAGTTGATAGGACCAACGAACTGGACAGCTAGCTCAAGTTTTGTCTTTCCCAATCTAGAGTGACATTTCTTCGGATAGACGCATCGTATGAAGGGGATGAGCCGAGACACGATATCACAAAAGAAATACTGCCTCTCCACACCGCCCATCCCCTACCAAATCCATCAACCCCTCCAAAAAATTTCCCCAGCATTCTGAAATTATATACATAGATAGGTATACCTCATTTCTAATCCATCCGTCAAATATAGTTAAAATATACCCAATATCAAAATGGACGACCCTGCATTCGCAACCGAAACCGACAGCACAACCCAGGCCATCCTCCTCGCCGCCGCTAATCACGATCTGCCCGCCCTAAAACCCCTCCTTCGAGTACCCGGCGCAGCCTCTGTCCAAGATCCCGAAACAGGATTTACACCTCTCCATGCCGCCATTGCATCTTGCGAGGATTCTCCTTCACCTGAAGACATAGAGGCCGCGAAAGCGACTATTAAAGAGTTATTTTTATCAGGAGCTATATGGAATGATTTGGATACGAACAATGAGACGCCGGGCTGTCTGGCTTATAGATTAGGTAGGAAGGAATTATATGAATTGGTCGTGGATGCTGGTGTGAGGGCGGAAATATTAATGAATTTGATGGGTGGTTATGAGGAATTGAGTGATGGGGAGGATGATGAGGAGGATGAGGTAGAGGAAATGGAAATGGAAACTGGTGACGGTGTGCAGATTGTAGCCGATGGAGAAAAGATTACCGCAGAAGACACCGCAGAAGAAAGCGTAGAACAAGTCGAAGTGGAAGTCCCAAAGAAAGATGTCAATTCCGCAGACTACCTACAAAGTAAACTCGAATTCACCGACGACAAACTCCTCGACGCAGACGCGAATGGTGTAATGATGGCATGGGAAGCCACCATCATGCAACGTACTGTGGATCTCCTCATCCCCGCATCATCTCCTCCCTTACGAATCCTCAACATCGGATTTGGAATGGGTATAATCGACACCATGTTCGCATCCGCATCACCAGCTAGCCACCACATAATCGAAGCGCATCCCGACGTCCTCGCACACCTGCAAACGCCCGGCCACAAATTTGGAAAAGAATGGGAAGCATCCGCACCAGAAGAAGGCAGTTATAAAATCCACGCTGGTCGCTGGCAGGAAATCCTACCCACGCTTCTCGAAGAGAATCTCCAGTTTGATGTCATATATTTTGACACATTCGGAGAATCCTACATGGAGCTCAAGAAATTCTTTTCTGAATACGTCATTGGACTTTTATCCGAGAATGGAAAATTTAGTTTCTTCAATGGGTTAGGAGCGGATAGAAAAGTCTGCTACGACGTATATACGAAAGTTGCGGAACTTGATCTATGTGATGCTGGTTTGGACGTTGACTGGACAGAGGTAGAAGTAGAAGAGCTAGGGGGCGAAGGAGAGGGCGAATGGAAGGGAGTGAGAAGGAGGTACTGGGTTTTGGATAAATATCGTCTACCCATTTGTGGATTTATGGGATGAAAGGACTAAAAGTAGAGGAAGGCTAAGTCGCGGAGAAAGGTGTGGCCGTGAAATAAATAATGATACCCAGGCAGCATATAGAACATCAATTTCAGCAAGTGAATGTATAGCAAATTTATATTTATTGGTCTTGTGTGTGATTGCCAAACGCTTTGGTCTGCTAAAATATGAAGGGAATGCGCAAGCGAGTAGAAGCAAAAAAATGTCATGCGGGTCTTTGTCTACATACATTCTTATGCCATAGAAATACTTTCTCTAAACATCGATCTTAACTGACTGTCCATAGTATTCATGTTCGCATCACTCAATATCAACTCCTCGAAACTTGTATATCCTTTTACCTGAGTTCACGTACTAACTCATCTAAAGTTCTCTGGGTGCAAGATACCAGCCATGTTACCTTCCTTAACACGCTTGAGGGTCAAAGCAGCAATCAAAGCTGCACCGACACCAGATCCATCTTCGGCGGCCAAGATTTCAATGGGATCATGCTCCTTAGCACTCTTCTTGGCAGGCCAATCAAGAATTTCACGAAGTGCCGCTGCACCACGAGCCTTGAAGTGAGGGTATTTGTTGAAGACTGATCCATCAGCTCCAACGTGGCAGGTCTCGTAACCCTTCTTCTTGGCAATGGCGGCAACACCACAGGCGGAAAGACGGGCAGCACGGGTACCTATTAACTCAGCGAGACGGCGGATAAGCTCAAGTTCTGGAACAGTGGTGACTATGCCGAGCTTGTTTTGGAACAGGTCAGCTGTCTCTGACAAGTTCTCGAATGGATCCCTAGACAGTGTTAATCACCAACCATAAAAACAGAGCAGCTATAGGAACTTACTCCTCAACCAAGGATAAGAAAGAAGAGTCCAAAGTATAAGCTTTTCGGAGCTTCTCGATGTCCTGACCCTCAAAGATGTGAATATCTTTGTTGTCGTGAAGATCAACTAGAACCAATCTGAAAAGCTCTCCAAGGTAAAGACCAGCAATCATCTTCTCAAATGCTTGCTGACCAGGACGTGGAGAATCTTTATCAATAATGATATCGTATGGAGTACGAGGGAGAACTTTGTGTTCGTTGTCAAAAGCACCCCACTCGCAGTTGATTGCCATTGGAGTGTCAGGAGGTAGGTTCATGTGGGCCAATTTTGGAATGGAGCCACAGTTTTCCATGTAAGCAGCATTGCAACCAGTTCCAAAGATACATCCAATCTTCATGGATGTATCAGTGTATGCGGAAGCGATCAAAGTACCAGTGGTGTCATTGATCAAAGCAGTGAGCTTAATTGGCACACCCTGACGGATTTAGCAAGCGCTATATATTTGGAATTTTGATTCAACACTTACTCTCTTAGCAAGAGCTGCTTCGAACATTGGAACAACGTTTTCGCCTTCAACACCCGCAATATCAAAGCCCTTGGTCCATCTTTGTAAAATACCCTCATCAATGTAGTTCTGGGTAGCTGGGTAGGAAAAGGTGAAACCGAGGCTCAATTTGTCGAGCTTCTCGCCCTGATGATGAGACTCGATGAATTGCTGAAGACAATCCGCAATGTACTCCCAAAGCTCATCGGCATCACCGGTTTTGAGTTCTTCCGGCATGCGGTACTTTGATTGCATAATATCGAACTCAGACTTCTCATCAGTCAAGATGATCTCACAGACACGCAAGTTGGTACCTCCCATGTCCAAAGCGAGGAAAGTACCGGTTTCATAACCGTCTGGGAATGACATACACCATGTTGGGTTCATTGGCTATTTTGAAAATTAGCATGGGACCTAAAATGGAGCGAAAGAACATACAATACTTCCACCCTCCACGGTGAGACCTGGTTTGAAATCAGCACAACATTTACATTACAGTGATAGGATAGAGTATTTACCTTTAGTAAGCTCAGAGACGAAATGTTCTGTGATTTCCTTGAGCTTTTTGGTGTCAACAGTGAACTGTTGCTCAAGTTTCTTGATTTGCTCCAAGAAATTCTTTGGAACCTCCGCCATGGAACCTGTGTGCATGTCGTGAGTTAGCAAATCTAATCAAAACTTTATGACCTCATTGTAAGTTGAAAGGGAACCATAGAATGGAGATAGGCTTTTGATATTAAGTTATGCTGTCATCGGTAGTCCATGTCAAGGAGCCAAGACTGTACTTGGTCATGTGCAACCACACAGCCAGGAATGATAGAGAGAATTTAGATATCTCCAGGAATCTTGCCCAAGAGCTAGATCCTAATGTCTTGTTTGTATAAGATGTAGGAAAACGACATTCATGTGCTCTTCTACGGAGCATATGTCAACATTTTAGACCGGTCTACACAGAACACTTGTCGGGTAGACCAATCTAAAAGCGGTAGCTTTAAGTGGAAGACATGGATGAGGAGGTATGAACCTTCTTTGGTTGGTGATTTGGGATTTTTGGCAGGACCTGAAGATGGAGTTGAAGTTGTCGACATATCGTAATCATTAATCTAGAGACTTCAAAGACTTGAAAGTTTCTTGAGTTTTTGTGGTGATGGTTTGAGATTGAAATGCCAAGCTTGTTGATTTCAAGCTGACAGTCCTCATATGATTAGACATTGGAGAGATGATAGAGATGGGCTGTAGCAAGTTGTACAGCCCTTTCACTCATGAAGAGTAGTGAATGTGAAGTATGAGCTGATATCAACTGTCTATCGACCGAAGCAAACCGAAATTGGAGTGACATAGGAAAGGTTGAAGTGATACATACCCTTACGGGAAGGAGGCTTTCTTGGACCTAACCCCACCATGTTGAAGGATTTTCAAAGATAGATTTGTAAAGGAAGGGTATAAAGAAGAGAGAAGAGATTCGAAGTCTTGAATATTGAAATGAAGATATAAAGCAGAGCAAAACAAAAAAAAGAAGTCGCCGTTGATGATCCTGAAGCCTTTTTGAGAGAGAGTTGAGATTGTGTTGAATGAAACTAAGTAGACTGACTACCTACCTAGAGGAAAAGGCAAAACGCTGCTGTCACCAATCCTGGCTTCACTCGACTCCCGGCCGTAACTTCATCATAGTGGGGTAGTTCAGCTCAACACGACCCAGTAATGGGCCGATTAATAAGCAGAAACGAAGGGATTGATTGTATTTCATGACAAGGTTGGTTCCGATAAGATAAAGTGTTAAGCGCGCAATTACTCATAATCCTTGCCTTGGTAGCTCGTGAGAGTGAGTTAAGCAATGGAAAGAGAGAGGTGTGAAATTAGTGAATGTCGCGAAATGGCGGCTAATTGTTCAGGACACTTTGGAGCAACGTAAGCTTCATTCAATATTGCTGGGGGACAGCTTGGGAGAGAACAAGAAATATTAACGACAATCACCTCTCAGAAATTCTTCACATTTCACCCTTTTTTTGTATGGTGTGAATTGATTTCCCAATCAGGCTGGCTTCTCATATTTCTTCAAAATGAAGTATTTCGCGCTTGCGACCACCGTCCTTTCTCTTGTATCTACAGCTTTCGGCGCAGACAAGAGCAACTTCACGAAACCACCAACGTCGAAACAAATCCTGCCCTCGAATTTTAAACCACCCCAGGTGTTCAAGAATGTAAATTTAGTTCACAATGTCAATCTCGAAAAGAGTTATCCAAAAGAATCAATTAATGTGGTAATCGAGAACATTGCGAACGAGCCTCAAGATGAATACTACCTACCATTCACATCGAGGCAGATGGAGACAATTGCAGCTCTAGAAGTCAAGGATAGAAAGGATGCCGACTTAGGGCTATTTGAAGTACGAGCAGTAGAATTTGACACAGAGAGGTAATTTAGATTCGCGTCATTTCTCAAACTATTAGGCTAATTCTTCAAAGTGATACTCAATTCTATCTTATCAAACTGCCACAACCTCTCGCACCAAAGGCACAACAAACAATTGGTATTTCATATTCCTACCTATCGGCTTTGAACCCTCTTCCAAGTTCAATCGCACAAAAGGATCTCCAGTATGTCGTTTACGAATTCTCCGCATATGCTCAGTCGTCATACGTCACTTTGAAGCAAAAGACTGAGGTCAAATTCCCCACAACCAATATTCCAGAGCACACCATTATTCCAGGAACCGACGGCGCACCTGAGTCACCACAAAAGCAGGGTTCTAAGTACACATACGGTTCTTATGGAGAGGTACCAGCTGGCGCGGTTGAACCGGTCCGGGTTCGATATGAGTTCACCAAACCCCTCATCCATGTTTCCAAATTAGAGCGTGATATCGAAGTTAGCCACTGGGGAGGAAATGTTGCTTTTGAGGAACGCTATACTTTGACCAACCGTGCTGCCAAACTTTCTCAACCATTCTCTCGCACTCTCTGGAATCAAGCCTCATACTATGCCAATACACCCACCTCTGCTATCAAAGAGCTCAAGTTCCCATTGAAGGTCGGAAGTTTGACACCATATTTTACTGATGTCATCGGTAACGTCTCTACCTCTCGTTTCCGTAGTAATAAACGGGAAGCAAACCTCGAAATCAAGCCCCGTTACCCAATCTTTGGAGGCTGGAACTATCCTTTCCGTGTAGGTTGGGATGCTGATGCCAAGAAATTCTTGAGACAATTGAGCGGAGGAGAGCAATATGTTCTCAATGTTCCATTTTTGGAAGGTCCAAAACAGGCCGAGGGGGTTGAATACGAATCTGTAGAACTTCGCGTCATTCTTCCCGAAGGAGCTGAGTAAGTTTCCCATCTTATTCTCCTCTTACAACCTAGCTAATTCATATCCTCATAGAAACGTCCAATTCTCCACTCTCGTCCCCATCGCTTCCTCCAGAATCACCCTCCACAAAACCTTCATGGACACCGTCGGCCGCACCACCCTCGTTCTTCACTCCCGCAACCTCATCGACGACCTCCGTGATCGCGAAATCATCGTTACATACACCTACCCCTTCCTCGCAGGTTTCCGCAAACCCATCATTATCTTCATCTCCACGTTAAGTTTATTCGTAACCGTTTGGGCCGTTGGCACATTGGACGTTAGTATTAAAGCGAAGAAGCCTTAAAAGCTACGCTACTAGGTAGATAGATAAAAACGAGTATGGGAAGGGACAACATACTAAGTAAGGCAAGAGTATGAAATCATTGAAATGAATCATGTGTACAGATATATAGATAGATAGGTACCTAGCAAGATAGATATAAAAATGAGAAAAGTCTTGATCGTTTATTGTTCTGCTCTATTTTCCGCTCTTCTATCCATTAGTTAGTTCATCACCTACCTACAATTCATATATATATATATATATATATATGTATACAAAAATTTGCAAAAATAGAATCACCAATACCTACCTAGGTAGGTAGGTAAAAATAAGTCCAAAACACCAAACTACCTACACATTGAACCTTAGCGAGAAATGGGGGAAGGGGTCACCAGGTACGAGTAGATGGGACGAGGTTTTACATTACCTCACCTCACCTCACCTCACCACCATCTTGTTATTGATTCCTGTAACTCTCTATATATAAATAGGTGGAGAAATCATAAATAGCAATACATTCAAGTAGGTATATATATATGTATGTGTATGCGTGTATATATATTCAAGTAATTAATCTCATAAATACAAATTCCAAGAGTGTCTCCTCACAAATGACTTTCTCATTTCTGATGAACAATTCCATTTCCATGTCCATTCACCTCCCCCCTCTCAGCAATTACACCATCCATTCTCATGTATTACAATCTCCATGTCCATCCATCTCCATATTAACAGGTTTGTTTTGTACATTTCAGTTCCTCTTCCCTAACTCTCCTTTCCCTTCTCTCCAAGTCATGCCTGTAAGTTTCAACATTCCTCCGTCTCACTCCTTGACATTTAATTGAAACGCGGCATTAACCACCACCGCCGCAAATAGCGACGTACACAAGATACTCGGTCCCCAAGCATCATAATACTTGATGTTCTTCCTCTGCCTAATACTATTACTCCTATACAAATACATACCCACACTATAGGACAAACTCATAATAGCTACTATGGAGAAAAATCCCGCAGCAATGAAGGATATCGCTGTGGGTTTTGTTCCAAAATTGACGAGTGTGGCGGCAATTGTACCAATGTAGATTGAGAATTCGAGCTAAAAGAAACAACTGTGTTAGCGGATTGTGGGAAAAATGGAAGGTAACGAAATGGATACGTACCCAGGTCAAAAATGTTCTCTCAGCGGCAAAATATACCTTTGGCTCAACACGAACCGGTACATGAATCTTCTTTCCAGGCGGGGCTTTGAACTTCTTAGCCACAACCTTACCACCACCATTTCTTAGAGCTGTAAATGTAGCATTGTTACTATCCATTGGATCTCTAGGGGTAGGGCTTAAGGAATGAATTCCTCGAGATAATTGATGCGCTGCAGATTTGGCATAATTCTTGATGCCTTCTGTTATAAAGGCAAGACCGCCAAGTTTTCTGTGCCTCTCGAATGGACGATTGTCGAGGGAATCCTCATCGTCAGTATCGTAGATGTAGTCTTCTTCCAACAATGGCATGTTGGAAATTTCCTCTTCATCAAGGTTATTGCCTCGTGCTTCATGGTTGCGTCGTCGGAGATTCTCGGAAGCAGCGGCAATAGCCCCGGACCCAGACTGATTGAAATTAAAATCCTCGTCATCAGAATCATCGTCGTCGTCGTCATCACTCGTAGAACTTGGGTTTGAATGGCCTGGTCGTTTGATACCAAAATGCTGAGTAACTGGCTTGCGGATGTCTACATCCATCTGTGGCATCCAGAATGGTATAAGATTTATGCGAGTCGGGAAGAGAGTCGCCGTACCATGGATAAATTTTGAGAACTTAGGAACAGCCTCAACAAGATGACTAGAAATGAGTTCTCGTACCCACTCAGGTGGTTCTTGGCCAGCTTGAGTCTGTAGCTTCACTTCAAGGACTGCGTAGGGGAATCTTTCGACGTCTTCCGCGGGTAATTGACTGAATGGATAGTCAATACCGATATCCATTCTTCGCCAGTTGTCACCAGCACGCCTTCTTCCGTCAAGGTTATCTTCTCTCACCATGGTCAATTCAGTATCTAAGGAGATACGAACTCTTGCATCGGCCGGCAATTGGAAAGCTGTACGGTTATAGAATGATCGACAGACAGGTACATAACCTTTCTTGAGAACCGAGTACTGAACTTCCCTAGCAAGCCTCTCGTCCTCCTCAATGGCTTTCAGGGGTTTCTTGCCCTCTTTGCGAGCTTTCTCAAAAATAGCAGCAGGTAGGATTTCTCCCTTCATGTACGCATTGACGTTCTTTTCTTTGATCCCAAATCTTGCTTTAACCGATTTTTCTCCCGTCCAATCCTCTCGATGTGTTTTTCTTTCCACAAAAATGTGCTCATTGTCGATGTCACCGTACCATCTCAGACGAATTGCCTCTGCCCCTTCGCTTTTCTTGAGTCGACCCTCGTATAGCTCCCAGGTATCGGGGTTGTCGTAATAAATCGAAGTGATCGCAGAATCTTTTGCTTCAAATTCTTTACTGGCATTGAAGACAAGGACGGGTAAGTGCTAGGTAAAGTTAGCGCGTGTTACAGGGGTAGTCATAATGACTTTACCTTCAATATGATGAGTTTTAACTCAGTGATGTTATCGGGATGCACCCAGTATTTGGTTGTTTGTCGGATGAAACTGGCTTGACTTCCACCTGCCGAACTGTCACCCTGTACTGGATTTCCCCTCGTTCTGACCAAGTCATATAATTTTGACAGCTTAACAATATCCGCATCATAGTTATCTTTGAAGAAAGGTTTCGCCTTTAATCTTGTCGCAAACACAGGTTTTAGCATCCACTTGGTAGTTTTCTGGCAAAGGTTAGCTGGGGCGGTATACATATAACCAACAAACTTACGTCATGCTTCTTGATGATCTTTTGGAACCCAGTATAGTTCAACTGCACGAATTTGGCCAAGTCATGGACATCGGCGATAATGTCGCTCAAATCTTCCTCCAATAACATAAACTCTTCCTCCGTAGGAACATCAGAATCTGCCGACCCGTTGCTACGTTCAGGTCCTCTCGAATCTAACCTCCCGACCACTTCACTAACCTCTCTATCCGCGTTTGCAATTCTTCGACTAATTTCGATAGCCTTCAGTTTCTGTTTGGTGTGCACCTTGTCTAGCTCTGCCTCCATAAGATCAATGAACTCTCTCTCATTCGCTTCCGTCCATTCTACTCTTTTCGAGCTTGACTTGTTTTTGTTTGGAGTGGAAACATATGGAGTCTTGAGCTTCTCTTTTAGTTCATCGTATGCGATATAGTACCATTGATACTCTTTAATCACACTCGACCGAAGCTGCTCACCGAACTTCATGATGATGGTTCCAGGTGGGAAATTGTATTCGCTTGCAGGGCTGTTGGTCTGCGATAACCAACGTTGAGTACCTGTTTTTAAATCCTTAATAATCAGCATCTATAACAATCGAGGACCTTTCAATGTCTGCGCATGAGTAAATAATCGAGTTTGCAGCGACGCAGAGGTTGGGAGTGGGTAATTGTAAACAGGAGGCGCATGAAGAGAGTGTACCTAAGTATATACGCCGAACCAGTGAGTTTTGCTCGTTTGAAGAAGGAACGAGGATATCACCAAATGAGGAAGTCGCTGACTATAACAAGGGAAGAAGGTGAGAGGATGATAATATCGGTGTCAAGTCTTAAAAATTAGTATTTTTAGGTTTTGCTGGGAAAGTTGCATAATTAATACAAAGCTATGAATGAATGTAATGTTCCGATGATGGAAAGCAGCTTGAAGGCTTTCATTGACCAATCATAAATCGATGGCCCAAAACGTGTGAAATCCAGATTAATACCTAATTTAGTTTAGGTAATTTAACATTCTGTCTGAAGAGTCCTTATCTCATCTTATCAATTTTGCACAATGACATTGTAACATGATGGATTGATCACGTGTACCTCCTTGACTTGATCGTCTGCTTTCCGCTGTCATCAGATTTCGTCTATCGAGGTATTGGGTACCTACTTGCTTTTAATTATCATCTGAAAGCATTGCAGGCCTCTTGATTCCTTAACTCTTTTGATCACATCGAGTTACATATAAGCAGTCTAGGACTTTGAGTTGTGAGAATCTATCAATTCCCATTCTAATGGGTTAAAATCTTCGTATTGCTTGCATTCAATTCTACCACACTCAGTCTTACGAGCTCAGTATCAAACCATTACAGGCCCAACTGTACTTAGTGTTACACTATGGCAACTACTACTGCTCCAAACACGCCCTTGCTGATTTATGGTTCCATCATCCAGGCAGCTAGTGTGGAGTCTCTTGAGTATGTCGAACAAGGCCTCCTAGTTGTTCAGTCTGGGAAGATACTCCATTATTGCAAGAGCGTTAGACAGGAGGATATTCCCACCATTCTTGGCAGTCTTGAAATTGGAGCTCTTCTCCCCAGTATTCGCTATCTCAAAAAAGGTCAATTCGTCATTCCTGGGTTCATTGACACTCACAACCACGCACCTCAATGGGCTCAGCGTGGTTTAGGACGCGGGCTAGAAATTCTGGATTGGTTGGATCAAGTAACATTCCCAAATGAGGCGAAATTTGAGGATCCAGATCATGCTCGACGTATTTACAATTCCTGTGTCGATGGATTCATCAAGCAAGGCATCACCACCGTGTCATACTATGGGTCCTTACACGGTGAAGCGACAAAGATATTAGCTGATATCTGTTTTGAAAAAGGACAACGAGCTTTCGTTGGGAAATGCAATATGAATCGCAACTCCCCTGCCTATTACACAGATGCATCCGCAGAGTCCTCTCTTGAAGTCACGAAGGAGTTCATTTCTCACGTTCGACACGTCGACCCCAATTTTGACTTAGTCAGTCCTGTTCTTACTCCTCGGTTTGCAATTTCCTGTACCGATGAACTTCTTGCAGGCATCGGACAAATTGCAAAAGCCAATCCGACTTTACCCATTCAAACCCATTTTTGCGAGGCAGAGTCCGAGAAATCTGCAACCTTATCCCTGTTTCCATCATTTACAAACGAAGCGGATCTCTATGAAAGTTTCAATCTTCTATCTCAGCGTTCCATTCTCGCTCACTGCACCATAATGACAGATTACGAGATAGAGCGTATTGCTGCACTCGATTGTGGAGTAGCACATTGCCCGGTTTCGAATACTACAGTTGGTGGTGGATTCATGGCAGCACCCATTCGTGAATACCTTCGTCGTGGTATCAAAGTTGGATTAGGAACTGACAGTGGTGGTGGGTTCTCTTCTTCAATTCTGGATGCTATGCGACAGGCTTTCATAGTATCCAATGCGAGAGATTTCCTCACCAAAGGTGCTGATCCACGGTTATCTCTTGCTGAATGTTTCTACCTTGCGACACTTGGTGGTGCTCGAGTTTGCTGTCTAGATCATGTAATTGGAGACTTTTCCAGTGGAAAACAGTTTGATGCTTTGATCATTGATACAGAAATAGATGGAGCAATGACAATGACTGATGAAAAAGATACCCTTCCGGTTCTCTTTGAGAAGTTTCTGATGAGTGGAGATGATCGGAATATTCTTGAAGTTTATGTCAAAGGCAGACAGATCAAAATTTGATCGAAATCTTATGGCAGTTCTTCAAGTAACAGACATATCTTTTACTACTTGAAAGAAATTGGTTGAGGCCACCTTAACAGGGCTAGGTCAGGCTTGATAATATTGAAGAATGCAGCATATTACCAACTTTCAAGTAGTATAGTGAGCATTCGTTTTGTTTGAATGTCATCTACTTCTCCGCATTCCACAAACCCCATTGATTGACTAAAGCTAACAAAGCAGCCCATGTTAATAGAATGAATGTTCAAAGAGTTCCCTCCACGTGTTTGAACCCAAATTTTATTCTTCCTAAATCAACAGCTAGTTCACCCCCGTTATCATGTCCTATACTACCTCAGAACAACCATCTCAAGCTCCTAAGATTCTTTGTTTAGGCGACGCTCTTACACAAGGTTATTCACGGTATGGTACTAAGTTTTTCCCCTATAGCAAATGGATGAAAAAAAAATTGGAGAAAAAGTGGCCGGATAGAGAAATTGAGGTCATAACGGATGGAATAATGGAGATTTACTTGCCCCGCCTGGAGTATTCAAAAGAAGGATGGAGAGACACTGTAAGTTTTGAAGTTCGTCAATTGGCGAGCATTATGCCTTGATGTGGAGAAATCTTGGGTGGATGGATGGATACTCAAACCTGGATCATGGAGTGATTATATCCAGTGAAGCTTGTTAGTCTCTTCTAGCCATTCACTCTCACCATACACTCTTACATTTTATGTCACGGGGCGATTTCAGCCCTATATTCTGCATTCTTCAGAGGCTATTCAGGCGTTTTATACTCACGATCTCACAAATATCTCGCTTGCCCATACATCCTTACACTTATCATTCTTACCCTCATAGTCCCATGTACACCACCCACAAGCCACACAACTATCCTTAGTAGTAAGATCTTACCAACGACTGAGTCCACAACCGTCCAGTCCAAACCCTCTATGCTATCTTTGAAACCTTAGTCTTTTAACCACTCAGCAAGGCCTCAAAAGTCTTAATCATGACTATCCCAGAATTTCATATGGGAGTTAAGGGTTTAGATCAGAAACGAGAGGAATTTAATGATCTGTTAGTTTACAATTTAGGAAGGAAGAATAATGTGTATGTTTGTTTTGCCATAAATCATCTACTTCACTTCTCATTCCAGAATCTCGGAAGAAAAAAAGTGATTTGGGTATGGATAGATGGAATGAATATACAGCTGTGTCAACTAAACACCCCAATTCACAGCAGTACATTTGATCTTTGCGGCAAAATGCCTTCACATATGGACGCGAATAAAAGAGCAAAAGTTTGGGATGAGGAATTACATTTTATAAAAGCGGGTCACAGGGAGATGGGGATTATGATGAGTCTTATTCAAACCGAGCGTCTTTTTGGAATTACGGTGTTGTTGCAGTGATAATGGATATGATGCTTTGTGTTTTAATACGAAGGCTGGCTGCTCCGATCACAAGTAAACTATGGTAGAGGAGAGAACGTACAGTAATCTCGAGCAATTAGGAAAAGGGAAGCGTGTAAGAGCCTTGTTCATCTTTTTGAGATTGATAAGGATGCGAAAGCTATTAATTACTAGGTATGTAGGAGAGCAATAATGACGAATGAACGAGGGGGATGAATAATGATGGTATGTCAGAAGTGGTATGGTCGCAAATAATATTCAAGCTTTGAAGCTGCGGATGGAGGGCATGAAGGGTGTAGAGGTATACATGGAAAATAGGGCGAGTAATAAATACACTTGCTTGGATATATATGTATATAAAAACTTTTTGGTAAGATAATAGGAAGGGGCTGAAGGGAGCAGGCATGATAACGTTGTTTTGTAGGTGGAAAGACGCTTTCTACAGCGATACTTTGCTCAAGATCTGTATAACATACACATACATGTGAAGTACAAATGTTGTCTTAAATAGTAATCTTTAGTCTTCACGCGTGAAAGTCATTCCAAACACGTCGTTTAATTGGCCAATTCCCGAGCCACTCCACCAGCCACCCCATTTCCCCTGAAAAAAACCACTTTACGCGTGGAAACTCGTGTGGACGCGAACGCGATTTTATGTGGCTTTGGTACCCGCTTCCTTTTTTAATTGTGTTTACACTTTCTTGCCATATCAGAGTCAGAAAGCTCCACCACAACCATCACATTCTTTGGCACCGGACTTTCACAGCGACATCAATCAAAACTCAACATGTCGTCTCCTGCTGGTCGTCGACAGCGCAATCCTCAATCTGCGACTCCTAGACGCACATCAGCAAGAAATTCACAGGCATTTCCAAGTAGCCCACCGGATCCCGCTGCTGCTCAACTTCAAAATGAAGCAGCTTCGTCGCAAGGTGTCACAGGTACCCCTCGGCGGGGTATCATTCCCTCGTCGTCGCCTATGAACTATAGATCATCTCCGGCAGATGCTGCACGATTCAATCGAGATATCAGTTCGCCGCTGAGACAAATGACAAATACTCAGTCAACGCAAGAAAATGGCGATCGTACTCCAAGAGCAAGTGGTAGCGCTCTTATCGGCGGTGGGTACTACATTGCCAGATCAACCAATATTAACTAACAATGATAGACTCCTCACCGATCAGATACGAAGCAAGTTCTAGCCCTGGTAGAGCATATGCCAATGATCCCCAGTCAAACATTCCAAGTGACAGCAGTGGCCTTTTCGTTCGCTCCTCTCGTTCTCAAGGCCCTGGGTCTGCAGTTAACAATTCTCGAAGAGGGGATATTACATCTGATAACCTTAACACACCCCGCGCCAGAAGACGTATATTCATGGATGAAAGTGGGCGAATTGTAAGAGATGTTCCACCTGAAGATGCGGAAGCTCCTTCATTCTCGAATCTTGACCCAACAACTTCAGATGCGCAAGCCATGGGAGGCAATTCTACACTTTGTATCTGGGGTACGAATGTTTCCATAAACGATACATTGTCCACATTTAAGGACTTTCTCCGAAACTATACTAAAAAATACCGCATGTGGGGTGAGGGAATGTCCGAGGAGGACACTCAAGCCGATCCTGGGTCAGACTCGAAGGAGTACTTAGAGATGATGCAAAATATGCTGACCCTTGGAATTACGAGTCTTAATCTCGATTTCCGCAACCTCAAGGCATACCCTCCTACCAAGAAACTCTGGCAGCAAGCGCAGGATTACCCTCAGGATATTGTTACGCTTATGGATCAGGGTATTAAAGATGTAATGTACGAGATTGCGGAAAATCAGATGGCAATTCAGAGGCAATCACAAAGTTCCGCCGGACAGGCGTCTGGGCGAAGTAGAGTTCAAAGCTCGGAACCTCCTATCCCCAGTTCAGAGAGGAGCGAAGCAGAGGCCGCAACACCAAGGGGACAAGATTCTAATGAAGTGGATTTGTGTGCTGAGGTACAAAAGAGATCTTATAGAGTTAGACCCTTTGGTCTAGACAAAACTATCAACATGAGAGAACTTGATCCATCCGACGTCGATAAGATTATAGCTATTAAGGGACTCGTCATTCGAACTACACCAATCATCCCAGACATGAAAGATGCCTTCTTCAAGTGTTCTGTGTGCAATCATACAGTCAAGGTTGATATCGACCGTGGTAAGATTGCTGAGCCGACAGAATGCCCTCGTCCTGTTTGTAAATCTCCAAATTCCATGCAGATTGTACACAACAGGTCTGGATTTATGGACAAGCAAGTCATCAAACTCCAAGAGACTCCAGATTCCGTTCCTGCTGGTCAAACACCTCATTCTGTGTCGATGTGCGCATACGATGAATTGGTGGATCTCTGCAAAGCTGGTGACAGAGTTGAGATTACCGGTATCTTCAAGGCTAGCCCAGTCCGTGTGAATCCACGTCAAAGGACTCTTAAAAGTATTTATAAAACCTACATCGATGTTTTACATATCCAGAAGGTCGACAAGAAGAGAATGGGAATTGATGCCTCGACTGTTGAACAAGAAATATCCGATCAACTAACTGGTAATATTGAAGAGACTAGAAAGGTTTCAGAAGAGGAGGAAGAAAAAATTAGGGAAACCGCTACAAGGCCCGATATCTATGAGCTTCTGTCTCGCTCCCTTGCACCTAGTATTTTTGAGATGGACGATGTTAAGAAAGGCATCTTGCTTCAGTTGTTTGGAGGAACCAACAAGTCATTCGAGAAAGGAGGAAGTCCGAAATATAGAGGAGATATCAATATTCTACTATGTGGTGACCCTTCTACTTCGAAATCTCAGATTCTACAATACGTACATAAGATCGCTCCTCGTGGTGTGTATACCAGTGGTAAAGGATCATCGGCAGTTGGTTTAACAGCATACGTTACTCGAGACCCAGAAACACGCCAGCTTGTCCTCGAATCCGGAGCTCTTGTTTTGTCAGATGGAGGTGTTTGCTGTATTGATGAATTTGACAAAATGTCCGATGCTACTCGATCAGTCTTGCACGAAGTTATGGAACAACAAACTGTCTCTATTGCCAAGGCAGGAATCATCACAACTTTGAATGCTCGAACGAGTATTCTTGCATCCGCAAATCCAATTGGGAGTAAATATAATCCGAACTTACCAGTACCGCAGAATATCGATCTCCCACCTACTCTGCTTTCTAGATTTGATCTTGTCTATTTGATCTTAGATCGTATTGATGAGACCAATGATCGTAGATTGGCGCGTCATCTTCTAAGTATGTACCTAGACGATAAACCGCAAAGTGCTTCAGGAGGAATGGAGATTTTGGTAAGCGTATCTTCTTCTTATTTACGTAGAAGTACGAAGCTAACAACCACAGCCTATTGAGTTCCTGACCTCCTATATCTCATACGCTCGTGCCAAGTGTCAACCAAGAATCAGTCAAGAAGCTTCTGCCGAACTTGTCTCCGCCTATGTTGAAATGCGCAAACTTGGTGAGGATATCCGCGCCGCTGAACGTCGTATCACAGCCACAACTCGTCAACTCGAATCCATGATTCGTCTTTCCGAGGCTCATGCTAAAATGCGTTTGTCGGAAATTGTTACAAAAGAAGATGTACAAGAAGCAGTTCGATTGATCAAGAGTGCTTTGAAACAAGCGGCTACAGATGCGAGAACCGGGTTGATTGATATGAGTCTTTTGACCGAAGGCACAAGTGCTAGTGAGAGAAGGAGAAAGGGTGATCTGAAAATAGCGGTGCTGGGTGTCGTGGATGAGATGACCGGACCCGGTGGAAATGCTAGATGGACCGAAGTGGTCAGAAAATTGGGAGAGCAGAGTAGCATGCAAGTTGATTCTACAGAGTTTGGCGAGGCAGTTAGAGGGTTGGAGTTAGAGGGTAAGGTTATGATTTTAGGTGAGGGACCTAGAAGAAGTATTAGGAGGGTTACGGGTCAGTCTTAAAAAATGGGAATGTGTGATGAGGATTGGGGATTGAAGATGCGGTGATGATAATATATCCGGCGTTGGGCTTTTATCTTTGTTTGGTTATTTGTGATAGGATAGTAGGGGAGAGGAGGGTGTAGGGTATCGATTCATGAGTCCGCTTGATATGCATAGTAGTATGATGTGATATGATATGAATAATATAAGAGTTCCATGAGTATTTACATTTCTTGAGTGTGTTGTTCTCAACTGTTCCAGTAGTAATTTTTAAGATCTATATTATACATCCTCTCAGATTAGTCAGTATATATATACCTTGTTTTAGAACAATTTACAAAGTCTTTCTTGATCCTAAGACTCTTACGAAGTAATAATTCAAACTTTGAGAAAAATAGAGTCTAAAATCCGTCTGTCGCTGATCATTCAAGACCCCTGAATCAAACCATTCATTAGTCGAGTGACTCGAAGCTTTCTTTCATGATCTAAAACTCTAGGACAAACATAAATGATCAGAAACGTGAGTGAATTCATCGATTTAAAAGAAGTACAGATATGCACCCGCATCCTTGCCTTCCGAGTATTTGCTCGGCGAATACACCACATCTGCTTTTGCCCAAAGCTACACCAATTCTCTCTACGACAGCTTGAACTGCTCGTGAACTACCGATCTATTGAACTGGATACTTGATTTTCACTGTTCCAAAAGGACCTTGCTAACGTCGTCTGTGCCCATTTCAATAGACCGTTCTCTGAGGGATGCGATCTAGATCACGTGGAAGTGGCCTGGAATGATTTATAACTAGGCGTCAAGCAGGGGTTTAAAATAATATCAATGGTTGCAATTTGTAACTAATAGTAGAATATACTATATGCTGAAGGTATAGTAATCTTACGACAATAAATAATACCCTCTACTAACACCAAACCTCCCATCCATCAATATCGAAAAGCTTCTAATCAGGCTCAAGCTGAACCTCTAAAGATATAAAATATTCAAGTATGAAACTTCAATCAATTACAGAGTACGCTTTTGATTAGCGCATATCTATCTATCTTAATCTTACTATTTGAATTACTGAGTTGTAGAGGCTTGAAAATCGGGAATTGAAATTGAAGAGTAGAGTTCTGGAATTAATTAAGCATATGAGGCCAATTGGAGGGCAGGTAAAATACTGAATCGGAGAGGTGTTATTCAGATTTTAATTACTGTAGATATGCGGTGTTTGAATATTAGTTGCAGTCTAACATTAAATGTTAGCGAGGAAATCTAAAACTTAATTAGCTTTTCGGCTAATTTGATTTATCTTCGCTTGATCATTATGATGATTAAACTTAACCCTAGAACAGGAGCTAGCTAACCTTCGTGTAGTTGAATTTTAACTCTAAGCACTTAGGTATGTTATAATAGTATATAGTAGTCAAGTACCGTCCTGGGAATCTTTCCTCTTTAACACTAATCTGTCAACTAAATAATCTCAATAAACGCTCCACGTCACAGTCTTTTGAACTTCCTTTTAATTTTTTTTGCGCAGAGTCCGGTTACTTGTTTACTTGTTGAGTAGTCGATCACATCTCATGGGTGTCAGATCAGGACGGGGAGAAGGAAATAGGGATTTTACTACTGATTCTGGCGCCTGTTTAGGTGTTGATTTAAAATACAGGCAGGTTTTAAATCCGTTTACTATTTGATTACTTTTGTATTTGGAAATTTCCTATTTTTCCCAATTATATCAATCATTCGTTCATATTTTCCAGTGTGCAGGGATATATCATATTCAGAGTTAGCAATTTCCAAGAATTTGTACTAGTAAATACTAGTTACTAACACCAGTCAAGACATGAAGAAAGCGTGGCATCGTACTAGCTCTTTTTCATGATAAAAAGTTGAACTCCAGTATCAGATGGTACTCCATTTCTGCCACAGACTGATGGGGCTGAGCGAGTCGTTATGATCATATTGGTATTATAAAAGTCCACGAATATTATTACATGGACCGAAAATACTGAAAATATACCGACATCATGAAAATGAATCATAAATAATCACTATCAAAATCAGAAGCTTTTATCCAATTTGCGTCCCCTTGAATCTAATATTGAATCTCTCGTCGCCTTCAAATCGAGATACAAACCATTCCTGAAGTTTGATACCGTCTATTCTAAATATGAGAAAAGATGCGCGGGACTTCCAGGTATTCTTATTCCATCATTGATCACCCGCTAATCCCACACTATCCGCATTTCAAGTTTCCGTAGATTTCCTGACATCAAGCTATTAATGATTATTGCAAGGATCAAGCCCGTAAGAGTGATGTCCTAGATGCGCAAACGAAAATGAGAAGAGTGACACGATTCTAGGCCGTTACTATTTTATGGTAATAGTAGTATTTGATCAATAGCGGCTTTCTGTTGCCCCTCAGCTAACTCCTTTAGTATCAAGACCATTGATGCTATATCCAAGGATCATCCAAGGATCAGACCTAGATATGCAACAAACCATTTGAAAGAACAACTGAGTGGACTAAATTCTGAATTAGTGTCATGTTCCGGAGCTGATAGCATAAAATGTCACTAGATAGTGCATCAAGCGGACTTTTTCCCATACAGACTAGCATCAGACTGTCTACGGCCGCAGGAGTGTCAGGATTAAAAATAGAAATCATAGACATGCAACATAAGTTTCAATCAAATCCTTAGTGGATGAAGTTTCCAAGTGTTTCCGGATTGTTGAAATTCTGAACATTTAGTGTGCAACTAAACTATTCCACATTTACAAATATGAGGCTAGTTGCTGATAATACAGGGATTAGACCTTGCGATCAGACTTTCAGACATGCAACAAGATACCATGATGAATTTTAGGGCTGCGTTCGTGCTAAACTATGATGGTTAGCCAAGTATGTCATTTTGTGGAGGTGGAGTGGATGTCCTATGCTGCGGTGGCTACTTGTGAATAGACAAGGATCAGTCCTGGAACAAAAGTTTCTAGATATGCAACAACGAGTCGGTGAAGCATTCGCGTTGATATTTATCATAAATCTTATAATAAGAGACCTTCAAGAGTTCGCGGGTCGATTCCAAAGCTGCAACCTAAGGTCACTAGAGTGGCACTAAACCATTCATTCATTCTGCTACCATATAATCAATCATACAAGGACTCAGCGTGTAAGTTTGTAGACATGCAAAAAATCCCATAAAGTCAGCTAGAGGCATCTTAGTACGGTATTACGAGAATCTGGAAGAGAAAGTGAAGTACCACTAAAGGCCTGTTTGGTAGTCGAGAAATTTCTGGTATATAATATTTGAAGAGTAGTATTGGAAATATTTATTAAATTCGTGTTTGGTAATCAGTATTTGAATATTATTAATCAATTATTAGTACTTATACTCGTACAAAATCTTTAATTATTGAATAATAGAATAAAGAATCATTTAATATTTCAAATACTATTATCTTTAGAAACTTTTATAAACTCTAGAAAGCCTAAAAACGAATATTCGGAAATCTCAAATAGTTTAAAAGGTCTGAAAAGTCTAAAAAATCCGAAAAAGTAAGAATAAAGATAAATTATATATATTTTTTAAATATTTGAATGTATTATCCTTCCTTCCCCTCTCTTTTCCTTCCTGCCCCCTCTCTTCTTTTTCTTTCTTTCTATATCATTTTTTCCTTTTCTTTTTTTACTTTTTTTAATTCATTTTCATCTTATTCCTTCCCTTCGAATTCGTCAAGTATATTCTTATAACTCTAATTTTAATTTCAACTCTAAATGCTACTGACCTGCCCGAATCATCAAATAAATTCAGAAACTAATTTCAACCATTCCATAGTTGTTTTACTAAAAATTCCTACCATTCCTATACTACCAACCAAAAAATAGTATATAAAAAACTACTGGTCATTTTTCGATTCACTTACCAAACACTACCTTAGCTAATAATGTACAGATCTACTAAATTACTTATTCCAAAGCAGCACAGGGATCAGGTCTGCAACTCCAAGCCTTTAGATATGCAACAAGATTCTTTGATGAGTTTTCATTGGTCTTGGTTGTGAGAATAAGACGTGATTCGAGAATAGGAACTAGTCGTGGTTTTAGTCTGGTGTTAGTGTACTACTAAATTAGTAGTAAGTAGAAAAAATATGTAGTAGTCAATCCTACATCGGCTTAAAGATATCCCATCAGAAGCATTGAAGACAAGACTAGCTTGTCTAAGAAAAATCTCTGCATTTAGAGTTTTGAGGTGAGTTCCGAGAGATTCTAAACAGGGCAGTAGGGACTTGATATAAACACGCTTGGTGGGAATATGGGACAATGGAAAGCAGGTATTTATTGAATTGTATAAGCGATATAGAGTGTGAACTAACCATTGCATTGTACACTGTCATCTAATCTAAGAACTGTAATGCACTTTAGCTTCTATACTAATGTAAAAAAGAAAAAAGAAAAGCCAGCAAGGAAATTTTATAAGTCATTCAATAGAAATAGATTCATGAAATTAATTGAAATAACAACACAAGATAATTTTTGTTTTATCCGGTTGAGAAAACACCCTTTTTTCTTCAGGTGACAAACATAAAGGAAACAACGCCAACAAAGAATCGGATTCATGATAGAGATGGAATCATATAGTCCACAATTGTGATACCACAGGTCAGAGTCCACAGATGATGTTCGGTGTGCTGATATATCCAATGGATTCCAGAAAATTTGAAACTGGTGAATTATTTCACAATCTTACAAGTATAGAATAAAAACATAAAAGGTCACAAATGGGTTTCTATTGGTAAATCAGAGAATTTAAAGTTTTTGAATTGAGGAAAACTTACATTGATTGAAAGAAAATATTGGATGATAACGAACTGAAATGAGCTTAAATTCATTGAACTCACATTGTGCAAGGTAACGCGCCTACTTACGTCTTATCTCAAACGGTATACACATCACTCACCAAAGTGGCCTGTGTGCATCAGTCACGTTTGGTGGGATCCAATCACGGTTGCCACTGGAACCATCCTCCAAGTAGGGTTTTGGAAACGGCGGCACTTTCCTTTCCCTCGCCAGATCATAACGCTCCACCCAGGACAAAAACTTGGCAAACGAGATTTCCGATCCACTGACATTTTGTGTGTCAAATTTAGGATAGAATCGTGCGTTTCGAGCACAATGCTCATACAATGTCTTTTTGTCAGGACAGCCATAATACACTGGTGAGCGATTGCGGACAGCTGATGTGATAATTATACGGATCAGAAGCCCGGGGTACTGGAGTATCGGAAGGAAGTTTTCAGACACTGCGTTGGAGGGCTTGATGTCATTTAAAGGATAGTAAAATGCGTTATGTGCGTTTTCAGTATCATCATACCCTCTGAAACCACCATATAGAAGATCGGTGACGAGACGAATTCGACGGTTCATCATTTCGTGCCCGCGTCTTTGACCGTAGCACAAATCCCACCCGAAGGCAAGACACATGATATTGGATATCATATACAGGCCACAGTCTACACTGCCTTCTTCTTGCACGTCGCTCCTCCCAGTGCGCAGTTTCCAATCGCATGGATTAAATCTTTGAGCCAGCGGTGCTTGGCTCCCAAGATATGCTGCGAGAAGACTAATGAAGGTTTCGACACACTGAGCACCTCCACCGCGTATTAAACCGTCATCGTCACTGCTACAGAGGTAATCAATAGTTTTGGCTTCTGGAGAGATGGCACAGACGGCTACGTGTCCAGATTGCTGAATCAGATTTGTGCCAGATTGAACGATGATGAAAAGGTAGCGTAGCTGCCAAAATGCTTCTCGCGAGAACTTCTTAACCAGTTCTGCGGCAGCATGTTTTGGTCCTTTTCTCATAGTTTCTTCAAAGTGAGAGGGTAAATAGGCAAACATAGGAACGGTTCCCGGCAGGTGTCTATTAGGTGTCATCCCGTCTATATCTTCGGATGGAAGAGCAGAATGCCAACGATTCGCGTAGTCGCAAATAAACTCTACCATTGCATTTGAAGTCTTAGGAAGGATTCCATTCTTTGGTGCCAAAGAAAAGAAAACTTCAAGATCCGTCAACTCGGTGCCGGTCCCAACATTTGATTCGCTTGGTAGCAGTGTTGTCATGAGTGGCCTGTATTCGGGAAACGTAATTTCCGTTGCTCCTATTTGAGAGTTAGCACAAAAAGCTTGGTTATCCCTAAGCATCGTGGACTCCACCGATTTAGTTCGAACATATTTGTCAATGTTCGCTGGAAGAGGATAGAACATTTGCGCTCTTCCCTGAAGTGAGATTGAATGAGTAGAGGCTGTTTTCGGGGCGTGGAAAGGTGCATTGCGTGCGACTAATCTACCGCATCGGTCCATCAAAGCAAAATCCATTATAATCGAGCTTCGGTGTGATATGCTGGGTAGATGTGTGTATATGAACGCTGGACTTCAATATGCAGTTGTAGTACCCATACGGATTATAACAAATACGATAGCATTGTTCACCTCCATTTCACTTGCCATTCCAGCAATCAAATAAAGAAAAACTGGGTTCTCGCGATGAATAGAGAAGATGTATAGATTGAGAGCAACAGATGATAACTTGTTCCTGCAGTTTGAACAACTGAGGAGCAGGAAAGAGAGCACTTGCTTTCCTGATCCTCAAATTTCACTACCTTCCAGTAGAGCCTGAGATCGAAGTGGTGTTTGATGAATACCCATGGGAGATGATGTTAAAAATAGTTGTTAAGCTTAAGAGTGTTTCTCGCTGCTGTTCAACAATTCCAGAGCTGTAAGCTTTAAGATAGGTGTAGAACCAGCGTAAGAACGTTAATCAATCATTTAATTCTATCTTTGATGACACTAAATTCATTCTGTCTCACTCGTATTTCTGTGCAGTGAGAACTGTTACCGGAATAACTAAACTCCCCTTAGCGCCAAAATTGAATCAGTCCTCAGGCACCAATGACAATGCGACCACGATTTCCATATTGATAGCTTCATTCCCCCCAAGACCAGCTCCAGAAACTACCTCCTCCACATCTCACGCCCGAATCCCAACAAATAACTCTTGCCAGTCGGCCTCAAATTCCCAATATGGCGCCCAATATGTCGCTTTTCTCCGTCAATGCCATTCTAATCCTCAACGCCGAAGATGGTTCTCGGGTGTTCACTAAATACTACTCTCCACCCCACCACAACTCCTCATGTATGCACTACCTATACCAATTCCTATATCGTCACTGACACAGTCCCAGCACCAGCAGCACCATATCCAGATCAAAAATCGCAAAAATCATTCGAAAAAGGCCTTCTCGAGAAGACACAAAAGCAAACCGCAGATATCATTCTCTACGACAATCGCATTGTATTATACAAGAGTGAGAGCGATGTTATGATGTATGTGGTTGGAGGAGTAGACGAGAATGAAATTATGCTTTATAATGTTATTTTGGCCTTGAGAGATTCTTTGCATTTATTATTCAAGTATGTATTTCCCCTCAAGAGACCTGGGCGCATTCCTTCGTCTCTTACCGTTTCCAGAGCTGTAAAGGAATCCGAAACTAATATTTAACAGGCAATCAGTAGATAAACGGACTATAATCGAAAACTACGATCTTCTTTCCTTAGCAGTTGACGAGATGGTCGATGACGGTATTATCCTCGAAACAGACCCCACGATTATCGTACAAAGAGTTAGCAAAGCCCCTACACAAGATGTAGCGCAATTGAAGGGTATTGATCTGAGTGAACAAGGTATGAACAATTTGGCACAATTTGGAAAGGCGAAGTTAGGGGATTGGTTGAGGCAGGGTTTGTAAAGGGTATGGAGAGCAAAGATCATGTCACTGTGGATGGGCGATGTTATATCTGGTTGGCAGCCATAAAAGGAGTTTAGATGTACTGGAGTTGGGGCATATTATATTCACAGGCATAGGAATATTGAAATCATATTGGGACGCAACTTGTTCTATGGTATTGTATCTAGATGTATTGATCTTCAAAGTAATCCTTTATCTTCTATTTTTCGATCACTGTAGCTGCTTTTCGAAGCCTGTTCATGACTGCTGCTGCGATATCCCCCTCGTCTTGGATTCCTTCTACAAAAATGACATCGCAACCTCTTTGATCCAATTCGCGCAGGGCAGAAAAAAGACCGTGTGCGATATCTTTAATTTTACTGCCAAGAGCAATTTTTAGACAATCCGCCACATGCCAGCCTGTCGGTTGGTCACCTAGATCTTTAATCCAAGGCTTATGCTTTGTTGTGTAGAGCATGAATTTGTTTGAGTGCAAGACCCCTGCCATGTCGATAGTTTCTCTGTCCCCCTCAGTTATTTGAATATCATAGTCGGCGGTTTGACACTGAGCACGGAATTTCCAATGCTTGGTAGAAATTATACCAACTCTGGCTGGCTTATCGTCCGATTGGTGTTCAACCTGTTCCATCTTTTCAGCTCGTGCCGTCACTATTGAGAATGCTTCGTCTCCGAAAAGAGGTTCAATGCGGCGCCCATTTTCGCATAATATAACCTTTGCCTTGGGACTGTAATGTTTATACTTCATTCCGGGTGCTCTAGGCGCCTTATCTCCAATTTCACTTTGGTCTTTATAGCCTTTCACCACCCTTTCCCATCCATGACACCCTCGAATCGCGTCAATACTCACACCGCCAGGTCTAAGTACAACAGGGGGATCGCACATCCCATCTACGACTGTGCTTTCTACTCCAACTTGGCATGCCCCACCGTCGAGTATAATTTCGATTCTGCCATTGAGATCATGGTACACATGCTCAGCTGTTGTACATGAAGGTTTGGTCGAGGCATTCGCAGATGGAGCGGCCAGAGGAACACCAGCCAGGCGTATCAATGATAGCGCAAGAGGAGAACTCGGCATGCGTGCGCCGAATGTTCGTAGACCTGCCGTAACTTCTGGGGCAAGTTTGCTTGGAGATGGGTTTGGTAACAGGATGGTTAGAGGGCCAGGCCAGAAACATTTAATCAGTGGCTTGTAGATCTCTGGGATCTCGGGAAAATCCGCACCTGGGCTCTGGCTCTCAGTGGATGATAAGAGACTGCGGAGCATAGTAAGATCGCAAACATGTATAATAAGTGGGTTGTCGGATGGCCGTCCTTTGGCGTTGTATATTCCTTTGACCGCATCACTCCTCGTAGCATCTGCGCCTAGTCCATATACAGTTTCCGTCGGGAAAGCTACAGGTATGCTTTTTGTCTTGAGATACTCTGCGGCTTCTGCGATAGGCTGCAGGACGGAGAGATCCTTAGGAAGTTCCCATGTCTCGAGGGTTTCTTGATTACTGAATCGACCAACTTCGGATGTAGTAATTGGAAGAAGGCGGGTTCTAATGGCATTGCCATTCACTTGAGTAGAAGTCATCTTGGTGCTAATACTGTGAATATGTGAGAGGAGGTTTGTTGTACTTCGCCGGATTCGAGAAGCCAGATTGAAAATGTTGACCTTTAGCGTTGTATTCTACGGCTCCTCCTTTTGGATAAACCTTTGAGAAATCCTTTAGATGACCTGCACATACTTCCTCTTCATTAACAATTTTTCAAAAATTGTGCAAATACATTTGTATTCTAAAGAGTTGCGACTTGTGGTGGGGCAATGAGTGACTCAAAATATTTCTTCAAGGCTATCAAATTTATTTTTCCCGCACAAGGCTATGTCTATGCTTGATGACGTAACGATAAATTTCTTATCTAAGCCAGAAAAGCCCTAGCCCCTTCAAAACAAATTAGTCGGCGCATAGGGCACAATTCCAGTGATAACGACGAGCTTTGTCGAGCACACAGCACAGCAAGGGAGCCATGAGGAGAGATATAATATTGCCATTGGTGCCAGAATGGCGATGCTGTGGCCTTGGGAGTCCTTCGATGTCTTTCGCCAGCTAAACATGCCGGGTGTTGGGCAACAAGTGTGCCTTCATAATAGCAACATATAAACCTTGGCGAAACATATTTCTGGTGCAAGGAAGAAGGTTCAGTGAACCACAGAAAGGAAAATGAATGATGTCCTATCCAAGATCCCTAGTTTGTCTGAAGTTACTTGTCGGGCGCGCCAAGCCTAGCAAGTGTTAGACCTCAGACCATTAGCCACGAACCGAAGTTCGAAAAGAACAGCTACATGTAAGAATGAGCATCTAAGGAAATATATACTGCGTTCACACTTTTCTCGCTACCCTATTGGAAGAGCTTAGAATTTAGAGGCTTTTCATACCACTCATTAGGTCATTTTACTCTTACAACATTGATTAGAATAAGTCCTGTTTTGGCTCGGCAATCGAGTCGACTCTTTCAATAGACTCAATTGCAGCAATCGATTAATTGAGAGCAGTCGAGTAATGATAAGTGATGTGTATACTGGTAATGTGAACCAGTGCAAAATAAGGTATCTTTTGTATGTGGGTAAAAAGAACACCCGATGTCATTTTCCTTTTCGAAGAGCACCGGCCATTGCTTTCCCAGTTTGCATATGGAGTATGGTCTTTCCGTTCTCTAGAGTATTGTTCTTGGTCTTATCACCTCTTTTTTGAATTTAATATACGAAAATGATTTCAGAAGCCGTTCGGCTTTTGTGTTACTAGTGAAGGGCTTAACCTATAATTTTCACACGCCTCAAAAATTTAGGGTTTTGGTCTGTAAGCTAACCTTCAAGCGAACGATGACTTATTTAGCACAACAAGTTCCAGTATTAGTGTATAAGCTATGTTTTCAGCAGTACAAATGGCCTCGATTTTTTTCATCTCGAAATGTCTTGCAGTTTCGTTCCCTGTTCTTCTTTACTTTATTGCTATCGTCATCAATACAAATTCATCAAGTCAACCATTATTCACAAGGGTAAAGATGTCTTTTCAATTTATCAAGTCGAAGCTCACCTGCAAGAGTCCTCCTTCGACAAAGGTTTACAAGAACCAAAATTTCGACAAATCCGACGATACCTGTAAGTAGAAAAAGCCCAATTGTGGTTCAAGTTTTAATCACTGTTTGGATATATCATATTTCCCGAACCGTCGCCGTACAATTGTATACTTCTTTCACACGACTCCAAAAAGTCTAGTCCTCAGACAAGGCTTTTGTTCAAAAGAAAATTGGTCTTATAATTACTTGCTCGAGCACTTATTCTGGGCATAGCAGATCCATACATGAACAATTTCTGAGTCCGCGTGTTTGATTTCTCTGGATGGTGATGCAGCTGGAAACATATTTGTATTGGTGCTCGGTCACACATCATGGATGCAGGTTAACTAATGAACGAATACTATAGTGGTCAATATCTGTGAGCGAAACCAGCGAAGAAGGGACCCAATCTCGGCTCCAAAGATACGCTGGGCAACAATTCCTCAAAACGACTACACGAACGCCCAGTGCCGTCTGTGGATTACTGCTCAACTCCGGGCTTATTACGTCTTCATCCCACGATCCACAGCCATTTCCATTGCCAGTGGTTTTGACGGTTCCGGATTCACAATGTTCGCAATGGAAAGAGAGGACTGGGTGGACATGCTCGGAGTTCATGGGCACATCATAGGATTCTTGATTCGAAGAATCTTGTGGAATCAGAAGAAAGCCACGAAAGCCGGCTTTTCATTGGGCGTGATGAACGATTTGAGGGGTGAATACAAGGCAGAAATTTTTTTGGAGGAAGATTTAAATTGGAGTGGCTTGTACCCCATCAAATAGAGGTCTTGAGGATCTTTCAATCTGGAGTTATTGATTGCAAAATCTTTTGGATATGGAGGCATTTTGAGATGGAGTTATTTGGAGATTGGATAATTTTAATATATGGACATTCTGGGTTGATACGTCAATCAGCCGATTTATGAGCTTCCTTGCCCTCACAATTTCTTCGAAAAAAAAAATCCCCTTCGATTTGTCCAATTACATGTTTCGATCGATTCGCCCTCCTCCCAAAAACACACCATGATTCTATATTATAATAAATGGAACTGTATTATTCAAGCAAGTTGAGCTACAATACTATGCTTTAGCCAATTACAATAATCCCATTTCAAACTGGAAGTAACGAGAGGCTTAAATCAGGCCGAAGAAAATAATTGACGCGAAATCATGCTACGATCATTCAAAACAGCGTTCTTATAAGGTATGAATGGTAATACTCTCAAGTGATTACGAAGGCGAGTATACAGTTTCTGCTCAAGATCGCCTCTCTTTCAAGTCATATTGTGCATTTAGAGTATGAAAATACCTTCAGATTTGTGCAAAAAGACAGTTGCTTTCCATTCTCTGCTCCCATGGTTCTTTCTACCTCAACCACAACGATAAGATCAGAAACAACAGCATCTTTCGACAACAACAAAATGCCATATTATGGAATCACTCACACTTCACATACTTCGACATGATTAAAATATCCCTTCTTCCTCACTATCCAAACTATTCTGAACACAACTCAGTACCGCTCTTCTATACTATTCCACAGGTCTCTCCTCGTTCGACATCATCGCAAACGTCATCATCTCATCCCTGAAACCTATTTTTAATATCGAGCCACATCTTCTCGCAGTACACTTATCACTGTAAGTTGATTCTGTTATTTTAAGCTGCATCATATCTAGTAATACTTTTCCGAAAGCCCTTATTCTTGATTGTCTCTTTCACTATTGATTGGATTTGGGAGTAGAAATAGATGAACTAATATATGGGATAGTCTACGGTCACCGGCGAAAATTCTCTCACTGGCCGGCTCTTCTGTCCTCGTACTTGACGTCATCAAAATTAAAGATTTAGATTGCACTTTCTGACATCGATCACGCCGTTTATCAAGTATGTTAAGGCTAAAATTATCTTGAAAAACGTGGGAAGATGCAGTCATACTACTCGCCATAGACCGGTACACTGCAGCGGGGGAAGTCAATGGGAGATGGGACCCGGAGAGTAAATCTTCAGAAAGCTCTCTGAACGGGGTTGCGGTTATAATAAAGGATTGGCTAATATTCCTTCATGAAGGATCCTTTGGCTTAAACTCGGATCGTCTGAAGACTGGGCCTGAAAATAGTTTCACACTAGAAAAACTTTTTGACCCGACAGCTCTTCAACGGAGATGGAGAGATCTCACTTTCGATCTCCAGTTGCAAAGTGCGGCTGCAGATGTATCAAAGGATATTATTTTATCACTAAAGACGGAGCTGGAGGATCGGTTTAGCATCAGAGTATGTTATATCGCAGGCGACAAGTTGCCTGTAGGGAAGCGCGAAGGCAAAAACCGGCTGCTGGGGACCGTAGACAATACTACGTGAGGTTTGCAAGTTGCTTCTGGACCGATAAGACTCGGGAGCGCAAAAAAGAGCAAGAGAGGAAAGAGAAACGAAATATGATTTAGCCTTACGTCAACAATGGTTATTCTCAACTCCTTTGATGCAGTCTTGCAACAACCGAACAATAGTGAGGATGCCTAAGACCTGAAGAAGCTCAAGAGCACCACTGGGACCCCATTCACTTCAAAGGGTGGCCTATTCCACTCGTTATTTCGGTTTTACAGGACGGACTTCGAATTAACAGGGGTTCTGGCACAATTGGGAGATCGGTGAAGGAGATGATGAAGCAAAAGTTTTCTTTCAAGACACGTATTGCACTTTAGGGTTACGGAGTACATGACACCTGAGTCTTACCCACACCTGTACTTTATACATTGGACTTTGTTCGCTGCGGGAATGTCTAGATTTTTTGTAGATATCGAGTAATACGGCACTTACTGCTTTATTACTCAACTCTGATATTTGATAAATTTGATTTTCTTAGATTGATGAGTTTGAATTCCGTTAACTATTTTATCCTTTTGATGCTGCGTGATGTGATTCGGATATATAAAAGTCCCTGTCTTGTGGTTGGTGAGAGTGGAGGAATGAAGCTCGAGTATGTAAATAACAATAGAACGAATTCAGCGCGCCATCCATCAATTATCAACTATTATTTACTTGTTATACTATTCCATTACCTAGCTTCTTCTCACAAAATCCAAATTCATCTCTGAGCAAAACGACGAACGGCTATTGAAGCGCTTAAGTATGACCAAGGAACTTGAATCAAAACCAAAGCTCAATCAACATTGTTTGTGAAAGGTCTGAGGAGAAGATATGCTATCATTGTACTATACCATATCATACCATGAGTTTCAAGCTTTACTCTGTAGATCAATGATACATTATTAAAACTAGAGAATAATCAACAATTAGCAATTTGATATCAACTAATCAAATGAAATAAATATATAATTTTTCTAAATATAAGAATTCTGGAATCTACTCATCGTACATCATCCAAATGAATTTTTTTCAAATATAATACCAATTGGCCATACATCCATATCCATCTCGACAATATCTTCTATAACCGAATTCCCCCAGATTTCCTACCCACCCTCCAACTCTCGTATTTTCCAATCATGAATCCAAATAACCCCAATCCCTCATCAACGTCTCCAACCTACTAACCTTCATAGGTTTCGTGTATAAATCATCCATACCCGCCGCCTTCGCCTTTTCCAGATCCTTCTCTGAATATGCGGCTGAGAGTGCCACGATACGCGTTGGTTGTAATGGTACGGGACTGATACTCTGTTGAAGGTTATCGAGACATCGGATCATTCGTGTAGATTGGTAGCCGTTGCAGACGGGCATGCTAATATCTATTATTGATTACATTTATTAGTTTAATCTAAGGCATTATGTAGATGTATGGATTAACATCTGATTTGCTTTACTAGCCAGAAGCAAATTAATGTCAGGGGAAAAGTAGATTCTGCTCACCCATAAAGACAAGATCAAACCCATTAGGTTGAAGACGATACTTTGCAAACGCCACAGCTCCATTTTCCGCACACGTGATGTCAAAGTTCAGTTTGCGGAAACCTGCTTTGAGGATGCGGAGGTTGATAGGATTATCATCAACGCAAAGAATTGTAGGTTGAGAATGGTTCGGTGAATTTTGAGGCGCAGCAAGCGGCTTGTCAGGGGGTACTTCATCAGCAGCGGGCCTGGTGACGGACACCCCAAGCTCCGTTTGAACATCAGTCATTGGGGAGGCCAAAGGGCTGTTGTAAGAACATTTGTTTTCGGTTATAGTCAAAGTTGTTGGCGATCGCTGCTCTTTCTTCGGAGATAAGCAGGTGATCAACGTTTTCAGCAATTTCCAAGGACCAAAAGGTATCGTCAAACTCTCAATGGGAATGCCAATAATGGAGCTTTGCTGTGATGTATGGCCCTGGCTTGGAACATAGCGTACCACTATTATAAGCGAAGGCTTGAATGAACTGGCTTTCATCAACTGCGACAAGAATACATCGAGTCTCTCTTCTGTGACGAAGACAATATCAGCAGCACGATCATCAGCACCATGATTCATGCCGAGCCACTTGGTAAGATAATCGTGTAGGGATTTCTTCAGATAACTTAATGAACCAGAGTGAAATCCATGCGTTGAAAAAGTGGAATATTTGAATTCCTGGAGCAGCCTCTTTACTTCGACAACTTGGTCCTTGGGAACGGTACCAGCAGGTGCGACAGAAGTTTTATCAGAAGCTGCCTTCGCGAGAGGTAGTTTAACTGTAACCGTAGTGCCATGATCAATTTGACTTTGGACATCAATGGTTCCATTATACATCCGTATAAGAGAATCTACGATGTGAAGCCCGAGTCCTTGAGTAAGTTAGCATACCAGCATGACCAAGAGACATGATTAAATTCTTACCGGTACCCGGCGCTATTGAAGACTCTTGAGAAAAGGCTATAAAAAGCTTGCTCTTTAAAAATTCGCTAGAAATGCCCTTGCCACTATCACTAACTCGCAGTACCACCAAATCATCACCGAATATCTTTGGTGTCGTCGATAACTCGAGGTTGTCATTTTTCGCAGATTCAACTGTTAAAGAAATATCTATGAAGCCTGTCGAGGTATACTTGAGACTGTTCCCAACTAAATTCATGATGATGCGCTGTACGGATCCTGGAGAGCAGAAAAAGTGCCAATCATTCAAGGCTATCTGTAAAGATACAGTGACGGAGCTAGATTTATATAACATCCGATCCTCTTCCCTGTCCGTGGTTCCTGGAGGTTGCATTACTTGGTGAAGAAGATGTTCAGAATTTGATCTGTGATGCATGTATGCAGCTGCAACAATCGCCACCGAATCTTCACACATCCTAGCAAGATCTAGAGGTAGCGAATCCATGTCTCCGCTAGCAAGGCTTTCGCCGCCTACTTTTTGAGAATCTGAAGTATCTCCATTCTTATTCGGAACCCTTGCTCCAGCTGCTTTATCTTTCTTTAGGTTGTTCAGCTGGAAGTATTAGCTTTGTGTGGGTGAGAGTTTGCCAATGCATTTGCAGGTTCAGTAACCGCGAAAGTTCTAGGGAAGCCGAATCCATACCTTGGAGTATTCAAGAACATCCATCAAAGTTTCTTGAAGGACTCGTCCACACGTTTCGATTGTCGAGCAAAATTCAAATTGACCATTGTCAAGACTCGTCTCGCTTAAGAGCTCTATCAAAGTCGTTAGAACGTATCCTGAAAACTCCTAGCAGAACATAAATACCGGCAGATCCCAGTATGCCATGAAGCGGCGATTTCAGTTCCTTCAGTCTGTCAGTTGCAACTCTGAAGATTTTGTAAGTTTAGAATGTGTAAAGACAGAGGCGAAGCTGGGAAGGGCCTCAAGCACGTGCCAGCCGACAATTAGGATATCCAATAGTCCGGACTTGCAGTCCAACAATAACAAGCTTTTGATTTCTGAAATAAATAAAAGCCTTGGAAAAGAATTTCAAGAAAGAGGTAATTTGAAAGGTCAGATTTATCTAGAACAATTGATTCATGCAAATAATCAACTTTCTAAGCTTTGGAAGGTTGACTCTGCTTCGTAAGTCTGGACCACTAGATACCTTGCAGTGGTTTGCGTCATGAAAGGGGAGTTCTCTACACTTTGTAGAAAGACATTGCAAAACGGATGAAAATAGATAGGATGAAATTACTCACATGCGATATACTTGATATGAAGTCTCCCTTTTGACGGTCGGCAGCGGCGATGGATATTCGATTATACTCAATAGATACACTGTTCAAAAACCCACGGACAAATGCCTTTTCGGTATCCGATGTGAAAATTGCTATGTCTCGTAGCGATACTGCAAAGCATGCCACTATTGGTAATTCAGTTCCTGCTTCCGAAAGAGGAGCAAAAAGAACCTCCCGAGCATCAGGGAAGCATTGCTTCATAATGCTGCGATCAGTTTTTCTGACTCGACGGCGCTGATGTGGATTATTTTGCATGGCAAACATTTGTTCATATGGTGGCGAATCTTCTCCCTCTGAAGATTCAGAATCATAGCCATTGAACGTCCATACTTTACCCTTAGGATACCTCTTTGAGAGTCTTTGCAGATCCTTTTCATTCGGCGCTCTGTACAGGTTACAGGATAATGTGTTGCCTTCCAACGATGAAGACGTTGAAGTGGAAAAACTTCTAACTTTGGCCGAGCCTGCTTCATTGGTCCTCCTGTTTAGCGAGCAAGGCCGCGTGGATATATTCAACAAGCTGATACCAATTTCTTCAAGCTGGGCGGCAGTCGAGGCGCAGTCATTACTTGTATTTGATGCATCCACCATGGCATTTTCAGGTGATCTAACCTCTCCATTCTGTCCATCTTCGGCACTGGTTGAAAAGCCAATACTCATATCAAAGAAGATTGTATAGTCAACATCAAGGGATTCCCTCAGTAAATTGGCACCTCGTGAAAGTATCCGATCATGGGTAGCCGGAGCATCAGTCAATGTCAGGGGCCTTATAGGAGTATTAGGTGAGGCATCATATAACAGGTTGTCGCCGATGAGTGAACGCGGGGGCCCCACGATCTTGCTTAATGACTGTTCAGCTACCGTAGCAGAAGAATTGTCAGTGACAATTAGACTACTCCTCAAGTTAGTGTTAATCATGTTGGCTTCATCCGAGCTGGTCCTGATAACTTCTTGGCACTTGACGGCGACATCTGTTACGACCTGCCCCGGGATCTTACTTTGACCCTCAACTAACGCAGCTAACCCTTTGGACATAACATCATTGCGTCTCAATTGTACACTTTCTCGTTTCATTTCAAGATATTCCATCACGTTTTTCGCCATCAATCCCAGGAAATCAATTTCTGCCCTTGTAGCTGGCTCGCGTGGCCTTGGATCAATGACGAAGACGCTTCCAATTGGTATCCCAGTATTACTGATCAAAGGGGTCCCTGCATAATAACGGAATCTCGGCCCTCCCGCAACATAAGGCAAGTTACAGAACCTCGGATCAGCCATTAAATCGGGAACACTGAAACAGGCGTAATGATTTGGCTCAGGGACAACTTCTATAGTATACTAATGGCACTATCTTAGTGATGGGTGATCAATGGAACAGAGACACTCACTGCACAAAGGGCTTGGCTACGGATAGTTCTAGTAATGGTGACAGTAGTTAGAAAAGCTCCACATCGGTTACTTCAAGATAGCTTACCCTCCACACCCCATCCATAAATCATCGCCTGGGTCATGTTTTGAAGAATCTGACAAATCCAATGTCTTTGTTGCTTCCGCAAGGAAGTACTATAAACCGTGAGTGAAAGATTGCGATAGTCTTGATCGGAATCACAAATACTTGTGCATTATCATCTACTACAGATACCATCGCCCTCCCCGCCCCGAGACGCCACGTAATCAGTTGCATCAAGGCCGTCAAAGTACTATTCGGGCTGCTAGCTTTTTCTACGGACCGGACTGTCTCGGGAGTTTCGGCTGGCACATCTTCCCCGGCAATGGGCGGATCATCGGGAGACCTTTTGTAGTACCGGCGAACCTCGCGAATTCGTTTGCGTTCCAAGGATGAGAGCATGATTTTTGGAGTCTTATTAACGAGATGAGATCAATAATACATACAAACCCAAGAAGCTGGGAATGACGGATTGGTATAAATCTTTTTCACTATATCACCGGATGTTATAACTGATGGCATTCGGGACGAATACACAGATTTTAGGCCAGTATTTTCGATTTGTATTGATGGATTCCCGCGATAACGTCACACTAGGACAGAGACGTACGAATGAAGTTTGTTTATCGGAAAATGACCGGAAACACGATAGTGAAGCTAGGCGCCTGTGCCCCGCGATGGAAAGCTAAGGGCTACTGCTGATGGCAGTAGAGATGTTTTCGGAACAATTATGAGAAGATTCGGATTGAAGGTTTTAGACACGGCGGCACGATAGAGAGGTGATGTTTCCCCAAAGTTGTGTATATGTTGTATTTTTTGATAAAGCTGGTGTTGCCAAATGACGTATTTTGGTCGCCAATAGGAAGTCCATAGGCTGCATGCAGTAAGGTAGGGTAAGCTAGGTGGATAGATGAGTGAACAAAGGAGGTAACTAGGGCGTTACCGGTAGTGGAATGCTAAACGATTCGATATCCAATGATTCTTGCTTAAGGTTAACCATTAACCAGACTGTGTTAACCTTATATGAATCTCGGTAACAAATCAAAGCATGTGTAAAAGGGCTAGATCTGGGGTTGGATATCGATCACTGGGCAGCTGAAGTTTGGATCCTCAATTCGGTAAAGATCTTCGAATGAAAACCTTATCACTACCTTAGGTACCAAGGGGCTGGTGTTTGCTTTTCCTTTTGACATGCTTAGCCTCCACGATGCACAGGTATTTCATATCTCTCGACTTCCTTAATCAGTCAACCAAACTTTTGCAATACCACGGATAACTATGGACTGTGAATTGAAACGTACATGGATGGTGAAAGAGAAGTAGACGAGCAGACAAATGATAGCGTACATGAGCGCTTTGTACAAAGCGCTCTACACATGTATCTCGAATCATACGACGACCTATCAATCGTGCGGATTTGAATCAATTAGTTAGTACCTTCTCATGCCTCGCTACATCCAACGCCTTCCAGGTAAGTATCGTGGAGGGTTGATTGCGACAAAAGGATGATCCAATACCCAGGAAGTGGCTAAAAAGTTGAGATAACTCTGAAGAACGATAATATGCATATAAACATGCGAAGATTAGTCCAATACTTGACACACAATGAGGATATTGAGATCCAGCTAAGTACGTGATTGCCAATGGCCGAGATATCAGCTTGTAACCAAGGTAAGATCTTACCAGTGGTGTAGCAACGATAGTCAAAGTGAAAAGTCCTCTTTTTTGCCATAGCCGCAAGAATATATATGACACAAAACCGAATAGTATGTGAGAATGCGTAAGGCTATAGATCTGTACTCCTTATCCGCATCTGAGATGTAATGCTGTTCGAAGTAATCGAGTTTGCGGCACGGTAGTTTGTGTATTAACACGGAAGTCACAGTTTCCGGGCCACAATACCGTGTCACAGTAGCAGTTAATAGATGAAGGGAATCTAAACGAAGAGAGTTTAGAAAAAATATTCTTTGCCAATGCTTCCTATCCAAAAGTTCCTCAAAGAAATATATTTTACTATGAGGCTTCTGAATGTAGGATGACCTCGATAAGATACCCTTGATAAAGTGCACTAGGCGATATTGGGTTGACATCCGGCAGAACCATACTCACCGCCCACTGACGCGAAACTCAAGCTGCCTAAGCTATTAATCGAAGTACAACAACATCAAATCTACCAGCGACATCAATCTCACGGATCTATCATATCCCTCAGTTGATCTTCTTAACCTCCACATACACATCTCGATTTCGAAGATGGATTCCATAGTATCAAAATACAGTACGCCGTCCTACGAGCAAGAAGTGCCCCAAGAAGACCAGATGGAGCTATACCAACCAGCTCCAGGCTTGTCTTTGAAGTTCGCTATGCCTCCTGTCGCACATGTACGTTATCTTCTCAAATTTTAAGCACCAATTTGAAGCCGTCTTTGGAATGGGATCTCGATTCGAAAAATACTAATACAATCTACGTTTAGCCATCCGCTTGGCTCCGAGCAGCTACAGATGACCATGCGAACCCTAACTGTCCCATCAAGATCGCACACGGTACTACAACTTTAGCATTTAGATTTCAAGGTGGAATTATTGTGGCGACAGATTCTAGAGCAACGGCTGGCAACTGGATTGCAAGTCAAACTGTTAAGAAAGTTATTGAAATCAATAATTGCTTATTGGGTACAATGGCCGGTGGTGCTGCTGTAAGTCCTTAACCTCGCACTACTTTATCGTTTCTTTCTTGCTCACATCTGATATTTTTGAAATCAGGATTGTCAATATTGGCTCGCATACCTCGGTATGCAATGTAGACTTCACGAACTCCGTCACAAACGCCGCATTTCCGTCGCAGCTGCATCCAAGATACTTGCAAACCTCGTTTACAGATACAAAGGTATGGGCTTGTCTATGGGAACTATGTGCGCTGGTGTTACGAAAGAAGAAGGGCCTGCACTTTACTATATCGACTCCGATGGAACAAGATTGAGCGGAAACCTCTTCTGTGTTGGATCTGGTCAAACATTCGCATATGGTGTCTTGGATGCTGAATACTCATATGATTTGAGCGAAGAAGCGGCATTAGAGTTGGGAAGAAGAAGTATTTTGGCCGCCACACACAGGGATGCTTACTCTGGAGGTTTCATCAATTTGTATCACGTTAAGGAAGACGGATGGGTCAAGCACGGATTTAATGATACCAACCCAATATTCTGGAAGACGAAGTTGGAGAAGGGAGAATTTTCTAATGTTACTAGCGAGCTGGTGTAAGAATGCGGCATGGCTTAATGATTGAAGGAATGATTTCTTATAGATGTGTCATTAGCATGGACGCAGGAGCAAGGTCGGCCTTGGCCTTGTATACTACTGCTTCATTCACGAGTTTTATCAGCTACGAAGATAATGTTAGAAGCAAAGAACCTATCACTCCGGATTGTGACAACGAAAGTGCTTGTTATCCGTAGAATATCTTGCAGATATAGCCAGTGCTATATCAGAACCCACAGGATTGTCTTCGGGAAAGTTACATATTCAACAGCTCCAGATGTACTTCGAGTGTGGGAATTGATTTTCAAAAGCATTTGATAAGAAGCGCATCATTATCCAATTTATATGGCAATGTATAGAAGAGAACGCCCGAAAAGATTGAGTCCACAAAAGCAAGCGAAACACTGCCTCTTTATGGGAATTCCTTTCCATTCCTTCATGAAGAGTCTCAGACGTGGCCACGTTCCGCCGCGGCTTCGCAACCCCAATTTCCTCCTCGTCTGTTCACCCCTCATCTTCTTCAATATCTTCCCCAGGTCTCTGTTTTGAGGACTCTTCAACAATAGCGCCGTTAACGCACTCTCTCTTCATAGCCCTTAGGATATTAGCAGCGTTGTCAGCTGTCTCATCGAGGCTGTATGGTCATCTGTGTCGTTATGCTGCTGTATTTTTGGCTTTCTTTCATCCTCAGAAAAGTCGCCGAAGTAGTAGTCGGAGTCGTCGCGCGATCTCTCCAAGCTAAAGACGGACGAGCTTGGGTGAGAAGACGGACGGAAGCGAACGGGTGGCTTTCATTTCCATGTGCCCTAATCCGAGACACTCGGGATAGCGCCCTGACGGACAAAGTTCGAGGAGTTGGCAGGGTTCGCGTAGCTTGAGTGACATAAGTAGTGGGTGGGGTATTTTATGTGGTCGAATATACAGTTAAAACACGCTTTAATGCAACCTTATCCTTCTCTTCTTCATTTACACTGTCATCGTAATAGGTTGAGAAGCGGCCTCGATGGAGGGCTAGTTCTCCCAATTGTTGTGCAGTGCCCTGAGTGTCAAAATAAGCTTCGCTACCTCTAGATTTTGTGCAGGTTAGATGAGATACGTCGATCTTCTGCGTGTAACTTACAATTAAAGTCTTAGTTTTCAAAAAAAGAAAACGATAAGCGGAGCCACCTACTGAGAAATAGCGATTTTATTTCTTAGATTTGTTTCGTCCGTCGTCTTGAAATGTAAGACTAGCTTATATGAAGTTATCTAGCTAGTTATGTGCTACTGATAACATCTAAGCAATAAGCCCCGCCGCTCTTTCAATAGAGCTTAAATAAAAATATTTGTTTTGAAGAAGCAGCATGTCATCAATCCTCGCGAACCATTGCCACCCGATTAGTCCGCCGCCATATCCGAAAACCATCATCCGCGTCGTTATTTCCATCCGAGCCGTCGCCACTTCATTCATATTCATCATTCGATTCCAATCCTTCAGAACTATCACCGTTAACTTCAAAAAGCGCGTAATTCAACATAAATGACCCTGGTAACGGTATTTTTGCGACTTAGTGGACAGCAAAGTCATGGGCATAAGCACCTTCCTAATCTTAGACTGCCATTCATTCCTAAAAGCTTTTTGGAGTACAAAATAGTGCTCAAGATCGTTAAAAATGAGGCGTCCCATCTCGAATACAAAGGATTGAATCACCTTCCATTTCGTTATGCCGGTCAGACCTTCCAAAGGACCTTCTCCAGCACAGCCGCAAGAGCTTCGAGTGAATCAATCCATTGCTCCACACAGTCTTAGGACAAAACATTCTAGGCTCAATCTTTGCTAGAGAAATTTCATCAAAGCTATGAATGTATTTGTCGCAGCCTTTCCTTCCTGCTATCATTGAAACTTCATTCGTTCGTATCATAACCATTAATCAATATCGGAAATTTCTCGATGCCTCGCCATGTATCTAGTCTTTCATCTAAAAATGATTCAAGTGCCATCTCATCTCCGTCAGTGCATTCATTGTATGGAGGATCTTGCTCATATGACCAAACCAAGCTCCAACCCAAGTTGACTGTTGACATTTGTCATTTTTCGAACACATTCGAAAGAGGCCCAGCTTGAACTCTGATAACTTCTGCATATGATTAAATGTCGAGGACTCCAAGTCTCCATATGAAATACCTTATCTGCTTGGATATCCTCATTTATATACAAAAAATCTTTTTTATCACAAATATAGTTAGGGGGGGTTTTTTTTCGTCCCGATCTTCTAGTGTAAGAATGGGGCGGTATAGAGTCAGTTCTCTCTTCACTCCGGTAATTTGTGCTCCCAAACTTCGCAAATACAACTTCCTTAGATATTGGTCCAAATTATCACAGAATTCCAACCGATATCTAATCTTCCTAACCCAGTCTTGAGCCTTTCGACTCTAACTTGATTGAAATCTCTCTCTCCAAGTTTTGCATCGAATGCCTCGAAGCAAGGGAAAGGAGAGACAAATAGTTCCAAGAAAAGCCTTCAAATCTCGAAGCGAGATCAAACAAACATGTTATTTTTTCGGAAATGATGATTTTAAGTGCGACAGCTACCCTACATCTCGGGGGGCCAGCATCATTTGAGTCATTCATTGTCTTTGCTACAGGAAATGGTGAAAATCGATCTTGCACCTATCCTCAAGTCCTCGTCTACGATCTTGTGTTCGTGCGAAGCAGAAATCTCTGTAATCATTGAAATCACATCGGATTCCGCTCTGTGATGCCGATGTAAATGACTTCATCATTTTTCTGTCTTTGAGAATAATGGAGAGTGAACTGAAAGATTGTAATGACTTGTACTTATATATCTTTGAGGGCATCAACAAAGTAAGAGGATAGCGATCACTGAAGTGGTATAGTGATACTCCAGTGGTTGGGATGTGTATCAGGTCAAAATTGAAGTTGAGGACTCAACTAAACGGATTTGGTAGGAATTAATTCTTGAATGTTGATGTCGTGATAGGGAAGGTCCTTATTAAGTTATGCAAGAAGGGATGTCATGCGAGAAAACTGATCTTTCTATAGTTGAAACTTCTGAACTTCAACACACGTGATATTCTATAGCACGTGCAAGGAAAAGCGGTTGGTTCATAGTACATACAATTGTATGAATATGTGCAAAGTCCAAGTATATCACCGATAAATTTAACATGCGTCTCTAATTCCGTAACCGGCGGATGTAGATCGCCAAACAAGCCAAGCCGTCCCGAGATGGATTTGTGGATCTGATGTAGGATGAAGACGAAGTATACGTAAGGTTATCTCATCTTATCTTCCCTCCACCATCCGTAACTCACTAAGAAAATCATAAGTCTTCATATCGCTACGTGCGATAGGTATCTCGCCATGCCAAAAGGAAATTAACAACCCGAATGATATCTAAACACCACATGTCTGTCTGCGCAGTGCTTTCTACACTATAATTTTTGACTAAATGAACCTCCCAAATGCCGGATAAAGGGACCTCGTTAACTCCAACAGCATTCTAAAATCCGCCTACACCAGGTAAGGTTGTATAGAATATATCGCCAACACAGTAGTAACATATTGTCAGCAACCACCACGTCTTCCCACACTAACCACATCTTAGCAGGATGGGTCTAAAGCTATGATCCGATCTGATATATAACACAGGGGAAAGAAAATGACTATCCAGGAAAGTTTCTAAGCAAGAAAAAATTGCTCAGAACCATCGCGCGGAAAACCGTGTCTGTTCGGAAGGTGAGATGCCGATTTGTCGTACAGACGAACTCACACCGCCAAGAAAAAGGCTATATTCCAGTTCGGCTTTCCCCCTGCCACATTTCCAAGTATTATCCAAATCAAAATTAGAATATAGATAAACTCCATAAACCATAGGAGAAAAAGGAAACTCATAATTGGGTAGTAGCTTTCTCCGACAGCGACCGTGAAGTCAAAAGCCATGGTATTCCGAGGCCTTGGAACAAATGACTGCAGAGCAAACAAATGAATGAGTGAGAGGAAAGACATCATACTAATGGTTACAGTAGTTTGCAGTCATTAGTGGTCCAGTTCATTCTTTGTTGACCATGAGTCATTTCGGTGAGTCGATGAGAGGAGGTCTCGGGAAATGACAAATCCGCGGCATCATGACCATTGGAGTAGTATCCGCGGCACCCTAGAGTTCCATTCGGACCACAGCTAATGGATACAGCTAGTGAATGTCGTGCAATAATTCCTGAGTGAGAAAGTTTTCAATATATAGTAGCTGTAGTATCCAATTTGGAAAATAATGATTTCATGGCCTCCATTGGTAGAAGTACAGTGGCCTGTGGTACCTTGCATTGGAATTTGAAATAAAAATTCGAAGAAACAAAATGAAGGAACGAAAGAGGCGAGATCTTCAGAGGCATCCTCAAGAACGGTTTCATTTGTGGCAAAGTATCCATTTGACCGAAATCCAGCTGGAAAACGTGTACATCTTGGCACATCAACGGCTCCCCGATTTCCATGGCTGAGTTCGGCAGTAGAGATTCTGGACAAGTTAAAATAGCAGTTTCTGGTAAGTAGTTGGTGCATATAATCATTTGCTCATTATACATGGTCGTCTGATGTCGACCCAGTCGTTGAATAGTGGCCTATCAAGGAATCCTCTGGTGCTTCCGGAAAATGTGCGGAAATGTCCTGTGAGTGGAATCTCATTCGATCTGGGAAATCCGTGAATCTTGCATCCTCTCCTGAGAAGTGGGAAAGGAACCTTGCAGCTACAAACTTTCCAATCGTGTTACCTTCATCTAAATCGATGTCACCGGTGTTTGTGCTTATGATTGAAGCCGGACGACCCATAAATGCAAGTTCGTGATTTAATGCAGACTGCGGCATACTTTTCAGGAGTTCAGTCTGATTGAAATCAAAGTCTTGGGCTTGGTCCTGATCCTTCTCATTATCTCGGGCAACAGTATGGAGGTAACAGCCATGTTTTGACAGGTCCGGCCGATGTCCTTGGAGAACTTCTTGAGCGAGGGACATCATCGCTGGGCAAGAGTAAACGGTGATCAAAAGCCACATGGAAATAGCAAAAGGCATCCAAGGCATAGTTTCCAGTAGCGATGCGCGACTTGCAAAGATTATCACCAAGGGAAGACCTGCTGTCGGAAACACCACAGGACCAAACCTATTTAGGAAATGTCAGAATCTAATACTTGTATAAGGCCGACCTGTGCGCAATACTTCTTTATTTCATCAGGGTACTTCCGAACAACAATCGCCATGAGACAAAGAGTCCCGAGACAATCACTGGAGCCATGTTAGTGTATTGAAAAGTTTATAGAAACTCGAGCTCCTAGACTCACATAAACCAAGCAAGAAGATGAGACTCATATAGGATAGGAGAAGCCGCCGACAAAAACATCATCGTGTATAAGGACATTTTTCTGAATTTTTCAATCCTTCCGTCTTCAATAATATCGTTTCGTAACGAATTGTGATGTTGCGTCGAAGCGATAGGCCGATTCAACTTGGGAGGCATGATTGAATTGCTCTAGCTTAAGATACATACAGAGAAAGTATACAATATTTAAATTAAAGTCAAAATTTCCGAATATATAAGATTAAGAACTGAACAATAAAAGAAGTCCAAATATATAGTAGTAAATCAGGAAAGTAACATGGTTATATTCCCCATGGAGTCGAGGCATTTTCCCATAAACAATATTTGAGAGCGATGAATGCGGGGTTTGCTTACTTCAGGCACCGATGCATGGGCACGTGAAGCTGTATTCGGTGTAGAAATAGGAGAATGACCATCTGCCATTCCTCAGGTGAAATGCAAGGCATCTTACGCACGTTATTACCAAAGACCGATGAGAGTTGAGAGTTAGTAGTCCACCTGAGTTGATAGAATCAGCCTTGCTTATGGAGCATTGTGAATTTTCGTATCGATTGGCTGACATTCACGCATTCGGTGAACATTTTCGGTCAAGTCTGCATGCTATGCAGCTTGCACAATCAGCCTTGTTGTTTACCTGTAACGTATGCATTAGAGCCCAACAGCAAATCTTGTGTCGCTGACAGAATGTCAACTCTCTCCAATTGCAGATATTTCGGTGAGCGTATTTGTCAATCACACCGTGCCTAGAATAACTTTATCAAACTAAAAATATGACGTTAAAATATTTCCGCCCGATGAGCGGCATGAGGCTTCTATCCAATGGCGGCGATTAAATTTGTACTTGGATCCTTTTTTAATCCTGACCGGACGAAGATGTTCGTCTCAGCCGGGTGGAGCGGCATAACCATAAGTAGGTCATCTCAGAATCTTCTCTACTCTCAGGAAATGTTATAGACACCGCGGCCATCGATAACATCGAAACATAAAGTTTATGCTCTCCGTACTCGTGACTCTCTTGGAACTTTCGAACTTTGAAAATGGAAGCAGGGGATAGAAAGCCCCTATCGACGTGTGTTCTTGGACGTTGCCCAGCTCCCAAGCTAGGAACGATCTGTGAATTTCTCATCGCGTTGGTTTCCGCAACAGTAACCACTGTATTTACTCTTCATCATGAGAAAAGACGAGTTCGCAATTCCCCAATCTAGATTCTGATAAGGGCTAATGTTCAACAGCAGATAATCTCAAATACAAACCATATGGGTTACACTTTCGACCCAGAAAATTTTGGTATCTTTTTAGATCCATCTCCATTTTCGTTACTCGCATCGTGTCTCCTTTTAGGTTGTTCGATTTCTTCTTTCGCGCATCGACGTCAGGGGCACGATCAATGCCAATCGCTCATTTTTGTGTTCGCCATTCTTACGGCGACTACCATAGGTTTTGCATTAGGGATAAATGCCAATCTCATAATGCTAGGATTCATTCCTTGGGCCCTGATCTTTGCCATGATATCCAGTGTGTTCATCCATTGGACCGTCAGACATTATAGCAAAGATCGGAAACTGCCTCCTTTATTCTTCCTTGAAAATGGTGGAAAGTCCATAACGAGTCATTGGCTATGAAACTCCACGGCTGCCCATGTCCTTGATGATCAAAGTGTGTGCCCCTGAGTAACAAACTTAAATTTAGGATACTGTTGTTGACATGATATTTCATAGATCGGTCCTGGTCCTTGAGTCAATGCACGATCCGCTATCAGCAACATACCCACGCAAACATGGTTTGCCTCCAGACATACCACGCATCTGAGAACAACTATGCAAGTATTTTAAAGTCTAAATCTTCTATAACCAACGATATCACCACAAATATGCTTTACCAGGCAAGCATTCTGCCACGAATGGTCGCGAGATTCGGGGGATTTGCTATATTAGAGTAATCGAAGTGGGAGCATTGTACCAGTCGGAACCTAACCGAGTTGGGGAATGAATAAACAGGGACTTTCAGTATATTGGCCATTGGAGTGTTTCTATATCTCATTTGTAGACATATCTTTCGTCGAGGCGAAATTGGACCAGTGGCTCATATTTTCATTTTTATTGTGCCCAATCTGGAAAAGATTCCGCAAACACAAGCATGATATGCTGTTAGCTGTGAAATGTTCCGAGGTATGGATTTTTCTGCTTACAGTGTATTTGTTTTTCATGAATGGATGCAACATAACAAAAGTTCTCTTTTATTTTTCCTTCATGGCTGGAAGATCGAAGATTAGACCAACATAGGGGAGGAATAGAGTCGAGAACCTAATCAAACGATACGCGTGCGTTGCTTAGTTGCGGACGATATTTACAGCTGGATGTTAGAGTATTTTGTAGATCTCGAAGCAAACAGAGAGATAAGAATGATAGCGAGAGTTCCAGGCGACAACTTTACGGACGTTGACACTATTCAACGAAAGTGGTTGACTTGGTTATTGTACCCAGTACTTCTATAAGTAAGAGTGGTGAGTGAATAATGATTGAAGATCAACCATTGATGGTGATGTCGCACCGACTGAATCAATGATTGAATAAGGTTGAAGGAAGAAGATTTTGACACTATAGTTCCATTTATCCACATGGATAGAGGAAAGTGGAGGATGTTGGAAAAACTTATAGTATGTGGAATTATAAATCAGACGAGGAGGCGTGAAGTGCGCAGGTCCTTTGACCAAGGCACATCAGTCATCGGGACTCGCTTGAGAAAAATTAGTAAGGGGGAACTCCGTGGTCCAATAATCATTTATGGATGCAGCAGTTAATTGAAGTTTATTTCATCATGACCTTGACGCCTCATGTTAAGACGCTAATGGTAAGGCTAATGATTAAACAGTTTCGTAGATGGCAGAGCCTGATCGCTAGACCAGTATTGCGGGGCCAGATGGAAGAGCGTAGTAAAGAATTCTAGAGATGACAAGTTGTGTTACTGATGTCCAGTCTGTGAAAAGGCCAAAAAGGGTCATAGTACACGTGATTGAAATGCAACGCCTAGTGCCAACGAAGATGAGTGAAGGGTGAAGGGTCTATGAGAGAGGACGTGGTGCTTACAGAAGCAACCGAATTTTCTGGGGGTATTTTATAGCTCTATTTATGAATCTGAAGCAATCTTCATCTTCTCTAATGTTTCTTCCGCGCTTGATCCAAAGCTAACTTGTTGAGCATCTTTTCCTTCAACGTGTCCATCCGGCTGTGCGACAACATTTTTCTTTGCCGCCAATGCTGCAGCCTTCCTTGCTGGATCGATTTCTTTCTTGACCTTTTTGACCTTCACTGGACCTGGAGTAAACTTTAGCAGGAGTAACCATGGGCTAAGTGACGAATGAATGCAACAAACCTTGCTCTGGTGGATAAGCTTGCACCTCGACTGATTGCCACTCTGGCGATGCTGTGAACTCTTCTCTAATTGGTTTCAGAATATCATTAAGATGGGCTGTAAGAGCATGTTTGATGAGTTGAGGGGTGAGCTGCAGTTTAGATCAGTAAGTGGACAACAAGAATCATGCCAAAAAGGGCGACTTACGATATCTGCCGTGTAATCTTCCTTTAATCTCTCCACGGATTCATAGACCAGCGACTCTTGATCTTTCCTTTCAACAACAAATTTCGAGGTGCCTCCATTCTTTAAAGCGAGAGCGCGGAAAATGACATGCTCCACGAAAGCAATGACACCATTGCCCTCAACTTCCTTTGGTACACACTTCGCCTTTTTCAGTTTCTTCTCGACAGCCTCTGGCCCATCCAGCAGATCAATCTTCGAGTCTGCATCACTGGAGCTCATCTTCGCAGCCTCCCCTAGACCAGGAACCATTGTGTTCATTAAATGTGCCCTGACTTTGTAATTTATCTTTGGTAGATTTTCCTTTGCGAAAGTGAAGATTTTCCTTTGATCAACGCCGCCGAATTGTGCATCGACATCGAGATATTGTTCGTCCAGGGCCTGCATGAGAGGGTAGATTAAACCACCAAGTGTTGGATCATCCGTTTGCTTGACGACTTCTGCACCAGCCTTCTGGGCGACATTAATTCTTGTGATACCCTCCAGCTTAAATCGATCCATGGTGTATTCCTTGTTGAGTTGGTAAGAACTTCCTAGCACAAATTCCAAACGACTCAAATCCACGCCAACTGCTCGCAAAGCCGATTTGATTACTCGTTCGTAATACTTGGCTCGATATTCGACGAGTTCGAGAGGTGCTTTCATATTGTCCAGGTAACCGTGAATATCTGCGAGAAGTACCTTGACCGTGCAACCTGCCCTCAGTAGTTCTGCGATTTTAATCATAGGCACAAAGTATCCACAATGTGGTCTGCCAGTCGTTGCAGTCCCCCAATATACCTTAAGAGGACGCTTCTCCTTGAGGATCACATTGTCAATTATATCTCCGTCAAGGACCTCAGCAAGATTTGCCTTAATGAGGACAATCGATTCCTCCGGGCTCATGTCGGAAGCCATGTTGTGATGTATTTGGATATTTGAAATATAATGAATGGGAAACTTAACAACGGGATACTTTTGACTCATCTTCGATAGGGATAATTTTGGCGGGGTGCTGTTTAGTCACGTGTACATATTACATAAGCTTGCTGTGATAAAGTGATAACGATGCTCCTCAATATATGGCTCATAAGTTACTAATCCTGACCCCGTGGGTACGGCATTCTTGTATCATACCATCTCCCTATTTCGAAGCGATAAAATATCTTACTAATTGAACCAGCCGGTTTCCGTACCGAGTTATGAAAACAAGCTCACCTCGAGGCCCTACCATTCTCTACAAAATCTTCGACATGCATTAGGATAAAGAAGAAGGGGGAAATTCAATGGCCGGAAGCAGGTAGAAGTATAGATTGATGTTTGAGGAGAGAACAGTTTCGACGGATGACTGAAAACAATAAAGCAGAAGCAGAACTAGGATATATCGAACTCCGTTGAGACTCGAGCTGCTCGCGGATCATCGTGGGTCATGCTATCTTGCACAAATCGGGTTTATTTAAACCTTCAGCAAAGGTGACTGGAGGAGACCTGAGCAAAATTTGAGCTGTAGCATAGAACGAACTCCTATTATGGATTTGTACAAGGTCACCCTAGTTTTCGCTTTCTTCAAATCCGAAACAATCGTACAATGTCAACTCCTCTATTTTCCTTTCTTGACCCAGTCCTCAACCTTCTCTCTGCCTTCAGTGACCTTCCCATCCACTATTGCAACGGCCTGCTTCGAATGCACTCTTGCCATTCTCCATACGTTCTCTACACTTTCCCTCGTTCTAATGTGTGAGTCCGCAATCACTGGAAATTTTTTCTCGTATTCCCACGCTAGGTTGGCAATGTTTCGCATCGTTACGGGAAGGACGGCCCATCCTGCTCCAATTCCGACTGCGAATGGCACTGCAGCTCTTAGTACAATGTTTCTGTTCCGAGATATTATCGAGCCACTCATAGCGGCAACCAAAACGTAGATAGACCCAGGCATCAACTTCTCCCCAGACTGCTGGGATGGTGCAAGCGATGCAATCGTGGATGTGAAGCTGTTTTCAAGATGAAGGACAGAGTCCATCATAGAATTCAGTTTGTTCTCCGCCGCGACAACGTGTGCATACAGAAATAGCCGACTTTTTCCAATTTGTACGGCGAGTCTGTCGGTAGGCGTTGGACCAGTACGTTTCCTCAATGTTTCCTTCGACGCGGGGTTCGTGGATTTAGTTGATGGTATAGTTGGAGTGGATTGGGGAGGGAGGTCCTCGGAGTCATCATAGATAGGTTTTCTACTCTACAGATAATGCGCGAATTAGTGAAAGATACGACAAAAGGTATGGACGTTGCTGCGTACATCTGGTGCTTCCGCATGTAATGGTCTCTGGGGATATAGAGCCATTCCGACCAAGGCTGCGCCAGTTGCTACAGGCGCAATGCGCTTTGAAATGTCAGTTAAGTATGCTTTCTTGGGATTAAATTTACTGACCTGCCGCAATAATACTCTGGAAGCCATCGCTCAATTGACTTGGACGTACAAGTGGAAGGTATTGGGGTTGAGTTCCCGGTTGTTAAAGCTTCGTTAGCTTCCGTTCGTGTGAATTTTTATGCAATTATGCTGACGTAATGATTCTCATTATATGTACGTGCATAAGTTATGAAGACATTCTCCGCATCAATGTTATCATTTGTCAACCACCAACTTTCAAGCCATTGGAAGTTCGGACGAACGCGCTCTGGAGTATGTTGAAAGCGGTTACGCCCAGGCCGTGGGTATGTTCTCGGTGTGTCAAAAGGCAGATCCAATCAAGTCGAGGGCTTGCGACTGCTTCTACACAATATCGCGAGCCTCGACCTGTTCCAGCAGACCATTCTGCTCCAGGCGCCAAACATGACGATAGAACGTTAAGGCAGATATTTGATTCTCCAGATTTCTGGGCGGAATTCTCTCAATCTTCAAAGCAAAGTTACTATAGGCCAGCTGTTGGACTTTTCCAGAATCGATACCTTGTCAACCCCCAAGGATTTGAGATATTTGCGAACACGAGTCTGCGAAAGGCACAAAGGATAGTGGACAAGGTTCTGAAGGCCTCGACAGTAGAAGAGTACAGACACGTTGCTAGAGACTTAGATCGTCTCAGTGATCTGTTATGTAGGGTCATTGATTTGTCAGATTTCGTTCGAGCCACACATCCGAATGCAGCCATACAAGCAGCTGCGTCGAGAGCATACGCAAAAATGTTTGAGTATATGAATATTCTGAATACAACTACTGGACTGGATAAACAACTCGAAGTAGCCATAGGAACGCCGGAGATCGTGGCAAAATGGACAGAGGAGGAAGTGGTAGTCGCAGACATTCTAAAAAAAGATTTTGCAAAATCTGCCATTGATCTGCCTCGTGCCCAGCGAGAGAAGTTTGTTGCTCTTTCGCAGGAAATCAGTGAAATTGGTCCTGACTTCGTTGATTATATGACACCCGCGAAACCCTACTTAACCTTTGAGAGTAGTAAGCTGAAAGGCATGGATCCAGTCCTTGTGAGGGAGCATACGACATGGGGACAGACTAAAATACCAACCATTGGAGGTGCAGCTGCAGCAGCTATTAGAACAGTTCAAAGTGAAGAAGTTAGAAAAGAGATTTTTATGGCCACCCGCACAGCTTCAAGAAATACAATCCATAAACTGGAGGAACTGATGCGCAAAAGGGCGGAGCTGGCCAAACTCTCAAGGTACGAAAGCTACTCCCATCTAGCCTTAGGAGACAAGATGGCCAAAAGTCCAGCATCCGTATCACATTTCTTGGAGGCATTAGCAAAGGATAACAATAAGATTGTTCAAGGAGAAGTTTCCGAGCTCCTCAAATTTAAATCTTCGAATCCTAATGCATCGTCCTCCGGCTTACAGCCATGGGATAGAGATTATTACATGTCACGAATTTTGGCTTCTGTTCGTTCGCACTCTCGCAATTCGGATTTTCTTTCAGCATACTTCTCACTGGGTACAGTCATGCAAGGACTCTCTAGGCTATTCACACGTCTCTATGGGGTCAGACTTGCTCCTCACGAGACAATGCCAGGAGAAACATGGAACTCAGATGTTCGAAGATTAGATGTAATCTCTGAAACGGATGGCCATGTTGCTGTACTCTATTGTGATCTATTTTCTCGTCCCGGAAAGTCTCCAAATCCTGCGCACTTTACGCTTCGCTGTTCTCGAGAGATTACAACGGCAGAACTCGAAGAAGCCTCGATGTTATCTCAAAATGGTCTTTTCAAGACTGATGAAGAAGCTGCCAACGATGGTATGGCTACTTCAAAATCCTCGGGAGTCCTCAAGCAGTTGCCAACCATAGCTCTAATATGTGATTTCGTCACAATGTCTGGAAAGTCTTCCCGCCCTGCACTTCTCAGTTTCAGTGAAGTACAAACACTTTTCCATGAAATGGGACATGCCATTCATTCGATTCTTGGGCGGACATCGCTTCAGAATGTTTCCGGTACTCGTTGTGCTACAGACTTCGCAGAATTGCCTTCCGTACTTATGGAACACTTCGCTGCAGATCCCTCTGTACTTTCTTTATTTGCGCGCCATTATGAAACTGATCAACAGTTACCGTATGAGATGGTGGCCGAGAAACTAGCATTAGACAAACGTTTCGAAGGATCTGATACAGAAAATCAGATAATCCTTTCCATGCTTGACTTAGCTTATCATTCTGATCTTCCCCTATCTCCAACTTTCAGCTCTACAGAAATATATCATTCTCTACAGCAAAAACATGGTGCTCTGCCAGTTGATCCTCCCGGAACTTGTTGGCAAGGATTCTTCGGGCACTTATTTGGATACGGTAGTACTTACTATAGTTACCTTTTCGACCGAGTCCTAGCTAGGAGAATTTGGCAAGTGGTATTCCAAGGTGGGGAAGCCGGTGGTAGCATTCACAGAGGCAATGGTGAGAAGATGAAAGAAGAAGTTCTGAAATGGGGCGGCGGTAGAGATCCATGGAAATGTTTGGCCGGCGTCCTTGATGATGGACGGGTGGAAAATGGAGACGAGAAGGCAATGGCTATCGTGGGTAGCTGGGGAGTGAAGGAATAGAATGGAATGTGCACTTGTTGCCATAAACGTTGAGACTTACCTTGTTTCTATAATTACCCTCAATGGAATACGTAATGTGATTCAAAATCAATTCGCTCGTCAAAGTCATTTGGCACTTTCTCCGTATAACTCGTGAGTGACCTTGGTAGTGCTATCTGATCGACGGAAGAGGTGAAAGAATAGTGGGGGGCGTGGAATGCATATGTCTATGCTGACTCCTTTCGAAAGTATTGATGTGAGGTAGGACATGCATGTTGAAAACGAGGGTGATATTATTGTAAAGTGGAATACTATCTACCAATGCAGGAAATGACCTCCTTGTGAAAATTTTAAGATAAATTTAAGTTGTAGGTTTTCTTCCTTGTGCAACATGCACACACGTAGAGCATCGACTCTTATATACATCCTCCTCAAAAAATCTAGATTCTCCTCAATAGGGTGTTGGAATCGACGAGAGTGTATCGGGAAGTGGTGCCTCCCGGATGTTCCGGAACAAAGCATACAAACATTAGAACGATCAGGATGCCACAACTTTTCATGGGCAAGAATGCGACCACAATAACGATATTTTGCTTCCAAAATCACTTTCTGTGTAGAGTTCCTTATTAGTCTATATAGTATCTGTTCATTAATCATGCATATGTGTTCCTGCTCTCATGTACCATTGAGTATCCAATCACTTTCCATTCACATTCATATTTCCGTTTCCATATCCATCCTCCCAATCGTCGTGCTCCTTCAACACATAATCAATAAACCCACAAACGCAATCCCCAACGCCAAAACCGCCTGTCTCCCAATCAATTCCGCCCTTCCACCACTCGCAGCTCCCTTTTTATTATTATCTCGCAAATACACCGATAGCGTCCACGAACCACCACATATCTGGCTCGAGTTTCCTTCACACGGGAGATTACAATGAGAATCATCTACTTTGGGCGCGAGAGCCGAGAGATATTGAGCACAGTAGCATTCTCTGATGCGATTATTAGATTTGTTCCCCAATTGGACTTTCGGATGAATAATTGAGGGAAAATGAATGGGTGGTACGAACCTGGTATATTCAATCCCAGCATAAACATAACCATTTGATTTACAAAATGCCATACACAGTGGTACGGTCATTACATCCAAAGCTTCAGTCACACCACCATTAAGAGCTCTTAGTCCCCCGGTACTATTCGTATTGCTCGTCTCATTGTAACAACCAATGTAAGTGTAGGAGGATGCACTTGGCACAATTGCTGCTGTAGCTGTGGAGGTCGAGGTAGCAGAAGTTGTTAACGATTGGGCGAATGTGAGGCTGGTGAGAGATAAGAATGCGAACAGGATCGCTATGAAGGAGAGAGTGTGCGCCATTTCAAGAGAATATATTATCGTATAATAAATAAGGTTGCTAATGATAGTTTTCTTTTCCGCAAATGTACATAAAACAGACACGCGGATGGTATCACAAAAGCGAACGGACAGCGACGAAGACAGAGCCCAAATACAGTGGATTGGAAAAGGAGGATCAAGAACACAGACAGGAGGACAACATAGCAAATGGAGCTGCGGTGCAGAACAGTTATGGTCTGAATTTTCCTTCTAGATTCATTTTTGCGTGGTGAGCTAGAAAATGGATGGCGCAAATGGGTGAGCTGGGGTGGATCTTCAGCGCCGAAGACTTCAGCCCGGAAGATCGACGGCTGAGGCTCTAGAGTCTAAACCTTTTTCTGATTTAGGGTATTGTTTAGTGAGCATTTACGCTATCATTGCTATCAATTGTGGGTATTTCGGCGAATTCTTTTTGAGCTTCGAAGGAGGCGGGACAGTTTGGTGGAGATGATAGGAGATGGGCACTGGGCAGTGAGTGAGCTTTTTTTAGTCGATTTTCTTTTTGCAGTGAAATGGTTTTAGAGTCTAGACGGATGATTTGATATCTGTAAAGATGTCATTACTCCATTTGAGCGGCAAGTGTCTTGAGCTCGAGAAATCCCAAGGAGAAAACAAAGAGGCCTTGGCTGAGTTCAGGAGCCTGAAGTTCAGGCATACCTACAGTAGCGCGGCGCTGTAGAACCTAAAAAGGGAAATCTCTTCAAGGCTGGATACGAAGCACATGGACACGGAGGAATCCGAGCGTATAAGAACATGTCTTTTTAGGCACTATCAGTATCCGACACGTCGGGATATACATATACATTGCGGAATCTAAAACTTCTAAATCAGGGCTGATAACCCTGAAGAAGGCCTTCCTCAGGAGTACCGGCATGGGATCAGCTCCACCCATTGGGACCCCAGCCTATAATTAATTATAAGTGCTTCACACATATATCATTCTACATTTTAGGCCTTTCATCTCAGAGAACTTTGACTCTGACTCCAGTGCCTGGTTTGGGGGTTGGAACATTATGTTCAGACCACGCTTCAACCGCTTCATGTGTAGTTTGCCACAGCTCGAATTCACATTTCCTTGTAAAACTCGCCAGTGCAAGATAGATCTCCGCATAGGCTAAATTCATCCCTAAGCATTGTCTACTACCTTTCAAGAAGGTGACTAGAAATTTTGTTAGTGGCTTTTCTTCTCCGGAAGCAAGTTTGACCTTGGGTGGTTGGCCGGTGATTGGATCTGAAAGCCATCGTTCAGGAATGAAAGAATGTGAGGATGGGAAGATGGATTCATTGTAATGAATCATGGGCGTGGCGCACGATAATGGGGTATCGGCTGGAATGGTGTAAGTGCGTCCTGTTGTTGGATCTGTGTATGAGAGAGGTTTGTGTGCTACACGGGGACCGTGTGCGTGTAGGCCTATGGAACATCGAAGTGCTATTGAGCCCGGTTACGTCAGAGAATACTTCGGCATTTATGAAACTCAATGGCTACATTACCTTCCTGCACAACCGCGGTCAAGTACGGCAACTTCTCAAGTGTTGCTAATGAAGGAGGAGAGGATGGGTCTGGAAAAACCGTGAGGATCTCAGCTCGTAGCTTAGAAAGAAGCTCCGAGTTGTCTAGGAGATAGAACATTGCCACTGTCAATGTCCATTGGGTCGTCTCAATCCCAGCAGCGACGACCACTTGTGCTTCATCATGAAGTCTTTTCTCGCTTTTCTCTTCGGGAGGAAGGTCTGATTTCAGGATTTCGTGAAATATTGTCGATTGCGTGGTTCCAGTCTTCTCCTTCGTTCCATACATCACGGCCCTCAGTTCAATTCTGATATCCTATCGAAAAATCAGTATCAATCTTTCCTTGACGTCGCTACATCAATCTTACCTCGAGCCAACTTAAAACGGGCCCCGAATTCTTCGGCACAATCTCCTTCATGATCCTATACGGCAAAGCAGAAACCGAATTCATAATCCACGCCAAAATCGGAAATTGCGCCGTCCAATGCAAGACAGACATCATGCTGTGGGTAGCTTCCATAAATTCCGACGTAAATCCTTCTCTTTCACAAAATCCATAATTGGAACCAAAGCTACATTCCATCACTACGTCCGCCGTAAAGCATGAAAATACATTTCCGAGGTTGAGAACTCTATCAGTACCTTTGTATTCGGTATTAATTCGCTTAACTATGATATCAACACGAGATTGTATGAGAGGGATGAATTTCTGAATGTTGAGCCTAGAGAACAAAGGACTGAGAGCTGCGCGTCGTCTTTGATGAAGGAAGTGATCCACTGTGGAATGAGTTGAGGAACGTGCCGTGGGTAGCGCATTGCGGAGATGGACTCTGTCGCGTACATCGGTAGTGTAGATTGTATCATAAAATTCAGGATCGCTAATATGGAGTTCTGTAGGACTGATGCGGACAATGGGGCCTGACAAAACTTAGTACAAGAAGAAACACGGGACCGAGGTACGAACCATATTTCTCATGCCACTCGGGAATTTTTCGCCAGAACTGCCCGTCTTTCACAACTTGAAAATATGTCACGTACCATTCAGTCGCTGCTGTCAGTTTGGGACCTGGGAATCCAGATAGAGGACTGAAATACAGTCTATACACGACTAAACTGAATGTATATGCAGCAATTGCGCATACACACATCAAAAGGTCGATTTGAGACAACAGGTCTGATATCGTATTGACAGCTCCCATCTTGGCGGTTGTACTATGTGGTGGAAGACAGGAAGTCTCGGGAACGAGGAAGGAATATATAATAGATATATAGAGCACTCAGCTAACATCCTACAATCCCCACCATCATCAATCCACTCTCGGTCACAACACCCACCAATGAGAAATTTCTAACGTTCTTGGAAATACGGGCCGGGGTAGATAGAAAGGCCCGGCGCCTAGTAAGCTTAAGGAACTCGAATTATTGACAGTGAGGGGTAAGTGGGTTTGTGAAAGAGTTCTTCAATGATCAAATGACGTTCACATTATGGATACTAGACCAAAGGGAAAATATTTCCTTGGAATAAAGAACGGTTCCAATACTCGTGCAGCTAGAAAATCTGCAGCACATTCCTGCTCTGGTTAGATTCAGCGGGGAAGGCCCTTAATACAGCTAATGGGCCCTATTATCTCTCTGCATCCCACTTCGTTAATTAAAGATCCATACTCGAGTACAGAAAATAAGTTGAAGATTTGTTTATATTTAACTTACCTCAAATAGTTCTGCCAATCACATCTAAGTCAGAACACTAATATATTACGGACTACAGCTGCATGAGTAGATCATCGGTATAACTCGGAGATGCTGATAGGTATTATCTCCTTCCCTAGTTTTTTATGACTGATGTTCTACTAATAATTTTTGTCAAAAGCCGTGAGGTTTGTGGCTAATCCGGATATCGATTCAGCGGCATATTAGGCAGCTATTATTGATCTCTTCATTATCTCTTCATTATCTCTTTTTTCTCGGAGAGCAGGACCTGGTGGACTCTTTGGAGGCTTCCCTAGAGACTTAAGTTATTGATATCACTGGAGAGAAATTTGAAGTTGGATTTAAGAGTCTAGGGTAATAAGGTGTAGATGGATAGGTTACTCTGAAATCAATCAATCGACTTATTCATTAATCTTATAGAATGTCAAGATATCAGAGTTTATCAACCACATATATTATAAACTTAAGACTATAAATTGCAAAACGCTCTCCAATAGCATCAAAAATAGAAAACTAGATAAAATACGCCACTATATGCATCAGCTAATTAACCCAATTCGTTCTTGTTCCCGTTCATGCATATTTCCGAACCATGTTCTAATAGGTCAATCGTACTAGAGCTGTGAGAAAGCATATCACACTCCGCCTAATATGAACTAATCTTGCTATTCTCCATATAATCTAGCACTTTGTAGTAATTCCATTTGCGTAACAATGAAGTATAATATACTTTTTAGAAGCACGAGTAGTTCTTCGTATTCTAGCTAGCTACATACATGAATCTGTGCTTTAATTATAAATGGAACAAGATGGAACTATGGAGGATAGCTTGCAGCTTGGAGGACGTGGGTATTGCAGTTGGTAGGTTCCTCGAGCTCATGCGCGTGCGTCACATTGGCAAGGCTTGTGAGATTAGGTTGAGAATCCCCAGATCGAAATTGAGATGCTTTATAACGGCAAAGTTTTCCAACCACTCAGTCTTTGGCCGTGGGGCACCTTCTCGTGGTCCCGGTCGTGACCGCGCGGTGTTTTCACAGAAGACTTCACTAAAAAAACAGTACAGAGAATTGATATATAGCTTCACTCCGTGCCTACACGGAATGGATTTACGAAAATCTTCAATGCGTAAACTATAGACATATGACATAGATTAAAGAAATCAAAAATCAGGCAGTCTCCTTAAACTCATCAAAATATTCTTGTGGAAAAACATGTCATGATCAGTTATCCATGCTACCTTATCTACGACTCATAGCATGTCTTTTTTTTTTAGGAACGTGAAGATCTCTAGTAGTGGCAAGATGTATATGATATGATGTGATATTGTAAGACTTACATAGACTATCTGGCTTACTTCCTAAGCTTGTGGTCATTTAGTTCTAAGATGTATTTGGACGGATCTCTTGGAGCTGAAGGGAACATAATCATCAGATAGCTATAGATGATACTTGCTTGATGGACCCGACAAAGGCTAGCTTGGGATATAGAAATACAGCTAATCAGATTCAGATTCAGATTCAAATCTTGATAATATGCGTGTATATGATGAGTAATCTCACAGCCACATACAAAGAGATAGCAGAAGCAATATCATGACGGAAGCAGATCTAGATCAATCTATCTACGTATTCAAAGTTCGTAGAACAACCCGTTGAACAGAAAGACTCCTCTCCATCATCGTTAATATAACGACCTGCCAAATGTAAATACTCATATAATTATAATTAAGAGTCTCGTAATTGCCGATATGAGGTGGCTTGCATGTAGAATATTGTTAGTTAATATAGTAGCTGTACAAGGAGACATGCAGCAATGACCATTAATATTCTTCACGAATCTTTCTAGTACTGATTTCGTGGATTCCTTCGACAAATTCTTGAATTGTTTCATTATTGGCTGGTCGACTCCTCTAATGCTATGATGTTTTTCCCTTCTGGCTCCATATTCATGGCGTTGAATGGTATCAAAATTGTCTTAGTATTTAATTATAGTAGTGAAGCTAGGGAAACTTTCTCCGACAATATACATGAACATCAATCACCAATCTCGAGTAATTTCAAAAGTCTACCCCGAGCTACGTTGCGCCTGTAAAATCCGACGAATCAGTTATGGAATTCAACACTAGACGTCCTAAATATCTAGCATACCCAATCCCCTCTCCTTAACGGCTTCCTGAACCTTACTTCTTACATCCTCATACGCATTCTCCCAAAGTTCTTTTCCTTTTCCTACAGTCTCGCTGTCATCTTTCAACCATTCCAACCACTTCACAACTCCTACCACCTTTGCCAAGTCCCTCTCATCCAAGATAACCCTCCTCAAATATCTCTCCATAGCAGCCACATCATCAGGATGCGGGCCTTCACTCTCGAATTCGCGAAACCAAATCGTGAGTGTTTCTCGTAACTCTTCCATCGTGCTTAGTTCTTGCGTGGTGAAAGTGGGTTTTTTAGGTCTAGGGGGTAAACGGATTTTCCGCGGCCCAAGTGGTGGTGGATCTGGTTTCTTGACTTTCTTAACTGTGGATGTCATTAGACCACCGCGTTTTTGTAAGCGTTTTCGCCGATGTTCCGTCATGATTTCTTCACGCATGTCTTCTGGTAATGCGGCAAGAAACTCTGGATCTAAGACTTCGGCGTCGTCGATAGCATCAACTGATTCTTCTCGTGCGCGAGGGTTCGCAACAAACTTTGATTGGAGTGGACCGTGTTGTGGTTCGGGTTTTATCCTTGGTCCGGGAGGCCTACCCCTTCCTCGTTTCTTAACAGGAGTTGGTGGCTTCTTACCAGTGATAGTTCTGTTTTTCCGAGGTGATTGAGGGGGAATACTTTGGGCCCCCGAGAAAGGGTTTGCTATTTGTGGTTTATAGCCTGCTAAAATTTCTGTTTTCATTTCTTCGGGCAGTGCATCAAATACTTCGGGATCGAGCTGAGAAGGCATATGCGAGGTTTTGAGCTTAGTCGGGGTTCCAGATAAAGACTCTGTCATGGCTGTGACGGGTGTCTGCTCCCTTGACACTGGTGCACTTTTACTTTGAGCCATTAGTTTGGATCTGATATCTTGAGGAAGTTCTTTCAAGACTTCGAGGTCGATTTGGCTTGGTATAATGAACTGGGTTCCGGCGAGATTGAGCTTTCTGGCACTCTGATCACCAGCATTTGTTCTTGCAATGAAAGTTGCCGGGTGAGCTGGAGTTGGTTTGGCTTTCAAAGGGCTGCTCTCATCTATGGGATCTTCCGTTTGTATCGATTTCATGATTGATTCGGGTTTCGTTGGTGTCACAGGATCATGAACACCCCTCAAAAGGCGTTTCGTTGGTTGTGCACGTGGAGTTATTCTTCGTTTTGTTGGGGTCTCCGGATCATCAATGATGGGGTCTTCAACGGCTTGTTTTACTGGCTTTGACACCACAGGAGCACCAAAATTAATCTTCTTTTGACTACCATCAAACAGTGTACCATTCAATGACTTCATAGGCTCAAGTTTGGTCATTTGAACACCCAGTCCGCGTAGTTCCCCAGGGGAAAAACCATAACTGCGAAGAATTGAAACTGCTTCCCGACCAATGGTCGTGGCATCATTGGTAGCCAGACCAAGGACGATGCTCTTATTAAAAGTATCGCAATTACCATGGCCAAGGAATTTGGGTGGATCAAGGGGTGCGTCGGCAGCTTTCCTCATAATTTTCATGGTCATTTGTCTCCCCTTCACGCTTTGGTCGATTAATCGACGCTGTAATTCAATGCAGAGATTTTGGACAAATTCTTCAGCTTCAACCTGTGAGATGAATCGGATACCCCAGTTTACCTCAGCAGAAACAGATTTCCTCACAACTTGCTCTCCAACTTCCGATTTATCAATGCCCCGAGAATAGTCCCATATCTTTTCTCCAGTTTTGGGGCCCAAGACAGTCATCAGACGATCCTTTGATAATTGTCGCACGTCTTTCACAAATTTCACTCCAATTTCTTCAAGCTTTCCACCAATACTGTAGGCGACACCGGGAAGATTTTGTACATCGAGTTCGCCGACAAAATCCAAAACCTCTTCCGGCTTAATCTGATATTGACCAGCTGGTTTAGCTTTTCGGAGGGCGATCTTTGCAAGTAAAATATTCCCTCCAATTCCAACAGATACATTACAACCCGTCTTTTCCTTGATAACCTTTCGCAGTGTATTTCCAATCTCCTCAGCCCTTTCCTGTTCTCTCCAAATGCTACCTTCCCGAATTCCAACTCCATCGGTACCACCAGCGGCCAAACACAAAGGAGTAATATCAACGAGCGCTTCGTCGACACTAACACTTTGCACGATGCCGCCAACATCCAGAATAGCTTCATAAAATGCCTTGCTGGCTTCTTCGTAGGCTGGAAAGTCATATGGCAAAATTTTTATGTCGGGGCACAGTTTTATGGCATTCTTCATCCACATCCCGTTTTTGACGCCGAATTCACGTGCCGGATAATTACAACTAGCGATCTCAGACCCCGTTCCGTTACCGTGAGCAACAACTGCAGGTTTATCGACATATTCTGGTGCACTTTTGAGAGATACTGCACAAAAGAAACTATCGAAGTCTACATGCATGATGTATCGTCGCGAGCCAGGCTTACGTTTCATTGATTGCTTTTGAGAAGCGGACTTTTCGAATGCCATTTGCTGAAACTTGGATTTAAGATCTGCTTTCCATGTGGATAAGTGATGTAGTCGAGACTCGGAATAGTATTGCTTGATAAAGTCTGGGTTCGCGGTCGAAGATTTTCGCGTGTGAGGGTCTGCTAACAATATTGCGTTGTGTTCCTCTGCAGTCTCAATCTTCGCCTTTTTAGGAGAATTAGTTGTTTCCTCACTGTGTGGTCGTTTCTTGGCGTTGGAAAATAATCGCCGTTCAGCATGTACTTCCCCAGCATGTCTTGACGGTTCAACTTCGTGCAATATCTTTGTGCTGCTAAGCAGAAACTTTGGTTTCGTAGGGGTGACCTCAGCTGGACTTGACGACGCTTGGAGAGCAGGGGAGGCTGAAGGAGACTTATTCATGGGAAAGCTATCCTTTGCTGTCCGAGTAGACTTCAAGGCTTCTTTACGAGTAGGGACAGGAATCTCAGCGGCGTGCTTCAATGCTTCTTCCAAGGAAGATGTAACTTCAAAGCTTCCAGTTGAGCTTATAGGGTCGTCAACCGGTATCTGATCAACTTCCTCGATGCTTTCTACTATTTGGTCGGTAGGCAAGGGCGCAAACGCACCAATTTTATGTGGCATAATCCTTTGCACCTGTGAGCTCGGAAACTGAGGCCCAACGTCATCGTCAATGTCTTCGGCAACATTTTTGACCTGACTGGTATACCAACTCGCATTTGTTTGATCGCGATATCCTCTTTGTGGCGTATTTGAATGACTGACAACTTTACCATCACGGAACCCCAGTAATTGCTGAGCAATGCCTTCATCCAAAACGCGATAAGAATCCCAAGGAAGACATTTTCCAACCTTCACACTATCTACTACCCAAGCAGGTTTCACGATTCTATATCGTTTAAACTCGATGGCTTTCCTGGGCGTGAGAGTTGATGCGATGATATGGGTAACAGTGGTTTTCCCATCCAGGTATTGCATGAAACCACCTCCATGACTTACTATCAGATGATGAAGATCATTCAACGAGGGCTGTGTATACCCATTTACATGTGCCACGACACCGCGAAAGATATTGGGATTCCCTGTTGATGTAGAACGAACTTCTGCATCTAGATTTTGCAACTTAATTTTCTTGCGCCGAAAATAATCAGAGAAACCTCCAAATTTCGATCCTTCATATTCTTCACCACCTTCATTTTGGAAAGTATGCGATTCGATGCGCTTTCGAATAGATTCCGAATTCTTATCTAGGCGACTACCCATCTTGATGGCAGGAAGCGCAAGCTTTCATTAACCACATGAATCCTTTCTTTGAAAACCCATCTCCAAACACGATGGAGTAGAGCTACAGAGATATTCGTAAGACGTAAATCGTGAATCATACATACAATATAAACTTTATCATGATTAAGTGGCAAAATGAATTGTGGTAGGACGCGATTGTCTCGCGAAAATGTTCCGAAGATCCCGTGACACCGACACGTGATAACAAAAAACGGCTGGATACACAGGTAGCTTAAGACTTCCACAACGCCAATTCAAGAATCGGGGCAATCAACCTTCATGTCGACGGTCGGTACATCACGATAATTTTAGGAGAACTTGGATTTCTGCACGATATCGCGGCGAAATGACTTGTAAAGTCTTGGAATTAGAAAACAGGTACTCGAGTAACCTTACTCCCGTAATTATTTAGTATCTCGTCGTCATTGAGATTAGCGTGTTTTCATGAATTCCTCCTTGTTTTCTTCTTTTCTTCCTTTCTCACCAAATCAATTGACATTGTTTGCTTCAATTTATTCCTACCATTATTTTATTTCCTGTCGCATTCTCATTCATAATATATATACACTTTAGTATGCATCCCAGAAACATGTCCGGAACTACACACGAAAGATCGCCACTCATTCAACACGAAGAGGCTGCTGAGGATAAAGAGGTAAGTATTCTCTCAAAATTGGTACATGTTGATTGACACCTTTTCTAGTTGCTCGAATTTTCCGAGGATGATAATGAGAACCCCAGGAATTGGTCAAAATGGAAGAAATTGGGGAATATCGCTGTTATCGCAACCATGGCCAGTGTGTACCGCATAATTCACTGCTCCACATCACCTGTCTAATATTAGACAGTTCTCTCGCCTTTGGCAAGCAGTATGTTTGCACCAGGTATCAATCAAATAGTGGAAGCATTAGACACAACAGCGGAGGCTGTAATTGCATGTCAAGCCTCGTTATAATGCTTAGAATTGGACCGTAAGTGCGTTAGTCACTATTTTCCAATGAAATTTATACTTAATGGAAGATATCATAGGCTTCTACTCGCCCCTTTATCTGAAACTTTTGGTCGAAAGCCCTTGTACTTGGTCTGCTTTGGCACTTTTACCTTGCTTCAAATTCCGACGGCACTGAGCCCCAATATTGCTGCACTCATCACATTTCGCTCTATTGCCGGATTCTTCGGGAGTATATCGCCCTCGTACCTCTATAATTATAGCGCCTGCTGACTTTGCATAGGCGTCTCGATCGCTAATGGAGGTGGAACCATCTCAGATATGTATTTGCCAAGTGAAAGAGCAGGTGTTTTTGGATAGTATCTTCTTGGGCCACTTTTAGGACCGACCATTAGCCCTCTTCTTGGCGGTATCATCTTACAAAATCTTGAGTGGGCATGGCTTTTCTGGATTTTGATGATAATATGTGGTCTCGTTTTCGCCGGTGTATACTTTCTTCTCCAAGAAACTTATGTTCCTATTCTCCTTACACATTGGAAGAATCAACATGAGGAATGCTCAGAAATTGAGTATTATTTCGAAGGGGAAGATACAAGACCGTTCTAGTCGAAAGCCATCCAAGCAGTTCATCGTCCACTTAAAATATTGTTCACTCAGCCAATTGTTCTAATCATGTCAACATATCAAGCCCTCATTTTCGCCACAACATACAGTCTTTATACCCAATTCTCCCGCATCTACGGCGATGGATACGGGTTGAACACTGTTCAAGTAGGACTTGTATGTCTCGCCCCGAGACTTGGATTTCTTTCAGCAGTGAGATTAATAGTCCCGAGGATAGACGATTTCCGAGATCACCTTACACGCATGAATAATGGGGAAGCGAAACCCGAGTTTCGTCTCCCCTCTCGCAAACATTGGCGCGGTTCTCATTCCTTGTTTCATTATTCTCATTTGCCTTGATGGTTGAATACCATGTACACTGGGCTGTAACACTTGTTGCCACTTTCTTCTATGGTATTGGACAAGTCGCAATCTTCAATACTGTACAAAATTATTACATCGATAGTTTCGAGAAAAATGCGGCAAGTGCCATTGCTGCTGTTGCTTTTTTCAGAAGTATTTTTGGAGGTATCGTTCCTCTGATCACACCAACCATATTGGATAATGTTGGAGTCGGGTGGGGACTGAGCATATTTGCATTTTTGAGCGTTGCAATTGCCCCAAGTCCCCTACTTTTTTATTATTATGGAGCGTCACTGAGAAAGAGATTTGCAATAGATTTGAAGTAAGGCGGGTCCTTGCACTTCTAGCAGACAATATTGGTACACATCTATACAGTGGGTGTCATCCTATCCATCATGTATAATTACATCATTGCCGTTATCTACTACAATTATTCCTAGTGGACAGTATTGGACAGGACAGAGGATAGATGCTACGGCGAGCGGTTGCTTCATGGTTGCCCAAAATGATTAGGATATTTGGTCTTAACTTCTTTATTTTCCTGTTTAGAATATAAAATTTGGTATTTGGAATCTCGGCATGTATCAGTAATTCTGACATAGTACACGCTGTTATGGATCCACAACTGTGCCACCCAGGACGCAACGTCACCTACATTACACAGGTCTATTGGTTGATCCTTTTGCAATAATGGATGCCAGTGCAACACAATGGAGTTGGGAATCATACTTTGACGATACCGCTTTTCAATGCCGTGGTATCTACAGACTACGTACCCACATGTTGTGGACCCATCGGATTTGAGCTTTTCTGGAGACCCCAAACCAATATTATCGCCATCAACCCCAATTTGGAGCATTGCCCACATCAATCAATCCAAGCAAAACGCTCAAGAACAATAAATGTACGTCAGCGTGGAACAATATCACATGCATGCGCTTCTGCAAATCAGGGAAAATTGAACATGAATTTGATTTAAGCTGACATTGCCGATCTAATAAGGTGATGTTTCCGAAACTTACCGCAGTTCTGCAATGCTTGCCGGGTAGTCCTTAGGCGACAGCACGGACTCCATTAACGTTCATGTCTAACGAAATGTAGAATGACACACTAAAAGTTGTCTTTCCGACGATCTCAACTTCATATGGATTGGCATTGGTGGAAAATTATATGTACACCAATTGAATGTAGTGATTTTCATTCAAGAAATTTTCGGCGCGGTACGTCCCGTAGACATAAATGGAGAAAGCGTGGAGTACGTGCACAAAATATTTGAATAACTTGGATAACTTGAATAAACTTGTCACCCTCACCGTTCTTGTATAAAGGTAAGCGAACTCGCAACCTCTGTATCATTCTTCACTTATTTCTCAAGGAGATATATTTCCTGGTGTGTTTACTACATTGCCGTCAAGATGGTGCACTTTCCAAAGGTCCATAATGTGTACTTTTTGGCTTCTATCGCCACGGTTGGTGGAATGCTGTAAGCACCCATGATTCATCACGATGATGCAGAGATGGACAGTGTCTAACAATATTTCCAGGTTTGGTTTCGATATTTCATCTATGTCGGCCATTATCGGCACCAGCCAATACATAAATTACTTTGACAATCCCCAAGGTGTGGTACAAGGAGGTATTGGTTCTGCCTTAGCTGGTGGTTCGGTTATTGGTGCCATCATGGCCGGTCCAATATCTAACAAATACGGTCGTCGGGACTCTTTATTCTTTGCCTGTCTCTGGTGGTTACTTGGAACAGCTCTTCAAACTTCCTGTAATGGAATTCCCATGTTGATTTGTGGTCGTTTCATCAACGGTATTTGTGTAGGTATTACCTCCTCGCAAGCACCGGTATACCTCGCCGAAATTGCCAAGAAAGAAAGCAGAGGATCCATTATCGTTATCCAACAATGGTCTATCGAGTGGGGTATCTTCCTTATGTACTTTGTGGGATACGGATGCAGTTTTATCAAATCCACCCCAACAGCGTCATTCCGTACCGCATGGGCCATACAATTTGTTCCCTGCATTATCCTCATGATGGGTATCCCATTCCTTCCTCGATCGCCTCGTTGGCTCGCAAAAGTTGGCCGCGAAAGAGAAGCCATCGCTATTCTCGCAGATATCCAAGCAGGCGGCGACGTCAACGATCCACTAGTAATCGCCGAATGGGAAGAAATCACCACGATTCTTGCAGCTGAGCGTGAAGGTCAAAAGGGGTGGAGACGATTCTTCAAAAATGGCATGTGGAAACGTACTTTAGCAGGTACATCCGTTCAAGCTTGGCAACAATTGAGTGGTGCAAATGTCATGACTTATTATGTGGTTTATATCTTCGAAATGGCCAGTTTAACGGGAAACATCGGACTTGTTTCTTCTGGAATTCAATACGCGATCTTTATAATAGGTACTGCAGCCACCTTTTTCTTCATTGATAAAACTGGTCGAAGACCATTACTCGTAAGTACCTCCTGTAAACACATACATCTTAAACCACTCAATAACTAACCCAAACCTCTAGATCTTCGGCGCATTAGGCATGGGCATATGCATGTTCGTAGTCGGTGGCATCCTAGGCTCATACGGAACCTACCTCCCAGACGGCCTAAACGGCAATCTCAGCGTACGAGTCCAAGTATCCGGCTCCCCGGCCTACACCGTCATCGCCTTCTGCTACATCCTAGTACTCATCTACTCTGTAACCCTCGCACCCATCGCCTGGGTCTACGCGGCCGAAATCTGGTCCCTCGAAACGCGCGCCACGGGAATGGCCCTCGCGTCAGTCGCAAACTGGCTTTTCAACTTCGCAATCGGTTTATTCATTCCCTCTGCCTTCCAAAATATTAGCTGGAAATTATTCATTCTGTTCGGCGCTCTCTGTATGGCTGCTGCGGTGCAGGCATTCTTTACGTACCCTGAGACGGCGGGTAAGACGTTGGAGGAGATTGAAGTACTTTTTGCAAAGGGCGGTCCAAAACCTTGGAAGACAAGACCGGGAGGGAGTTTGTTGGATGAGAGGGTTAGGGATGTGGTTGCGTTTGAGGAGAAGGATGGGGTGGGTATGGGGGGGATGCAGGAGGAGAGGGTGGAGTATATGAATGGGGATAGGAATAGAGATGGGAAGGAGAGGGGTGGGAGTGCGGTTTAAGGGTAGGGGTAATGGGAGATGCATATCGATACCCTGGGTTTTTCGTGTGGTTTGGGTGTTTTTGAGATATCAATTTGAGGTTTATTTTTTGTGAATATTGTTTGGTGGTGATTTTTTGTTTGCCTGATTTTATCTCTTTTGTGATAAGATTATATCATGGAGACGAGAATTAAGATTCTCGAGATTCAGACATATGGACATTGGAGATTTTTAACGATTTATCAGATAGGATACCCAAAGATCCTAGGACATCCAATCATCATGATTGCAAAACCAACGATCGATGGAAAGACATTGGGTTCCGATTCTTGAATATAAACAAGTAACTATAACATTCAAGTCATATCAGACAATGAATTTTTCAATACCAATATTTGTATTGTAAACTTTCTAATAGCAATATTGGATTTGGTTCGACTACTCGAATATTAAGAATATTACGAATCTTTTCAAATATGGAAAACTCATATCTAATCCTAATCTGCGAGTCAGAAGTAATCCTCTGTGTGTTTATGATATCGGTGTCTTTATTAATCGCCCTGAATGCATACAATGTTAATATCTCCCAATTTTGGTAGATTACAAGAGGGTTCAAGAGGGTTCTCCAGGAGCCTCATCTACTAAATTGCTATTCTCCATACCATCTCACTATATCCTTCAATCATCGAGAAGGAGGTTTAATAATCAGTGAGCCATTAATTAAATCAACGGTTAAATCAAACCCTCTCGACAATCAACCTCAAAACACAATTTACGCAACAACAGGCCTCCTCTCCGACCCCGGCAAATTCCCCACCAAAGAAGATTTCCCAGGCGTAGAAGGATCTTGACCACTAATATTCCTGATCCACCTCCTAATATGTCTATGCTGAAAACACAGCGGGGAGACGAGTCCCGAGACGGTCGAGCCGGTGAGCGGCGTCACCATTGACACTCTTCTCTGACAGGGCTTCCCCGTTGCTGTTAGCGCCATGCAAGGTCTAGGGGTCCTTTCATCGTCGGCGTATTGTTCGTCTTCATAGTGGACGAAGCGGGGTCGTAGTGGTTCGTAGGGGGCCAGGGGGTTTCTTCGCTCTCGTAGTGGTAAATCGTGGACGCCGTCTTTGTCGGAATAGTACCAATGTTTTTCTGACGATTTTAGTGAGAGTAGTTGTGAGGGGTTTGCGGGAGACCCTGCTGGTTGTGCTGCTGCGCTGAAGAATTGTGTGGGTGATGATATGTCTGTAGGGTTTGTTGACCGGGTATGGGAATTGCTTGCGGTGTAATCTCGTGTTGGTAGTGATTGATCCGGAAGATTTGTATATGGAGTTTGAGTTTCTTCTGCACTGTAATTATGTGTTGATAATGCTCTACCCAAAGGATTTGTTGGTCGACTTTGTGATGCTACGGAGTCGTAAAACTGCGTTTGTGACAATTTATCGGAAGAGTATCTTGATGTAGCTTCTCCATCTGCATAGTAATCCCTTTCTGATATGTCTGACGAACTTTGTGGCCCCACTGCACTAGACTGAGACTCTCTTTGTGATCTTGTCATGATATCATCTACAAGCGAGTCATCCAGAGTAGGGCTAGAAATTGCAGATGGTGGCCAAAATGCTAGTGATAGCTGCCTTGAGAGCTTTCTAAGTATACTTAAGCAGATGGATAGTAAGAGATAAAGTACAATGATGTAAAGGGTGAAAGGTAATATTAAGATATCGGGGCAAAATAATTCACACGCGTATCCTATAGTTGGCCAATCGGTGTTGGCTGGAATTTGTGACCATGGAGTGTAGGCTTCCTTCCTTGAGACCATAACCTGATAATGATCGCAGCCACGTTGAAAGTGCAAATACTCGTACTTAGGTTTTGTTCCATTGAGTCTCCTATCTCTCCAGCTCTCAGCCCAACGCCATATATTGTCGCCTATAGGGTTAGGTAGCCCATTATCCACGAATAAATGGACAAGATTTACCCAGGTTGCTGTACAGAAACTTTGATCCGGCTCTGTAAGGTAATCCAAGCCCAGGGGCCCGATAGGTTGATCCGAATAAACGCACATTGTTCCAGTTGAGCCCGAGTCATAATGCCAAAACCACGGTTTGGGCGCCGTGCTCGTCACATTTCGACATCTGCTATTCCATTCTTCGTTCCAGTAATTTAGTTCCCATGTCAGAGGAAGGTCGTGTTTCCCATGACAATCCCACTCAAACCGTTCACATTGATAGCGATACTCAAGAAGCTTCTCGTTGTCGGTCAGCACCCGGTAAGCCTCGTTGATAAGGTGAATTGCTTCCAGGGCATTCTCCTTTTGATCTGGATCTCTAATCTTATCTGGATGTATTAACTTGACAAGGCGACGATATGCCTGCTTGACATGTTTTTGAGTCGCATTGATTGGAAGATCAAGATTGTAGTAATGAGGGGTGAAGTGTGGAGTGACACATGCCATATTGCCGCCTGGCAGAGCTTTAGGCAAAAATTTTCCTGGCAACAGTTCAACAATGTTTGTACAAAACTATCCGAGAATATTGAGATCTTGGTAAAGCAAGCAGCTCTTTTAGCCCTTGAACATAGACTAAAGAATAAACAAAATCTTAATGAAGAACATGACCTAGCAGATAGACAAAGAATAAAATTTTAGAAATGTCTTTATCACAATGACAATCTAGCGTAAGGGATGCTGCAAACAGGTTCACTAACAATTAATCATTTTATTTATTGTGTCTCAAGAGACAAATGAATTGCTTGAAGATCTGTCCAGTCTCTTCGTTCTTGGTATTCATGTATCCTACTCTAGGATTTTCATGCACATTCTTCAATGCCATATTTGAAGGACGGGATTGTTTATATAACAACCCTTTTTGCATCTACTTAGAAGCGTTCGGCTTTTTTCCTTTTTATTTTCTTTGGGGAACAAAAACAATCGTGGCACCACTGAAGAAGAGTCAACATACATCCAAACGTGTCCTTTAAAACCAACGAACTTTTGTCGGGCATGGAGATTTGAACTAAAAGATACATGGAAGTCATGATACTTTGGCCGGATACGGCTTTTGCATGACACTGGTCAAATCAATGGCCTGCTGAATCGGTGGGAAAATATCGCAATAATACTGTACATATTTTCCATTTGATTCAATTAAGAATCTGCATGTTGTATGTGGATTGACATAAGCGGTGAGAGATGGCAGAAATGGTTATGTAATACTATAAACGGAGTAATGGTCTCGACTTCCTTCCATTCATTACCTTTGACCAAATTGAATATGGGAATTGTCGCAAAACTCCTACCAGCAGATTTCGAGAGAACCGCCTGCAACAACATATACACATGTTTATACCTTTCTGCAAAAAGGAAATGGTATAGAGAACAATGTTACGGAACAATGTTAAGGAACAATCAGAGGCAAGTGCCACGAGCTATGAAACCGAAAAGACATTATTCGATTTATTGTTGAGAAATAAAGAAACAAAAATAATGCTTCCTCTATCTACCTAGGTAGCATATGGTGAACATCTTGTAGGTAATATAAATCGTCTTCTATTCTCTGATATATATCTCATAACAAACGCCTTTTCCTCTGAATAATATGAACCTAATTTATCAAAATGCTGGATCACCTATTCTTTTCCTGGGGCTGGAGGGCTACAGCTTTATGTATTTGTCTTTTTCCCTTTTTGGTGGCTTATCTTCTTACTACTGTTAAATCTACCCTTACTGTGCGGAGTAAAAGTACTAATAAATCTCCTGCTTTTGACCCGTCGCCGGATTTTATATTCGGTAACCTTTTTGCTTTTTCATTCGACACTCGTGGATATCTTGCACATCTAATGTGAGTACATGGGGATGACACCTCTATTCTTTTGGCTAATAGATGTCCAGAAATCGTTTTGGTCCCCATGTACCTGTTCGAATTCGAGTGGGTGGTCATAGTTTCTACTTTGTTTCCGGACCAGAATATATTCTCAAACTATTCCGTGGTTCTCGAGAACTCACTGCCGTTCCCGCCATGGCAGCAATAGTTGAACGAATTTTTGGTTCTCCTCCTGAAGCCAGTTCCGTACTCTTAAATGACAACACCGGCACCTCAGCACAGCCATTGCCGGACACCAATCCTTTACCCGCAGACCAACGTTATCACCATTTATCCCATCAAGGATTCTCCGATAATCTCACCGGTGTCCGATTAGCAGAACTCGTAACTCGATTCCTAGAAAATCTGAACACGGAACTAGATAACCTAGACACGGGAACCGATGAATGGCTAGAAATACCAGATCTCTACACTTTCATCCAAAACACCATATTCAACGCCAACACTCGTGCACTTTGCGGAACACACATATTCGAAGTCATCCCCACGCTAACCGAAGACTTTTGGAACTTTGATTCGCAGGTTGCAGGCCCGCTTAAAGGTATCCCGAGATTCTTCATCCCTGGTGCTTATAAGATTAGAGATAAAATGGTCGAGGGTATTCTCGCGTGGCACAAATCGGCAGAAGCGCATATCGATCGCAGTGGTGAGGAGCTTGAAAATAAGTCTTGGGAACCATACTATGGATCTAAACTTTTCCGAGACCGAGCTCGTTTCCTTTCTAAAATCAATGGGTTTGGTGATCAAGCTCGCGCGGCTAATGATCTAGGTTTAATTTGGGGGTAAGTGAAATGAAGCTATAAAACATAACATTTCGAAACCACTCTAATGCTCCCTAGGGCAAATTCCAACAGTATCCCAGCAATTGCCTGGTGTATCCTAGACATCCTATATCGTCCCGACCTCCTATCCCAAATCCATTCCGAACTCTCCACCATCGCAACCCTACACCAAAACAGTCCCATCACCCAACAAACGCCCGACCTCCTATCAAACCTCCTCCTCCAATCCATCTACAGCGAAGAACTGCGCCTCCGTAACGCCGCCGCAATCCAACGCAGCACCCTCAACCCAACTTTCCGAATCGGCCCCTGGAAATTCCCCAAAAACGCCATGATCCTAGCAAGCATCTGGTACGCCGGCCACGACAAAACCATCTGGAACGAAGGTCCCAACAACCAATACGACGTCGATACCTTCTGGCCCGAACGCTTCATCCTCTATCCCAATAATCCACACAGCGGTCCCAAAAAACAACACAACACGGATAAACATCCCTCAGAGAAAATCACAAATCCAAAACTCATCACCGATGCGGTGAATGGGTCGTGGATTCCATATGGAGGCGGTCAGCAAATTTGCCCGGGGAGGTTTTATGCAAAGCAAGAAGTTATTGGAAGTATAGCGGTATTTTTTTCGAGGTTGGAGGTTGAGTTACTTGGGGTTCGGGATGGGGAGATGCCCATGCCGGATTTTAGGTATTTTTCTCTGGGCGTTTTGCCGCCGAAGGGTAGGTTTCCCGCGAGATTGCGCAGGAGGTAGATTTTTGGATTGGCGCTAGGTGGCTGGTTATGAGATTGCTTTGTTCTGGTGTTTATTTTGTGGGAATATGATGGGTGATGGTAGATTGGGTTTCTTGTGAACTTTCTTGGTGTATACGTTCTGTCTCGGTTGTGACTCGCCATTTAGAGGCTTTAACTCTAAAATTAAATTTCGCTTCTAGTTCGTAGTTACTCTCGAGACTTGAGCACTGCCTTTTCTTTTTGTTTGAGCATTAAATATATAGAAGTCTTCCATGATTGTAAAAATGTTATTCGTAATATTCCTACTTCAAACTTCTCTCCTCATCTCCAAATAATGTCTAGAATAAACCCTTGCGTGTGATATCCTCTCCAAAGTTTAGTACGCGATCCCTCCACTCCCTCCACTTTCCTCAATATCCAACATGATTAAAAAGAAGGTAGTCCAGTCCAGTCCAGTCCAGTCCAGTCCAGTCCAGTCGAGTCCAGTCCCACAACCCCAGTCCCATTCAAGCCCCTACACCATCCAACTCCGACTCCCCCATTTTCGCTCTCGGTAAATCAAGCTCCACAAACCACGGTTTATTAACAGGTCGATACCTCACATCCATAATACTCGCATTAACCATCAACGTTTGCTTTCCCTCCTCAATAGTTTCTCTATTTATATCCGGCCATTGGCAATCAACATTCCTTCTCCCAGAGATAGGATTACCTTTCTCACCCCAACTTACCATTTCGGCCCCATGACCCTCGTGAATATGTCCACAGCAGAATAATCTCGGTTTTGCTCTAGTGAGCGCTTTAAATAAATTAACACATCCGACATGTCCCGCGTATCCATCTACTTTATCTAAAATATTCATCGGAGGCCCATGAGTCATAACAATATCCACATTCCCGCCATTCCCATCCTCATCTTCACCCTCTTCAAAACCCGGTATACGCACCGCACCATCCACCCCTTCCATCCCAACCTTCCGTTCCCCAACCCCATTAAACCTATCCCTCTCCCTCTCATACGCCCACCCAAACCCACAAAACTCCGGCGTATAAGGCGAAGCATAAACCCTCGCCCTCGCCCCATTCCGCAAAACAAACCCATGCACGCCCTCCTCCAAATAAGTAACCCCAGCCTCCCCCGCCAAATCCCCCCGCATAATCGCATTACCCTCCTCACACTCCCTCAGCGCATCCTCTTTCTCCTCATCCGTATATCCCCTGCGCAAACATTGACGAACCACCCACTCCTTATCCAAAGTCCGATCATGATTCCCCGCAATAACAAGTTTTAATTTCGCCGGGATGGATTTCAGCATTTGGAGAGCGGCGCGGTATTCGGAGAGACCGCCTACTTTGGTGAGATCTCCACAATGGAGAAGAATATCTATATCCGATGGGATGTTGGAGAGTGAGAAGGGGATGTTGCGGTTGTTGAATTCGAAGGTGTGGGTGTCTGAGATGATCATGATGCGCGTGGGGATTTTGGTTTGTGAGGTGTTCATTTTGAGGGATTTTTGCAGAGATTTGGTGATATTGCTTGTGAAGAAATCGGATGGAAAGCGGCGAGACAGAGGCATGTATAGTGTAATGATGAGATCGCTGTCAAATGTGAATTAAAAGTGATGCCTTGCTCATAATCACGTGATAAGCCGTCAGAATGTGGCATCTAGCCACGGCGGCCCCGCAGTTCTAGAACAAACAGAAAGTCATCATTGGCTGCAATGATGGAGGAAATGATAAAATATATCCCACCGAATGGAACGAAAAAACACTGTAGCTTGAACAATAAATTCAATATAAAAAACACAAACTACAAAAACAACTTCAGAGTAATACTTGGTATCTCAATTCACTCCATCACTACATTTGTATAGCAAAACTACCATCCATCTCCTCCCTATTCACATCACTACACCGCGCCAACCTTCCCCCCATATTCATCTCATCTTTCTAGTCCAATTCATCTATGGAACAATGGATCTCCCATCCGACCTCTTAAAATTATAAATAAAGATTATATGGTAATATAGTATCATCCCACCAACCAACCCAGACATCCATCAAGAAAGCTCGCCAAACTTGCTCCTCTTTTCCGTACCCAACCGTGTCCTCCAAAAAGAGGACTGAAACTTCCTTTTCAAAGATAGGTAGATAGTTCCAAACATCCAAGCTAAAAGAGTCGTGTATAAACATCATCATATATGCCAATCATAAAAGGAAAAAAATATTTGAATCCAAACTTCGCCTCCCACCAATCCATGATAATATGAAGTAAACGTAGAATAACGTAATGGTATAAATCCAATAAAAGATTGCAAGAAATTTGATTCCGACAGAATTCGGAGAGTATCGCATCCAGTAGTGTTGAAGTGCCTCCGCATTACTGGTAATATATGCAACCATGAGGTAAAAAAAATTAAAAAGAGAAATTGAAAGTTGCGTTGAGCATAAATAGTATATCTATATGGCGGACAGAAACTGAAGTCATGATGATATTAACCAGGCCGAAGGAGATTTTACGTGGTCCAGACGTATTAGAAATCGATATGTTTGAAAGATATCCAAGAGATGCGAAGATTATACAATTGGAATGTGGCTACTGGATCAAGCAGCCAATGGCAAGGAGTAAGACGAGGCCGAACATGGAATTTGACACTTCGGTTGCTGAAGCACCTGATTTCTTTTGACTTAAGGCAGTAGCAGAGCCGGTTGCGGGTGAGGCTTCGGTAACGCTCGCAATTGGGCTCATTGGCGTTGACACGACAGTGCTGGTCGGGTACTGTTTTGCAAAGAAAGTACTGCGACACCGCCGGTAGAGTTTGCAACTTGAAGGAAGATGAGTCGGTCGGATAAGTAGAAGCAGTGATGGAAGTTGTATGACTGTAAAGAGAGGAAAGTCGCGGTGTTGATGAAGATGAGAGGAAGGAAGGAAGAAGATGGTGATGATGAGGAAGAAGAGAAAGAAGACGATGAAGATGAAGACGAAGAAGAAGAAGAAGACGTTGACGTCGATGTTGACGAAGATGATGAAGATGAAGATGAAGATGAAGATGATGAAGAGGATGATGAAGATGAAGATGATGACGATGAAGATGACGATGACGATGAAGATGACGACGTTGATGACGTTGATGTAGACGATGAGGAACTGCTAGTTGATGGAGTTGGAGTAGACGAGGTAGTAAGAATCGAAGAAGATGAGCTGTGAGTTGATATCGAGGTCGATTTTGCGGCTGAAGAAGCGATACTCGAATCAGCCTTGGAAGATGCTGGAGCGGAAGAACCAGAACTACCAAGCTCAAAAACGACAACATCGGCGGTCAGGCCTGAAGGAACAGTAACAACACAAAAGCTAGCTCCTCCTGCACCAGAAGCTTGATCAGCACTAGTAACTCCTCCAATCCCGACAACCGATGGATCAATTGAACAAGGGAGCCCGTTGCAACCAGGTCCAGAACATTCAATCTTTAAACCAAAATTAGGCATGGTCTTTGAAAGCGAGGAGGCTGTCCAAATTGGATTCCAGCCAATCTTAACAAAGGTATCACCATTGGCGTCCGTGTTAGCTCCTGCGACATATGGGGCCCAGTTTCCAATGGGTTTTGAACCATCACCCCAGATACAACCATCGGCAGTTGAGACTCCAGGAGCATTGATATAGTAACTAAAGATTATTAGTTACTTAGAACCTTCATATGATGACTAATACATACTGAGCTGCAGTTTCACACCAGTAGCTTGTTCCTGGAACCGCCAATTGAGAGGATGCATCCACCGATGTTGGAATTAACATGGCCTCATTTCCAGGTAAAACTGTTTGACAGAACGAAACGGTTCCACCACAGCTATTTACAACTCCAACTGTCCCGGTTCCGGGCACACAATAGGGTTGATTAGGAAATGGCTTGCTAATTTTGCCTTTTGAATCACAATATAGCCCTCCATCCTGCGAGAATTTAGTATTTTATTTGAGCTCATAAATATTCCAACATACCATGGATAACGGATAAGTGTAAGAAGTGGCTTTTGGGTTCCATTGTGCCATCACTTGGCCAGGAGGACAAGCATAAGGACAATATGAACCTGGGGTGCAAGCTTGATCAGGACTCATTGCCCATCCTGCATTTACAGAATTTGGGGTGACAGACACCAATCCAGCATCCGTTGGGAATGCGCAAGTAGTGCGCTTCTGTAACAAATTTCCAGGGTCTTCTGCTCTTGGAGATGCATGAATTCTGTTATGCGAATGGCGTTTTTCCAAAATGTCGAGATGGGAAAGTCCACGGCCCAACTTGGCTTGAGAGGGTGACACTAATATTGCCACGGCCACAATTGCCGTTGATATATCGAAAAACTTCATTGCGTGAAGGAATAATGTTATTGATGGATCAAATGCTCCTCAGGCCCCCAAATATCTGATGTTGTTTTCGTGCTGTACCTAGGTAGTATCTTATCTTCCCTCGTGTGCGTGGGTGAGAACTCGGCGTGTTGCAGTTTCCGTCCAACTGATGATAGCAGAGATACGAACAAAGTCAGTGAAGAGATAAAGTTAGTTTCCAGGCAATCAAAATGCTTCGAATGGAATTGAGATAACGAGAGGCTTGCATATGTAATGAGCGTGATGGCGACGAGCAACCGAAAAAAGAGCGACGTTTAACACACACACACGCGCACACTGTGAAAGACTGGAGAGAAAGAACAAAGATGAAAGATGTAGGGGAGGAGTGGAAGTGGGTGGGTGGGTGAGTGAGTGGATGAGTGGGTGAGTGGGTGAGTGGGTGAGCTGTGGTGGATAAACGGGTTCAGTTGGAGGTATCTGCGCTTTTCCAGGTCGGTCGAGAATCACGATATAGGAATAGATTGGGAAGGAAACGCCCACATAAAGGTCAAGGCGTTCCCCGATTTCCTGCACTTTCCTAATAAATTCCCATCTTTCACCAGCTGCAATGATCATTGATCACACATTAATCATTTTTCACATATTGGATCGTTGGCAGGCTTTGCCCAGGCGACTTGGGGAAATTGGGGAAGGTGGGAAATTGGATGATAGAATCTACGGACTAATGATCTGACGATCCCAATTAGGCTTTTAGCTTTGGTTCAATTCAAGCAATGATTGGACAAAGTCATCGAGCTATATGCAATGTCCCTGACGCTAATGTAGAACGGGAGTTTTAAATGGGAAAGATCGGCCAATGATAACATCCATGCAGTAGAAATGGTTTAAATTAAAAAGAACCAGATAAGGCTTAGTGCTTATTTAAAGCAGGCTCCAGAGTCCAGGATCCTTGTGTTTTCTTCTTGGATGTCTGGCCGAGATATCATCAATGGATTGATTTTATCCATAAACTAAGATATGTACAGCTCATGTACCATATAAAAGTTGATTAAAGCTAAAAAGGCTCTTCGGTAAAGAGATTTGTATCCCCTCTTTGTCACAATTTTTCAACATCTCGAGCTTCGAAGATTGTATCCCCCCTTTTCTCCCCCAGTTCAATAGTTGCAGATTTACAACACTAGGTACTACTATTTACATACTAGTAAGAGATGAAGGTATCTTCACAAAACGCCAGTATGCATGGAAGCATATGTATGGAGGCACATGCATAGAAGCACATGCACAGAAGCATTCTTTACACTGTTGTTTATTTTGGATCCCCAACGGAATGTGGATACGTATCTACGGTGTCGGCAGATTCTTTAGATTCCTACTCCATAGCTTCGTACACACATGGAGCTTGACCCAACAGTCGGCAAAATCTCAAATCAGAATCCATTAGAAGTCGGGTAAAATCCCAAGAAGACATAAAGAAGAGGGATAAAAACTGGTACCGGGGATCAAGCGATTGCGGAGGTGAATCCATCTTACGGCCATGCCGAAAGAAGGTCATGGCCCTTTTTGTCAATTTCGTTATTTCGTCCGTGATGCTTCAGAGTCTCATCTCATACCTCAAGCCTCCAAGTTTTGTTGTCTATCTTGAGACATACGCATGTTTTGAATATTGAATGGCCCAGTTCGTTGATTGAGGCTGAGCATCTTTTTATATCGTGTGCTATTGGCGGCAACGAACGGTTTAATTTTCTATCGCATGTTGTTTTATTCTCATGGCATTAATCGTAACTCTGGTATATAACGAAAGCCCTGCTGCTGACATTTTTTGGAACAGCAATTCGGAGTGCAATGAATGGTGTTGATTGATTCTATGCGGAGTTTGTCAGATGAGAGAATTGCTTACTAAGTAATTCCACCTCAGCATTAATCACGTGAATATACCCGTATAATCTCGGGTTCTTGGCATTGCCAGACCAGTGTACGGATGAACATCATGCCGAATCTATCTAAACCCAGAGCCCGAGAATACGGCATCTACCGATCATGTCCCTAGGACACATTCCGAGGTTGGTCTAAGGAAGCGGTGGGAGTAAGGGGGAAAAAGGAGTAGACGAAAAAATAGGATCTTATATTTTCTTAATCAAAGTAATTGATGGCATACCATCCCAAAGGACGGCCTTTATATATTATAGCCATCACCAACTATCCAGATCTAGGAGGTGTAATCATTTGTGAATAATCTCTTCTTCTTCTTCTTCTTCTTCTTCTTCTTCTTCTTCTTCTTCTTCCTTACATTATCTCCCATGAAAGACTTTCCATCTGTTATAATCTTACAATTATTAACTTCTTGTCCTACACAACATATATATCTCCGGGGTTTTTAATAGATCAAAGATCTAAAGACTTCATACATACACATATACATGTATACATCCTCCAAAACCGTCTTGACTAAGTAGTAACTATTATCGTTATTGAATAAATCATAATTGTAATCATATCTTATTAGATTCTATATTCCAAACTCCAAGCCCTCATCTCTATCATTCTCGTAGTCAATAATATTGTATATTCGCTCCTCCCACCGTGATCAATATCCAGAAAAAAGAGCCCATGATCAAACAAGATCGAACCTATAATCGCAAGACCAATAAGCCAGCATCGGATCGCAGACTTTCTGATGGCTCAACCCCGCATTTCCAAGTTTCATCGCCGTTTGTCCCATCTTTTCGTTCTCAAAAACCAAATTTCATGACGTTACTACGACATCGACAGAAAGTCCGTGGTTACTTCTTATTGCGTCATATTTAGGCGCAGGTGCGAGACGAAGCAGACATCGCGGATCAAATAGAGAAATCAGCAGCAAGCCGATTCCTTGAACGAGAACTCAAGTTTCAGCACAGGTGCATAAAACACAGAAAGAAGTCGACCAACACCTAGCAAGATCCGGACTTTACGCCTGTCACCCTTACAAGGCATAATTGAAACACAGCCATATTGGCGAAATTTCCTTCAAAGCTTTGGTTCCTGTGGAAGCTTTTCGTTACCCCACAGTCGAAGGCTCGGTCTTGGTCGTCATGACCTGGTCTAGTGTTCTTGGCGCTGAAATTGACGCAATTCGCTTAGAGTTTTTAGCTGTACCGTACAATTCCTCTTCCACAAAATTAGCTTCAATTTCGCTACTTTAATGGTGAGCTGACTTTTTTATTTTAATGTAGGTCGATTAAATTATTTAGTTGCAGCGCGGGCAAGAAAATGAGATGGAAATGATTCAAGAGCCTTAAGTGGGCGTTGTGTCTGTAATGCCTTATGTATCGTTGACCGTCATTGAGAAAGTTTTCGTGGCGGGTGGGTATAGACATGCCTTGACTGAAGGGTGACCATTTGCACCAGCTTTCATACACATCTCTCCTCCTTATCCAACCCCCAAAGTTGTATCAGAGATTCCAGTTCTCAATTATCCGCTTGAAGCTCCATCAAAGAACCTCTTCAAAAACGAGTCCCATCTCACCTCTTCTATCCCTCCACTTATTAGTACTTTCAAATAAATCTGTACATCCTTTCAACGACCAGGCCCATTTCCTAGCAAAATTTTCCTCCACCTCCCAACTACCTGCAACCCAGGGATCACCCCAAACAATCAAGCCAGTTCTCCCATCTGTACCCTCTACCCCATACATTATATCACGACAAAACTCCACATCATCCCAGACATGTCCTTTTGCTATCGCAGAAAGGAAATTATCTCTACAAGGCGGGAATGGAAAAATGTCTAATTCAGGATGATGTGCTATCTCGATTTGTAATCTGGTGGGTTGAAGCGTTGCTGGTAGTTGTGTAGGTGGTGATGAGGTGTTGAAGGGAGAAAGAATATCATCCTCCTCCATACGATCGATTGGGAGTTTCAGGATCTTTACATTCGTGATCAATGCACGCGCCACGTTGTAGTGAAGGAGGGAGAGTAAGTATGAGTCTGGTGGAATACAAAGATTGGTGAGATATGCATTGAAAGTTTCAGAGGAGAGGATGTGTTTTATATGCACCTTGTGCATCTCTCCTTTTGAAAGACGTGTTGTGAAGGGATCAACAATCTTAGGGTACTGTGCTTCCATGATTTTAGTGGGTCCCTCCAGTCTTCTCGGATCCAGCTTCCTACGTTGTCCTAAGGCAGTGGTTAATAAAGGTTAGGTAGTTTATTCATGAAATGAATACAGACGAGAAGCTCGTTGGTTTAAACGATTTTGTAATCTCCTCCTAATCAGGGTATTGCTTGTACCCGTCCAATCTTCAGTTTGATTTTGGATTTGTGATCTCTGCGGCATTGGCAGGATCTCGATACGTGGTGTCTCTTCAATAGGGTTATTCATAGCTAAGCGCGGCGGATGTAACGGCTTTCTTGTATACCTGTCAAAAAGACGTTTATTGTCAAAGGTTAGTAAGTGAGTGAAGGATACCAACTCGAGAGAAATGCAACATGCTGACCCAGCCTTACTTATTACGGAGTTAAGATCTGAGTGGAAGTGATTTTCCCGGTATCCCCGGAAGGAGCTAATGCAGGTTGCTGACAGCATGGATTAATGCTTGAGAGTTCTGACTAAGCAAAACTTTATTGTCGGGACAATTTATCATTTGTCATGTTTGAGTCATCAGTCATTCAGCCAACATTTGGACATTCAACTATTTTATTCTTTTTCTCAGTATATATATTCGGTCAATAAGCCAAATTTAAAAAAAGTCAAAATCACTTTGTTTTAATTCTGGGATGCAATTATTCAATCATGATCCCGCATCAGCCCTTCAGCTTCATGACCATCAGATGATCCTTCAAATGATGCGAAATCCTCATGCCCATCATCAGTCGTCTTCATCAACCCAGCCATGCGAATCGCATCTTCTTGTCCTTTCTCAACATCTACCATCCAAATCAGAGGAATGGGTAAGGCAATCAATACTGCGAGAAAGCCGAATGCGGGCCGAATTTGTCCTGTTGCATCTACAATCTTCCCTACAATTGCTGGTCCTACTGCTGAACTCCCTTTATCCGTGATGGCGAATAATGCATAGAATGCGGCTTCGCTACCGGGTGGTATCAAGAGGCCGTAGAAGGACCTACAGTATGAGGATAATCCGCCCATAACCATCCCGTGAATAATGCCAAGGGGATAAATTTCGTACCATTTCTGCAACCCGCCAACTCCCCAAGCCTGTACAAAGGGCAGAAAACCCAGAAGTCCGTACAGCGGAACCAATTCTAAAAGCAATAGACAGCAGACAATGATATGGTTTGTCTTCAATGTAAATCGTTTTGATATAATAGGCCAAACTGTAGCGCCAATTATTCCTGAGCTGGTAGCTATGATGGAGAGAAAAGCTACAGCGACAGTTCCCATTTGCAGCTCAGTTCTAGCGAATAAAATGGCTGTGGCAGAGATGGTGGCCACAGCGTCTGAAAGAAGAAACCAAGCGATAAGGAAGAGAAGGACTTGCCGAAGTTTGACGGCGACCTTGACTGTTTTCCAAAGCGACTTCCAAGCGAATATTGTGTACGACATGCAAGTACGCACGAAGGCCCGTCCTTCGTACAGGGCAGTTGGCAATGGTGGTCCAGGTCTATCCCGAAGCCACATAAGTGACGGAATGGTAAAGGTAAGCCACCAAGATCCGACAAAGAACAGCACCGTTCGAAGAGGAAGTGTTGACGAAACTCCCGTCTTGTTCATGATGTACAGAATAAGAATACATATCACTTGCACGGAGACTGCAGCCATGTACCCTATTCCTACTCCTTTGGATGAAATCTTGGTAGAGAGTTGAAGATCAGAAGAGTCAGCCTTAGATCCAATATCAACCTCTTTTCTGTTCACTTGGCGGAGACTCTCTCCCGACTTTCGAATACTTCGTTGGGATGATATTGGCTGAAGTGGAATCGATGAAGAGGCATTTGGATGATCTTCATCGCTCTGAACAACTGGATGATTCAAGACAAGTAGTGGCAAGTATGAATTGAGGATGACAAAAGAGCATCCAAGACAGACAACACAAATTACGGTCAAAAAGGACCCGACGACAAAAATTTGCGGAACTACCAGTAGGAAAAGCATAGCAGACACAGATCCCGTGAGTCCAAATCCTGCTAGGAGCTTCTTACGCCAGGTACCTGGAAACTGTCAGATAAAAATAGAGTTGAAGAGTTATAATCGGCATACCATGGTCAGCAACCGAGCTGACGGAGACAAGGGCAAGAGCCTGCATAAACACAGAAGCAGAAAACGTGTACATTGCAAAACTGGCTGTTGTTAATTCGGTACCAAACACGTTGATGATACATTGATGAGTATCTGAGCCTTCAGCTCTGGACATCAAAGCATTGACAGTAGCATTTGCAATAACGGTTGCATTCTTCGCCGTACAAGGCGTTACTTTATCAATAAAAAGAACGCCCTGCTCACGAGCAAGTTGTTCCAATGTGACGGGTAAAAATGATCCTATATCCTGTGTCAATTTCGATACTCTGCTCCCTAGAATTGCAATATTCAACCTACCAACAGCACAAATAGCAAAAACCTCAGCAGCAAGCCCGTAACAGAAAAATCCTCTCAGCTCCCGATCGGTCGTTGGACTCGTATCTTCCGCGGGGTAGCGTGGGGCTCGTAGCCCAGTGCCACCATCTTCCATGAATTCTAAGATCGTCCCGTGGATATCATCGAATACCTACTGAAGCTCACTAGAAAAATATCTCGGCACGTGTTTAAAAAAATAAATATATAAAAATAATTTGGGTTATGTTATGTGCAGTTGGAAAAAAAAGGATCGAGGAAAGTGATTTGTTTTTACTGAATCGAATCCTGATTTCATATCCGCTTTTAGCGTATCGCATCGTATCGGTAAATGGCTTGTTTCGTTTCCGAAGTTAACTTTATTAACCTTACAGTAAGTAACCTTACCAATCACCTTGAAACACCGAGAAGTTTTGCAATTTTACGGACGAGTCAATGCTAATGAGAGATGTTTGGGAATTAAGGTTAAAAGTACCTAGGTTGGTAATAATATACGGAGAACTCTTGGGGGGAATGTCCGAAGACATTATTATTATTGTTTCTTACAACCAACTACCGATTGTGAAATACTTTTTGTGAATCTTCAAGATGCTGCTGACGATGAATTGATCATGAAGGGTAACCTTTAGTCATTTCTTGCTTCCACAAAGTCTGACATCCTGAATATAAGATCTTAGGAAAGTATTGAAGCATGAAATTTACGCGTCTATGCGCGTGTGTTTCGCGATTTGAAGCGCCGACGATAATATCATAACAACTAGTCGGAAGCACTTGAGGATAATTGCAAGGGATTTCTTGTTAAGCTTACATTATTGTTCTGAATACGATCTGGAAAACGGCGTATTAGAAAAGGGCGTATTTCCAAAAGAAAGAGTTCTTCAAAATTTGTTGATTTATTTATCATTTGAGGATAACCTTAGACATTTGGCACAGACATTGCTGCCGTCAAAACTACAGGAGAATCAGGAGGACCCTAATCGCCAAAGAGTGCAATCAGTGCGGAATGCTGCCGTTGCTATGAGATCAGGTACCATGTTGGAGTAACTGCTCGTTTGTTTGTAGAGTTTCATCATGTCAATGTAGGCAAGGCAAACTGCTGGAAAGGTAATCATACGAACGGGACAAAGAGTAATATGAGGATAGATGTTTGAATTGGAATGATGGAGAGATCTGGTTCGGATTACCATGAGCGTAATGTTTTGATTAGGCATCTTCAATCGTCTTTCAATACGGAGATGGAGCAGAGTTCCTACTAAATTTATTAGTCTCGAAAATTGGGTGTCTACTACCACTTGACTCCCTTTTGTATTTACAATAGGATTTTCTTCTCAACTTGCTAGAATCCTTATGGTTTTAACTGTCTTACATAGTCTTGAACTGATACAGGACGTAATTGGAATTAACCAACCAATCAAACCAATCAATCACGTCCTGACTTCGATTACCAGCAGAGACACCGGCCTAAGCTAATTCTCACTTATAGACTTAAAGAACACGATTTTCTGCCGCCGTCTAGCAAAGCTCATCTTTGATTCAACCACTTCTCTTTCAAAGAAGCGCCTCCTCAATTCGAGCATCCGCCAGTCGGTAGCCGGTATGAGCGAAGGTCCCACAGGTCTGTGGTCTCAACGCCGGGAGACCACACGCACAGAGTTGAAGGATCGGATAGAGAAAAATGGGTTGAAAATTGGTGAAAAACGGCACCTATGATTAGCACTTCTATTCTATCACTTCATTTAACCACGGATCTTGCAGTAATTCCTTCGCGGTCTTCCTGTCCTCCGGCCGCCACTGGATCATGCCCCTCATAAACGACAAGAACATTTCCTTATTTCTTCCTTGAAGATACTGCTCTGACGTCTCTAGACTTGTTCTTATTATTGGAATCTCTACTCCATGTTTCCAAGTTCCTGCAGCATATCAGTTTTTACAATTGAAGAATTGCCATGAAAATGCTATATACGTACCATGCTCAGTGAAGAATTCATGACTCCTTACACCACGCCTCAAAAGATCCAATGGAGGTTGGCCTATCATAGCCATCACCTCAGCTAGATGTGCTCGGGTAGAGTAACCCTTGCCGTGTATATCATTTCCATAGAACATATGTTTGTCCTCGAAGAGATCCCAAATCTAATATCCTCACTCAATTATTACTCTGATGAATCTATAGCGTTCCGACAGCAGCCTCTACATACCATGACACCAACATTCCATATATCAATCGGATAACTCCATTTCACTTTCAGCATTACCTCAGGTGATCGGTATATACTTGGCTGAGCATCATGGATTCTATCCTCATCTCCTCGCACAACCGAGCCGAAATCACTAAGAACCACATCACCAAATGTTCTCGGTAGTCCAAATCGTCTAGATACAAAAATTGGAATGCCGCTAATAACTTTTCGCGGAGAAGGGTTCATCATCTCATCTCGAGTAAAATCATCAAGAACCTTTTTATCTTCAAGTGCAACGAGGATATTTTCACTCTTAATATCTAATATAATCACAAATCAGCTAATTATAAAACGCAAAGATATTTAGGATACCGGTGTTAAAAGCGCGGTGTTGATCCATCTACCTACCTGTATGAACAAGCTTGCATTCTGTATGTATATAATCAAGAGCAAGGAAAAGTTGTTTCAAACCCGCTTTGAGCAAATCTTCAGTAAATCGATGGCGGGGATTGCGATTAAGCAGATCTCTGAAACTCTCCCACATAGGCTTTTGGACAAGACAATGGTGATGACTTCCTTCCCTAGGGATGACAAATGTATTCAAAGCCGTTCTGACATGGCGATAGCCTGGATGTGATGAGTTTCCCCGACTTAGCGCTTTATAAATTTGGAATTCTTCTGGATTCGTTTGATCGCGCGTGTATATTTTCAATGTCACATATTGATAATTGCTGGGTTTTATCAATATGGGTTTGAGCTGGTGGTGTATATTAGAATGGTGGGAAGAAACTTATAAATCTTACTCTAGATCCCGAGCGAGCCACACAGTTGAAGTAATTCCATAACCCAGCTTCCCTATCACCTGATACCGAGAACCGTCTTTAAAGGTGTCGCCAATCTTCACTGGATAGTATAGGTTCTTCCTAAACTCGTCAAAATGCTCTTCTTCCAGCGTCTCAGTTGCAGAAATTGTTGGAAAATTACTTGTCGGAAATTCCAAAGGAAATTTCGGACGAGGTGTAGATGCGAATCTTCCCAAAAGAGGCTTTGCCCACCTTAAAAGAGATACCATAGTGAAAACAAGAGGAATAGAAAGAGCGCGAGAATGAAATCGGGAAAAATTCCCAAATCCGTGGATAGTGAATGACGATGTGTTGACTATGGAATATGGAATGCGTCGAGCCAAAGTAATAATTATTATGACGGATTAGTCTAAGCGCCCCACATGACCATCTGAATAACCACAACTCTCTGTGACACCAGTGCCACATCATCTATAATTACTTCCCTTTCCTGTAGATATCGCACAACTCTTCTAACTCCCCTCATCTATCACGATCTATATTTTTCTCCGTTAATGACTTCCTTCTTTGCTCGGTCTATCTTCACGTGGAAATGGAGAGGAGACTGGCTTCTGGCTTCTGAGTTGTCAACGTTGCACAACATCGATTTTGTAATACCCAACAGCCATTCACTGTAGCTCGAATAGATTACGAGCAGCGGAAAGTCTAAATGCAAGATCTATAGGGAGCAAGCTTGGTGTTCTCCAGAGCTGAATTTGAATGCGTGTTCTCTTCATAGCTATCAGTCATTACTGCTGTTGAACGTTCGATTTCCAGCTCGCAAGAAGATTTTAGGCAACGCGCCCGTTATTTCCACGATGCTTTCCGCATGTAAGCCTTTAATATTTATGCAGGTTGCTTGTTTGCATGTCTATTTGCTCGAATGGCTTGATTCCTATTCCAAAAGGAAATGAAGCATTTACTCTTCGTATTGCATCAAGCCACTGTATTTTTTTTACCAAGATCTTTGTGTAGCCTAGATTTCCATAGAGAATAGTAAGTCAGTCAACCCTATCCCACTCAGAACAAGCTATTAGATGATTACTTACATATGTATAGTTTGCTTCCTTTTAGCTCCTTGAATCACTCTCAATCTGTATACCTCAGCTTGAATCTCATTATTCTTCTTCATTCTTGAAGCACTATCATCACTCAAGCACTACTGTGCCCCCAGAAGGCTCGAGTATTTATCTCAGCTACTCTATACAGTAATATGTCTCTCGTTTTCAAACGACTTTTTACTTGGATGGGTTTTGACAGGAATCGCCTGCCCAAAGAATGGCGAGGTGCAGTGGAGCAGTATACAAAACCTGGGGGTGCAGCTGAACAGGTATGTATAGCTTTTGTATTGCAGCGGCATGGTGATTGCTATATTATGATGGCTTTGTGGAATAATTTGTTAACCAATACTTGCAGAAGCTTGGGGCTTTGAAAAGTGTCTTGATCAAGCAAGTATAAATGGATTTTATATACCATTTATCATTTGACAATACTTAGATCTCGCAATGGAAACCCCGTTCATCTGTCGAGTTTCAATCCGGCGGACAAGGAGGAAGTAATCAGTGCGCGGATAGAGGGTGAGAATGATACGAAGACTTGTCACATCTACAAGGATGCTACTGGCACGACGAAAAGGGGGGGTGAGAGATTCTGATCTCAGGCTATTAATTTAATGACCCTCACTTTGATGTGGCATGATACAACCTATAGTGTCCATCATCTGTGGCAGTCTCATCGTGAGAGCGGGCTTGGTATTATGCAAATACATGACGAGGCATTTTGCTTTTGAAGCACAGAGTAGTTGGCACCAAATTGCATTTAATAGGCTTGTAAGTGGTCATCTCGAGCGTGCGAAACTAAAAGTTTGAGGAAATATTTGCTCCTTTGACATAGCTTGTGTATGAAAAACCTGCGCGACAGAGTGAATCGTGATCAACGTCATTCCTATGCACAGACGACAGATTTTGCATGAATTGAGCTAAATGGCTCGCCGCATAAACTGAGATCTTGCATTTGCTCGGGTTACAGTTGAAGGATAAATTAGACGATCAATTTTTAGCTTAATGTTCGGCAATGCCATCTGGTGTCGCAAGATTGTCATATCTCCGAGTTAATACCACTCTAAGGAGTGATTGGGCATTTCTTGCCGGGGGAGGCCGAGTCTGGCCATAATGCTGTGGGTGTAGGAGTCTTGATGGAGCCATATCTTCCGTTTTTGGCGATCGCAGACTACCTTTAAGCATTGTAATGATCCCATATCCTTCACGTTATGAATTCTCTTGGAGTTCTCTGAGTTTTAAGGCATGATTCTTATCCCCTGTGCTGTGCTTTCATGCCGCCATACTCAGTTTTCCTTGCATCACACATTACCCCCATGTATAATGAAACCCTAAAAACCGAAAGCACACTCCCAGTCACGCACATGGCCGGCGGATGAAGGATTGACATAAACAGAGCCGGTAGCTTTAATACGATATCACCAAATATACCTTACAACTTGTTTTTCATCCTTATTCACAAAACATACAATCAACACGAAGATCTATAAGACCTCGGCAAAGTTCTTCCAAAAACCTGCAACCATCCACGCATTTCATACCCCAATTCGGAACGTGGCTAAAAGCAAATCTTGAGTAGGAGTTCAAGCGGGTGGTGAACAAAAGACAAAGTTCGAATCGAGCATAGAATATGTTGCAGAGTTTGTGGATCGTCTAGTGCGCCTGTTTCTTGCGGCAAAAGATCGAGAAGCGACTCCTTGTAAGGAGGAAATCAAAGGTATCAAGGATGAGAATGATTTGGAGTTGTTGAGGGATACTGCAGCTGAACAAGGCGGGATACTGGACGGAGCTCTTATTGAGGAATTTCGGACTAGTGGCTATGCTAGCCCAGACTTCGATCTTAGTGGCAAAATGAAGTTGATTGGCGGCGGCACGAACGCTTCAGGTATGGAGAGTGAGCGGCACTCTTACAAGAACTTTAGGGGCGATAGATGGTGTGGTAATGAATCTAGGCAACGTCAATCATCGTTGCAAAAATACGTTCGCTCTGGTTTGGCAAGGTCCAAGAACAAAGAAAGCGAAAATTTCCAGCCCCGGACCAGCATTATATATTTTTAAATGTGCATGGGCAGATCATCATCCACGGTCAAGGATTGAGCGCTTTTAGTCTCTCGAATCCCGAGCTGACTGTCCAACCCCAGACAACAGAATAGTGTCTCGCCAAAAGTAACCATTCCTCAACTTCATCCAAGCCCTCAAGTCTATCCACTCTTTCTCTTTCTCTTCCTGCAACCCAATCTTCCCAGACATTTTCTATGCTTACGGCATTAATGCCGCCCTCCGCAGTGCCGAACCCAAGACCTACTAATCTATCTTTCTGATCCTTAAGTGTCTTGTATTTCTGCACCGTAGGCATAACAATTCCTCTTGATGCAAGATTTTCTACCATCATTTGTCCAAATGCATCGTGTACTCCGACTGGCTCATAAAGAACGATCCCAATGCTTGGTATCTTGTTAGTAAACCACTTAATTACATCCTGTGCCACATCTACCTCAAGATAACATAAACAACATTCTGATACTATTAGTGTTGGTAGGTCGCATTTGATGCCATGGAATGAATCAAGACCAACGATAGCAGGGAGTTTGCGGAGGTCCAAAGGGTGGCACACATATCCAACTTCTGAATGACCATCGATGGTGCGACCGAGCCCCCATTCACGACTTCCCTGTGTCCCCGTCGCCATCATGGGTTGTGCAATCTCACTATCACTTTGCCCCATTTCGAAGAACCTTTCAGTGCCAATGAGTTCTGCATGGTTCTGCTGTACTAACCGATTTTTCGCGGCGCACACGGATGGGAAATCAAATTCATGGTAAATGACATCCTTATGCAAGTTCTTTGCTCGCAAACGAAAATAGCGGGTATCTGTTCCTGCTCCCAATGATATTATTTGTTTTCGCTGTGAAGTAGAATTTTCGGATTGAGATAGAAAAGTTTCGATGAGGAGGTCTAGAGCAGTGGTACGAGAGTATGTACCTATTACAAGTCACAGATTAGCTGGTTCCGTACAGATCAGTGGACTGCACTCGCAGTAACGAAGGCTAACGAACCTCGATTTATGATTGGCAGCCTTCGTGTCCCACTTCCATTGACAAAATAACGAGCAAAAGGATCTTCGAGATACCCAAGATTGACTGCACTAAGGCGAGATACGGCTGCATCAGTATCGGTACCTTGAATGGCATTATCTCTGCGATTCGAAGAAACCTCCGAATGAGGATTTAAAGGGTCACGTAGTCCCTGGCCTCTACCTCTACCACGCGACCGAGGTCCGCCTCGCAATGAGAGAAGATTTGGTATTTGTTGTGCCGACATTTTTAGTATGAATTGAATGCGAATGAGAGAAGTACATAGTGAAAGCTTCTGTTGCTTCAAGCTCTGGTGGGGTACACAACAGAGCTATGCAGATCGCGTAAGGCTGGATAACGTCATGCGAGGCTGCAAGTAAGATCTTACCTACTGGGTGATAAAAAAAACGGTCAAACTAAGGAAGGCTGATAAGGAAATATACCTGGGAATCAAATTGCAGGTATAATGATAGGGACTTGTTATTGCTTTGTAATGATGTAAATTTGATGGCATTGGCTGCTTAAGACGGACTTGAGAGCGCCAATCGCAGTTTGCACCGAGGATGGAGTCCATGTTATAAAGGCTATTTGATTATGGAACATCTACCATATTGACGTGAACTCTCCGTGTACAGAATTGCATGTCACTGATGGCTAGAATTATCATTATTGATATGATATGATGCTCTCATACTTTGACATGATTGCGTTGAGGTCTGCCACATCATATTGGCCATTGACCAAAACAGAAAGAATAGATATTGATTGTAATTTGCAAAACTCCTGCTAAATTTCTCCGATGTGTACCGTAAACTGACCCCGCAATGCCGTTTGGGTATCGTTGAACGCCTGTTATGCGAAATATGTAACGAATTCTATGCCATACGCCCGTCTCCACCGTAGGGCGAACAAATCGCCGTCACCATGCAACAGCCTCGCCATATAATGCCTTTCAAGCTAAACAAACGGACTAAACTTCGTCCGTCCACCAAATCTATCCCAGTCATCCCGTTGAGATTGACCCATGTCCATATCGCCATCCTCATCATCCACCTCAAGTCGTCTCTTTGATTTCAATGACACAGTTGCCTCAGCTTGTCGAGTTTGAGTGACACTTCGTTTAGCTTCCAGAAGTTGGTGGTAATTTAGCAATGTGTGTTTCATCTCATCATCAAAAGCTACACAAAAGCGCTGGTTTTGTACATACTGTATGGCTTCGATTAGACCTAACTCATAAGTCGCCATGAGATATGCTACGGTGACAGCAGCAGACCTTTCATTTCCAGATTCGCAGAAGAGAAGAACCTTTGGTGTTGCAGCCAATGGCCTACTGTTTACTCCTTGAGGATTCCGTTGTCTAAACATTCGAATGAGATGATCGTTTATTGTTTGTATGGCTCGAGGAAAGGCGGCAATAAGTTCCATGTTTCCACTAACATCAACGGCAGCGGCTTCAATACCCAGCTGTTGTGCCACTTTTGCGCCGCTCAAAATTCTTGCCTGTGCGGTCATAGTATCTCTGATCACTAGTAACATAGTGATCCCTTCCCTTTTCAACGTTTCAATCTCTCTTGCGCCTGAGGATGGTCCAAGATAAAGAAAAGATAAGATGGCTTGAATATGGCGTCGCATCTCATATTTCCAGTCAGATCTTTCCACAGATACATTTTGTCCTTTTGTAATTACGCTCAATATCTTTCGAGTCTCTTCTTCATCACCCAATCCGCGATATTCCGATAAAACGATCTGGGCATTCGCACCGACAATTGGTGGTATATGGATATGGGGTGGTGATGGAGGCTAAAGTACGTAAGATAAATGTCATCAAAAAGTAGTGATTAGAGAGACATACTCTCCATGAATATATGGCGGTGGGGGTAGTTCTATGCTCCATAGGACATGTAGAAAACTCCCTCGAATCCATACCCGACTCCATTGTGGGTGTCATCGTTGTGCAGATAATGTGAGATAATCTAAAGATTACCGGAAGATCTGGACTGTTGTATCAACCTAAAGGTTTAGTTTGAAAGGAAGACAAATGTTGAGGTCATCAGAAGGTATGAAGGATGAAAGAAATCGTCGAAGAGAATCGTTTCTGGAAAGATGTTGTTGCCGTGAAAGGTTCGTCCCTTGATTGAAAGTAGGTAATTGAGAATAGTTGATAGACTCAGGTGGTCGATCAATCAAAATACTAAAGTTGATAAATCATTGTTTGTATGGGAACTTGTGAACCTTCTCTTGAAGTCCAAGTACGGTCATTTATGATATCATGTTGGAGTACAGTAGGTAGGTAGGTACAGTCAATTCCTGGGGGTTATTCTTATTAATAGACTCACTAATAGTAAATATTCATTACCTCGTCACAATTCACAGTGTGGCTCGTGCCCCCGAATATCCCTTGCCTTACCTTGAACTCGGGGGTGAAGCTTCCAAGCATAAACCACTACAAAATGTCTAACAAACGCATCGAACAAAGCGAAATCGAAAAATATTGGGAGATATTTGCATCTTTATCAAATGGTGGAACACATCTCACTGGCGCGCAGGCAGCGCCAGTTCTGAAAAACAGTCAACTGCGAGACGATCAACTCGAACGGATATGGGATCTCGCAGATGTCGACAATGATGGGAATCTAGATTTTGAGGAATTCTGTGTGGCTATGAGACTGATTTTCGATCTTGTCAACGGGGTATGGTAATTTCATATCAATAATAGTAGGGCTGATTTAATTTAAGCATCTTTTAGGAATATGCAGATGTACCACCAGCACTACCTGACTGGCTTGTTCCAGAATCAAAAGCACATTTAGTCCAGGCTAGTCGAGCACTTACGGGAAGACAGGTTCAATTCGAACGGGTTGAAGATGACGATGACACCCCGGGCTTGAAAGATGGCTTCGATTGGTATATGAGTCCGTCAGACAAGTCCAAATACGAAGAGATATACGCTGCGAATAGGGATGGCAGAGGAGATATAACTTGTAAGTGCATGGGCCCTACGACCTATATCCAATTAATTCTGACTTCCCAAAGTCGAATCTCTAGATACCCTCTACTCTTCGCTTGACGTACCAGATACCGATGTTCGTTCAGCCTGGAACTTAATCAATCCATCCGCTGCTCCCGCCATTACCAAAGATGCCACTCTCGCCTTCTTACACATACTTAACAATCGACACGAAGGATATCGCATTCCTAGAACGGTTCCTCCATCCCTCAGAGCAAGTTTCGAACGAAATCAAATCGATTACCAACTAGACAACCAACGTGTAGCATCACCGGCGCAAAAATGGGGCGTTACCGGTGGTGACGAAACAAGTACTGGTCGCAAAGCTAAATTCGGAGAGACATACATGAGTCGACTTGGATTAGGCGGGAAGAGCAGTTACAGACCTGCTGGTACCGATTTCTCAGGCACGAAAACGACCGAGGATTGGGAGGAAGTAAGATTAAAGAAACAACTCGCAGAGCTCGAAGCCAAGATTGAGAAGGTTGAAGCTGCAGCTGCAGCGAGATCTGGCGGGCGACGGGATACCAAGCCAGCCTTAGTCAAGAGAGAATTGGAACAGTTGCTAGACTACAAACGCCGAGAATTACGAGATCTGGAATCCGGTGAGGGAAGGAGTAAAGTTGGTGCAAGCTTAAAAGGGGTTGCGGATGAGATCACTACGGTCAAGGAACAGGTCGATGGATTGGAAGCACATTTAAGGTCACGAGAACAGGTCTTGGAGGAATTGAAGCAAGAGATTGAAAACGAGAAGATCAGCCGATAGATTTATTTACCACTAATTAATACAATTGTTTATAAATAGGGCCAAGCGGTGTTAATCTTCTGACTCCAAGGCGACGTCGATCCTTCATTATTTAGTAACGATATTTGCAAAATACAGAAACGACTATGCCATCTGAGCGAATTAGGCCAGCATGAAAGTCTGTTCTTTCTCGAATTCCTGTGTTATCAAGGACGAGCTATGATCTGCATTTCTAATACTCGAATAATGACTGTTCAAAAGACACCCAAATGAAGTGTGATTGAGAATTTTACCTGAAATTTCGAAGGGCATACGAGGCAAACATGGCAAACTTACGTCATTATCTTCAAGTCCAGCTTCCACCCATGGTAACACTCATTTGCACTGGAAAAAGATGGAAAAATACTAATCCTACCAAACTCCGAAGAAGTGGAAGAAATAATGACTGGTATTTAACTCATGACTTCTTGTAGAAGTAGTATCGTGGTATGCTGGGGTTGTAGATCTGAGATGGTAGTGGTATTATGAAGTCCTCTTGTTTTTGGGGTTGGCGAAACGGAACGTGATTCTGTTCTGTATGATGAATTACATCTACCTATATTCGAGTACATACTTAATGATATACTTCCGAATCATAGCTCCCCCAAGCCTCATTTTCAGACTATATTCTGGTATCTATTGATCTGGGTTACTTTCTCTTTCTACACTTCTCCTTCCTCTGTCTTTTGTTGAAACCATCATTATCTGGTTGTAAGTTATCTCTTCGAGCTTATATGTCCCGTGTCCATGTTCATCTTAGACAAACAAGACAAATACACAGTCATTGTCATCCTACCCCTCACCCTCTCCCTCTTCTTCATCACCATTTTTCTCTATTATTATATGAGTATCACATCTCCGATATGCGCACCCCGAAAGCCGGAGAGAAGTGGGGATGGAGTGGGAGTAGAAAGGAAGAGTGATAGGGAGAAGATAATTTCACTTTAAGCTCTTCATAAAGAAAATTAAGGGAAAGAAGGTAATGTATATAGTGATAGGGTCAGTGTTGTATTATCTTTGAGCTGGACTTCGAGATAAGCTCTTTGATGCCTTGTCTGATGAAATATCACATCGGACTCGATGCTTTGGATGGTGGAAATGAATAATGCATATTCGACACCACATCATACATCACACATTCGAATACTTTTGCTTACTACCTATGGAAACATATCCTCCAAACAGAATTAATACTCATGCAATGACCTAAATCGAAAGTATCGAGTTCATATCCATATGGCATGAACCATCCATCAATTTCGCTTAAATATCCACCCCTTCTCCCTAATTTCTCTACTCGTAAACCATTTCCTTCATCACCGAACATACTCCAATAGTTATAATGATCCAAGCCTAGAGTCTACACAAACCATAGTAAACAAAAGTCTCTCCCTCACAGGAATTAAAAGACGACTTGTAAGATCTTGCAATCATCTACAGCACAAAACCAGCGAAATCTACATACCCGAAATAAACTCATCAGAGTAATATAGTTTCCTTTCTTTCTCTTTTTCTTTTTCGTGTATTAATTTGCTAGAAGTCTCCAAATTTCTCCTCAATAAGTGCTGAATAAATAAAGAAAATGAGAATTAACCAAACCTCCCCGACTCGCCCTTCACTAGTTTTTTTTTTGGCTACACATCTCGCGAACGTTGAACCCCTTATAATTAATGCTAAATTTGCGCTGCATTCTTATTACTAACGGAATCACTGGCAATATTGAGTACGTAACTCATGGGATCTTAAATCTCTGAGTTCTTTTAATTCCTCATATTTACTCATCGCATAAATATAAACCTAATCATCGAAAAATCAAATACTAACGTAACTAACTAGGTCAAAAACGGCATGCTTTTTTTTAAACAACGCTCCTGACTCCAACGTCAAGTCATCTAGCCAGCATGCAGTCGCTCGTCCTCACCCATCCCAAGTATTCTATCCCATGCACTTATTCCCCATCCATCCATCCAACCAACTCCACACCCCTCAGCCCCTCTCCCTAACCTCCCTAACCTCTCCTAACCTCTCACCCACCCCCAAACCTCCCCTAAAACGCAACAAACAATCCCACCACCCCACCAACCACAATCGGATTCCCAATCGCAATCACCAATATCACATCTCTCATTACCATGCCATAACCATTTCCACTTGCACTTCCATTCCCATTTCCAAATCTCAATACTGATCCCGCCCCAGAACCTCCAAACCATGACCCCTTACCCGGTGCCAAAGTTTCTATTTCTCTCTCTCTCTCTAACCTGCGTTATCGTTCTTGACGTGCTGTCTACTGGATCATCCATTTTCTGTAAATGCAGCTCATCTATTTCCGATATTTTAGATGGTTGGTGAGAGTGTGCGTTAGAATTAGAATTAGAATAGAGATTATCCATCCTCGAATGGGATGCCGGGAGCGTATGAGAAAAGATATAAATGCTGAGGAGACAAGAGATGGTAGCTAATATTAGCCAGGAGATGAGATTTTTCATATTGGTTGGATTTCTTTTTCTCTTCAAATTTCTCCTCTTTTTTTATAAAAAAAAACTTGTAAATCAAGTTTAGTCAGATATTTGTCGATTTTGCCGTTGTTGTTTTTGCTGTTGTTGAGACGAACCTATGAACCTATCTGCAAGAAGCAAAGGCATATATATACCAATAAGAAGCATTAGTGTTCGAACTACCGTATAAGGATTTCAAAACAAAAAATGAGTACGGTGGTAGATTCTACTGTGTACGAGAAGAGAGAAGATATGATGATATTAATGTTTGATCTCATATCAAAGCCTATGATTGCGTATTCAGAATGACTATTTATTTCCACCGTACAAACGTTCTATGACAAAACATTATTTCATGATGAATGGTACAATAGTAACGTTACACAAATATATTACAAACAATGACTGCAGCACTTGCATCCGCTAGCTCCATTTCCATAAGCCAAGAGAATTTCCTCAATCGAACACTAGTCAAATCTAAATATCCCAGATCTATTTTTTATCCATACCAGTCATTAACCCCCTTGCTTTTGTCTCCACGATCTTAAAGGCATCTTTATTTCCCAAACCTTTCTCCGCTCTTTCATAAGCCCCATCACTTCTATCGCACAGTGTATCTAGATCCTCCTCCGTCAGGATCTCGTCGTCTTCTTTGCACGTGTATACCTCGCCGTCCTTTAACAATAACGCTCTTAGTGCATCCGCACTCATTCCTTCTTTCGTGTCCATTTTCTGTCCCATAGTCTTAAAACCCCCTTTCTTGATAACCAATTTCTCTAACCTACGTTTTGCATCGGCACTCATTAGCAAACTTTCTTCAACAGTGCCCTTAGTAGCGAGACGAAATACGACAACAGGTTTGGTTTGACCGATACGGTGGGCACGATCTTGGGCTTGGAGATCTTGTTGTGGATTCCAATCACTGTCAAACAGGATTACTGTATCAGCACTTGCGAGATTGATACCTTGTCCACCAGCTCTGGTTGAAAGAAGGAACAGTTTGGAATCCGAGTCCTCGTTGAACTCTTTGATTTGTTGGCGGCGAAAGTCTTGTGCAACGCTTCCATCGATTCGACATACTTTCCAACCTCGCAATTCGCGTGCATAATCTTCGAGGATATCGAGTTGAGTTTTGAATTGTGAGAAAATGAGAACCTTGTGGCCACGAGAAAACAGTGAGGGGAGAAGTCGATCGAGAAGTAACATTTTCCCAGACGAAGTCACGAGAGTTTCGTTTAGTGGAGTACCAGAATCTGCTGACCAGGGGTTGTAAAAATTCAGAGGAGAATTGCAAACCAATCTCATCTGCATAACAGGATTTCCCAACTTTTTACTAGAAATCTCCTTTCTTGCAAGTTCAAGGATTTTCGCCATTTCATCTTCGTTCTGATTCTTGTTCTTGAGTTCGGCCTCCTCCTTTTCAGCATACTCTGCTGCAAGTTTTGTCTCGAATTCATCATCACTCAACTCATCCTCCTCAGATGCATCAGCTTCTTCATAGACTTTTCTTCTCCGCGAGTCTTTGCTGCGAACACTAACAGCTGGTGACGCAGTCCGGCTAGACTTTGCGGACTTACCAATTGGTAAGGAGAGCGGATCTTCAGTTAACTTACGCTTCCTGCCTGGCTTTCCCTTTTCTACTAATACTTGTAACAGAGCCCCATCTTTATTCTTAGGCGGTCTGCCAGGCTTTCTCTTCGGCATCATTTGTTGGAATGCATTCTTTAGTATCGGAGTAGGTTCCGAAGCGACATTTTTGTTTCTAATTCGATTCGCCAGTGGTTTCTCGTCTTCGCTATCGGAGTCTTCCAGATTTGTTTCATCTTTGACTGTAGTTTCAACTGACTTCCTCGATTCTTTCTCGATGGCTTTCCCTCCTGTCAATCTTTCCACTACTTTTTCCTCCAGATACCTCCGCAGGTCAGCAGTCTTATCTCCAATCTTATTGTACAATTCCATCTGCTCCTTTGTCATCGGTGCATAAAGGACATATTCCCGCTTTTTCGGAAGCATATGCTCGACATCAGCCTTTACTCGTCGCAACAATAATGGCTGCAGAATCAAGTGCATCTTTTTAACTAGATCTTGTTTCATTTGATCGGCAATGAAGTCCTCGGTTCCTTCCTCATCCTGTAAATCACTAAAGTCAAACCAGCTTTCAAACATTTCCCATTGTGTAAATATTGTAGGCAAAAGAAAATTTAGTAATGACCACAGCTCTTTCAAATTGTTTTGTAATGGTGTTCCGGTAATCAAAAGACGAGTAGCAGATGTAAAGGTCCTCAATGTTTGAAACAGTTTAGACTCGGAGTTCTTCATCCGGTGGCCTTCATCCTGTCGTTTACGTCAGCCATGAGATATCGTACCATGAATGTACGACTTACGATGATGATGAACTCCCAATTTATCTTCGCAAGATCCGCATGATCTCGAAGAACAATCTCTGGACTTGTACAGACAACAGGGAACTTTTCATCGGGACGACCACCCTTAATATGCCTCATCATCTGCGTGCGGAAAAGCTCCTTTCGTTGAGGTGGCGTACCATGATATAACAGAACCGGTACACTAGGGGTCCATTTCTGGAATTCCTCTATCCAATTCGAAAGTGTACTCAGCGGCGCGATAATTAGATGCGGACCCAGATAACTTTCCTTCTCTCTCAGCAATGCAATAAGCGAAATCGTTTGAATTGTCTTTCCCAAACCCATCTCATCTGCCAAAATCCCAGACATTCCTTGTATGCAAATCTCGTACATCCACGTCAAACCCTCTAATTGGTATTCTCGCATCGTTCCACCCACCATACATTTAGGCTGTTCTGCCATTGTTAAATCATGTTCCCCTAATGCTTTCCCATCCATCCCACTGCCTACACGTCCTAAGACCCTCGTCTTCCCTACCAGCACTTCCCCAAATGCCGCGCTCTTGCTCAGCAGTTCATCCAGTTGTCTTGCTTTCGCTTCTCGCTCCGCCTTCGATTCATTATGCTCCGCTCTCTTCCTCGCAATTGCCTTTCGTCTTCGTTCTTCGGCCTTGAAGTTCGCTATGCGTGCCTTTTTCTCTTCTTCAAATATCTTCTTTTCTTCTTCGGTGGCAAAATTCACGTCGAAATCGGACAATTCCCCAGCCTCCAGCTCCTTAGGGGGCGAAGATGGAGCACTGCTACGTGGCTTCGATGTAGGTGTTTGTGAGCCCCTCATGCTAGCCTCTGAACTCATGGTTGAAGGAAAAACGTTCTCTTGGGTGTGCGGTTGAGCAATTGTGTTCAGTCTTTCAAGCTTTGATTAAGCTTTGCTTGATCAGCAATAATCGTGAGTAAAGCTATACCCTCAGATGCCTTATAAAAGCGAAAATTGTAGGTCAACAATCCGTAAATACACAATTTAGCCCATATGCCTCCATGGAAGATTTGAAGTTTGTGACGGCGAAGCTATTCACGAAACCACAGGCCAACAAACGATTGCAACTCAATTCCGACTAGATTTCACCTGGGTTAAAATTTAGCATAGAATGAAATTCACAGATAAAAAAATTCAATCAGAAATTGTACAATGTCGGACATAAAATTGCCAAAACTAAAAAGGAGTTTTCCGATCGGTATTGGTGCATGAGACGCGTAAATTGATTTTGACGCGAAGTGAAGTCATGCCGTCACTGATTGATAAGGCGTGACGTGATTAGTAATCGCACTTCAATTTTGTCCCTGTTGAGCCCTCTACTAGGAACTGTGTAGTTATGATAGGGAGTGGATTTCTATGCCCACCCAAATGATATCCCTCATTGAGCTCAATTGTCTAGAAGCACTCTCTTCCGAGTGCCAAAATACATATGGAATGATCTATTAGAAGTTCTTGAAGGCTTATAAAACAGGTGACATAATTCTAGGACTGTGTGGTAAATCATATTACTAATGCAAACGTTTGGTATAGTCAACAACATGGCTACATCTTAAAGAAAGCCGGGGAATATAGACATAGATATAATGGAGGAAGGAAAACTGTTCTCAGGTTGGCGGATTGAGAAGCTCGTCAACGCAGGAGATTTTCTTCTCAGCATTTTCCATGATTTTCTTTTGTTCTTGAAGCTCCAGTTCTTTCGCCTTTGCAGCTTCAAGCTCAGCATTGGCTCTTTTCTTGTGAGCGTCAATAGCGACTTGGAGCAGCCTGTGTTCCTCCGCAGCTCTTTCCCTGTGAGTGGTGATAGCGAGTTCCAGCTGATTATGATGTTCCTGAGCTGCGAGGATTTTCTGTTGTTGAATTCGTCGCTCTTCTGTCAAACGGACGGTCAATTGAGATGTGTGGTCTTGAGTATCTACCTGCTGTGTTTTAGGCTTGAGAGAAAGATGCTGGACTTCGATAGTCGATACCGCCAGATTGTTGTTAGAAGATACACTCAGTACTGATACTGCAGGGTGATAATCCGAACTTTCCTCCTAAAACTTCCATGTTAGAGCAATTCTCTGTTCTTGCTAATGCACGACGTGCTGCACATCTATATTTGGAATGAAATGAAACAGCGCGACTTACTCGGGCTTTCAAATCAACTGGAACTACACGGTGGCTCTTGACCAACTCCTCGGGCTCCAAGCTGTGGCGCACTCTTTTAGTTGGTTCCTCCTCTACGTGACGTTGAAAGCCAATGTCTGAGGTGCGGTAACGCTTCGATCCAGCTGCTCCAAGCTCCGGCTTACCGAGATGGGGTATGGAAACTTCCTGTGCAGCTGGCAACTCAATTTGCGTGTGGAGTTCTGTTTCTTTCTTGTCCGTGGCTTTCTGATTTCGATAGAACACCTGAATTCTCTTGATTAGCAGTAATACGGTGACTTTTTCTATGCATTTTTACCCTGATCTGTTCTCTGCTCAATCCAGTTTCCTCTTGTAGTTTGTTCATCACGGGATTATCTAAGTGATTGTATTTTAAATACTGAGCCATCAAAATGGCATGCTGTTGAGGTGAAAGATCTAACGGCTGTGCAACTTTCAAATTTGTCTCGGCAGTAAAATTAGTTTGCTGGAAAGTAACGTTAACAACCCTTAAATCATTCCAAAATACGGAAATTGTACTTGCCTGGGAAGAGTTCTCGGTTGAACTTTCAAGAATCGAACTTGAGGGTTTGTCCTGGCGCGATGTCGATTTCACACCGTAAGGCTTCCAAGCCTTTTGTTTAGCTTGTTCTTCAGAGACCCAAACAGTCTCACCCTGGGCCTTTTCAATGGCGCTTGGAGTTCTTGCGTCAAGGTTATGCTTTTCTTTTCCTTTGGTATTCCAATATCTGCAAACATTTGGACATTTTCGGTAAAACCCTCGAGAAGCAAGGCATTTGGACACCATGCGCCACATTTCATCCGCCGTAATTGGTTCAAGCTTCAGTTTTGTCTCACGTTCTCGTTGGCCCTTAATGCATTCGAATGCAATAGCATCCTCTTCCTCCGACCAGTTGTTTCCTTCTGTCCACGGTGTGGAATCATCGTCCTTGGAGTCTTTTAGAGGCAAACCATCACCTCTTGCACCACCCTCGTCATCTTCCTCGTCATCTCCCTCATTTTCGTTTTCAAGGTCGTCACTATCACTGACGTCCCACATGGTACGTGGGGTTCTCTTTGACTGTTTTGATGGAGCATTTTTGACGATACGATGCCATTTGACGTAAACAGCACCTGCCTGGCGATCGTATCCGCACGCTTTCATTTCATCGGCGACCTCCTGCCAGAATTCATTACGGGGTCCCTTCATTTTACCATTTTCCAAACGGAGAATAATATCCTTCAGCTTGGCAATCTCTGTAGAATTCCATCTGGGAACTGGTTTCCGCTCAGAATCCATCATAGGATTTTCTGGTAGGTGTGGATGAATTAGACAAGATCCATTAATCAAAAATAATTTAAAAGTTTGGTAGCTATAGGGAACAGAAGAAGTGTAGAAGCAAAGGCGTATCGATTAATAGAGTAAATGATGTAAGCTAAAAGGAGGAGAGAAGCTCTTCACTTTACGTGTTTTATACAATTGACACACAGAAAAGTTGTAGTGTTTGAAAGTATTAGCGAATACACGATGAAGAAAATCTACAGCATACAACAATCGCGGGGCCAATTCTGCGCCGCAGGAGATTATCGCGTCGAGTGGAGTCGAGCGCGTATTGAAATGTCTAAATTAGGAAGTCACATGCATCACGCGATCCTTGTCCATCTACCTACACTTCATTGGTCTGAATGAGTTTGTAGTATTATCTAATGATACATCCTGATCGAGAACAATCAATCAGTTCTTGGTCTCGGTGTCTCGGAAATTCATCGTCAATTCACTACCGGTAATGAGCCACTGCCACAGCTTCGAGATATTGCATGATTGACGACGTTACATGCTCCTTCATTTTCTCCAAGCTTCCGTTGTTGCCACTGTGGTTCCATGTTATTGGGAGGGGAACTAAATCATCTTTATTAGTTGAAAACTCGAGGTTGCCTGGCACCCTGCTCGTGTCAACAATATGCGCCTTAGCGTTTCTGCTTCGTCTAATCTGTCTGATGGGACATCGTGGTTTGAGCTGCAGTTGTGGAATCCTGTACTAAGGCAAGGTTGCTTGATAGGAGGCAAGTCCGAATATGGTAGTTCATCAGTTTTCAGGTCTTCCTCTAATTGTCTCGGCGTTTTCGAACATTGGATCCCATGCCATTGCTTATAGCTCGTGGTTGCTGGACGGTCAAACTGTCGGGGAACATATTGCCTGTGGGCGGATCAACAAGTATCTACGATGTGCAGCTCAGACATGATTATGGATGACTTACCAACCGGCAAGAACTGTTCCTGTTTAGTCCTTGCAGAACAAGCCGTCCCCGTTCTCAAAAGCCTTCCTGTTGAAGTTCTTTAGATAGGGCCAAAGCTCTCTCATCTCGCTGAAGGGCTTCTACTATTTCTCGTGCTCATTGGATTCGAATAATTTCAACATTTTATTAGCGATCCTGACCTTCATATCTGACCTACGATATTAGTGTCTTGGACATGGGCGGCTGCGCTTTGGGGATTCTGTCCCCACGGCTAAAAATATATTTTATCTATTTAGCACAACTAAGACTAGAACATTAAGTTTCGTTCAGGAAGTAATGTGCAGACTAAGTGATCGAGGAGAGGTACACTTTTCGAGACTAGATGTCGCGCTAGAGATTAATAGGTAAGATAAGTATGAAATGCTGCACAAGCCCCACGCCGTATTATTTCGAAGCAACACTCAAATCCATGCTTGAACTTCATGCTAATCCTTCCAAAAGAGTTCAGCCAACCACCTTTTTGTTACAAATTTGTTTTCTTTCCATAGCCTCTCAGTCCTCCGCCAGTAGTGACTTTCGCATCTAATCTGCTAAACCACTTCCACAACCATTCCTTTTGGTCTTCAGTCGCCCCACATAACAGAATTCCCTTCAACTCCTCAACTCCATAGTCCTTATACCTCAGCTTCGGAATGGCATGACGAAGATCATCTGTCCATTTACCTGTCTTTTCGAGCTTGCGTCTTTTCAATGGTAACCCTAACATTTTTCGAGTCTCGCCATCTGGATCGTCATCAAGTGGGCGTATGGGACGTTTAATGGATGATTTAATCTTCTGGGGCGGCATTTGATTTAGCGAATGCGGATAATTAATATGGACAATGAGGGTGTGGTGCAGGCCTTACTTCTTCCCCGGCAAGGGCTTTCCTCACCAATTCGATTTCTTTCTGCTGCTGCCTTTTCTCAAACTCAGAGATGGGCTCGGGGACACTTCCAGTAGCTATTCGATTTATTAATATCATAACATTCGTAATATCAAGCGAGATAATGCATACCTCGACGTGCATTATCTTTCTCTCTTCGCTCTTGAGCTTCTAAACGCTCTATTGATCGCAAAAGACGATCGCGCTCTCTAGCAATGATAGCTCTTTCACTGGGTTCTTTAAAAGAAGTGTAAATCACAGCGATGAGTTGCTTTCTGAGTTCCTCAATCCGTAACCTTACTTCAGTCTTTGGTTTCACCCCATTTTTGACTGCTAAGGGCGTCTTTGAGCTTCTGAACCTTTCCATGGGATTTTCATAGTCTTCTTCGCTGTCGCCAAATATTTCACGAAAGGTGTTCCTTTCTGGCTCTTGATAGGTTATTGGGCGAGAAATTGACATGGAAGTTTTCTTTGAAGGACTTGGGATTTCATTTTCTGCGGATACCTGAAGCTTAGCTTTGATGACCTCTCTGCGTAGGAACGCTTGAAGGCCGAGCTTCTTCGTCATGGTTTCTAGATCTGGATAGTCAGTGACTTGGTAATCCCATCAAGGATGAATATAGTGGGCGAGTGTTCTAATATATTGTAGAAGAGTTTGATTTTTTCAAAGCAGTATTGACTTCCGGCACCATAACGAAGGTGCGGGGGGAAAGCAAAAGTTGTGGTGAATCTCAGACAAAATTTACTAATAAGACGACAATATACCGACAACACTAACCCCCTGAATATGTTCGGCAATAAAAATAGTGATCTTCAATGGATACTAGGACGAGAGCAATTTAGCCTGAAAGCAACAGCGAAATTCTACCATCCATCATGTTTTCCCGTATGCAAATATATTATTTTATTTATCTTCTCCTATCGGTTGATAACTTTATCCCGCATCTATTCTCTACAGAGTGTGTAACACAGATCCTTCAAGGCCCACAACCCCTAAACTAATCAAAATTCTTGGTTAAGTAGAGCTAGAACAAGTACGATCAAAAATTGTTTTGCAATTACAATTTTTTACGCTTCATGTCATGTTTATTCTCATGTATTCACCGTTTGTTGTGTTACTGGCAGCAGCTTATGTTGCTCGAATTCTTCACAATCATTTGTGTGAAATCCTCCCAGTAACAATGATAATTCTAAGCTTCTTCTCAACTTATCACGAGTATTTGTAGCAGTTAATTGCATAATCCCGTTCTGCAAAGGCTCGGCTATTGGGTTTATATGGGACTTGAGTAGGATTACTTGCTCTTCATGATGAAAGCTTTTCGAAGAAATTTCCTTACCGAAACACCATCAGTCAGAATTACTCAACTCTAGTTCCTCACAAAACGAATGGTCGCAATTTGAGCGTGACCACTTCCTCACAGCATTACCATCTGTCGACATTGTCTCCTTTGAAGGCTTGAAGCCAGAATTTTCCGAAAGGATTTTCGAGCTCGTCTTGGAGGGACTCGCGAAATAAAACATAATGAAGACGCCACAGGAATGCCAGAAACTTTATGATGGTTTGGTTGAGAAAGGAAGCAACTCTAAGGCAATGGAACAAAAGGAAAGTTTGATCAAAATCTTCGACCGTTATTTGACTGAAATCTTTGGCAAGTATGCAAGCAATCATCAGGGATCGGAAAAGTCTGGACTGGAAGAGGAGAATAACACAGCAAGAGAGACGAGTAGTATCAAGGTGGAGCCACTTCTTCGGGACGAAAACTTGAGTCTTCAACTTGAGTCTTCAACACAAAGATAATAGCGAGCCTGCCAACTCTTACCTGACATTTGACTGCTGATCACCACAGGAAGATCAGTGCTTATACGAGGAGTACAAGGCCAACTTTGAAGACAATAAGTATGACGGACGTCTCGCTGAACATCGATGGAATTCGATCGCTCGCAATCTTGAAGCTCGAGGATTTCCAAGAAGGACAAGGGGCTCTTGTGCTAGTCACTGGGCAGTCAAGCGCAGTTATATTGGTTATAATGAAAATTGCACTTTGATGGATTACCATCTTTGCACAGTCAATACTAACCTCTAATAATAGATCAGGGAATAATACGTCGAAGAAGCGGCGCAGCGCGGTTTAGATATTGTTCTTACGGAAGCACAGCGAGACGAGCTTGACGTTGCTTATAAGATTAAAGCATCCGGATAATGAAACGGAAGCTGCTTTGGCAGAGCGAGTGGAACTGCTCCCCTAGAAGTGAAGGTATGTGTTCAATTACTGTATTTCTTTTGTAAATAGCATTTTAACTTTGTCCTTTCAAGACATGGCTCGAAAAGAAGAATGGCAGAAGAGGGTCAACGGAACATTCGAGGAAAAGGCAACGCCTGACGAGCCCACATAACGACAATTTTTACTCAGCTTCCCCAGTCACTGCTTCCCGAGCGAATCATATAGCAACATCATTTAAATCTCAACCAACAAAGCAAGAGTTTGAAGGTATGACTTCTTTCTCAAAGTCAACACTTTCTGAATCATCAAACCTTGATGTCGGCTTTCCGAAGAACTTTGCAGATTTCTGTATGCAATAGCGACAAAGATTAGAGTCAGAATACAAAGAATGCCAAACGACAATACAAGAGGCAGGGGACGGTATCACGAAGCACGAGCTCGAGGCCCGGAAGAACCTTCTTGCCGTCCAGATATTGAAGAAACAACTCGATGTAGAAGAGCGGAGGTTGGAGTTATTGCGCAGGCACATTAAGAGGTTACAATGATGGAGTTTTAGATGTAAGTGCAGAGTGTAATTGCCGCATGCTTAAGTATGCAAGCATTTAGCGAGATATCTTCCCAGTCGAAATCAGAATGATGAATGCTTTGATTGGTGAGCAAAGATTCAGGCAAGGTTGCATTGCGCATGCATGACAATGAGAATTGATTAGATTTTCTAAGAGTATTGTTACTATCGTTATTTTACCTGAAATTGACAGTAGTAGTCTGCTAGCTATCACTTTAGCCCATCACTCAGGTTTTGAGGTCTAACTTATTGATTCGTTAGACTCACTAACTTTCATCTATTTCAACTTTTAAACACTGAGAACTGAACTTGAGTCCTCGCCACTAGTATGACCAGCTTTGCACTCAATAATTATCTGATCCTCAATTTATTTCTTCCTTTTTATTTTTCTAAAAGTCCAAACTCGACACTCGACCCTCGAAACAACTTGTTCCCAACAATGGTTCGTCGTCCTCTTACATTCCCTTCTTACCTACCCTACAACCACTAGTAAGTAATAATCACTTATCTTGTTTGCATTCTATAACGTTGAATTCAATCTGAAAATTTTGGTTGAGCTTGTGAAAAAACACCAAGAAAGAGTTGATAATGGCGAAATCTCCATTGAGATTATATTCGATGAAGTCTCCGTTGATCTTAACAAATTAGGAGTTGTTACACGAAGAACTAGTGCTGCCTACCAATAAAAGCTGGTTTCGCATACATGATGGCCAGTCTAACTTGCATTTAAAAGGATGGACAAAACAATAAACATCTAGATGCTGATCCCGACGATTCTGATCCTGACGATTCTGAAGGTGATTCCACAGATGAGGATGAGGACAGTAGAGGACTTGATGATAAGGTTGTGGGAAGTTAAAAGAAGAAGAGAACATCAAAGGCATGGACGAGGGAATAACCGAGGATTCTCTATCAAATGATTGAAATACAGAAATTGAAGGAACAAGAAGGATTTCCACGTCTTTCTGGACGTGAGAGTTTTGCTATAGCATCTTCTCAGCTCAATGAAAAAGGTTATTCAGATCGGACCGTTTTTGCTCCCGTCACTGGTATGTGCCAGGTCGCATGTCATGGAATTATAGTGAGACCCCAACTGTACAGAAGTGAGTTTCAAAACTATCACTACTTTTGCTGAAATTTCTTAGTATATTAATACAAGCCATCCAAGCATCTCGAGTGATGGAGAAGTACAAAAGCACAGCCAAACTCTTCGTTCACCATCAAAATAGGCTATTACTGCAATGGCAAAATTAATACAAGAAGCAGTAATGCAAGCATCAGTACCATCTGTAAAACAAAGATACAAACTTGCAACAGAGTATGGTTTAAACTTTTTCCAGGTCTCTGTATGCCCAGTTCTAATCAAATATGCGAACTATCAGATTTTAACTAACAATATTTACCTAGGGTCACATTGCCAATAGACTTCACCAGGGAAAAGTAAAAGCAGATAAACTGAAGGCGGACAAACTCAAGGCAGCAAAGAAAACATCAGCGAAAGAAGCTTCAGCTCACAAGCGACCTAGACCACAAAGCCTGAACTTGACAGCCAATGACAGGCTATTCAATGCACAAACTGGTAGTACTTCGAGAGATACAAATATACTCAAAAAGCCACGGCTTGATGTAGTCCCAGTCAAAACATCAGTCAACAGCCACAGCAATTTTCTGCCACAAGTTTCTGTAGATAAAGTAAGTATTCCTATCTAGATTTTCTGAGAGAAATTAGCACAGAGAAAGGATCATCTTCAAATCCTTACTAGAAGAGCTATATAATCTCACAATAATAGCAAAATGTTCTTCTCCCTTAACACTAAGCGAATCCCTCGCTTAACCTTGATCATACACAAGCACATTCTAAACCCCATCCCATCCATCATTCAATATCCACTACCCATCCCTTATAAACCTCCTCCCCGTCAAAAATCCTCTTAAACCCTCACTACAATTCAAAAAACATCAAATATCAACTCAAGGTATAAACACCATCAATTATATCATCTCTCAAATCAATCATTTAATCAATTATTTATATATATATATATAAAATAATCTAACTCTTTTATAATCAAATCTATAAAAATCTTTTCATATTTGTAAAAATAATTAATTAAATTTCAATACATAATTCTCCTTTTCTTTTGAATAATCAAATCTTAAATATATAATTAAAGAATTTTTAATTAAAGAAACTTTTTTATATTTTGTTATATTTTATATTATATTTTTGATATATATATAATCAACAAATACTCATCTCACTCACTCATCTCACTCACTCATTTATCAACTTTCAAAATTTATATTATACATTACATTCATCCCCAAATCAAGATCCCAAATCACTCTCTTCCAATTCCCAAATCCCAAACAAAAAGATTTATAAAAGAATTAAAAATCGACATTTTTGAATTTCATAAAATAATTCAAATAAACAATAATTAAAACAAAATATATAATAAATAATCCACATTAATATAACATAACACAATATATAAAATCTTTTAATCTTTCAATCTTTCAATATTCTAAACATCCAGCTCTCTTCTATTAAATCCCAACTAAATTAAGCCATTACAAATCCCACTCTATCTTCTACTACCACTCACATCATCATCCACTATTAATTCAATCATCCCCAGGAAGAAAAAACAATTAAGATCTTATTTATAAATTCCCCACCCATCAAATATCAAATCAATCAAGGGAATCATCAATTAGACACAAGCAAGCAAACCAGGCACTTCAAAATGAAAAAAAGGAAGACGACATTAAAATGTAAATATTTCTTTCTTTCAATCGACCATTTGCCAATCAAAAAGTTCCGTTCCGACTATCATTCATTCGCTTTCCAGAACTAACGCCCTACCCATCACCTGTGCTAAACATGATGCAAAAAAGGATATACATCTCCACGCTTTCTGCGCATCCGACGCTCCAAGTAAAACATAAGATAAAAAAAAGACTAAAACGTTCTTTATCATTCAAAATTGTAAGGTCATAGAGGATTCGTGGTAAAAAGTATAAGGTCCCCTAAGCGCCGGCAAATATATCGTAACTGTTCTCGATAACAAATTGAACGGCTTGATTCTTAGCGTGCATATCTGTCATCTCACGATCTATACTGTGATCTCGCATGATCGTCGGCGCAAAAACTACTGCCAAATTCTTGGGTGTCATCTGTAACATATTAGTATATGAGAAACATTGTATACAAACGAACATACCAAATTCTCGCTTTCTCGTTTTGACACACGCACGAGATGGAAAATCAAAAACTCAAGACAATCACGATGCTTGGGAGGTAGCATATTGACTGTGTTTCGTAGATGTGTGCAACGTTCTGCGTTATCTTCAATGGCTGTAGTTGCATTAGCGAATAGTGTTCAACATGCCAAAGGATTGAGCTTACATATTGATTCTAAAACGCGATCATAGACATCAAAGGTTAAAAGTGGTACGGGTAGTTTCCTGAAATATTGCTTCAAGACACTCGTAACCGCGGTAATATCAAGATCAGGATCCGAGATGTCATAATCTTCAGTTCTATCAAATCCCTCTTTGATGAGGTTGACTTGACCAGTACCTCCAGTTTTTCGATAGATACCCTCAATGTCCATTCCACGTAACTCAACTTCCTCAATGCAACGAGTAACCACGCTTGGAATTTGTCGACGCTCATAATCAGCTCTCTCAACAAGATCAGAGCCAAACAAGATTGACGGACTTTCAGCGGCGAGAATATTACCACTAGACATCGACTTCGACATTGCTTGTGTTTTCTTGAATAAACCAAAACCCTGTCGGGAGGGATCATTTGATATTGACCTGGGTAAGTTTGCTCCAGATGCATTTGGTGCGGGAGATTGCACCTGCTCCATAGTCATATTATAAGGCATACCGATGCTATCACCAAATTGACCTGGCCATTGATGCATCCCTCGTTCTGGTCCACTTGAGAAAGCACCTTTGAAGCCTTTAGTGACCCCCTTAGCAACAGTTTGACCACCCTTCTTCCAATTGAACTTCTTTGCCTGACCCTTGCGAATGTTGACGACATGAGGAGCTGATAGGAGTGTAGCTGGTTCCATACTTGGGTCCTGTTCCATTGGATGTGGATAGCTATGGATTGAACTATTGTAGACTGTGCTGCTGCTTTCAGATGGGCGGAGACTTGCATTATCTAGATGAACGGAAACGTTAGATTTATCCTTATTGTGGTGAGTGTAGATTCCCAGACCGTTCATTGGTGGCCTTGGGCTCTCCATATTAGTATTCGCCGACTTGAAGCGTTCCTGGATCTGGTGTGTAAGATCATTATTCATATCTGCAAGTTGTGCATTTTTGGATGACAATTGCTCAAACTCAACCAATGCTCTATCACGATCGGCGATGGCTTGATTCTTTTCTTCTAAAAGTTCATCTCGCTCTTCGAAAAGTTGCTCAATTGAGGCAGACATTGATTGTTTAAGGCGGTCAAGCTTTTGAACGAATTCTTTGATAGCAGAATCTTCCAGCTCAGCTATGTCAAGTGGTTGTTTCGAACCTTTCGCACGTTCCACGTAACCAGCCAAAACTTCCAATTGGCGAATCATAAGCTCTGTTTGAGAATCTAGGACCGAGACAGTTTTTCGTTTTTCGATGAGCTTTTTGTTTAGTGTTTTCAAATCTTTCTCATTAACAAATTGTCTTTCAAGTTCTGCGACCCTTTGTTCCGAATTTCGAAGTTGTCTTCTTAACAAAGCAGGATCATCCCCAGGATTTGGTGAGCTTATAGAAATTGGGCTACTGATATCTCGAGGTCCGCTAGTGTCCTCAACGATGGGTGTTTTTGGCCATCGTGGAGAATTAGGAGTGCGTGCAGTCGTTTCGCTTACGCTACGACCATGGCCACGAGCAGAATTACTTGCTTCACTACTTGTATTCCGAACATGACGTACGGCGTTGGAAACCCTTCGGATTATAGATTGTGAGCCTTCATCATTACCAAATATTCGAGCCATATCTTCATCCATGGTGAGATCAGCCCCAGCACTCCACCTTGGTAAATTGGGAGACGAAGTTGCACCATTTGAGCCTGCCGATGGCGGCGCTGGCGGTGCTCTTGGGGTCATGTATGTACTACTTAGTTGTTGGTTTTGGAGGGAAGGTCGGGTCGCTGGACGATTTGGAGGTGTCATATCATCGATAGGTGACTGTAGCAGGGGGCCAGAGATTGATTTGCCATTCACGGTCGGGGTTTGAGCTACTCCTTCTGAAGAGGATTCCGTGGATGGAGAGGTATCTGTTCCGGAAGATAAGCTCATTGTACTGACATTGCTTCTCACTTGTCCAGAGGCTAGTTCCTTACGGGGTATGGATCTTTTAGAGCTTCCAGAATCGACTCTTGTAATGGTAGAATTTTCCATGTCCCTTGATCGTGAGTCCTGTGAAGATCTGGAGGTGAGTTGATCCGCTGCCAATAAAGTTTTGGGGGACTCCATTCTTGCCGCGCTGCTGTCTTTCCTGGGGGGTATGTTAGATACGGCAGATTTTGAAGAATTGCTCTCGCTGCCAGTGTAATCTGATTGCGAGTCGCTCCTCGTTGGCACAGCCCGTTTCCCCTTGGGCACATCTCCCAATCTAAAGTTTTCACTTGAGGATTGTGTCTTTCCATCTTGGGCCTCACCAATCGGTGAGGTTGCATGTTGCAGTAAAGTATCGTCACCAGCAGATGGCGACGATTCTTTGACGGGCGTTCCTGTGCCATTCGCCGCCCTGCGTATGCTTTCCTTGATCTGTGCTAACTGTTCCTCGGATGGTTGTTGACTCTTCTCTTGAAATGCAATGTGCGGTGTCGATGCCAAGCTCACATCCCTCGAATCCCTTGATCGTCTCGGTGGCTGTAGGTCAGTTTGACTTCGTCTATTTTCTTTTGCACCAAAATAATCTCGATCTGGTGCTTGGTTCTCTTTACTTTTCTTTGTGTCCCATGATGTCGACGCTGATCTTGGTGTCAAGGTTGGCGCAGGGCTTGGATCCAATGCGAGAGGTATGAAAAAGCTCTCTCCATCGCCATTTCCAAGCTCCGACATTTGTGAAATCCCTGAATATCTATTGTTCCGGTAGGTCGTCGTCGGAAGCGTCAATCCATCTCGGCCTGCGGTATCGGTGGATTCTCGATGAGAGGACGTATCATCGCGAGGTATTCGAGAACTGCTCCTAGATGATGAGTCTGTACGAGGATATGTTGGTCGCGGCCTTGGAGATAATTCTGTAGGGTTGTCCGCGTTGTGAGGATCCGAAATCTCACGTTCAGGAGAGAAGGCGCTTTGTGGAACTGCGTTCGGTGGTAGGGCAGGTAGCGATTTGTCAACTAGCATGGGAGATTGATCATCTTTTTTCTTCGCATTCGCAGCAGCCCTTGACTTTTTACGTCGCCTAGCCATTAGTGATTCGTGACAGCTCATACAAAATATTCCTTGTGATGTGCGGGCATAGCGAAGGTTTTCGATCTTACGTTTGCAGTTCCTGCATCGAAAGCATGTTGCACAAAATGCTTGGTCACCGGTGAGGATAGCAAGGTCTTCAATTTTGTTATTGCAAGCACTGCAGCTGTAAGTGCAATTATTGCAGATAAGGGATCCGTCACCCAGGAGTAACAAATTCGCATCGGAATCCAGGAGGGTTCCGCAAGTATTGCATCGGAAGCAATTCAAATGCCATCGATTGCCAGCTACAGATTCGTTAGAATTGTTGAATTTCGAAATTAGAGGATTCATCTCATTGATTTCTCGGATGTTCAATGTACAACTCGAGGTTCAAATCAAATAAAGTAACGTAGCGCATGGGATAGAAATCGATGGGTGGAATTCTTTTTCACAACTTACCAAGTTCGAAGGCCTTTCCCTCCTCGAGGATCTGTGCAAAAAAAAATTCACCTTTTAGTGGCAGATTCGTAAAAACTTCTTGGTGGATTGGACGGGAACACTCACATCACCGCATCCTTTACACGGATATGCCACATCGTCACCCTCCATAGGGGACTCCAGATATGTACTATTGTCCGGCGAATCCATCTCTCCCAGTGTATGCGGAACCTCGAAAGGAACCCTTTGTCAAGCTTCTATTTCAGCAGATGCACTTCCTCCTCGAGTATCACGGACAGTAGATCAAAGCTGAACATGAATTGGCAGATGCGATCCCTCGACGTTGAAAGTTTGTCGTGTCGGGATATGTTTCCAAAGCAAAAGCGCACGGTCGGTAGGAGCTTCGAGAATTGTGTACGGAGGTAACAGTATGCAAGTTCGCAAGGGGAAAAAGAAACTAGTGAGAATAGACGATCATTAAAGAAACGGTTCCTGGAGGCTTGATTCGCAAAGTTGGTTGAGGGTCAAATGAGGGTCAATGAGGGTCAATGAGGGTGGAGAAAAGGGTTGAAGGGTTAACGTTGATTGTTTTGAGAACAGACAAAGTGAGAGAATAAATTTCGTAATAGTACGGGAAAAGAATGAGGGATGAATGGAGAATGAGAATGAGAATGAGAATGGGAATTAGAATCCACCCTTTTCAACTAGTAATAGTAAAGATAGATGCGATGCGACGAGATGGGATGAGAAGCGATTCGATTCGAGTTGATCTGATTTGATCTTTTAAGACTTTTTTCCTTCAGCCTGCTGTTAAAATGTATTTATTTATTAATCAATAATCAATCGAGTTGGTACCTGTACCAACATGAGAAGAGGAACTAGGGTGAAGTAGGAATGAAGAAGGCTAGACTAGTACTTTAGGAAAAGAAGTCTACTCCGTATGCCAAACGGTGTGTGATCCACCCCGCGGTCGTAGCGTAATGTTTTTCTGTGAATCTGGTTGGTTGCATTCGTGCGTCCCCTTGAGGAAGTTGAGCGATCTAGATATTCGATTCGATATCGATATCCCTTGATGTGAGATGAGGTAAACCCTTGAAGGATTTCGGTACTGCAGCTAACATTGATACTGTAATCAGGAGGCAGAACACGAGTGGAAGGCAAAGGCTGATGACCCTTTAGCGACTCAGCATATATATTCTAGAGGGGTCGGCCGGTGGGTGAATGGGTGGGTGTGTGTTTGTGTTTGTGTGCGTGTGGGTGCGGGTGTCAGTGAGTTGAAAGTCGTGAGATGAGACAAGACCGAGCCCTTATAAGTCCAAGCAAGATAGATAGCGAGTGAGGACGGTTTAGCATACCAGACCACTATCATACCAATCCAAAATAGTGAATCGATTGTTCGTGATGGTGACTTTATACCGGGCATAAATCAGGTGCCATACAGAGTACCTAGTAACGGAGTAAGGGTTGATACAGAGATCATGTTCATGTTCATGTTCATGTTCATGTTCATGTTCATGTCTACGTTTACTTGTCATGGAGTGAAAATACAAAATACCTATATACCGAGTAATTTGAGGCGTAAAGTAGTGATCGCTCCTTCGACTGGCCTTGCCGCTGGGTTTATATTTTTGATTAATTCCTGATGGCCTGTTTATGGAAAGTGGAAAATGAATATATTCCATATGCCGTTGTGAGATAGTTCAACAATACCATACCGGGAACCGATTTCATGGGTAGCTAAAAAAGGGATGACCATTCGAGAGACCAAGTTACCAAAAATTTAATTATCGCTGCAGGTCTGATCTGCAGCTGTTAATGGAGAATATTCGTTTTGTCTTCGTCCCTCCGTCGGGACATCCCTATTCTCCTTCATGGCTGGCGCAAAAGTATGGGAAGAATCATCACAGTAAGGAACATATTGGGTATTCCTTCTCCCTTTACACTGATGACTGTATATATTGATTCCGATGGACGGGAAGCCTTGTGTACCTCATGTTTTGTTTAAATACTACGTACATGATTACCAACTCTTTCGAAACTCAGCCTATAACTAGGGATCAAACTCTAGAGTAACCTTACAATCGACCCGACATTTCAATGTTCCAAACATCCCTAGAGTTTGATCGGAGACCAGGAATGACCCATGAGTACATGGAACCAAGAGAGTGTTTAGCCTACGAGATTCGATTCGATCGTTCTTGCATGGTGGCACATTTAGGAGAGTTTCAAATAAAGATCTCAACCAAGGAGATGTCGCAATGAACATTCAGACGGGTCGCTTTTGATTCGCCTGTTCACTGTGTGTTGTGTGTGGCATGCAGAGAAGATAATGGTGGCAGAAGATGATGGTGGCGATATAAACTTCCACAATGTATCCTTCATCTCGAGTTATTTATGCTGTAACCTATGGTTCTCTCAGTAGAGAACTATTTTCCATGCTGAGCAGCGTGCTCAAAAATAATAAAGAGGTGATGGATACATATAAAATGATGAGATAGAGTATCTGTGGTCGGATTGGGACATTGATAGGTTATTGATATCCGGACGTGAAATCACCAACTCCCAAGAATCTGGAGATGACATGGTGTTTTTTCGTATTACAAGATTATTACCATACACTCTATGCAGCCAACGCCGAAAAGAGAATCCTCTTCATTGCACGAAACTCTATGGGAAAGTTTGAAATTTGTTATTGTTGTAAATACGAGGACAGTAAAAAGGGACCTCGTAGTTGTCAAGTTCAGCCTAGGTTAGAGCAGATCCACAGAAAAGTACGGAATATCAAACGTCTAACTAATCGGGTACAGATTATGTTGTGCCTTGGGTCCTTACGTCCTTAGGCCCCTAGCACTGTACCTCAAAACCTCCACGGCGAGTCTCAATACCTTCCTCCGTACCTAGCCTACATCCCTCAAGCCTCAAGCTCCATCCCACAAAACAACGAACGACGCTTAACCTCACTGAAACACACAGCATCCACATCCACCACCCCAGTTTGACCAAAACCCCTTGATTTCGAAACTTTACCTCGAACTTCTTACTCTAGAGATGTGCAATTTACAGAGTCGACTAGGGTGGAAATAGTTCATCAGAAGAATGAAACATGGCTACAGTACCAGGTAAGATCTTGCTATTTAGGTAAACCGTCTGTCTACCTCCTGGACCATCCCCATCCCACCCTAAATTATACAATTAGGAATCTACCTACTGCGTTAGAGCTAAATCGCTAATGCCGCTATCTCTCTATATCCTAAACACACCATACATCGTTTCAGCAAGAAAGGAAGAAAGAACAATCCCCCTTCAAGCAACGCCTGGATTTTAATTCCCGGGGCGCCAAAGGTTCAACGCAAGCGGCGTTTATGAACTGGAACCGCCTGCGATGACCTATCAATCACTTCCCCACTTACAGTATGATAAAAATACTAGAATTAGAATCTACATAGCAAGAATGATATTCTAATCCACTTTCGTCTTTTTGCGTACATGTACAGAGTATTCAGAATTAACAAACATCTACATCATCCCATCTTCTTTCAATACGCAGGAGAAATTAAATGTGGCGAGGAGACACAGGCACAGAATTTCCGTTCTAGACCCTTTGGCGAGATTTCGCTGATGCAGATACGATTTACATACATACAGTACCAGCCATTTCATGCAGCCGATGTACCGTACCTTGTACCGCGGCCTATTCGTTGATTGGAAAGCAAGGGATATCTAGAACATCACGTGGAAGGAAGGGTATCGACATCCCCTTCTTTGATCGCCGACGGGTGCCAAATTTAAGAGAAGGACTGTTGTAGGATTTTCAGTAGATATGTCTTCCATGCTTAAGGTCAAGTCCCGTGTGCTAAATGCGCTATAAGCATTATATCGGAACAAGCTAAATTTTACCTCCCGCCTCAATACTACTTATACATACATAATCAACAGCTTTCCAACCGAAACAGCCCGCCTCATGCCCAAGCCATACCATACCATCTTCATTAACGAGACAGAATTAAATATCCAAGGTTACAAAACCCAGCATCTATCTATCAATCAACCAATCATTAACTCCCATCATTCAATTCCATCTCATAATCCCTTCCCTACCATAATTGATGATTCCTACACAAGACCCAAGACCCAAGACCCAAAAACCCAAAACTCAAAATCAACACCACCCAGCGTAACACAACACAATCTATCTACCTAGGCAGCTAATCTCACGACAAAATTAAGCATACAATCACATCACATCACATCACATAGTTTAAATCCCATACATCACACATCAAGCATAAAATATCTACTGCAAATCATACCTAGGCCAAGCTGATGCATACATAATCTTACAATGTATCTATCTACTCGAGGATTGATAACAATTTACCTAGTATTTATCCACAGCCCTACTTGATCAGAAATCTAAATATGATGCTTAATTCCTATACATGTATCATCTTTCTTTTAGATTCTTAATTGATTAATTATTTATTTCATTAAATAATTGTTTTTATCACTTACTCCCATCCCACATTCCCATATCTTCATATCCTTCCCTTTACATAAATAGCAGATAAAAGATATCATCAAAGAAACAAGGAATATCCAAAAGGATCTCGAATCGACGATATGGGTATACGATTATTGGAAATGCACAAATAAAGCCGCATAAACATAATCAGATCAAAACATTACAAAATATAAATGTACTGAGCCGAAACCTCAACGCCTATGATAATAACCAGAAATATGTAAAGGTGCACTGCACAACGCCTTTTACTCCCCTCCCTTTTTGCTCGCTACACTCCAGAGAATCCATCATACCGACCAAAAAATATCCCAAAATATTCAGTCAAAATAGAGAACCTTTGTATCTTACAGCCCTTTCGCATCCACTCTATTGAAACATCAGTACCACCTCAGTCCCTTTTTGCACACCACTCCAAAGCCCCTTCCCGACCCCTTTCTCTTCAATTTCCCATCTCCAATTCCCTTTGCCTCTTAACAATATAATATGTAATCAAACTCTTAGGATCCCCACTCACTCTTCCACCAATTCCACTCCAAAATCTAGCCTCTCCGATTCGTGCATGGGTACTCACACAGAGTACCACAGCATCCAATCTCACTCCGCTTTCCTTGCTCTCAAGACACTTTGCTGCTAATGCCAAGATACTATCAATCTCCGCATCGTCCAATTCAACCTCCGATTTGACATCTAGTGTCTGCTTGAGTATGTGTAATCCCATACTTAATTTTCGACATCCTTCTAATGTCATTTCTTCGTCAGAGAGAGAATTTAGAATAGTACTGATGGTGTCCTTGGGGTTGGCAAGTGTGACAAGCTCGTCGGCCAGGAGTTCGAGGCCACTGACAATGTGAGTGCGTGCATCATAGCAAGAGCGAGTGACGAGAATAGAATGGAAGCCTTTTGCGGTATATGGTTGGAAGTATTCTCGGTAGTTTTTATACAAGACTTTGATTGTCGCTAGTATTTGTGCTTTGACGTCCTGGACTTTCGCAGGTGAGAGGTTTGTTAATGGTTCTTCGAGATACTCGAAGAGACCCATCACAAGAGCAGGGAACCTGCCATCTCCCCATACGGCTTTGTTATCTCTGATCATTGTTTGGAGTTTGCGGAAACCGTGGGCATCCAAGGTTTTGCCTTTGATTTTGGCGATGCCGCTGTCGAGTAACTTTGTGGTTTGTTTGAGCTTGTCGGGAGACATTGGTGGATTCTTAATTCCCTCGCCATCGAGTTCACCTATACTATTCCTTGACAGATTCATAGCATCTTCATTGACAGGTACTTCTTCTAGAACAGATGCAGTAACTGTGGGTCTGGGAGTAGTTGTGTCATCTGTACTTGAGAATGGGTCCTCGTAAACTTTCATTGGCTGATTGACAGGAGCTTTGATATCTTCTCCATCAGATGACTCAAAGACCTGGGAAACTTTCTCAGATCGAATCCGCTCTAATCCTGTAATGGTGGGAACAACCATAGTAAAATCTTCATCCGCCCGTGTGGGACTAGATAGAGGTAACCCGGGTACTGATTTAGTTCTTGTCCTAACAGGGCTACTAATATGCGGAGAAGCAGCAAGCCTGGGAGATGCCGTTGTAACCTTTGCAGGTACAGTTTTGGCAGGACTTGTGTATGTGGATTGAGTTGGCTGATTAGATTGTGTTGGATGACTAGTATGGCTTGTATTGGGTCTCGGCACCGGAGCTCTTCTGGCTTGGGGGGAACTGGTAGCAACAGGAGTTTTGGATCTTGGTGGTCTTGCGGTTGTAGAGGACGAAGGACTGGCATTTGCTTCGCTGGAAGCTTGGTTAGTTCTTCTTACAGAATATGGGCCGGCAGTTGCAGGTCTAGGAGCGAGTTCTGGTCTCTTGGATTTACTTGGTCGCATGGGTGCGACAGAAAGACCACCGCGAGATGCATTAGCTTCTAGATATGGTCGTGTTGGAGCTGATTCTGAAGATGATTTAGTTGGCACTGTCCTCGTTGGAGAAAATGTTGACATTGCAGAACCAGGACGAGAAGGAATATTCTTGCTGGCCATTTGGGCCTTTTTCTGGGCCAGCATGGTCTCCCTCAAGGAAGGTCTAGGAGGTCCCGTAGTGCTCTTAGAGAAACCAAGCCCTGGTCTGGTGCTGACTGCCGCTGCTGCTGCCTTCTTTGGAGCATTAGGATTGTCTGAAGAATTTTCCAATAATCTCTTCTGAGTTGGTTCTAGGTCCTCGATGATTCTAAAAATTGTTAGCTACCAGTAAAGTCCCAGGAGGAATACTTATGCCCTTACATTTCAGCTCTTGCTGGCCAGATCTGAGCAAAAGTCCAATAGGTCGACCTCATATTCTCACGAACACCAGGATTTGCGTCGGCTAAACCTTTCTTTAGACACTTTTCTATTAGTTCCAAGCCTCCGCTGTGCTCAACATGGCTCTTGTGTTGCGCCTCCTTCTTTAGCAAGGTTTTGAGCCAGCTTGTGGCATATGTTCTGGGCTGAACATTTTTATCCTGGCATGCAAGCCAAATATGCTGCATAATTCGATGATTATAGGTGACACCACTAATAATAATATCAACAGTGGCATTTCCATTCTGCGAACTGATCTTCTTGGTACCGCCACATAGCTTGATGAGGTTTTGTAACAGAATTTCGACCATAGGATCCAGTCCAGGTCCAGCAGTTCTAGCAACCTCTTGGACGACGCTACACCCTTCTTTGGAGAGACTTGTTCTCAGTGAGTTAACAGCTTTTAAAATACCATCAAGGAGGCTCTTGATACCAGCAAGGAAAGCATCGTGATAGTCGCTTGGGGCATTTCCGGCGTTCAGTCTCCGTAATTTTGTACAACTTTGTTCTCGCTTTAGCCAGTTAGCTTCAGACTCCTTGTCCTGAAACCATTGCTGCATTTCCTGAAAGGTTTCCTCTAGTTCTCTCTGTGTATTCACATATGCAGGTTCCACTTGCTCCACCCTGACTTCTGGTGTTGCTGGTCTGGAGATGCTCATGGCAGATGCGCTGCTAGCTAAGGGGTTTCGCATAGGGGCATCAGGTCTTTCCGGCTCCACAACCACTGGGGGCCCGGCTTGTATAAGTTGACTTGTGATAGCTGATACGATTGCTGGGCGAACATTGAAATTCTTCAATTGCTTTTTGAGGTCTGATTTGGCCCCATTCGGAGCATTCCTGCTGCATGTTAGTATACAAAAGTAAAATGATGGATATGAAGAGACTTACTGAAATAAAGTGATGACAGTATTTCTCGCAGTATCCCTTACCATGCCATCGGCATCTTCTAGTAATTCCATTAATGTAGTTACAAAACTTTTGAATGGCATGCCATGCTCTTGATGCATCTACTCAGTGAAGTTGTTAGAAAATGTAAACAACGCTGCGCAAAAATCCACTCATTTACCTGTACAATCCAGTTCATTGAAGTCTCTTTCATCCTTGAGTTCTTTCCGACCAGACCTGCGTTCTTCACAATCCTTTCTACATCCATCGGCGCATTCTTCCAGAAAGTTGTAAGACATTGCGCAGCAAGCTGTCTATATTTCTCCCTCTGATCACCCATCTTATCATTTATCATGGGCAAAGTCCTTGCCGCTTCTTTTGCGATATATTTTGGCTCCTGACGTGATAATCTGGTGAGGAGATGATTGAGGGTAGAGAACCCAGCGTTGACCAAAGCAGCATGCTGCGACGACAACGCAATGCGCAAGGCTTCGAATAGCGAAAGGATGCATGGTTCGGGAACATTATGCTGTTTGATGCTAGATTTGATGTTGTTAATTTGGTTGACCTTCGCATCTACGGACCCATCGGTTCGCAGTATTGCCAGCAGGTTGGCGACTTGATCTTCGGTGATCTTTTCACCCATGATTTGAGGTGGGGTGAATTTGAGGAAAACAGTAAAGATCAATTCTAGGGATACGTATCTATAGATGAAATGTACTGTCAGTGATTGTGAGAGAGAATGAAGTTATGCAATATGAAATTTGCTTATTTAAAGAGATAAGAAGCTGTATGTCGCACAATATTCACATTAAGAAATTATGAAATTTGGAGTCACTTACGAGGATGTTGTACTTTTGTAACTTCAAAATTCCCTCTTTGGAGATAATTCTATCGCGTCAAAACAAATTATGGTTGCCCCGGCAGGCTACATTTATTTAATACACTAGGCCGAAAATCCCATTATTAATATAAATACGATCAGACAGAACCCCTGCATTGACAGAGAAGCCAGTCAGATTGGTAAGAGATATCATTTAATGAACAATTCCTATTGGTCGGACGTCCGGAGTATGAGAGAATCGTTCTCCGTCTCGTTGCACCATCAATGGGTTACCTGTCACAATTATAAGCTACCCATCTAGAACTATTCCCATCACTGATACCGGTAGTTGAGCTCCATTACACTTTTCCGCATATAAAAACGGAGTATAATCTTAAAGGGACCCTTGCAAGGAGCGACCTAACCTTTTAAACCCTTTGAACCCTACCTAGTACCTAGTACCTAGCACATCTCACATATCACCTGCATCATCATGCCCACTTCCCCCGCAACTAGTCCAGTTCCTCCACCTGTGTTCATGCCTCAACTCTCCAGCACGTCGCCAGTTCCAGCTCCAACTCCAACTCCAACTCCTACACCAATGCCTCCTTTGAAAGAGAACTCGGCGTCGCAGCCTACTAAAGATGATAGGTCTATTGAAACTACCAAATTTGATCTACCCAAGCTACGTCTCGAGGTACGGGATCTTAATCATGCAGGGTCGCAGACGTTCTTGACCGCCGTTCTAGCCAACGAAGCCCTCAAAACCGCAGCTCGAAGCGTTCTCACCCTACTTTATGAATCTCCCCATTGTCGCACCACTACTATTCCGACAACTCGTTCGGTGACCCTCATCCTTCGTTCTATGGAAGGTGTAGCATATACAACAGGTACCGACCTCGACGATGACCACAAAGAAATACATTTCTCCCTAGATTACATACACCGTGCTATTGCATCAGAGCGAAAGAAGCATGAAATAATGGGCGTGTTGACTCACGAAATGGTGCATTGCTACCAATATAATGGATTCAATACTTGCCCTGGTGGCTTGATTGAAGGAATTGCAGATTGGGTTCGGCTGAACGCTGATTTAAGTCCACCTCATTGGAAGAAAGAAGCGAGTGGGAAATGGGATGCAGGTTACCAACATACTGGATACTTTCTTGATTATCTAGAAAAGAGATTCGGTAAAGGCACAGTAAGGAGGGTGAATGAAAAGTTGAGGATTGAACGATACGAAGAGAAACGCTTTTGGACTGAGCTTTGTGGAAGACCGGTAGAGCAGCTCTGGAAAGATTACTCGAAACATCTTGAAGCAGAGCAGAGAAAAGCCGAAGAAGAAGAGTGTGTAATTGTTGAAAAGGAGGATGCTATCACACCTAAAAAGCTCGAACCTGGAGAGGATGAACCAACACCTATCGTAGCAGCGGAGGAGACGGAAGATGACTCCATGAAGTCCGTGAAACCTGAATAAACAAACGTCAGTTACGCGGTGTACGATATCAATCGCATATCAGAATTTTAGACATCTAAGCTTCAGAGACTATGGATTACCGGCTTTGGATTTGAACATTGAAGAGTGTCAGAGGACTTTCAGCCTAAAAAGACTGTTTAATTGTCCAATGTCAATGTTAGGACGGCAGCAGAGAGAACTCCCAGCTGTCAGCTTGGATTTTGCAAAACGAGCTTGGTATGTGATATGGGTTTATAGCTTGCGTGCAGAAACAGACACTTGAGTGATGTTACGATTCTGTATAGTGGAAACAATCACTTTCAATCGCATTACCCTCTGTGTTTGGCATACTTCGGACAAAAGTTTGTTTCCAAATTTTAGATAATCCCATACAGTTTAGACGATAGATTTTGGGTAAATTTTCGAACACTGGCTAACCCAAGCTATTATAGAATGGGAAAAATTAGAGGGCTATTCGTTTACTATCATTTATCACATCCAATTTTCTCATTACCTCCATCCACTGATATGAAACACATACAAATCTTAATATACTACATTTCCATAATCAATCTCTTCTCTATCTTTGAAATATCGCCTTGTCTAGGGAGTCTCTACTTCGGGATTTTAAGATAGGAATCAAAATCTAACCGATTATCTGATGCCCACACTTCCAACTAAAAACATCCTCCATATTAAGCCATAGTCCGAGGACCAAGACTAGAATACTCATACCTCCCAACTTCGCCGATTTTCCTTTCCCTTCTCAAGTGCTTGGCCGTCCATCGAAAGAAATTTCGAGGATGGAATCTGGGAAACAGATATTAGAATCTTGCAGAGCCTTGTCTCGAATCCCATGAATCTTAAAGATTCTTAGGATCTGCAAGTCTTTCACTGACAGGGTTTTTCATAAACATGGCCGTTTGCTATGGTCCTCTCGAGTTCTTCATTTTCCCTGATTAATAAAAGCTTTTATTTCTTTTCTTTTCTGTTTGCTTTGCTTTCTTGGTGCTGTAGAATTGTGAGAAGAATGGCTCGATGATGTTTGCTATTTTCCAAGTTCTGTCCGACTGAAAGAAATGCGGTTTTACTTGATTTCGAAAAAACAGATTCGGCTGTAGCTTTATTTGATATCGAGGAGAGGAAACAGACCCAGCGAAGTGAAGGCCATGGAAGGATTGAATGAAGAGAAGACGTATGGTACGGGCTTTCCTATTCAACATTAGCATAAATTGAACGCTCTTTTAGACGAGACTAGGAACATAATGTACAAACTTCATCCTTCAAACTTGGTGAAATTGTGGATACTCTGGCGTCATTCTTCATTTTCCATTTCCAATTGATGAAATTTATATAAGTTACTGAGTCATGAAAAATATTTGAAACTAGCTGTTTGTGCTAGGACTTTCGTCGCAGATAGTAAGATCTTAGATGTAGACGGGAGGTTTAGATTTTAGGTTAAATGTAATTAATATCTTCATGTTGTGTTCTTCGAGACTCGAGAGTGTGTGTCTCTTGCAGCACTCTCGAGTCTCTTGCAGTTATGTGCTCGATGGGTATTAGGTTTGAAGTTGGGAGCTGGGCGGGTGAGCTGTGATAACTATTCATAGTGGGGGAAGCATTTTAGGCCTCTTGGGAAACGTTACTTATCATATATTTTATTTAGCTATACTCTAGTTGAAAAATTTCTTCTCGAAATATGTTATATGTCTTTCAGATATTGTCTAAATCAGATAAGTTTGAATCTTGACTCCTCTTCATTATCGATACTTTTGTTTACAGGCTAATGTTATAACTGTGGAGAATATATTGATTGTATCTGTATCTCCATTGAAAGGTTCTATATTTTGGATATGAAGAGGGTCGTATTATTGGAGCTACGATTCTTAACTGTGTAAACCTATAATTGTACTTGTAATGTTGAGCTTAACACCGTTGTATGTAGCGCGTCGCCTAAAGGTTTAGGGGGGATCTAAAATATAACTGTGGACTCATATATAAATACACGATCATGCACAGTTCTCAACAAGGACTAGATTGAGGCTCCAAATTTATGTTCCCCGATTTCACCCCGCAATTGTTAAACTAAAAAGGACTAGGATATTTCAACTGAGCATGGCCACCTTTCGTTGATCGGTTGGCGTTAGGTAGACAGAATACGTCGATAGTGGAGGTTGTCAGGTTGATATCTCCAGCCCATGAAATGTTGTACATATACACCGACTCAGTTGTAAGACTCCTACATATGCAGATGTCAGATAAATGAAGAGATAGACGAATCTCTCCAGAACACGCAAACAGCACAACATGAACCCAAGATTGTTGGCGGGACGCAAGGAATGCTCTGTTCGATTTTTACATTATTTTATTGGAAATGCTCACGAATCAAGAGATGCAGAGGTTTCCAACAATTTACTTATGCGTGCTAGATCGACGGTAGATATGTAAGATTATTTTTATTTATTTATTTCTTATCTTACATTCTAACAACCTTCTCATTGGGGATTTGTCCATATTCCGTCAGATGTCAATACTACCATAGAGAACAGGGCTTTCAGCTTCCTCATGGGTATGTATGTATGTATTAGTATTACTCTGGGCGGTTATCCAACGGGCGCAAATAGAAAGCAAACTATTAAAAGTAGTGGAGTTCCCTTCCCAAATACTTAATGACGCCTACTTTTTGTAAAAACCAACATCATCCATTACTTACCATTCCACATTTTCCATTTAGTCTCCTCTTTATATAATCTTACAATTTAAAGTTCCTTAATCATCTCCTAGTATTGCTCCTGTTTTCGTACTCACTCTTCATTTCCTTTCCTTTCCTTTTCATTTCCTTCTCATTGACAGAGATACATTCAATATGCCTTTCATGTTCTCCCCAGGTACGTGTAACTGTACGGCGGCATCGGAAGCAAGCCACAAATTAAATCCGTGATATGCATCCAGCAGTGGTTTCTTATCCTGTGATAGGCGTAGATCGCCCCAATACCTTGCAAGGCAAGTGGCGCTGGTCTACGCAACCTCATCAGAGGCAACCATTTATCCTTCCACTCAACTTGATACTCGATCCCTAATACTGTCCTATCTCATTCTCTTCATGACAGCTTCATGAGAGAGTTCTTTATCTTGTTTAGAATTATTTTCCTCATCTTCTGCCAAATTTTATTGAGGAAAAATGCCTAATCATCCTGTGTTGGTTTCAGGTGCGGTAATTGTTGTTGCTGTGGCTGTTGGTGTGAGTTTCCCCTCTTTTGCAGAATTCATGCAATGCACGATGAAGGAATCCGAAAAATTAATACAAGCAATAGGCCGCAATAGCAGTATATGAATCACCGCAAGCTCGTCAATTCGTGGAAGATGCCCGTCGTAAAATAGCACTTGCACTACATTCCCTCGGTGATGAAATCAATCCAGGTAGTCAACAACCTCGTTTCAACCGACCTGAGGATGCCGAGGGTTTCTTGCAGAGTGCTTCGGAAGCAGGTGTTGATGCCGATGAGGATAGTAGAAGAAAACAGAGAGAGGAGTTGATGTACTGGAATGCAGTACGCATGGAAAAAATGGAGAAGGAGAAGAAAATGAATGAGAAAAGACCGGCAAGCAATAAAAGTCGAAGTTCGAGTTTTGAGGACTTTCTACAGGAGGATCCAAATGCTGAGAAGGGAACCTTCGTTTACAATACTGGTACAGATTTGAATAGTCAAGCGGAAGAGGGTCTTACTCACCGACGAGGTGTCAGAGGTTTGGATCGATCGACAATTTACGCAAACCCATTTGCAGACGAACATGGTATTGATATTGAGGAACAACAAGCTACGGATAGGAGTTTAATCTCACCTGAAGATGGCGAACAATATGAATCAGACTCTGAAGGACTATATAGCGTACACGAAGGCCCAACTCGACCTCGCTCTCGACAAAGTACGGCTACTCTCGAAGCAGTGGAACCTTTGGCCCACGAAGACACTGAGACACTCGTTGATATTTCTGAGCCATTCATTCCAGACCCACCAGTTTCTGTGCCTACCTATGAAAACATGGAAACTGAGCCAACTTATACTGAAAGATCACAAGATACTCAGAATCCATTTGCTTCCATACACGCTTGGGCTGATCACACCGATAACTCAACTGGCTTTTACTCTCCTCTCCCTGTTACACCCCACGAACGTCCCTCCACTCCAACTTCCACCCATATTTCCCAAATGACACCTCCTTCACCTACCTCCTCCGATCCTGAGTATTCCTCTCTTGAATCTCTTGATGGGGATGGAATGGCTACCCCAACAGATTCTGCATCTTTAGCTGGCTCAGGCGAAGAAGTATGGCATCCAAGAAGTGGTACTACCAGTGAAGCCGATGTTATGAGTGTGGATGATGGCATCATTACACCTGACAGTTGGACTGAAGTTGGAAGTTTGGCAAGTGAAGATGCCGTACATCATTAGTTATTCAAAGCGAGTCTCAAAAAGTTATTCGCTTATAAACCACGGAGTCTATAGTAGGCGTAGCACTGGTAGAGTAGGGTTTGGCGTCAGATAGACGTTAGAAGATATTATAACAAACAGGCAGCCGATGAAAACTTTGCAACTAGTAGCTATGCATCAATCGGAAAATTGGGATAACATAACCTGGAAATACAAGCATGGCGTCAGGATTAATGGGAAAGGGGAAGGAATAAGGATAGGCGTACAATAGTGGACATACCTAGCCGTCGCTAAATTGATCGACTGACATACAAATTTCTTTTGGGCATCTTCTGTTTTATTTTTACTGATGGGGTAGGTAGGGGTAGGGTGTTTGGAATAAAAATATTCACCCAATCTACTGTTCGCTTGCTCTATAAAATCTGTATCTATGTATGTGTATGTATTTGTTTATGTGTATGTGTATGTGCATATAATAGGTTATGAACATCCATATATAAAATCCGAACACAAAGTCGATGTTTGAGATGATGTGGAATAGTTCGGATAGGTAGAATTAAAAAATGCTCTTGTATTATTTATTATTAAATCATAATTCAAATTATTGGATAGATATACTAACTAAGCCTACACTTTTTACCCATACGTAACCTTCTTACTAGCTATACAAAATTGTTACAGGTAAATATACATAAATACACAAAAACAAATACATAAATACATAAATACACACCCCCTCCGCATCATCATCATGATGCACAACCATAAACAAAAACCATCAAGCAGGCACCCCCTCATAAACCACGCCTCCCCTTTTCTTCCCCTCCCCTCCTCTTCCCCAACTCCTCGCCCTCCCGCACACTTCCCCGCCAAAACCAACCCCGTCAAAATCATCACAATAAGCGCCGCCACAACCGGAACAATAACCTCCCTCTCCCTAATATCATCCAGTAGTCTCTGATCTCCATACGGACACGACGCATTAGGTCCACCAGCCGTCCAGCAATTCTTCGTATCGAGCGAATTAAAATCTATCCAGATTTTCGCACTGGTAGCGGAATTGGAATTGGAATCGGAAGCGGGATCGGAATTGAAATTGGAATTGAGAGATGCGGAGAGCAGGTTGATAGTTTGTAGGAGATGGGTGTTTTCGAGTGCGCTCCGCGGGGAGGAGAATGTGTAGGGTGCGGGACAGGCTTGGGAGGCGTAGGAGTAGGAGATGGGGTAGTTGGTTAGGGTCCAGTTGTAGGGTTGGGCGGGGAATCGGCATGCGGCGTAGAGTTTGGTGGAGCAGTCGGTTACGTGCCAGTGGTTTGAGGGGCTGCGGAGGGTGGCGCAGCGGAAGAGGGGGTCGTTGGTTGAGGAGGAGGAAGAAGAAGAGGAGTTGCGAGGTTCGTCCGGGGCCCAGGACCAGATGGTGGAGTAGGCGTAGCTTTTGTAGGGGGCGTTGTTTGTGTTGACTGTGGCGTTGAGGAGGGTTGTGTTGAGCGTTGGGGAAATACCACAATTTGTTAGGGATGATGTTAGGTTGAGGAGAGGAGTGAGGTTGGAATTCGAGTCGCTGGGATAATCGAAGCCAGGTATACTTGCCGCTGTTGCCCAGGATGAGTTTACTTGCGAAACTTGTTCTGTGGTATTGAGAAAAAAACATCCACTTGTTAGATTTCCATCGGGAGTGGTTAATATATCGCTCTCGCGGCGGTTACTCAAATAGCCTGGAGAGAAAATAGTGCCTGAATCTCCAGTAAAATTGTATCCCTTCATTTGAGGATCTACCACCCCAAACTGTAAAAGCATTCGTTTGCCTTGAGAAAATTCGACATAAGATTCTGATGGCCAACCATCTTCCGTCGATACAACTCCAAATTCGTTTGTAGTTGTAGAATAGTAATCTAGAGCAGGTCTGTACCTTTCTGCAACTGAGTACCAAGATGCATTCAGATTTGCTCGGTTAGATCTTAGATCATTTGGTGTATAGATGTATGCTGATAAATTTGCCGAGAAACTTGATCCTAGAGTTTCCAAAAAATCTGGGAAATTGGCTGGTTGGGGAGCAGGTCCGTTAATACTAGCATCTGACTGAATGGCGTGGATGTTGAGGGTCAGAATAAGCATGTGTGCTTCAATCGTATTTTGTGTTTGTTGTATGTAGTCCAAAAGTAGGGTTGTTAGTATATGTAAGTTGATAGTCGGAGTGCAAGTGTAATGGCCAATATTGTACAGTAATCTGTTGGAAGAGATTGGGACTGTAGTTTTTGTCGGTAATGTTGCCTCGAGCGAGCTTGTCATGAAGTTCACTGTAGATAAAGTACGAGAAGAGGAACTCAAGCGGGATGTGCTATCTGTGTTTCTCGTCCTTGATGAAGAGATAATCGTACTCGTAGCTGTATCCTGTCTGGCAACCAAATCTGTAGTTTGTGAAGCAGAAGTCAAACGAGCCGTGGTAGAAGGAAGTGTTGATGTTGGAATTGGTGAAGAAACAATACTCGAGGTCTCGACCGGTAAGGCCAGAGGACAAAAACTCCATAATTGTCTCGTTTCATCCCAATACAAATCCACTTCCAGTCTCCGAAAGCCATCGGCCAATAAATTGGAAATACAAATGGCCGCATCATCATCTTCATATTTGAGAAATGGGAAACATGCAGCCTTCAAAGAAATACCCGGAGTGGTAACATAATTGATGGGAATATTTAATCCCAAATCTCTTTGTGACTGAGAAACACTTTAGTAAGAGTGCCCATTGCGCAAGAAGAGCGTAACATACCAGATAGGCTGTATCATAAGGATCTTTCGGTAAAGCATCAGTATCTGGTTTGTAAGTCTCGCTCATTTTACAAAGTGAGTCTCAATGTCTTGTCTGCTAGTCAATAGTCGTGAAGTTGCCCTATCAATTCTTTGCCATCCGAAGTACCCGAACATTTAAACGTTGTCATAGCTTTACGGGGTAATAGCTTCCAAAATGCAGTATGAGTTTAAAAAGGATATGGAATATGCTCAAAGGATATCAACAAGAAGATAACAAATTGTCCTCTACTTGATTTAAATATTGACGTGAATTTACCATCAAGCTGATGAAAACCTGAAATTATGCACTAAATTCGCTTTCCATTTTGTTATTTTAGCTCTTAGGTACTTAATTAGTAGCCGACTTGGATGAAGGAGGTTCGTATTTTTGAAGCACTAGAAATATGAAATATATAGGATCTTACATAATGCGCTAGCAATAATTTCTTAATTCTTTGTCAAAGCTTTGAACTTATTTTAGCCCTTGTCAGCTCCGTGCACCGTTCTTGCGTTCGTTCTTGCATCCTTTCCTTTCCTGTCAGCGTCCGCCACATGTGTGGCTGTACAACACCCCCACATTAAAGATTTGGACAGATAAGTTTAATAAATTTATCTCTATTCACTCATTTCACTCATTTCACTCATTTCACTCACTTCAAGCACATTTCTCAATAGTCTCCCTTTCTTTCCTTACCTGCTTTGTTTTATTGTGTTTGATCTCACACATAAATATTCAATATGGATTCGCCACCACAACCAGAGCCCCAACAAGCTCAACAAGAGCAGCAGCAAGGTCAACCACAACCACAACCGGGACAAGTACAATTTCAACTCAGATTACCAAATGGCCAACAACCAACCCCAGAACAATTACAGGCAATGCAACAGCAAATTGCTCATGATGCACAGCAAGCTGGAATGTCAATACCCGATTTCATAGCAAAGATCAGAGCCCAACAACAAGCCCAGCAACCATCCCCAGAACAAATGCAGGCAATGCAAAAACAATTGGCTCACGATGCAGAAAAAGCCGGTATGAGTGTACCTGAATTTGTCGCAAAGATTAGAGCGCAGCAACAAGCTCAACAACAAGCCCAACAACAAGCCCAGCAGCCATCTCCAGAACAAATTCAAGCAATGCAAAAACAATTGGCTCAAGATGCAGAAAAGGCCGGTATGACTGTACCTGAATTTGTGGAAAAATTAAAGGCAGATGCAATGGCTCAACAGCAACAACAAAGAGAAGCTGCAATGCAACAGCAGCAGCAACAACAACCTCAACCAATTCAACCAGGTCCTCCCAACCCAGCAGCTATTGCTCTCGCCAACTTTTTGATGAGCCAGGACTTGAAAACGAGAACATGTATCTTGAATGGTCAAAGGAAGGAGATGTTCAAAGGTTAGCATTTCAAATCACCCTTGTTGCTATTATGTTCTAACTTGCAATCATAGTAAAACGTGCCCTTCGAGCAATTCAATCGCCAGCCTATGAACAAGCTCGCAAAAAGAACCCACTCCTTCCAGAAATTATCGATCGCGCCTCGCTTGAAAACTGCTTCAAACTTCTCCCGCTTTCTCTCCTTGCACTGCGTGTTTCGAAAGCCGACCCTCATGAAGGTCATGATCATGCTCCTGGTGCGCATACTATAAAGCGGGTGAAGGGACTCTGGACTGTAAAGATTGAACAACAACAAGAATGTAAGGAGGAGCTTCACTTCGTATGGCTTTACGAAGGTACACAAATCAAACAGAAATTATACGCCGCTGGAGCATTAGCAATTGTATTTGCAGTTGTCATGTTTCCACTTTGGCCCGTTAAGATGAGGTTGGGTGTGTGGTATTTAAGTATGGGTATGCTTGGATTATTAGGATTGTTCTTCGCAATGGCCATTTTCAGATTGATTTTGTTTGGAATTACTATGTTTGCTGTACCTCCCGGATTATGGTTATACCCGAATTTGTTCGAAGATGTGGGATTCTTTGATAGTTTCAGACCTGTCTGGGGGTGGCAAGAGGTTCGTTTTCAATTCCATGAAACAAGTGATTTTGAAGCAGGAAAAGCTAATTCAGCATTAATAGGAGAAGAAGAAGAGCAAGAAGAAGTCTAAATCAAGTGGCTCCGCCAATGCGGGCGCTACGATGGCAGCAATGACAGGTCAACCAGCTCCAGCATCGGCAACTACAACAGGATCAGCAGCACAGATTTCGACTGGAGGAACTACACAACGAAATCTAGCACCAAGAGTCGAGGAGGTCTTTGATGAAGAGTAAACGGTGTAAATGGATTTACTTCGTGGCATGAGATATTTGAAAGTCGGTTTAGGATTGGTTGATGAATCTATGGATGATCGGAAATCACTGGTGTACAATAGTATTTGGGGGATATTTGGAAGGGAATCATAAATTATTTTCTGTTGATCACAAACTCGAGGATTACACCTTCATTTGTCTAGCGCTGGTGAATTTCATCTACTACAAACCCACCTTGAACATAAACAGATGATGACATGACACCCTGTTTTGCATACTCAGATCATCCTATTCTTGGCATCTAGAGCCCAAAGCTATGAAGAAAACAGAGATCTGAAGAGACAAACCTTCAACAGGTTGCCAATGAAATTTTTATCGTCCCTGGAGGAAGAAAGAATCATCGACAAGTAAACAGCGGAGAGGAAGATATTATGGGGGAAAAGTTCGTGGGTTCGCGGGTTCGTGGGCTAGTGAATGGAAGAGGTTAGTTATCAAAACGACGAGTTCTTTCCTATTAGAAGTAGAATATTAAGAGATAGATGTGGAGGTCTAATCTGTAGGCTATTGATAGAGGGTAAGGGTGTTTGGAGGAGATCTGATAGTTGGATGGATGTTTGGGTTTCATGTATCGATGTAGTGTTTATCTAGTATGTAAATAATTTATTTTAGGTTGGATGGTAGATAGTTACCTAGGACGGTTAGGAGGGTTTATACTAGGTGGGTACTTACTTGGGTTGGGAAGTTAATTAGTTGGTGAGTCGGTGAATAAGTGAATGAATGAATGAGTGGACTGACTTGGCTGTCTGTGCACCCACTGCTGTTTTTCTGCAGATATGCAACAAATTTTCTACGTAGTAATCATGTGAAAGGCGTTTTAGTTTTATTAGGCGTTTTTGCAAAAATGGAAATGGGGAAATTGGAAAATTGGATGTTGGGGAGGGGCTTTAATGAGGACCGAACTAGAAGAGATATATCAATAAAGCGTGATCATGATTCAAGGCGCATGTTGTCAACGGGTCCCTTTTTTCCAGGCTTATAACCGCCAACTTTTAGCACGACGGTGTATAGGTTACTGTAACCTTAGTATACAGTTAGTGGGCTTATCACTGCACGGAAACCTTGTCAAGGTGCGTTCTTTTATAATGTAAAGTTAAATACTAATTAAGACCAATCCGTTACTCCGTACATCTTCCATACATACATATATATATATACCCTCCCACCTCCATCCTCACCGACACACCAAACCAAACATGAGACGAACAACCCGCAAAGCTCTCGTGCACGTGACGCTCTTCATCAGCGCCCTCACGCTCATCATCTACCTGAACCGTTCCTCCAGCAATACCACATTTCCCTGGACCCGCATCCGATACAAGTACCAAAAATCCCGACAAGCGGTTCCCCCTCCGCACGGAATATGTCCCGGACTCTCCAGCACCCACAAACCCGCCCTCATCGTATCACGCGTCGAAGCCGACGGCGAAACATCCTGGCTCGACACCCTCAGCCACAAATACCACATCTGCATCTACAACGTCGATTCGCCTACTCTCTTGAAATCCACGCAGAAAATCTTACAGGTGCCTGCTAATCGCGCGCATGAAGCTATGCCCTACTTAACATTCCTCATTGATAACTACGAACACATTCCCGCCGCGGGCGCGGTATTCGTTCACGGGAATCGCTATCAGTGGCATAATGATCATCCCAAATACGACAATAGGGATTTACTATCCGTGCTTAATGTCGAGGATGCGTTGAGGGAAAATGGTTATCATAATTTAAAATGTGATTGGAGTTTGAGTACGTGTAGAAGCGAAGCGGTTCCCCAGGGAAGTCTGGAGACAAGTATGCAAGCATCGCTACAACCGTGGGATAAACGAGCGGTGTCCGATGCTGCGTTTCCTAAAGCGCTAAAGGTTTTGTTTGGGGACGGGAAACAGTTGAGTAGGACTGATGTGGTCAGAAGTCAATGTTGTGCGCAATTTGTCGTTTCCAGAGAGAGTATTTGGAAACATGATAGAGAGGAATATGTAGCGCTGAGACAGTGGTTATTGAATGCTGATGGGGCGCCGAGGGATGATAAGGTGGCGGGAAGAATCTTGAGTTATGTGTGGCATGTGTTGTTTATGGAGCAAGAGGGTGTGGAAAAGGGAACAGTGGATCTGGAGAAACTAAACCGACAGGCGTGTCCGAGTGCTGAAGAGTGCTATTGTAAATTGTACGGGAAGTGTGATTTGGATTGTAGGATGAAGGGAAATTGTCAGGGACAATATCGATTGCCGAAGGATATGAAACTTCCTGATGATTATGGAAAGCAGTTCGAACATTTGGATGGTCATTCTGATGGTCTTTGAGGTTTTGGAGTTGAGGTTCTTTTGCATTTTAAATGGTGTTGGATATTTGACTTGTAGATTATGATAGAAGGATAGATATTAGATGTAAGACTTTAGAATGTTAGATGGGTATATAGGTTAATATCAAAGTACATAGCATATACAAAAATGAAGATAATCCTACACCACACTGAAGAATAACTATAAACTCCTGACACAGCAAAAGAAACACTCTGGATCAACGCAAAGGATACAAAGATTAGCAACCTCGCCATCCACTCACTCACTCACTACGTACCAACCACCTACACAACTAACCAACCAACTACCCAAGCTCAACCTTCCACATACATACAACAAAACCCCTCCAAAAATACTGTAAACTACTATAATTCAAAACATACCAAGTAACTATCAATCAATCAATCACTTCCCAAGTAAGAAGGAATCTCCATAAATTACCGAGTTCGATATCGATACAAAGTAAATCAATGATAAAAACACCCGAACACTCGAACATTCAATATATAAAATGATAATTATTCCCCTCCTGCAATTCAACGGGAACACCAATCAGGTGGAAAGTCTTGTATATGTATGGTTTAACATATGGTACCGGTACAGCTTGAAAATTATATCCTTGATTTTCATCTTTCTGTTCTGAACCATAGGGAGTATGTTTATCCCTTCAATTCCATTTATTCATTGTAAGATCCTAAGGTTATATATATAGGTGCCAGTGCACGTATGCATATATTCTCAACACGATTCTTCAATATGTTAAATTTCAAATCATTCGATAAGGTATCTTCTTCCCCTAGAAAATGCAACTTAAACGTGCCTTTCCTGCCCAGCCCGCCTAGGTATCTTTTCGCTCTCGTTCTCGCTCTCGCTTTGTTATTACAAAAGTGCCAAATTCATACAAGATAGATGGATGCTCTTCAGTATACAGTCATTCATTCATCCCAAACCCTTTGGATGTGCTTCTTCGCCCCTGTTTTTCCATTTTCCAGCCCAATCATCCCAATCAATGATTTACTGCACGCCCCAGTCATCATCACCCGCGACATCATAATCAATGTTCTCCTGCATATCTCTCTCACCACCTGTCCCACTCATATTCATTGAGTGCGAATCTTGAGCCATGGCATCACCTTCCATTCCACCTTCCATCTTGACATCTGATTCCGTTCTACTGCTCCCAGATGAAATTTGAGTATTATGCAATGTAACTGGTGGCAATGGTGTTTGAATCCATGATAAATCAACCTGTCCTACTGATGGGATTTCACCGTTTTGGAGACCGAACATAAATTTCTCAGCTGTGTGGCGATCTTTAAATGTTATGTGACAACCGTTTGGTGTATTAGTAAGTTCAGTGTATTCACCAATTCCCTAGGATACATTAGTACAGAAGAACTATCAAGAAGAATGTGAAAACTAGAAGTCATACCAAAAGATGTTCCCTCAGACTCTCATCTATCTGTGGATTTGTAAAGTCGGCACCACTAACAGCAATTTTCTTCGTCCGATTGTCAAGAGTATAGCGCGCAGGAGCACCTCCAGCAAATGGAGCACCACCACGTCCTCTGTAACCTCCCCGGAAACCACGTGGAGCAAAAGTACCTCTTCCTCTATAGCCACCACGTCCTCGACCACGTCCCCCCCATGTATCATCAGAAAGGGGGTTATCTAGATTTGGCAAGCCTAAGGATTGAGCTTCCGCTTCTAAAGCAGCTAGCTGTTTCTTCAGAGCTTCTGTTTGCTGTGAAGCTTTGGGCGCGGGAGACCCTTCCTCAGTCTTGACGCCGGGAGATGCAGATTTGCCAGTTTTAGCCGCAAGTTTCTCCATCAATCTCCTCTTTTCCTCGGCTTGATTTTTTAGAAGTTCTTCTTGGCGTCTCTCCAACTCCTTACGAGTGGCTTCCATTTCCTGTTTCTTCTTCATTTTTTCCTCATGCGCTTTCTGTACTTCTTGCTGCTTCTTTGTGAACTCTTCAATATCAATCTGGGGTTCATCCGTCTCTCTTGCAGGGACTGGGCCAGAGGTACCATTATTGGTTGTGCCATTTGATGTCGCATTGTCCGGAGGTTTTGGAAGTGCTTCAGGGTTTGTATACCAATAGACCTTCACAAATCTGTTGTCAAAAATGACCTTGGGTGAGCTGTATGCTGTATTTGCCGCGTTCCAGTCATCATATTTGACCAAAGCCAACCTTTTATATGGTCTCATATCCACCTCCTTTATATTGCCGAATTCTGAGAAGAACTCCCGAACAGCTTCTTCTGAGAACTTTTCTTCCGGGATTTGTTCTACGACGATTGTGGTATTATTCGTATTGAAATTTGGTCGGTCTGACGAAAATTCTGCTCGTCTCCCACCTCTGCCAGCATGCATTTGCGATCCACCTCTACCCGTAGACTGCCCTCTGCCCATAGACTGCCCTCTGCCCATAGACTGCCCTCTACCCATAGACTGCCCTCTACCACGTCCCATACCACCACGGTTGCTGTCAAAGCCACCGAATGGTGCGTGTCCTTGGCCATTGTCATTCTGGCTCTGTTTATCAGTCATAAGCGACGCGTTACTTGGGTCGTATTCGTCTGTAGGTTTGCTAGCACCTCCTGGAACATATATCGAATCTTGACCGTGCTCAAACATGCAGGTATTTCCTCTGGCGCAAAATCCTTTCTGTTCATAATCTCGACATCGTTGCTTTTTTTGGTTCATTGGCCCTGATTGCCCTCTATTCTGTGGAGGTCCATTGGGAGGGAATCCTGGCATACCCTGGGGAAGAGGTAAACCCATCGCGCCCATCGCTTGCTGCATAGCAAGAAGAGCTGCCATGGGATTGTTCGGATCAAGTGGAGGTAATCCTGTCGGGGAACCTGGCATGCCCGGCATATTATGCATGAACGGCGCATTAGGAGGCATTGGCATATGTTGCGGACGGCCTTGGAATCCTCCTCTACCATTATTGAAATTATCAAAGTTTCCGCGTCCTGCCCCGCCACCTCGTCGAGGTTGTTTATATGCGCGCGCATTCTGATCTCCACCACCCATATAAATCTGAGAATCTCCATCGCCTCGTCCATCATATGTGCGTTTTCGGGAACCGTTTTGATGGCCCATTGGAGCTCCCATATTTAGATTGTTGAAGGGTGCACCCGATGGTCCAGTAGGTGGCGCGAATGGTTGTGAGGGGCGACGCGGCGGCCCGCCACTTAGATAAGTCTTATATTGAAGGGCATCGAAGACATCGCGTACGAAAATCGATGTATCCTCTTTTAAGAAATCGGGAATTTCAGCCAGGCAAAGTTGTCGAACTGTATTTACATCTCCATCATGTCGCAATAAAGCAAGAACATAATCGGCGAGAACATCGGCATCTGCATCTGACCTACAAGGAAAATTAGAATCATGTCTATACGATGGCGAAAATTGGAGTAAACATACGTATTTTCAAGTCTCTTTATAATCCACTTCTTCAATTCTCCAGCATCTTCTTCTGGAAACAGCATCTTGTATCAGACCTCTTTGTCGCAGTATAATGATTGAAAGTTCAAGTATCCTTTGATACCAGTTTGTTCTCGAGGGAGTGGCTGATATGCAATTATAAATTCATGTTTGTTTGCACAAAACAGTTTATCTTCGGCAACAAAATAAGTTGAGAGTTCTCAAAAAGTTGACCTGGAAGCTCTGTTGTGGTCCGAGCGTGAAAGCTCAAGGGAACTGCCGAGAAAAACTGATATTGGCCCAAACAATAAAACAATACATCTCCTTGAGATTTCATTCATATTTTCCTATATATATAATTATCACAATCTGGAATACAAATTTTTTGGAAAAGGAAACTGTTGATAGTTGGTCAATATCAGGAGGTGGAAGGAATGGATCCTTTCGATTAGTTTCATCATATACTATAGCGAAGGAGAGGACATGAAGTAGCATTGTACAAATCCATCCAATTCTGTGTTTATATCTCTATCTACTCACTACATCTTATAGCTTTTGTTATCATTATTCATTTCCATCATGTCTTCTTTCATCAAACATTCTTCTACTCGTCCCAGAAGGTGCCCAAGATTCAAGGGCTTCTTCGGATAAAGCCTCGTGTAGTTCTCCTACCTTAATCATAGGTACCTTCCTCGGGTTTGATTTGTCTGGGTTTTGTCCATCAACCATAGTATCTATACTGATACTCTGATCCTCGTTCTTTGGAACAGCTGATCTCTTCAAATCATCCTTTGGAGCATCATTTGATCTTCGTCTAATCCACCCCAAAAACTTTTGTTTGTAGTTTTCACTACCAGTGTCATCTTCCCCTGTATCTATATTTGCTGGCTTGACTCTCTTGTCTTGACCCTCAGAATCTATATTTATTATAGCATTTCTCCTTCGCCAATACCAGATTCCTGCGCAGGAAATTGTTACTACAGTTACAGCCGTGATCACAAAAGCTATTGCTCTCAGAATTTGTCTTTTTCTCTCCTCTGTGATACTGTGGTGGGACTTAGGATCGGGAGCCGTGGGTACTGGAGTCAGAATACTGTTGGGATCAGCATTATTACTGACGGTACTCGCTGGACTTGGGGGTGCTGGCCCAGTTGTCCAATTGGAGGGTTTAGGTCCAAGAACAAAATCCATCGTTCCACCATCCGCGAAGACATCGTTCCAGGTAAGCCAAGATTGATTCCATGACATCCTGTTGACTTCGAGGGATTGGACGTAGAAGGAAGATTCAGACCCGCCGACGGTGGTCATGACAAGCGACTTCCCATCACCAAGTGAAATAGTTGTATTGGCAAACCATGGACTGCCAATCAAGAAAGCGGTTTGTCCGACCATAGGGTATAGACCAAGCATATTCCAAATCAGCCATGATTCCATTGCACCAGCATCACTATTTCCTGGTAACCCACCCGGACTAGAGGAGTAATATGATTTTGCAATGTATCGAGATTGCATGACACTCAAATCCTGTCTTCCTACGTAGTTGTACAGATATGGTGTAGTGAATGATGGCTCATTACCTGGGTTGAAAATCGTATTATTAAAGCCCGACGAGCGCCCAGAGGTGTTGATTCCAGGTTTGAACATGGTGTTAAGACGGTTCACGAAAGTTGATGGTCCGCCTGACAATGCAATCAGTGTGTTCATATCATGATGCATATTGAAGGAATATTCCCAAGGTAATGCCTCGTAGTACGCATCCCTCCAATAACATCCACCACAAGAAAGTGGATTCTGTTTGATGAACCCTGCAGTACTTCTAGGAACGAGAAATCCATTGAACCCAAGAGAAGTAGCGCCCGGATTCCAATGGTTTACCCAATTTCGAGACCTTTGCAAGTATTTTGTTGTATCGTCTTTCATACCTAGCCCAGTTGCTACTTGATACAGAGAAAAGTCGTTGAAGGAATATTCAACGGCTCGAGAAACTGCTCGACCATATTTTGGTGTAATATATCCATACTGTAACCAATCAGGAAGAGCTCCACGCCCTTCTTTCGTTGAAGAGGAATTGTCTCGAGGATCATTATTATTGACTGGAACGATTTCAGCATTTTTTACCATAGCTTGGTATCCAGTTGTCCAGTTCACTGCACCCCTCACCCCTTTTACATATGCATCAGCTAGTACGTTATCAGAATTTGAACCCCCTTGGGTTGCACCATTAAAATTTGAGGATCTGGCATCTGGCATATAACCTTCAAATCGGAATATATCAATCAGAGATCGAATATACTCCTCATATGCTACCGGCTGAAGTATATGAAGTAACGAGAAAGTACAACGAAATAGATCCCAAGTCGTAAAGGTATCATCATAGTATGGCTCTGAAGAAATCCATAATGGATTTTCCCCAGTACGGTTAGATGGTAGTAAGTGCATGAAATATAGAGAGCTATATAACAATCGTAGGTTTGTTTTGTTGGTCTCGGTAGTCGTGACTTTGGACAAGACTTGGGTGTTCCAGACATCTTTTGCGTTGTTGGTCAAGGTTGAGAGCGTTGTACCAGAAGGTATTTGAGAATTGACATTTTCGCAAGCCTGGGCTGAAGATATGAAGGATATTCCGACCCTGGAGACTACCGTTGTACTGTTGAAACTAAATATTGCCCCTAGTCGAGTGTTGGAGGATACAGTTTTCTCTGTGCTGTAACTAGCGACTTTGCTTCCGTTAAGACTCGTCCCGATGAATGTCTTGACCGTCGATGGGCTTTCGAAATAACCACAAAAGTATATTCTCCAGTCAGGCGCCATGTTCCAGCCATTGTTATAATTCCCAAATCCCTCATAGTGACCATCCCCTAACAAAGTAATATTCCCACCAACATAATTCTGGGAAAGACCTTGTTTTCGATATGATGGTAATACGTGGGACACATCGACTACTACATTTGGGATTCCTTTACCCTCCGGAAATGTATACTGATAGAAGCCCGCACGACTTGTTGCCCCAAGTTCAACAGTAATGTTGCTTCCCAGCGAGGCTTTGTAATAGCCTACCGATGTGACATCGGCGGAAGCTCGAGTGTCATTCAAGTTGGCCAAAGGGTTAGTTATATTCCCAAGGACGGGCATTTGTGAGATGACGCCATATTTTGGAGCCCCTCCAGTTCCACTTTCATGCATCATGGAGAACCCAGTAAAGTTACCACGCAATTCAGTTCCAGAATAACTATCACTTCCCGTATACATGTCAGGCCCAAGTTTGACCATACCAAAAGGCAAAGAAACCCCAGCGAAGATGTTGCCGCCATTTGCTTCTCCATTCTAGAAAACGTATTAGGCAGACTATCGTATCTTGATAGCGTAGAAACTTACTGTTGTAAGAACATATTGTGAGAAATCCACAGTTGACCGAGCTGCAACTCCCATTATGAGCCCAATCAGGGTGGTATAATTGTACATTAGAAAGGTGTTAAAAATAAAATGCTTGGCAGAATTTGGCTACAATTCCATGATGATAAAGTCTTGAATTTTTCGATCGAGAATCATAAGAATCAGATATGATTAAGCATATGAGCTATTATAAGTCGAGTAATGAACACCTTGTGCTTTTCATGATGGCTAAAAAAGTAATGAAGATCATTTGCATAGGAGCAAGTGTTTACACGAATGACCATGAAAAGTTATAATAGAGCTGTGATTCACAAAGAACATGAAGCCAACGCAAACAATATTGAAAAGTAACAGAATAATGGAGTTGAAGACAATCTAACGTTGACAATAGTCAAGTATTAACAAAAGGAAAGAATGATCGAGGGCTAGAGCAGGTCAAGAACGAATAAGCCACTTGTGACTTCCTATTAGAATGATCACAATCCCCATGTTGTTGGATTCCACGATACCAGTTGATTGGGTTTCAGGTATTTGAACAATCCATTTAGATTGCTGCGCTGGTCCTGTGTACCCGCGGCATATTGAGAAGTCATGATCAGCGGAAGGAGGCTTTGCAGGCTTCCCGGACCAATGGCACGAAATAAACATCAACGTTTCCTTAAACATGGCCCCCAAAGTCACCGAGTAAATGCTGCTGGTAAGAATATAGTTAACCTAAACAAAGCCTCTTCCATTTATCATGAGAGACTTTGTTTGGGTTTGCTTATATAAAAAGGGGACCATTTCCAAATTAAGCTTCTCTTACAGTACCGTCGTAAATAGCCTTATACCACCAGCCCCTAAGCCCTAGCCACAACGGAACTAATCAGGGACCAATAGGATTCCTTCTTCTATAATCGTGTTTTTTACTTAGTTTGACTTGCCCATCGACAATAAAGGGTATCTAATAAGTGATGGTTAATTATACACATAGTAGTTGCTTTCTCAAAGCTCCTTCGTCAACGTTGATCAGGTATTGAATTGTGCCTCCACAACTCACATACCCCTCAAAACATATACTCCGTACACCACTTTGCCATTCATAACAAATGCTGGTGCGCGTGGCTTATACGAGAAATATTCTGTAGAATCAGCCCACTTGTAGTCAGAAATTTGCTCCATTACTGCGTCAGCCCCAGGATCATTCTCAACATGAGCTACTTGTTCGGAAAATATCCAAGAGCCACTAGACAATGCAAAAAGGTGACTACAATCACTGCGAAACGACGTGGGAAGCCTCTCGAATCTATTTCAAGAAGTGAAAGTCTCTTGATTGCAAATGTAGGTAGATTCTAAAGCCCGTCGAATAAATTCTTCCAAAGAGACAAAATTTCGAATATTCAGATCCGAGCTGATGTGGTCGAATTTCTGGGGAACCCCCTCTCTCCCCGTGTCCGATCCTGAGTATAGGTCAGGCATTACTGCAGTGTGTTCTAGACAATCAGAATCTATGGCGTTCCAGAAGGTTTCCAAACACAGTCGCTTCGATTCTTGGGCATCTTACTTTTACAGTATGCCGAGCACACTCAAATGACACGAGGAGCTTCATGATAGAAATGCCTGTTATTATGCCATGTACTTCTAAGCTCGGCGACCCGATATCCAAACTTGTTTGCCCCGCTCCATTTAGAAATCACGATTGTTTTCGATTGAGATTGTCGGATGCATTAGAATAGCTCTTGGTCAACATGTGAAGAATGAAGAATTTGGAAATCATGTAAAACAATGAATGGTTCGTTCCTCATGGCTTACCTCGCCTATCCCGCACATCCCCTCGTACACATTCACCACAGCTGAGGGAATTCCATTCACTCGGCTATTTCTTCTCATGCTTTCTGAGGAGTTCCCTTGCTGCGCCTCCTCGAAGTTAGTAAAGATAGCGAGAGATCCAATGGCAACTTTCTGTGTCAGTTTGAGTAGGATCAATACACGATTAGGTGTATTTCATGATACGCGATACGCAACCATCCCGTGTAGTACTCAGAAACACTATCATATATGCCATACTACCCAAGTACTCATATTTAAAATCCTTCTCATTCCTTCAAATCTTATATTTCCTGTTAGATGATAGTGATGCATGCTATGAAGTGTTGGTGTTACATCATTGTAGTACTGTCTTTCCGTACCTGATGATCAACACCATATTTCGACGAACTTTGCGTCAGTCGTCAAAATCCAACGTCTAATTTCAAATTGTAGAAGCTAAAAATATATATATCACATCTCATGGAAATCTCATCACATCTAATTCCTGTGCCGGATCATCCTTGGCCGGATCTTCGGTATTCTAGATATCCACTTTTTCCTTTCAAACGCGTTCGTTCCACGGTACGGACATTCATGAGCGAACGACACAATCTTTCCATTTTAAACTTGGAAACATACATATAATTAGCAGATTTCTTTTTAATATAGCTTCAATTATTTCTTACATTGCATCAGCACAACTTACAATTTCAGATTTTGTCCTCTACGGTACGGTACGTATTACTTGGATTATATACACAGCCATCCATTTCTTGATCCTTCCATTCCTTTGGCTACCTGGCTAGAATTATACAAAAATAAGAGAAAATAACGAGACCATTCCTATCAGGGCAATCCTTTCAATAAAGTTACCCGCCCACTTGGCCAATTTAGCGGTCCATCCCCCTCCCGCCTCCTACCTTCATCTCATCACAACCTATCACCATGCACCAACAAAAATAAATGTGAGTAATTGCAAGCAACTGCAAGCAAGTGTAAAGCCAAGTGCGAGCATGAACCTGCAAGCCATGGGGTAAGCATGGGTCATCTACAACCCATCATGAGTCCTACAATGCAATATTTACCCGCTGCGAAGAATCTCAATTGAGAATAACCTGATACCTTATGCTATCAATTCTCATGGGCTTTTTTGGGCGTCTCGATCTCTTACAATCTTGTACGACGTCCCCATTTATGTCAAGATAGCCAATCATTACGATTGAGTTATCACATCTTCCAGACCTCGCCTTTATCTTCGCAATGATGCTCTTCTAGCTTCTCTGTTAGTTGGCTGAAATTTTCAAAATATTTCTTACCCTCGTTTTCTTTTGTCTTTTGTCTTCAATCTTCCTATTCGATTGGAAATTGTGTTCGGTATGAAGTCGTGGTCATGCAATCCTTGAGCAGGTTTCTCAATGATGCGCAAATGGCTTGGTTAATCTCTTCTATCAATTGTTGTGCGGCGGGGGAAGATGTGGGGAGTTGTGGTAAGCAGATAAATAAGAAGTCTGCAGTTATGAATAGCTCTAACAAAACATCAAGAACCAGAAAAATCAATGCGCATAGTAAATGGACAACCTCAGTTAATATCCCCACCATTATCACAACCATTAGAAAAACCACAGACATCATCTGCTTTGGAGAGACCACAAACTAGAGGGAAAGAATGGTCTACTAGTCGATCAAGGACATCAAGTCGTGGAAGTTTTAGCTTGAGAAGAAACTTATCATCTCGTGCTTCAAATCGAATGGTGATTAGTGCTCCATATAACTTCCAACATCATACGGAAACGAGTTATGTGAGGGAACCCGAACGAGTCGTTATTAGGAATGAGCCAAAATTGCGACCATTGGAGCTGAGCATATATTCACCAGGAAACCGATTATCACCCTTACCAGAGTTTGGACCTCATACAAATGATGAGAAAAATGATCGTACTTTACTTCATATGAGGAGCGAGTCGGCATTGGAATTTCGGGTGCCTAGGAAACCAGTTCTGTCCACGGTTGTTGAAAGGAGGTCAATGAACGCCGAGGAGTTGTTGGATGCGTTAGCGAATGATTTACCTCAGGAGCGCCCTACACGATTAAGAGCAAATACGGAACCACTTGCGTATGAAAGAGTCAAATCTGCGTTATTGGAAAATATAGAATTGGATAAACGACTAAAAGAACTTGATGAAGCTATCGAAAGAAGAAGTATTTATCTAGCCAGTCGACCAACAAGTCGTGCAAGCCGAGCTGAAAGTCGGCAAGAACGACGTGAGAGTATATACTCAGAATTCACGGGTAAGCTTTTAGTTAATTGCCATATCTTAAATACAACACGTCTAACGGAACCAAAGAACCCATGCCCGCCATCAGGGATCTTCCACTCCACAACACCAATCGTCGCCCCCAAACAGCTCCCTCACGACCCCGCCGTCTAAAATCCATAGATTCTTCTCTCCGCGCCCCGAAACTCCTTAAAGAACGCCCATTACCTCCTCCTCTTCCCCTAGTTCTCCAAACCCCTCAAGTTGCCGCTCGAAGCAAATCTCTTTCGCGCGTCTCCTCCTGGTTATTCTCATCCGAACAACATCACTCTCGCCACATGTCTCTCGATTCAGTTACCAACACCCCCAAACCCGTAACATCTAGACAGGGTTTCTATCAATGTATCGAAGTAAAAGAAGTCGAGAACCCGCTTAGTGCGAGCAGTGTGAGTAGTATGACAAGTGAGAATGATAACGAAGATTATGAAGCGACGAGTTGGAGCGAAAGTCCAAGTCTTGGACATGGTGATAGGGATGTTAATGATTTGGGTTATGGAGCGAGAATTAGTGTGGATAGTAAGAGGTTACAAGTTGCGCCACCTAGTAGAGATGGAGCGAGGACATTTGGAGGAAGTGAAAAGAGTGAGGAGGCGAGGTGGAGTATGGCTTATGGATATGGAAGGGATAGTGTTGGAGTTGCTTTCTAATATCTTGGTTGTACTGTATAAATATACGGATGGCAATAAATGAGGTTTGGATCTGGCGGTATGGTTGATCGTTGGTATGGTAGGTCTGTTTGGTTTGGTTTGTTTGGTTTGGTTTGTTTGGTCTGGTTGATTTGTTTGGTCTGGTTGATCTGGATGGTTTTCAAGGTTCTTTAAAAGGGGGGAAAGGGTCAGGATACTTCTTTATGATACCACCTATTGTACTTGCGGCGTTGCGATTTTACATATACCTATTTAAGATATTAGTAATGAGGAAGTGTATGGATAATATAGATCTGTTCTAGTTGAGGATATCGATGAACTCAAATATAATACAAACGAGATGTATCGCTTCGATGTTAAAGTATGAATCCAATACCTTTGAAGCTTTCTTACAACCCTCTACTTACTTACGTACATTAACTTAAGGATTCATCGTTCTTGAGAACATTAACAATAAATATATCAAGAATCAGTATAAATATTAATCTTAATATTTTGATTCACAAGTAGGGAGTTCCTTTTCTATACCTCCTCCGCAAAATCAGATTAATTAGTGGACCCCAAAGATCAAAATTATACTGAACATTTAAGAACACATACAGCACGACAAATCAAACAAGTACATTTAACTGTTATTCCACAAAAAATATTGTGTTATACTTACTTACATTCATTTCAATCACACATTAATGATCATCCCCATAATAGCGCACCAAAGGATCCCTTCGCTTCCCGTAATATTCCCGTAAGCACAAAGAACCAACCAACCAAGAACCAAGTGGAGAAGAATATTTCCACTCAGCATCATCCAACAACAAAATCAATAAATCCCTCGAAGATATCAACAAGAAAAGTCAAAAAGATATCAGTGATGAGAGTGGGATTTGAACCCACGCCTGTTTCCAGACCAGGAGATTTTCAGCTAAGCCTTAACCTGGCGCCTTAGACCAACTCGGCCATCTCACCTTTGTGGTATTTGATGGCTGGGGTTGATGTATGTTATAATATGAAGAGGGGTTGGACGATGGTGGGGTCTAGAACTACTACGACTATTTGAGTGCTATTTGAGACTATTTTGTTAGGGATGGGTAGATTATCCCTCGGAATGCGATATACATGAATTTAGGAATGAGATAATGAAGGGTTTATTTTTGGGAGAATTCATGGGAGGGTGTTTGAGGAAGACATTTATAACGGGGTGTTTGTTTTATATTTTTATTTATCCATGACAGATAGATTATTTACACATAGTGCTGTATCATCTCAGATGATAAATAACTTCCGACTAACTCGAGTTTGTAGAAAATCGAGCTACGGGAAAGAATCTTCTCTCGCGCGTTTTTGAAAAAATAGGTGGGTGAATGAGCTATTTCGATAATTTTCAAAACGCCAAACTTCACATCTACTACAAACAAACGATTTTCTTTCTCAATACAGAAAATATCAAGTGACGTCGAGTGATATCAGTATATCACTTATTATCTCAAATATCTGGCTATCATCATTAATTATATCTCCTCAACTTTAATATCTTTATAAAGGATACTCAATCCACAATCCTTACAATAACTCGCAACAACTCCCCTTCCCTTTCCTTTCCTTTCCCGCTTAATAAAATTTTCACCTCAATAAATATGCAAGTAAATACCTCACCTTATACCATCGAAACGCCAGATCTCAAAATAGAATGATATGACATATCAAAACTATACCTCTAGATTTTCAATCCATGATCTCGGAGGATGATTGCGGGTGTGCGTACGGTGTATTAAGCACTGGCGAGATATTGAAGCGGAGGGGAGAGATTGATGGAAAGGAACACGGGTGGAATATATCTGAAAACAATATAGACTTCTCTCTAGAAATATATAGAACGAGAAATTGCGACGTCTTCTTGAAAAATCAGAGTATTGGGATGTTCATTGTAAGATTATGATCGAATAAGACTAATTAGATGAGTTTTACCTTCAAAGGTAAGATTTTATGATAAAAGGGAGATATGCTAGAGATATATATATATATATATATGACATCTTTTATAAATAGGAGGGAAATTCAATTGTGGAAGTATGTATGCTGGAGTGAGATGTTAGAATTAGTATCTTATGATATGAGGAGTATCTACATATATAATAGCTTGTTGCCATTGTGACTAACCATTACTAGGTGTACAATTCTCACAACTTTCAAAAGTCTCATAAAATAATATAACTAATCAACATCTCAATCTCAATCCCAATCCCAATATCCAGAGTAAGATATCCAATTCATAAGCCGAACTCCAAACCAACCAACTTCGCAATGACAAACCTAATCAACAATTGAACTTAACTTGAACTTAAACAAATCAATAATCATAAACTACACAACCAAACCCCAACTCCCAACTATCATAACCTTCTATATCTATAAACTTTAACAATAAAACTATTATTATCCTAAGCGATCTACTCAATCCATTCCCCCTTCTTTCCCATCCCCCTCCTCTATTATAATAAATCTGGATACAATTATTTTAAAATCAACCAAGAAAGACCAGACCATCAAACATCTAGAATCACAATACAGACACCAAACCCCTAAACTTTAAACTATAAGATTTATATATTTCAAATTTATTATCAAAGAAAAGTAAACAAACAAATAAATAAATCATTAATCCATCTACTTATCTATCCATCCATCCATCCATCCATCCATCTATCCACAACTCCTCAACCTTTACACCCGGCTTCCCTTTTCCTTTCCATACCGATGCATTGCATACGTACTAAATACAGTACAATGTAGCACAACCTTCGCCGGACCCCGACCCCACCCTTCCTTCTCCATAAAATCTTCTAATAAGTATATTCTAAAAGTGAAGAAAAGAAGGCCACCAAAAAGAATCCCGCTCGAGCCAAAAAGAAACCAGAGGAGATGCATTGATTTCCCGTGAAGCCTGCCTGCTGCCCAACGCCTTTTTATCAAAGAAATATAGATGATGATCAAGGAGCAAGGAAACTTGAAATGGGAATCTAGTGTCTGATCAATAGATCAAATAAATGCATGCCAGTGGCATCATCCCAGACTCCACCCGCTAGGAAGCAATGCACCCACCGTTTACCGATGTACCGTTTACTCCCCTCGCACATAAAATTTTAAACATCCGGCGACGCCCCCGAGGGTAATAACACCATAAACTCATAAACATCCTGAAAATACCATCATTCTACAGCAACTCACTTCCTAAACAAATCCTTTAACTCTTCCAACTTTCTAATCGATGCCTCCTTCTTATCCAACCTCCCTTTTTGAGAATCCATACTCAAGCTCGCCAACTTTTGTTTCTTATCTTGAATTTTCAACATTTTTTCCTCGAAACTGTTATTCATAATGAACCGCACTGTTTGCACTTCTCTCCTTTGACCCAATCTATGTACTCGATCAATAGCTTGTGCTTCCGCTGCTGGGTTGAATTGAGGTTCCATGACATAGACCTTATTCGCTGTGGTGAGATTGAGACCGAGACCACCAGCAGAGATGGATACTAAGATAACAATGATCGAGGGATCCTCACGAAAATTCTCCATTGCATTTGAGCGAGCGATACGGGTCATTTTACCATCGAGACGAGTGTAAGGAATATTGTTCTCTTGTAAAGCGAATTGAATCAGATCAAGGTGACTTGTCCAACCAGAAAAGACAACACTTTTAATTGGCGGTTGATTTGGATTCAACTCGGATTCCTTTTTGGATTCCAGAAGATCGTGAATCAAAGCTATTGTTTTAGTATGAGGTCCACCATAACTTGATAAATCCTTGCCTGCTTTTGCTGATTCTTTAGACTTCAATCGTGATTCCTCTTCTCTGTCTACTTCTTCTTGCTTGAGAGAAAATACAGATGGAGAGATTTGTTGATGACATGTAGGACAAGCAACAAAAGCACCACCGAAAGCCATTTCTTCCAATTGAGATCTGTAGGCACCAATGCATAAACCACAAATAATGTGGAAACAAGGTGTCATGTAACCAATGACCTCATCTTTAGATTCACCATCAGAATCAACAACATCTTGAGGACCAATCTTTCGACTACAGGTCAAGCAACTATCGGCACCCGTTTCCTTCATTAATTTATACATATCATACGCTTGCTTGGGTGCCATTCCATCATGATCTTCATATTCTTCACTATCGAGATCGATAGCAGAATCCTTGCTCAGACCATTCATTATCTTTAGGTCCTCAGAACTCAATAAATCCTTGCCATGAGCACAGACTTGACGAAGACGCAAGATTGATTGAAGGATGTGGTGGAATGTTTTTCCACCCAAAGCACTCTCTCCCTGACTAGTGATCACTTTAAGCCTATCCGTTGCATTCTTTTCAAAAATATCATAGACCATACGCTCTTCATCACTGAAGTTGAGCCTGACAATATGATCATGACGCTTCGGGAGATCAATTTTATCTTTGAGTCGACGGAGAGTAATGCTGTCAACCAGCAATCGAAGTTTGGGAATGATTTCAGGATCGCAGATTTTGAAAGGAGATAGAATATGTTGAGCGAACCCACTCCCATCAAAAGGCTTGACGCGAAGGAAATTCATCAAAGCACCCAAGTCCTCCAGTCGATTCTGGACTGGTGTACCGGTGCATGCCCATCGACGTTGTGCGGAAAGCCTACAAATGGCCTTGAACTGTAGGGTCGATTGTTCTCGAATCATATGAGCTTCATCAAGTACAATTCGGAACCAATTCATCTCCTCAAGAGGGTATTTACCATCTTTCTTCTTGTTCCTGTTGTTGAACTCACTGGCCACGGAACCATAGGTAGTGATAACCACATCATACTCTGATAATTTCTTGACATCCTTGATGCGATTAGCGCCATGATAGATGTAGTATTTTAAGGCACCAGGTTTGACATGTGCTTTAATCTGATCTTCCCAATTTGATATAACACTTAATGGAGCAACTAGAAGAGTAGTTTTGCAATTCAAAGCGAGGGTTGCGGGTTCGACCTTGGGTTGGGAGGCAGCTTTACCTGATTTGGCGATAGGCTGCTCTCTTCGATCGGAATTTGTTGGTCTTTGCTTCGCCCATTCTTTTGAATCATCAAGAGTCGTGACTACCAGGGAAAGAATACTGAGAGTCTTCCCCAGTCCCATCATATCGGCAAGAATACCACCAAGAACTTGGGGTGGACTTTTGCGTTCCTGATCACCAGTGATGACATTGTAGTATATCTTCTGACCATTATTTCCGTGGCTAAGCTTCCACAAATCACATTTGTCCTTCGTCTCATAATTCCGTTCCTTTTCTCTATTTGTCATGAAGTAAAGACCTTGTTTCTGATGCTTGAGTAATTCTGTAGTAATTAAAGGGCTTGGTTCTAACTCTGGCAAACTCTCAGACCTCGGCAATGAGTCAAAGACTCCCAAAACGTCATTTCGAATTTCCTCCGTTGTTCGAACAGGGGCTTGAGAACGAGATGCGTAAGACGGATATGCATGAGAAGTGGGCTGTACATTTCTAGAAGGTTTTTCTAAAGCATGAGGATTGTGCAATGGGATACCAGCTTCGACAGAAAGTGGAGTTCTTAACCATAGTTGCTTGTGAGAGAGAAATTTACCAATCTGAAGAGCGTGCTTTTTCGGGCCGTAAATGTTTAAATCCAGATTATAACGAACAGAGCACGGAGAACCAGCTGGTTGGTCGTCGAGCATTCTTTTCCTCGTCAGAATACGTGCCGCGGTTCTGACGCCCATTTTTGGGGAGTCAAGGAGAGGTGTGAGTCCAATCGCAGTGTTCACATCAACACAGCCAATGATTTCGCGAGTACAATCGAGAGCGTGTATATTATTCGTTTTATCGCCATCCTTCCTTCTCAAGACAATTTTTATCTGCGGCCAATTTTCAGCAATAAGTGATTGGGACCCGGGTCTTGGTGTTGGTACGCGATGAGCGTTGAGTTGAGACCCTTCGATACGTCCATAGCAAACTTCCCTATCTTGCTCATTCCCCACAACCACAACTTCATCATCATCCACCATAGACAAGTCAAGCACTTGTTTGGCACAACTTTCTCCCTGACTCTCTATTCTCTTGTCTTTAACATATTGTCCGTATGCACCTCCGCTAGAACTTCCTTTAAACTGTGCTCCGCTTCCTTCCCGCGTCAAGCCTTCTATCTTTCGGCGCTTTGGAGGTACCATGTCGCGATCTGTGATGTTATGCATGCGATCCACAAAGCTTCCCATGCTCGGCGTCTGCCCATTCGGCGTTGCATATGATGCAAAGCCATTATGGCCATTCGGGTTTGGGTTCCCGTTGAAATTCTGGTTCGAGGGAGGTGCCGGCGTATATGAACCACCTGGGGTATTGAACTGGAATACAGGTTGAGGAGAAGGTGCCGGCCGTGCAATTTTTGTTTGTGGATGTGGTGATAAGTTGGGCGAAACTTGCGGAATTTGGTTAATGCTTCGAGGGTTCAACAGTTGCGCGGGATTCCAATTTGGAGCATTAGTGGTATGTCCGTTCCAAACTGGTGAGCCGGAATTATTCCCATTCTGATTTGAGCTCGGTTTCGATGGGGGTTGGCCTTGTGCGACAGAGTATTTGTAAGTAACATGTTTATCCAAATCGGCAGGGTATTCTGGGTGTAAGTCTGAACTTCCAGATAATTTCCCTTGGTGTGAAGGTAGGACCTCTCCGTTTGCGAAGATTGGGAATTTACCGGAAAAGTTGTTGTTCGTTGATGCCATATTTTCTCCTTTATGGCCGACAACCTTGAATGTTCTCACGTCACGGTCGCATGCATAAGTTGTGTGTCGTATGTACTGTTTGTGTTGTAGTTGCGATGGTAGTAATGGTTGAGCCGATAACTCACTAGGTGGAGGGGCAATAGTTAAGGTTACCAGGGAGGATTGCATTTGCAAAAAAGTAAGTTAAGTGCAAGTAAGAAGAAGTAGAAGAAACGTGAATCATCGGAAATCAAATGGAGATAATCATTTCAGTTGAGTTACATTCATCAGGTAGAAGAAATTATTATAAGTAAATTTTTGAAGATATTTATAGAATTTCTTATGTGTGTGAATCAGTGGGCTGATGGGGATGAGAGATGTTTATAATTGTGAGATCTTATGTGAAAGGACCACTGGTGGACCTTGGGGATAGTGAATGATAGATAGAATAGATGCGATAGAAAATTTCCGTGGTCTAGGTAACGAATGGTACAACAGCATAAGATTTACCTATTATGTATTATGTATTATGTATTATGTATTATCTAGGTATTTATATATATATTATCTAGGTATTTATATATTATCTAGGTATTTTTCATATAAGAATTAATGATCCATCCTTTGCCTCATTCTTGTTTATATCGAATATCAACCAATGATTCATCATTCACCATCCACCCTTTCACAGAAGACGTATTAGTAATCTTAGCTACCGACTCGTAGATAGTAATACTTACTTTTAGGAGTTAAGGAGTTAGTTTTCAAAGCCCTATTAGGTAGCTATAGGTAGGTACCTAGTTAATAATGACCCAATTCGGAGAAAATCGCAAGCACAAGGAAATATTCATAACACTTACTTACACACTTACACACTTACACAATCTCCATTCCGTATACAACCGAGGGGAAGAAATACGAAATACGAAAGAAATGCGAGATGTTCGCCATACTGTAAGATCCATCCAATCGGGACTTTTTGGGGCTTCAGCCAGTCCAATCAGCTAACAGGCTTATCAAATAAAAGGAGGACTGATATCAATTAATCAGATCTGGTGAGACTTCTTGTACCATGCCTGGTACATAATTATGATCATTTCGAGAAGGAAATCTGCTACAAGTTTGGGATATATTCATTGTAAAGTAAAGGCATGAAAGCTACGAAGCTAATTTCTGTAAAAAAAAAATTCGTTAACCCCTTTGTCCCACCCAATATGATTGATTACCGTCCCAGAACATTCTATATCTTGAGACTATGTTGACGCCCCATTTGCAAAATCATGCGCCGCCTCCGAGTCATATTATACAATACGTACTCATTTATACCCCCTCCCAATAATTTCATTTTCCCGTTAACACCAGGTAAAGACCGGGTTCTTGCTCTTAACTGTTTCAAGTCTTTCTACTATGACTTTTCTTTGATGCCCTTCCATCCCCTCCGCTGCTGCATATCCCAAGTCGCCTTCATGATCGTCACCATCGTACAATGTCTGAACCGCCCCACGACTCCTCGATCCGAATGAGAACCTTCTCGCTTCATGACGATTGCGGTTTGGTGACCTTGCAGGCCCGTCATAACTCATACGATTCCTAGAGTGTTGAAGATGTGGTCGATCCGAGAACCTCACCCCATCCTTAGAAGTATTATCTCTAGAGAATCCCGAGTTTGCAAATGTCGTTGCTGGTTGTGAGGAGTCAAGTTCTGGGGAAGCATCTTCACTATATCGCGGACTGGCTAATTCGAATCTATTCGGATTTGGTAATTCCACTGATGGACTCGCAAGTCCAAGAAGATCTGTTTGTGGTGCTGTTGCATTGGCGGCACTAATATCCATCTCTTCTTCATCAAGGCTGTTACGTATATCGTTACGCCGGCGCATCTCAGCAGAAGGCACTCTCATAGGGACTGCAACAGGTACATCAACAAGATCATCCCAAACACAAACCCTTGCCCTCCGAGTCAATTCCAAAGGACCATGGTCTACCGTCTTAAGAGTTTCGACAACATTCCAGGCTTGTCCTTTCATGACAGCGATTTGCCTAGCGAACATGCGCTCCTGGAAATCTGCATCTTGACTAAAGACCTTCCTTAGCTCTAGCTGAGTCTCACTCCACCATTGCTTTGAAGTCAGCAGGGGAAGGAAATGCTCCCGGGTCTTTTGAGAGAATGGTTGTCCGATCAGGGATACAGGTAAGAATAGCCATCCGAAAGGAAAACTTCGCCAAGCATCAGGATGCTTCCAAGGCCATGATAAACTGTTATCAATCGCGCCAATGGATATGGTTGGTGCTGTCATTCTAGACGGTGTGGCCGATCTACTTGTAGCTTCCATAGGCTCTTGGCTACGGTAAGGGTATGCCAGTAGATGTGACATACTGATGTTATCAGAGGTAGAGACCAGGCGTGGTGACTGTTCGGAGTCTGGATTGTTCCTCATCTGTGGAGGGTCCGAAACTATGGAAACGCCCTGATTCTCCCAATCAATTTTAATCATCCAATTGTCAAGACCTCTGTCCGTATTTCGCATTATGTAATCCAGTATAACCAATTTCTCCAACTCCTCTCGAAATGACTGTTGTAATGCATATGTCCAAACAAACTGTCGATTTTGGGTATCATCTCCAGCTCCTATAGGGCTGCTAGCTCCCGCTCCTTCATTCCCCTCATCCGACTTCGAAGAACCTGGGCGGCAAGTCTCTTTCCACCCTCTTTTATTCCTGTGAGGATCATTGAATTTGAATGTTCCGTTCGCGTGATCTGGCCAAGGATGTTCACGAAGGAAGATATTCGCATCCTTAAAACCCTTAAGAAAGACTTGGAAACTGCCAACTTTTGGGGGTAGAGGTTTTTTACTTCTGTAAAACTTCCTGCGATCCCAAAAGTCATAATGGAAAGACTTCGAAGACAAGTGGACTATGTCGGTGTAAGGTACAAGGTGGGTTCGTAATCTACAGTCGAGCGTGTATGCTGCAGCTTCAGAGACGTAACTCAAGTTCGGAATTAGACATGCTCTGCCAAAGAAGCATGGAAATAAATTGCGATGTATCCATTTGTTCCATTTCGGGTTTCCTGCGGCGTATGGTTCCTCATCCTTCGGTTTGAACACACCGACTACTTTGCCATCACTATTTCGAGCAAAATAACTTCCAGAGCTTCCCTGCGATATCATTTTTGGATGCATCCCCTCCTCAATCGCAACTCGAACGCTTTCTACGATGTCATCGAATTCATGTTTCGTCATTCGTCCATGGTCGGGCTCCGATGCCAAGGTATCAGCGGTGACAGGTCGTATGCCATCCGGTGCTTGGAATACTGAATGCAGGATTTCCAATTTCTCCTCTTGACATGGTTTCCCCTTTACTTTATTAATTTTAAATTTGGATGCTATCTCGTCGGCCCATCGTTCTAATCTAGCATTTATAGCTTTGATATCCACGCCGGAGGCATTGCTTCCCATTCGGCTTCTTCTTCTCTTATGCCCACGTTTTCGATTATTCGTCGGGGAACTGTATCCATCTGTATACATTCCACCATGTGGTCGAGGCTGTGAAATAGAGGCATATCGTGGTGCGGATGTTGGTTGTAAGGAGGCATGGCTGGCAGCGAGGGGGTCCTCATCTTCATCATCGCTGAACTCCTCTGCTTGGGCGATCTGGGCATAACCCGTGGTAGCTGGTCGAAATCTCGGCATATTATGTATGTGATTGAATTATTATCGAAGTCGCCATGAGGTAACTTCAATGATGGTTATGATTATAGTTATGATTATGGTTTGTTTTGAGGCATTTCCCGGGGCTGGTAGGTGTGTTACAAGCCCGCGTCACTTTAACTAGGCACCAATTAGAAGGCGGAGGCGGAGGACAAGGCTGAAGGATAACCTTATACTCCGTACAGTACCATCAATGCAATGCCGTAGAGTACCATAAATGCCGAGTCATCAAAAACACGATAGATGATAAGATTGTCAATTTGTTTTCAATACCAATACAACAAAGGAGGTTGATTGAATTGAATCCTCTGTACAAATACTGAGTAAGGTCAAAGAGTTCAACGGTGATTGAGTTGAATTGGTTCTTGATGACAAGGGTTTAAGTACTTGCATACCTTTTTTCAATAATCTTTATAAAAATTACAATCGACAGACATCACATCCTTATGATTCGGCCATAACCTCCTTCACTATTTTTGCAACCTCTCCCTTCTCTACATTCTTTTCTCCCAAGACTTCAGGGGCGAAGACTCTTTTCAATACATCTCCCATCTGCATCTTTACACCCTCAGCCTTCATGCTATTCACAAGTTCCTTGACTGTATTTCTGATCTCATCTTCACCAACTGTCTTCACACCACCGGCATATTCTTCCAAGACCTTCAATTGTTGTTCCTCCTTCTCAACCAAATCTTCTCTGCCTGCTGCTTTGAATTCTTCACTTGCAGCTCGACTTGCATTCGCAGATTTCCGGAGAAGAGCTAACATTTGCATATCGGTATTAATAGGTGAGGATGTTTTGGAGGCATTGAGTGTTTGGCTGAGGAGTGATCGAAGGACGGAAAGTCGATTGGTATCTTTATTTTTCATGGCAGTCTTCATATCATTCCTATTACCAGGCAAATATCAGTATCATTACACGAGGGAAAAGATTGATTGACGATGTGCATTGAGTACTGACCTGATCTTCAAGAGCATAGGCGGAGGAGTACTGGCAGAGGTTGCATAGCAGCGGCAGTAAAGCCTTGAAGCTCTAACAGCAGGTCGTGAAAACATGGCTGAGGATGCAAGGGGATTTTGAATTCAGTTGTTTGATATGGAACTTGTGCGACGTTATTCCTCTCCTAGAATTGGAGGTACTAGGCATTAGGTATATTTGTATTTTTATTGAAGTCCCCCTGCCTGCAAAGCAAACGAGGCTCGCCAATTTTTAATTTTCCTTTTCCTTTCCCGCGATGCTGCCCGCTGCCTCACCTTAGATCACATAACACAACATTTGTATGGCCCCATACGTCAATTGCACAACATAACACTACGGCTTGTAGCTTTCCATATAAACAAAATGGCAATGGTATCTACGATACATTTGCATTTGCAGATATGTATATATATCAGTCCAATTACAGAACAAAAAGCAAGTCCTTGCAAGTTCTTTCAGTCGCCAAAATCCCTTTTGGGTGATCGTCACTTCCCCGCACCTACCTACTTAGGTGTCTAGTCGACTATTCGAGGAGAACGTAATTCTAACACCATACATTTTCATTTCTTTTCAAGGTCCTTTTCTTAAAATAAAACAAAACAAAAAAGGTCCATCAAGCATACCAATTATACAGAGTATGCAAGACTATTTCCACTTTGTTTATATCTCATCCCTTTTCAATGCAAAGTGTTTACCAATTGATTCCTTGCGTTCAACCTTTCCTCAAGTATTAACATTTCACTATTTCAAGATCAATGATCTCCCTCCTCTATCTATCTGATCCTCCCAACATACTTTGATATATGATTCCTCGGCATTGTGCAACCAAAGGATCAACATTGATCAACACATCCTGACTTCGCTGGCACCATTCACTATCAGCTCATCATTCTACCCCAGCCCTCTGATCATTCATAGGAGTATTATTCCTCGGTGGACAATCTTTCTATGTGAATTATCTTGTTGCGTCCCTCTCAAGAAACAAACTGATAATAAATCATAGTTGATTTGACTAACAGACACCAACTACTATAAAAGACTTCCTCGAATCCTGCAAGCTGGGACACTGGGACTTTCCTGAGACAAACAAATTCCAAATACACAATCCAATACTCTATAAGCATCGTGAAAAATGACATCTATTGCATCTCCCATAGCAACACATCCACCCTCCAACGAACCTTCTCCTCAGCGCGGCCGTAAACGACGTCGATCCTCCGCTGCTTCTCCACCACCAGCAACAACCAGTACATCCACCAACTTTCGAGGCCGAGTTCGTCATCGATCACCTCATACTTCTCATCTACTTACATCCTCACCGAGACCATTATCCTCACCTCTCAACCCCAAAACAAGCAACCCAACCACAACATCACTTGCAGCCACAGCTCCTAATACCAAATATCAGAAGACGCGCTCTACAGCCACAACGACTAGTTCTTCCCCTTCATCATTTATCTCAATCCATTCTCCACGTTCAAAGACTAGGAGAAGTCAATCGCCCTCTCGCTCGCGTAGCAAGGGTCACTCCTCTGACAGGGATGTTCCACGGCGGAGACAGAGGACGAGAAGTAGAAGCCGAGCGCATAGGGTTTCAATTGATGAGAAGGATGATAGGAAGGGAAAGTTGAAAACTTTGTCCGGAATAGAAGGGACTTAGGATTTAATAGGCTGAGAAAGTGATTGATTTAATCTGCAAACAGAGCCAAGTTGGCCGTGGACACTTGAGAAGTTACCTCACTTGAGTTTGGTGACTACATCTCGGAAAATCAAGAACCTTGATTAAGATTTGTTTCTCGGATACCATAAATATAGGTGTCTTTTTCAATCATGGTCAAGGGAGCAAGGATGCGTGAACTGCATGATGGGTATATTAATGGACTCGACATGGAATAAAAGAGCTTGCTTTTCTCCCATTCAAGAAATGATGCACAAGAAGATATCAGGTTGACATCTACCCCATATTCCATGATGTTCATGTGTATATGTATGTAATTCGCAAAACGATCTGATCGAGTACTCCGTCCGTACTATATACATGCCAAGCCTACCTCACTCACTTCCAAGTTCCCTCCCTCCTAAAACCCCACTCCCCACTGCAAAATTACTCAATAAATACATATAAAATCCCAAACAAAAGCACCTCGAAAAACTTGCAAAAAATTAAAACAATTCGCCTTCGGTGGGTCTCGAACCCACAACCTTGGGCTTTTCATATTCACAGAATATAGAATATCACAGAAATGAACTGTATCTGTATGTGTATTTGTACATAAAAGGCCCACGCGCTAACCATTGTGCCACGAAGGCTTTGAATTTTGTAGTTATTGTTGTGGCAGGCGACGATATTTGGATCTATATTTAGAGGATCTTGACGAGGGGGCTTAGATGTGAATTAGATGAGAATTGGAGAAAGAGAATGGATGAGATTGTCTGATATTTGTTTTAATTAATCAAATAAAGGATGATTAGATATTTATAGATATATCCAGATAATAATAAAAATATTTTAAAAAGAATTATATATAAAAAAAATAATAATAATAATAATAATAATAATAATAATAATAATAATAATAATAATAATAATAATAATAATAATAATAATAATAATTAATTATAAAATCTTTAATAATATAAAATAATTTCTTTTATTTTATATTTATATTTATATTTTTTAATTTTTAAATATTCTTTGTATTCTATTTTTATTCCTCTCTATTACTTTCCTTCCTTTCTTTCATTCCTCACTCTTCCCCTCATCTCATCCCCCATCTCTCATCCTCTAACTTCTTCCACTTCCCCTTCCCTCACCTTACAATTCCATATATATATATATACATATATATATAAAAACAAAATAAAAAAACAAAAACATACACAATCTCTATATAAAATGTATCTCAATTTCAATCCATCTCAATCCACCTCATCAATCACCAACCGACCTAGACCTACAAATAAAACACCAAAAACTCACGCATGCTGTTCTTCTATTTCCGTGCGCTAACCTTAATTATCAATTATTCTTTTCCATTCCATTTAGTTTACCATTTAGTTTGCCAACCATCTACACTTGACAAATTGAGCTCGAGTGAGGAATAAACTAGGAGAGCGACGAATATATGAGAGGAGGGGGTTAAAGAAAAGGAGGGGATGATGATGATTTAATGTGATAATCAAAATGAGGGATCTAGAATGAATGAGAACGAATTAATTGGGCGTATTTGATTTGATTTAATATATATGTCCAATGATTGTTTGAATTTTCTTACATAATGGAACAGTATACGACCTATCAATTTGGATGGATATCGAGAAAGAACTTTGAAATATGTTTTGTTCTGAAATCTCAGCGTCATCGAAGCTTGCAATGAGCTGGTATACTCCTCAGGATATAGGTATTTAGAGAAATAGGAAATATCAAGCATTTCACGCATTCCACGCAACATATTTTATAGATCACCACTTCACAAAAATTCATCGTTAAAGGTCATAAATCGTGTCTTTTAAAATCCTTCATTTCCCCATGCAGCTAAATACATGACGACTCGAAATGAAAACAGAAGCTCAAGAAATTTAGCTCATCTGTCTATCACATGGCGTGCGGCTTGCTTTTTATATCAAATCGACTACCAAGTCGAAATGATCAGTGAGCATTCGCTCAGAAAATCATGAAAGCGCCGGGGGCTGGAGATAATCTTGATGTGAAATGTGCATTGGAATATGGAAAGGACGGTATCTTTTATTTTGGAAATTCGTTCTTTATAGCTTGTCATAGTACTATTGGAATAATTAGTCAAAGTATTTTCAGAGTATGGTGGTTTAAACTTACGTTCTCGTAACCTGGAACCTCAATCTTGAGACCCTTGCGTTTACGGAGGTCTTGGACGATTTGTCCAGTCTTTGAGGTGGCATCAATTGGCGATCCACCTGGGAGAATTTGCCAATGGTCGAAGATGGATTGTGGGAAAGCTTGACCAGAGGTGTGCGAACGGAGATCGGCATTGAAACCGAAAGATTCACCGACTGGCAAGTATGCCTTGATGGTGAAAAGAGGAGTTCCTGGACGTTGCTCCTCAGCGAAGACGTGACCTCTTCTTCTGGTGAGTACACCGTATACACCACCCATGGCAGATTCTGGTACTTGAATCTCGACCAAGAAGACTGGCTCGAGGAGACCTGGCTCAGCCAAGAGAGCTGAAGCGTACAAGACGCGACGGGTAGTTGGCATAACTTGTCCGGAACCACGATGGATAGCATCAGCGTGGAGGGTAACATCCATGATGTTGAATCTGCAAGATCTCATTGGCTCTTCAGCAATTGGACCTTCTCTTGAAGCCCATTGGAAACCGGAGACAACGGAATCCTTAATTTCGTTCAAGTATTGAACAGCCTTAGTTTGATCAACCAACAAGTTGGCACCGTTGGTATCTGGACCAAAACACCAAATCTTACGGGCATCGGTGACATCCCATCCGTGCTCATCGGCTAAAATACGGGCACGAGCCTTGAAATCATCACGGGGACCAATCTTTCCAGACTCAATCTCCTTGGAAACCTCCTCGTCGAGAGGCTCAGCAATCATGTAAATACGGTTGTGCTTGTTGGGGGATTTGGAGAGGGCAGTCATGCTGGACTTGCCAGTGACAGTCTCACGGTAAGGAACGACAGGGTCGGAGATACGGAGAGGTACACCAGCGTGGTCCTCCTCGAGATCCTTCAAGCAAATTTCCAAATGCAACTCACCGGCACCAGCAACAACGTGCTCACCAGATTCGGAGATGAAAGTCAACACACAAGGATCAGACTTGGAGAGACGCTTGAGACCTTCGACAAGCTTGGGGAGATCTTGAGCGTTCTTGACCTCGACTGAACGCTGGACGACAGGGGAGACGGAGAACTTCATGACCTTCAAGTTGTGGGCGGTGTCGCTGGTGGTGAGGGTACCAGACTTCAACAAGAATTGATCGATACCGACCAATCCGAGAATGTTACCGGCTGGGACATCATCGATAGGGTCGACCTTACCACCCATCATGAGAACGACACGTTGGATAGCCTTGATGAACAAGTCATCCTTCTTTCCAGGGGTGTAGTTAGGGCCCTGGATGCGGACCTTCAAACCGGAACGGACGGTACCAGCGAAGACACGACCGAAAGCGTAGAAACGACCCTTATCAGATGTTGGTACCATCTTGGAGACGTACAACATGAGAGGTGCCTTGGGGTCACAGTCACGGATACCAATGCAGGCCTCATCATCTGGAGGACCCTCGTACAAGGTCTCGGCACGGTACTTTTGAGCGGTAACGGGGGATGGGAGGTGGAGAATCAACATCTCCAAAAGAGCATCGGCAGCTGGCAAGAAAGTACGCATAATAACCTTGAGGAGTTGCTTGCCCTCCTTATCTTTGTCATCAGGAGAGAGCTTGATGTTGAGCTTCTCGAGGAGAGTTGGGATCTCGTCCTTCTTGAAGTTCATAACAGCAGCGAAGATACGGAAAATGGGGTCAAGGATGAACTGGTTGAAAGCACGCTCCAATTCCTTACCCTCGTGAGAGGACTTGGTGGTCCACTTCTTGGTGTATGGGTTGAAGTAGTTGTCGCCCCAGAGACGCTCCATCATCTTGTTTCTGTCAACACCGAATTTCTTGGCGTATCTTTGAGCGAATTGTCTGATGGTGAAAGCCCAGCCGTGAAGACCGGAACCGAAAGCTACCGTTCCCTTACCTGGGTAAACTTGAACATCTCCCAAAGTTTTGTCGAAGTAGGTGGAGATGACGACGTTAACGGACTCGATGGTTCTTGAGAAAGATTGGTAAAGATCTTCCTTGGAGACTTGCAATTCGAGGAGAGCACGATCGACCTTGTTGATGATAACAACAGGCTTGATACGCTCACCAAGAGCTTGACGAAGGACAGTCTCGGTTTGCACACACACACCTTCGATGGTATCGACGACAACGAGAGCACCATCGGTGACACGGAGAGCAGCAGTAACTTCAGAGGAGAAATCAACGTGACCGGGTGAATCGATCAAGTTGATCAAGAAATCTCTTCCGTCGGTCTTTTGGCCAACAATGTCCTTCAAGTCGTCGTCATCTGGGAGGTTACCATACAGGGAGATGGCAGTGGACTTGATAGTGATACCACGTTCTTGTTCATCGGCACGAGTATCGGTAGCTCTGGCATCACCGGCCTTTGCGGCGGAGATAATACCAGCCTTGGAGAGCAAAGAATCGGTAAGGGTGGATTTTCCGTGGTCGACGTGGGCAATGACGGACATGTTACGAACGTTCGTAGCCTTGTCCATCAATAGGCGGACCTCCTCAACGGTGAAGCTATATTAAGAGAAGAGTTGTTAGCAAACAATCCATTATCGACCACCATGAGCTTATCTCCGATTCCTCCATCTGCAGTTTTCATCCCAAGATTTTCGATCCATCAAAGTAGTAGACTTGACAGTACTCTTGAGGATCGCCATAAACGGTTGATCTTTCCATCGGGCATGGAGAGTATGATGTAAAGAATAGATACTTACTTAACCATGTTGGCGGTGGTGCTTCAGTAAGCTGGTTAAAGAAGATGTATTGATTTGTCGTTCGACACACGCTCGAACGATTAGATACTTGAGGTGGCTTGTTGGACCACTTGAAGTATCGTGAATAAAATTGTAGATATCTGCTACAGACCCAAAAGGAAATGGGGATAGAGAGATAATACAAAGAAAGATTTGGTGATACTTTCGATGTAAAATGAGAGGAGAAAGGGAGAGGGGAAGAAAAGGATGTTCGTTCCTAAAAGGTGGGCAAGAATTTGGTAAGAAAAGATCTCAGGGTGGGGCAGCTTTGCTTTGCTTTTAAAGTGGCGGGGTTTAGAATTGTACTGTAATCTGGAAATTTTTCACTTATTTTGCAGGTGACTAGGCAACTACACTGTGTGCCTTAAAAGGGTAAGTGCCCTAGTACGTAAGCTTCAATGGAGTGAATGAGTATTTTATCTCATTTATATACTTTTTACAAAGTTTATAAAGTGAATGAAAGTTTTATCTTATTAGGGTATATTTGGATTGATTTGTTAGATATTATCTTTGAAATTCTCAGATATTCTCACTCCTTTCATGTCTTTCATCCAGAGGTAGAGTAATACATGCATGCATGCATTCATGATTTGTTATGTGTACTCGCGCTCTATATGATAGATGATTGGAAAGCACCGCCCGCCCTTATCATTCATTCCCTACTAATAATAAATCACAGACTCCCACTCTTTGCTTCATACTTGGTGGGGTACATGAATCAATATGTCGAAGTTTGATTGGTGCATGAGGTTCCCAGTCTTGATGTTTTTAAAAAAGGTTCTTTTGTACTATACTACTTTAGGAGGATCTCTCCTCGGGTAACCTATCAAATCAAAAGAATAATCAATTATTATTCTAACACAAAGGAGCACCTTCAAAAGTCCCATTTGCCCCTCGTTCTGACTCAACCCACCGCCCTCATCGGCATGACAAATCCGGATAGTCTGATCAGTTGTCAGATTGATCAAGAGTCGAAATAATTCAATCAATCATTATATAAAATCATGGATGAGTCATTGCACAATAAAATCATTCACATTTGCTCCGAAACAAGTGAGAATTATATCAAGGACAACAGAGTGATTGTGTATATTATCGAAGCTATAAAGGGGTCCTATCTATGTATACCTTGACCACCCAGTCAAGGTCCAACAGAGCCCTCCATTTAAAGATCATTCCCCCAACTCCTTCGTTATCATTCAAAAATATTACGTCCGAAACAGATTCATGAAAAGGGCGTTATAAAAGAGAAGAAAGAAATGCAATCAAGAGGACCCTAAAATCTTTGCATAAGCATCCTCTACCTCTCCAGCCAATTCTAACAGCGCCACAATTACTATCTGATGTGTAAGATTTGGAAGTCGTTCTCGTTGTAACCCAAAAAATTCTAATGGTGGCGTCGCCTCACCCAGACTCTGAAGAAGAGGTGTCTCGATGATTGGAGGTACCAGTGCTGAATATTCATATTTCGACAAAGGAACGTTGACTTCGGCTGTGATCTTTTGTTGCTTGCCTTCCTTACTTTTTGGATCTTCTGCATTTGGTACACCGGTGATCTTTAGGGCTGATGGTGGGAGAGGCTTCCCCAGTCGTTGCGCGAGGGCCTTGGTGTGTGTTGCGTACATGCTACGAATATAGCTGACACGAGAATAATTCCATCCAACCTCAACTTTTCCTTCAAAGGAGCTTTTGAATATGTAGTCAATATGGTTGGAGCCAGGCATCTGCCAGGTTTGCATAGTAGCCTCGACTTGGGGAACTTTCAATATGGTGCCTCCCCGAGATCCAGTGACACTTTCAACCACATCTTCCACAGAAAGATCACTAACAGACTTTGGCGCCTCAACTTGCTTGACTCCAGCAAGCCCGATACGAAGCTGACCAAGAGTGAGACCCAAGATGCTATGGATTTTTCCTCGATCCATGGTTACAGCAAATCTTGCCTGTGCATTCAGTGCCTCGACCTTGAACACTTGGTGATCTGAGAATGTGCTAGGAAATGCCGCTACGTTCAATGCTTTCAGTGTGACGATCACATCAGTGTGTAGTGAGACGGGTGATTTCGATTTTTCTATCTTTGGTTCTATCGAGGGTGTTTTGGATTGAGGTGGCATTGTCTGCGATACTGATTTACGCTTTATGTATCTTTCGATTTCCGACAGGGACGTCTCATAATTACTCTTTTTCTCTTGGGCAAGTCGCAAAAAGGCTTGATAGAGTGCAAGCGCCTGCGCTGCTGTCGTCGCCGTGCAAAATATCTGTACTGCTTCCCCATCTAAAATGGCAACTAGCCGATCACCCTTAGCTTGGGAGCCATTGCGAACATTATACATGAGGAATTCGAAAGACCTGATATCCGCGACCAAGAAAGCCTGATAATCGAAAGCAGCTTTGACTCGTAGCTGGCTGAAACCCAAAGAGCCTTGTACTAGCGGTGTTTGATTCAAGGCTTTCTCGCGTGCTGGCCATTGTATCGAGGTACGTACTTTGAAATCCTGAAGCGCCACGAATCCACTCATCCTGCCGGAGCTGTCAACCCCGACTTTATCAAAGCCAAGACATAGATTTTGCTCCCAGTCCGAGTTCTTTTTCGATGAGATCCAAAAGTTGGATATGACAAAGGCGGATTTGCCAATAGCCTGACCAAGATCCAATTGCACATCAAGCTCGGCGATAGAGACGGTAGCGTTCCAAGGGAAAGCACCAGTCGCGGCCACTTGCTGGTATCTCTGCACGAGGAATGTTGAAGATTGCTGCGAATTGTCGGGTGACGATACTGGAGCTGTAGAGCCTTCGCGCATCTCTGGGGGCACCCAGATCTCTCTGAAAAGTAGAAAGTCTTGTAATTGCTTGGCATTAAATAAAACCTTCATGGGACTGATTTTTAATATTGCAGACAATCCACTGGTGCCACTCACATGCTTACTATTCATTAGAGACAGGAAAATTGTTTCTACATCAAAACTCCCAGTAGATTCCCTGGAGTAGACATGCTGTACTGAAGCTTGCAGCCTCGTAAAAGCGACAGATGCGGCAAAGAAATGACCATGCTCAGTGGAACGGACCGTGTTAATCGTCATGTAAATCTCATCAAATCGAGCACTAGCTGCGACGCGTGCTATAGGCTGGCAACTAAGGGTAAACTCTTGCTTACAAATTCTAAGTCCCAAATTAAGTTTGGTGCGGCCAAGGACAGTACTTGGATCGGCTGCCAATATGTTATCGTCGTCGGAGCTCATGAATTTTTGAGGTGACGGTTTCGGCACCAACTTCTTATCCTTTTCATCTTCGCTTACAATGTCTTTGACAGAGGATGATATCTCTAGGATAAGAGGGACTACGGACGGATACAGTATATTTGTGGAAGCATCCACTTTGACCTCAGCATTCAAGGAGGGGTCATCTAGACCATTATCTGTATACTCCACCTTCCAAGCCAAGCCGGGCGCACGTAATACTGTGCTGCTGCCCGCATCTGTATGAGTAAATTGCCCATATCTCCCAGTCTGGGCCCCTTGGTTCGCCGTGCCTGCTTGATTTGGATGTGTACTCTCTGTCAATCTCTTACCTGACAGGTATACAACAGCTCCGGCAAAATCTGCATCCACAAGTAGTGACTCCATCCGTTTCTTGCCAAAGAAGGGTTGTCTCTTGTTGTCTACCGTAGGAGATGGCAGTGCTAGTGACGAGCTTGTGCTCCAAGTAGCTGATGCTACCCGTACTAACTCCACAGCAGATCCTATTGATCGTTGAAGTTCAGCGGCAGGTATGATGAACCGAGAAGTCAGTCGCAAGTCAAGAGATTTCCCTGCCGCTTGAAATGCTAACCTACGAGTATTCTGTCCGGAAATATATCCAACATTGAAGATTACCTCTGGCAACAAAGCTGAATTGAGTGACCGTTGGATTTTATCATGTGAATAGGGCACCATTTGCAGTTGTAAATCTTCTATGGTAAGTCGGGCAGAATTCTCCTTTCTCGTCGATAGATGAACGCGCTTCAATGACAGAACCAAATTTTCTTTTTCAGAGTGCGAGACGCGATCATTTTCTGGACTGCCAACTAGCCAGCTAATTTGGATATTGAGCAATTCAAGAGTGTACATTGAGGCGAACATAACGGTTGAGGTTGAGGCCGCGATACTATCGTAATCTCTAGGCTCGTCGTTAACTGTAATCCTTGGTTTTGACTTGCGGAATTTTTTGAAATATTGCTTCTCGCGCGTGAAGTCAATGTCTTTGATTTTGTTTTGCAAATGACCCATAACCTCTACCACAGAAGATGCAGTTTCGGCGAAGAGATTAATCTCGAGTCCATTACTCGTAAGATTGAACGATCTCACGTCATCCCCAATCTCGTTCTTCTTGCTCGTGGCGGTCAAAAAAGCAGCAAATGCAAGATTCCCGCAGGGTTCCATATTCCCATTGTTCAGACGAGATAACCCGAACAGTATGCGGTGCAGATTGATATGAATCTCCGGAAACTCATATGTTGGCCCACTTGTCTCCAGCCTGTTAGCAACCAGAAGTTGCACGCACTGCACATTGAATCCCAATTTTGCCGTTGTGTTCCCGTCTCGCGACGGCTCCGCATTTGCATAGATATCCAAGCCTGCAAAGGTCAGGTGAGCGTCGTAAATAAGGACAGCGCCGACTTTTGAGGTTGAAGCGGGTACTAGACTGCCGCTTGTCTCGAATATTTCTTCAACATGTGCTTGTATTGCTTTTATATCGTCGCGAATATCTGAGACAACGCTGGATATCTCTGGCCGATTGACAGTAGTCGAGAGACTGTGAAGAGCAGCTGCATCGAGCTCTATGGGTTCTACGGAAGCAAATATTGAAATCCTATTCTCTTCCTCAGACATGCTGCTAACTATACGGCCATTAGTTGGCGGCATTTGCAACAACGAAATACTTTGCTTTTTATCGTTTTGCGCTGTTTGAAACTCATGTGAGTGCTCCTTGATATCGAAATCGAAAACAATTTCAGACCCAATCTGAGCCGCCAAGGAGGCCCTAGCGACATTACCTGAAATAGTGTATGTCAAAGATTGTATTAGAGGTATGCTGATTTGATACACATCGAGGAACAGTGCCAAGTGAATTTTGTTGATCGGCTTTCGTTCTTGAACGCTGGGGGCCGATACAATCGATGGTGACGTAGGCTGTTTAGCTGTTGGGAGTTTCGTCACCAAACGGTGAAGCTGGGCGACTTCATCTCCAATTACTAGGTCCAAGACTTCAATGAGTGCCACGATATCTTGCTGGACTATGAATGA